CCTCATATCATAATCTACCCGATTCACTTAAATTGACCACTCCTTCGGCGGTTCCGGCGGTACCGCTCCAGGGATCCCTCCTCTCCCGTTCCATCTGATCCCACCTTCAGTTGTCGTGTGGTTGAGGGGCAAAATCCGCCTCTTTGGAACCTGACTCCTTTCTCCCTCTGGTTCCTGCTTACTACGTGCTTGCGCTTGCCTGGCTGCAGCGGCAAACCCCCCACACCCAGCTTTTTTATTTTTCTCGATTCCTTCCATTTTCTTGGGCCGCGGTTTGCCATCAGTTGATCAGAAAGGGCCCTGTCGCCAGCAAGGGCCGGAGATTTGCCCTGGTCAAGGTCGTACTAATTTCTATTAAAAGCGCAGACCTTCTGAATTAAAAAAAGAAAAGACCCCCTCCCTCCCAAAAAAAAATTACCACTCTCCTGCCCCTTCCAGTCGTCGCGCGGAGTCTCTGGTCGACCAGGGTATTTATTCACTATCGGCTTTCGACGACTCTCCGGCGAGGGTCGAAACACGGAACAACAAGTCGCGGTTTGACTCAGCTTTAGGGAGACTTAATAGTTAACGTACCACTATCTCCACTCTAAGGTTCCTTAGCTGCTCGCTTGTCCCATCCATCCCGCATCGGTCCACCGGCTCGCATCCAGTGACCCATGCTCGACTTGATCCTCGTGCAAGCACGCCTGTCACTTCCTTCCACTGTCTTCCTCCGTCGGTCTGCTGTGCAGATTTGAAGCCCGTCGCTCCCTCCCCGATTGTTGCCGCTGTCGACTCCGTACGGTCCGAGTCGGCCTCCCGTCGAGATGGCTGAGACCGTCATCATGAATGGCGGTCCTATCGCCGAGGACAACATCATCAACCGCCGCGGCGGCGAATCGATCTATCAGAGCTGTGTGAATCTCAAGAAGCGCCTGGCCGAAGTACCGAACTTCGAACCCCATATGCGAGAGATGGAAGAAGCAGATGTGGTTAAGGGGATCACCGATCCTGTGGCGTCGCTGTGGAATTGTCTCCGGACGGGGTACCCCTTGTTGACCATCTACAATGCTTCCGGGCCGGAAGAGTACCTCGAGGTTGATACCACAAAAGTCGCAGAGGCCAAGCGCCCAAAGGCCGCCACTTTCAAATTTCTCCATGCGTCTTTGAAGGAGCTGGGATTTCCTCAGCAGGACTGCTTCCTCATCACGGATCTTTATGGCGAGAATACTACCGGCTTCACCAAAGTGATCAAGATGGTGAATCGTGTTCTGGACATCCTGGAGATGCAGGGACAGCTTAAGCGACCGTCGGATATTGGACCAGGGACCCCCGCGAAAGGTACCGTCAAGCTCACGAAACGGGAACATATCCTCAAGGAGTTGCTGGAAACGGAGCGCGACTACGTCCATCATCTCCAGAACCTACAAGCCCTCAAAAAGGAGCTAGAAGAGACGAGTGCGGTGAATGGTGATGCTAGCCACCAGATCTTCTTAAACCTCAACAATCTGCTCGATTCTGCCCAGCGGTTCTTAATCCGTATCGAACAGCACTATGCTCTGCCCGAAGAGCGACAAAACTGGGGCGAGTTGTTCATACAACATGAGGAGGCCTTTCGGCAATACGAGCCCTTCATTGCTAATCAGATGCGCTGTGATGAGATCTGCCTAAGAGATTGGGACAAAATCCACGTGGCCCCGCGCTCTAAGGATCTGCTACAGATGGTGGCGCAACCTGCGACGTTGAATGGTTTCTTTGTCAAACCTTTTCAGCGCTTAACGAAATATCCGCTGATGCTTGGGGTAAGCGCCCTCCAGTTGATTACTGTTTGCTAATCGCTGTTCGCCGTGTTCTGACTGTCATGCAGGAGCTCCTTAAACAACTAGAAGACCCAGACCTCCGGGCTGATATTCAGAGGGCCATCGACGCCATCCAGTCTGTTCTCGACTCCGCAAATGATGCCATTGACAAAGAACACCTGCAGACAGCAGTCAAGGATCTTGATGAACGGGTCGACGACTGGAAAGCTCTGAAAATCGAAGCGTTTGGCGACCTCCTTCGTTTTGGTACTTTCTCGGTCATCAAGGGTGACAACGGCAAGGACTCTGAAAGAGAGGTTTGTATCCCCTTCCTGATTAGCATTGCCGGGGACGACCCTTGAGACCTGCTTGCTAACTTGCCGGCTCCCTTGTTTGTCCGCACACAGTATCATATTTATCTATTCGAACGGATTCTTCTTTGCTGCAAAGATATCAATCCCAATAAGCAGAAGTCCAAATTGAACCTAGGCAAAGACAAACCCGCCATGACGGCTAAAGGCAAAGCGCGGCTCCAGCTTAAAGGCCGCATCTACATGGCAAACGTGACCGATGTCCTTTGTCTTCCCAAGCCAGGTACGAGGGTCCATCATCTATCTACGGGCAGGCTGGTTCTAACTGAGCCGTTTTGTGACAGGTTCTTATCGAATCCAAATTTTCTGGAAGGGCGACCCGGGGGTTGTGGACAACTTCATTATCCGCTACCAGAACGAGGATAGTATGCGCAAATGGAGCAGGGACATTGAGGCACAGCGGGCGATCCAGGCAGAGCAGCGCAGTGCTCGCAACACCGGCACTTCCGAGACCGAATTTACCTACATGAGATCCATGGCAAACATGCCCAACCCGTATCAACAGGAGTACGACGCCGAAGAACAGGCTGCGACTCAAGAAGCAGGCTTCTTCTCGGAATTCCCGATGAGCCGCAATGCATCAAGCACCAGTCTGAGGACGCGCTCGGCAACAGGAGGAAGCGGTAGCTCTGGCCGCCCTCGCCTGCCTGTACCCGATCCAAACCTATCACTTCACACGCATCTCTCCGGCGGCAGTATGTCACCAGCCGAGCGAAATGCTCCCTCATATTTCTCTCCTGTCGCCGAAACGCCATCTACGAGGTCCAGCTCTCAATCTACCGGGTTTTCATATGGTCGTCAGATGACGCCCACGGCCAATTGGAATGAGGAAAACGCCCGCTATACAGCCCCAGCGCTGTCTCGTGCGACGTCAAGAGATGGGCCAAATTCGAACCCTTACTTCAGCGGGACTCCCAATGGACGAAGTGCTCAGCGACCCTCTCTCCCTCCGATGTCAGGAGCCCAGGCGGCAAATGGCATGGCCCAGAGAATGCGATCCGCCAGTAGCCCCGACATCCATAACCACAACCCGGAAATGCGTCGTTACATGGGCGCCCACACGATGCAGACCGTGGACAACGTGCCTGTTCCGCCAATCCCTGCTCATATTTCCAGCATGATGGCACCGGTCAACCGAAGCCAGAACAACTCCCCCACCAACGCTAACCTTCCTATCCGCAACGCCAACCACCTTTCCAACTCACAACAATCCGACCTTCGGCATGCCCCGGCGACGCATTTCCATGAGCCTCAATATTCCGATTACTGCCCTAGTACATCGGCTACTGATCAGCCAACTTCTCCTCTGAGCCACGAGCCCGACGAAGAGCCCCTCATGCCTACCCAGCTTAAGGTTAAGGTGAATTTTGACGACAACTACGTCACCCTGGTTATCGCTAGCAACATCATGTTCCGCTCCCTCATTGATCGTGTGGATGCCAAGCTGGCCCGGTTCACCAACCGCTCGATTGCCAGTAAGTCGGTCAGATTACGATACCGCGACGAAGATGGAGACTTCGTTACGATTGACAGTGACGAGGCCGTCCAACTGGCGTTCATGGAGTGGCGCGAGCAACAGCGTGACATGCTTGCTAGGGGTCAAGTAGGAGAGATTCAACTCTACTGCCAGGCGGTGGAGACTTAGATATGATAGAGCTGGAGCAATGGCATATGTTCCGGTATAAAGTTACCTTCTGCTTATTCTTCCCCCTTTTGCCACTTATCTACCTTCTATTATCTTCCCCCCCCCCCCCCCTTCTTTCTTGGTTCTCCAATCATGAGCATTTGTTCACTCCGCGTTTTCATTTTCCCTGAGGTGGAAAGAGAAGAGGCATCTGACTCCACTAAGTCACCGGCGTTGTCTCCTGGTTCCGCTCTACGACTCACATCCAACTGGATTGGCTGGGAACTATCGGAGAGGCTATTGATTCTATTCGCATGGGTAAAGGGAGGGCAAAACTATCGGCCAGGTTGCTTTTTTCTTGGTTGTCCCTCGCAAGGAGCCGACTCCGTGGATATGCCTCGACCCCGTTGGTTTTGGGAAAGGCTTCTACTGGGGAATGTTGATGACCCTATTTGATCTGATCTACCATGACTGCATGATGTATGTATACCGCCATTGGTTTTTGCGCGGACCGAGTTCCGGTCACACGAGACGAGCTGTATAGTGTTCCTGCATTTTCACTTTGGGATGGTTCTTGTTGTCGTTGTACCTCAGCTGTCACGCTTGCTTTGCTGGGTATTTTTTTATTTTTATTTTTTTTCCCCTGCCGGATTTTTTACTGGCCCCTGTCAATGATAGTATTATGACTCTAGATTAAGGTGCAGGGTACAGACCTGAAACGTGAATAATGCTAAACAAGGATGCGGAACTGGTAGCTTTTTGACCCCCGGTGGTTTGCCTGACTGGCAGTAGATGGATAGGTACCTGACGGCGCCATTCCACGGATCCATCGCAGCAAAGAGTGGAACTCGGGCACTCCACGGGCACATCAACAGGGGTATGAAAGGGGGTTGTTTGCCTCCCGTGAGTGTGAGACTCGTCGCAACCTGCGATGCCGTGCTTCCGATTGCACATTGTTGCTGGGATCGATAAAGGGGATTATTTGTTGGAGGGCAAGAGAGCGATGGATGAATGCTAACAGCCGGCCAGCATCGGGGCGGATGATTTGATCATTGGACCCGGTGTCGGATCCCAGCCGAAGGTGTCCACTGAGCCGTCGATCGGGACGAGCCACGGGAAAGGACGCGGTCTGGACGGCGGTTGGGTCCTATCGACTCTGGCTTCGTATGCGGTGGCAGTGAGGCATTTTAGGTGATTCGCGATCGAGAAGCGCCCGATTCCTGGCCTGGCGGCATTTGCGGGATTATTCAATATGATTTGGTTCTAATTTTGTCAACCTGACTGGTGCCTGCGACTGGAAGGCTGAAACTAGTAGGTCATTATTTGTCGCAGATGACAGGAGAGGAAAAGGAAAAGGAGAAGGATGATGTGGAGGAAGCTGAGTAGTCTGTCGGTCTGTCCTCCGTAACTCTCGGGACTTTGGAGGGGTCGAGGCGATAGTTGATAGGGCGGTGGACCAACGATGAGGATTAGCCACAGTTGGAGACCCGGAAAGTTGGAGGTGAAGCCGTATCTAGTAGGACAGACTTAAGAAGAAAAAAATAAAAACCTAGCTCGACCTCTCAGCCTGCCGTGTCTTTTTCGTCTTCTTCCTGTTAGTATTTATTGAGTATTATTCCCCCTCTTTCGCTCCATTCCTGCTGGTCTCTTTGAATTGGAGTTTCTCGTCTGCTTCTTATTCATACGGATTTAATCCAGCCCCCGTCCTTAATACCATCTACTAGGTACTTAGTAGTTGTGATCCAAGCAACTCCGATCGCTGGTGCATACGTTTTAGTCCTTCCCCAGAAATCGCCGTCTGCCAAGCAACGCAGCCCAGCATGTCTTTCTCCGGCCGCCGCCTGAGCATCCTGCGCCCCTCCGGCCGCCGCTTCTCGGTCGGAAAGGAGCTGTCAGAGAACGGTGCGTCGTCGATCCTCTTGGTTTTTCTATCTAGTCTTTGGTGTATTGTGTCTATCGACTTCCTCTGGGATCCCCCTGGTCTTGCAATGTTGTGATGTTCTCCAGGATCACAGCAAGGCTTGGGTCCCTGGCTGGGTAGCCGTGCATGAGGGGCAGAATCTCCCGCAAATGACAAGACAACTGACATCCCATGTCATGCAGAACTCAAGTCCGAAACCCATCGTCAATTCCGAAGCGCCCACGAAGGTCACCGTCCCCATGCCGGTCTGGATGCCTCCCGTGCCTCCACGGGTGTTGTCTGGTGTACCGAACGTGCCACCGAACACGGTTACGCAGAGGATCCCCACTCCTGGGCCAACCTGGGTCAGGGTGCACCTGAAGCCGACGATGAGATCGAGGGCAGTTTCCCTCGTCCTACCAGCATCCCCATCACCTCCGCTGCGCGTGAGTACGGCCCGACCGCTGGTATCAAGCCTCTGCGTGCTGCCGTCGCCCGTCTGTACAATGAGCATTACCGCCAGGGCAAGGAGAGCCAGTACACCTGGGAGAACGTCTGCATTGTCCCCGGTGGCCGTGCTGGGTTGATCCGTATTGCCGCTATTCTGGGCAACTCCTACTTGTCCTTCCCTATCCCTGATTACTCGGCCTACTCGGAGATGCTGTCGCTGTTCAAGAATGTGAGTGAAACGGCGTGAGCCCAATATCAATTCGTGTGCGGTGGCTTACTTGCGCAATTCCTACAGATCGCTCCTATCCCCATTCCCCTCGCCCAAGATGACCACTACCACATCCACCCTGATAAGATCGCCGAGGAGATCGCTCGTGGAACGTCGGTGTTGCTGACCTCCAACCCTCGTAACCCTACCGGACACTTTGTTGCCAACCCCGAGCTTGCTCAGATCCAGGACATCTGCAGAGATCGCGCCACTCTGATTCTGGATGAGTTCTACGGCGGTTACAACTACACCACTGACTGCGATGGAACGACCATTAGCGGTGCCACAAATGTTATCGACGTCAACAAAGATGGTTCGCCAGCTGACCCTCCCTAAACAAGCCAGAACTTCCGCAGGTTGTTTCCTGCCATTACTGACTCTAATAGATGTGCTTTTGATCGACGGTCTCACCAAGCGTTTCCGTCTACCTGGCTGGCGTATCGCCTGGGTTGTTGGTCCCAAGGAGTTCGTCAATGCCCTCGGCTCCGCTGGTTCCTACCTGGATGGTGGCGCCAACGCGCCCTTCCAGGAAGCCGCTGTTCCCATGCTCGAGCCCTCTCTTGTGCGTGCGGAGATGAAGGCTCTGCAAGTGCACTTCCGTGAGAAGAGAGACTATGTTATCGACCGTCTGCGTGAGATCGGTTTCCGCATCCAGGACGTGCCCCAGGCCACCTTCTACATCTGGCTCGATCTGACGGCTCTGGACCCTCCTCTTCCCAAGGAGGCCAACCTTTCCGACGGACTGAACTTCTTCAACGCCCTCCTGACCGAGAAGGTCATTGTGGTCCCCGGTATCTTCTTTGACCTGAACCCCGCTCACAGACGAGACCTGTTCGACAGCCCTTGCCACCACTTCGTTCGTCTGAGTTACGGACCTAAGATGGATGTGCTGAGAATGGGTCTGGACGGTATCGAGCGGGTCATCCGTCGGGCTCGGGCGCAGTTCGAGCCCAAGTGGGAGGATGAGGTGGCCGTCCAGGACGACTGAACGAGTCGCGGTCCCTTAGCTTTTCACGTGCGTAGAACAATAGAAGAATAGCATGGACGTAGGGCGTTATATCCCTTCCACGTACCTTAATGGATAATATCTGGACATTGACCGTTGTTTCTTATGCAGTATACTCCGTAGTGGGCGCCCTAAGTAATGTCACGTGACGCGGCAGTGCTCGAGTCACCGATCGGCATGCGATCGCATCCCTTTTTCTTCGCGACGAGTCTCGACCAGCCAGTTGCTTGTGGGTGGGAAGCAGTCGGAACTGTTGCTGCGCAATATGATATGTCCGCGGTTATGGCCCTCAACGTTCACCGCGTCCTCAACCTGACCGTCTTCACCTTGTTCTCGGTGGTCCTTTTCTTCTGCATCGTCTTGACCCCTGCCGATGCGATCTATCAGTGCTACGTCACGCAGCGCCTCACGAACATCTTCATCATCACCGGTGGCTACGTCGTCACGTTTATTCTTGCGGCCCTGATCTACACGACGCGCATCTACACGAATCGCACTGTCCTATCCGGAATCCCCAAGGCATGGATCCCCGTCGAGAAGCAAGATGTCGGAAAGAGTGTGCGACGACTGGTCAAGGAGGGGCTTGCACATAGTGCCATCATTGCTTACCAGGCTCGACCAAGGGACATTGCAACAGAAGGACATGATTTTTCAGACTACGAATCCCTGTTGGTGGACCACGACAGCCCACCCTGGGGGCAGGTCGAGCACCCCGGGTGGTCGTCGCCCTCATGTCCTGACTTGCCCGACCTACCGTATCGAACAGTGGTTCAGGAACTGCCTCATCTCATTGAAGCCAAAGCCGTCTCCCTAGCTCCTCCCGACCCGATCTTCACGGCTACTCGCCGTGCACTCCATACGCCTTTTCCCGACACCGAAGAGTCAATTCCAGACACACGGGTGGTGGAAGTACTACGACGGCCGATATCGATGGGATTGCGGGGATATTTGCAACACCTCACTGCGCTGAATGTGATTGATCCGCCGGAGATTGGAATGGAGTTTGTTGCTCTGTACGAGCGGGCCCGCTTTTCGTCGCGTGAGTTGCACGAGGCCGAATTCAGGACCCTGATGCACGTCTTTGCCGAGCTCTTGAGAGGCATGAAGGTTTTGGATCCTCGAGTATTGGATGAGATGTGGGGTGAGAGCTCTCGTGCCGATAGTGAGTCCCTTATTGGGCCATCGGACGAAGAGGGGGAGACTGACACGGTGGATTCCTTTGAGGGGAGTGAAGCAATGTCCCGGGGCCGGAGCAACAGTCTGCGGCCTTCGAATGCATCTACTTGGGATGGTCGTTCTGCCAAGCAAGGTCGCTGGTCGCCTGTTTGGTCGAGACGTCCCGAGCCGCAGCGAACACTGGTGCCTCCTCGGACGCCGTCAATGCGGTCGCTTAGGCGAGTGCAATCAATTGTGTCTGGTAGTTCCGGGGGGAGCGTGATCCGCTTGGTTGAAACTCGGAGTCCGTCGGATCTACCGTATGCTTTCAATGTTGGCGGCAGCGCCGAGTATAGACCTCAAACTTAGTAATGCAGATAATGTTTAATGGAATGGCCAGTGCACTATGTATCATATTCTGTGTATACGTCGCGGCTCCGAGTCCCATTGGCCTTGTGTTGATATATCCTATGATGGCATTAATCAGCAACAACTGCATTGCCCTACTTATCGCATCGCATCATTTAGCAACTTCACTATCAACACGGAGTACTGCCGTTGACTTCAATCACCACCATCTATAAACAAGTCATTGTCTCCTAAACCAACTATCCAACCAAACCCAGCATCAAAACCAATCCACCCACCTACCAAGCCACCCTCTCCCCCCCAAAATTGACAAACTGCCCCGACGTAGTCTCCTTCGTCGCCGCCTCAATCTACAACCCCATTAGCATGAACAACCCCCAATCAACCCATCCATCCATACATACCTGAGCTGTAATCCCCCTCACCGTATCCTCCACCGTAACCGGCGCCTCCTCAAACCCAATAAACTGGGCATTCCGACTCCCCATATCCGTCTGAACCAACCTATCCCCATCATCAGCCTCCATCCACATTCCCAACCCAACCCAACCCAACCAAAAAAAAAAAAAAGAAAGAAAGAAAGAAAACCTACCCCGGATCCACCACCAAGGTAACCAACCACCCCTCCTCACTCTCAATCTTCCTAACTAGAAAATTCCCCGCCACCTTCGACATCCCATACGCCGTAGCCAACGAACCCCCCAACTGCTCAATGCCCTTCATACTCGCCAACAGGGTCGAAATATACACGAACTTCGGCATCGTAGCGTTCCTCAACAACCCCACAAACGCTTTATACACACGGAGCGGTCCCAACGTGTTGACTTCAAAGTGCGAGAGTACGTCCGAGTCCGTCATTTCCCGGACCGGTCCCCAATGGTTACAGATTCCGGCGCTGGAGATGAGGACGTCGATGTGGGTGATGTTGTGTTGGGTTTGGAGGATGGAGGCGGCGGTGGAGGCGCTGGAGGGGTCGTCGAGGGTGAGGGGGATGAGGATTAGAGATGAGCCCGGGGCTTGGGGGAGGGATTCGGTTGCTGGGGAGGGGATGCAGCGGACGGTGCCGATTACGGTGGTGTTGGGTTGGTTGAGGTAGTGGGTTATGAGGCCTTTGCCGATTCCTGGGTTGGGTTAATATAATATATTGTATTGTGGGCTTGGGGGGGAGGAGAGGGGGGAGGAGGGGGAAACCTCGGTTGGCGCCGGTGATGAGGACGGTTTGGGTCATTTTGAGGGAGGTGGTTTGCTGTATACTATGGATTGATAGTGTTGGATAGTTTTAGCACTGAAGGTATTTTCTATCCCTGCAGTGTGCGAGATCTCTGACTTTATAGTATCGTTGCGGAGTATACTTACTTACTCACCGGGAATGGGTCACAGGGTCTGGTCTAGTTTTCAGGGTCAGAAATTAGTGTCTTGGGGTTCCAGAGGATTCCTGAATTGAATAAGCTAATTGTGACACTACGGAATTGAAATTCTACAAGTGATGTGAATTCTGGGTCTGTCTTGGTCTTTTGGCCAGTAGTCAAACTGGCAAATTGCGGGGATTTTAGTCTAGAAATGCGCTTGGAGGCGGGTCTGGGCATTGTTTCGGGGGCAGGTTTCTTGGATTTTATGACTCAGGTAGGTTTTTGGGGATGAATGGGCTTTGTATACTGAGTATATTAGATTTCTTGGGGTTTTAGGACTGTTAGCTTCTTTGGGGCATTGAGATATTAAAGATTGTTGAATTTTTCTTTTTTTTTTTTGATTTTTATAGTAGGATAGCCACGTGTTATTATATTTAGTATCAGAGATAATCACCGATCAGATTTGTTTAATAAGAAGTATCGTGTGCTGAATCTTCATTTAGATCAGAAAATCCCTGTTCCCACCTAGGATATTTCCCATTACTCCTCTCTGAAGAGGGTGGAGGTTTTCTAACCCCGTTATTATATGTCTGACACTCTGACACCCGGCCCATCTTCGGATCGGATCGGAGTACAGCCTGTCCGCCCCGGCCTGAAGTAAAACGAACTGTAAGGGGTTAGCCAAAAAGCTCGGAGACGCAGAGTCCAATAAGATCAAAGCCATTCTTTATAATTCGGCAGTTGTGGGGTACGCTTTGTTTGAAACGGCCCTCTTAGATTTGGATCTTATGATGTGATTTAAAGGCCTCTGTAGGTGACTCATACTGGTATTGAACCGGCTATGCCACGTGTTAGGATAATTGCTGACCACAACAGGACTAAGTCTCTACTAATTTGGCATGGAGTGTATCGAGAGCCATCGCAAAGATAAATAACGGAACGTTGCAGCCTAGACTCAGATTCGTCTAATCTTTGACATCGATAAGTATTGGTGTTATATCAGCAAGACTCGGGGATGTGAGCATAAGCTGCACTATGCTTTTCTCATAATGGGTGATTTGCCCCTCTTTGATCAGTTACCCAGCCTGCCACAGGTCACTGTGGGAACGGGCCTTGGTGATGACATTTGGGTCTATGCTCTACTTGTTTAAAGAATGTTGCAACACTGGAGCTCCCAGCTTCGATAACATTGATTCTGTGTTCAGGATGTTTTCTCAAAATGAACACCCATATCTCAGAGAAAAGATGCTTCAGATGTGGTAGACAATTGGCTTCACTACTAGCATATGATATCTAGGGAATCGTGATCGGGTGCAACAGTGACGTAAGCCAATCGGAGCTCCGGCAGGTACCGATAAGCCGCAGCTCGGCGTGGCTTTCCGTCCTTGGCAAGGCGCGATTGATAAGATCTGGCAGTCCTCAAAAGTCCGACCATTGCGCAACGCGATTCTCTTTCCCTTCACCTCAGTCCCAGTTCTCGTTCACGATGCAGGCTTTCATCCAGCGAGGACGTTCCTTCTTTACCCCGACTCCATCGGCGACGCCGCAGGACAGTCCTAAGGGCAGCCCCAAGGCCGATGAAGTTGTCGAAGAGTTCAAGCAGGCCTCGTCAGCCGACACGCTTTTCCCCAAGACTGACCCCTCCGTCGACGGAGAGGAATGCCTTCACGACTGTGCTTCGTGTACGGTGAAATACCCTGCCAAGTTTGATGTCGATCAGGAGGATAACATGTACGGGAATATCAATGGCTGGTCAACTCACGTGCTGGTTGCGACCGGTAAGACCGACTGGGTGAGAGACGTTGCCGATGAGGAGGGGAGCGTCATGGAGGCTATCGAGAAGGGGGGCTTAGTACCCGGCAACGGGGTTGGTTATTCTGAGCAGTGCGATCCGGGTGCATGAACTAACCAGGCTCGACTCCAGAAATTAAAACTGTCGGCCTCCAACATGCCGGTTCCCGACGAGTACCATTACCACGAGTCGGGGAAGCAGCCAACGACCGTCCTAGTCCTTCCCAGTTTTACCATCGTTGATCACGTCACACCGGCTCTAGCGCCTGATCTCATCAAATATTTTGTCAACCGCTCGCCAACGACCACCACGCCACTAGGTGCGGTGGTGGAATCGATGGAAGAGACGGAGAATGCTGAACAACAACCACCTTCGAGCGAAGACATCCAGTCGCTCACTACCCTTAAATCCCGCCCCTGCCCTCACTCCGCCGTCATTCTCCTCTGCTCGCACCGCACCCGGGACGCGCGCTGCGGCCAGTCTGCCCCGTTGCTCCGCAAGGAATTCGAGCGACACCTGCGCCATCTCGGACTCTACCGGGACTTGGACGACGAGCGCCCGGGTGGAGTTGGAATCTACTTCATCAACCACGTCGGAGGTCACAAGTACGCGGCCAATGTGATCGTCTATCGACGCCGGGACTTTGACTGGCACAAGACAGCGGGTGAGGCCGAGACAAGTGGCGAGGGCGCAGCGCAGGGTATCTGGCTTGCGCGGGTGAAGCCGCAGGACTGCGAGAATATCATCCGGTACACGGTCTTGCAGGGCAAGGTGGTGAAGCCGGGGGAGCAGCTTCGGGGTGGCTTTGATAGAGCCACGGGGCTGACTAGCTGGTAGTCTTGTCCGCCATACTCCGTATATATGCTGCGATTTGTCATTTCATTGTAGTGATAAGTTATATAGCACGACAACATAACATGAACATATTGAACTGCTGCTAAACACTCACTGGTCTCTTCGAACCACTCGACCAACTATTCACACCCGCAACTTCCCTAAAAGGCTATGCACACGGCCACCATAAGCCTTTAAGCATAACCACCACCCGTGGAAGCCCAGAGCATAAACACCATAGCTTCCAGAGAAGAGCAAAGTCAAGCGATCGAAACGAGAATACCGAACCAGTAAGTAACTGAACCCTTCGAACGTCGTCGAATACGATCTGCCTGTACCATCGCACCGGCCAACCAGATGCGTCCTCGCCAAACATTCCCCAACCGGGTTAAGATTGTCCTGTTCAGGACGAATACGAGCACAGCTGATCCGCCTCTGTATCCTGTCAGCTTGGCGGGGTAAACGGTACGGCTGGTACCGATCGCGCTTAGATGGTTCTGGTACGGAAATACGCGTCTATCTGGTATCGGTACATGACAGGTACTTGATCTATATTGGTTACTGGTATGTATGAGACGGACGCTATACATGCCCATTCAATATCGGAAACATCAGCTTGGTGACAGGTTGTTGCACAGGATGAAACTCTGTGTGACGTTATTGATTATGTGTAAATGAAGCTGCCTAGAACTGCTGAGTCCGAGTCTGCTCATCGATTACCCATGGTTGAGTGCGATGTTTAGGAGACGGTTATGTGCAGTAGGAGGCAACTGACCACAACAGCTGTTCCATGTCAGCGAGCAGAGAATGGCGCCGTCCAGCAGAAGATGGACTCTTCCACTCTTCTTTCTTTGGATCCTGTACGCCTGATCCCCGATCTCTAATGATCCTGTCGAAGCTAACCACGACCCAGCCTCATCCACACAGCAGGTCTATACCTCTTCACCAAAGGCTTCCTTCTGACACGACAGATCCTCGACTCGAAAAGCGATTGCTCTAATCCACCAGTGAATCTCTCCAGAATCTCACTCACAACAGGCACCGCCAACTCCACCTGCTGGACGACCCCCGTCTTCTCCAAAGCGATCATCCTCCTCATCGACGCCCTCCGCCACGACTTCACGACTTCACAACCCACATCCCTCAAGCCATACCACAATGCACTCACCATCCTTCACGAAGCCGCCGCTGAACGCCCTCACAATGCCCTCCTCCTTCCCTTCATCGCCGACCCCCCTACCACAACCCTCCAACGCCTGAAAGCCCTCACAACCGGCACCCTCCCCACCTTCATCGAAGCGGGGTCCAACTTCGCCGGCTCGGCAATCAAAGAAGACAACCTCATCACCCAGCTCCGCGACGCAGGAAAGACCCTCGTGCATCTCGGCGATGATACTTGGAGCAAGCTCTTCCCGGACCACTTTGATCCTCGTCTCTCGCACCCCTACGATTCGTTTCTGGTTGAGGATCTACACACCGTCGACGACGGCATATACAAACACCTTTTCCCCCTCCTCCGCAATAAGACCGAGACATGGGACGTTATCGTTGCTCATTTTCTGGGCGTCGACCATGTCGGTCATCGCTTTGGGCCGTCACATCCTGAGATGCGGGGCAAGCTGCACCAGATGGATGACATCGTGCGGGAGGCCATGAGGGAGGTGGATGACGAGACGGTGTTGATTGTGATGGGAGATCATGGCATGGATGAGAATGGGAATCATGGGGGTGAAACGAGTGATGAGGTCCGGGCTGCGTTGTGGTTGTACACCGCTAGGGAGGTATGGGGGGTTGTGTATTCTGATGCTGAGCCTATCACGGGGGTGACCAGGAGGGATACGCCGCAGGTGGATGTTGTGGCGACGTTGGCGTTGTTGATGGGCGTGCCGATTCCGTTTAATAACCTGGGACAGCCGATTGAGGAGGCTTTTGCTGGGGTCGAGGGGGGGGATTGGGCAAGGTTGGTGGAAGTGAATGCTTTGGCTGCGGCGCAGATGCAGAGATTTGCGAGGGAGTATGAGAAGTATGGGGGAGAGGGGCTGGGGTTGGTGGAGGGTGAGATCTGGAGTGAGGTTGAGGTGGATTTTGGGGATGAGGTGGCGCTGAGGGAGCTGTATGGGAGGATGAGGGAGTATCAGAGCAGGATGCTGGAGGGGTATAGAAGGATATGGGCTCAATTCAATCCGCTGAATATGGTTGAGGGAGTGGTGGTTCTGCTGCTGGGGGCTGTTGCTCTGTTGTGTTTCCAGGTCGATGCCGATTGTGCTGGGATACTGAGGATGTCTGCAGTGGTGGCTGGGATTGTGACGGGAGTTGTGGCCGGGGCTGGCCATGTTGCTTTGGCTGGCTCTTTTCGGGGTTCTGCAATTGATGGAGTGACTCTGGGTACTGCTATGGGCAGTGCTGTGCTATACATCTGGCAGGTCGATTTTCGAAAGGGTTTTCGGCTAAAGATCTGGGACTGGCAGGCAGTGATTTTCACCCTGCTTCTGTCCATCGGATTTGCCTCGAATTCTTATACCGTGTGGGAGGACCGCGTGGTTCTGGTCTTTCTGTCAACCTTTGGGCTAAGCACGTTTGGTGTATCAAGCAGGCTACGACATTCAAGAGGCATGCACGGAGCTCGTTCTCTGCTGTTTATGCTGTTGAGCCGAGTTGCCTCGCTCAGTCGAGCTTGTCGAGAAGAGCAATTACCGTTCTGCAGGACTTCGTTCTATCGCCTGGAGAACAGTGCAGTATGGCGACTGTCAATTCCCGTTATTATTGCCGTGGCCGTTCTATACACCACCAGGATGGCTCTTCAAGGCCTTGACGTTAGGAAAGTATTTTGGTTCAGGACCTGCATGCCCGCAGCACTGCTGTTCAACGCCGTCTTTTGGACCCTGGAATCTGCTAATGAGCAAGGTTGGTTGGTGAACATCTTCGCTGAAGACACATCCAAAACCGTACGAATGACTGTTGCTCGGATAGTGCTGGTTATTGTCCTCGTTGGACTGGCAACTGCTTTTACATCCACATCGGGACAGAGATCTGAAAAGCAACTCATCTTCACTACGGCAGTACTGCTTGCAAGCATCCTCGCAAGTAAACCAACGGGTGGGCTGTCCATGACGATTCTGTACTACCAACTCATCAGTCTCCGTCATCTTGTGCCCAGCAAAATCTCGATCAAACCCACTATCGCCGCCCTCCTTGGCACGTTACACTTCTTTAGCACAGGTCACAACGCCACCTTCTCGAGCATCCAGTGGAAAACAGCCTACATCCCGTTTCGAGATCCGCAGTACCCATGGTCGCCACTGCTGGTGATCGTCAACACGTTCGCCGCGCCAATCGTGGCAGCATGCGCTGTGCCTCTCCATTCGCGGGATGATCAGAGCCAAGCCCGCTTACTCGCGGTTCAGAGCACTGTGTACACCACCTGGGCCGTTTTTACAGCTCTGTGGGCGTGTATTCTCCGTCGTCATCTGATGCTATTTGCCGTATTCTGTCCGAGATTCCTTATGGCCGGCGGTCTCATGGTGATCATCGATGGTCTTGCACTGCTAAGCTCTTACTGACTACGGAGTCTGTGCTACTAGGATATAGGGCGATACGAAAAGCTCGATTGATTAATGAGAGACAATAGTTTGCGTTGACGTCAACAGAACGAGCACATAAAGTCAAATCATCCTTCGAACGGTCCCAACCACCCAATTTTCAGCCATGCAGTGACAGATCACTGGCAATAATGGGTCCAGCAAGCCTACACTATCATCAATAAGCCGCTCAAAACAAAGAGATATTCAACCTACCCGGTAGCACTTGTTACCTCCGTGATGGTGGCGGCAGTTCTACATCAATCAGTAACTCGCAACCTGACAACCTATCCATTGGAAGAAACACATACATTGATGCACTGGTCGTATCCTTTACGACAGTACTGGGTGTCGACCGGGGCGGGTTCCGCATCGGCCCCAACATCGTTGTCTGCCTCGGTAGGAGAAGCCGCGAGGGCCAGAGAGGCGAGGAGGAGGGTGAAGGGGATAGTGAAGCGCATTTTGCCTTGGAGTTCAGTTGATGCTGGATGGTGGTGATGATGATGATGCTCGATCAGAGACGAGAAGATGGCTCTATTTATGCTCCAGAATCTGGCTCATGTTGTTCATGTCCAAGGCGAGGATACATTCCGATGTGATACATGACATATGTCTGTTGAGGTTGATGGCAGGTGAGCACAGAGAAACCTGGGATGAAGCTGTTATATGGATAGACTGAGTCTGGGCCTTTCTTGTGAGAGGTTGTATTAGGGTGAAGGTAAGCTGACCTTGATCTCCTGATCCCTACACTGAACTCAATATTTTGCAACGATGCGACTATGACGAAAGACTAGCAGCACGGCACAGAGCAGGTAGTGTATAGTATACAACAGTACATCTACACATATACACACCTTCACGAGCATAGAAGTACAGAATAGCACCGTTCATTTAAGAATAGATAGATAACCCTTATCAATCACCCCGGAATCGGAGAATATAGCATCTGCCTCAGGTCACACAGCCAGGTACTGAATACGACTCTTGTGGTCATGAGGGGAAGGGGTGCATGCCATGGTAGAGGAGGGTTGTGAAACAGTAATCTTGCCGGAAGACTTTGTTGCTGCTTCTACTGCAGAGTTGGATACCACTAAAGCTATGCAGAACGAATGGTATTATGAGCTGACAAAGATTGTTGCATCTACAGACTGCACTTGTATATACTGACACTGACATGAACAAAGATTAGATAAATATGCATGATCAAAGTAAGCCTTAGGCCAATAATCAGAGGATTGATCTCATACACTTGATGTTTCAAGTCAATCCAACACATCCTACGTAACTGTCTTCTAACTGAACATGTGAACAGGCAAGTAGTACTGTAACCCAACAGACACCTAACGAAGGAACCAACCCATGAACATGAAACCATATCTAAACAGATATATATTCTAATTGGTAGATAGATTCGACCCCAGACACATGAAACACAAAACACAAACACAACAATTGCATATCCAATTCATACCACACCTACTCTATAAGTAGTAATGACTCACCTCACTTAAATCCTACGAATAACTCTCTGATATATATATAAGAGTGGCTATTGATATTACTCTCTCACTTGCGCGCTTACTCGTTCACCTGCCTAGTACTTAGTAACTCAATACCTCCATACCCACGAATACAAAGCACTTAACCCAATTAGGTTTACACTTCGTAGAATTCATCCTTTCATCCTTTCCATCCATCTATCCATCAGCCTGGTATTCTTTTATCCATAGTACATAATCCTTAGTACTCCGTACACAAACCCCCAGAATCATAAGTTAAGTAATTATGCAAGGTACTTTTGTTCCCACCACCACCATCACCACCCACTACTTATCTATATTTATAATCGATGATAAACCAAGCTCAGCTGATAACCACACATACGTGGACATAATCTATATCCTTGTTCATCCATCGAAATAATATGGTCTAAATTCTTCAGTCCGGGATAGATAGAGAGAGCAGGGATAGATAGAGAGAGCAGGGATAGATAGAGAGAGCAGGGATAGGTAGTGAGGGGGTGGTGATTAGGCAAACATCTATCCAGAGTGTTGGGTCGATGTCTCATTTTTGGGATTGTCATGCATGGATGGGGAAGTGGTAGTAGTAGTACTGTCTAGTACTTTTGCCGCTGGCTGGCCTGGGGTATACTGTATTTGTGTATGTGCATATTATGTGTATAACACACTCTCTGTACCACATATACCTATTACCTAGACTATGTGTGTTACTGCATAACCACTACCTATCCTTCCATCACATATCATACTTGTACCTAGGCTAGGTTATGGGGTTATATCAACTCCTACCCAACACTCATACCATCCATACATCCCTTCTCAATAAACAACCCAACTAAGAGCTCATGTTTGATACACACACGGCAGAGGATAACCATCTCCGATATTGTACTATATTCCAATGGGACGGGATGAAAAGGCATGGTGGCACCACCCACATAAGCAATCAAGCCACCAGCCACCTACAACCCGACAATTGCCCGATATTGGCTGATGAGCTAGCTGCAAAGAGGAGGGAATTGTCACATTTACATACCTCCTCTTAACTATCTGTGAAATTGTTTGATATATTTCTCTTTCTTATTATTGTCATGTTATGTAGATTGTTTGGTAGGCTGTATTTTAGTTGTATGGAGATTGTATGGTAATGATGTAATGAAATGGTAATGTATTTATGTCATCCCGTACGGGAGTATAGTATATGCCAAGGTATTAATCATGTGCTATGTATTATGTATCATGTATAATGTATCTCCGTGCAAGCGAACAACAACAACCACCAAATCAGTCTAGTTCCTTTAGTAGTCTCTACTCCGTACGGAGTAAGTAGATCGATATCAAATCCTATCCGAACCCGACCACGACGATCGAATAACCCATCCAGCCATCCAACCATTCATCCCGATGGATGTCAGACTCAACTCACCTCACAGATTAGAATTGTGGAGCGATGAGATGCTCCATAATCCATCATCCGGAATAGATACCTACCTAGTCCCCAATCCCGCTGTCATCCGTAAGTACCTATGTTCTGTAGTTACTATTATTCTAGGTGCATCCATCCATCCACATGAGATCCATCCAACAAGTAAAAGGCAACTTTCCCTCCCCGCATCGCCATCCTTTCGAGAAATCCTTCTCCTACTCCTTTTCCCCACAGCCATCATTCTAGACCTCCCAGCCCACGAGATTCATCATCTCACTCAAATGACACACGCCAACCCAACCGAACCGAACTGACCTACAGGGCTAGGAGTACACTTCACTTCATTTCCCGTCTACGTCGATCCTACTCATCCATCCATGTCAGACGGGGCAGTCAGTCAGTCGGTGCCTCGCCCAGATACACCATCGAATTTACACTAACCCTCCCTCACTCCACTCCACTCCCTAGAGTAAACAGTATGTCAGACACGCCGGCTACAAACTAAATGCTAGTTAGCCTCCTCCGCTTCAATCCACACTGACTAACTAACCAACTAACTAACTTAGTACTACCTATGTAGGCAGGTAAGTACTAGTACGAAGCACCAAAATCAAGGTTTTTTTTTTTTTTTCTCATCGCCCCCCTTTTAGCATCCGGATACTTTCTCCCTAGGGATATGATTGACTCTTCAGACGGGTCGGAGACGTCCGTCCGGTTCTCTCCGTCCGTTCGTTTCCTTATAGAAACTAACCTAGGCTAGAACTACTAGTGATCAACCCGATCGGATCCGTTTCCACTCATCTATCTAAGACTAGATAGGTAGTCCGCGAGCTGGTGAGGTCCAGAACCGACTCTCGCTTGCTGGTCTGGTCTGGTGGGCGGGTTAATGTCAATGACAGCGCCAAATGTCTTCGGCTTGGCTTCTGGCCGGACGTATGCATGTGCAGTCGATCGGAGGGGAGGCCCTCGAATCGAGGCCCTACGGAGCGAGCACACAACACTAGATCGGGATGGGAATTGGGATGGATGGATAGGTGGTGTCGGCTCATCGCGCAGTCAAACTTCCCTGTCTAGTGTCTAGTTTCACCGGCGGCTAGTCGATCAGGCGCTACGACTGTCGTAGGGTATCTAGCTCCTGCTCCGACCCAGATAGACTTCCAAGCCATGAGTGGCTTTACTCCTTAAGTACACGCGCCAGCCCGAGTGGAGCCCTTCCCTTTCCCCCCCCCAACCGTTTCAGCCGTCGATCCTTGGCTGACGTTGGTCGGACACGGTAGGGTCCTCCTGACAGGCCGCATCTCGCGACAATGAGCCGATAACAATGGCCCCCCCGGAGAGCCAAGCACGGCTTGCTTTCTCTGTCGGGTGCGGATCGACCCCTACATCGCGCGCCGCCGGCGTCACAGGAACACGGCACTCCGGAGAGGGGGTTGACCATTATTAGAAAGCTTCGGAAAATAAGTACATTCATCCATGATCGATATACGTGGTGGTCAAATCAGGTGCCTGCACGCGTAGGCTATGCGCATAAACAACATATACTGCATCATTTGCCAAGGTATCAAAAAAATAGGACAGTCGCCTCTTCGCAGCCTTTTGACAAGGGGATCAACTTAACCAAATCAACAGTCCGCAGCAAATAGCACAAATGGCGCAGTGCCAGAGATTGAGGAAGAAAGAGAATGTCAGCGGGTTAGGCGTCTGACCAAATTAGGACTCGTAAATGACAGTCATGATAGGGCATCACACAAAATACACATGCATTGTAACTCCAAGTCTGAAACAATCGCTGTCGAATCATGCGGGAAAACAACCGTCGCCGGCTCCTTAACCAACCCCGAGGAACCCCCAGTCCGTTCCCTCGGGCTGGTTCAGGATTCGGGCCGTCGGTGGCTTGTATTCACTCTGAGTATTAGTGACGAGGAGCGGGGGCCCCTCCGCCGTTGGAAGGCTGTGGTAGGGTGGCTGGAACTCCGGCGGTAAATATCCCTGACGGCCAGGATCATACCGCTGCTGTTGAACCAGCTGCAGGTAGTGTTGCTGAGCGCGCTGTACGTCGACCGGGGATGTGACCGGGACGTGCTGGGCCACAATCGGAGGCGGTTCTTGTACGGGTACCGACGTTATGTGCAGGCTCTGGTGAGGATAAAACTCATGAGTTGGTGTCGGGGTATGAGGATAGTAGGGTTGCTGGGCTAAAAGGTACTGTTCATTCGGAACGGGAACGCCGACTTGCCCTTGATACGAGTGTTCCGAAATCGCATCTTCTGAGGGCAGTCGAGTCATAGATCCTGGGGGGTGGGAGCGGTGTTGATGTTTGGTCAACGTGGTTTTGCGGCAGAAGCTTGAAGATGGTTAGAACGTCATCCGCATCCAAGATCGGGCCAATCCTTACGCTCGTTCGCACGTTGGCTCTTGACAGATATAGGGCCGCTTGCCCGTGTGGATCCTCCGATGACGGGCGAGACTCGATGACTGTAGTGGTCAGCATTGATAAGATATGGGGACGCGAGGCGGAGCATACATCCGAAAAGGCCTTGTGGCATCCTCGGTGGTCACAGACATGAGGCTTCTCTCCTGTGTGTGTCCGCGAATGCACGGTCAATGCACTGCGCTGGATGAAGCTCTTATTACAGTCCTTGACTGTGCAGTGATACGGTCGCTCGTTGGTGTGTATCCGGTAGTGCCTGCACAGGTCTGATTTGCGGTTGAAGGACTGTCACTGTCAGAATCTATAACGGTCTGGGAAGAAAACGATCCAATAGCTGCCAGAGAAAAAGAAAGGGACTCTGGGACGAGCATACCTTGTTACAATGCTCCCAAGTGCAGTTGAAATCGCGTCCACCGCCAGGTGCCATGGCTACGGATTGGAAGCGCAGAAGCGAGAGCTGTTGGCGAGGTGAGCGCAAGAAAAGGATAGCGGGGAGTGGACCGAAGGCTGAATCTCAGGGAAAAAGAAAAACAAAAAAGAAAAACAAAAAAGAAAAGAGTAAAAAGAAAAAGGGCAAATCCAGAACGAGGAGCAGGAGCAGGAACAGGAGCAGGAGCAGGAGCAGCAGCAGCAGCAGCAGCAGCAGAAGTAGAAGGGAACGGGCCAACAATATGAGGGAGGGTACCAGCAACGGCGATGGGGAACCAACGGCTCGGAGTATGGCCAACAGCTGGGATTGCGGAGCGAAAATAGGGGAGAGGGAGAGAGGGGAAAAGAAAGACGAGGGAAGGAGGTCTGGACAAGCGGAGGGAACAGGAATGTCACTGCAAATTAAGTCCGACGGCATGCAGCCTCGACAGTAATCACTGGAAGGTCTGGACAGGCAGGTCGATTGGCAGCCAAGTCGCAGGCCGAATGATGGATCAAATCAAATGGAAAATGGGGTGAGGCTGGCCTTTGGGGGAAGCAGTCCAGAATAGCCGACAGGGAGATAGTCCAGACGTACGTACCTAATAATAAAAATAAAGCAACGCGGGATAATAGGGTCCCCAAAATAATAATAATAATAATAATACTGATCGTAAATAGCAAATCGTACTAACAAGGGCGTGAGTGGAAGAAGTAGAATCGATCGCGACAACGATGCGACTACTATCCTATCTCAGATGTAGTTCAACAAAGCTGCTGCTCGGCCCGGGCGAGGTTGCAACTCTGTGATACAGCCACTTTGGCTGCGGGTCTTAATCGGTTCTCCCCCAGGTACAGCCAGAACCAGTCAAGGGGAGGGGGGGGGGAAGAGTGGGTAGGAAAGTGGGTGAGTGGGTGAGTGGGTGAGAAGAATTCACAGAGAAGAAAGGAAGAAAATCGCTGGGGTGGAAGGAAAAGAAATACTCGACGCGAAACCGAGGAGGATGAGAAAAGGAAAAGAGCTAGCTGAATGGTTGGCAGAAGCTCTGCGTCCGTTTTTATTATTTTCCCTCGTTTTGCCTCTCCGGCTCTCGTGAGCAGGCCGTGTATTTTTTATAACACCGCATCTCGCTGGGCCTTTTCTACCTAGCAGGTACTTAGCAGCTACTAAGCTCCCTCACTACTGTCGCTGGTAATAATGATAAATTGGATCAGACAAGAGCCAGTGGAGCTCGCCTTTGCCCGTAACCCTCCTGGGCTAGCTTGCACTTGGCCACTTCTCTGGTACCCTGACTAGATACTAACTTGCTCCATCTATCTAGTCCTCCAGAAGTAGTTGATACCCCTACCCCGGAAAGATCGGGATATACTAGTAGGCGTCGGTGGACAAGCAGAGACATTCATCTAGACCCGAATTAAAATTATTAACAGCTGGAGGACAAAAGAAAAGAATGAAACCCCCTCCGACCAGGTCGTAGAGGAGGGGGGAAGAAATTAAACCAACGTTTTTAATTTTATTCTTATTTTTATTTTTTTGGTTTTGATTTTATTTTACACCCTCGTTACTGGATGAACATGGGTGACATGTTTTCCCCTGGAGAGGGTCAGGAGGAAGAAAACCGGTATCAAACGAGAGTACCCAAGTACTAGGTACATCCGGGCACAAAGCAGCAGCAGCGGCACTTAATTTAGGAATCCCCCTAAACTGACAGGCTAGGGCATCTGGGTCCCGCTGTCGATGGATGCGATGTCCTGGGGGAGAAAAGAAGTTGGGACTAGCAACCCCAGGACAAAGTTACCCAAGACCAAGGTTTCCCTTCCTACTGAACCGTCTTCCGGTCAAGAAAGGCTTGGGGAGAGGGGAACACCAGTCTCCACCCTGTCCGCCTGTGCCTTAGAACGCTCAAAGGCTAGGATATAGGCTCGGCCAATCATCGGAAACCGAGGAAGAGCCTGGCCTTGGAAGAAATCCGCTAGTCTGGACCGGGGCTAGTTGCCTGCATCGTGGATGCAAACCTCAGTCGGACCGCTGTATCGTTGACCCGTATCTGGTATGTACTGGCCTTCCTCTCGCGGGTCAAAATTACCGACAGGTACCTCGCCCCGTACGTACCTGGTACCCATCTCATAGGATGAAATATGGAAATGGGAGCGAACTAGAACTGGAACTGGAACTGAAGCTGAAGCTGAAGTAGGTGGCCGTTTCCTTGTCCTAGACGGTGGTCGGCCATAACATTTCGAATACAACCACGCCTGGAGACAATGGCACCGCATCAATTCAAAGGAGTCAGAGCTGAGGCGGATCACAGCAGGGTCACGCCAATACAACAAGCAGTGTGTCTACGTACGGGATCTTCTGTACGACCTGATGGACTAACCGATGATGACTTCTACTTACTATCTCTTCCTTCTACCCAAGTTAGTAGTATACGGATTACTCTGACTATGTACATTGTTTTTCTGCCAAGAGGCTGCGTATTTCCCGCCAATCCTAGTACCAACTGGGCAGGAGTCTGGCTCTCCAAACAGCGGGCGCTGGAATTAAGTTCCTGACAGCTTCGCGTCAGCTCTCTGCAACAGAATCTCAGACGGCGAGGAACGAACCGGCGTGAAAGCCAAAGGAGACAAAGAACAATGTCAGGCCGGCCGAACAGGCAGCACACACCGGAAATTATCAGCAAGGGATAGCCGCGATGCAACAGCCTGAAGGGTGGCTTTTCCTTTTCTGGCGCGAGCACGGATCATGCTGAAACTGGCCCAGAAGCAAGCATCCCTCCTCCTTCTCTTCCTTCTCCTCCTTCTCCTCCTCCACCTCCACCTCCCCCAGGGTCTTCTTAGTTCTCCCATCTGCCTCACTCCGAACATCTACCGTCCTACGCTCACCTTGCCTATCTAGGCAGTAGGTCTATCACAGTCCCCATGATACTTCCCCCCGCTGTCATTGGACGTACTTCTGGCTATCTCCTTAGGGGAAACAATGAGTACGACGCCACGGTATGCTGGGTGGCCATAAGTGGCTCTGGGCTGCGGCTATTCTACCGATTCGATTGCTGGATGACAGTCGGACGTAAACTCAAATGGACCGGTCTGTCAAGCCTCTATCAGTGTCCAAATTATACTGGTGCCTTCGGGCTCTGCTCTCCCCACGTGGCGGCTACAAGAAGCCATCTGGGTCGCAGTATTATTGCTCCATCAGTCATGGGTCCGAGGAGGGACCAGCGGGATTCAGTCGTCATCCCGTCCCCCCCTCCTTCCGCCCGTCCACCGCGACTAATTATTAATATGATACGATGATAATCATGAGCTTCGGGGCCAATTAAGCTCATGGCGATCAGTTGGCTGCCCTGAGGCTGGAGCTATGGTAATGGTGTCGATGCAGTCGTGACTTGTCCAGTCCTTAGTCCTTACAGCAAGTCAACCGACAATCCGTAACTGACAATTGACACCCACCTTATCGTGGTTGGTTGCGACGCATGCTCGCGAGGTCGGAATCCCTTCCTTGGATATCGTCAGGAGCCCACATGGCGAGATCTGCCGTTTACGTTATCTAGGATCACGGACTGCCGTGAGGCTTTGAATCCGAAGCCGACTAGCAACAGTGGATCTCAATAGTAGCAGCGGGTCGAACCCATGGAACCACCAGACAAACACAATCGCCGCCCGCTTTTATCAGTAAATGCGGTCCAATGCGCTTAGACTTTGGCTATTCATGGTTTGGACCCTGTCAACCAGAGATCCATCGCGCTTGAAGAACGGCTCCGTACACAAAGATAGCAATTAACAGCTGGTAGTATAGCACGCAAGAACTCGATAGATCATCGTCTGCAGACGATAAAGTTTCGTCTGCCTTCGGTGGGCTTTGTTCTGCCAGGCAACTTTGCAATTCCTGGTGCTTTCGGGCTTTGCAACACCGGGATTGCCGATGGCAATGGAGCTTATACCACGCTTGGCTATTGAACCACCCTGAGTCAGGCACAATAGCTCCAAGTCTTGACGCCGCCGTGGACAGCCACGCCAAGGCCATCATTTCTAATTGGAATGGACTACCAAGCCCTGGCTATCCACCAGCGTGTGAGGGCGTCGGCTTTGACTGGTAGAAATCGCTCCCGTCACGTCTGGCTCGTATTGCTTTTTCTCGGCCGGCACTGCTTGGTCTTAGTTGACACCCGTAGTGGCGCAATGGGCTTATCCTAAGTCCTAACAGTCGCGCCGGCGATAACTATATTGAACGCGAGTCATCTGGACCTGAGGCCACCCATCAGCAATGACTTGGTCGTCAGCACACAGGGGCAGGCAGGGTACGTGGAAGCGCGTTTCGCAGTCCGTCCCCCGCCCCAGCAGGGATCCATGCTAACCGATCCTGTTCTGGTGTCGTGAGCCCAAGCCGAGCCTGAGGGGGAATTGATCCCGTTATCATCCGATCGTCCTGGACGCGAGATGATGAGGATGATGCCGTTGGAGCCTTGGGAGGACCATGGGGTGGAAGAAAATCATGGGGCAGAGGGAGCGATACGGATTACCTGGTAATCTACCCACCCAGACATGTACCGGGTACTTACGCAGCACCACGCAACGGACAGGGAGGCCCTGGGTTAGTGACTGTATCCCCAAATGAGCCATAGGGAGATGAGGAACTAGTGGCCGCCCCCATATTTCTGGCAGACGGAGTACGGAGTACAGGAAGCAGGGTTATCTACTATCTCCTATCTAGTCTGGTGCCCACCGTACATGGCAGCTCTCTAGTGTGGCCGGCGCCCAGAACCTTCCTGGCCGAACCCGTCAATGAAAGCGCGACGGTGACAGTTGGGCGCATCACTGGCAATGCAGGAGTGACGCCAGGGCTTGTACCGTGCTGGATGTATGTCGCCGATCCTCAGGGCCCAATAAGTAGAGGGCTAATGGCGTGACTTTTCATGTGGTCAATAATGGCAGACGGGATGGACTACTCTAGCACCCTGACTGCGGAGATTGGGATGGAAGGGACGAGGAGCACAAGACAAATCGGGGAGGAAGAGCGATGCAAGACAGGGCGAAACAAAATAAAGAAAAGCAACCAGTATGAGATTGCGATACCTGTGATTCGACTTTCATCCACTCTCCTGCTCCGCTTTTGGATCTACCCGGCCAACTGGCGTGACAGCTAATGAACGAACGGGAAATGAGGGGAAAAACATCCGAGATGGAGAGAGTGGGGGGAGCATTCGTGCCATACGAACCGGCCGTGCATGGGGTATCTGTCAATCCTGGATAGACAGGTCTGGTCGATGACGTCGGCCAGCGTACAGCTGGCCGTTAACCTGAGACGGTCGCTCCGTTAGCACTGGGGAGAGAGTCCCAGGCACCTGGTCGGTGGTTCATCCGCCGCAGTCCCCGTCGCAGGCCGGCGGCATCATGTGTCTGTCTCACTCTCCCACTTGCTGAGCGGAGTGGGCGATGAACCCCCCGGTCGCAATTGACGTAACGCAAGCCAGGACCGACCTAATCGGACTGTGAGAGAGGCACATGGTTAGCCGAGCTCGGCCGTAATTAGATGGTTTCTGATTCCACCAGGGGTTGCGATATGCGAGCTGTGATTCGTGATTCGCGATTCGCGATCCGTAAGCTGTATGAGGAGGGGAGTGCGAGGAGGATGAGGAGGTGGTGGGGGGCCTTTAGGAATTCATGCATGGCCACGCCAGACTAGAGACTAGAGACTAGTAGAGAGAGAGATAGCGGGAGGAAGAAACGAAATGAATCAGGGAATCTTACAGGCCAGTTAGTTCATCCTTCCTGAGGCTGGACTGGCTCACAGTCTCACTAGTGACTGGGCCTGGTCGCGCAATTTGTCCAAGGGAATAATTTCCTCCCCCCAGAGCTAACTAAAGTCGCTAGGGACGGAGGGGACGAGAGTTTCCTGATCCTTGACCCGACGGTTGTCAGATGGTTTGAAGGGAGGGAGGGTCAAGAGAGGGAAATAGGATCCTCCAGCCTTGACTCGTTGTTATCAGCACATGCCAGGATCAATTGGTTGCCTTCGCCAGTCGGCCATCCAATACCCCGCATTCTGGAGCAGATGGATTGTCGCTGCCAGCACGGCTTGTCGGTGGTTGTCACTTGTCACTTGTCACACGCAGTCGGAGTAGTGTCGCCCCGACACAAGCAAAGCAAAGCAAAGAAACGAGGGAAACGACCATGAATGACGATGACGCCGATTCTCCCATTGTCAACTCTCTCACTCTCAACTACTAGCTCACTCACTAACGCTCTCACCCACTCACCGGTCGGTCATTGCTGCCCATCAGCCACCCCCCTCTCCTCCGGCCAAGGAAATCACCCATCCTCTGCGTCTCATGATGGACCGTCACCGCCGCCGTTATCATTGGGAGGGGCGTGAATAATGACGCGCAGCCGCAGCAGCAGCAGCAGTAGAGGTTGGGCGCTAATCCGGCCGGGTGGATGTCGGAAAGAAGTTCCAGTACTCCCATCCAGGAGCTTCGATTGCCAATTCTTTTGTGTCGCGCCGGTGTTTTGGCGGACCATCGCGCATTCTCCGCTACCCCATCTGAGCGACCTACTAGTAGCCACCACTAAAGGCACTAACAGCCAGTTAACCACTTTCGACTTAAGCATGATGGGAAACGGGGCTACGCGAGGTTGCACCAGAGCATCCACCAAGCTCCCTCCGAGGCGCTGGCTGCTGCTCCCTGACGATGCTAGACATACATGCGTTCGGCACATCGGACGATAGGCCTCCAGTCTCCAGAAAATCTCCGATTTGCATGCTCCATGAAGCGCCAGGCCAACGCAAGCTATGGCCACGCACGCCTCTGGCTCAAACGGCTGCTCTCGGCCCGGCTCATGGAGGGGGATTAATTTCAGTCGCGACATTTGACAAGCGAATCGCAACGAGAGTTGCCACGGGCGCAATTGATGATTGCACGGCGGCCAGGATAGCCTTATGGGCAGCCAAGAGCGGGCGTCGATTCGATCAGCCTGCTCACCCTCCTTCTCTCCCCCTCCAGAGCATCACTAGTAAGTAGTTAGCATCCTGGCCCGAAAAGAGAGGTCAGTCGTAAGCTGGCAATCTCCCAATTGTCGGTGAGTGCTCATCACTGGCCCGTCCCCTTCCTTTCCTCCTTCCTGGAGGTGTTTGGGATCCATTCCATCCCCTTCAGCGTCCCGTTAGCAAGCGCCAGGTAAGCGTGGGATTCTAGGCCCCCCTTGCAGGCCCCGGCTTCGAGACGGTCTGGAATAGGTTATTGCGGATGTCGCCATGGATGGAGGGCGCGCGCAGGAGGGATTCTGATCAATCGGCCACTCCCTCGGTGCTACTGCATCGGTTCGCCTGCAGTGATCGCGTCGCCATCAGATTAGCCCTCGACGATGGTCGTCCTCTTGCTTATTCCGGCATCTCCTCCTATCGGGACGCCAAACTGATTGGCCGCTGGGCCTGGTATAAACTACCGAGGCCCGTATACGATCTGATTGATCTTTCCCCGAACTTTAATACCAGACAGCGTCGGGGTGGCTGTGTCGCATCCTGGCCCTCGTTTCCACCTTGACAGGCTGGGCGCGCCATGTGAGCTCGTCCAGAACCCGGTCGAATGTCGATAGATCGCTGCTGTTTGCCAACTGGTGCTGACGGCTGACCAGCCCAGGGATTGGCATTTGTCAACTTGTCGGCTTGTTCCTTCGACTCGACGCCTCGCCTACCAGATTGGGACGTGATGATGGTGGCGTTTTCCGTCCTCGCAGAATCGGTCTGGGTTGCCTTTTGGATGGTTCTGGATTGAGGCCGCATTCTTCTGCGCAAACATGAATTCAGCTCCACTCACAACTATACTAAGGAGCACTGCGGAGTTGGGACGAATATAGACCGCAAGTATAGCTCTACATTATTGCCCGATTTCGAATCATCGCTCTCCCTATACTTTACCATCAAAATTCCCCTATGAAGTATTCTCGCCTCCTTTCCATCAATCCGCCACAGAGCCTCACCATCCGCTCCGCTGCACCCCAAACCCAACCCAGGAACCTTCACATTCCCCCCCTATTCCATGCATCCTTTCCTGCAACATGACGGCCACACATAATAAAAGGACGACACACACACGCAGCCCGAAAACTTTACTCACGCGTCACCCACTATCTATCTGCTTCCTTTTTTTCTCGCCTCCGCTCTTTAGACTTTGACACTTGGGTGCATCTAGCCAGCCAGCCGACTATAACCGTCGGCAGTCGCCACAGATAATCATCTCCCCGTAAGACCAGCTGTCACTTCTTTATCCACCTCGTTGGATAGGTTTGGGATATTTTGAGATGGGGGTGAGCCGCATGATGGTTTGATATATCAGGTGAAGGGAGTACGAGGTGGTGGGGAGTTAACTGGGTCGTGGTTGGTGGGCGGGATGGATTGGGTTTGGATTTGAACTGTGGTGAGAGAAGGATATAGGTGGGTAGGATGAGCAGGTATCTGGGAGGTTACTTGCTGGTAGATGGAAATGTCGACGAGGTTGGAATGTTGGGATGTTTTGGTAGGGATGGTGGCTGTAGGGGTAAGACGTAGGCACATGCTACAATGTACGAGACATTAGGTGTTGAAGATATAGAATCTGTATCAGTTATACTAACAAGGCACTACTACATGACTTGCAACCCGAGTCCCGTTTTTTCCCTCCTATATGAAGAAAGAAACCGCGATAGTCGTGTATCCTGATCAAAACCGCACCATAATGAAGCTATTCAGATCTATACGGGTACTTAGTGCTGACTACCCCCCTGCCCCTTAAGTAATCTTCAAGGTAAGTACGACCATGTCTTGGTCAAACACAAAAGCAAACTCAACATCTACATTTAACAGACATTCCATTTCTCCCATCCCACAAAGACACAATGAATACCACCTATCAACACCAAGATCAGTGCCTGGATTCCATCCCAGTCACATGATCCCACTGATAGATGGCGCCTTATGTAATCACCCCTTATCGGACAGTTATACAAATCCAGCCATTCTTCAGCTTCAAAATCCCATTCAATCCCACCACAACCGGACAATTGGACCCTCATCATGGCCGATACCACGCAGGACAACCCGCAAAATGATTTCTACGTCCTGGTCACAGGCGCAAACAGGTACTTGCAATTCCCCGTCCCTACATCACAACCACCACCACAACCACCACGGCCACCATCCCAAACACCCAACAAACTAACCACTCCAACCCAGCGGCGTCGGCTTCGACATCTGCAAACGCCTCATACTCGACTTCCCACTCACCCACCCGGCAACCCACCACCTAACCATAATTTTCACCACCCGCAGCTCCCAAAAAGCCACCGACACCCTACGCCGCCTACAAACCCACCTCCCCCCATCCTCCTCCAACACCACCACCACCAAATCCACCAGCCAAATAACCCTCCACCCGGAAACCGTCGACCTCTCCAACCTCCTCTCCGTCCGCGCCCTCTCCCACCGCCTCACAACCACCCTCCCCCACCTCGACAGCATAATCCTCAACGCCGGCATCGGCGGCTGGACCGGCATAAACTGGCCGTCCGCCATCTTCGGCGTTCTCACTGACCTCGTCCACCAAGTAACATGGTTCACACACAAAGTCGCCCCCACCGGAATGGTCACATCCCCGCAGACCACATCCACGAATCCCGAACCCCGTCTGGGGGCGATTTTCTGTGCCAATGTGTTCGGACACTACATGCTTTCCCATAATCTCATGCCCCTATTGCATAGATCTACCCAACCGGGGAGGGTCATCTGGATGTCTAGTCTCGAGGCCACGATCCAGCATTTCAATGTGGAGGATATGCAAGGTCTGAGGACGAATGTGCCTTATGAGTCGTCGAAAACGCTCACGGATATTTTGGCCCTCACGGCGGATTTACCATCTACGAGTCCTTGGGTTGAGGGGTTTTATTCTTGCTCTGCCGCCTCGGGTTCTACTGATTCCGATACGGGTACGCGGGAAGTTAAGGAGACAGGGGCGCCGAAGACGTACCTCGCTCACCCCGGGATCTGCGGAACGGGGATCCTGCCTCTTGCGCTGCCGCTTTTCTGGGCTATGATTGCGGCGTTTTGGTTGGCGAGGATGTTGGGATCGCCGTGGCATACGCTGTCGACGTATGCGGGGGCGAGTGCGCCGGTGTGGTTGGCTGTGTCGGGGCAGAAGGAGCTGGATGAGGCGGAGGAGAAGTATCGGGGTCATGGTGGGGGGAGGGTGAAGTGGGGGTCGTCGTGTGATCGGATGGGAAGGGATCGGGTGGTTTCGACGGAGGTGGAGGGATGGGGTCATGGGGGGTGGTTGGGGGGGCGGTGGTGGAGGAGGATCGATTGAGGAGGAGGAAGCGTGGGATGAGGGATTTGACGGCGGAGGAGAAGATGGAGTTTGAGGAGTTGGGGAGGAAGTGTTGGAGGCAGATGGAGGAGTTGAGGGTGCAGTGGGAGGAGATTTTGGAGAGGGAGGAGAGGGAGAAGCGGGTTAATGTTTGAGTGTATGATTATGAGGGTGCTGGGGATTGCATAGATGTAGCATATACGGGGATATAATTTAGATATAGATAATGTGTAAGATTTATTGTATTCTTTTTCTGTCTGCCTCCCGTATTTACATTCCTAACCCATGTCCACATACGTCATTAAAATCAGATAGAGTATTAGTCCATGTGCTCACCATCTCCGGGGAAACAAGATGTAGGAAAAGAAAAAGCCTCGCGACAAAATGACGAGTACGTCGAAAAAAAAACGGTGCACAAGAAATGGTAGTAAAGATCAAACGACTGGTCGGCAACAACTCAGCACGGAAGGATTATGAGGGTTAAGGTAACCCGAATCAGACACGCTTCTACCATCAAGGCCTCTAGCATGCGGACACGGACGAGCACAAGACAAAAGTAAGGATGGGTGCGAGAAGGGAGATGTTCGGAGGGGAGACCGCAACGTATCCAAGCACAGTCCCGTGTTCGTGTCCAGAACCCTGGGGGTTCTCTGCTCGAAAGCAACAAGGACCATCAACTCCGGTTTCTATGCATCTGCGCGGTTTCGAGGTATAGGTGGTTTATATCGAGGTGTAAGGGCATGTCGACGTGAGGGGATTACATGATGATAGCAGGAACTAGATAATAATTAGCGATATTCTCAGGGAGATTTGAGCGCATCAACTCACCATCAACGTTCTGCTTGATGCTCTTGTGAGGCAAGATCGAACCACCGTTAACATAGACTTCGTCGGCAATGGTGACATCGTCACCTAACACCGTAACGTTCTCCAAACGAGCCCAGCGGCCCACAGAGCTGTTCCATCCAACGATGGTCGACTTGACCCACGCGTGGTCCTTGACCTTGCTGTTCTCCATCAGGACACAGCGCTGCAGACGGACACCATCTCCAACCACCACGTTGGGTCCGATCACGACATTGGGGCCAATGCGGCAGTTCTTGCCAATCTTGGCCGAGGGGTCGACCATGACATTTCCACCGTACACGTAAGGCTCGCTGTTGGGGGCGAGTAGCTTCGAGTTGCGCTTGGCGAGAGAGGTGAGATAGAGACAGGTACCGCTCAGGAAATCCTTGGGCTGACCAACGTCCATCCAGAAGCCCTCCAGGTCGAAGGAGTGCAGCTGGCCGTCCTTGCAGATGGCGGGGAAAGTCTCCTGCTCGATGGAGGTGGGGCGCAGCTCGATCCGGTTCAACACGCTGGGGTTCAGGATGTAGATACCCGCGTTGATACGGTTGCCAACAAACTCGACGGGCTTCTCAACGAAGCGGTCGATGCGTGACGGGTGGTTGGGCTTGTGGACTACAACACCGTACTTGGAGGGCTCGTCGACCTTGGTGACCACAATGGTACCCTCGCTACCGTGGCTCTTGTGGAACTCGGCCAGCTCCTTAAAGGGGTAGTCGCAGATGATGTCGGAGTTCAGAACGAAAAACGGGGTGTCGTCCTTGCCCAGAATCTTCTCCGCCAGCTTCAGAGGACCAGCCGTGCCGAGGGGTTCGGATTCAACGGAGAATTCGATTCTCACATTGTAGATCTCTTCGTACTATGAGTGGGGCGATGGTGAGCATTCGCCTAGACAGGGTGCAGCTAGGGCAATTGTACCTTCTTCAGGGTCGAGACCATCACATCCGGGCGGTAGTTGACGGCCAGAACAATATCTGTGACACCAGCAGCAGCCAAGCTCTCGACCTGGTGCAAGATCATGGGCCGGTTGGCGAATTCGACCAAAGGCTTAGGGAGGGTCAAGGTCTAAAAGACATTGCAACGATTAGCTTGAGCTTCCCACGATCTGATCGGAATCGACTGGTATGTTCGACGTCACGATCGTCGGCGGGGAGGGGGTTCACTCACCAAAGGACGCAGACGGGTACCGAAACCGCCAACGAGAATGAGGGCTGTCACCGGTCAGCTAGATGGAAAGGAGGAAGAACTAGGACAGACTCGCACATACCCTTCATGGTTGCTGTGAGGTTGGATTAATTAAGGGTAGCGATCGGGAGGGGAGGCTTGCTCCAAACGAGTGACGGGAGCAAGAGATGGCCAGGTGGAACAAAAGCCCGCAGAGGGGATGGTGGAGAGAATGTATAGAAGATGGAGAAGATCCAACGATCCAAAGGGGATGTTGGAGAGATTAGATTGATCGATAGGATGGATTGATTGGGATGGTCTCAGACGAGGAGAGGAGAAAGGAAAGGAGGAAAATGACGGTAGGATTTAATTATTATAAGAGAGAGTGAGAGAGTGAGAGAGTAGCGAGTAGGCAGAGGCAGGCAGAGGCAGAAAGAGGAGAGAGGAGACCACCTGGCGTTGCGATTGATTCGGGGAGAGCGGGCCGTAATGGCTGTGTATGTAGGGGCCGGTAATGATGCCCGCCCATACGTAGCTACGAGAAGGGAGGTTGAATCTCCAAAGGACCCCCCCCCTTAACGTTGCGAGGGCCGTGACAGCCTTGTGAGGGTCAAGGAGGAGCAGCAGGAGATGGAGGGACCACCAGGAACACCGGGCCAGGACCACTCAGCATCGCCGATGGGGGGAGATGCACGTTTGCGGCCGCGCCACAGCTGGAAATTCTCTGCCGGTAAGGGAATAGTTCGTATCGTACGGCCTAGAACCAGCTAATCACTACGGCGGGATCAGGTGCACCGTGGGGCAACACCCCTGAATTACAGGCCCATAATGTAGTCTTCATCTTAATTACAGTGCGTTGCTGCCAGAATTCTTGGGCCTGGGAGGGAGGGAGATTATAAGGATGTGCACATGTGCGCAAGTGCACAGCAGAGTACTTCCAAGCATCTTAGATATAAACCCTTATTGTCGAGACTGCAGAAAATAATGCAGAACATCCATCTTCAAAAGTACTACCCCCCGTCACAACCGGCAGAGATCCAATAGGAGGTTGGCCTCATACTTGGCCACCGATGGCGTTCAACTGTCGGGTTGCATCCCCTCCTTAGCACGACGTAGTACCTACCTTAGCCCGTTACCTTTAGTGTATGCAGGAGGGATAAGCATCAATTCCCTCGGTGTCTCCTGATCAACAAATTTTCTTCCTGCCGCCCTTTCCTGGTGTCCCCAGCAGTCAGGGTCACAGGCAAAGGCTTGTGGCAGGTTTCATGAGCACCTCTGGACTGCAAGTGCTGAAGTTAAAATAGGGAACAACAGATGTAGTTATTCCTTACTCCGTACTGGTGCTATATATAAACCACGACCTCACTCCTGCGTGTCCGGGGGCAGTGGATTGCCCTTTCCAGCCCGGCCACGTGTGAGAGGCCCCCGGCCTCCGTCACCGCCTGCGGAATCCAGCGCAAATCTCCTGATCCACTCGCGCACCTTGCTCACCTTCACCAGCGGCAGATCTTCGTCCCTCTTGGCTGCAGGGTCCTGCTGAATATCCCGGAGTCGCTTTGCGCTGTAAAGCCCGCCTGCATCGGTTACGTCGACCCGCTGGCGGTGCAGCAGGTCGACCTTCGTGATCCCCTTCCGAAGACTCTGGCCGTACACCCGTTCTCGGAAGGAGCTCAGTCCTACCATCCGCATCAGAACAATGTCCCGTGGACGCAGCGTCGCCAGCGACTTTCCCAGTGCGTCTCCGAGGCTTCCGTTGTCACCGTCCCCGGCGGTGATCGTATGATTCGCAGGAGGGAGCCAGAACGTAACCCCAAACCCACTTCTTGTATCATCTCCCACCACCACCTCAACCAGGTCCAGTTCTTGCCGCCACTGCCGTGTTACAACCCGGCGTGGAGGGTGGATGGCGATAATCGCCACAATGAGATTCACCGTCATCGTCTGCGGCACGATGGATTTCAGGTATGCGACAGTGGGAATATCCCGGAGCTCGGTGAGAGGCCCGTGGATCGGTAACCCTGGGGCCAGGCCGTCTTTCTCGCTGGTTGTCGCAAAAGAGGTCCCAAAGCTGTCGCCCCATCTACCGCTGCCTTGCATGGAATCCCCAGAGTGAAACCCCGCGGTCGAGATCTCGGAGGTTTCATGAACGGTAAACGAATGGTTGTAGAACTGAGAGAGCGCTGAACTCTCCGAAACCATCCTTGACACCTCATTGGGAATTGCAAGATCCCGCGTGGTAAAGAAGCGAGCATCTCGACCCGGTTCCCAATCGTAGATTCCAGGGAGGAACTCTGTTGCGCGCAAATCCTGGAGTAACCTCCATTTCACGGACTGGGTATCTGGAAAAGGCCAATGGCTTCCATCTTCCATGTCCAAGCTATGGAATGGAGATATCGGTGCGTCGAGCAACTCATCTTCATCCCACTGGAGGTTCCGCGACGTGGGCGCGCCCATGAGAAAAATGACTTTTTTGGACATCATCGGACTCAAGTCACAGGGATCAGGCCACGGAGCATATTACTCAAGCACTGTATGTCGTCCTGTTCGAGGTAAACCCGCTAAAGCGCTCGATGCGGGGGGCCGTCTATATCCTTGGAGGTCAAGGATAGAGCTTCGATGCGGAAACGCCAAGAGAGAGGAAGGCGCATTGAGGTGTCGAACCGCAGCTGTGTTGCAAACACACCTGGCACATGTGGCCAGTTAAATGGCCCGGAACAAAGAAGTACAGGCCTCTTTGCAATTGAGGTCTATGATGTTCTAGTCATCGGTGTCCGATCTGAACCACGGATTGTAGACAGGCAACGACTCATGTTGTACGGTACAGCGAATACGGTATGGTAAGTGGACGGGGACTTGTCATGGCAAAGGTACGATTGCGAAAGTCATAGCGCATGTAAGCCTGATATGACCGCATCGACCCCGCGGATTGAGGAAGCCCTGATGGTGGTGGTGGTGATGGTGGTGTGTGCTGCCTTCTAGACACCATTCGATTTGGGCGGGGAAAGTCGGGGAACGGCGTGGAATCCGCTGTCAGTGCCTGAGGCAGAGAAGGCGGCGGCTACGGGGGGCGACAGCGGCCGCCAGCACCGGGTCGGCAGACGAATTTCGCCGCCGCGACCAGCCAGGCATCGTCATTGGTTTGGCCTCTCCTCTCTCGCTCCATCGAACTGTCGTCTGGTTGTGGTCGGGGATGGCATGTATCACGACTAAGAATTGATCTTATCATTACCATTACTGTGTCTCTCCCTCCTTCTATCACGCCAAAGGGTTACTATCATCAACCTCGCGGCCAAGCGCCGCTCTAGTTCAGACAACCATGGCCTTCCAAGTCCCGATCCCCAGGCCGGTAAGTCCTTTTACATACACCAGGAGATTTGATCCTGCTAACAGTTGTCTCGCGCGATAGAGCCTTGCGGCTGTGACCTCGGATCTCTGGCCCTCAATGTCAAAGCTGTTGAATGCACCCCGAAACAACGTCGAATACACTCGCCCCGGATATGCCGCCCCTCCGCCATCCCAACGCGCCGTTGCGGAAGCGACCTCCACCGTATGTCTTCCCTCGCCGGCTGGTCAGATAGTAGTGGGAAATTTACTAATACACGCGTAGGGCGTGAGCGCTGTCTCGTTGCCGGAATACCTCAGTTCTGTGTCCTCCGAGGCTTTGAAGGCAAGCATCTTCGGCAAGCCTGTACAAAGCGGATGGGCTCGGTCCTTGTTCAATGGTACCATCCATCCTATCCCTGTGAAGGATTTCTGAGGCATACTAATTGAATTCTTACCTTTAGAACCCACAATGTGGACTACGCCGTCTCTTGCTACCCGTCATCTTGCCTCGCCTACTGCTCGTTCTTACTCCACGTTATCCATGTCTCTAAATCGTCTCCGCTTCGCTCCTAAGGTCGAAGGTCTCTCACGGTTACAGCAGCAACGTTTCTTGTTTGGTGGCCCCTCTCAAAATCTGCTGGCGCAGAAGGAGAAAACTGCGAACAACAACGCTAGCAGCGCGAATGCTCAGAACGCTTTTTATCAGGCTCTCCTCCGTGCAAATCTCCCTGCCATTGTTGTTGAACGGTACAGAAGCGGTCATTTTGCCACGAATGCGACTACGGACGAAATCTATATGAAAGCCTTGCAACGCGTCGGTGGAGCGGATCCTGCTGTGGCGGTCTCGGCATCCGGCCAGGCCGTCAGCCCTGAGCGGCTACAAGCCATCGGTCAGGCCGTCGCGACTCAGTTCCACGGTGGGCAGTTTGGATCATCGACACAATACGGATCAGCAGTCAAGCAAACTGGCACTGGAGGCAAAGAGGATCCTCTGCATGTGGTTGTGGAGGAGTCGACCGGGAGCGCCGTCTTTAGATGGGTGAAGTTCCTGTTCTACTTCGCTTTCTTCGCCTATCTGTCTTTGGTTATGATCACAATTTTGGTTGAAACGACTGGCGCCCTGAAGAATATCAGAGGTCCTCAGAACAGCGAGGCTCAGCCTCAGCAACAAACCGTCCGTTTCAGTGATGTCCATGGCTGCGATGAAGCCAAGGAGGAGCTCCAGGAACTTGTTGAATTCTTGACCAACCCCGATCGGTTCTCCTCGCTTGGTGGCAAGTTGCCTAAGGGTGTTCTCTTGGTTGGTCCTCCTGGTACCGGAAAGACTCTACTCGCTCGTGCTGTTGCAGGAGAGGCTGGCGTTCCTTTCTTCTACATGTCCGGCTCGGAATTCGATGAGGTCTACGTGGGTGTTGGTGCCAAGCGTGTTCGTGAACTGTTCACTCAAGCCCGGAGCAAGTCGCCTGCCATTATCTTCATTGATGAACTGGATGCCATTGGTGCAAAGAGGAACGAGAGGGATGCTGCTTATGTGAAGCAAACCTTGAACCAACTGCTTACTGAACTCGACGGTTTCTCGCAAAGCAGCGGAGTGATCATCATTGCCGCAACCAACTACCCTCAACTCCTCGACAAGGCTCTGACGCGTCCCGGTCGCTTCGACCGCAAGGTGACTGTTGGCCTTCCCGACGTCCGTGGCCGTATGGACATTCTTAGGCACCACATGAAGGAAGTCCAGATCAGCATGGATGTCGACGTTGGCGTTATCGCTCGTGGTACCCCTGGTTTCTCTGGCGCTGACTTGGAAAACCTCGTTAACCAGGCTGCCATTTACGCCAGCCGAAACAAGTCAACCAAGGTTGGACCGAAGGACTTCGACTGGGCCAAGGACAAGATCATGATGGGTGCCGAGGCTCGCAGCCGTATCATCCAGGACAAGGACAAACTCCTGACTGCGTACCACGAGGCCGGGCATGCTCTTGTTGCTTACTTCTCTCCTTCGTCTACGCCGCTATACAAGATTACCATCGTTCCTCGCGGCATGGCCCTTGGTGTCACGCACTTCCTGCCAGAGATGGACATGGTGTCGAGGAACTACACTGAGTACCTTTCGGATATCGACGTTTCTATGGGTGGTAAGGCCGCTGAAGAGCTTGTGTTTGGTCCCGACAAAGTCACCAGTGGTATCTCAGCGGTAAGTCGTATGTCGTATGTCCTATCAGACATAGTCACTAATGAAATATAGGACATTCAACAAGCCACCGAAACCGCCTTCACCTTGATTACCCGTTTCGGTTACTCCAAGAAGCTCGGAAACGTTGACCTTTCAACCAACTATGACAGCCTGTCGTCAGAAACCAAGCAGGAGATTGAGTCCGAAGTCCGGCGTCTGGTCGAGGAGGGCCGGGTCCGCGCTACCAACATCTTGACTGAGAAGCGGGACGAGCTGGAGACCTTGACCAAGGCTCTAATCGAATATGAAACACTGACAAAGGAGGAGATGGAGAAGGTTCTGCGGGGTGAGAAGCTCGACAAACTGGAGCCAGTTCCACCAGCAGCGCCGCCACCTCTCAAGTTGCCTGAAGCTCTACAGACGACCAGGCTGACCCCGCCTTCTGTGTCAAGTGGACGCTCTGTCCAAGAATGAGCCGTTTTTTATTTTCTTATTTAACGATGATTGCTTTTACAGCTACAATATCATAGGAATTTTTGATCTTCACTCCCCTCTTTGCTTTGTCTCGTCTCATGCGTCAACTGTATCAGAAAGAAAGAACATAGTCTAAGTACCCTCTTCTAACCCATTGTGTCATTTTCCAATGATCACTTGATCGATTCCAAGCATGTCCAAGGCATCTTTGTTCTTGCTATACATCTCGATCCCTTTTCATTTCATTTACCACTGTTTCCTTTTATTTTCTTTTTCCAATTGTCTTTCTTGTCCTTGTATTCATCGCACTTGGTTTTCCATCTTTTCTCTTTTTTTCTAATCCGAGCCATAGGCTCAAAGACTGAACAGGGTCAGGACGCATACAGGTGAATTTGGCTGTATTGTATTTGTACTGTGGTTTGTGTACATACGTACATATAGCGTGCATGCATCGAACTCAATAAACTTGCAAGTAACATCATCAGCATACTATATAAATGGAGTCGCTCCCCGTTAAGTCCACCATTCAAGTACGACTTGTTTACTACAATGTCCGAAGGCTGTGAAGATTCGGTTCAGGAGCTAAAGTATGCTAGATTGTCTGGTAACTTCATAGAACTTTATCAAAACCTATCACTACTAGTTCTTTGTAGAATTCCTCTGACTGATACCAACTTAGGGACTTAGTAGTATAGTCATTGCCAGTGATGGTTCATTTTCGGAAGCGTAAAGTTCATTCAGTCATGTGGGTTGGTTATATACTATAGTTTACCATCTATCTAGTAGTCGTTGCTACTAGATGACCCGATGAATTTCAATATAAAAACCATCGACATGAGATCCAAATACGATTAATGTCTATTCTAGTAATTGTAACATTACTAAGTACTACTGTATTGTATAGAAAGCTTCCTTGGTCATAACTATCAGGTGACGGCGCGGTCTCATCTTTTGATTATTCCTGGTTTGATCAAGTCCAGATGCGCCTATGTACGCGCGGTGAATAACCTAGATTGACAGATTGAAGCCCGATACCTATATATTTTGATGTGATGGACTGCAGGGAAGATTAATTAGAAACATTAAGAGACCACTGCGTGGCAGACCACTAATGTATGTACACTAATAAACAACATCAGGAGAATCAAGGAGCAGGATGGAAGAATCAGTTACTCGCTTAATCGGCAGCGGCAGGAGAGGAAAAAAGAAGAGCAATAAAACATGATAGTGTGTCATCATTTCAATCTTTGCTTTTTACCACCTTTCATGTCAACCTTGCTAGGGAAAATTCAAGCAACCACCCGCCGACGTAACATCGTTAAGAGAATATAAATGTTCTTAGCTACGAGAGTTGTACTTCTCGTTGAAGGCGTTGACGGCTAAAGAAAGGTTAACATCATGGCCTGGCAATTCAATGACTCTATGGTCACTTACCAATGGCTATCTGCCGGTACAGCCAGTTCCTGGAGCTTTCATCCTGGACCGGGATAAAGGGGCCATTGGCACCACCCTTGAGTGTGATGCTCATGCCTGTGCGCTCCTTGGAAATGGTTTGGATGTCCGTTAATCGCATATCCCATTCGGTTCGGAGCTTCTTGGTGCGCACGAGGATAATCCGATCGTATGTCAACATGACCAGCATGTCTCGGCCCGGAAGCTCCAGGTGTGCGATATAATCCTCGTTGAAGTATTTCCCGTCGTCGGAGGTCTTCAGCCAGAACTGTCCCAATGCTTCGCGCTGCGAGTAAGGTCGCACAATACCATCAGTGGCGATGAAGCGGGTGAGGCGAACACGGTCGAGTCCCTCGGCATCAAAAACGGTGGTAGTGTTTCGTACACCCTCGGCCAAGTCTGTTTCGGAGTCAGTATATGTGTCCCTATCGGAAATCTAGTCATTAACTCACTTGAGGCAAGATCGAAGGCGCCTATCGCGGGCTTGGTGGCCAAACCCAGGACACCCTTTCCAACGCCCTTGAAGAACCCTTGTATGCCTTCCTTTTCGGCACCCTGCAGTGGATGACGAGCAAGTCCTCCAATACCGCTTGCTAGACTGGTCGCGAATGCATTGCCACCCGCGGTGATGCCATACAAGGCGTGTTTTGGTCTGTTCCGAGATTTCGACATCCGTCGCTGATCTTGGAATTCCTTGTCAAGCGTAGCAGCAGCCAGACCCTTGGACATACTTCCAGTAAGCTTGGCCATACTGTCAGAGAAACCAAAGACAGACTTCTTCACAAAGCTCGTAGCGCCCTTTGCAATACCGTAGCCCAGCTCCTGAGGTCTATCGGTCATCACTAGTCCCTGATATGGCTCGTAGAAAATTGCAGCCACACCAGAACTAACGTTGTTGAACAACCCAACAGGATTGCCCAGGAAATCCGCTGAACCAAGAACAACATGCACTTGGCGAAGGAATTCTTGCGTGTAGTGCCTCTGGATGTTGCTGGCAAGCACCCCAAATGAGACTCGAGCATTCTCCAGCATTAGGGCGTTCAGACGAACAGGGGCGTCGTTGACATTGCCCATCGACATTGTCATGACATGGACAAAGAACATCAGAGGGTTGGACGGTTGCAGAGCATCATCCGCGTTCACACGCTCGGTCCGCATGAAAGAGATATCAAGCTGCATAGGTTGCAAATGAAGGAGCTCGAAATAGACGTCTTGGGCAACGCCTTCGTTCTGCGGCTCTGGAATGTTCAAGTTTTCATCGCAGAGCTTTCCCTCATGCTCCTCAGACCATGAAGCACCGGGTACCTTGACAAAGTCCAGCATTGCGACAATGAAATCTTCGTCAAGCTCCAGAGTCATCTGCTGCAGAAGCACAGTGGCATACTTGATATAAAGAACACCATAAGAGTCGTCCTTGACCCGCGTGACCATGGCATGGAAAATAGGGTGCGCCTCCATCTCTTTTCCAGTCTTGGGAACAACACTGGGATAGAGCAAGATCGGGAAAATACCCCCGTAGAGCTGGTTATCGATTTGAATCCACTTGATCGTAGTGTTCAAGGTCTGGTAGACCCTCGACTCTCTAAATTTGATCTCAATGTCGCGGAAGGTTAGGTAGAGCAGCTCCTTCAAGTTCTGGTTGATCAAAGAAATGCCAATGCCTCCAAGGCGAAGTTGGGCTTTGAAGTTGACGTCCGAATCAAGCTCTTTGACCTCGAAGCCTGTGCTTAAGCTGCTTTGGGATGCCTGCCCTTGCCCCTTCTGCTTGTAAATGCTCTTGGACGCCTTGAAGTTCGACAGGACTAGAGTCTGAGTTGGCCCATCTGCGACAATGTTGATATCAATGATTTTCTGTGATTCCCCGTACTGAGTTGGGGGGATTCTCATTGGTATCAAATTTCCAATCTCAGCGAGCTTGATGTGCCTCTCCTTTCCTTTACATGTCAGTACAAGGGACTTGTTCTTTGTAGCAGGATAGTCCCAAGCATATGGCATAATGCTGCGGGGAGGAAGACGGTAGCGAATTGGTCGCCAGCCATTTGACCTGTCTTCTTCATCATCTTCCAGGTTCGGGTTCTACGGCTTGGTTAGCAATGCAATATTCGCGGTCTAGATAGTATACTCACAGCTTGGTAGAAGATGTACTCCATGTCACTTTCGTTTCGCATGGAGAATGGCCAGTGGCGAGGCTCGAAACTGAAGTGAATGAACAAGGTAGCACCTTCCATGATAACATCCACTTTAATAAGCCTTTGGCGCTGGTTTGCCTTGGCGAGCTTGACATGAACTGTTCCGATATCCGCGATGTTGAAGGGTGATGACCATTGGTTGTTGACGCCCGGGAAGCAGAGACAGAGCTGCTTTTCCGCGACTTGGCGTAAGAAATGTAAAGGTATCAGGTCACCGCCCTTGATTTGTTGAACATTTGATGAACCTGGTTCCCGGACTAGGATGTCCTCGTTGAGTTTATTCTTCAGGACGAAGCGCGGTGCGATAGTGACAACCTTGGTCAGTTTGTATTTGCCTTCGCCTTCAGCGACAGACACTCCAGAATGGAACTCGGATCTACCATTCCTGTCAGATAGAACAACCTCGAATGTGCTTCCAATGGCTTCAAAACTCTGGGGCTTGCTCCAAGCAGAGTCACCGATTCTCAACATAGACCGATTTTTCTGATCATCCGTTGGATAGGAGTACATGTATGGAAGCGCCCGTCCACCGTGTCTCGGATCGGCCATCAGCCCCTGGCCAGCCGCCGATCGGGCCGACTGCAAAAAGGCTTTGCTTTGGATTTCCATAGGAAGGCCTGTCTTATTCAAAACAAGGTAAGGGCTGTAGACGGAGATCTTGAAGGCTCCACCGCTGTCGGGCACGTTGAAGTAATGAAGCTTTAATCTAAGCTGGATGCCTCGCTCATCCTTCAAAGAAAGCACATGCTCTCTTCTATAGTCTTGAGAATTTCCATTGATGATCGCGAAGTCGCTCTGCCTAAACACGGTGTCCTCCAAGTCGACGCTGAGGAGCAGTAGGTGAGATAGCTCAACGACGTGTACGGGGCTGACTCCACCTTTGCGTAGGAAATTCGTCCAGTCCTTCTTTGTGTTCTTGTCATAGATACGATACTTGAAGTCGTAAGGCAGGAGATTCTGGATCTCAACTGGAGCAAAGATGCGGACCCGCATGTAAGGATAAACACTGGTTAGCTTGTCTCGGGCGTTGAAGGTAGCATGCATTTGGAAATAGAAAGGAGGAGCTTGTTGTCCGTTTTCACTTATGCATTTGATTGTCCGAGTTGGCCGACGCATGAGGTCTTTCCAGTGTAATTGCTCGCGAGACCAGTCATAGCCAAAGCCCTGATCAGGGCGAATGACAAGCGAATGCATGTAGGCCGCCCCAACAGGTGCAGGTCGGGAATCACCAGGAAGAATCTTCTCGATCTTCAGTAGGTGGCCATCATTGGGGTTGAACACGCCCAGCTCCACAGGTATTTGTGTGCTGTTCTCGACGACCAGTGGTGAGCGAAAGGTGATATACTTGACATTGTCGGCACCCAACTTCACCTCCACAAGCAGTTGGTGAAGAATACCGTCTTTCTTAGGCTTCAACCCGTACAGGATCTCGCCTTCCCGAACGACGGGGATGCGGCTTACACTCTCGAACCCACTCCCTTCGAGCTTAACCCCAACAAGCCCTGCATGGCCTTCGGGTGCGAGCGTCTCACGCATAGCAGTGGAGTCCTCAAATCGCCAAGGATACTCTTCACCGTCAGCCAATCTAGCAGCTGGCCCCTCTTCCTCCGCACTGACATCAGCCCAAACATGCAGGTCGAAACCAGTGTGGTTACGGATCCGATAGGGCGCATCAGCACCCCTCGGTTTGGAAAGAACGTCTTCGTCCGTCGATAAGAACTGGAAAGACTTGGATGCCAGTGCAATTGTTGCTGAAGTAACCGTAAGCTCCATCGTCTTGTGGGAGTAGGCATCTATAGAAAGTAGCTCCGGCGCAGTCTCCCTCGCCACATGGAACCCTAGCTGCCAGGGCTCTATAAGGGGCTCCCAGGCCGACTTGGAGAAGTTGTACACATTGACAAAAGTATCAAAGTTGGTATCGGCATGCAGCGTTGATGACCAGTCCCGAACATCCACGTTGAATTTCTTGACGCTCCAGTCTAGCAGCGGGAGGTCGTGGAGGTCGCCTATGAGGATCACTCTAACGCCATCCACCTGAGCAGTCAGTTCCTCCCGCTTCAGCACGGCGGACTGTTGCGATACGAGCTCCCGGCCTGAGTTGTCGGGTGCGGCAACCGAGTGTCTTTGAGACCTTGAGGCCACCGCCGTTGATGATGGCCTGCCGCTCGATCGTCTTCTGGAAGATTTTGGCTTTATACTTTTGACATCCGTCAGCTTCTTCGGCTCGTCGCTCTCAGCCGGCTGTGATCCTTGGGCTCTCATTTCGGATGCCTTATTAACGATCTGAATTGCCATCAATATGTCGCGAAGAGAAAGGCGTAGAACCAATGGCTCTATGTGAACGTTAATGGAGGTCAAAGATGACCCCTTTTCCTGTGGGCGACTGTCCACAGATACCTCCAATGTGAAGTCATCCAGAATACGAAGCCTGCTTGTCTCAAACTTGTCCATGCGGCACAAGAACATTCCCACCTTGCTGATCTGCAGCGTGGAGACATTTTGGTGGGAGAATAACATCTGTTTCGTTCCAAGGACGATGGCCTCGGTATGCGTGATGGCGGGATTCGCGATGGTTATCACTTGAGCGTCGACAAGGTTCACTCTAAAGGACACAGTCATCTGACCGCCAGTAGCAGTGGCAACTGTATCGGTCCCATTTGGAGGTGTTGTTGTAGACTCGTCAATGCTGTCGGCAGTGCTGGTCCTTGGCTCCGATTCATCAGGAGACTCGTCGCCTTCTTCTTCGACCACTGGCTCTTCCGTAGCGAAGGCCGCATTGGTAAAAGATTGTAAAGCAGATAGGTAGTCCAGGGCAAGTATAATGCGCGGGCTGTCGATGGTCAGCATTGCTATGAGATGATTATTTGGCCCTGGGGACATGGAGACGCTGGCCATAAACTGCTGCTTGACATCGTTATTGATCAATGACATGATCTTTCGGAACTTGTTTGTGTCCTTGTTGCGACTGTCGCGAATGGACAGCGAGTGGATTAGGAGTTCAGATTCCAAAGAGCCATCTGTCAACATGCGCAACTTGACCCGTGTGTCATTCAGTGAGAACTTAGACAGACTGGAATCCTCCAAGCTACCAACGGGCGCATCGTCGTCAGCAAGAATGAGCTCCAGTCCCACGCTATCCACCTTAAATATCATATCAAGCCGGACCCAGGTTTCGCCGTTAGGAGTTTCCGAGGATGTAGTTTCTTGAGCTTGCCTAGGCTGCATGGCCCGAGACCCAGCCTCCCTTGAAGGTTCTGTCACCGATGAAGGAAGTGATTCCATGGCCTCTAGCTCTTGCTGTTCCGCATCAGTCGCGAAAGCGCTGGGAACCCTCTTGGAAAGATCAAGTAAGAACTTCAGCTGTTTCTGTGATATGCGAAGGTTGATAGGAGACAATGATCCCTCAATTTCCATGTCCGGGCGTGGATTGTCTTGCTGGTGCTCAAGATAGCATATACTAAAGTCAAGGTTGACTTTCTGTATCATCTCTAGCTCCTCTACAGTATCCTCATCATAGTGGAACTTTGAAGTCAGGCGGATGTTGCGGATTCCGGAGGAGATCAGATTGACAGCAGGGCTATCGGTATTTTCATCAAGGGGGACGAATGTATTCTTAGCGTATATCTCACCGAGGTGAGCAGTCACTGTATCATGGGGAAGGTCTTCCCTGATGGCTCCTGGGAAGACCAAGATTGGAGTCATAACCACCACATCAAACCGCATTCGGGAGGCGTTTTCTTGGAGCTGGTTGGCCTGGTTCGCTGCAGCTTGCCGTGCGGCATTGAAGATAGCCTGCATCTTGCCGAACTTGACCAGGAAATTGATAATCTTGCGGTATGGCTCTTCCAAGAAATTGATCTTCATTGAGCCCGACCGGAGGAAGACTTCCGAATCATACCCCGGGTACTCTGCACTCTCGGGATCGAAGGTTTCATACTTGAAATCCGCAAAATTCTCGCCTTCGATAGTCAAGAGTCTCCGAAGGTCAGAGGTCTCTGAAGCACCCGTGTTGACGTCGTCAATCAAAGTCAAGCTTCCAATTCGTGACTGTATCAGCATCGTACGGCCTACGAGCGAAATGCCCACGTCGGCAGTGTGGAGGCTCAGCGTAGCTAGCCTAACGCCATCATTGTTGAGGATAAGGGCTATACTCTTCAAGTCAGCTTTGATGCGGATCTTTCCACTTTGCTCCGGCGGTTCCTGAACAGTAGGGATGTCCTGAGCTGTTTCACTTGACTCAGAGATCTGATTGTTTGGCTGCTCCGGGTTCGTAAACGTGAGCAGGACGAAATCTAAGAGTGTCAAGAGCGTCTTCCTAGTGACGACGAGGTTTATAGTCGAGACCGACATATCAAGGTTCATCGCTACACCTTCGTATGTGGAATGGAACTCAGGGGACTCTGGCTTTACTCGAACAAACTTGAGATGGAAAAGATCCTTTTCTTCGTCAGCATCGAACCCCTTAGACGACAGAATCCTCTTGAATTCCGGAACCGGGTTCTCTTCGATGTAATCATCGACACTCAAGGACTTCAGGACTACTTCTGCAACCATGTCAAAGGGCCGCATGTAGAAGTCCAGGGCAAATCCTTCAGCGACCAATTCCACAAGCAGGTGGTCACGTAGCGGATCCCTTGGATCAGAGCGAGACAACGAGCCGCGAAGCCGGCCAACAGTGAACTTGAATTCGAAGTCCCGACGATGTATGTTGGTTGGCTTGTCAATGCTCTTTCTCCTTCGTTCATCATCGGACTCATCATCGGAATCTTCGTCAACAGCAGGCAACTCTCTGAGACTTGACGGTTGGAAGGAGGAAGACCTTGCTCTATTGCCAGAGGCAGGCGTTTCCTTCGTCTTTTGATCGACGCTGTTCGACTCATCATTGTCATCGAAGCTGGGGATCGCAATATCGATTAGTTTCATGAGACCCTTGTACTTAGTGTCAGACATGGAGGCATGTAATTCTGGGAGGTGGCCAGAAATGCGAGTCCGAGTGAGCTCGGTGACCTTTGGCACGATACACATCTCGAGGGCAAAATCCACATTGATGCGATCGATGATGTGTAGATTCCGGGTCTCGACATCTGTACTAAGCTGCGACTTGGTGGTATCGACGCCAGGGCCAATGAGAACCTGTGTAGAGTCAAGTTTGATCAAGAACCTATCATAAAGAAGGTGCTCGAGTTCCTTATAGTCCCCTTCCTCATACTGTCGCTTCTGCTTCGATTGAAGGTCTCTCATTGTCTGCCGATCCACGAGTTCGCTATTCACACTAATGTGGCCAGCATCGAGAATCAGGCAGAGGGAGCTCTCTTGTGTGATACTCTCCGGGACAATTATCAGAGGTGCATGGATATCAAACTGTGCGTCGACCTTCTTGTGCTCCTGCAAGGCAAACTCCAAGCCCGCTCGGGTCTGCTGCCGAATACCCTCTACGGTGGCACCTGCTGTGTCCAGGAGGGCACCAATCGACTCCATATGTCTCTCCGGCGGCTCGAAGAATTTGACAATCTCAACAATGAAGGCGGGATTGTAGATGACTTCGATACTCTTTAGCTTGACCTTTACGACCGAATCGGCGTCGCTTTCGAGAGGATTTCTCTCCAGTTCCAGGTGGAACAAGCCATCTCTATAATAGTCAGAGGCATCATCGCTAGCCTCGGCATCTAGTTCGTTGTCCGAAACCTGGGACAGGCGGTTCTTCGGTTCCGGCAAAGAATCCTTGACCTTGACGATCTGTGGGTAAAGGGTGCCTTCCGTTGTTCCATCATAGACTCGCAAGCCTCCGAGATTGAGGTCAATGAAGAAAGAATCAGGACGCTGCAAGGCTTTTGCCCGGAAGTTGTCAAATACCAGCTTCATGGCCTCATTCGCTTTTCCGTGGGGGTCACGTTTCAACGTGAAGCTTCCAGCCCTCAGACCAGCATTAACCTGCAGCTTCACCCAATCCCTTGGGACATCAACGCTGTCCGCAATCGCTTTCTTTTCGTCCCAGTCGATCGCATTATAAAGTTCTTGGCGCTGTTCCTCAGTCATTGCGGTCTCCTCAGACTCCTCTTTCTTGCTGCCCCAGAACCATTCTGACCAGCTTTGCTGCTGCGCAGGCTTCTTGACACCCACATTCTCTTTTCGTAACTGGTTTCTTGCCAGTGATCTCCAGAAGCGGATGTCCTCGTAGTTGAGCTTCCTCTGCAGGCGTTCGAACCTTTCTTCATCGGCACCAGTCAGAGTTCCTTCGCGCTTTTTCTTCTTGAATAGGTCGATGTAAGCGATACGATCGTCCCGTCGTTCCTTGATATAATCCCAAGTCCAACGCCTATTCCGATCGTGGATCTTGCTCAGAACGGCATCTCCGGCGAACCTAAGCCAAGCCCTGGGGTCTTCCTTTGGTCTGCACTTCGGCTGAAACTTTCTGTATTCCTGATGGCGGATGAAATAGTGGAAAAGATCCACGAGCATCAGCGCATCCCGATACTGATGATCATCAAGGACGAAACTCAGTTCATCAAACAGCAGTCTCGCCTTGATTGCCGCCACATCATGCTCGCCCGACTTATTCATTTCTAGGCCAGCACGTCCGCTGACCGGACGGAGCATGAACTGTACGTTTTCTTCATTGTCAATGCCAGTCCTTAGCTTGTCGATCAACTCCGCATGGCCAATTCCTTGAGCTTCTGCGCCTATGTCTGAACCTCGACCCGTACCCAGAAGTTCTGCATCGGTGTTCCAGTAAATCGCAAGGGCGCCGAGAACGGCCATTTTGTGTGTCGTACCAGAGGTCGACTGAATGAAGGTGGGGTTCCATTCGGAGTCGGTACTGACCGCGCTGAGCTCCTTCAGCGTTACGCCAACGGCGAAGGGATGGTCAGGGGAAGAAAGCGAGTCCTCGTAGCGAAAATGCACGTTTTTGATGGATATCTGAAGGTTGTCGACAACGGCCGTTACCATACTTTGGGTGAAACTTTGATTCCGACGCTGCTCTTCCTGGCTCATACCCTCTGTGTTGCGTTCCTTGAGCATTTCCGCGCTTTCAATCTTTTCCATTTTTAGAGCATGCGCCCGCCTGTCTTCCTCCTCCGGGTCGTAGTCCTGATCTTCCTTGGGAGCCGCAAGTAGAAACACATCTTCAATATCAACCTTAACAGGTTTCCCTCGCAAATTCGACCAGGGAATCGACAGTGTAAGTTCTCCGACATGTCCTTCCACAACGTTGAGGGGGAGATGTAATTGATCGAGGGCCTCTCGTCGAAGCTCCAAGTTGTGAAGCTTCACATCGCCGGACCAGATACCGATGTTGAGCTGTCTGCCATCGAAGTTCTTAACGTACATCCCCAGGAAGCGGTTGAGCAAGTTAGCGACCAAACCCTCCAACATAGTTGCGGGGTGCGGCCGTAACCCGGGCCGGGGGCTTCTGCGTAGCGACCGTAAGAGATGAGGGAATTATGGTGTACAAATTGTCGGTGATGCCGGCCTGAAACGATCCAAGAGTTAGTAGCAGTTGATGGGGAACAGAGGGGCGGCCGAGGCAGTACAAGGATAAAGGAAGGAAAGACCTTGCTGTAATGCGCGAGCTTTAGTTGCACTCGCAGATTGTAGGAAGCAGAGCCATGCAGAAAACTGGCTCAGTGTGCACGCGATACGGTTGCGGGTGGCTAGTGCAAGATATGGCGTCCGGAAAATGGAAGTATACCGACCAGTGCGGAGAAAACGAAAGAGGGACGTGGAAGGCTAGCTGACGTATTTCCCGCGGGAGTCGGGAGGGGAATCGAGGTTGGGTATCAAGCTTGGCCTGGTTACCCAATTGTGAAGGAGTAAGTAGAGGGAGAGACTTGGTATAGGTAGATGAGGGTACCTGGGAAGATGATCTTCGGCAGAAAACGAAGAATGATGATAGTAGTAATAGGGGGAGAGCGCAGGGTAAGAGGCCGTGACGCGGTACGGGCTACGGCGAGGCAGTAGAATGGGCGACCAGGCCCTGAGTGACGTCGGTGCTTCTGCCATGGCATGGCCTGAGCTGAGAGACCCTCGCCCCGATCCGGCTTAGTGGTTTAGGGCTGCAGCCCTCGTGGCTGAGTCAGCCGCGTGGTGAGTCGGGCCAGTCATGCCTGAGGCATTACATATGACACCTGCGGGGTTGGCGCCTGTGGTGTGCCCGAGGACGACGTTACCGCACCTCAGCAATATCACCTCATCCATTCGTGGTCTCCAGGATCGACTGTTCCCCGGCTTAACATCTCCACTCCCACGAGTCAATCTCGACCAATTTCTGGGTGAATACCCTCATCTCCGCTCTTGCACCTTTTTCTCTTCTTCCATCAGCTCAATTGGGTGTGTACCCTCGGGATTGACTGCATCCGAGCTTTCCAGCCTTCACTGCTAACCGCGATATCGGGAAAAAATTAGCTGTCTAAACGACAATGTTGTACAGAACCACCGCTGCCCGCTCTGTCCTCAGAGCTATCTCGAGCTCCAATGCCTCGGTCGCCCGCTTGGCCCTGTCCAACAATGTCTTCAAGGCTCCCTTGACCTCTTCCGCTCGTTATCCCGCTCGCCCGACCACTTCTCCCAGCCTCGCTCTGGCTGCTCGCAAGCCCGTCACCACCGCCCTCGTCCGCCATTCGTCCACGTCGTCCAAGGTGAGATGGCCTGGGCGAATTGAGTACCGCGGACGATTCAATTGCTGACCAGGATCCACAGGATGGCGAGGATGTTGACATGATGGCAGGCATCAAGACCGAGGCTGTATGTATCTGATACATCCCTAGATTTCTTCTGCGGGGCGCCCAATGCCCTCCGCGGTACCCTCAGGATTCGATGCGCTAACATCCGGTTTTCGTGATCTATAGAAAGTCATCAAGGACACCTTCAGCCTGGAGGCCGTCCCCAAGGAGGCTCTCTACCTCGGAATGGCCGGTGTCATCCCCTACCTTGCTACTTCCCTCCAGACCGTCTACCTCTCCTGGGAGATCAAGGCCGCTGCTATGGCCGGTGATGGTCTCCTCTTCTCCGGCCAGAGTGCCGAGCTGATGCTGCACATGATCGAGCCTATCCAGGTCGGCTATGGTGCTGTTGTGAGTAGTGGCTATCTTTCTCATTTGCAAACCCTCAATCTAACGAGACATGACGATAGATCCTGTCCTTCCTCGGTGCCGTCCACTGGGGTCTTGAGTGGGCCGGATACGGTGGCAAGTACGGCTACAAGCGCTACGCTGCCGGTATCGTCGCGCCTGCTGTCGCCTGGCCTACTCTGCTGCTCCCCGTTGAGTACGCTCTGATCTCCCAGTTCCTTGCCTTCACCTTCCTGTACTACAACGACGCCCGTGCTGCCGCCCTCGGTCGCGCCCCCGCCTGGTACGGCATGTACCGTTTCGTCCTCACCTTCATTGTCGGAGCCAGCATTGTTGCCAGCCTGGTCGGCCGCGAGCAGATCGCCGGTACCCTGACCACTGAGCACACGATCAAGGACAAGATCAACGCTCTGATCTTCCTGCAGAAGAAGGAGAAGGAGGAGGTCGAGGCGCGCCGTCGTGCCGAGATCGAGGAGTCGGAGTAAGGGACGATCGTTCCATGAAACGGCACGTGCAGCCCGAAGGAAACACAAGGGCAATCGGAGAGAGGGAATGATCACCCAGGCTGTCCGTGGCAGCAAGGTGTGACACAGGAGAATCATGTCGATTAAGTTAAGTTGAGTATATTGGTTGAGATTTCTTGTAGATTACATGCGAAATCAACAATCCAGCAGACGCTGGTTTTCATTTGTGTTAGAGTAATTGATTAGCATAAAAGTAGAAGTAATCAAGTACATTCAAGCCATAAACAGTATATACTACCAAAAAATTATCCAAGATCGTCCCATTTAAATCCAGCCCGACCCAGACCCCCGACCCAGATCCATCCAGCTCAACCAACCATCCCCAGACCTCCCCCCTAAATCCCCAAATCCCCAGAAAATCCGGAGATATATATACACAATCAGGTGACACAGCACCACCAAGTACCTCCCACCACCAACAACAAGAAAAACAAACCCGCCCCCCAAACAAAAATAAAATTACCCCAAAAGTGGATCCCACGCAGCAAGGGATTCGATACGGAAAGCATGAAGAAAGAAACAAACCGGGGGGGGAGGGGGGGGGAGGCGGTGCGGGCGCGAAAACGCCACCAAAAAAATCGTCTCCAGGAAAGGAAAGTAAGACGAGGAGTGAAAAGAAAGAAATGTCGGGAATCCGGGTCCGGGTTTGGGGTTCCATAACTTACCGGGTTTGACTTATCTTGCTTTAAAGGTTAATGTAAGGTAAGATAAGGGCGTGTAGGTAGGAGGGTAGGTAGTTGGTTGGGTTGGGTTGGCATGTGGGCGGTGGTGGTGGTAGTAGGTATGCAGGTGTTACCTACCTACTACTTGCTTTGCTTTTTTGCTGCAGGGTATGTACTATGTATCTGCCTAGGGATTTGGGATGGGATGGGGTGGGATGGGTGATTCCGGAGGGTCCGGATAAGTGTGTCTGTGTCTGTCTATGTAGGTAGTGTACATTGCAGGAGGATAGGTAGGTAGGTAGGTACATAGTGTAGATCAAGGACCATCTACTGTACAATGTACACTGTGAATGACGATTCGGACCAAGATGGTTGAAACAGGTTTCGGCGGGGGGGGGGACAGTTCTGGATCGAAGATTACTATTACTTACTACAGTTCATTATGTTATGTGATGGACTTATAAGCATGGGCTTTTTTTAGTTTGTACCTTAGGCACACATGCACCACACACAACTTTAACCTATCTATCTAGACCAACTAGTGCGTTCTCTGTCCGTCCGATACTGATAGATAGATAGATAGTAAGAAGGTAAGGTAGATGTGTCGGGCCGGCGAGACGAGCCCATCCATGGTTTCTTCACTATCACTTTGCATCATTACCAGAAATGATGAAGATTTCTTGGCACTTAGGGTCGGGGATGGATCCTTTAGTGAGGTCATACTGGGGAAGGAGGGGGACAAGTTGGAATTACATAGTAGATGATGACCTGTTGATCATTTTGCCCGGTCAATTGGGGAGGGGAAGAGAACCACAACGGTTCCTGGGGCGGGTTGTTCGTATACCTGAATAGGGATAGATGGCAGATCAATGTCGTGGGCTAGTTCATGATGAGCGGCTGGGTTGCGTTGCTTGATTGATGTTTGTGCCTTGGGGGTATTGGTCGCTTGGGTGTGGTTTATTGAGGTAGCTAACAGTAGTACTATTACTATCTGCTACTTAGTAAGGGAACCTGGCAAGTCCGGTCGAAGACGTCACCACCCGAGGATATCGCGAAGTCGGTCGTGGCGATCCATTACTCTCCGTAGGTACTCCGAGAAGTAGGTAGTGTAGGTAAGAGGCACATGAATTGGATTTCCATGGGAGGGGAGGGAAGTTTGAAGCGATTTGAATTCATTCATTCATTGATGGATGGATCGGTATCGTGAAGGTGGTCCAGATATTGGATAATTAAATCCTACATAGTACTAGTATATTGAGTACTAGTACTATATTTCTGGCGCAATCTGGACTGGTCCGGGCACAGAGAGTATTGGGGGAGTTGCCGGAACGCCAGGACGATAGCCGGGAGAATTGATCCCGTGGCCCCCAGGCCAGCTGCTAGACTCCCCAGCCAAGCCGAACCGACTATCCGGATTGCAAAATTTCTCCGTCTATCACAGCGCCGAACGAGCTCGCCTCCCAGACCTCTCTGCCTAATCTAGAATGGTACAGCGACACGCTAGAACGTCGCCAGTCAGGGGCGGCGGTGGTCTAGAAAAGCAAAGGTAAAAGTGATCACGATGGAAGGAAGCGACAACACATCCAGCCCATGAGAGCGGTCACTTGACTTTTTGTACGTATGTATGTATGTATGTGCTTCTGTGCTCAAGAAACGGGGTGAAGGGACTGACTACACAGCAAAGAAGGCGATCAAAAAATAAAAAACCCAAAGGAGAATTATTCATTCATTCGGTGTTCAAGTGATCAGAAAGAAAAAAAAAAGAAGAAAGAATATTGAGCCAGGGGCAGAAGACCGGGTCTAGATCGCCGGATGCTCGAACAGCGTGTGAAAACGGACTAGCGGGCGAAAAATGGACATTGTCATGTGCTCGATCGACAGGAATCTAGTAGAGCGCAGAATCCCATAGCGGAGTCGGAGGGACACCCGCAGAGCCCCTCTTTTGCGCGTTTCGCCCTCAATCCTCGACAGCATCCATTCAGCGCCGACTCCGCCGTTCTGGTAGTCAAGTCGGATCCTTGGCAGGGATTGTTGTCAAGGGGGCAGGAAGGAAGGAAGGCGACACGACCGACGGTCTACGGTCGCCGGTAGTGATGAACTGGAGGTCAATGGAAACTGTAGTCTAGGGATGCCGATTGTAGATCTGCGTAGGACTTGTTCGGTATATAGGACACCTATACAGTATACACTGCATCTGAGGTCGAGTTGTCAGGTCGGGCAGGCCTACGTATATTAATGTACGATGCATTGAGATCTGGCATTGCAATGTCTCGGTATTTGCGCCTATCTATGTATCTCGGTGTCTTCACCTTCAGAACCAGGGATTATGATAGATCAGAACCGGATCGTGAATGAATTTGGGTCGCAACTCGCGAAGCAAATCACATTAATAATATACCAGGGTCTATCGGAAATCCTGGACATCTGCCATGTTTCAAATGGCAATCTGCGCAGGCCAGTCAGCCCTTAATTGCTTGTTTGAAGCGAATCGAATCCTGATGTTCCATATGGCTCCGTGTTCGCGGGCGGTTCTAGGCACAGATGCTAGCTAATGCGGGTGGAGGGATTGACCTGGAAACAGAAATCCATGGAATTTTGATGGGTCCGCAGTCGATGTCATGTGGGAGCCCAGCGACTATTCTTAGCGCTTTTCTAACTCCGGAATACTACTACCTGCCTGCTCGGCGTGCTGGGTCGGATACCTTGCCGATGAGAGCGACGACAACCGTATACCCGGTCCGCTGGGTGACAGCTGGCGAGGCATTGGCGGTCTCTTTTTTAAGAAAAAAAAAGGTGTTGATGAAGAATCAGATCGTCCATGATTTCAAGAGGGATCCAATGGGATTCAGACAGATGTGCAATGGAAAAAGAAAGCCATCCACACCTGCCAGGTACTCCGTAATCCGTAACGCTGATGGACGCCCACCAAATAAGCTAAGAAGATAAGAATGGCGAGTGACCAGGGGTAAACCTTCCTAAATTCACCCAGAAGGCATGGTTGCCATCCGCGTAAGGGGGAACCTTCAATGCTGGACAAGCCAACGGGGGGCATGAGGGAGGGGCGGGTGTCAATGCTGACGACGGGGCAGAGGTCGTCTGATCAGAAAAAAAAGAGGCCCAGAAGGGGGGAGGAAGGCTGCTGTGGGAAGAAGGGATTGCCCATTGCTGGTTGCTTTCCAGTCCTTCCCTTCCTTCTGTTTTCCCCCACGCCCCCACTTCTCCGCCATGGACGAACGGGGATTCAGCAGATTGCCAGATTGGGTGTGGCTCGCTCTTGGGAACTGGTATCGTATTCGAGTATTGAATGGGTTGAATCTCTCCCTTCCCCGGCCTAGTTTCATCGATAGCAGCAGGTACTGGTACCGTACTAACGATCTAGGTCGAATGGACTCGACTCTCCCCCGTTGGAAATACCACCTAGACCCAGGGGATTCCCCGGAACAAGCTATGCATGACCCAAATCCTATCGGGCTGGGAAAAAAGGGTAAAATAAAATAAATAAAAAAAGGGAAATTTGGAGGGGACGGCCACGCATGGCTGTAGGAATAAAAATAAAAATAAAATAAAAAACTGATTATCAGAATATTCGAGGCCAATTCTCCCAGAAATAAAAAAAAATAAAAAGGTCCCACCGAGTTGGATAAAGAGTCTCTCTCGTCCGGCCTCCAGCATCCTCTGGACCAGGGCTGATTCCTCCTTTCTGATCTCTCTTCTCCTTCGCCACCCCAATAAACCACACCCGGTCCCTCAGTGACCTCATACCTTCGCGGACACTCTCCTCTCTCGGTCTTGCTCAGCCTTTCAGCTTCCTATCCGCTGCCGCTCTTCTCCAGTTCCCAGTCCGTTCTTCTACTTCTCCAGATTCGCTCGGCTTCCTCTCCACCCAATCGCTAGTCACGTCTACGTCACCATCCACCGCGCTGGGTCATCTTTCTCCCTCACTTGTACTACTTGCACCACCAGCACCACCACACACTTACTTCATTTGCCTGCTGCAACTGCCGCCACCGGGCGCGGTCTCACTTGTCGTAGCTCCCAGCCCTACTTCCTACTATCTCCCCTCGTCCGTCTTAAGTACCGGACTAGGGACGTAATCCTGATTCCCCCCTTTTCTATTTCAATACCGCCACGATTTCTCCAATCAGTTCTTCCCTTTTTCAGGCTCTGCCTTCCTGGTCACTTCTTTCCTCCCTCTTTAGGAAATCAGAAGTCGGAGCCTCAAAAGCCCCTCCCTCCGCACACATGCAGAAATCACCCTCCTCCACGTCCTTTGCTTTCCCAGCATCCATTCTGGACAACACCCCCAAAACCAAAACCCCTCCCATCACGACCTCCAAGATGAGAAATCCCTTCGATATGACCGATCTGGATGCCGTCGTCGAGCAGGAAGAGGCCAAGTCCTACATGGATATCCACGCCTACCAGTCTCATGATGGCAATCGCTCCCTGCTACAGAACGAAAACCGCCACGGGGGCAGTCTGAAAGATCGCTTCATCGGTGCCATTGACACCGGTACCACCAGCTCCCGCTTCATCATCTTTGACTGCACCGGCGTTCCGGTGGCCAAATATCAGATGGAATTCCGTCAAATTCACGAACACTCAGGGTGAGTTTTCCAGATCAATAGCAATTGGTCTACGTGAGCTAACATGCGCCCGTCTTTTCCCAGATGGCACGAACAAGATCCTTTCGAGCTCGTCGATTCCGTATACACCTGTATTGAAGAAGCAATGAAGACTTTCCTCGCTCTCGGGCACTCCCGGGACGACATTGAGGCTATCGGTATCACCAGTCAACGAGAGACAACCCTTTGCTGGGACTGGGAGACCGGCGAGCCTCTACACAATGCGATCGCATGGCCCGATACCAGAACCACTGGGCTGGTCCGAGAACTCAAAGCTAAGAAGGGTGCGGACGAACTGTCGAACATTTGCGGGCTTCCCCTGTCGACCTACCCGTCCTCCGTCACACTGGTCTGGATGCTCCGCAATCTCCCTGAGGTTAAGAGGGCCTACGATGAGGGTCGCCTCGCTTTTGGTACGGTGGATACCTGGCTCTTGTACAACCTGAATGGTGGACCGGAAGGCGGTCGGTTGGTCACTGACGTCACCAACGCCTCGAGAACCATGTTCATGAACCTTGAAACCCTCGATTATGACGACCGCCTGTTGAACTTCTTCGAAATCGACAGGAACAAGATCAAACTCCCCGAGATTATCCCGTCGTCGGACCCTGAAGGTTACGGGTGGGTCAGAGACGGCCCACTTGAGGGCATCCCCATTACCAGCTGTCTTGGGGATCAATCGGCAGCCTTGGTTGGTCACTGTGCATTTACTCCGGGGTCAGCAAAGAACACCTACGGCACAGGGTGTTTCCTCCTTTACAACGTTGGCGACAAGCCAGTCATTTCCAAGCATGGTCTGCTTGGAACAGTGGCCTTCCAGTTGGGCAAGCATCGGAAGCCAGTGTATGCGCTCGAAGGCAGTGTCGCCGTTGCTGGCAGTGGTATCTCCTTCCTGATGAACAACATGGGTTTCTTCCGCGATTCCCGTAAAGTCAGTGACCTTGCTGCATCCGTTCCGGACAGTGGTGGCTGCTACTTCGTGACTGCCTTCAGTGGTTTGTTTGCGCCTTACTGGATTGACGATGCCAAGGGAACAATCTGTAAGTTCAAATGCACTCGCAATTTCTCAAGAAAGAACATTCACTGACTCCACGTAGTTGGCATCACCCAACACACGCAACGTGGACACATCGCACGTGCCACCATGGAAGCCGCCTGCTTCCAGACCAAGGCCATCTTGGATGCCATGGAGATGGACAGTGGACACAAGTTGTCGGAATTAGCCGTTGACGGCGGAATGAGTAATTCCGATATCTGCATGCAGGTATGTTGCTCTCGTGACACTCCACTTCCGACGGTCGGAAACTAATTCCAGCCAGACCCAAGCCGATGTCATCCAGATCCCTGTTGATCGTCCGGCCATGCACGAGACCACGGCGCTGGGAGCCGCGATCGCAGCTGGCTTCGCGGCCAACATCTGGCAGGAATTCGAGGAACTCAAGGACATGAACCGCGCCAACCGCACCACCTTCCTTCCCCACGCCTCCCCCGTACAGAGCAAGAAAATGTACCGCCAGTGGACCAAAGCCGTCGAGATGTCGCGCGGCTGGATCGACACGAATGAAATGGACGGCGAAGAGAACGGCGAGAACGGAGCGTAATAAGCTTCGCTCGTCCTTGGTGGTTTTTTTTGTTTTCGATCATTGAATTAGCGATTTAGCGTCCTGGTTTTACATTGTCTGCACTCGGGGTTATGGCATGGCTACATGGTTCAGGGGTTCGGCCTCATTCGATGGATGGATGGCAAGGGTTCAATTTCTGGGGATACCCCACTTCCATATCGGGTCCACTATCGGTATATACAGCTGCACGGCATTTCACTTATACATATTCATGTCATTGATATTTTAGATAGATTATAATAGGAATGACGTCTTGATGACTGAATGATGTTCCCTATTTAGAATCAGTTTTATATGCTGATCCCTTCCCCATATTGACGGATACATTCACATCATTACTATACAAGATAATCCGCCCAAGGCATCAAATCCATATGGTATCATAACTCGAAGAAATAAACTGTAATAACAACTAATCGCCCGCGATCAACCAATGCAAACCAATCCATCCAAAGCACAAAAGCAACATATCTAAAGTATAAAAAAGGTGAATAAAACTCCTCATTTCCCCTCCGCCCTCTCGACCAACCGATCCTCCAACCCCATCGGCTCCCACGTCTCCTTGGCCTTCTTGTTCTGCACCCAGACCACATCTCCCTGGACGAAGGCCACCACACCGCCTTTGCCCGTCGCACTGGCCGTGATACGGAACAACGGTTGACCGTTTTGCGGATGTGCCTCCCGCAACGGAAGCATGATGAGGCCTTGCTCCAGACACCAGGATTCGAGAATATCTTTGAAAGCGACCTCTTCGAGGATTTTTTGTTTGCGGGGTGGTTCGGTGGGAAGGGGTTTGGATGTGAGTGGGGGTTCGGTAGTGGGTGCAGTTGTGGCAGTGGTTGTGGATGACGGGGGAGGGAGTTCGGCGGCGGCGCGGTCGCCGAGTTGGGAGGCGAGGTCCATGGTTTGCAGACCCTTGTTCCATTCGTCGTCGACGATGGTGAGGTCGTTGATGTCGGAGGGGATTTGGCTGCGCCACCAGGTGAACCATTCGGCGACTTCTTCGTAGTTGGGGTCGTTGGTGAGCCAGATGTAGAGGATGTTGTGCCATTTGGGGAAGAATTCGGCGACGAGGAGGAGGCCCGTGACGTTGGGTTTGAAGAAGTCTTTCCATTTGAGGACGTTTTCGAGAGGTGCGAGGTCTTGGTCTTGTGGGTTGACTTCGAAGTCTTCGCGGAGGTGGCGGCCGAGGCGGGGGAGGAGGTGGTTGCGGAGGCAGGCGTCGAATTCGGAGCCCAGGGCGTCGCGCCAGAGCTCGATGCCGTTGATGAGGCCCTTGCTGAGGTCCCATGTGTCGAGGACGACGCGGAATTTGCGCTTCGCGTCGGAGAGGAGACCGGTTGGTTGCTTGGGGTTGGTGTGGCGCTCGTCGAGGTATTGGAGCCAGGTGAAGACCCACCATGGGAAGCGGGTGCTGTTGGAGGATGAGGTGTGGTGGCGTCTGCTGCTGCTTCGGGGCTTCCATTCTTTCAGACCGCTGGTGAGTTTGGGGACGACGAGCTGGTCCAGGACGTTGGCGTAGATGAAGGAGGGGAGGAGCTCCTTCCAGGCAACGATTAGGGAGGTCACTGGGGCGGATTCAAACACGTCCCAGTCGTTGAGCAGGGCGGAGCGCACGCGAGGGAGCCACAGGGTGTAGAGCATGGTCTCGTAGGGGGATGTCGACTGTCTCTGGGTGTGCTCGTCTTTGGTCTTTCGGAGTAGAAGTGGTTGGAGACGCCGGAGGTTGGAGACGGGGTATGTCGGATCCCTGAGAGGTTCCCATTCTTCCATCGCTTGACGGAAAAGAGGATGAATCGCGGCGACGGCCGTTTCAGGCAGTCGGTATTCGTCGAGTTCGTTGCGGTACTTCATTTCCATAGATTCCAGCTTGTCGGTTAGTTCGTCGAACTTCGCCCGGGTGTCTTCCTTCTGGAAGATTTCTAGCTGTCCGATCGCTGCGACGAGCTCAGTCAGCTGGTCGGCTTTGAGCTGATTCGTGTCCAGCTGTTCCACGACTTGGGCCTCCTCGAATTCAATGTACTTCTTCCTCTCTGTCAAACCCTTCCACTCATCCGCAAACGCTTCCAGGTCGTTTCGGGCGCGCTGCGCAATTTTCCAGGCCTCTCCCTCGCCTTGAGTGACGAACGTCTGCGGCGTCATCAAACCAGCGGTGGACGTCAGCACCTTCTGGTCCTTGCCAGTCGCATCGATCAGCGATTTCAGGACATTCGGAACCTCCAAGCCCTCCATGTCCTTCTCCATCTCGCGCGCAGTCCGGAACTGGGGCTTCGCGCGAGCCACCGGGGTCCCTGTCCCACTCCTGCCCTCTCGTTTGCACTCCTCCTTTTTCTTTTGTCGCCTCTTGCGCTCCTCATCCGAGCTGTCGTCAACGGACTCGCCCCGAAGAGCTGCTGCCCGTTTCTCCTCCGTTCGTGCTTGCTTCGTCTTCTCACGGACCGCACCCAAACCGGCACCCTGGGGACGAGCCTGAGCCTCGATCGGATTGACGATACCTTGCCCAGAAGAACCGAGACCCTGTCCCTCGATGTAACCCATCTTGGCCATCATACGCGCGGCGAACGAGTTGCCTCCCGAGGAGGCACCTTTGCCGGCATTGTTGTTGCCGCCTTTCATCGCTGATTGCGCGCTGTTATTCCATGGATTGCGACGGGCACCGCCTAGGCCGCTGTGAGAGGGAGGCGACTCGGAGCGAGATGACGCGCGAGCAAAGCCACGGAAGCCCATGGTTGGGCGATAGGCTTCTTCTTCTTCTTCGTCGGGGCTCATGTCGGCGATTTTGCGTTTTTGGCCGGCATAGGGCGAAGACGGGGGGGAGTCCATGACCGGACCGGAGGGAGCAAGGCGACGATAAGGAGGGGCTGAGATTATGGGGAGGGAAACGAGAGAAGGCTCAGCAACATCACGAAGATATCAGGAAGATTATTGCTTGGTAGATGGATGAAGCTAACCGGAGGTGGATCCGACCTGGCGAGTTCGGGGCGGGGAAATGCGCTCTCCGAAGCAACAATGACGTTGAACTTCCTCGTCCGGTTTCTTCCCTTCTTCCTTTTTTCTGCAACTCTCCTCTCCCTCCTCTCCTCCAGTATACGGTAATAGCGTCGCTCGGTTTTTCACATTCCATTTACAATGGCTGCCACTCTCTTCCGCACCTCTGCCCGCACTGTCCTGCGCGCCGGAGCTTCGGCTACTCCCAGAGCTGCCGGTATCGCGGGCTTGACTTTTGCCCGCGGCAAGGCCACCCTCCCTGACCTGACCTGTACGTGCTCAGCGGCAACCTGTAGAAGGATCTAGGACCCGTCACGGAACTGACCCTATGCAGACGACTATGGCGCTCTCGAGCCCGCCGTTTCCGGCAAGATCATGGAGCTTCACCACAAGAACCACCACCAGACCTACGTCAACAGCTACAACACCGCCATTGAGCAGCTCCAAGAGGCCCAGGCCAAGAATGACATCGCAGCTCAGATTGCCCTCAAGCCCTTGATCAACTTCCACGGTGGTGGTCACATCAACCACACTCTCTTCTGGGAGAACCTGGCTCCCAAGAGCGCCGGCGGTGGTGAGCCCCCGTCCGGAGATCTGTCTACGGCCATCAACGACAGCTTCGGCAGCCTGGAGGAGTTCCAGAACAAGATGAACGGTGCTCTTGCTGCCATCCAGGGCAGCGGCTGGGCCTGGCTTGTCAAGGACAAGCAGACCGGCAACATTGCCATCAAGACCTACGCCGTAAGTCCTGCAATGGCCAAAATAAAGCGATTAGCTAACAGTTACGCAGAACCAGGACCCCGTTGTCGGTCAGTTCCAGCCCCTGCTGGGTATTGACGCCTGGGAGCACGCCTACTAGTATGTGCACCTCTACCGACCATTGACTAGATCAAAGCTAACGTTGTTTTTAGCCTCCAATACCAGAACCGCAAGGCCGAGTACTTCAAGGCCATCTGGGAGGTCATCAACTGGAAGGCCGTGGAGAAGCGTTTCTCCGCGTAAACTCTTCCTGAAACGAATATATATTGGCGCAGCTTGATTAGCGATTGTGACCTGCGTATTATGTGTACTATGGATTTTGGAACTAATCAGGCTGCATGGATGGCCTTAATGCAATGCAGTAGTAATGGCACCCTTGTCTCGTATATACAGTCCAGTACCAAGCAAGATCCCGTGGCGTAGTGCTTGTGTGGCTGAAACTCGGCAGTGGCGGATGCCAGCTCCGTCACATCCGGTAATACCGCAACCATAATCTTATCGTGTTTCAGTTTCATCTGCAGCTTCATCTTCTCTTCACTCCTCCGATCCCAATTTGCCTACCATGTCAGCCGACAGCCCCGGAGAAAAGCGTGGCTTTCGGGCCTTCTTTGCCCATGCTCTCCGACCCAAAAAATCCCGACAAGTCCTCCGCAAGGGCTCCTCCGCATCCACCCCAGACCTCCGAGCCGAGTTCCAGCGATCCAGCATAACCAGCGAAGATGTCCCTCCGTTGCACTCCCTGGCCCCATTGGAGGCTCATCGCCTCAAATACCGCGAGATCAATGCCAACAAAGACACTCAGCTCGGTGAAAGCCGCGATCCCACCGAAATGCTGCACGCCATTGGAGTTCAGGACATCGATCCCGCGGATCCCTATGCCAACGCCGAGTTCGACACTCGCCCTCCTGGCGAGCCCATGATCGCCAGCCTCTCCCCAACTCTCTGGGCCCTGGTATTCGAGTACCTCACGCCTACCGACCAAGCCAGCCTCGCCTTTACCAGCAAAACCTTCCATTCTCTCCTCTCCTTCCAAGATCCCTGGCAAGCCCTGAACGACCCCTCCAACCACGACTACAAAGCCGACTTCCTCGTCACACAAGACCGACAGTATCCCCATCACCTCCTTTGCTTCCCTTGCGCACGTTATCATCGCCGCACGCAGGAAGGCCACGAGAAACTCCAACCTGCCAATGTAGTCAACCCGCTCTTCGACTGCCCGAACATGCGCAACCCGCTCCTCCCACCTCCACGACACCGCATCACCCACGGCCGTACCATGCCCTTCAGCTTCGTCCAGCTCGTCATGCGCGCGCACCGATTCTCTCCCTCCTATGGCATTCCCCCGCAATCCCTCTCCCGCCGTTGGCGCCGCGACGACTGGTCCCATCATACCCGCTTCCACATCCACAAAGGCCACCTGCTGATGCGGGTAATCAGCACGCGCTTCGCCGATCCCGGCCTGCCTCCCAGCTCACAACGACTCCTCCTATACTCCCGCGAAGACTACTGGCCATATTTCTCCGCGTGCGCGCACTGGCGCGACGGCGAGCTCATGAACGCCTGCAAATGCGCCCTTGGTCACATCCCCGTTCCCCGCGACACCAGTGCCCTCCAGGGTCTCGAACACCGGGCCAAAGATGTCATGGCCCGGCGTCTCCACAACCCTAATGCCCTGACGACACTATGCGGGAAATGTCGCCCCATGCGTCGCTGCCCTGAATGTCCGTCCGAATACCTCATTGAGATTAAGTTGACGGAGGATCGCGCAGATCCGCGCGCACTGCGCTTCCGGCACGCCATTGTGGTCACACGCTGGTGTGACCTGGGGGATGGAAGCTCCCCGCGGCTGTCGAGGGAGTGGGCGGCGTGTAATGGGCTGTTGGAGGGGTATGATTCGTTCCAGATGTTAGGGAAGCGGTCTATCTCGGGGATTTTTGAATCGTCGATTACGGATGATACGTTACCTGGACAGCGCATTATCTCGATGAATCCGAAGGGCAAGAAGATGGGTGAGGAGGGAACGGGGTGGTATTGACTATCTTGTCTGACTCTGGCATTGTATTGTTTTGGTTGTGTTTTACTGGTTGTTTGAGCTATGGACGGGAGTTTCATGGTTGGTGCATTGGGCCGGCGGATAACCGATATAGACTGACAATGGCGTGCAGGTGTGATGCTTTTGTTTCATTAGTAGGCATACATATGAATGTACTTTAGACTGCAGTCTACCTAATTACCTTTCACATCGCTATTCCTATACCCGACAACAGCCCTAATTCACCATACAACTATACCTCGATTCATCCTACAATTCATCCTACAATTCATTCTAATCTTGAGTTAATCAAAATCAGCCATTCCCTCGTAAGATAGTCACCATCCAAGACCTATAAAGCCCCCCTTTCTCCTCCTCAACGCCCAGCATCCATCTCTTCCCAACTCCTCCTTCTAGACCCTCATCCATCACCTAATCTACTCTTCTAAGATATCTACTACCCTTTCCAACCTCCCAGAAATGCGTTCCTCCAAGCAAAACTAAACAACAAAACAACCGTCCTTACAATACTTCCTACATCCACCAATAACATATAATATCCCACCAAAAATAGACAAAAAAGTCTCCACATACCTGCGTCGAATGCTGCCATATATATCCCCACTCGCTTAGTAAAAAGAAGGGATTGATTGAAAATCCAAGCCCTTTTCTGGGATCGAATGAAGCATCAAGGAAGTGGAAGTATCTCCTTAACGCGTTTGTTCCACGTATTGGGATAAAGACCTGTTTGATACGGCACCTGTCTTGCTGTCTTTTGATACTTGACAATATCAAGAGGAGTGAATGTTATCGTGGATGATGATAAGAAGATGTTTCAACATATCGAAGTCACAAATAATGTGCTGCTGGATTGTTTCATTCGCAGATTATCGGAATCAGCTCTGTGATGTATATGTCGACCCTGACCACGATGATGGGGGTAAAGGCCAAGTTGCTATGTATATGAAGGATCTAAAGCTGACATATGGGTTTATATCCACATATGATGAAACAATGTATGTTTCGTTGTCAAGTGCCTCATTCTATGTATGACATGCTAGATACTATCACACACCGATGGTTGCGGTGTCCAAGTCAGTATACGACTGTGCACAAGCTGACGATACAGCACCGAAATGTATTCAATATTCCATTAATGCCTGTCTATGGACAAGCCAGGGGGGTGTCATTGCTATTAGTCTACCCTGTTGGGAGAAACACATCATCATCTGGCATAATCTGGCCGGTTATCCAGATCGACTTCATACTAATTATTTGGTAACTTCGAATTGACTGCCTGGATGAACTTGGAAAGAAAATGAACGAACAGTAGAGATGGTTAGACTGCTTTAACTGCCTCGTCACTAACTACTATCTACTTTAAATTGCAGTTGGACTCACTTTTTGCACTCACTTTGTCTTCACCCACATATTCACCACCTTGTCTTGAATCCACCACAAAATCAAGATGGTTACAAGTCAGGATGAAAGACCCTTCTTATTAATGAGACTCTTCTAATGAAAAGAGGACAGCCCTTCGGGGAACTTTCCTCTTCGAGTTTTCTGTACTTAAGCTAAGTACAACATACATTTTCACGTCATTCGTTCCTTTCTGAACATGACATATGGGGAAGATGTTATTTTGGCCTTGAGCCAATATCTCTGTCTGAAGACAACAAGACCGACCATGGAGGTGAAATTCACCTGGCTGCCAAGGGGAAAAGCCTACAAAAGTATGTCCATCTTGGAAAGTGCCATTGAGGCCCAGTCTGCTTCCAAGTCTGATGCCAAGTCGGGGTTGATTAATAGTGATGGCCGGCCACTCAAAACTGGGGACATCATAACCCTCAGAACAGACGATCCGGTGAAACGCCCGCTCCCTTCCCTCAAACTCCTAGAAATGCAGTGGAAACTGCATCAGGTTGCGGCTTTGAGCGGGGGTGAAGCAGACATGTTCCAATACGATGACGGACGACGTCGAAGAATCCATCAATGGAAAGACTGCAGCTGCCCAGAAGGAGGAGGCAACGCCCAAGATGATTTTGAAAGAAACGAAAAAAGAATAAAATTAAAAATAAAACACAGGGGAAGATTCATCAAGTTGCTGCTCTGGCCGAAGTCTACAATTATAATGACGACAGTGAAGAAGTTGAAGAAGCCATGGAAGCAACTCCTGCTCCTAAGGCGGAGACTCCCAGAAAGGGTTTCCTCAGAAGTGAGGAAAACACACCTCACCTCCCGCGAGAAAATCACCAAAGACCAAACAGCAGGGAGGGCAAACTGAGCCCTGGTTTCGCGACTTCCTTTGCGTTAAGACACTTAGGTTAGGTAGTTCATGATTTTCTTAATGAGTAGTTTTAGCATACTGGCCGGCCTATCTGGCACATTACACTGTATATGATACAAACTGACCTTTGCTACCTACCATCTTCAATTCGAGTGTTCAGAAGTCACCCAGGGCCAAACTCCAAAGATCTGGAGGGAGCTAGGGATCATAGATAGCTGGTCATTGATTTCTCGACTTTCTTTGCGTGGATGATTCTCTAAATGGAATATACTAAGTATACTGGCCTATCTGGCTCATTACACTGTATGTAATACAAAATCAACTCTTTCTTCTATCTTCCCTTCTAGATAATATGATGTCTCTAGCCCCTGATTCTGAATGAAATCAGATGCGCGCAATCCCTCAAATCTAGCTAAGCCAAGCACAGCAAAAGTCAAACAAAAATCAAGTCATAATCTATCTATCAGCCTAACAGAACCTACTACCTAAGTATGTTGCTAGTGTAAGTAGCCAGCTACGTAGGCACAAGCAAGAAATATCCGTTCCCTTTCCAAGAGTCTGAATCAACACAAATGGCCGCCACGACCACCCAATAGAAAATATCAACAATGACATATAACCGGTTGGCCATTAGTCCATCGTTTCTCTCGTCGTTCTCTGCTTCTTATTCCTGGTTTCGAGCGGTTTTGCTTTTATGTCGTGTGGGTAATTAGTACCTCGCTGACGAATTCTTGTGCATTTCGAGACGGGTCTGTGAGGGCTTGGGGGGGCTAGATATTGACCTCAAAGGTTTCCATATGTAGGGATGTAGTGCACTGTTTCAAGTCAAGTCAAATCATAATCTATCAACCTAATGGAGCCCGCTATGATGCCAGCTATGTGGTGGTGCACCATCTCAAGTGACTACTAGTCTGCTAGATTGGAAAGAATCTGTAACATTCTGATTTGTACTGAATTAGTTCTTAACCATAGGGATTCATTTAATAATCATAAATGTAGGTAATTCGCGTAATCGTCACAACAAGCATAATATGATATCAGTGCCAGCCAGATACCATGGGTATAGCAAGCAACAAAGGGTAGCAGCCACCAATACTGGTACAATCCGTGCCATCTGCAGACATGTAACTCATAGGGTATCGTGAGGTCATAACGGTCCAGGAAAAGAGTGAGCAAGGAAAGATGATACAAAGGAAATAGAGAAAGTAATCGTGGCCCGCTCAGCCACGACGAGACCGTCGGTCCATATACCTGGGTCGTCGGACAGAATCGTCATCATCCCGGGCTGCATGTCTGCCTTTTGGAGCAAAATCGTCCATGACAGGATTCGCCGCGCCCATGTCGATCGTTCGAGGAGGCTCAGAAAAGTCCCGGGCATCTGCCAGTCGGCTGGCTTTGCTCCTGACCAACGCGCCAGTAGCCATGCTAGTCTTTGCAGGAGACTCGGGCTCGTGTTTCTTCCCGAGACCGCTAGCTCCCTTCATCCAGCCGAAAATCCCAAGTGAGCTGCGTCTCTTGTGCTCCTTGCTGCCCGACGTCGGCGGCCTGGACATGGCACTGCTCATGAAACTTTCGGTAAAGGAATGTGGAAGCGTTCTGTGGATGTCGTCGGCCTTGGCGATGGTATGAATTGGAGCCGAGACAGAGAAACTAGAGCCACGAGTTTCGGCCTTGCTCGTCTTGGTCAACTTAGCAGGAGCCTCGTCCCGTGCTTTGCGAACTATAGGGGCAGGAGCTCCATCGTCTGAATCCGTGGGGTCCGACATCAGGGATGGCTGGAGGCGACGAGGGGGTGCTGAGCGTGCAAAGAAAGGGGGCCGGAGGCTAATCCTTCGCCCAATCATCCGACGATCCAGATCAGGCTCAGGCTGTGGACCAGAGTCTAGCGACTGCAAGTCAAGCGTGGGTATCATGGAAACATCCGAGTCCCTGACGTGGGAATCCATGCTGTGCCGACGACCAAGGAAAGAAGACTGGCTGGGGACCCGTGCACCCAGGGGCCGGGGATTTGCCGGTTTGGGGGCAGTGTGCACCAGACCCGGTTCCCGTCTGCGGTGGGAATCCGATTTGGCGGCCTCAATCCAATCTTGAGGAGTCAGAGGGGGTGATGAAGACAATGAACTTTCAGAGTCCTCTGGCACAGAACCAGGGCGCCGCGTCGAACCGTAGTAGTTGTTGTTGTCGAGTTTTGAAAGCACCCTCCCAAGGCCCTCGCCATCGAGAAACGCATCCCGATCATAGTAACTAAGGTTCGTCTTATCGAGGGACTCCGGGAAGTACACTCCCCCGTCTCTCGTAATACTATTCAAAGGAAAGATCGCAGGCGATTCGTCTCCTCCATCGGTCAATCGAGTAAGTGTGACGTTGCTCACGTTCATCTCCACGCTATCCACTGCTGCACTGTTACCGGGGCTTTGCCTCGTTGTGAGCGCACTTGCAGAGCGCGGACGGCCGAGTCTGTTTTTCATAGGCAAAGCGTGGTCAACAAGGCTCTTTTCTGCGACGATACTGCCATTCGATCGATTCGGGCCATTTGCGTATGCGGTGCTCATGGTGTCGGGGGTGGGCGGCAATCTCGTGCTACCGAACACGCTATCCACGCGTGTTCTCTGACTAGAGCCATTGTATGACTCACTCTCAAAGCTTGGGTTGTCTGTCTTAAGGAGGTTGGGGACAATATTTTGCTTCGGAACATCACCGAGAAAGGTACCACGTTGCGGCTGAATCCAAGATTCAATCCGGCTTTGATTCACGGCCTCCTCAGCGGATACCTCAGCTGGCTCTGTGGCCTCAATTGAGTCATGTTTCACCGGAATCTCTAACTGGTCGTCTGCCGGGTCAGGCGGATACAATTCACTGCATTCACTCAGAGCACTGAGCCTTGGAGATTCCGGTTCCTGGAATTCGCTCATGGACTGGAAACTTTCCGATTTTGTGGTTTCACTGAACGCTGAACGCGACTGGTCATCCGTGGTAGAGACATCTGGCAGTGCTGTGGTGCTCTTGGTCTCATCGGACAGAAACGAGGGTGCGCGTTGGAGATAACGTGACTCTGAGGATGTCCGCCGATGCTTGGGAACCAAGGTACCTCGCTTCGAGGACGTCCTCTCCGGGATGTCAATTGTGGTGGTTTGCCTAGGGGTCGTGGCACCGGGATCATCGTCTTCATATGCGCGAGCCGTAGAGGGTCTCGACGTATCCGCGCCGGCTTGCAGCTGTGCCACTTTATTTTCCAAGAGACAAATCATGCCGACCGCCTCTGTAATTGCTTGGTCACGCCTGTCGATTTCCTGTCGTAGTTGCTCGTTGGACTCCCTTAGTCGCTGGTTGTCCGCTTCGGCATCTCTAAGCTCCTGAACTTCGTCTTCCAGGCCTCGCAGACGTTGCAGCTCTTCTTCCATGCTCTCCATGCACTGTACCTTTTTCTCCAGGGCAGCCATTTGCTGTACACGATGGAAGATCTCGAGTTTCAGGTCGAAGTTTTGCTTATTAATTTTGGAGACGTACTGCCATCAGGTTAACTACTGCCAGCCCGGATCGAATGCTTGCACTTACTTCTCCCATTTCCCTGACACCCATTTCATGCGGTTGTCGGAGACCCGAAGAAAGCGCGGTCTGGATTTTACGCTGTTTCTCCGACCCCGCTTCTTCCTGGGACTGCGATCGGGATTGCGACTGGGTCTGCGCCGGCGATTGAGATCGGGACTGGGGCCGGGAGTGAGATCGTTCCGGCGTGCGCGGGGCGCCGTGGCCAAGGTCTTCCGATGCAGCCCCCTTGGGGCCTCGATGTGCGCGTTGTTCGTTCAACAGATCTTGGAGGAGGGCGGAAGAAGGGTTGACAAGCGATGGAGGAACAGGCTCTGGGGTACCTGTTTGTCCAGCACTAGTCAGCGTCTGCGCTCCCTCCCTTGTGTGTATCTCGGGTAGTGACATGTGCGTACCGGCTCTGGATCGTTGGGGTGTTCTTGGGGTTGCGGTTCTCGGCGTAGTTGACATTGGCGATGCGTCGTTGAACCACGACATTTCTGCAAAGCAATTAGTACAGTGCACATTCCCTCGCGAGATGATTCGCACCTGAACTTATTTGCGACGGAGAGGAGTCCATGGCGATCGTTCCCTTGACCCGTGCAAGGGCAAGAGGCTTGGGAGGAGCAGACCGTCCTGTAGGGCACAAAGAATCAGTCAGTAATTATCCCCGTCATTGTCTGTCTCATGTCCCTGGAACAATCAAGGGATGGGGCTCTGGAGGATGGCTCACGCTTCAGCTTTGGATCGGTTTTGACGGACGCGGTATCGGTCGGAGGCGAGGTGGCTGAGGAGGGAAACGAACAATGTCGCAGGGAAGAAGGGGTGGTTGATTGCACCGAGACGGTGCTCCGTCGCTGGCGATGTCGGTCCATGGTGAGTGCGGGCAAGTAGCCTAGCTAATGCGCATAACTGACAAGACGCGCGATGCCAGTTAGACTGCAGTAGGTCGCAGGATCGTATCCACAGGACGCAGGTGGTTTAGAAGGATCGCGACGTGAGTCGACCGATAGAGCAAGGAGAAAAAGCAATGTCTCAGCTGGGAGGAGAGAAAAGGCGCCTGGAACGACGATTGGTGACGAAACGAGGCCCACAGCGTCCAAGCGTCTAGCGGGAAACGGCGAGAGGGGGAGTTCGGGGCAGTCGGAGACGGGAGGAACAAAGAGAAGCGACGGCGGGCGGCTCTAGGATGGCAAAGGATGAGACGTGAGGGGAGCGAGGAGAAAAGTGTGAGGAGAAAGTGTGACGAGTCGATCGTGGATCCTCGCGGCCAAGAAAGGGACTCAGTGACAGGAAGGCGATCCCCACACTGCACAATAAATACATGGGGGATTTCCCTGGGAGCGATCAGGATCTTGGTCACGGTATGCCTGCATGCATGCATGCGTTGGATTTGGGAGGTTCTGTGGAATGTGCAGTGGTTGCCATGCAACAGATAAATGATGATGATGAATGCCAACGCTGATGGGAGGATGGTTGAATATTGAAATCCAGGTGATGGTGATGGTGATGGTGATGATGATGACGATGATGAAAGTGAGGTGAGGACAATACTCCGGGCCAGGGTGGACTCGAAGGGGAGACGGTGAAAGCAACGAGATAGGCTCAAGGAAGGATTGCAAAGGAGACTAAATTAGCGGGCAGTCCACCAGGCAGGAACTGGATCCCGCGGCGGTCCCATCTGGCTGGCCCATCGTTGTTGGCGGTGGTGAAACCATCCAATGACGGCCGCCACGGCCATCCCTTGCCAGCGCCCGCCCATGGAAGTCCCGGCCACCCGCCCAGGGCTGGACTGCTGCTACTCGCATCGTCTGGATTTTGGGCTCGCCAATGATGATGGCTGGGTAGAGGCTGGGAGGATCTCACCACTGCACCCTACTGTAACCATCCATCCCATCACACACATGGGTCGGTCCTCCTCGAGGGGTACTTCATCAGGGGAGAACCAATAACACTGGTCTTCCCACCATCTCCTCTATTGACTAAAATCTCACAATCCCCTCCTGGGATGGGTTCACACCATTAGAATGCTGAATAGAAGCGCCAGGACTGCATGCGAATCTGATCCGTCAACTTCCACAATTCTAGAGGAGCCCCACGCTTCAGTTCCAGGGACCCATCGGCCGCCCGTGGTTCTTATCCCCGCCACACCTGCAATCGTCGACCTCCATCTCGATCGCCCGTCTCAGGCACTCTATCGCGCCCGTGCCAGATAAGTTGGCGCCCCATGGTTCTCCATGGCTCGGATTGCGCAGAAATCGACTGCCATTTTTCCGGCTGACCACGGTAGGTCCCTGACTCCTAGGCATTTTCTCCGCCTGTCGGAGCTGACCTGTCCCTGCCTTATCTTGGTGAACAACGACCGCGTGATTTACCACAGCACGGAGCCCGGAGTAGATGTAACGATCAACGACGTGGGGGATGCAGCGATCTATCGGGATGTTCCTGTGATTGGCTTGGACGAATTGCCTATCCGGTCGTTTCAGTCGAGCTGAGGGTTCAGACTATTGTCCGAATAGCTGGTTAGCAGCATCGGCATCAGCCTCAGGTTTAACTTTGTTACAGTCCCGGGACAACAACGATTAGCATCAGTTACCACCAGCTGATACGCATAGCTTTAAGGTAATCATATCCCATGCTTAGTTCATAATTAATGCTGTGTATAATCATAACGGCGAGCACAGCTCAACCCTCCACATCATCCTTCAACACTAATAACCTCGACATCATTTCTTCTTTGCCTCTCCAGCCCAGATACGCGTCTCCTTGGCACTATCATGAGCAACCCGGAATACTAAAAAGTCAGCCACACATCACCGCATCCACGGGAATAAACATACACTGCCTCTCCGTCTCATCCAGCCCTCGCAAGAAATCCGCGCCCTGCCCTAAAGCGCCCTGCGGGTTGTGCGCATGGTCCGCGATCTCTGCAGATCGCTTCTTAAACGTCTATCCATCCACAATTAGCCACCTGCACGCAACATCCACAACAAACCATACATTACTCAACACCTCCACCATTTCCTCCTCTTCAAAAAGCTCCAGAATGCGTTCACTCAGACTATAGAAATGCGGCGCCAATGACCGCAATTCCACCGTCCTCGGATCAGCCTTTAAGGCATTCATGACCCTTTCCGACAACGCGGAGGGAAGATCCAGCGTAACCAGTCGAGATGTTCCCAGCCGAGCACTTCACTTGACAGTCAGCTACAGCTCACCCCAAAAATCATGTAGACCTACCCGATAGAAAGCATCTCCCCCAGCCATAACGGCAGATCAATGCGCGTCCCAGCTTTAATCTATGAAGCGGTCAGCATGATCTGCATCCGTGAAGAACAACAGTAGCTCCGTTCGCAGACGTACATTTTCTCCCGGATTGCCTTCTAGAATGCCAAGACCGGGCACTTCCAGTTCAAATGTGCAGGGCAGTTTCTAGATAGATGGGTTAGAATGGGTTGTGCTGGTGGGGGTATCACGTACTTGGGAATCTGTTAAGATGGCATCGATATCGTAGTAAGACATGTTGACGATGATTCCGGATGGCCGAATTAGATGATCGAATCTTGTGTAGAGGGAGGGTCAAACTCGTCCTTCATGAGGCGCGTCCCGCATGGCGCGCTGTCACGTGCTGGGTCGCTGTATAGGTCCACCAATGAGAGGGGAGATATTTACAGCCATTGATGGTAGAAGGTCGGTACTTGGCTACGGGGTACTTTTGGATTAGAGAACATTGTTGCAATTATTTAATTCTTCAGTTTGTATATATTGATAGATCACGGATGATTTAAGTTGGGATCAGTAACAGGAGGTTTGACAGTTGATGACGTCATTCAGGCAGGTGTACTGTATGCGAAGCTATCCATCAACACATACATTCGTTACCGCAGCTTAGCTTCATAATTAGATATCTAATCCAGATGAGGGATTTATCTTCTAGTTCAGGGACCTTCAGAAGTATCTCCATACCGAGATAAGCAATTCGCGCGGCAAAACATACCTACCAAGTAGTCACGTACAAACTCCAAGCAAACGATATCTACCCCACACCATCACAACCACAACCAGAAGCAGCAATCAGGTACCTAGTATGAACAGACAATTCCACTCCCCTTACCAAGCAACATCCCGCACTCCTATCACGATCCCAATTTTGATTCGCCATATCTCCCCTCCAACAATACAACCACACTACACCACACCAAACACACCAAAATGACTCATGATGGACACCATACCACCCACACCACAAACCACCTAGTTAAACCCCCTCCTCAAAACCCATCACCTCATGAAAACCTAGAATCACGCCATAAAATCCCTTCCCATACAATCCTCCCAATCCAAGATCAAAACCCCAGCCACAATGGATTCCAAACCAATCATCTTCTACGACATCGCTTCCGGCCCGCCTGTCACTTGCTTTGCCCCGAATCCCTGGAAGACGAGATACATACATACCCCAGTTCCATTCCAAAAACATTGGCTATTCCCCAAGCTGAAGAACCATTTCTGAATTGACCAAATAAATACAGATACGCCCTAAACTTCAAATCCCTCCCCTACCAAACCCACTGGACCGAACTCCCCACCGTTCGAAAACACCTCAACGCCGCCCCAAACCGCACCTTCAGCAACGGCCAACCATTCTACACCCTCCCCATCATCCACGACCAATCCACGAACCATCGGCGATTCGTTCGACATAGCGGTCTACTTGGATGAAATATACCCAAACGGTTGAAGGGTTTCCCGCCGAAGACGATAGCTCTGCAAGCAGCGTTCAATAAACAGGTAGATTTACTGTTCATGGAGTTTTTATGTTTGTTTGTGCACGGATTGCCGTTTAATCCGGTCACGGCGGAGAAGTCGAAAGCGGAGTTTGTGAGGAGGGCGGGGAAGAAGTGTTGGGAGGAGTTGACGGTGAGGGGGGAGGAGCCGGTGTATGCGGATTTGGTGGTGGGAGGGTGGTTGAAGTGTTTTGAGGTTGCGTTGAAGGAGTGGGAGGTTGTGAGGGTGTGGCATGGGGGGTTGTGGGGGATGTTGGTGGCGGGGTTGGAGAGGTTTGCGGTGGTTGTGTAGGTGGTTGCATGGATGGGATGGATGGATGGGGTTTGGTGGGGGGTTGTTCTTGGGTGTGGAGTATTGGGGGATTGTATTTATACTGTTGTGTTAGTTTGTATCTGGGAGAGTAAGTTTAGTAGTCATCATTCTGCATCAAAGGGACAAGCAAGGAAGGTTAATGGAGGAAACAGAAACTAGATATCTCAAATCTGTCCATATACTAGGTGAGAGGGACGGAAGGCAGAGTCTACTGGGGCCCAGAATACCATTTGGCACACATACCGTTCCTTGAGCACATGATTAACAATCTGTACCCAGGAGTTTCAGCGCTACCATATTCACTCTACATCTGTACAATCTGGGACAGGTGAAACAAGTCCCACTGACACGTCAACGCGTCCCCAGGCACCACTATCATTGGTCTGCAGTGGAAAGTGGATTTTCGCGATTCCTTGACATCTATGATAATCTCCAGATCTGATTGGCCCCTTTAGAAGGTTGTGGCTTGATCTGGATAGGCCTAAGATCTGGTAGATTAGATATCTTAGATCCGAAGATCTACTGGTTCAGGGGCAGTAGTGAATGAGTTGGCATTGGGGCTCTCATGACAATGCAAAAAACACCGATTAATTCCTCCTACTTTATCATCTCAGTGCAACAGGTAACACAAGCCAGTAGACCATACCTAATTACCTGAAACTAAAAGTAATATCCGAAGCTAGCTTCACTAGTCCATTGCTTAAATGAGCTTATCCCTTATCACCTAACATCAATCTCACTACTATGTCACCATTTAAGTGCTTACATTGATCCATTACTAAGATTCCTAGAAGGATTACCAACGCCTTCAATATTCTTGTCAATCACATACATGCTTCATAATCATATAGAGAGTATCAAAAATTCAAACAAATTACCCATTACTAACAATTGATAATCAAAGTACCCTGAGATACGAATCCCAATGTCATCATATAACCAGGAACATCCTTGACGCCGTATAAAAAGCACAATGTTACACAACCAACGCAAGCACTAACTACCCCAAAGCTTCATTCAACCTCATCACTCTACATTTACTCCAAAATGCCCACCGTACTAATCACCGGCGCAAACAAAGGTACCACAACCCAACCCACCACCACCCCACCCCCACCATCTACAACTAACTCCCCCTTTCCCAAAACCAAGGCATCGGCCTCACCCTCCTAAAAACATACCTCACCCGGCCCCAAACCACCGTCATAGCAGCCATCCGCAACCCAAACACCCAATCCCCCCTCCTCCTCACCCTCCCCACCGCCCCCTCCTCCCGTCTCCTCATCGTCCAAATCGACTCCACCTCCAACACCGACGCCCCAACCGCCATAACCTCCCTCCTAGAGCAAGGCATCACCTCCCTCGACATCGTCATTGCCAACGCAGGCATAGTCGATCCGTCAGCGTTCGTCCCCGTCGCTGATATCAACATCGCCCAGCTCCAGGAACATCTCGATATCAATACCGTGGGGCCTGTGCGATTGTTCCAAGCTACGTTGCCTCTGCTTAGGAGATCGCCGCGCGGGAGGTTTGTCGTGATGAGTAGTTTGATGGGTACGATTGCGGGGATGGGGGACGTGGCGATTCCCATTGCTGCGTATGGAGCTAGTAAGGCGGCGGTGAATTTTTTTACGAGGAAGATGCATTTTGAGAATGAGAGGGTTGCGACGTTGGTGGTTCATCCGGGGTAGGTTTTCTTTTTTGGTTTTTTTGGGGGTGGGTGGTGGTGGTGGTGGATGACTGCTGACTTGTGCTGCTTGTTGGGTAGGTCGGTTAAGACGGACTCGGGGAATGATGCTGCCAGGGCGGTGGGGTATCCTGGGGCGTTTGTGGAGATTGAGGATAGTGTTAAGGCGGTGGTGGAGAAGATTGATACGTTGTCGAAGGAGAATGGGTCGGGAGAGTTTTGGGGGTTTGATGGGAGTGTGATTGCTTGGTAGATTGGGGTTGTTGTGGTAGGGTAGGGATGATGGGGATAGTGTGTTGGTATAGTATGTCTCAGTATTTTGCCTGTTTCTTTCAAGTTCATGTCTATGCTGGTGTAAGATATTGCATGTCTCGGTCGATAGATGATCATTAGCATACAGGGAGAAAGATGGCTAGATAGATAGATACCGGGTTATTGATGCTATAAGAGGAATTGACAACACGAGCTCCGTTTCGCCTAGTTATGGCTCAGAATTCATAGGGTCGCGCATACAATACACTTCTTCGGGGTCCTCACGTATCGACTCCAAAAAGATGTTTCGTGGCGGGACTTAGAAAAAACCTCTCCCACTGCTCCCATGCCATGGTGGTATAGTGCTTTAGTTCATCTCTCGATCTATAGATCCACATAGCGTCTTCCGAATCCAAGGCCACCGTACCCGGATCGACTACCTGTGCCAGCCGAAGGGCATCGATCCCGTGGTGGAAGAACTTTTCACCTCCAGTTGAAAATCGAGGTCCGCCAGCGGTTATCAATTTGCACACCATGAGTCTTCCTGGATCAAGGAAAGGCGGATCTTCCGGGTTAACCTCGGTCAAGAGTACCATCCCCTGGAACAATCAAATTAGATGATCTCATCCCGAGAGAAGATGCATAACGAGAGTTAAAGCTTACCTCATCGGCAGGGGGCCGCCTGCGTATGAAGTCTATCTTGACCTTACCACGGGGGGTAAACATGAATAGCCGGTAGTCAAGATGAGAGCTACTTTTGAATATCTCTGGATATTTTTTTTTTCAGAGTAATTTCAATATCGAACACAGGAGGGGCCAGAATGATATCAATATCTTCCTCTCTCTTGTGTGCCTGTCCATTAGATTAGTTATCATAAAGCAGCCTCAGAGAACTGCATTTCATTTACAATAGAAGGCAGACGATCGGGATAATGATGCATGACTGCAAGACCTCCTATAATCGCTATTTTTTGTTGATCCCAATTGATATATTCCTTCCCTAGACTTTGCATCAATTTAATCAACAGAGAAACAACATCCATAAGTTCTTGTTTGCTGGGATTATGCAGGTCGGGGCAGTTTTCGATATCCTTGATAGTCTGTATGGTACGCCTTTCGATGTCCCCTTGAATATCTTCTTCGGAATAGTCTTCGGTACAATCCATGGTGATATAAAAGTTGACAATGGGATATAGTAGTTGACAATGGGATATAGTAGTTGACAATGGGATATAATAGTTGATAAAAATCGGATATAAATGGGCATGAGTTGCCATAGGTGGAATCCGGCTTCTATGGGGCTTTTATAATCGGAGTGGTGAGGAGGATCTGTACTTGTCCCTAGGGGGCGCCTTTCAACGTAACAAAGGGTTCTGGCTGCATTGTTAAGACCCGATGCTTTCTTTCAAATCTTACAAATACTTTTGGCACAATGCACACATTGTTGAAGATTGGCAAATAGAAAGACAATTGAAACAAAGCGTGCTAACAAATCCATTGAAAATTTCTTTGAAGGTTATTCTTGAGGTACGCTAGGGATATGCCTACACTCAGTAGAGTATCATTTCGAGTACAAGGCTTCGGCTAGCTTTGGGGTGATGCATGAATAAACTGGTTGCTCCACCTATGAGATGAAGAGTCGATGTGAATAAATGGGAACGATATTGGATCCACCATAATTGCACTTGGATCTTCCACACTTTGACTCTTTTGGTTTCACGCCATAAAGCATCATGGGCAGGCGACATCATGAGCGTAAACTCATTGATCTTGTAGTCTCGTAATGCCTTTACAGTCTTGTCTCTCTATTGATGAGCCAACTAATCTATCTGACAAAACAAAACAAGAGATAGGAAAATACAACGAAAAAGTTTACAAGGTAAAGCATTAGGAGTCTGCCCCGTAAATTATAAAAGCTTTATATGTGACGCAGGGGATGTTCCATTATCTTCAAGCCCTCGACACACATAATGTGGATAGGCAGCCATTTCTGCTTCGCTGTCTGTCATCTTTGCAGAAGTGCTCGATGCAGTCATGTACTGGCTACTCAAGTAGATGCCAGTTGGGGACTCGTTTGTAATTCGTATGACCCCGGATATATCCTGCCATGTATTGCTCGCTCAGACCACCGTAAGTTGACAGTAGTCCTTTGCAGTATAATAGCCTAGACACGCGCTCTTCATCAATAGCGCTGCTACTTTTCCCTTCGGAGCATAGCTAGTGCTCAAGTGGTTTGTTCGTTGAAGTCGGGCTGAATGGGGCCCATTTTGCGGCGTGATTCTTATCCATGCGCCCAGCTTGCCTCCTTTCTATCTCCTTCAATTGCCTACCTTCACGCCGTAGTACCTTGACTGGAGTGAGGGCATGTTGCACTTTCAAGAGATTGACGGAGAGACGAGAAACCCAGAAATGGCCTATTATGTTCTGGCCTGTGGCTGTAAGATATTTGATAGGCTTGATCCTAGCATCATTTTCGAAGAGCGTTGAACGAGCTCTATTTCAAGTGGCGAAAATGAGTCATTTCTGCGATTATCATCGTTTTGCGGAGGAAATTCTGATGAGAGTACTCCGTGAGTCGGTGATCACAGACAGAATTAATACGCTTTGTCAAGAATTACAGTTATCTCTTTTAAGATATGCGAATAGACTTCCGTATCCCTTTATATCATTAACAAATGTCCTGTACCTCTCGCTTTCTTTTTTCTTTTTCTCATTCCACTTGATTGAGCCTTGTATTTGACCCTCTTCCTTATTTAATATCGACCCCCCATCTTCTTCCTTCTATCTTCTTCCTCATCGGATGCAAGCAGTGTCAGGCAGAGCCCACTGATCACCAACGATGTTCGATACCTCCAACCCCTTTCCATGGGTTCGACCATTCCTCTTCCCTAATTACTATCGGCTTCCCGACCGCCGATCACAAAAGACGTTCGATACCTTCCACTTCTTTCCACTGCTTCCAATCGAACTCCGCTTCTACATATGGTCCCTATATTCCATTCATTACAGGCCCAGGGTCGTCAACATTTCAAGTCGTCGCTGTCACCACCGGGGCTGCAATTCATGGCACCTTTGCACCAAGCCGCTAGCTCAGCTACACGTGAATCGCGAAGCCCGCAGTGAGGCCCTTAGGGTGTACAAGCGCTTCCCTCACATCGATCCTACAGTAGATTCTGCGCCGCACTCTTATATTTATCTAGATCTGGAGCACGATATCGTTCGTATGAACGAGATTGAACTCAAAAAGGTTCCTGTGGCGGAGCAGAAGCAACTGCGCCGGGTCATCCTCGACGTCTACTGCGATGGGTATCTCCCTGACTTTCCTGATGAAATTCTACCGAAAATGGAGCAGTTAAATATACTTGAGTTGGTCATATCGTTATCGCCAGAGAATGAGAAAACTGGCAAGGCTGCCGATATTGCTGAATTTTTTGAGTCGCGATTCGACATAATTGCCTCTAACAACCCAGAGTGGAAGATGCCGCCCGTTAAGCTGACCTGGGGCACTAGGGTCGATTTGGGGTATCTCGAAATGTTGCATAAATATGAAGTAACCTGGATCCAATATATTCATGTGAGCGAGGTTGCAGACCATAAGTTTAGTGGGGATTATGAGGGTATAAGGCCAGAGATGCTATGGGATAAAAATTTGCTTTAATTATGGAGGACAGTGATAAGTATCATATTTCTTACTTGGAATCAATAATATGCCGTGGCAATATGATATTCTCCATAAACAGGTATGGTCTTGGAATACATTCTATAACCAGTGATGTCCATCCATTGCGCCAAGCGTACTAGAGTACCTGCCAAGGGCAGAATGGCCCCAAACAAATAACAACTGCATTTTTTGCAAATTTCTATCCCAGCTCATCATTCACTCGAATTTCACCATTATTCCCTTTGGCTCAGTTAGGGCTGCCATCCTGACTAAGCAGAGTCACATGTCTGCGTATATCTATCACGTGCGTCTATCATCACGATTGCGGAACTTCGTACTTTTCTCGAACTCCCACCTCCCCTCATCCACGCAAACACCTCGTGTCTCTGAAGGCCCCGTCCTTCCCATTCTCCCGTGGGACTTTTGCCTCCCGATGGGTGGATCCCTAGACGCCGCCCTGTACAGTGGACGCTGTCGAGATCCCTGACGATGGCACCTCCGAGCGGGTCGGCGGCATACAAGAAGAAAGATGGCACCCTGACTATAGCCCAGGACAGCCAGTCAATCTCTTGGATTCCGGCGGCTGGTGGTGCAGCTGGGACAATTACGCTTCCAGTTTCTCAGATTACGAGTGCGTCGTGGTCTTCAGTTTGCCTCGCCCGCGCGGTACTTTACTGACTACCGGAATAGATTTGCAACAGACCCCCGCGAGTAACCCGAAAGTGATGCTGAAGATCTTCGTCTTCCCTCCGAATGCCCCCGCCAATTCCCCCGAACAATACGTCTTTTCCTTTACAGCTGGAGCGAATGCGCGTCCCGAAGCAGATGCCATCCGAGATGCGCTCAGTGCTGCCATCCAGGCGGCAAAAACCGCCCAGAATCCACCCGTTAAAGAAGGCGTGTCCCCTGCTATGGCGATAGCGAATGCGGTGTCATCGGCCGGCAAAGTTCAAAATCCATGGGATGACGACAAGCGGCTCCAAGGGGACGTTGAGTTACAACAGTCGCTGCTCAAGTCGAATCCGGTTCTCCAGCGCATGTTCATGGAGTCGCTACATACCAAGCCGGATACGCTGTCAGCTGGACAGTTCATGACTCTGTTCTGGTCGACGCGTCTCCATCTTCTGCGCGCGCATGCAATCGAGCGGTCGCAGACGCGAGGGTCCTACAATGTGCTGTCGACACTGAAGCCGCGAGTGGAAGACAGTGTGACAAAATTGAACATTAGCAAGGAGCAGATTCAATTGATCTTCAACCAGCATCCGCTCGTTAAACGGGTGTACGATGAGAACGTGCCCAAGCTAAGCGAGCAGCAGTTCTGGTCTCGGTTTTTTCAAAGTCGGCTGTTCAAAAAGCTTCGCGGCGAGCGCATCTCGGAGACGGACCCGACTGATATGATTCTGGACAAATATCTCAAGGCGGACGAGTCTGGAAACCTGCCGCGCGATGCGCATGTTCCGCATTTTCTGGATCTGGCTGGAAATGAAGTGAACAACAGCCAACAGCAAGGCAACCGACCCGATGTCGACATGCGCCCGTCCTCGGTGGAGAAGGTGCCTATTATCCGCACGCTCAACAGTCTGAGTGAGAAGATCATGGCGAACGTTGCACCTGCTGACGGTGCGGCGCACACGAGCGCAGGCGAAGATAATACATATAACGAACTGCAGCTGCGCGATCTCCGCGGAGATGAGGAACAGAGTCGCATTCTCCTTAACGTCAAGGACCAGAGTCGCTTTTTCTCGTCGCAGGATAAGTCAGCCGAAGACGAACAAAACAAGCTGTTCGCCCAGCAAGATCCCAATAAGATACTCGGAAATCTACGCGGGGATCTAAGACGAAATCTACCCGAAGACGGAGCCGCGCCGCTGGGGAAGCTGGTAGAGCCTCAAGAGGACGAAGACGAAGATGAACAGAGATTTGTCAACGTGGTTGGCTCCAGACCTAGTCTGAAGCGCGCATCTACCCAAATTCTCGAGGCGATCCGGGACCGTCGTACTCAAACCGAGGGATCTTCTACTGCTGGCACATACGGCCTGTCGCCTGCAATGTATGACCGTTTAACGCTGACGCATGCCACGACGACCGAGTTCCTGCATCAGTTCTGGCAGGCGTTCCTTTCGGGAAATGCGGATCGTGCGGCTGAGGTGGCTTCGCTTGTCGAATCGCTGAACCGGGCCATGGAGCGCATCAAATCGGTAGCGCAAGACGCCGAGACCGAGCGGCATGCGGAGATCGATCGACTCAAGCAACATGCGCGGGAAATGCTAGGGAAGACGGGGAAGAAGGTCAGGCCTAACCTGGCCAGTGTGGCTGGAGGCGAGCAGACCGTCAATCGACTGCTGGGACCGACCGTCCAGGCGTTGGAAACGGCATTGGCCAAATACAACCAGGCTCTGGCAGAGGAGCTGAAGGATGTACCGGCGGGATGATCTGGGATATTGTATGATAGAATAGACATAAATGACTGTTAACGATTCATCGTATTCCTCTGTTAATCGGCATGCCGAGCCCTCCGCTCTCCGCCCTCCGCCTCGGCCCGCCGCCTTCACGCGACGTGTCCCTCACTTCCCTCCTCCATCCAACTACAACCACCAACGCCAATCCAACCCCTGTCTCATGCGCTAATCAACACTCCTCCACAGGAGCATTTACCTCCAGCTCGATACCCCACTTGAATCGACAGAACCCCACAAGCACCCCGAAGATGATAACCTCCGGGCTCACCAACGCCCCCATCTCCAAATCCCTCCTCATCTACACCATCACCTCCTCAGTGGCCTTAGCCATCTTCGACCTCAAGCACCTAACCAATATCCACGTCGCCCCGCATATCTGGCAGTATGGACAGTTCTGGCGCATCCTGGTGTGGCAGGTAGCCGGGTTCGCGAATTCCACCGAGGCGCTGTTCGCCGCAATGCTGGTGTATCATCTGCGGGTTGTCGAGCGCGCGTGGGGAAAGAGGAAATTTGCCGTACGTTGTGCCTCTTTTCCCATCCATATTATTCTCTGAACCTATACTAATCCGAACGATGATGGCGATAGACTTTCCTCTTAACAACACTCCCCTACGCGACCCTCCTCCCACCCCTTCTCTTAATCCTCGTCCTCCGACCCATCACCCTAGGGAAACTCAACTACCTCCCCTCTGGACCCGTGGCCACCCTCTTCGCCCTGTTGGCGCAATACCACGCCTCCATCCCCCATACCTTCCGCTACCAGATCTCTACCGCCTCCGCTTCCCCGTCGACGTCTACGAAAGACCAACCCCAACCGACGAGTAAATTCCTAACCCTCTCGCTATCGGATAAATCTACCACGTACCTGGTCGCTGCACAGCTGGCTCTGTCACAGTTCCCGGCTATGGTTCTCCCCGCTGCGGTGGGGTGGTTGGTTGGGGTGGCGTGGCGGATGGAGTTCTTGCCTGGGACTGGGGAATGGAGGGTTCCGGCATGGGTGGTCGGGGAGAAAGAGAGGATGGTTGTTGCTGGGAATGGAGGTGGCGAGAGTGGACGGTATGAGGATTTGAGGAGAAGGTTGGAGGGAGAGGCGATGGCGGCGTCGGCGTCGGCGTCGGCGAGTTCGTCGGCTGCGGATGCGTCGGGAGAGGGGGCAGGACAGCGAAGGAGGAATGGAGGGGTATAGATTTGTTTCTTGGTTTCTGTAGATATATTGGGGAGTCTGGGATAATGCTAGTGTGTTCTAAAGGTCGTAGGTGTGGTAGACCCGAGGCGTGTAAAGGTATATTTTGGAGGAAGGATTTCTGGCATGGTGTCGGAAATGTGAATAGTACCTCCTATGCTATTATGGTTCAAGACTTGTCCATTGCTTTGCCTTCTCATTTGTGCAGCATAAGGATATGAGGTTTATCAATGATTGGCTATAGTTCATACTGCAACTATATAGCACCTTTTAAAGAAAGAACATGTACATACGACCACAGGGTGTGGAGAACAGGGCTTCCCGTCCGCTCAGCCGTACTTAAGCCACACGCCGGGAGGTTAGTAGTTGGGTGGGTGACCACCAGCGAATCCCTTCTGTTGTATGTTTTTCTTTCTTCTTTGGTTTTTTTACCTTTTTTTTTATTGTTTATTCTTTGAACCCCGAGAACAACATCCGGCCGATCGATTTTTGATTATCTTTACGCATCATAAGGGTTTATTAATGATTGGCTATAGTTCATTAAAGATGTCCATAGAATCTGACAATGAGGAGGACCTACAGCATCAGAAGCTATCCGAGACATCTGGCGATGGAAGCAGAGATAGCAGTGAGCAAGTCAATAATCTGTAACTCAAAACTTAGGTGAATATGGTGTCTAAAATCTCCTGGTCTCTTTTCCAGATTCTACTTCATACCAATGGTCTAGGGACCGGGCCATGTTGATCCACATGCTTGTCGGAAGGTTAAATCTCCCCTGACTGTTATCGGATGCTTTGGCGGTCACTATCGGCAAAATGTATCCAGCTGAACTCTCCATCATCAGTCGGCTGTTATCGTCTCCTATTGTTCTTCTGTGACTGACAACTTACAATATACCGATATCCATGCTAACTCACACTCCTTATTCTGCATGCATAGTGCCATACATACGCAGGACATGACCGTTACCATTTCATCCAATGGTTTCCACTACCAGCTATCCTAGCTCTGTCCTTCGGTATGGGTTGTCCCGCCGGTTTGGCCTCCGCCGGCGCCTACTCCAGGGTCTCTTGATATGTATTGTGACCTGGACGGTCCTGGAGGTGCTCTATATTCATCACCAGGCTTCGACTGTCGACCGAACTGAGAAGCCTCCATCGCACCAATCTGAGCGCCTATTCATCGCAAGCATGCACTGGAACAACGAAGCAATCCTGCGAAGCCATTGGAACAATGCGGTCATAGATCTGGCAAAGACCTTCGGTCCAGATAATGTCTTCGTGAGCGTTTTCGAGAGCGGAAGCTGGGATGATACCAAGGGGGCCCTTCGGGAGCTTGATGCTGGGCTGGACCGACTCGGCGTGCGGCGCAACATCACCCTGTCGGATACAACTCATCAGGATGAGTTATCTGCTCGTCCTCGGGAAGGCTGGATCGATACACCCCGCCAGAAGAAGGAACTAAGGCGCATACCTTATCTTGCTCGGCTACGCAATTTGACCTTGCAGCCACTGGAGGAGCTGTCGCAACAAGGCATTACATTCGATAAAGTACTGTTCCTTAACGATGTGGTCTTTACGGTATGTTTAGATCATGCTGGTGCCGATTTCACGATGTCTTGGCTTATAAAGTCTCATAGGTTGATGATGTGACCACATTACTTAATACAAATGATGGTATCTACGCTGCCGCTTGCTCACTGGATTTCTCAAAACCGCCTCTATATTATGACACATTCGCCTTGCGAGATTCGAACGGCGATGAGCAAGTGATGCAGAAGTGGCCATACTTTCGCTCCGCAGCTTCGCGCAATGCGCTACTTGCGCTGTCTCCTGTGCCTGTCAAGAGTTGCTGGAACGGAATGGGTTAGTGGCTTCCTTTGTATGCCTCTTTCGAAGACTGTAGTGACTGATAGACTGCCTCAGTGGCTATGCCTGTGGGGCCCTTCGTATCCACCTCTCCATTGCGATTTCGAGCCATATCTGATACCCTTGCGCTTTCACACCTCGAGGGTTCCGAATGTTGCTTGATTCACGCGGATAATCCTCTTTCCCAACAGCAAGGCGTCTTTCTGAACCCTCAAGTCCGTGTCGGCTATAACCCCGAAGCTTACACAGCTGTTCATCCTACAGGGGCCTGGTTGTCACTACAATATGTGGCGTTGGCTCTCTGGGAAAACAGACTTCGACGATGGTTTACAACGCCATTCTTCAAAAAGCTGGTCGTCCGCCGAAGGATTAATCATTGGCAAGAAGATCACAGCAACGAGCGAGAACCCGGCGGGTTCTGCCTAATTAATGAGATGCAAGTGCTTGTCACTAATGGTTGGGCGCACGTATGAAGCCTGACTGGGACATTCCTGCATCTGGACGTTTGGCTCATCGTTGAGGCCAGTAAATATTGATATGGGAATCGACATCTTCAAAGCATCATTCACATCCGGCTACCATCTCTTTCGCCCCTTGGAACTCCAGATATAAATTCTACATGCGATGGCATGAACTAGTCATGATCTATCAGCAGCAAGGTTGGTGACCAGGTAAGGCGTAAGCGCCAGATGAATCCCTCGATTTGCAGGGGTCTTTGTCCCAGGCCAATGATATGCTTCTCTGCGGGCCCTTGGCGCTAAAGGCATGGCTCTTATCGGTATCCGACCGGGGCGGCCCGCCTTTCTATTAATCGAGTGCAGTGGAAAGCGCTCGACTGACACCTGAGTTGGCCCTACAGCCTTGTGCGACTTTACTAGCTGGGTGCCAGTTTTGACGTGGGTAATATCCGTTGGTCGCTTTATTCGCCGAGTGCCAGGGGCTGTTTAAACTGCCTCAACGAGCCACCCCAGTTTTCCAAGCGCTACCCTCAGACGGGTACAGGGATGTGGACGCCAATCATCAATCGAGTCACAGTCCTACATTACGCGCCAGTGACTTGGTCAATCAGGTTGATGCAGCCTTCAGAGATACCCCGCGGGCTTAAGCGCAAGCCATTGATAGGATCCTGAGACTCCGAGACTTGCGTAGTTTCTTCATAATCCATACAACATGTTCTGCACTCTCTCGGTTGCGGCCAACGTTCGTGTTTGTCGTTAAGGTCTACAACACGAGTTTTAATATAACAATGGAGCATGGCACCCGGCGTTCTTTACAGAATGGAATCCAGCTTGTCCATATTAGTTATTCATCGTCCAATTTATCATCACAGACACAACTAGGTGGAGAAAGCCTGGACTCAGGGACAACATATGCTGAAGCGTTTAGGTCAACCACCGCGTAAGTCTGGCTAAAGCCTAAGAGAACATGGCTCTTGCTGAACTACTGTGACGTACCAAACAGCGACTCTGGTTCGCATGACGGCCTCTCGCACTCCGACACCAGCGTCTCTGGCAGCGGTTCATTGCCAGCGAAACGGCGCACCCCGCATCGATGGCGCCTGTATATTATGAATGCCCAGAGGATGCTGCACTCGTTCCGGTCTGGACTATCGGGTTGGATGGCACGAGCAAGAGATCGATTGCGTTGGCAGCAAATCCAATCACAAAGGAGAAACTCCGGGCTAGGCGACCACTTTCTGGCTCTCTTGAAGAATCTTGGCATCACATCCTTCTATAATACCTGCTGCAAGATACGTGGCATTGAAGTCACGGAGAGACCCAAGGTTTTCATGTATAGGAGCAAAACGCTTGCATCCATCCGCTGTGTCCTGCACGTTGTTCCTGTTGGCGCTGCATTTGGGCTTTTAATCCTGAACTCGGCAGGTTACTACATCGGGGGTGAATTGTCCGGCGCGTCCGGTCAAGATACGGAAAAGCTGGCTGCGCTAACATTCGCAGCTAAGCTGCATGAACTTCTGATGTTGGCTTCACTTGGATCAATACTGATTACTTACATCCGCAGAGAACTTGCGTTTGGGGAAGGCCTTCCGTTTGGCGCTATATTTACCTCGTTGCAGTTTCAGGATATCAGTTTCCTCTGGTCTCTCAGCATGTGGGGGTCAATCCAGCATGACTGGCAACGAAGGAGCACCAAATGGTTTATCCTCTCTCTGATGGTCATTTGCACCCTTCTCGGGTTGACTGCGGGACCATCTACGAGTAACTTGATGAAGCCCCGTCTGGGTGACTGGCCGGCAGGTGGCACGCAATTCTGGATTGATTGCACCGAGGACGTCCTCTTTCCCCGAACAATGGAGAACTCATCATCACTATCGCATTGTGCCCTTGACAACAGCGACCTCGCTTGCCCGGCTGGAAATTGGCAGATCCTCAACCAGGACTATTATTCGTTCTTCCCGAGGCTCGTCGACGCCGGTAGTGTTCCTCAAAACATCACCGTCTCTGGTCCGGCTTCAATACGGACATTTGGAATGAGGTCTCGCAATATCTTTGACAGCCACGAGATGATGTGGGGGAATGCTTACACCATTGCGACTACCCCGCTTTCCGTGGTCGCAGATAGCGTTGCGGAATTGGGTAGGCTATGGTCGTATGCTGCTGCCAACATCGACGTTGGCCGATTCAAATTCAGAAACGATGCGCTCTTTATGGTCAACTCGCTGCAGCCGGTGGTGCTCACATTTTGCGGTCAAACCTTTTACGACTTTTCTGATAATATAACTCTGTCCTTCCCCGCGTTGGGTACTGCGTCTCTTTCCGGCGGGCCGGGCACGGCGGACACAAGTCAGGCATCAATCAACCTATATGACGGCTATTCGAACGAGGCCATTCAGGATAGTGTGGTATCGCTTCTGCAGGAGAGCAGTGCTCCTTCCGTTCTTTGGGTTGACGACCCTGACCTACTACAACCTCTCGATGCTACTCTGGCTGCAATCCTCACGCTACCTGGCACAGATAGTAGCAGACCGCAATACTTTACTTGCAGTGTCGACAGCAGGTTTACCAACGTCACTCTTATATCTACTCGAAACGCAATCAAGATCGTTGCCGGCCAGCCTGTGGACATGGACAAAAATGGGACATTCCATGCAGATTGGCCGCGGGTTGCGCTTACAGCGGACTGGGCGAGGTATCTGACACCGGTCATTCCTGGCACGAATGAAACGATCCTATCACCTATCACCTCAATGGCAGGCATCTTCAATAGTCCCATTCCTTCGGCCTCGTACTATCACGATATCATAGTGGAGAACATCCTCGCGACGCTGGTCACCAATGGCATCGGCCGGTCTGCGTACAATCACAGTATTATCATGGATCTGAAAGGTGCCGTGGATCCAAACGACCTGTGGCGTGGGGGCGATTGGATATACGACATTATTCCCAAAGATGGGAAAATGGGCAAAGGACGGAATGCTTTCAATATATCCGCCGCTCTACGCAACCGATCTACCGACTTGGTCATGACAGCCTATGTGAACGGCTACGCGTACAGCGCGGCCGGGATCACCTCAGTACTGGAGATGATCGTGCTTGCTGTGTATATAGCAGTAGCTATTGCTCATGTCTGCTATTCGGTCTACAGCGGACTGTCCTCGAGCAGCTGGGGTTCCGCGCCCGAAATAGCAGTGCTTGCGTGGAACTCAGTACCCACGGAGAGAATGGCCAATACGGGCGCTGGTATATCGACTGTCGACATATATAAGAATAATATTCGAGTCATGCACCGAGGCAACAAACTGGAGATTGTGACTCGGGGTAATGAGAAGCCAGAGAAAAGGACCCATCTATTCCAACAGGGAACAAACTCTGATCGCCTACGAACCGACACCGATTTTAACTTGGATTCAACACATGGGCAAATGGATCCGGTTGAAGAAAACCAGGTTTATTCTTGATTTGCGAGCGCTGGGCAACTGAATCTAGTGTATATTGACGCTGCCAGTCAGCAACCACAACCATAAATACCCAATCATCCTACCAGTATCCAATACCCCAACCTTAATGATCCTTATACAGATAGACAGATAGATCGATCTACATATTGTACAACCAACCCCTCGATTCATAAATCAATAACACAACCCCAATATAACTGATACCAATAATACTCCCGAAATAAAAACAGAAGGCCAACTAAAGAAAACATCATCCCTACAAACACCACGATCCTACACTACTATAAACATAACCCCCCCAACAACAACAATTACCCAAAGCCAACCCCCAGTAAACATGCCAACCCAGTCTAGTCCAATCAGATATACAACCAGTAAAGAAAGTAAGTATATCCTACCTACTACCGCCAGCAAAAAAAGTAAAAGGAAAAGAAAGAAAAAGAAGTGTCCCGAGGGAGGTTCGAACTCCCGGCCTTGGGATCGCATGGAAGTTTGAGGTATGCTTCCACGTCATACTTTAGTATGAGACCCACGTGATAACCAACTACACCATCGAGACGAGTTGTTGAGGTTTGCTTGTGGGGTTGAGTATATAAAGAGGGGGAAAACGGTTTTGCTGCGGGAAGGATAGGATGGGATGTGTGTGTGTGAGGTGCGGGTAGATGTTCTGTCGCATTCACTGGGTTTATTTATTGTATTGATTTCGGTTTGGATTTTGGTTTTGCGTTTGTATATGTGGATGGGGTAAGGTTCTTGGGGGTTATTGCTCCTTTGGCGACAAGGGGCAGAGGGTGGATTCTGGGATGGGGTTATTGGATCCTTGTGGTTCACATCACGGAGGGGTATCAAATTTTTGGTATAAGTAGTTACAGCTAGGTCAAGTTGTGGGAGACGCAGATTGAAACACCTCATTGTCTATACTATGTACATATCATGCAACCTGCGGACTTGGCAATTGCTTATTCCATATCAACGCCCACTTCGACTACGTCGCATACTTTCCTTGCATTCGTTGCAATACCATTTGACTGTTCATGTTAGCATATGAATTAAATTTGTTAACGGACTGCAACAAACTCACCATTCTTTCCAGGAGGTTTCGTTAGACCAACACACGACAAATGGAACCACTCGCGAGGACAAGCGTCATTGTCGCACGCCACCATCTCACCGAAACTGATCTCGTTGCAGTAGCAGTATCTAGGCTCGCCGTCCTCATCTTCATCATCGCCCTCGTGGAGAGACTCTTCTTCTTCCGACACCGCCCGCGGTTGCACCACCGGGATGCTGTTATTCTTCTTATGAGATCGTTTGGCTGGCGCCGGATCCGTGCTGCGGGTCGGTCGCACGCGCTGAGCCGGCTCGGAGAAAGTGGCCAGCGTGGGTGTCGATGTCTTTGACGATCGGCCCTTTGGTGGCGGGTTCGACACAGGAGGTACCGGTGTTTCTCCTGGCTCAATGGATTGTGCGGGCTTTCCGTCTGTGTCCTCACGTTTGGTGTTTAGCGGTGGTGGGACCTTCAATGCATCCACCGTCGCCTCTTCCAGTTCCCGTTGTGTTTCCGGATTAGATGTAGGCGTAGCTTCAGATTTGGATGCTGTCTCTTTGATTGCAGCTTTTGTTTCCGTGGCTTTGTCTGCACAGATTCCAGTTAGAATTGCCTCTGGTGCCACCAGGGGAAACATACTATTGCTGGTCACACGGTTTGATGCTGAAGATGACGGTCTCTGACGGCCATTGTTTGCCTGCCCCGAGTTCTGCTGGGTACGAGAGGACTGCGGCCGCACCGCGCCAGGTCCAGGGCTGGCGGCACTCCGTGGAATAGCAGCTGCAGCGACAACAGGGGATGGAGCCAAGACTGGCGAATCCACCGCAGAAACATTGGTGTTGTTCCTATTGATCATGTCAGTTGATACCACAGAAACAAAAGACTGACGTACCTCTTTCGCGCGGCTGCATTTGGATTCGGTGCCCGAGACCTCTTCTTCGTAGCATCTCCGGCATCCTTTGATGCAGCCTGTCTCGAAGTACTAGCATTGCTAACAGTGCGCTCCATCGCAGCACTAGCCTCCACGGCGGGCGGTCGCTCGACCTTGCGGCGTTTGGCCTGCCCTGTCCCAGTGGTTCCTTGGCCATGCGCGCCCGACTGATCGCCAGCGCCTGCACCTCCACGAGCTTTGCTAGATTGTCCCTTCCGAGCACGCACATCGTCCAGATCCGAATCAGCATGCGCACGACGCTGTCTGCGTGCCATGACAGCTTCGCGCCTGGCTTCGCTTCGAGAAGCAGCCTCAACCTCATGAATCGCATGAACCAATTCCTTACTTGCCGCGGCCTCCCGGCGAGGACGCTCATTAGTAGTCGTCTTGGCCACATTTCTATTTGAATAAGCCCAATGAGTGAGACTCCCTAGACGAGCCTCATCGCTAATCTCTCCTGCGATGAATGGAAAGATAGTATCAAGTCGGGTAAGCTGTCGGTCCAATTCGTCATTCGCATTCGAGATAACATGGTTTTTTTCGTCCGCAGTCATCATCAGATCCGAGAGAGTATGGCGCACACGATCGAACAAGGCACGGCGGGCTTTGCTTTCCTGAGATTCGGGGGCTTGCGAGAGTGCCTAATCACAATCGCTTGTCAGCACACTATCGTAGATAGTTTATCCCCGCAGAGTGCTCAATGACCCACCGAAGGCAAGAGATCTTCCCGAACACTCCCAGCGATAATGGGTGCCGGGTTGGAGGGGTAGGGCACAGGTTGCGATTCCGAAGAAGCCTTGAGCAATTGAAGCAGATTATCCTCAAGGGCCCAGGCCTTTGCGTCGACCTCCTTCAGTAGCGAATTGTGACGGCGAAATTCCCGAGGGAGGGCTGTGATGGCGTCGGTAAAATGAGTGAGGGCGGGATAGAAGCCATGGGCGACAGGGGTTGCAGAAGGGGTGTCCGTCATGGAAGAATGGCCATAAGCAAAGGAGGAGCGCCCAAGGGTCTTTGACGTGCGTGATGGGTTCGTTCTCGTCTGTCGCGTTGACTGACGAGCGCTCTGACCCTGAGAGCTGATGGCCGACGAAGGAACGGCAGACATGATGAAAAGAAGAATAGTCAGGTCGGACAGAAGCCCGACTCAATCGGGGAATAAGAGGCGCTCGGAGATACTGGATGATCGATGGCTCAACAGCGGGAACATGGACAAGACAGGAAAAAACGGGGTGGGAGAGCAGAGTTGGAGCGATGCAGGCTACAGTGCGGAGAAGACCCGGCGGCCATCAGGTGATTGGTGCCTGCAGATCCAGGCAGGGACTTTGGCTGACTCAGTCGCGCTGATAAGGATCACTGACGTCAACTCTCGTAGAATTTTGATGAGAAGCACAACTCCGTCTACCAACTGGCCTACAACGGAAGATCCAACAAAAAACAAAAACAATTGGGGCAAGCCGGGCTTGAACCGGCCACCTCCAGATCTTCAGTCTGACGCGCTCCCAGATGCGCCATTGCCCCGCAATTGTTGTTGATGCTGAGTGTTTGGACACTATGATACAGGGCTTAATCTGCGAATCGTAACATGGTCTTCAACAACACCCATAGTCTAGTTCTACCGATATAGCGACAGTCAGAATCATCGCTGGCAAACAGCATCCAGTTTAAACCAAAGAAACTGAAATTACATCAAGGTTCTTAATTTACACGCGTGCACGAACACATGCGAGGTATAGGCAGGCCAGATCACGAACATATGCTAGAACGACCCAAACCCGGACACAAGCATGACGGTATAAGCATCGTACACTATGCTGTAGACAAAGGAAAATCATACAAAGAAGACCAGAACGAGCCGACGCTAGCTCCCCAAACCAAAGCACCTACAAAGCCACTTACTCGCCCTTGAGGCGCTCCTGGTGGACAGTAAAAGCATCCTGGAGGAACTCCTGCTCCTCCTTAAGATGCACGGACTTGAGACCGGTGGCGACGGAGGCGCTGGGGGCGCGACCGGCGTAGAGAACGTGACGGCGGTTGTGGTGCTCGGTCTCGTTCAGCAGGGTCTCGATACGAGGCTGGGTGTAGCTCCAGGCACCAGCGTTGAGGGGCTCCTCCTGGGCCCAGACAATGTTGCGGGCGTTGGGGTAGCTGTCCAGGTTCTCCTTCAGCTGAGCCCAAGGGAAGGGGTGCAGCTGCTCAACACGAGTGATGGCAGTGTTGCGGATACCGTGGGCCTCACGGTGCTTGAGGAGAGCAGCGTAGACCTGGCCAGAGCACAGGATGACACGCTCAATCTTCTCAGGCTCATCGATCTCCTTGCCGTGGCCTTCATCGGGGATGATCCACTGGAAGTGAGACTCGCCGGTGAAGTTCTCAATGTCCGAACGAGCAATGGGGTGACGGAGGAGAGACTTAGAGAAGAAGATCACGAGGGCTGAGAAAGGGTTAGCCTCGACTCAACATGGAAAGATTCAATGTACATACGCTTGCGGAACTGGCGGTGGATCTGGCGACGCAGAATGTGGAACAGGTTGGCAGGGCTGGTCATGCAGGCAATCTGCATGTTGCAGTCCTGGTGCTGGCGGTCGAGCTTGTCAGCGGCGGGGAAGACACGGGGCTCCTCGTTGCAAAGCTGCAACCAACGCTCCATTCTGCCGGAAGAGTGCTCAGGACCCTGGCCATCGTAACCGTGGGGAAGAGAAACAACAAGACCAGAGCGCTGAAGCCACTTGGACTCTCCAGCAGCGATGAACTGATCGATGATGCACTGAGCATTGTTGGCGAAGTCACCGAACTGGGCCTCCCACATGACAAGGGCGTTGGGGGAGGTCAGAGAGTAACCGTATTCGAAACCAAGACTGTGAAGGAGGTTAGCTTAGCATGACAAGAGTCAACAAGTTCAAACGTACGCTCCGAATTCACTGAGAGAGGAGTTGGAGATGACGAAGCTTCCCTGGTCCTCGGCAATGTGCTGCAGAGGAGTGTAGGTACCCTCGTTCTCCTGGTCGTGCAGAACGGCGTGACGCTGAGAGAAAGTACCACGCTCCACGTCCTGACCGGAGATACGGACATGGTAACCCTCGGACACCAGGGTACCGAAGGCAAGAGCCTCGGCAGTGGCCCAGTCAATGTTCTTGCCCTCATCCACAGACTTCTTGCGGTTGGTCAAGATACGCTTGAGGTTGCGGTGGAGGGTGAAGCCATCCAGGTTACCGCTGATCTTGTCACCGACGTGCTGGAGCAGAGGGCTCTCAACACCAGTGGGGAGGTGAGGCAGAACCTCACTGGCAAGCTCCTTGGGAGTCTTGAAGCCGTTCCAGGCGGAGGTGAGCCACTCCTTGCTGGTAGGCTGGTAGTCCTTGCTGCGGTCGAAGCTATCGTTCAGCATGCCCCAGACCCACTTCTTGTGCTCGTCGATGTCCTCCTTGGTGAAGGTACCCTCCTCAATCAGCTTAGCAACGTACTTGTCAAGCTGGCTCTTCTGCTGAGCAATACGCTTGTACATCAAAGGCTGAGTGAACGAGGGCTGGTCAGTCTCGTTGTGACCCTGCTTACGGTAGCAGACGATGTCGATGACAACGTCACGCTTGAACTCGGCACGCCAGTCAGCAGCGACCTGGCAGACGTAGTTGACGGCCTCAACGTCATCCGCGTTCACGTGGAAGACAGGGGCGTCAATGGACTTGGCGATGTCCGAGCAGTAAGGTGTGGAGCGGGCGAAACGAGGGTCGGTGGTGAAACCAATCTGGTTGTTCACAACGATGTGAATGGTACCTCCGGTGGAGTAGGCGGGGAGAGAGTGGAAGCCCATGGTCTCGTAGACGACACCCTGAGCGGCAAAGGCAGCATCACCGTGCAACAGCACACCCATGGCCGAGTTGAACTCGCTCTCGTCCTTGTTGTAGTGCTGGATGGAGCGGGTCTTTCCGAGCACAACCGGGTCCTCGGCTTCCAAGTGGGAGGGGTTGGCAACCAGAGAAAGCTGGACGCGCTTACCCGAGGGGGTGGGACGCTCGAAGTTCATACCCAAGTGGTACTTGACATCACCGGAGCCTTCATCGGAGGGCTCGGTGGAGCCGGCAAACTCGCTGAAGATGGACTCGTTGGGCTTACGGACGACGTTGGAAAGGACGTTCAGACGACCACGGTGAGGCATACCAATAACGATGTCCTTGATACCATAGTCGACACTGCGGTCGATGAGGGCCTTCATACCAGGCACAAGGGTTTCACAACCCTCCAGACCGAAACGCTTGTCGTTGGGGAACTTGGTGGCAAGGAAGGACTCGAAGCTGCTTGACCAGATGAGGCGGTCGAGGATGCGGCGCTTGTCATCGACAGAGTACTTGTACGGCTCGGGGATTTCGAAGCGGTCGCGGATCCAGTCGCACGGCTTACGGTCGGGAATATGGATGTATTCCACACCGTAGGAACCGCAGTAGATCTTCTCGCAGGTAGCGACGATCTCGCGCAGGGTCATCTTCGTGCGCTCCTCGGTCGCAAAGCGGGGCAGGATACCGGGACCAAGGGTGAACTCCTGGTCGAGATCGCGTTCAGTGAAACCGTAGTGGTCCAGCTCCAGCTCCTTGGGCTTGTTGTAGCCGAACGCCTCAGCTTCGCCGCGGATACCAAGGGGATCGATCTTGGCCTTGTGGTGACCACGAGCCTGGTAGGCGCGGACCAGCAGCTGGACCTTCAGGTGATTCGTGACATCAGTACCGGCGGCGAAAGACAGACCGGCGCCAGGCATCTCTTGAGGGACACCGCCCGTAGGAGTAGGGACCAGGGTCGGCGGGGGCTGGAAAGCCTGGGAGACGGGCATTTTACCCTCTTCCATGTTCTTAAAATACGTCTGCCATGAGATGTGGACGCTGGAGGGGTCCTTCTTCCATGCGACGTACATCTCGTCGATGTAGTTGGCGGTGTTTCCGGAGAGGAAAGAGTCATTGGCATCCTAGAGACGCGCCAAAGTGCGAATGTCAGTCGAGGCTGTTTCTAGACCTAACATATCAAACGTGAGGTCCGGCGCAGGGATCGCTTACCACACCCTCTGCGGACGCGGCGTAATGCCTCTTGTTGGACAACCGGTCAACGAGAGCGAGAGGACGTCTGGTGGTGAGGCCCAGTTTTGAGCTGCGGTTGGCAGCAGATCTGGCGGTGGATGCAAGAGAGAGAGACCTCCTGCAGGTAGAGCAGGCAGGACCGCGCAGCATACCGCCGCTGGTGGCCTTGACGGCTGTGGTACGAAACATGGCGGCAATTTTTCTAATGCGTAACACGAGCTGAATTCTAATGCTATGAGCTCAAGGATGAAGACGCGAAGGAGATAAACGACACAGCGGATAATCTCGACAACTATAGCAAAGACGGATCGCGGTTAGTTCGATTGTGAGCGGGTTCGAAAGCTGCGGGATTTTTCAGACGGATGAAAGGAACACGCACGGTGTTATCTGGACGAGGAAAACACAGGTGTCGACTAAGATTGCCGTAGCACCTGTAACAAGACGGGACTCATCAGAGAGCCGAAGCACTCTCTTGGATAAAGAATTAGTGGGGAAAGGAGAAGGGACAGAGGAGAACCTCGTTGTATGAGGAGAGAAGAGAGGAGATGGAATGGAGATTGGCCTGGGAGGAACGGAACGAGAGAGAGGTTTGCCGAGATCTACGGCTATGACGGCCAGCGCAGCTGTGGCTGACCCCTTTGCCAGGCCTGCAGGCGGCGTCGCCACAAGCTGAGTCAAGCCGTGCCCTGCAACCGAGAAAACCACGGCGGGCCGAGCATCCCGGTTGCGGGTACTCCGTACTAGTACGTAGTACATAATGGTAACTGGGTAACCAACCACTCCTGCACCGCCACAGCCCGGTTATGAGCATTTCCCGCTCCGGGTCTTTGCGGGTGGGCACGTGGTCCAATCACCCTCGGGTGGTATTGCATTTGCAGCATGTAGTAGTACGTAGTATGAACGACTAGGTATCTATCTAGACCTGGTACTATGAAGGGGCTGTCATCCCCCCGGATCCCAGGGTCTGGGCAGTGGATTGCAGATTACGGCATGCCAAAAGGCCCAACGGGCACTCGATAAATTACTAATTTATCGGGTGAGGTAGTACCTCAGCGGTATATGCAACATATATATAACTTACCCAACCATCAAATCATCTAATCATAACAGTACAGATCACTGCAAGACGCAGTGAAGCATTATATATCAGGCATTACAATCATTATATCGCAGAGCCCCCAAACCCCTATGTAAGCAAACCCAGATGTGTTATATACTCTCCCCCTCTTCTCGGTTGGTCCGTCCAACTTTGCCGGGATCGATCTGCGGCTGGCTGGTCACACGCATGGCCTTCTGACTGCTTGCCAGCTCGGGCGCATATGACCAATCAATCCCAGTCAATTTTAACGCAGATCTATGGCTCCCGCTCACCCACTGGCGACTGTCCCACACGCTGCTCCATAGCGTGCTGGGACCACCGGAACTTGTCAGATTCCTTGATGGGAGACTCTGTCGCACTGGTACCGCCAAACGCATCTGGCGGCGCGGTATATACCGTCGGGCTCGCATCGGAAATGAAGCTCGCCCGGTTTGACGACGAGTGTAAATGTGGAGGAGGACTGCCACTGCCGCTGCGGAGGCTGCCATTGCTTCCGCCCCAGGCACCCCGTCGAAGCTTCATCAGTGCACTCAGAGACATCTCATCGTCCATGGCACCAAGGTCGACCAGCTGAGCCAAGCCAGGGCTTGCCATTGGATTGGAATGGGCGGCACCGTGGGCTGTGAGTGAGATGACCGAGTTGCGCGTGCTCCATTCGCTGCGTTCAGTGATGGGGGTCAGGCTTGGCTCGCAAAACTTCCCCCGACTGCTGAAACTGCGAGTAATGCCCTCGACGCCTCGTGGACCGAAGTAGCCACCATTAGTGAGTTCAGCGTTGCAGCCCCCGTGTGATTGCGCGTAGAACCCAAACTCTTGACCATAGAATCCCTCGTCATCATTTTCCAAGGCCTCCGCATTCGCTGCAGCAATGATAGGGTCATCGAAAAGTGCAGCATCGTTGTCATCGTAACTAAAGTCCTCAAACACTTCATCAAAACCAACCATATCGACGGTTTGGCTCAAGCGGCTATCGTCTGAAATGAGCCCCGAAGGTGTATCCATTGTCTGGGTAGTGCTTTCTTGGCCAAGCGACCGCTCGCTCACGCTGGTTACACGGCTAAGCCTGTCATTCGCGGCTGCTTCACTGGCGGCTTGAGCCAAAGCATTATGGAAAGCTTCAAGGTTGTGCTCGGACAGAACCCCACCATGAGCTTTTGCCGACCCTAAGTTAGGCAAGCTCTCATGAGTATGACCGTAGGTTCTGATCGACCCCTTTCGATAGTCACTGGCTATACTAGGAGCGTGCCCGAGCCCGCCATCGTAGTCTGGCTCTGGCCCATTTTTGTCGTGTTCCGCAGTGACATCCAGCGTATTAGTACCCACATCCTGGTCGTCGGGCTGCGTTGGCTCAGGAACAGGTTGCTGAGCCGCTGGTTTTCGATCGTACAGGTGACTCGTCTCATCATCAAAAATCGACTCGTCAAATTTGTCGCCCGCATCCTCTGTAGACAGATCACCAAACTCGCCATCGTCGAAGTACAGATCGTCATCATCTTCCATCGGCTGCGAGGGCTGAGGATGCAAGTCTACAGTGACCTGTGGTATAACAGTGGAGGTGTCCGGTGCCAATGATAATAATTGAACATTGGTTGTAATAGCAGAGGTAACAGGTTCCGAAACGGGAGAGGGAGCTGAGTTCTGTGCCAAAGACCCCTGAGCCGATTCCTGCATATCCTGCATGTCCCGAGAATCGTTAAAACCAGGAGGAAGCGGACTAGCAAGGACTGGCGAGAGACTAGGGACAAACCAGGACTTGTTGAGTGCATTGCCCGGACCGGAGAACCCAGAGAACTCATCATCCTCGTCAGCGTCAATATTAACCCCTGGAATCTTCTCTTCAAAGTCATCCATATCATCGAGCATATCTTCATCAAAATCGTCCTCGCCATCGCTGAAACTTATGCCTTCCATTCGCGCCTTGGCCCTTCTTGCGGCTTCTTTTTCCTTATGTTTTTCTTCCAATAGTTTCTCCTGGGTGGAGGACTCGACGCCATTCATGTCAAAACTGAACCGGGACGCATTGCTCTTGAGATGTTTAGGTAAGCCCGATGGTTGGTGTGGTATAACCTCGATCGTGTCGGCATCTTGTGTACCTGCGATTCCGATAGTATTGGGTATGTTGTGCTGATCATCTTGTTTAGGCGCCGCCTGGTCGCTTGGTGATTCAGAGGATCCGCCTTGGTCCGGTAGCTTGGAGGGCAATCTCCTTGCAAACACAGGGAGTGCGCTGGGATCATTCTCATGAAACTGCTCCGTCAGCAACGATGACTGCAAATATGCTTTGCTCTCAACCTGCAACACCTTCTGATCGTCCTCAAAGTGTTCCCGGAAAACAGGAGAGTATTGCGTATGCCTTTTCCTTTGCTCGCCTATCTGCGCGTTTTGATCATGGCCGTGCACAGAATTGCCATTTCCATTGTAGGCGGCATCGGGTGGACCGGATTGGTTGTTGACATCATGCAGAAGAACAGGAGCGGTTGACAGGTTTCGACGAGGGCGAGGAGCAGAAAAGTCGTGAACGATGTTCCCGCGGATTCTGGGATCATAGTCGTCTGGGATAGCAGGAACTATATTGCGAGCGCGGATGCTCGTATCCTCCATCCGCAGATTCGCCAGGTTGGAAGAGCGCCTCCTGGCCAAAAGAGACATAGGGTTCAGCAGGTGAAGCCGAGTCTTCCCGGATTTGTGATGGACATGTTCCGTAGGCCCGTCCCGGTCTCCAGACCGGCGACCGTTCGCATTTTCATACTTGTATTCTTTGTCCTTGTTTGACGAGATTGTCCTGTCAGCCGGGGAAATATCGGGGGAGGTTCTGAAACGAAAATGACTGGATGTTGGCAGCCCGGGAGTCGATGAGCGTTTTGTATAATGGTCATTAGTGAGATTGTGGGAGCTCAGCAAATTTTTGCCCAAAGACAATCGGAACGGGGAGCTCGGTTTAGGAGAATCGCCGTCGCCATGATCTGAACGCGGTACGGCAAAAGATGATTGTGAGTAGTTGGATTGGGAGGCGATGGTCGGGTCTTCGCGCTCGTCGGGGGTTGAATGAAATCGGGCGTGACTTTCGGAGGATAAGGGCACTGCTGTGGGATTTGTTAGATTTGTCGAAGAGGAGGCTGGCGCATAGGTCGGAGTGACGGATATGGCGATATTCCTTTTCGCTGCGTCGGATTCTCCGGAAAGATTGCTCGGGGCCTGCAGAGTCGAGGCCTCCACAGACGATCCTCCAAGCGCAGCGAGAGTCGTCCTCGTGTTGGGCGACACCGATCGTTGAGAAGGGTTGTTAGCGACCGGTCCTTTGGAGGTGGGCTGTAGGGAGGGCGAGACGGGGGAGGCACTCGACCGGCGATGCTCGCGACGCCAGTAGGAAAAAACGGTAGAGGGTGGCATGGTGAAAAATGAACTCGAGGCACCCAGGGTGCGTGCGAGCAGGCGTTCAGGATGCGAAAACCTGGCCCATTGTTCTGATGGTCGCAATGCTCGGTCGGCGCGCTCACACGGTGACTACTGACAGCTCTGCGGAGTAGTCAGTAGTAAGTACTAAGTAGGTACTAGGTAGACGAGGAAGATCAAGGTTGCGGCGTGGGGCAATGTCTCACCCGGCGACAACGGTGGACCAATCCCAGGGCAATGCGTTGGAAATTCGAGACGGAGGTTTAATGACTGATTCTGAAGAGCGATCGCGTTCAAGAAAGGATCTTCATGGACGGGAATCGACTGCCAATGGTGGTGGGATACCTTAGGGGGAAGAGCGACATTAGGTAGGGGGGGAGATAAGAAAAAGGCCGAAGGGAGGGGGGAGAAAAGCCAAGCAGAAGGCCGCCAGGAACGCTTCGGCCACCGCAGGAATGCGTGCCCGGAAACGGACAAGCCTTGAAATAGTCTGCGATTCGGATATATTTAGTGCAGTCCTTTCATCACCCCAGTTATATTAAGTCTAATAATAAGAGCCATGCACTAAGAATAATGACGACAACCCCCCCTCGATGATCCCAGTCATCTTTGACACCCCCAGGGACAATCGATCAGCATATCTTCATGTTGCATATACTCACAGCTCATCCTCGAATCAAAACACTCACCGACCACTGATGGCACGCATTCCATTGCGATGATCGTCACTATGACAGGGGTAAAAGGTAAGACCCGCATGCTACTAGACACCTATACAACCTAGAGATTTCGCTAATCTGCAATGAATTCAGCAGCACACAATCGCTCATGCATCCGGGCCCTCATGCTAACAAGATACGCTAAAACCTGTAGATATACCTCGCAAGTAATTGACCAGACAGAAACAAAAAATCCTATCAAATAAAATCCCCAAGCGACAAGAACAGGAGTATGGAAGAGACCGCACAGAACTGTTCTAGACTATGCTCTGTCTCCAACGGTCGATCATCTCTCGCTGCCCCGATTCCACCATTGGTCGGACGACCTTGGACTTGTTCGGCACGGCATAGCTCAGATGGTTCATGCTAAGTAGCGCATCACTGTAGAACGTGTTGGGATGGGCCATTCCGGGGCCGTAAGGAACGGTCTCTGCAGCCCCTTGATGCTGGGGGTATCCTGCAGCCGGAAGAGAACCAAACTTCGACGGAAATTGTTGAAGAGACATTCGATGGTCCAGGGTGCGCTGATGCATGGGCGGAGGCGCTGCAGCATCATTTGTCAACGGTCGTCCGGTTGTGGTGGGACGCCGGGCGTGAAGGATATCTGCCATACTCCTTCGGTACCTAGGGATCTTCATTGTGGAATTCTGTCGGGCCTCAGCCTCAGCCTCCTTCTGGAGGCGAGCCCGACGCTGGGCCAGGGTCTCATCTTCCGGCGCAATTTCCTTCTCCTTGGTTTCCCCGTCCTCCCCAACGTGGTTGATCTCGGCCAGGATTTCATTCGCAAAATCGCTGTCCGAGGTTGTAGCGGGCTGGTCTTTAGATTTCAGTCGCTTTAGCCGTTGAGCCAGAGTTTCCCCTTCGTCACCGCTATCTTCTTGTTCCACGACACCTTGCGCACTTGTCGAATACATGGTGGTCGGACGTATTTCGGGGCTGCGCGGTGCGGGTTCACCCCGGAGCCTAGCACGACGCCTACTGAGGGGCTCTGACTCCTCCAGTTCCCTTCTTTCCATAAGCCCCAGTGGACGCACCTCGTTGACGACATTGGCGTTTTCCGGAAACAGCATGCCCAGAGGTACGTCATCATCATCTTCGGCTTCCTGATTGTGAGCATCTGGTCCTTCCCACGCCAGGGTAACCGGTCTCTGTCGTCGATGTTCACTCTGCTTCTGTGCGACCGCTTCCAGCTGAAGGAGAGTTGAGTGTAAGCCTGCAGATTCTGGCGCAGTTCGCTGTCGTTGTTTCAGCTGGGTCTTTCTGAACTCAAGCTCTGCTAGTAGTGTGTTGGGTGGCCCAGTGAAATCAGCATCTGGCTCTTCGTGATTATGCCTCTCCTCGTCGACTTCAGGAGTGTCCTCAGCGCCAACAGCACCGCCAACTTCATGGGTATCATCCCGAAGTGAAGTACTTTCATGAACATCTGCAGCACCGCCTTCTGTTTGGTTGTAGAAGCGACCCGACGTAAGAGGTACCTCTTTGAGATCCGGGTCGGAGAGGTGATGGTCAAGCCCAATAATACTTCCCGTGGAGAGCGTCTTTCGGTGCTCAGCTGGATCTCTGGACAGCTTACCCGACGCCTGACCATAGCCTCTAGAATCGACCTGCCCTGTAAAGGCATTGACCGGGGCATGTGTCGAAGCATCAAGGATGCTGTCGAGTGTCGCCACCGCTGAAGCATGCGTGACCTCTACATCAACGGAGGGAGCTGGTTGATCGAAGAAGACACTCGCGCGCAGCTGTGGGGGTATGCTTGTTGGCTGATTGTTGCGTCTAGGATCGCTACCATCGCCTGAATCCTGGACAGCAAGCAACGCCGACTTGCGATTTTCAGCCGCGACCGCACCAAGAAGCTGCGTGCGACGCTTGTCGCGTTGCGAGCTGTTCCTCTGCGATAAGCGAGGTGGTAGATTTAACATCCTCGGCACAGGAGCAGGATAGTAAACCATATTCTCGCCTGTCTGTGGCTCCTTGTAGGCTTCGGACCTGCTCGCCAGGGGTGGCCTCGTCAGCGACACTCGCCGCCCCAGATTATTCTCATTCGGAACATAATGCACGCCATCAAAGTCATTGAAGAGAACCCTCGCCTGTTGGTATGTGTCGGTAGAAGCAGCTGTGTATGTTCGTTCGAGCTCTTCTCCCAGCTCCTGGTCGTAGTAGTCCTGCTGGACAAAGTCGTGCTCGCCGTGCGCGGCTGGTGGAGGAGGAGGGGGAAGATAAGGCATCGCAGGCACCCGGGAGATCGAATCGCCGTAGAAGCGTGCCGGCGCATGCTCTGCAACTTGCGCCAAACGGGATGCAGACTGTATGGAACCGTGACGGGACGACAGACTCGGTCTGAAGCCGTCGTGGTTGCTGACATGGGTGGAGTTGGAGGCCGAACTAGACGAACGCCGCTTTTGTTCTTGGTCCATCTTGCGAATCTCGTTCCCAATATTGGAACTTAGGCTCATTCGTTCAGCGCTCCTTTCAAGCCGCTCTACATTATTGAGGTAGGCTCCTTGCAGCGATTGGAGATCGGGTGTAGGATGGCTGAGAGGCACGGGTTGGTCGGTGACTGGGGTGCGGAGGGTCGGTTCAGGGGTTGTAGAACTAGTCTGAGGGACTGTCTCTAGCGGAGGGACGTAACGGGGACTATTGGAACTGTGGTTCGCTGAAGGATCGGCGGGAATTTCGTAGTCATCCTCCTCCACCATATCGTAGCTGGTGGAGGTCATGGACCGGATCATGGAGCCCAATCTTTTGATGCCAGAATCCTCGGCCGACTTGGCCGGCTGTAGATAGGAGCCCGCCCCGATATGGTCGGCATCCAGAGGCAGCTGCTCGAAGAGGCCATTGTGCTGAGGGTGCGGCGATGGGCTGCGGGAATGGTCCGAATCGGTCGCGTTGGAAGCCACCTCGTGGTCGGCCTGGGAAACGGCGTTGTAGGCCATCTTAAGCGGTCACTGAAGCAATAAATGCGCGGCCGAGGGCCGTTCAGGGAAAGAAGCCTGGCCGAGCGACCCGTGAAAGGAGGGGGAAATCAATGGTCAGCCGGGGCGTTTCACTTGGTGCAAACCTAAGATAAGGGAAATGCGCCCATGCGGAACGGCGCTCCTGCTCAGAACAACGCGATCACAGAGAAGAGCCCAGAGCCGTGAGGAAGAGAGAGAGAGGGAACAAGGAGAAGAGAAAGCTGCAAGGCACAGCTGAAGAGGGCGCCAACAAAATCCAGGTGTCATTGTCGGTGGTTTGTCCTGGGTTGCTCCTTCCTGCGCAAATTAATTAAATTTCACGTATGGTATGGAGCGGGTATGGGTAGGTAAGGTATGGGGTTACTCGCCGAGGCCTTGTATTATTTGCATGGAACCCATTGGCTGTTGCTAATTTTGGATGCCAGGGAAGAGCCTGGACCGCCTCGGTGGCCCGCTTTAGGATATCCGCCTTGTTTGCAGCGCCCCATTACTACTCTTACTGCTTTCTCCTACCTGACGACTTGCAGACTGAGTCCCAGGTCGCAGTAGCATTCAGTCCTGTAACATACACCGACCAAGCTACATAGGAAGGTAGTATTCCAGGTATTTCCGTCCCCAGGTTCTTCCCCGGAAAAGAATATACCAGGATACCGGAGTACGTTCTACTGATCTGTAGCAGCGTTGGTTGATGCCGCTAAGGTAACACCGCATCCAATCGTACCTATGTATCCATGTCTACCCACGACGCAACGGCCGCGAGGGGGTCAAGTGGCTTCCTGGCAGAAAAACCTTTGACGGTGAGTCTCTAGACTTACCTATCTAGGTATCCCAATTGTCACCAACATCTCCATTTGGTGGGCTTTGTTGATGTGTTTGTCCCTGTATACGCCATACAGGACGGTAATTTTCCGGTCTCACCCGGACAAGGGTCCTGCTTAGTCACTAGCTGAACTTGCCTATCTGGGTAGCTGCTCGCCTGGCCTGGCTCTTCGGAGGTCAAACATCGACTCATCCCTGACTCCCCCTGGGGTTTGACACGTCGATCTCAAAAAAATCAATCTGACAGAGCTGAATGGTTTCCGAAGAAGCCAGAGTCCTTGAGTTACCGACGTAACGGAATACGCGGAAGATGAAAGAAAACAACGACGTCATTCTACCAAGTACCAACTAGACTAAATGCCGAGACCAAGGCAGGAGGACACTAAATCTGCGGCTGCGCTCCAATCATTGGGTATGTCGTCGTTGGTTATATCCGAGCCATTATCAACGAACATAACTTGGAGAAGACCTCCTATTGCTAGGCTGCCTCGTTGTAAAGAGAAGACGTATATCCTCACCATACGGCTCATTGCCACCACTTATTCGGAGGAACTCTCGGTTGATCGTATTGGAGTTTTTGTTGATTATTGGCAGTTGGTACCATAACATCCAAGCTCGTGTTATGCATGCTGGCTGATTTTGGGAATCACCAACATTAGCCATCTGCCGATCTTACGCCTTCAAAGCCTGGGAAATTTAGAAAACTAGCATACCGTCAGCGAAGGGCCAGACTATATACTAAAAGCATCCAGAGCCGAAAGATTACCTGCGCACTATATAAACACGAGACGCACTGAAAGTAATGTTACAGCAGATCTCATTCCCTCAACAGCGGACCTCGCATAAATCTAAGACAATCTGGCGATAAAGTGAGACGAAAGGGGTCAATCCCAAACTAAACTCGGAAAAGGGTTCCTAGATTTACAAGCAATGCTCTACAATTATAGACAGGGTCGGTATGTAAGCTATTTGGTTACTATTGCTGATCATATCCCCATCTCAAGTCCGGGAATGGGCGCCCGTGATCAGCGACCAAGATCACCCATGTGTTTGATTGCCTAGGGATACGCTTCTCGTGTTTTGTTTTGGTTGCCTCGCGCTGATAGTCATAGATATCTAAGGCTGGGTAGACGCTGCCCGGGTTCCGGATCAGTCAGTTTCTAGTTCGCTGTAGTTTGTATGCTTGTATCGCTTGACATCAACCCATATATGGCTATCATCCATAAGAGGAATTCAATAAGGCCCTTTGACAGTAGCTCTAAAAGGCTAAACTTTGCATATATTTTCTCCGACAATCCTTCGCGCGTCTCATCCTATACACAAACGCCAACCAACAAGTCCAAACACAATGACAATCACTCCTCCCGCAAGACCGCCTTAAACGCCCCCAACAAATCATTCCTCAAATCCTCCCAATTCTCCAACCCAATACTAAGTCTCAACAACTTCCGATCCACCCTCGAATCCGACATCGCCCGCCACTCAATCAAAGACTCCACCCCACCCAAACTAGTAGCATGCTGGAACAAAGCCAACTGACTCGGTAGCCGTCGCGCATAATCCTCATTCCGCAACACAATCGAGAAAACGGGCCCAAACCCATTAGGCATCTGTGTCCTCACCCACGGCTCATCCTGCAAACTGGTATGATATATCTTCCCGAGGACAGACTGCACAATCCCCTCATCACTCCCCAACTCAGGGGACTGTACATCCAACGCCTTCTGAAGCCAAGCAACAAGAGTCCCGCAACCCTGACTCGCTCGTTGGACACGAAATTCTAACGCACGCAGACTGCGAAGACCAAGCCATGCCTCCATATTACCGATTATACTCCCCAGAGCCATCCGGTCTTCCAGGAGCTGTTTCTTCCAGTCTTCGCGCTGCGTAGCAAGAACACCGCAGAGGAGGTCACTGTGGCCGCCGAAGTACTTGGATCCGGAATGAAGGACGAGGCCAGCGCCCCAGTGGAATGGGTCTTGGAGGCCGGGGGGTCCGAATGTGCTGTCGACGATCAGGTAGGCGCCGCGGGAGTGGGCCTTTTTGGCGTATGCCTCGATGCTGAAGGATGTTCCGAGGGGATTGATGGGGTTTCGAGGAGGATGACGTCGCCTTTGTTGAGTGTTTCGGTGGGACAGTCGAGGGGGAGTTTCTGCAGGCCTGATAGTCGGGAGATGATGGAGATGACTTCGTGGCTGCCGTGGTAGCCTTCGCCGACTGAGATCTGGCAGGGGTTGAGGAGGACTAGAGCTGCTTGGAGGGCGGCTAGGCCGGTTGAGTAGCTGATGGCATGTCCGTGGAGGAGAGATGAGAGGACGGCTTCGAAGCGGGTGGAGTTGGGGGCGAATTCTCTGGAGTAGATGAAGTTTTTGCCGTCGAATTCGTCCTAGGGACGATGTTAGTCGTGAGGTTGGGGTAGAGGGTGGATGTCGGGGATACATACCACGGGATCGACGGAGGGAACTAGACTTTCTGGGTCGTCGGGGAATCTGTAAGTTGTAGACATGTGAATTGGGGGCGCAACATCCGTCACCCGATTGAAGGGATCATCTGCATGCAATGCTCGGGTGGAGGGGTGGTGAAAGCTAGATGGCGCCATGGTGTTGTAGTGAACTGTGACAAGTGTAGAGTTGACAGTGAATGAAAGAAGAGATCGAGAGCTGGGATTGACTCCCTTAAATATCTGCAATTTGGGAGCAGAAAACACAGAGTGAGTCGATTGCCATATTCTATACAGCCCTGTCCATCTTCTGCCCCACTCCCCTCAAGTTCCTAAACCGGTAAGTTTCTGGAGAAGAAGATCTTTTCTGATTGGGTGGCGCCATACAGCCCCGCCCTAGCTGTCTTCAGCCAATATTCCGCTAGTACAGAAGGGGCTAGTCCCAGTTCCGAAACATCGTAAATTGAAGTGCCTGATTGGCTGGTCATCTGCAGTGAAGAAAAAGGCGTGAGCCTTCAAGGTTGTGGCATGGCCCAAGGTTCATTCTCCGCCGGCCATGTGTTCTTGCTGTGAACTCACTGCACAGGGCAGGCCATGCGTCCCTTCTTCACCCACGGTCCACCAGCTCAACATCTCCTCGGAGAAGCCAAGAGACCAATTGGGCGTGCAAGTTCATTCCATCCCAATCTAATCGGTTCATCTCGGCGAAATCTCCCAATCAGCGTACTTCTGCCGCGTTGACTCAAACCAATGGAGATTAACCCAGACGCTATCGCAACAATGACTCCTCGGCCGATAGACTATAAGATCCCGGTCTTCTGCATACATATCACCCACCTCAACATTCATCCCCCTCCCCCAAATCAACCATAACAATAACACTCACCTCCAAGCACAACAATGTATCTCCGAGCCATCCACGCCGAGGCAAACATCCCCGCCCTCCACCAACTTATCCGAGAGAACCCCCTCGGCATCCTCACAACAGCCATCAAATCACCCCTCTACCCGCTCCTCCAATCTAGCCACATCCCATTCATCCTCGACGTTCCCGAAACCACAGACGGAACGATCCCAAATGGAACTCTACGCGGCCACATGGCTAAACAAAACCCCCAGGCCAAGGCCCTAATGGAAGCTCTCGCAGCGCAACACGAAAAAGGCGAAACATCTCTCGAGCTCCAGGATGAAGTTCTTGTGCTGTTCACAGCCGCACCCCACCACTACGTCACGCCTAAATTCTATACCGAGACGAAGCCTGCCACGGGGAAGGTCGTGCCGACGTGGAACTATGCCGCTGCGCAGGTGTACGGCAAGGTCCGGATTTACTGTGACTCGAAGGCCGAGGAAACGGGTGCGTTTCTGCAAAAGGCAGTGGAGGATTTGACGAACCAGAGTGAATCGTCGATTATGGGGTATACGGGGACGGAGGGACGACCGGGGCCGTGGAAGGTTTCGGATGCGCCGGTGTCGTATGTGGAGATTTTGAAGAAGAATATTATTGGGATTGAGATTACGATTGAAAGGTTGCAGGGGAAGTTTAAGATGAGTCAGGAGATGGGGAAGGGGGATCGGGAGGGGGTGGTTGATGGGTTTGAGGAGTTGGGGAGTGATGTTGGGAAGGGGGTTGCGCAGATGGTGAGGGAGAGGGGGGCTTTGAAGGATGGGCAGAAGTAGGTTTATTGGGGAACATAGATTTTATGAAACCGAATTCTCATTCCATGAATCACAATTTGGCAGTATGTCACTTCCTAAACAGTCTGAAGAAAGCACAGACGCAGCAGTATGTCCAACCCCCAGATAAAGCCATAGCGCAATATATCTCCGTAAGCCACGGAAGACTGATCGTTCTTTATTTGACTCTGCTGACCTCGATCTCGTCCTAGAAAAGAAACACACCGTTAGCCCAAGTCTCACATGCAATCACTCATGGAAGAAAGAATGCAAACCTCTGCCTCTCCGGGAATAATAAGACTCTTCAAGCCCCAGCTCTCATACTTCGGGCTCCCACGGACATACTCCCGATAAGCCGGTGCACCAGGACGCACCACATTATCCGCCAGAACCAGAGCACCGGAGTGAAGGAAGCCAAGCTGCTCCGCCACCTCCAAATCGGTCTTATAGAGGTCCTCCACATGATCGAGAAATAGAAGATCGACCTTGGGGAGCTTGCCCTCCGCACTCAGGCGCTTGAGCGAATCGGCGGCGGGGCCAACAACAACCTTAACGATGTCACTCAGTCCCACCAGGTCAATAAAGTTCATGGCAATCGATGCAATGAGAGGATCCGCCTCAAAACTCCACACGCGGAGCTCCGTCGAAGTTCCGCTGGCCGCTTGCCGCATGGCGTCGGCGAACAAGATGGCAGAGTAGCCGAGATAGCCACCAAGCTCGACGATGACCTTGGACTTTTCATCGGCCACGAGCTTTGCAATTTTCTCGGCCTTGTCGGGGCCAATGCTGATGAGGAAGTCTTGTTTGGCAGCGTATTCGTCCATGAGGTCAAGCAGGGTCGACGGCGAGTCACGGATCTGAGGCAAGGAGGGGTGGGAGTAGATGTGCTTTAGTAAGGCGACCTCACGGCCATCATGAGATTCCTGGTAGTCATCGTTCTCAAACTTGCGAAGAGAGGGGTATTTCTCATACAATTGTTCCATTGTGATGGATGGGGTTCTTGGCGAGGAAGTATAGAGGAGGGGTAAGCGAAGAGAGGCAATTGCTGAGGTAGAACACAGGGGGCTTACGCAGGCTTATATAGTTGGCTATATCTTGCTTACGCTAGTGCAGAGACTAGAGAATGAGGGAATGTGACACTATGGACTATGGTGAGGAGAGTGTGCGATCATACTTGCTGCTTTACCGATAAGCCAAAGTGCGCGCCATCCGCCGCGTGGAACGCGCTCCGATTGGGTGCGGGTGGCGTCGGCGGGCATAAACTGGTAAACTCCGGCGTCGCTCGTTCTTCCGTCTCGCACTCTGCGCAGCACGTTCCATCTGGACCGCGTCATTAGGGCTTACTCTTTTCCGCTTTTGGTGCTTTATCTACTAGGTATATTGCAGGTTGCTCAGTGTGTCTTGCTTATGGGATTGGCCGCTTGAGCTACGCTGTGAGGGGTAAGTGTCTTGCCACCCGGGAGAATAATATTGCTGCTCGACCAACTAGATTTGTATGCTTGGTAGAATGGAAGAACCTTGCTATACATGCCGGCGGCGGCGGATTCGCTGCGATCAATCTCGTTCACCTTGCGCAAAATGCACGACAAGTGGTTTGCAATGCTTTACTTCCAGACCCCTCAGATGGGTTGCTGGCGTGGCAATACGAGGGAAGATGCGGGGCGTTTCGTTTGAAAACACATCAGATGATTCAACCAAAGGAGCAAGTGCTCAAAATCAGTTCGGTCCAAAGGATGGCTCTCTTCCTGCAGTCGTGTCTGTCTTCACCGCCGTGGGCCCTTTCGGACGTGATGGTAAGCATGGTGCACTATTGGAGCTAGCATGACTCCCAGAAGTGGCTTACACGGATTAGTGGTTCCTACAAGACCTTTGACTAGCGTGCCATCCAGCATAGGTGATTTTGCCATCTCAGAGCTGGATCCAGTTTCCAGGTACTACCTGGATTATTGTCAGTGAAGCTCACTGCACCCCAAACCTGTCTAACCGAGGATAGATAATGACCGCATTTGTAAGCTCTTCATAGTCTACGATAGCGAGAAGAATCCTTTTAGGGCTCTGATATCCCTTTCGTTACTTGACCGGACCTTGCTCAAGTCGGTCCTGGCCCTTGCAGCACGACATAGGGTTAACAGGGATTGTTCTTTTCATGATCTCACCATCCAGCCACCGCCAGGGCCGGCAAATGCCCAATTAGATGCTCTTCGATTCAAGTATCAAGCTATACAGGGGATTTCAAAAGACTTGGGGGATTCGACATCGGGGAAGAAGGACACAACGGTGGCTAGTATCTTCCTGCTAATATTCCTGGATCTGCTAGAGTCAGGAAGTGATCGATGGAACGTTCACCTAGAAGGTGCTAAGCGGCTGATGGATTTCAATCTACCCGAGCCGCGGGCTGGTTCCCGGCACGATCCGGGGCAGACTGTCCAGGAGATTCGTAATTTTCTTGCCAGTCAGATTTACTCGTAAGTATAGGCATCTCAGCGATGATGAACTCTGGCTGAGATAATTTAGGATCGAAACCCTGGGAGGGACCTTTGTACGCCCTAAATTATTGTCGCAATTTGATCTGCTCCGTGGACCACAGTTTCAGGAGACTGTCGAGCAATCATTTCTTGGGTGTCCGGAATATCTACTGGATGCCATACGATATCTCTCGGCGCGAAGGGACGCAATAACATGTCCTGAACGACATGACGACTCTACCTTCAGCTACTTTGTTGAGAATACCGTGATGATGATCGATTTCATCCAACAATTTGACTGCTCCGTATGGGCCTCATCTCTACTACTGAACACAACGGGCACCGGAGATATAGGATCTCTTTGCACCTTGGCACGGACTTATCAGATTGGGGCTCTGATATACGGCAAACGGGTCCTTGGGGCTCTTACCAAGGAGTGTCTGTCATTGGAAGATCTGGTGCAAGAGCTGATCGACGCGATCAGCAGCTTGCAGGATGATAATGCTTTATACAAATGCATTCTCTGGCCCATATTCATTGCTGCCCTTGAATGCCATCAGCCAGAGCAAAGAGAAACCCTTTTGTGCTACATGGAGAAGTTTTGGGATTGCACCAGTTGTGTGAACGCGATCAATGCTGCCAAAATTATAAAAGATCACTGGGAGAAAAGCGATGGTGCATCCTCACAATGGATCTTTTCAATTGGGTATCTAGGTCGTGACTGGCTTTTGATCTGAGGCTGGCTCTGGCATAGCTGGAGGAAGAGCCACTGCCAAGTATGGCGCGGAATGGCAGTGCTTCAAGTCGGGTGTTATATCATCTACTTGTGCGGGAAATCGCATCGGAGAGTTATCGAGAGGTCCAATGATGGCGTTCAGACCAGCCCAGTCAAAGCCAAGCACCCTTAGTCATGCCTCGGCAGCAGGGGTTGTTATCATCCACTTTCTTAGTCTCGGACTTTATCCTATCGACCCCTCACGCATCCCTCACCAATAACACCCCAGGCCAGCGACATGATATCAGTTCTCCTTCCCCTCAAATATCCACGACTCTCACACACTATCAGTCCCATCGCGCTACAATGCCCTTTCCTCAAACCTACGATGTGACCGTCATCGGCGGTGGCCCCGTCGGCCTCCTCCTGGCCTACCAGCTCACCCGCTTCGGCCTTTCCGTCTGCCTCGTAGAAAAGCTTGATAAGAGTACCCCAGAGGGCCGTTACGGCCGCGCTATCACGCTCTTTCCGCGGACGTTGGAACTACTTGATCAATTGGACCTCGTTGGTCCGATGCTTCAGCAGGGATTCGCCTGCAGAGAAAGTGTCACGTATAAAGACGGGATGAGGCAGTGAGTACTCTCATACCTTCCAGGGAACACTGTTAATTGGGGTAGATACCCAGGGAAGGTATGGACATTCATGGAGAAGATCGACGGCACGGTGTATGATTTTGCCCTCGTACTGAGGCAAATGTTCACGGAGGAGATCTTGCGGGAGAGATTGGATCGCAAGAAGATGGTCTATCATGATTGTATGGAATGTGTGGGGTTTGAGGTCAGCCAGGACGGGAGCGAGTATCCTGTGAGTGTGAATTGTGTGGGTAAGGAGAGGGTGACTATCAAGAGGTAGGTCTTCCCTCGATGGCTGCTGGAACAGGAGCTGATTGAATGCGCAGTAAATATCTCATTGGCGCCGATGGTGGTCGCAGTGTTATCCGCAGACATTCCAATATTCCCTTTGACGGGGATTTGTCGGAAGACCAGTGGATCCGGATAGATGGTATCGTCGAGACGGACATGCCGCTGAACCGGGCATATGGGTAAGTGAGTATGAGCTGATGAAGTTGGATGCTGATTTCACAGGGCCATCGAAACAACGACACACGGAAATGTACTCTGGGCTCCTCTCGACCATGGCGCGACCCGCATCGGTTATGCATATACGCCTGAGATAGCAGCCATGTACCCGGACGGGGTGACGGAGGAGGTTGCCGTGAACCAAGCAATCGCGTGTTTACAGCCATTCAGTCTGAGGTTCAAAGAGGTACACTGGTGGACATTGTAAGCCATCCTACACTTCCGAGGAACCCTACTGATATTGATTTTAGATACAAGATAGGCCAGTGCATGGCCCGCACTTTCGCATCCTACGACAACCGTGTCTTCATCTGCGGTGACGCAGCCCACACTCACAGCAGCGGTGCTGCTCAAGGCCTGAACACCGGCATCCACGACGCGGTGAACCTCGCCTGGAAGTTGGCGCTGGAGATCCACGGTCTATCCCATGTTGAGGTCCTCGACTCATATACAACTGAGCGCCAGTCCGCTGTGCAGCGACTATTAGACTACGATAGAGACATCTCCCTTCTGATGACGCACAAATGGCCCGCTTGGTACACGGGTGACCGGCGCGCAGACCCGAACATCCTTCTCGGGGAGATCTTCGACCAGGCTGCGCCATTCAACACCGGCCTGGGCATTTCGTACGAGACCAACGTGATCAATCAGCCTTGGAGCTCTTCTGCGGAGGTAGATGTGGGCGTAAAATCGGGAACTCGAGCACCAGATACCGAGTTAGCTACTCCAGGGACATTTCAGCCCGCACGGCTGCACCAGGTCCTCCGGAATAACTGCAAGTTCCATGTATTGGTATTTTCTGGGTCTAATGCCGAGACGTACCAGTCGAGATTACTGCCTCTGCGAGGATATCTGGACCTGCACCCAGATATGGAAAACCACCCCGCCATTGACTGGTTGACAGTGTGTGGTTCAGCGGGGTGCTCGCCGTGGGAGGTGATGGGGATGCGGGCATTCGGGGACACATACTTTGATGCGATGGGCAAAGCGCACCGGGTATACGAAGTCAATCGCCACAAGGGCGGAGTGGCCGTGATCAGACCTGATGGTTTAGTTGGATTCACATGCTCTCTCGACGGACAAACCCTCCGGGGGTACTTTTCCCGAATCCTAAAGCTAGACCCATAATTACCACCTAGCATACATAACCCACTCAACTATATATCCCATGATAATTCATTCAAACCCCCTCCTCAAATTCTCAAACCGACTCACCGGATACCTCAACGTATTCTCCACGCCATCCAACCCCCCCACACCCCCCAACTTCCCCCCCGTCAACCTCACCAGACTCCTCTCATGCCGCACGGGGTGATCCCCACTCAACTCCCACCACATGGCCCCTCCCAACCCCCTCCCCGCAATATAATCCACCTTCAACCCCGCCACCTCCGGCGTATCATAACTGACCATCTTCCTCTTGACGGGATCAAAACACCAACTCGCCATGAGGCCCCGATCCACCACCTCGGGGCCACCTAACGGCAAATCCTTATAATCCCACACTCCATTCTCCCACGACCCCTCCCCCACACCCTGAAACCCCCGTCCAGGACCATCCGTATTCTCAAACGCCCGACCATACAACGGCATCCCGAAGATGATTTTCCTCGGATGCACACCTCCCCTCAGGTACGCCTTCACCGCCTCATCCGCATTAAACGGCGTAGCACCATCCCGGGAGGGAAAAACATTCGCCATATGTCCCGCCTTCTGATCCCAACTCCCCGCGAAATCATAACACATGAGATTCCAAAAATCCAGAAACTGATCCATCTCTCTCATCCGGAGCTTCTCGTAATTACTCGCTCCGCACGGCGCAGCTATCGTCAACAGTAACCGTTTCCCCTGCAGATGAGTGGCGGAGTACCTGTCCAGTTCGCGACGGGTATCCTGCAACAACAACACAAAATCATGTGCTTGGGCCGCATTCTGGGGATATTCCCAGTCGATGTCGATTCCATCAAACCCGAGGTCAGCGAGAAGGTGAACTGCACTCTGGGCGAAGGTTCTTCGTCCGGAGGGGGTGGATGCCGGACCGGCGAAATTGGGACTGTAGGTCCAGCCGCCGATGGAGAGGAGGGTTTTCAGATGGCGGTGGCGTTTCTTGAGGAGGTAGAGTTGTTTGATGCATCCGTAGGCGTTTTCGTTGCCGGGGTCGGACCAGCTGTCGTCTGGGTAGTGCTTTTCTAGGTCGCTGTAGGTGTCGGTTAGGTGGACTTCGCCTGTTGGGCGGATGTTGGCGAAGGAGTCTGTTTTTCCTTTGTGTTAGATGGTGGGGGTGGAGAGGGGAGGGGGTTAGGGGAGGCGAGAGGGGTTACAGAGGATGTGGGTGATGTAGTCGGCGGGGATGTCTTGGGGTTGATAGTTGCGGCCGTAGATGCCCTGGAGTGGTTTAGTTGGTGGTGATGTGAGGGGGAGGGATTGGGGGAAGGGGTGGGGCATACCCAGTTGGTGAAATAGCCGACGGTTTTGTAGCCTGGTCGGCTGGCGTTGATCCACGGAGGTGGTGCATGGGACATTGGAGGGCGAGGAGGGATTCGGGGGGGAATCATGGGGGCTGCGTGGGGTGCAGGAGCAGCGCTTGGAGTGGGTGGATGAGGTGGATAACCACTGCTGGTGGTAGTCATGATAGGACTGCCATAGGAAGTGTCACGGACAGCCTCTGGGATGTCTCGACTCTGCGGAGCAAGCTGGTCAGGCCCCGGGATATTGATTTGCTGCCCCGGATAGATAAGATCGGGGTTGGTGATCTGCGGGTTGGCGGCTGTAAGTGCGTCCAGAGTGACTCCGTGGTCTTGCGAGATCTTCCATAGTGAGTCACCGCTGGCGATAGTGTATGAAGGCATGGTTGATTAGTTGTATGATGTGATGGGATGGATTTCGGGTTGGTGAGGAGATGTGGTGGTTGATATAGCCTGTCAGTGTCAGGCACAGCCTGCTGTGGCGCGTGGGGTCTCACGCTTTGCTGCTTTGGGTTAGTGCACACAGCCCTGCGTATTTTTAAATGGCTTGGTATGATGTCATCTGAGGCATCTTTTCTATTAGTACATAGAAAAGAAGAGGTGAGGAATGAGTGCTGGTTGAATCGCTGAATTAATTAAAACTATACTATGCAAGGTAGAATTTCATATCAGGTGATTAGGGGATTAACACGCTAAGTTTATTTCACAATCAGGTAACAACCTGGATACGACGGGAATTTACGACGGAACTTACGCTGGGTTGCAATGCTATTAGCCAGATGGGAAATTTCCAAAAAATCTCCCTGCAACCTGGCTTCACGAAAGAAGTGAGCTTTGATGAAGAATTTGACAGACTTTCATTGTCCAGTACTAGAATTCACGATTGAAATCTGCAAATATGAGAAGTGACGGCCCAGTGAGCTTCACCGTGATAGTATTCAACACGGCTGCAGTGACGACTTTAATATAACGCTTGGATCCGTATCGTCACTATACTTGCTCACTACACTATCCGGTTTTGCCTATAAATACCCCTCTTCTCCCTCTCGCTCTTCCTCTTCTTCTCATCATCTCTCATTATCTCTCACACTCATCCCAGCCAAACCACAGAAGGTGTCATGGCAATTTCATTTTATCTTCAAATGTTGGTAGCCTCCTGCCATCGCAGCCTTTGTTATTATATCACTCAGCTAGTCAATACAGCTCAAGGCTCTCTTTGGCCTGAACACATCTCTACAACCCAAGTCCATCTTCTATGGCACTCAACCCCAGATAACACTTATCGAACGGTAGAAATGGTCTTTTCCCCCCTACCTGTTCCAAAGCACACCCACCACTTCACTGGGGTCCAACAACTGCACTACTTGTGCGGCAAGCATCACTACAAGAACATCTCCAATCCGTTAAACGAAGCAAACGGCTCTTGAAAGGGCCGTCTTCAACACTGAGCCTGACGAATGGCATCGGCTTCAGTTCATCTGGGAACACGCTACAAGGGATTTAGTCTCCATGTATCAACATCTCAACGAGTTATCATGGGAGGATATAGCATGCGCCACGCCAGCTACCAGTCCAACCGGGAGTGACAAAGGCACGGTGTTCCCGATCACCTCCACCTGAGATATGTCGGGCCATTTGACTGTGTGTGGGGGGACAAGCATGTTGATATCTTGCGGAATGTTCGGCAAAAGCTCGGGGGCTTCCCACGCAGGCGCCGAAAAGCAAAGTTTCGAACAATATCGATCACTCATACAGTGATGATTAGAACGAGATATTCTGTACCAACTCATGATGCTTCCTGTGCTTGGTATCGAGCCGTTCATATTCTAGGAGCATGTGTCTATATACTGACTCCTTTTTCAGTGCCTGAGCGATGGCAAGAGAAGGTGCTGACCTCAACCGATGACCGTGTGTGGGGACTCAGTCACCGAATTGACTACCACAAGTTCACAGATCTCTACTGGGAGCTGCCGTCATAAATCGAGGACAGAAGAGCTGTGGACTACCACTGCCCGAGGTCTCCTGCAGGTCGCGAATCACATGGTTTATCCACCGATGGGCTGTCATGGTATTAGCAACACAACGAACGTCTTCTTTGGGATCCCAGAAGTGCTCCTTCAATATGCATTCCCATTCTATCAGCTGGGCTGCTCTTCAATGGGAGAGGGACGCTGCAAAGATAATAGTGATGGTTTCTTACACCGGAAACGGCGACGTGCCCGAGAAAATGCCTGGGGTCAAACCCATCGACGCGGCGAACTCATCGACAGCGATGAACGGTCTACATGTCTCTGTTATCAACCACAAGAATCCCGAAAGTACAGGTTCAGCAGTTCCCTTGTGGTGTTTAAGATGACCAGTTTATCCGGATCCTAATAAAGCTGCTGTATGAAACACATACATCAGAGATGCCGAGTGTGGTGGTCCTTGACTGGGACAGGTACAAGAAGCGGGTCTCATCACTTTGTATAATCAGAGTTGTCAGCCACTGCATGATGCACTAAAACTCGTCACCTCCAGCACTTGATTGTGCTCAAGCGAGCACTTTGGATATTGCCAAGATAATGCAGACCTCATGAGAGTGGGATAAACGGTGAAGTTCTAATCAGTCGATGGTGACTTTCATGAAGACGATGAGCACAAAGCATCATTATTATTAGCAGAAATTATAAACCGGATGAACGGCTTCTGACATGAATGTGTCCCAGATCTCAATGATCCCAACACCATCAGCAACTGAACATTGAGGCATTAATTGCAGCTCATCGACCAGTTCATCTAGTTTGACGGGCATGGAGCATCTGAAACGAGTCTGTCAACCTCGACTAAAGCGAACATGGAACGAGGGAAAACTGAAGGGAACTTCGGGTTCCACCACGAAAGCACTCTTCATGAGCGACAGATACCCTCGCTGAGCACCAGGAACCTCATGGCTGAGGATGAACGAACCCAGCCATGAATAAGAGGTATTTGCTACTATAATTCAATTATATGGCGTGGTCTAGATCAAAGACCACCTACAGTGGTCCCCATTGTGTGTTGTCGGTAACTCCGTCGAAGATCAGTAGCGGCACTCAGCATTTGTAATCAGGGAGTTGACATTGTTGAAAAGCGACGTCTGTCACCACCAAGCCGAGTTCTCCAAGTAGCTTCTGGCAACCAGGAACCCAAGTGTCACCCCAATTCTTATGGTAGCACACCGCGGAAAGACATCTCACGACAACATTCCTGAGCTAATTCCTCAGTGACCTGAGTCTGTCAGAACAATACTCACCCCTATAAGTCAATCAGGCTGAACGGCATTCCGTCAAAAGAGAACCACCACAGGCTTTAACACTCTGGACATTCTTTTCTCAGGTGGAGAGCGGTAAAGGGAACGGTACAGACTTCACCAGCTGAAATGGGCTCGAGCATATTGCTCGTCCAGCGGGTGACTTTTGCGCCAGCGTCTACAAAGCGTCTATGGGTCAGCATGCTATAATCCTGATATCAAAGCATACCATATCTGCTGTGAATGAAATGTCTCACTTATGGGATACGATGTTCACTACGGTTTGGGAGTACGCTTAATTCAACGAAAGCAGAGCCACCAGGATTACAGCTGAGGCAGAAGACGATCTCATCATGATCATCTCGAATGCTGCTTCTGCAACATTGAGGGTAATAGGACCGACGGCTTGAGTAAGCAACGATGCTCAGCCAATCATACTGCCGAGACGAGTGTCTTGCAGAGCAAGTTCGCGAAATAATGCCATCCTCGACAAAAGCACATGTGCTGTCTGCTGTGTTCTTCAATCGCGGAGACCTCTGTCCTCGAATATTGCTTTGCGATGTTTCCCACCGCGGTAATGAGAGGTGTCACGGTGTCGGAGATGATCCTCTAGTAGGCTTTTGTGGGAGATCGGTGGCAGCAAGGCGAGTGGTAGGAATACCAAGGATCCGAGGAATGCCCCTACACATGACGAGTTCAGTTGGACGCATCAGTGATTTGAAGAAGCTGCGGGTTCTTCCAGATTACATGGCATAAGCGCTTGGGCTTTCCTCCGGTAGCCTGGAATGGTCGAGGTCCAACGGACCGGCACCATTCTCAAAATGTGACCACAGATTGGGACACTCAGGAGTTTTTTGACCACCAGGAAGGAGATACGGTAGAGAGAAAACACCACCATGATTGAGATGTACATCTGTGTCAAGGAGGGTACATCTGTGTCAAGGAGGGAAACAACTTCAACGTCGACACCCACAATCGCTGGATTCCAGTGCGGCCTCCAGGTTGCGTTTGAACGAGATCTCTCCGATCGTCCGTCCCATTCTTCTACTCGAAGCCCGACGGAAGCTAAAGCAACGCGGCAGCTCAGTCCTAGAACCTACTATACGACGTGATCGAGTAATCAAGTGGTAATTTCTAATTTAATTAATCTCAACGATATAAGACCAAAGTGAATCTTATATACACTACATCCGTGCAGCTTGAAGAACGACATGAAACCCACCCAACCAGAAGGCAGACGGCCATCTGTAACACATTTTCCAAGCTATGCGACTGAGTTGTGGGCAGAATCACGGCCACAAGTTCTCTATATCTGGCGTTGATATTAGATTCCGTCGATTTAACCCTTATAAATGGGACTGAGACTGAGACTGAGACTGAATGTTCTCTGTTTATGTCGTGAAGACTTGAATGGTCTGCGCCCTGTTCTCTCTGCTATGCTGCAAGACAGTATGAGATGTCTGCAGGATAAATGGTGGTCGCCTGTTCGCTATCGTGAGTCAATGACAGTCTGACACAGAAAAGCAGGATGGAGAGGACTCCAAATTATCTGTCAATCACTGCCGCCTAAGTGGCTTCGCACCGTTCATCATCGGGGCAGATACCATGGGTGAGGCCCCGAATCATGTATGCATTGTGAATGCATTACGTGCCGGATAGCACCTTGATAAATGGCAATCAGTGCAGAGCAAACATAAACACGCGCAGTCTCGCAGGGCTGTTGGCAATCAAGTGAGGTTTGAGGATGAGCCTGAACTTTGATTACTTCCTGCTAAAGCCAAGAAACCGTGAGGAGCTTGCCACAAAGCTTTTATGCACTTGCCAGAGTGAGGCATCGCCAACCTCATTCAAAGGTATCAATGCTGCTTTGATTCCGGTTCCTTGCAACCATATCCTTCTGTGTTCGGTGGGAGGGATGCGAACATATCTACCTTGGCATTGTTCAAATAGACATAATCGACAAGGCGCATGTTCTGGGCGATGCAACCCAACAAACAGATTCACTAAACCGTGGAAACCGAGGCGTCTTACGCTTGCGGTCTCCTGCGCGACGCCCGACGATCCTATGGTCATGGCTACCAGTACCTTTGCGACTCCGGATCGGCAGTCTTGGAATCCTGGTTGTTTTCTTATTGGAAAATTGCTTGATCATCCATTCCATTTTCCGAACACCTCCTTGCCTATGGGGTGGTTGGATTGGGGGAAGGATATCGTCTTCTTATCTGTTCGGCCTTTGCGATCCCGATGGATATGGGTACTATTGCTCTGCTCTGGAGGGAGAATCTGACAGGGTTGGCGGACGAGGAGGTGCTGGTATATTGATGGGATTGTATGGGTATTGCCGGCTTTCAATATGGCTTAGGGATATTACACGTTTGGTGTTTGCGAACTCGGTGAGATGGAGGTATCTATGCACGATGAAGGCGAGGAATGAGGGGATTAATTCTCTCCACCCACGAACCAATCTTTTTCACAGTCTCATTGAGATTAAGTTCACTTCAAGCGAGGCAATGCTGTTTTGTACCAGTCCTAGAACGAAACGGCGTGGATTGTACTCCGAGTTCACCAGTTGACCAACTCTTTGCAGAATACCCGTCACCCAAACACTATTCAGCCACCGAGGTTAAAATCCCACCCAATCTATTTCAGTACCTACCTAGTACCTACATAATGCAATTGACACATCCAATCCAGGAAAATATTTCCATCCCACTCCCCCCCAGCCAAGAACCAATCCCACGGAAAACCAACCCAGATCTCCGATCTCCCACTAAAAACCACCCTAATGTTGCCCATCGTAATTAAAGGCAACTAACTCATCATCCCTGCAACCCAACCCAAGCCAATGGTACCGCCTTAACTACCACTTTGGATGAATGATCGCCCAGCGATCGATCGTAAACGAGACATGTAAGGTTCGGTTCGGTTCGCTTACAAGGAATTGGGAGATCTTTTCCCAGAGAAGCTTGATATACGGGCTCAGCTCATCACCACTGAAGAAGACGATCGACGGGAAAAATTCGGGCGGAGCTGATGGATGTCGGAAGTTGGAACCTTCGGGGTTGCGCTAGTCCAAGGCGCTAGTCGGGTGGGCCTCGTGGCCCAATTGCCGGGACAGCCACATTATTACGCTTTTTTTCTTTCTTTCTGCGTTGGCACTCACCGGGGGGTCATCCCACGCGAAGGATTCTGACGGATTGGTGTGCTGATCGGTTGGTCAAGAAGAGGAAAAGAGGAGATGATATGAATGCTGAATTGGAATGGAAGATGCATCCAACTATCGTTGTGAAGATGCCAAAAGTAAGTAAATGATATCGTCATCACTGCCGGCCCCCCCCGGTAGGCATCCACGATAGAGACATATCCTATAGAGAGTTGCTAAACCAAAGTTTAGTTGAACCGAGTTCTCCGGCGGATCAAATCATAACCCCCGACGAACACACGCTGCCTAATGAATGGCCCCACCGCCGATATGGAAGATCCTTCGCTGAAGCTTTTTATCTCCGTCGCCCCCTCATGTCGCCTTCTGCCGCGGTCGACCCCTTTCACCATCCTCAACTACAAGATGATGCGCCCCCCTCGATGATTGCCTGACTTTATCGCACTATACTTCATGCATCAAACAAACCACGATGAATTTCAATGTCCGACAGGTGCAGGGGCACCTTTTCCGGTTGACTGTCTCCACCGCATGTCTGTGTCTCTCCGTCTTACTCTATGTCTCCGTGGACTGGTCATCCGCCCAACACCCAGCCAGCCTTGACATCTCCAGCCCCGAGTATGACATCGATGCCATCGTTCCCGCCATATCGGCCTGCAATGGCTTCAACCCCGCCACAGTAGCAAAGGCCCTAGATGATACCCTCACCGCCAAACTCCCTATCAATGGCAGCGCCGTCGACGACTTTGTCTGCAGCATCATGACCCACAACATGACTCTGACCGCGAAGCTCGAATGTCCCACTGAGATCAGCCCCCGCTACGCCGATCTCCCCATCAAGCCATCCAGTCTGTCCAACCCCAAGATCAAGTACTTCTTCGCGCTGGACCTCTACCAAGCCACCCACATCCTCCTCCCCCTAATGGGCACCATCATCGAGACCATGCGCTTCCTCGGCCCAGAATACTGCGCTCTCTCCATCGTCGAAGGCCGCTCCACCGACGGCACCTACGACATCCTCGACCGTCTGAAGAGCGAACTCGCCGCCATGGGCGTCCGCTACTACCTCTCCACCAACGACCTCAACCCCAAAGCCGTCTGGGAAGACCGAATCAAGCACCTCTCCACTCTACGCAACCAAGCCCTCAAACCCCTGACTTCCGCCGGAGTCGGCAAATTCAGCCCCTACGCCGCAGACACCACCGTCCTCTTCATCAACGACATCGTCCTCTGCGTCGAGGACCTCCTCGAACTCCTCTACCAGCACCAATTCCAGCATGCCCAAATGACCTGCGCCTTTGACTGGAACGCCGGTGGCGGCTCCTTCTACGACTCATGGGTATCACGCAGTATGTCGGGGAACTTGTTCTTCGAAATCACCCACGACGCCAAATACTGGCTCACCCAGGACATGTTCTTCGATGATCCCCTGAACCAGGAACGGTATGCCCGACACCTCCCATTGCAGGTATATTCCTGCTGGGGCGGGATGGTGATTCTCGACGCTGCGCCATTCGTGCAACGGAAACTCGAATTCCGAGATCACAGAGAAGGCGAGTGTCATATGGGTGAACCGACTTTACTAGCGAAGGACATGTGGGGTCAAGGGATGGGGAAGATTGTCGCTGTGCCGGCAGTAAATGTGGCATACGAGTACAAAGCTACCCGAGAGGCAAAGAAGGCTCGAGGTTATGTGCATAATCGCATCACCAGTGGGAATTATAAGGCGGAAATGGAGCGGATCAAGTGGGTTGATGAGCCGCCGGTGAGGGTTAAGTGTATGCCGTTGTTTAATAAGCAGTCGTGGGTGGAGTCGACATAGTGATTTCTTCGATCATATATATTTAATAGATGATATTTTTAGATTAGATAGTATAAGAGTTATGAGTAAATGATACTTTATTCCAAGTGATTAAACCACTAGTCCATCATGAATAGTTAGATCGTTTAAAAGCTACTAAACAAATGTACCATATGAGCCACGATCATGCAACAAATCAACAGAATGCATACTTTCCTGACATAATCCCCTGAATAACCCCCTCTATCATTTCCTCCATTCCCTATGAATCTACAAGTTATATAATAACTTTATTTGTATAATTGGTACCTATGACTCGTAGTACGTACGCTATATAACCCGGATTCCGGGGACAGCATGTCTTTTAGTCAAACTAGCAGACTGCGTGATCCCAGATATGCAATAGGTCACAGACTCTTGTAGTGTGTGTATTTCTTAATGGTTAGTAGTATCCCAAGTCATTGAGATATTTTTTTTAGGTAGCGGGACTCTTTGATAGTTTTCATTAGTTTGGTCATTTATGTAAACTCTGGTGGTATTTTATTTGTTGCTATATGACAGATGATGTATTGATAGTTCCTTAAGGATATTCAACGCTTATGAGTATAATAAAGCACTTTGGTATACTCATCTAAGATCAGATCTGGGTAGCATAAATCTAAAGCTAATCCACAAGTCCCTGATATTTAAGAATCTTGATGATAAACAAGGTATTAGTATAGGATATTACTTATACCATAGTTTTTTTTGATAAGTACGTAGTTAATCTAATCTACACCCAAGACTTATTATTCTATTCTGCTTGGGGATTGAGAGCGGAGGTATCTATTACAGAAGAAGTAATTATCTATATGAGAAATATATACTATCCCCCTTCATATATTCCTAATCTCCAGCCTGAATCCTATATCAACGAAGACCCTGGAAGTTAGATATATATACCATGAACAAGGTAGTAATGATCTTCTTTCTACGCGAATGTAATCAATTCTGCAATTGTTCATAGTGCGTTTACTGAATATTGATCTAAACCAGAGATTACCCAAACTAACTTATCTATTATATCTGTATACATAATCGTAAACTAGTCATACACAAATGAAGAGATATATATGTACATGCTATATTCACTTCTAATAAAGCAAACCAAGTATGTCGTTAGTTTGGTTTTAGTAAATGGGTGAGTGGAATATTACATATAAAACACGCGGGGTTGGGTTCTTATATCTGGAGTAATTGTGTCTGGATTCGGCTGTATATAGAAAGTCATTTATATTCGTGTTTTCTTTACCCGTTGTTGTGGTTGCAGTGTATGTAGTGTGAAGGGAAAGGCGAATGGGGAAAGGTTTTGTTCTTGGGTAGGATTGATAATATTAGGGTTATTCTCGAATGTGCTGTTGGGGAGGGAGAAGGATATAGATGGATAGAGCTGGGAAGTGGGTTTCGGGAGAGAAGATATAAGACGAGTGTTTACACACTGAGGAATGCTGGGATGGGAGGATTAATGAGAGGATTAATAACAGATCAATACAATAATCATTATAAGCATACTAATTCAAAACAACAAACAAAAACCAAATCAACAATAAAGACAATAATCAAGCGAAAGAGAAAGCAATAGCAAGAAGAAAAACAATCTCTGCATACTATAACCATAAACCAACCAACACATCTCCCCCTAACCCGAACCTCACTGAACCTGTTTGTTCCCCTCCACTCCACGCTTCATAGCCTCGAAATCTGCTCGAGCTTTCATCAACCGAGACTGAAAAATCCTTCTCACGACAAACACCCCCGGAGACCAACGAAGTATACCCCTCAGTCCCTTGGACGAAGCCGCAACTTCCGTTATTGCATCATAGCATTCCTTGATTGCGTCGGAAAGTTCAGCCAGCTGAGCTGACTTGGGATGTTCGGTAGCGCGGATTTGATCTGAAAGGGACCTCGCGCTGTCTCGAAAAAGCCTAATCTCTTCACCAGTGACAGCTGAGATATCCTGGTGGTCACTGGAGCTCATGAGCTCGACATGGACAGTCTCAAGTCGATTGGCCTCGATCGTCTGAGAAGATAGATCTAAATTGTCTGGCGAATCAAGCGCATACCAGGCGGCTTTGAGACGTTTTAATGCGTCGGACACTTTGGTGTATCCGTGTTGATCGGCTTTCTTGATCTCATGGTCGATTTGGGAAACGGAGATATTTATTTGACAGCGAGATTCGTGGTAAACACATTTCCCCTCTGATGTCATGATGGAGGTTTGTCTTGGTGGTTGGGTTGAAGGGAAGAAGTGTGAGGAGAAGAGAAGAGGAGAAAGGTGGTGGAACGATGGTTGGATTGCTAAACGCGCAGCAGCGAGACCCCTTTTTGTAGATAGTCTGCCTAGGAGGTCTCCTACCTACAAATCATCGGAAGGGAACTGGATATTGCACAGATGTGCGGTAGGTTGAACATATTCAACGACAGGTTCCGTTACTACTCCATGTAGGGTCTAATAATGGGTTGGGATCTTTATCCGCTGGCCAATTAGACAGCGAACGAGTAAATCCCGAGATGGCCTGTATTTAGAGCAGATTACACCGTCAGCTGCATGCGAATGAGTCGCTGGTATGTATGAGAGCCTGTTATGACTGCAGATTAGGGCATGAACTATGGCTCATGAGATGACAGGGATCATCACTCAACTGGACTTGCTGTAGACAATCAGGAGGATAGCTTGGTCAATGATTCAAATATCCAGCCGGAACTTACCAACGAAAGAAAGAAACCAACTGATCACATGATGGGAAGGAAAATTCCCAATTCTACCTCCAGTGAATCCCTCTATTGATTAGGCAGAACTCGCCCACAACAATTATGTAACCTCTCTCATCTCACTCTATATAACGCGTCCGGAGCTGCTTACCTCACCGGTCATCCATCCATTCCAAACATCATTCAAACCTGACCAAGAGCCATGGAAACCTACGAAGGCTACCCCATCATGCCGGGCATCAAGTCCGAAATCCTCTCAAGCCACAAAATCAAAGTAAAAGGAGCAATTCTCTACCGAGTGCAAGTCGAAGACAAGATCAAATACGTATGCGTCAATGCACACACATTACGTGGCCGCAATATCGTGATCATCCCATCCTTCGAAGGAAACGAGGACGCAAACCTAGTGGAAATATGGCGAGGGCAAAACGGAAAATTCAAATACGATTTCGATATATTTCCTGGAGTTTCACCACAACACATCTGGCATAGGAATCAGTTCGACTTGTCGAGACTTCAAAAAATCGACGAAATCACCGAGAATGTATCAATAGTCAAACTGGCGGATCATACCAGAACCTTTATCGCCAAGGTCAAGGTTGTGGAGCCTGAAGAGATCGATCTTGAGACCAGGATTTATGGGCTTCTGAGGAAAACCCGGATAACCCCGAGGTTTATGGGCCATATCTGCGAGGGCGAGGACGTGAGAGGGTTTCTTTTAGAGAAAGTCGATGCGATTGCACCCTTGGCTATCGACTTCGACGCATGTAAGCGGGTTTTGCAAACGCTTCATGATTACAATTGGTGTTTGGGGAAGGTTACGAAGGATAACTTTCTCATACAGACTGATGGGACGGCCAAGTTGATTGGTTTTGGGCATTGTAAGACTTGCTCTTTCCCTGCTGGTCGCAGACAATGGAAGCTTGAAAGGAAAATGCTCCAGGAATTGGAGACTTTGCGCAGACTATTCAAACAATAGTGTACTCTCTGGAACTAAAATTTCCAGAACGAGGACCGGTTTGCTTTTTATTGCCTCATCATGTTTCTACCTGGTTGTTATATTATTGATTCATCATTGATCCAATTCCACTCATTCATGCTGCTTTATTCTAGGAAAAAAATCTTCCGTATATCTATCGCTGTGAATACCAGTAGGTATCATCCAACCATGAATCTATTTCCCAACGCACAATACAAATTAGCCCACTGACCAGATTATCCTTTTAATAATCTGCACCATAATCCTACCATGGAATTCTCATCACATCCACACCGACATATACAGTCAGTCCCTACTGACATCTTGAAAACCTACACAACGCAGTCCTATTCATTTGAACACCCCAAACCTCTAAAACAGAGCCATTACAAAATAAAAATCTTGAAAGCATGACGAAATACCTCAGTCAAGAACCATACTATATATAGCTACCAAGAACATCATTATCCCGAGGCAGAACATTGCCTCAGGCAAAAACAAAGCCCCAGGCAACAAAACCTCAGGCATCGCACAACTAAAGCGTGAATATCCCGCTAGTCAAACACCACAGATAATCAAACAACATCTAACGATCTCCTCAATCATCACAACAAGCTTATCTCACAGCCTCAGAAACCCCTCTTAGGACTCCATAAAACACTACACTATCCCACACCTACGGCCTCAGTCTACATTTTCAGTTGTGGTTGTGTTGTCCAACGGAAGCGGTAAGCGAAGGCAGAATCCCGATCAATTCAGGTCACGGTATGAGGTTGGTTGCAGCCCAACCCCACCAGTTCAAGGCCCTACTTAGAGTAAGGAAGCTACAAGCACACCTTTCGCCTACCAAACCTGTATAATTGAGCTATTGTATAAAGCACTACCTACAATATTATCCACAGGGCATTACGCAGGATATTCCTCCGGGCTTTAAGCTATACAGGGCTTCATGTAGGGCTTTGCACAAGGCTTCATCACTTACGTAAAGCCCTCACGTGAAATAAAAAACAATGACTGAATGAATGGGCAGCCTGAGGCATTATTAGGGCCTTGGGTATAAATAAAGCACCTTAGTTATATAGACCCAAGGAGTAAGGATTCTGCTAGGGATAAAAGTAGGCCTTAGACAGAGTAGCGGGACCTCCCTAAGGGGAATATTGCTAATAATATTGTAGCATAGTACGTCTTCAATGCTGAAGTGCTTCTAAGGGATTTAGTGAGGTGGAAGGCATGGCTAGTCAGTTGTTAGATATGGATCAGTTTATGTCATTAGAATCATTTTCTCTATAAAATTGAACAACCCGAAATCGTTACAGATGGGATTTTCGCATTGATCTCATACTTCAGTGTCCATGACATCAAAACCAGGGGAAGCTGATGCAGAGAGTAGATTCCCGAGTGGCTGGATTATAAGACGACGGGAGAAAAGGATGATAGCCCCCTATTGGGGCTTCAAACACATTCAGGATTGGGCCCAAATCAAAACCGGAGTCTGGGAATGGAAGTAGGTCGCGAGACAGTTTTTCCCTCGCGTATGAAATCAGATCATCAATACCTGGGCCGAGATATTCCCGGAACGTCTCCAGAAGATCGGGAACATCGTAGTATGGTTCGGACTCCGTACTCATGGATTATACCACTGGCAGATCTTCGGGCCAGATACATGGTCTTTCTAGCATCAGGTTCGCGCTGCGTTCAACCCTGTAGAGGTAATTGAGCGCAAGCTCTCCGTTAGCTAACCAGGACTTCGGGAGGACTAGATCGGCATCCTTCTCGATAAGCAATCTGAGTGCGGTAAGATAATTCTGCTTGATTCTGGCAGTGATGGTACCTCGCGCGGGCAGCCATTGTGCCAAAAATGACAAAAAGAGAGCCCAAACAGAGGCGCCACGGTACATCTCATTGGGGCTAGCATTTGATCGAAGAACACGTTTTATGGCTTGGATTCCAAGGCATGTATACGCCATATGCCATCTCCATTTGTGGGTGAATTTCGGCCGCAGTACATGATCTAAGTCGAGTTGGTCGGAATCCATCATCGAACGTCCATTCCTGTCGAGATACTCAAGTAACCTTGCCATGTCAAAGTCAATTAGTATCCGTGTAGCTCTGATATATGCCTCTGAGTCCCTCCGGTCTGGTGATTCAAAGTTCAACATGAAGGTCGTGTATAACCTTGCGAAGAAGGTCCGAATAGTAGTATTTTCGAAATGCTAGATATTGCGACAGTTTCGAGCAGACAAGGAATGTTCGTGTATCATATGGTCCATCTGTATACTTATGGAGTTGCTTTTGTGAGTCTGGCAAAAGGAGGAAGTCTCGACAGGACTGATGCAAGAACTCGACTCTAACACTGGCAGCGTAGCGTAGCAAATCAAGACCTGAAATATCTTCCCCTGCCTCTCGATAACCTTGAAATAAGTCGAGAACTGACGTATCAGCGCATACGCACTCTAAAAGACCCATGCACCGGCTATTAACTCGTCGCAGAGTTGACTTGAGAAGTAAACGGAGCCTTTTGGTATCACAAATGAACATTTCTGCGAGCTGAGTCGGATTTGTAAGTATCGCATCTGGTCTTTTCTCGTCGATAACTAAGAGATCAAGCAAGCAGAGAGGCGCTTGTTGGGGAAATTGCTCTTTGTCGAGCAATGCAATCTGTAGGATGGCATATGCTTCAGGCCGATATTGAGGATCAATCGACTCCATCATGTGTTTGAAGAGTTTATTCATGCCGGACGGTACATCGTTCAGTTTTTGATGCAATGTATCAAGACTGTCTCCATTCCGGAGACCCGTGAGTAGATCCCGCACCACAAGTCGTGACCATAGGAAGACCCCTTCGGCGTTGTCTGTGATCTTTGAGACAATTTGCTTTGCACTCACTTCGTCAACTCTAAGGAGATTCCGGAATAGCTGGGCGTTGAGAAGTTCTGACTGAACATACGTGCAGATGTCCTCACGTGTAAGTTCCTGCAGACGCACCTTTGGATATTGTCTGAAACTGTCCCGAAAAATATTCCAAGGCCGGCTTGACACACAGATTTTCACAGTCCCAGGGAAATTCAGTCTTGTATGAATGCGGATAAGTTCCTGGCGCATCTCATCAGGGCCTTCAAGCTCATCAAGACCATCGACGAACAATAACACCCTGAGATTCTATGAAGACTGGAAGCATTTGATCAGAGATAATTCAAGCTCTGTGTTAGTCCAGGCAAAGCTCCCAGTTAGAGGCGTCCTGGCAGCGTCCCATCTCTCAGAGTCAATCACCCGAGGCATTAGATCAGGTTTCTGTTTTAGGATCTGCAACAGCAAAGATCTCAGAAGCCCTGTTGTCGACTTCTCTAGCTGATTACCAGCACCCCAGAAATAATAACATGCACTGAATACAGTACAGTTGTCCGCCCAAGGAAGCATGTGATCCTGCCTTTGGAGGTTTTCTTTGAGAAATCGCATCAAGGTTGATTTTCCCGAACCGGGTTTGCCGGAGACCCAGAAGATCTTTTGTGTTTCAGTGCTCGAGGATAGCCATGTAACGAGGCCATCCCATTTGTCTGATTCAAGGTTCTGAGGCTGTAAGATCCAACGAAACGTTCCGTCCTTGGCCTGACCAATCTGTTCTGCACGAAGACCAATCTCAAAAAATCGGAGACTGGCCATGATCTTTTGTTCCGCCACATTCACAGAATTGGTCTGATAAAGGTCTTGGGGCACTAGGCAGTTGGCGATGTCGTTCAGCGTTTTTTCCAATTTATCAAGTTGTTCCCGGTTGACGGTTGCAAAGTCGGATAGAGGATGGGATTGGCCAAGACCGTTGTCACTGCTTTGTTGCTGATCAAGCCTTGCTAGATCGTCTTGGATAGGGGCAATACAGGTTTTGACCGCATTTAAGAAGTTCTTTTCGATAGGTTCGCAGGTGTCGAGAATGCGTTGTTGATCCGCCGAAGTTGCTAGAGTGGAACTAGGGATGATGATTAGAGAAGGGCATAAGACGCTTTTGGCAGTGGAGAAGACATACTTCATATAGATCAGCAGTGCCAGTAACAAATTGTACCAAGCCGTTTGCATGACCGCATCCATCGTCTCCATGCTGGGATCCCACAGCACCTTGGTAGTTTTCTGGAAGGTTTCCCAGACCGAGTGGGGCTTCTCGAGCTTGAAGCCGTCAAGTAACCGGATATATTCGGATGCCAGATCAAGACACTTAGTACTGGCATCCAGCAAGCCAACTCCCGCGTGGCTGTGCATTGTGCTTGGCTGAAGGGATCCTTGAAGGTTGGTGTTGAGTTGGGTGAGAGAGGACTCCACATCTCGTAGAACCTGCAGGTCAGGATGCTCGCCAGTCCTCGCACTCCACAGCTTATAGGCCGTGAATCCTGCTTTACAACCCAGTTGAGCCACCTGGATTATGTTGCACGCCAGTGCAAGGGAGACTATTGATCCAGCGACCATTTTGGATGATTGAAGCTCTGCAAGATAGTTGAAGAGTGAAGGGTAGGTTGGGAGGGGCGGGGCAGCCAGATGAGATGATGAGAGGTCTCCTTCTCCCTCTTGTGTGCGACACGGGATCCCTGTCTGAACCCTGATCTTAGTCATGGATCCCGACAGGTCACTTTTCTTTTTCATCGACTCTGGCTCAAGAGTATGCTGAAGATAGATGGGGGGTCTTTTGCCGTGACGCTCTTTATATAGAGACAAAAGGAGTGGAGCTGCAATAGAAGATCTTCCGCTCCTTGCACGGTCAGTAGCTTTATCTCTTGACTGTGCATAAGCAAAATAACGGAAGAAACCTATACTTACCTGAAGGCATCAGCATTATAGGGAACTATATACCGCTCAATGGATTCTTACATCTTCGGTGTCGGAACTCTCCGACACGAATTAGACCGTCAATGTGGCGTTTGAATATATATAAAGGGGCTCAACTCCCCCCTAGTCTAGCTAGTTATTTATTCAACCCTCAGTCTTGATCTGATCAGAATCACTTGCAACATGGCCACCCCAAACCTCCCACCTGAGCGAAAGATCCTGTCAAAGTTGATCGACGTCCATGGTTATAGCCATTACCGATTGCAAATCGATACTGTCATCAAATACCTATCCCTTAAATGCGGCACATTCGACGAGCCGACCCTGTTGGCTCCCCTTGATTCACTCCCTCCTTACCCCCGGATTGGGGCTGGAACTCAGTCTTGATTTCTCGCGACCCTAACAGTGGAGAATTGAAAGTCGGCTTCTTTTGTTTCTGTCTCCCTCGGGTCGAGCCCGACGAAACCTGGCATGAGTACAATATACCCTGGTTAGACTTGACACATGTTGAAAAGCTCAGCGAGAATACGTTCGAGGTTACCTATCTACCCAAACCGACAGCAAAGCCACGCCGGGCTATTGCGAAGTTTTATCCCTTTGGAAGAGACGAAAACCTTTATAGACAGATCCAGCTCTATGAAGAGCTGCAGGGTACCGGGATCGCCCCGGAGTACCTCGGAAATATCATCGAGGGTGCGCGTGTGATAGGATTTCACCTTGAGAAGGTTGAAGGACGGGAAGCATCAGTGGAGGATCTTCCGGCCCGCAGAGCTGTTTTGCAACGGTTCCACAAGAAGCTGGATCGGGCTCATGGGGATGTTCACCGGCGTCATTCTATTGTACAAAAGAAGGGGGTGAAGTTGATTAGCTTCGGAAAGAGTGAGTGTTGCGATGGTGCAAAGGACCAAAGGGCTTTGGAGGTGAGCAGTCTAGAGGGTTTGTTGGCCGTGGAGTGATATGCCGTCTGGGGAGTTGTCTCTGTCTCTTGTTTTTTGTTCTGCTTCTTTGTCCTCTTTGTTTTTTGTCTGGGGTTCTTTCATTGCTGGCGAAACAAAGGAGGCTTTGTGTCTCCTAATGAGGATAGCAGATTACAGCCTGAGGCATGAAAATCTGACCTCAGGCATGAGTAAGAGCCTTAGGCTGCAATGAACGGACCCAAGCCTTTCCCAATCGAGATCGGAAGACAGTCCCGTCTTCCGATGCACGTGAATCGTGAAGAACAGCCACACAACATCCTCAATCATTGAATTAGATAGCATAGTCCCCAATGTTGTAGATGCCGACCGACAAGGTCAGTACAATGGACAATCCCATGATGACCAGTAACCTCGACTGACCTAGTTTCCAAAGAAAGAGACATTGCGAAGCTCAACACACCCACACCGCACACGATGACCGTACATCGCAATGGCCCCGAGAACACAGCAGTTTCAAGGACTTTTTCTACCAACTCCACACCCACCATCGTCTATTAGGTGGGTCCAGGGATATCACGCTTACCGGTGCTCTGCCCGCCAGCGATACAATCACCCTCCCCAGGAAGAACTGGAAAGTACCAAGTAGAGAGTACTACACCACCTTTATGAAATCACAGGGGATGATGTTGAGAGTCTTGATGCAGACCATCTATCTCAACCTGGAGGATGTTGGCAGAAGTCCTGAGTATAATGCTGGGACAGCTAGCTGCAAATATCAGGAGGCGTGCTCAAGACCAGGAGGTTTATGTCATCGGCTTATATGGATGTTACGTCTACCTCGCCTGAGGCTTCTTTACTGCGGATCTGATTTCCAGAGTACATGCACTCGGGTGCTCTGAAGACGAGACTTTCGAACTGAAGTTTACCCGCGGCTATGACCTGTGTCTCACCCACTAACATACCCAACCCACCCAGTCGCAAAATAGAAACACCACTCTCACACTGAACCCGTTCCTAGAATACAAAGCCTATATAGTAATACTATAAATTATCCTCCTTCCCACACTATCACCCACTGAAATCCCATAATCCCAGCTAGCCCTGCGATTCTATAACAGAACACAGTCTGTTGAGTTTACATCTATGATACACTATAAATGCCTCCGTTCAAGCACAGTTATTAAGATGAGAGTTTATTCATGGTAGTAGCGTAGCTGATGGGGAATGTCCACTTTGGGTGTTTCTCATGTGAGGGGCGTTAAAGGGGAGATGCGTGCCCTGTCTATCCATCCCTTGAATTTAATTAGGTTTATTGTTCTCGGGTTAAGTGTTAGCTTTTTGTTGTTTGCGTGGTATGTTTATGAGGTGGGGGGAGGCTCTGTATTTCGGATACATGGTCTTGCTTGCTATATCAGACTTGAGATATCCATAAGGACTGTATATATATGCCCTTCAATGCTAAAATACGAGTATATTCGGAACAACCATACATAGTATACATATGTGAGAACTACTAGGATATTTCTACATCCTTTGACCATAATAACACCAAGCTTCCCTCCCCTGCCACTACCGCTACCAGATCAATCATCTCATCAACATAAAGGAGCACATTTAATCCCCTACACCGAAAAATCCATATCGCAACACATCCAATTCATCATCTCCGCATCCCCGGAATACAGTATCGCACCGGGGATCTATCAAAGTTTGTTAGTACCATCCATCCATCCATCAATGCATAAGTTAGTTTAGTTACTCACCAGAAAATCAAAATCAAATCCATCCTCCACCAACTCCGGCGTCACATTCGAAGGCGTCACCAACCCAGATTGTCCTTCACATGCCCTCTCCTCCAAAATTCCCAAACAAGTCTCAATACTCTCTTCAATCGTTCGCACCAAGTAACCGTGCATATCCTCCTCAGTAACCCCACGCATCAACCCCTGAACCTGCGCAACGAGACCATGTGTAAGGAGGTACCCCTTTGTATTCGTCTCACCGGACTCCATACACTCCAGAGTCCAGGCTTTAGCTTCCTCCAAGACACGAACGAGATCCGGTCGCAGAGGGACCGGGTCGAGACTTTGGTTCTCTTCTTGGAGTTGGAATCTGAGTTCCGTGGCGATGATGGTGAGGGCTTGGATGGTGGTGGTGCGGAAGAGGCCTCCTCCGGAGGTTAGGAAGCGGGTGAATTGGGATGAGGGGGAGGATTGGTAGGTGGAACGCCAGATTTTGAGGGCTGTTTCGAGGGATACTTTTCTAGAGAAGGCGTAGGGGGCTTCGTGTAGGGAGAGGGAGAAGTAAGGGAGGTGGAGGGAGGAGAAGTAGCGTTGGGTGAGGGTGTCGGTGGCGCGGAGGGCGAATTTGGGGGGTGATGGGGTGTAGGATTGGAGGGTCTGGCAGAGGACTTTGTATGAGGCTCGGAGCTGGGTGTCCAGCCGGAGGGTTTCCTCGTATGTTCCTGGGGAGGTCAGGTCGTTGAGGAATCTGGCGATGGTGAGACGGAGGGGGAAGGTCTTGCGGAGGGCTCGGGGTATGGATATCCGGGTAAGGTTGGTTTCTGGGGTTGGCTCGGGGTCCGCCATCAGGAGTTGCTCGTCGGTAAAGTTTCCTGGGGGCTCGGTATCGAAGTCATCTAGGGTTAACATTGGGGCCGTGCCGGATGTTAGGCTCGATTGTAGGTTGACTTCGATGATTGTGTTCCATAGTCGGCGGCGCGTCTCCGCGGCGAGTACTGTAGTATGGGGAAGGTGTTTGGGATCTCGGTGTAGTCCCATGGTCACTGCTGCTCTGAGGAGTTCGCCAGCTGGGATAGAGGTCAAGGTCGGGCCTATACCTGTTGCTTCTCGGGCAATCAAGAGGAGGAGACTTGTTTGTAGAGATTGAATGGTAAGTCGTGACTTGAGATCTGGCTCTGCAAGCCAGGTTTGTGCCTCGTATACCCATTGAAAGGCCAAGGGACGCAAGGAAAATTGCTTGTCGTACGTGGTGGCTCCGATGGCGAAAATGAGCTTCAGTTGAACGACGAAAGCCATCCTGGGTTCGCGATTAGGCGCCCATAAAGCGTCATATTCGATTTGGAAGCTTGGAAGGTGCATGATTGGATAGATTGTCTCGGTCGTTTGGAAATAGCAGTCGACGAGCTTGTCTGCAAGATCTTTCGGCGGTAGGTCAAGACTCGGCGGCGTTGGCCACTTGGGTGTTCGTTTTGCTTTGATTACCCGTGCCAAAGCCTTGCATCTGTGGAAGCCTTGGAAAATCTTGGACGTATCTTGTAGGAAATACGGCTCGAGTGTTTGGAAGAGCTCTCGAAGCTGCATGCTCAGCCAGTTATTCTTTACGGAGAGGGTGACAAACTTACTAGGGTAGCAAGACCGCTCATCCAGTAGCTTTGGCCCAGCAGACGTGTCTTGTTCATTATCCCGCGAGTGATGGCCGCGGGCCGACCAGAGTTGTTCTCATATTGAACGTGCAGTCTGTTAGTGATACGTGATGTTGATGTCTCTATGTCGGACTTTGAACTTGACAGTGGTGAATGCGTATGCGGCTGGGTTGCTCTAGACAGCTGTTCTTCGAGCTGCTTGATTTTGCTCTTCAAAGCCTCGACCTCGGCGGAATGATTGGAAACCGTCGATATGATACTGGGGCTATTCACTAGAAAATCGGACTGGTGATTATGGTATGCTGGAGGTTGATGGGCGTTGGGAACTCTATCAAGGTGGATTGTATGAGCCTGGGGCTGTTGATTCAAAACATCGGTTGCTTGGCCAGGACGAATCCGCTGAACCGGGGAAGCCTGACTCGCATACACACAACTTTCATTCCGCGTGCGCACGCAATTGCTACAGGGCAATTGTCGATCACATCGGATCTTCCGGCTCCTACAAAGGGAGCAGGAGCTGTCTACCGTTAGTCCGTTGTATACAAGGGAGTTTAGACGTACACAGCTGGCCTTCTGCGCTGACGCGGAGGCTCGGTCATTACGCGTATTCAGTCTGGAACACGCCTGGCTGTATAATGTCTCCAACAATACTGTGGAACAGTCGTACTCCGGATTTTCCGATTGATTGGATGGAAATCCGGTGAGCAGCTGAGATGCGGCGTCGATTAAGACTGTCGGCATTTGCGCGTTTGGTCCGTCTCGCCCGCAATTTTCCGAGGCCCCTGGCTTATCTCCGACAGTCCACATTTATGGGCATGCTATAGTAGACATTAGCCCTCATTTAATTAGCCAGACATACAGCCAGGCTTTATGATACACTGGAAACAGTCCATTGCAAGGTGCTTAAAAATGCGACTTTGGTGTGGTGGTCACCCAGGCGTCATGCCTCCTATTGAACGCTTAGCCCTTCTTGTCTAGATTACGGAGTTAGTGAGAACAGTCAGTTAGATGCTTGGATGTTTCCCACGGGCTATCATAAGCTCCCGCCTCGAACTTGATGGCATCGTGGCTGTGTGTGGTCGTAGCCAAAGCCATAATTGTGACGCTATCAACAAAGAAAAAGACAAAGCGACAGAGGACAGGGGTGAAAAGGGGGTTCGATATCGCCGGATCTGACCATCGAGGGTAAGTAATGCCACCCGAGTAAAAGCCAAACCCGAGGAATCGGTTAATATCATTCACCTACTTTCTTTATCGAATTGTTGTCCATGTTGCGCTAACAACGCAGATTAATGGTGGACAGGAAAGTCAGCTCATGACTCGTACTTTTGCGTAAACAACACCCTGCAGGAGCCTCACATAACAGCATGCGTGGATGATGTATCCTACATTCAGCCTTACACCGATCCTCTCCTATTGAAGCCCGCCACATCAGATTCCCCACTGACCATCATCCAACCATGGATCACCGAATTCGATCAAACCATGAGGTGATGGCCAGACGGCGTGGTGTCAAGTGGTGTCATGCTGGCGTGAGCACAAGCCTCGTGACCCATGGCTATGGCGCGGCAGTCCAAAGTGTCACCATGGATTCCTCATTTTAGCACCCATGGTGGAAGTATCATTGTCCACCCCTCGGGTTCATTTCCTGGGAGGTATCCAAGGAGCGACCGGGATACTTTGAGGCCCAGACCAATAGAGGGTGGGGAAGGAAGTACAGGCTCGCTTAGGGGCAGGCGAGCCAAGACATTGGCCGGGGATCCTTCTTGGCGGCCGGGGTCCCCAACTGTCAACGGACTCCGAGGAGCAGCATCCCTGCCCTCAAGGATCCCCGGTCAATCGCTGTTTCACAGGGATGTGGCATTTACGTGATGGAGACTGAGTACTGCATACGATTACCCACCCAACCGACCATCACGACAGGTCGCCATGACGAGGGTGGGAAGTCGGTGTCATTCCCGACTGCAAGGGGAAGCCAAGACCGCGCTGACCAGTTCTGAATCCTGGCCAAGTCGCTTGATCAGCGACCGAGTCGTTTGTATTGAAGTCAAGCTTATGCGAAGTAGTTTAACCGGCCAAGTCTCGACGAGTCGGGATTCAAACACCTTCATAGATTCAAGGCTGGTCATTCACCTCAACCATCCTGTTTTGTTCATTGTCTTTTGCATCTCTGCGGACTGGAGGGTAACACAAAGAATGCCCCAGTTCCTGTCTGCCACGGTTATATATACGTCATACGCACAGTGATGAAAGAGCAGCTGGTTTATACCCCTAGCAGCCTAGCGGTGTAGCTCGGTGTCTGGCATTCGCTATTGTATTCCAGGAGACCGGATGGAACCCGCGGAGATGCGGACCAGCATCATGCGGGGTGATGACTCCAAAATCATGACACGAGTTCCGCAGAGCCACCCAACCCGGTATGTGGTCGCCTGAATGAATGGCCAGATTGTCTGAAGAGTGGTTGCAGAAAGTGATCGCCTGCTTGGCTGTTTCGGACTCAAATCGCAGTCATGGAGATTTACTATGCTTTTCAGATCATCCCGCAATTAAGGTAAGCTCTGATCGTCGTGCCAATAGAAAGATACCCATGAGAGTGTGTGGAATTCGCCCCCTTAGCTAAGGTAGCTAGTAGCTGCTCACCAACCACTAGTTCCCTGTCTACCCCACAATCATCATCCAGCTTGCATGGATGAGCGCTGCCTGTCAGTCATCTGTCATGATTACTTGGATGAGTATCGGCCGAAATGGAGGATGCAGCAGCATTAGGTGACATTTCGGACATGTCGCCTGGTTCCCCTGTCCTCCTCCCGGAAAGAGGAGAGACAGGCTGGGATTGAGTTCTCCTGATCTTTGGGTCGAGGGGTAGGAGGCCATGGATGACGAAGGAAGAGGAGAGGGGAGGAGAGTGAGTGACAGCACTAGCGTTCTCCGCACGATCACGGGACCCCGCCGGAGCAAATGGCGGGCGGGCAAGTAGTAATTGTTAGGTAAGGAATACTGCCGTCAGGGGTGCGTGCAGGTCTGGGGTAATGATCCGGCCATTTGGGAAGTATATCCTCGGATACCTCATGGGCCATGGCATTTGCTATCTGGTTATTTTTGCGATGGAGATGATATGCTTGGCAGGAATGGTTGTCTGATGGTAATGGTATATGCTTCACCGGACTAGCCTCACCTACTTAGTGTCTAGAAACTCCCGATGGTCGGAGCTGGCCGTATCGGCTAGGGAAGATCCCGCCCCGTCGGGCTGGTCACGGGGCCTGGGCGGCGGTTTTCCATTATGTCATAGAATGCAGGCGGTGATCCCGATCGAGCAAGTCCCGGCCATGGCGCCATGACGCCCGCCATCGAATCATCGCTTTCTGCGACTAATGGAAATCGTCCATAGGATGCCAGGAACAATGCTAATACTCCCCATCACAATCGTAGCCAGATTGCAATATCTTTCAGTCCTCCCTGGCTCACCGGGAGGAACGAGGGATGCATCCGACCCCTCCATGAATTTCCGACCGGTGTGCTGATTGATAAACCTTGGCCGGGTATCGCCCCCGAAAGCGATTAAAATAGTAGTGGTTCGGAACAGAAAAAGCAACCAATCCGCGGCGGGAGGCGATCGATTAACGGTCCCAGCAGTTCCAGGAGAGGAATTAAGAACGTGAGGAACAGTAGACAAGAGGATCTTTGAGCACTATCTACCATAGTACTAAATAACTGCCAAGGATTCGCCGCCGATTGCCCCATGTGGCCGGGATCCATGGGCATGGTTGCAGTTTTGTTCGCTGAGCTTCCGCCTCCACAAACCCTGCCTGTTCGCCTTACTTAATAAAAACTTGACGTCGGCGTGCATTCTCCAATTCTCCTGCCGTTCCGCGCCCTCACCTATTTTTTTTTTTCTTTCATCCGCCTCGTGCTCTACCACTCTTGCTTGTGCCTTGATTCTTGATTCTTCCCCTCTCCCAACTTTTAGCGATCTGCGAATCAGCCCTGTTCACCACATTGCATAGCTTTCTCTGCACGCTCCACTCGATCATCGGGGGTTAGCAAATCAGTCTGCTCAGCCGGTGAATAGCGTGCTCAGGACGTGAACAGCGCGCCCGCCTCGGGGCGCGGCGCTGTTCCATCCGCCGCGGATTCTGTGACTAACAGCAACAGCTTCTCACACTTTGTCCTCGGACGGTTAATTACGTCTCCATCGCCCCTCTTTGGCACTTTTCTAGCGCAGATTGCAGCCAGGGGTGCTTGAGTGGAATCCGGGGAAAGAAAAAGCTTTTTCCTCTTTTTCCTCCCTCCTCTTCCACTCTTTCTCCCGGTCTGTGTGTGCGCGCTCTCCTGATCCTTCTGACACCTCACCACCTGTCTGGGACGGCCCTCCACCTATATAGAGCCTCTCCCGATCCCATCCTTGTCACCATGTCGGCCGCCACCCCCGTCCCGCTTGCTATCCAGAAGCAACCGCTTCCTCAATACTCTACGGCAGTCTCTGGAGACGCTTCGCCTATTGAGGGCTCCTGCACGGCTTCCCCTCATTCGTCCGCCTGCTCCTCGTCCCAGAACTCGCGGTCGAGCAGCCGTCGTCGGGAGTCATTTGGCTCCATTAAGGAAGACGTGGATGGTATGTTGCCGTTAGTTGGACGTAATGAAGGTGTCACCGTCAGTCACTCACACGTCACAGGCATCGCACAATCCTTCGTTGATACCCATCTGGAAGATTCACCCCAAGAGCCACCCAAGCGCAACCCTCTCGAAATGCAGCCCGACTTCTGCTGCCCATGTGGCGGCTTTTTAGGATGGAAGCAGATCCGACTGGGCGGCAAGAGTCTTAGTCGAAGCTACAGCGATCTCCGTGGCCTGGGAAATATGCAGGCGCGCGGCTGGGCCTGGGATTCGACGCCACCCGTTGTCTCTCCCCCTAGCAAGCCCGCACCAGTCGAAGAGAAAGAAGTGCAGCAGCTGCAGGTCCCGGAGGAACCGAAAGAGGTGGTGGTGGAGCAGAAGCCCGCTGCAGGAACATCTGCTCTGGAAAGACTTCCCCCGGAGGTTCTTGGTAAGTAGCGTGCTGGTTGAGACGGACCGAGCTAATCAAGTTGCAGATCACCTTATCTCTATGCTCGCACTCGATGTTCCCCCCAACGGATATACTCCACGTAATGTCGATCTGATCGCGTGTCTGCTGACCTCCAAGACGTTGCACGCGGCTACCCTTAGTGTGTTGTACAGGAACATGACGTTCCCCCACTCCATCATCTTCTCCAAAGCGCTCAACCACATCGCTCGCTATCCGGCTCTGGGCACCTTGGTGCGCCGCCTTGACTTTTCGCACTTCACCTCGGTTGGACTGGGACGCACCAAGCAGATGAACGCGGAGATCCAGAACCTCACCTCCAAGACACTCCTGCAGTGCCTCGAACTGCTGCCCAATCTTAAGGAATGCTTGCTCCAGGAGCATGTCGAGGGCGATATTAGCTTGGAGGTGCTCCAGAAGCTGTTCACCGGACTTCCCAACCTGTTTGCTGTCGACTTCTGTGGTTGTTCCTCTCAGTCTTTCTCCGGTCTCTTCCTCGAGGCCTTGATCTCCGGCCCCCCTGGTCTTCCCATGACTTTGCCGAACTTGCGACGTGTTTCGCTTCACGAGTGCAGCAGTCTCCCGGCGGCTGCTTTTGAAATTCTTCTGCCTCGTCTGATCAATCTTACCCATCTGGATGTTACGCACACGCAGATCAGCGAGGATGCATTGTTCTCCATTCCCCATTCCGCCAAGATCACCCATCTGAGTCTGTCCCGATGCAGCCGTCTGCGGGGCTCCCGGGTGGTCGAGTTCCTGTCTACTCATCCCGCCGTGTACGACTCACTCGTGTTCTTGAACTTGTTGACTGATCCCGCGCGGTCCCGGATCCTGGAGGAGGAGGATGTGCAGGCCCTTCTGCCCAAACTGCCGACCACTCTTCGTTCTCTCAACCTTGGCGGCGCCAAGGTCACCTCTGCCCACACCAAGGCTTTGGTACCTCTGACGAAGCATCTGGAAGAGCTGGGGTTGAGTTCCTGCGAGCTCACTGGTCAGGATATCAACACGTTCTTCGTCCCACCCAAGCCTAACGGAGAGTCGAGCGCCAGCGAGCCGTGGGTCCCGTCCACGCTCTGCTACCTGGACCTGAACAGAGCCAACCAGCTGACGATCGGCACCATATTCAACCCGAACTCGTGCGTCATCCTTACTCCGCAGAGCTACCCGCTGCAGGTCATCGAATTCAGCGACAAGCTCATCGCTCCCCTGCGCGAGCGGTCTCGTAACGCTCGCACCTCGCCGGGCTGGGCGGTGCGTGAGCTGGGCCGTCGGGGCTGGTACGTGCGGGAGAAATCGACCATGCCCGAGGTGATGCCTGACGACGGAGCGCGGTCCTGGAAGATGGGGGCGCGGTGGTGGGGTATGCGGAAGATCCCGGTGGCGGTGGGCGACGTGGGCGGTCTGTACGGCCACTACATGTTCAAGAAATGATGCACATCTATTTTCTGACCGGTACTATACCCTTTTTGCTGTTGTTATGGCGCATCTGGTGGCGTTGATTTATTGGCCACTGCAACGGAACGCGCAAAAGTGTGGTTCTGATGACATGATTGTTTCTGGTTGTCTGCATAGCGGGAGCGAGCTAGTTTCAGCGTTGGACTGATTACGGCTTGCGCTTATGATGATACCTTGCTGTTGGTCGGGTTTTTGCTTTCTTGCTTCAAGGTGATGCTTTGTATTTAATTGCAGCATTTCATTTCATGGTGGTTTTTCTTAGCATAACATTGCTTGCTTGTCCGGTGCGATATGGGGATTTGCATGGGAAATTGCTCGGAGTTGTCTCATAGATTTATAATATTATTCCACTCATACCTACAGTATAGTATGATATGTAGATGTACTGACTTCCATGTAACCTAATCTTTATACAGATAGATATCCCACCCAGATTTGATGTGACAAAAAGGAACATAGCCTGAGATTCTCTGACAACCTAGGGATAGAAAACATGATTAACACCTCCACTCATAAGTGAAGTGGATGTAAAGTGAAACAAACATACCACAATATACTTCGGGAAGAAAGCACTTGGTATTCAAACCAACCCAACCCAATTGACCCAATCTAGCGATAAATACCGTAGAGAAATGGTTCACAAAAAGAAAGTGTAGTAAATGAGTCATTTGAAGAGGGGGGGTAGATATTTGACAGGTGGTGGAATATATACAAGCACTATAATCATAGGTGAAATAGATATTAGACTGGAGAATGACTATAAAAGATAAGAAAATGGAAGTGGGAATGGAGAATGTCACAGGAAAGAGGAAAGTGAAGTACTAGTATAATGTTTGAATGAAGACAGATGATATATTCTTTGAAGAGTGCACGGGATCCGAAGATAACATCAGTCTGACAGGGAAGTCAAAAAGAGGAAGGAAATGTATATACATGGATGATGTTCAGTTGACTGGATACATGTGAAGGTGAAGTGAAAAGACATTAAAATAAAAGGAATAGAGAGAAAAGAAAAATCAAGAGTAGAGGGATAAGACAAGAGGTGAATGTAAGCAATAATGAGAGCAACAAACAGATCAGGATAGAACAATCCCACAATCCAAACCAATGAGACCAGATAAACACCAACATACAAAACAACCATAACAAAGAAATGTGATCATACACATACACACACACACAGAACCCAACACCCACAACACAAAAAGTGAAGATCAAGTGAAAAAAAAACCCCCCAACAAAGAGAAAAAACAAACAAGAAAGAAACAATCCTCAATACCCAACAACATACCAATCCCCCTTCCCCCGATACCTCCCACCCCAATTAATCTCCTCCAAGGTCTCTCGAACCCTCTTCACTCCCTCTCTCACCTCCCCCCATCCGTCTTTATTCTGACCCACCCACATCAAATCCTCAGAGAACTCTCTCTCTACTAACTTCCCCAATCCATTCACCAAATCCCGACACTTCTCGTAATGTACCGGATACTCCGCCTCCAATTTATCCACGTTCATTCGATATCCCAATGCGGAGTTGGCAAGGAGGAGATTCCCGTTTGTGAGGAGGACTTCGTGGTCCCAGGTGAGGGCGTCGGTGTAGGATTTTATGTGGTGGAGGAGGGTGGTGTAGATGTTGAGGAGGAGGGAGGGGGTTGATGTGTCGGTGGTGTTGGTGTTGGTTCTTGGTGTGGTGAGGAGGATGGTGATGGTGGAGTCGAGGGTGTGTATTGGGGAGGTAAGTTTGTCGAGGGAGTTGATGGGTGGTGTGGTGGTTATGTTGATGGATTTGAGGGGGGGAGGAGGGTGAGTAGGAGGATGTATGGTGGGGAGGAGGGTTGGTTGGTTGTGTTGATGGGTGGTGTGGTGGGCATTGGTGGGATGTAGTTGGTTGTTTTGTTGGACTTGTTGGGTCGATTGGTTTCTGTCTCTCTGGTGGTGACACTGGTAGTGTCGTTGGTGTCTTTGTTGGTGACACTAATGGTGGCTCTGCTGGTCACTCTGTTGTCTCTGCTGCTGTCTCTGCTGGTGCCTCTGGTGGTATCTCCGTTGGTATCTCTCGTGGTACTTGGAAAGTGGTGCACATTTGTCAGTGCTGAGGTCTTAGTCTGGTGATCTGAGTCCGTGGCTTGATGCACACTGTTGAGCAAAAACTGGAAAGGTGTCCGGATGGGTTCACAGAGGAGGAAGGGAATCATTATGTAAATGGCAGATATGACAGGAGGAGAATTCTAGTATAGATTGTAGATAGATGGATGATATGGTGAGAAGAAGATGAAGAGATGGTCGATATAGCAGAGATATTAGAGATAGTAGAGATGGCAGAGAGGGCAGAGATGGCAAAGATAGCACAGATAGCGCAGCGAGTAAGTAACTAGGGAGAGATGCGAAAAACTCAAGACGAGCTTCGCTCGCAGCAGGTAGCAGAACCTATATACTTGCCCCGGTGAGTCAAGACTTCCCCAAACCATGGGTGGCGAAGAATCACAGTCCCAAAACGGCAATAACTCACGCCATTTTGACTATACAACGAGACAAGCTGCTGCCTCGCATAGGCATGTCGGTACGCAAAGTGGGAGTCATCCGAAAAATTCTGATTCTGAGAAGAAGTCATCCTCTTGTTGTTCATTCTGTCGTCATGTTTCGAGAATTGCTGTTATCGGGTTGGAGAGAAGCTGGAGCAGGTTTATGGGTTTGTTGTGATGCCGGTAGATGAGTGATGTATGTTGTTCGGCAATCTTATCTGATCGGTTGTATGTAGTCTGTATATATAGCATGCATGTATTGGGTTTGGGGGCCAGATGTGCTTTATTAACTGGTGGAAAAGCTATGACTTTCTTTAGTGGGGTACATGCAATGTAGCTAAAGGATGCGAAGTCGGGAGAACCTACCTCGTTCTTTCCATATATACAATCACAGAATCCGGGTCTACTTCAGTCCAATACATTCAATGGCATCATATTGATAGGTTACTAATACTAAATTCATGTGATTAATATAACTGAAGTTCCTGACTACCATGCAGGATCAAGACTGACCGGTAATGGGTTGTCAGTAAACCATATAGATGCGCTACTTAGTCTCCAAGGTCTACTAGCTGAAGAGCGAGCATTTAAAGAAACAGGATCACTCTGCTCCACTGTTTCAGGCCTGCCCAGTAGTCGATAGATGTTGGAAGGAGTTCGTCCAAGACAGACCCGTTATATCATCCACTGCCAGTGCCTGTCTCCCTGGCTCAGGATTGACCACAATGAGAATATCCCAATAACGGGCAAAGAATTCGCCAACGATCGATGTGCAACTCGCGCATCCTCTGTTTAATCCCCCCCTCGTCTGAATTATCCCCGTGCCTCGTGCCTGACTGCGATACTTCATCCTCACCCAGCGTGTCAAGCCAAGGAAAAGTGATTTGCCTGTGCCAATATGATGGGATTCTCGAATCCCGAGATGCTTGGCATGCTGTCTATAAGATAGAGAACTATTAGAATCAATTAAACTAAACCCTCCAGCTGTCAACTTTGACTGCGATGTCGACAGCCATGTGGTTCAGACTTCGTAACCTATGGGTTCAAAGCCACTGCTGTCGCTAACGCCCATTCGTCTGGGGACTGTATAGAGGAATCCAGCTGAAGTCATGCATGAGCAGTCTTCACACTTCCCGAAGGCCCCGGAATCTCCGGATGGCCGCTATCATTGCCGGTATAGTGCCACTATGCCGTGGATTGTTTTGCTTCTTTTTCGACAACGACATAGATGTGGAATATGATGATACGATCGACAACAACATTGACGAGTGCGAGATTCATCGCAATGAGTCGCGAGGAAGAGTGGCTGACCGGATGTATAGCTGTTCTTATATACCCGGTTACTTGCCCTTTTGCTTAGAGGGTTGTTTCGCCGTGATGTAAAACAAATTACACAATTTGATCTTCTCCTCTCACAGGATAAGGAAGAGATAATAATCGCTGGTGTGTGATATCCAATGTCACCTTTGCTTTTATGGCCATGCAGATTCTTCTGCGGCGCTTTCTTCCGGGTTTAGCGGTTTAGAGGCTCCTGATTGAAGCTGCAGGTATAACAGCCATAGGAGTCTTGATGAGCGAATTGTATTCGTTAAGCGAAGGACAGTGAGTAGGAAGTCGAGTCCGAGATGACTGGAAGTCGGATTTGCCATGAATGACGCATGTAATCAGTTCTATCGACTAGAAATTGGATGAGAGGTGTCACAGTTCGCAGCTGTTGTGCAGCTGTTGTATAGTTCCTTATCGAGATCCGGCTATGTTGTTTGTGGCGCGTGGAACCAAACCTTCTATTATCTATACACATAGCCCCGCAGAAACTCATGTTTAATAACATGTAGTATGCAGAGTGATGTGTGTACACTCTACCTAGTAATTTAGGTCTTTTCACAAAGTCTCGCGTTTGATTGGCACTTGCAGGGCAGCCCACTGTGTTATTACCCCTTCAAGGGACATTTGGTTGTTGGTGAAGGTTGAAATACGCAAGATTGTTCGGTAGATCATCTTGACACACGCTGTGCGCGTGCGGATGATGTCTTCCACTCATGTCCTTACACGAACGTCCGGATATATCGACTAGATTCATAGCCCAATGTATATTCTCTTTCCAGATAGGTAGGGAGACACACATGGCCAGCATAGCCACCATCATATAGATGAGCCGTCTCTTATATCCGCATTACACTGATGCTTCTGCTCCGGGGTATCCCGTGTGACTGGGTCAAAGACACCTCAACTGCATCCTCGTAGTCGAAGCCTTTGGAAGCTCTCCGAGAACAAAAGCAGATTGATTGATAGACAGACAGACATCGGATTTCAATCCACGCTTGCGTCGAGGGTGTATTATCGCGGCCGATCAGGATATAAAGCATACTATCTCTGAGCACCTTTCCTCCGTTGTAACTCATACCCAACGGATGAGTATGAGGAGCAGTAGGTAGTACCCTCTGAAAGGTTCTCAACATCAAGATCCCTCTCATACGCACTGTTGGTGTAAAGACAAGGTCCGAGAGTATATTGAACCGTTTGATCACATCGGGGGTAACTTGTGTATGGATTGGCAAGGCCACTCCGTGGCTATTCTCGTCTACCACAGCAGAAACATATCTATCGTCCAGCTGGTATAGTGTGGTTTTTTGCATCAAATGGGGGATTTCTTGTCTTCGTTCTCTTTGCTCCTGGGAAAGACTATGATATCGGAGTCGGAGATGAGCACGAAGAGAAGCAGATTGTGTGAACTCTTGGTATCGTTGATTGAAGTGATGATTGGAAGCCAGTAGCGATGGAGTTTTGATCGACGTGCGACCCTGGAGCTGGTGGAGACGGTTCGATCGGAGTTGACTGACGAAAGACAGATGAATAGGTAACGCATGGCATTTTGATCGCGTGGTTAGAAATGTGAGTATTCACTGCATGCAAGCAAGTCAAGGCCCGGGCCGTTAAGCTTCATACGATCTTGATGATAAACCTAGATGGAGTTCCGCAGAGTAGATAGAGGAGCAGTGTCAAACTGGTTGAACAGACCGGACACAGGATCTCCTGTTCCGAGATCTAACCACGATTTCATCAGAAGATTGTCGAAATACCCAAATGGTGGGACAGATAAACAGAGTCAGACTGTTGTTCAGATATCTTCACGTGTCTTCCCATGCGATTGTAGGAAAGCCAAGCTGGCGGATCAGAGACACAACCAGACTCTTGTATAGATAGCTTCACATAGTGATTGTGGATTAAGATATAATGCCATTCTTCCAACGGGAAAAATTTGATGAAGTGCGATTGGAATCCAACCTCTGAGACTGTGGTATCCTGGTTGGATTTCTCGATGAATCTATTGTCTCGAGATACCCCGGTGCAACATGATATCGGGCACCGACATGGCGAGAGCGTTTATTTGCAGCTCCGGAGGCATGGGTTCTACAGTCACGCTCATCCTCGTGCCAATCCATGGTGTTAACAATGCCTCTTCTGTCGTAGATAGCAAGCTGTGACATCAAGCTAGCTTGTGGAGGGTTAATTCGCTAATAGACCATTCGGTGACGACCCGTGGCACCGTTAATCAAAACGTTGAGTTGTGTGTCAGGTTGACTTGATTCAATATGGGGGTAGGACGCGTGTCTTCGAGATGTTCAGGACGTGCTCTATTGGTGGGATGCAGAAGTGCCGGGAAGATATATTCTGCGTCTGCTTGATGATAGGGGGTGTTTGATAGTGAGTAGGTCATGGTAGATCGTAACACGATCTAACGAGAAGCTTAAGCCTTGGGTGCTGTACTCCAAGAGACAACATTAGTGTATCATTCAATCAATAACGGCATGATTAATGATAACCCCACAGCCTAACCACCAGCTGATCAGGTCCGTAGTGGTAGCAGAGTATGGAACTTTGCATGCCACTTATTCCCCAAGCCCGGTGTCACATGTACACATTGACAATGAGCTCTCTCTCATCATCCTTGCGTGTGTCCTACACCCTATCCCGGGATAGTTGTCCCAGAAATCAATACCAACAGCAAAATGAAGCGACATTGCGGTGGTCGAAACCTTGCGTTCATCAACACAATGTGAGAGCAAAGTCTCGCGTCGAAGCCTCTTCTCAATCGAAGGCCGTGATTGCCCCATGGTGAAATCCTGCATGCGTGCTCGAAGTATTCGTGGAAATGATCCAGTCCTTGTTACAACAAGCAACCTTGTTTGTAAGGGATTATGAATATGAGAACCGTCGAGCCTCGTTTAGCTTCAGCTCTTTTTCTGCTCATGATTATTTCATCAGGTAAGGGTAATCGAGGGTGTTGAGTGGTGCAGTCAGAAGATACATGGGTATCGTTGCGCTAACAGCTAATCCCATTGTACTCTTTTCATCGAGTGATTGATAGGGTATATGACCATGAAGATGAATATGAGGCACGGCAGTGGGGAGACTGATAGCCATCTGAGAAGGCGTGGGAGAAATGTGGAATGGTGTGTCGTAGCATCGACTTTGTGGTGTTGATATTCTGTCGTGAGGAGAGTGGTACATGACATGGAACAGACACTGCCTCTGCACATCACGAACCACAGCACATTCTCTGTACTCGTCCAGACGTATCGTTTCAGCAACTTCACCGACACCCAGACACTCAATACTCGCTTGTCGATGATGTTGCAACCTACCAATAACGCCTATACCATCAACAGGTCAAACCCAAACAGGTAAGTAAGTAGTACCTTTTTGGCAATGCCACCAAGCCATGGCAGACGAAGATGATCGGTCGACTTCTTTCCTGACTAACCTGTCAGTAGATATGAGGAAGAATCCTCAGGACTTCTTCCGTTTCTCTCAAATCCACCAGACCCGTATCAATAAGGGAGATGTTGGAAACGGAAACAGCCATTCTTCCCTCGATCGATCGACCATTGTTGAGGTTCGCATTTCCTCAGGTACTGGCACCCAGATGATATATCAGAACCATTCCACAGCAGGATAGAAATGCACGCAATTATCAACTGAAGGATAATCATGGGTCGAGTGTCTTTCACTACCTGTACTTCACATCAACCAAACACAGCACTTCCGTCACAGCGAGCACAGCCTCCACTCATTTTCTTTTTCCTCGCATCATAAGCGGTTTGGTATTTGTGTTCAAAGCCAATCCAGCCCGACGAGCAGCCCTGCTGCTAAGCTGTGATATAACTCGTAGCGTTCGCCAAGGTCAGAAGTAAACACCTCAGAAGGTTTTATCTTCGTTCTCCCCAATTCCTTTGAGACCTGTATCCACTCACTTCCATCTCTGATGGGTTAATATGTGTAGGAGCGCACTAGTATGGGGTTCTCGTAGTAGCATAAGGCACTTCCACTGCAGAGTTCTCCCCCACGTGGGTTGCCACGGTTAGGCATGGCCATCGTACAGTGGTGGAAGGATAAGGTGAGATTTCTTCTGGTCCTCGATATAAAGGAGACAAGGAGATAGTATAGATTGGATTTGCTGTCCATACCTTCCATGTTGCGGATTCGCGGATCCAAGTGTAGACTTATATCATAGTGGATGATATACCCCATGAGACAGGACCGATACAGACGGCCTAAAGGCGTGATGCACCTGCATAATGAATCCACCAGGTGCTTAGGGAATAGCTAGGCTGGTCATTCCCAACTCACAATCCCGTGATGGTGAGATCATCTCACACCACCAGACCTTGAGCCTCTGGAAGGACAGCGTCAACCAGAAATGTTTTGGATATCAGCCATATCCACATTGTAGAAAGTGACATGTGTATGAGCCGTCGTGTATTGTCCCCCAAGACCCATACTGTATAGATAAGAACAAAAGACCATGACGAAGAAATATACTAGAGCGCGCGGATGCACTCTACCCATCAAGCAAACTCCATCTCTGTTCCATGTTTAGTGCCATCGGAGAGATGATTCCAGGGCAACTTCGATCCGCTCTCTAGCGTTGCTATAAACCACATTGAAATCTATCTTTCCGCCGTTGGCATGACGAGAGGAGCAGTCCATCGTCTGTCTCAAATCCCTGGCGGAGTGAATACCCCCGTGGGCTGTCTTTGCGATGTATCCGAAGGATGGTATCAAATGGCCATATTCGGGTCTGGAGGTTATGTATATTGGCTTTCGGGGTTCCTTGGCGTATTATTGACGCTGTATGTTGATCAGCTGCTCAAGTGAAGCGATCAGATGCATGAGGAAATGGTAGAGGTCACATCCAGATGACATCGTCAGGTTGAGGCAGGCCTCCGAGGGTTCCATGGTGGATTGGTAGACTATCTTGAGAAGTAACAGCGCAGCATGTTGCGAGGTAGCTTCGCACTGTCTGTAGTATGAGCCCGGCTCATAGCCCGACGGTATTGTATAAATTCGACGTGCATTGTCTGAGACGCAGGTTTCAGTACGATGATGAGGTAATATCTCAGACGGCCTTATATCCAGGCATCTTCCAAAATAGGGATCACTTCGTGCATGCATAGGCAATCTCATGGCCGGTGTAAGTTTCCACAGGTCTACAGAAAAATGATCTCATCCAGGCGATGAATCAGAGACATAAGCTCTGATAGAGGCGATGTGCGCGTGCCCATGAAGAAGCAACCATATATATCATGTTTCCGATAGTTGTAGAGTCGAGTCCGGTTGCAGTGTTGATAAGATGGTTACTGCGGTGGAATCGACGGAGAAGAGAGAATGATGACTTCTGCTGTATTGACACTATTATTTCGTACCATACGAGGTGCAATCCAATGGCCGTGACAAGGATCGTCTGCAGAGGGAAACGAATTTCATTGAATCAGAGACGGCTGTCGATTGGATCTAGTCGAGGACATGCAGATGACTGTGAACGAGAATGGGATAATTATGTCTGTAGGCAGGTATCATTAGCGATTGTCTGCATTCCTGAGAATGACTTACGCAAGATGCAAAGGCTGTAGGTAATAACATACTTGCGATGGACCTTGATAAGTTCTTCATTATCGAGTTCCCGCCACCATGGCTAGGATTTCCAGCGATAGATCAACAAGAGCAGTCATTGTGGTCTTTTCGTATGGGGAGTTACCAAATTGGTAGCCCTTAGGGTTTCAGATGTCTTCCGTTATATAAGTTGAGGCCTGAGATAGAACCTTTAGTTGACCATGGCGACCGTCGGTCCTGGCCAATGGCTTAAACCACTTGGGTATATAGAACGAGTTATAGAAAAGGCATAGGCATAGTTGGTATGATGTCTCAAGAAGAAAAAACCAGCGGACTCGATCCAAATTTATACTCAAGACAACCACCCACAGTGGGCATGGAAAATCCCAGAAATCAACATACACTCTCACGGAAAATCACGAACAGACGGAAGCACCCTATATACCCAGGCATGAAACAAGTGAAGTTCCAGAAACCCATTCTGTATCTTCATTCATATCCAGGCTCTTCACTAGGGATATTCCATAAGTACATCGGGTGAAGCCATTCATTCGTCTGACTAAGAAACCAACCCACCAACCAACCTCTCCCCAATGCCCCTAATACTATCCTCAAAATCCTCCTTATTCCCAGCCATCCAATCCGCTGTATTTCCCGGAATTGCCTCCTTTCCCGTGAATCCTATATACATTACATCGTCCGCCGTATGGCCATTATCCCCGGTGATGCCTGTACCAGGGGAACATAATTCCGCTAGGGCTATTGACGCTTCCCCTGTCGCGTCACCGCCGTTCGTATCGCCCCAGATTCCATATACCTGTCCCCAAACCCTATTAGTAACCTCACACATCCCCCGAAGAGGAATAACTCACCACCTCCCCCCCACAAACAACAGCCATAACGCTCAACGGCTCCATCCCACTCCCCTGGGGATCAAAGTCCGTATTCCCGAATACCACATACGGATGGACATTCGCGTCTAGATCACTAATCCCATATTGACTGACCTGATCTTGGAAGGTAGTTTGGGGTTGGATGGAGGGATCATTCCCGCAGTTGCCGCTGTTAGGGTTGGTCCCGTCACAATCAATGTCCATGTTGTCGTATTGGTTGCTGCTGCTGTGCAGGAAGATGGCGTTGGGGATGTCCCCGCAGTAGGTGAAAGTGGGGGAGCTGGTTTGGCCGTCGGTGAAGCCGGTGGCGAGGGGTTTGGTGCAGTGGGTGGACTGTACTGGTTAGTGGGGGAGTAGTGGGGGAGGGTTAGGGGAGGGACCTTGTGGTCGTTGTAGATTTGGGCTAGGTTGGAGGGGATGCTGTAGGTGAGGGCTGTGGTGGTGGATGAGAGCCAGATGGAGATGGTGGTGGTGAAGTGAGGATGCATTGTGAATTGTAGAGGAAATGGGAGGAGTGGTGATGTGTGGATGGGGAATGGTAGATGGGAATGTATGCACCGGGTTTTATGTACGAGTTGAGGAAGGGAATGGGTGATGGTGCTGCTGTCATGTAGAGTTTTTCGAGAGTCAAAATTGAGTTAGAAATCCATTCATTGATCTCCACGGATGTGCTTCATTGGATATATTTTCTCCTCCCGTAAGAACTTACTTCGACCACTAGCACAACGTCTACCTTCTGGCTAGTCAGATGCTTCATAAACATGACCTGGAGATAAATTTATGGGGAGTGGGTAGAAAAGACTGAATGTGCAGCTAAGGTCTAGAAAGTAAGCGATGATAAATGGCACAAAGTATATTCTTACTCTATGGCCAGTGTCACAACACCTGCCCTGTCTTAGGGCTGGACACCTGAATTGACTTTGCACTGGCGTGGGTGGCGTTGGAAGATGACATAAGTGATTGTGTCGAGGGTAAATCAGTTAACTGGTCTTCCGTTGAGCCAGAGAAGGTCAAGCAATCGATGCGTCATGAGATATACAGGGTTGGTGTCGCCATGAATTGACACTACAATCCCATGTACAACTCCATTCTGAGCCTCAAGTTCAGCTTTGACTTTATATAGGGTGTGGAGTGATCGATGGTGACAGAATATGGGCTGAATTTGTTTGATTGTCGTTATAACTACCACAAGGGCATCAAATCAGGGCATGCAAGTGGGGAAAAGCAGGAATCAAATCCACCCATCCACCAACGTCTCCTGCGATCCCCTCCTCCCCCTCCCCTGTGCATGCCCTAACTTCTCCTTCTCCCCCTTTCTTCTCGACTTATCAAGTCTCTCCCCCCAAACCAATGCCCACCCCTGCCTCCCCACCCCCACCAACCGCACTCCAATCCCCCCTGTACTTCTCCATCCCCGTTCCGCCGCCCTCTCCGCAATTCCCCTCCCTCCATTCGCCGCCCCCAGCACCAACATCCTCCCATCGAGAAAATCAAACCCGGGAAGACCCCTCCACCCTCTCGTTCTTGCCGCTTCAACACCCACAACTCCCACCACAACAAGACTAACCACAAACACCGCAACGATATATACCCTCGATCCAAGACGCAGGGCATCGATAGTGACCGTGGCCGTTGCCGGGGCGGTAAAGTTCCCGACGACGAGTTGCGCAGCGGCATATGATTCCAAGATGTCGTCGACGAGGGAGATATATGCGTTCTTAATCCCGGTTAAAGCGGCGGTGGTATTAGAGATAGAGGATGAGTTGACGTTGGTGGTGTAATCGGCGATACTGGTATTGAAGGCATCGCCCAGAGTAGAGCGGTAGAAGGAGGTGAGGTCGTTGGAGATGAGTTCGAGTTGGCGCATGGCGACGTGGATGGTGCGGTTGGTGGGGTCGATATCTATCTCATCCTGTTTTTCTGAGGGGTCGAGGGAGGAGGAGTTAATTCTGGAGACGTAGATCTCTTTGTCCTTTACGGCAACGGAGACTTGAAACCACGTTGGGATGAACGTAACGACACATTGACTGGCGTTGAGAGCGAGGTAGGACTCGCCCGCCGCGGCAGCCACGTAGCGGGATTTGGTGTATGCGATGGGATCGCTGGCCACTCCTAAGGCTACGATGGTGTCGGTGGACCAGCCCGTGTAGACGGAGTATTCGCCCGAAGAGCTGTTACTGTCTGGGAGGGGGCCGCGGGCGTCGAAGAGGGCGTTGTAGTAGGTGTCTTGCAGGATGAAGAGAGAGGAGGCGTTGTAGATGCAGCTGATTTGGGCGTCGTAGCCCCGTTCGCGGTAGGTGTAATTGGAGGCCCAGGGGTAGAGAGAGACGGACGAGTCGGTGAGGCCGACAGGGGCCCCGACGCCGTAGGAGCGTCCGGTGTAGGTGTAGCCGGTGGAGTCGAGTTTGGAGTGTGTGCGGTTGCGCAGGGTGCCGGTGAGAGGGGAGGCAGAGCTGGCGGAGGAGACGAGCGAGGTGAGGAGGCCGACTCCCACGGAGTAGGTAAAGTAGCCGTGTGTAGTGCGCAGGGAGGGACCGGTGTTGTCAATCTGGGAAGGGTATTCTTTGATGAAGGAGCGGTTGGCATAGGAGGGAATGTGGATGGTGGTGTTGGTGGTGGTAGTGGCAGAGGTTGGAGTGAGGGCGCCGGTCCAGAGGGCGGACAGCACAGCGGAGAGATTGGCCAGGATGAGGGTTAGGAGGATTTGAGGCAATGGGAGGGAGAAGTTGGTGGTCGGGGTGGAGAGAGAGGACCATAGGGCTAGGTGGTTGAGGGTGGTGTGGTGCGTGGGACGGGTGAACAGGATGCGGGTGGCATTGTTGATGAGCCGGCAGATGGTTACCAGCTGGATGGTGCCGAGGAGCGTGGCTAGGATTTGAATGGCGGTTTGGACAGAGGTTCGGTACGTGTTGATGAAGGTGTAGAGGTCACCAGTCAAGGTCCAACGGCGGGAGTCGCTGAGGAGGACGGTGATGCTGAGACCAGTAGGGATGATAAGGAGGAGGTAGATGAGATGATGGGTCCCCGGGACGGGCCGGGTAGTAGAATTGGACATTGGGAATTTGATGAGGGGAAGGAATGCGTGGTCAATGCCGGTGTAGATATACCTCGCGATGGGGCTCGCCATGGAGCTCGGACCGCGCCAGGATTCCTGGCGGTTAAGACAGAGTCTGCATTGGAGGAGACTTGGTTAGGGCTGAACGGACGCAGTGCAACGTTTCACCGACCCCAACGTGGCGCTGAGATAGAGTTGGAATAAGCGCCGGTTGGGGATTAATCTATTGTGTCTGTGCTGTCTATCCCTGCTCTATTTTGTGTTTGTATCCCCCTAGAAGAAGCACCCCGGCATGGAATTCGGAGCAAATCCATTCCCCGCCCACAAATAATTACCCTCCGACTCAATCCAACCGGCCCCATTGCCCTCCAACGCCCCGATAACCGGCATTTCCGCCTGAGGGAGCGCATACAGGGACGGATCGAGATTCCCCTCTCTAGCCACCGCAGACGCCCAATCCCTATCCAGTCAGCATAAACCAGCAACAAAGGGAGAAAACATACTCTAACCACGGAAACTCATCCATCAAGACCTGATTCGTATCCACCACCGGATCCGCCGCGTAGACCGCCTGCTTGGCAACCTTCATCAGATCCAAGCTTAATGCTTTGCCGGAAGTGTACCCAGTGTGTTCAATCTCATCTAAGCATTTGATGGCTTTTTCGATAACGGTGAATGTTTTCCGGGCGCGTTCCGGGTCAGTGCCTAGATTCAGCACGTTGTAGAGTAATGTGAGACACGCGGAGATCAGAAACGAGGCTAATGCCCCGTCGTAGCGAATGTCGGGGAAGCGACGGAAGTAGACGTCGTGGGCCAGATGGATTAGATTACAGGCAGCCGAGGTGGAGGCGTTGATGCAGGCTTGGAGTTCCGCGCAGCCGGTGGCGGTTTGGGCTTCGCTGACGGAGGAGAAGAAGGTGGTGAGGACGAGGGCAGGACGGTAGAGGAGCATGCGCACGACATAGTAGCAGAATCCAATGCTCAAGCGCTGGATTTCTTGCCAGGGCTCGCCGATCGGGACGCCGTCGTCGAAGAAGTGTAGGTAGGAGGGTAATGTTGGGTTGATGGCTTGCAGGGCAGCGTCGCATTCCAGACTGGTTTGGTTGAGCTTGGCCAGGTCGGCCATACATTTGATGCTGGCGGGAGAGTAGATCTCGATGGAGACGCGGTCGGCCAGTTTGGAGATCTCGGCCATGGCGCGGATGAATGCGCACTCCTGCATGGGCGCGTGGGAGCCATCCGAGGGATACGTGAGGTCCTCGGGATAGGCTGTGTCGATCTGCCGGTCGGCCAGGCTGGACGGACGACCCATATACAGCGAGGAGATGCGCTCGCAGAAAAAGGTCGTCCAAAAGGTCAACCGCAGCCGGTGCATGTTGGGATCGCGACCGTCGGTGACTTGAGAGCGGTGCAGCCCCAATACCAGACAGGTGCGGGTGGCATGGCCTAGATAGAGATAGGCATCGTTTTGACGCATCATTTGCAACGCATACATTGACTGGCAATATGTTAGCAGGTGAGATCAAACAAGGAGTGACGCACCTTCAACAGCATCATATGCACGCCCCGGATACTCGGTTCTTGCAGAAAGATGGGCCCCTCGGACACTCGACTGGAGAAATACTCGGCCCACGCTTCGACGCTGCTTGCTGATTGCTTTCCCTTGAGATTGGCGACGCGTGCCCCGATGGCCAGCACCATGAACAGGATATCCTGGTTTTTGACCCCACGGTCGCGCACCGGCGACTCCCACATCTGGGTCCACGCATCGACAATTTCCGACTGGATCAGGACGGGAATTTGCGGATGCATGACCCGGAAATACGCTTCGATAAACTGGTCGCCCAGCTCCCGGGGGAGAAACATCTCCGACGGCCATTGGGTCCGTCGCGGATCCGAGTCTCCCGTCCGGGCGAACATGAAGCGCTCCATCCCAAACCGTTGGATGGCATCGGGAATGGCGCCGCTGCGACGAGCGAGCAGTGGCTCGCAGGAGGAGCCCTGCTTGATGCGCTGGTACACCCGATGGATGAAGCAGAATCCAGAAGAGGGACCTACTTGGTTAGTGGAGACCAGATGAAAAGAGGTGGGGGGTCATACCATAGAACTGAAAAGCCCCCGTCTCTGGATTTTGCACGCCAATACCGGCACGAAGCTCATGATGACGTTTATACTGAATGGGATCATCGCTCAGACTGGCGTTTGACCAGTCACTGGGAGTAGTGGGGGATTGGGTGGCCGGTAAGGGCAGTAGGGCTGGGGGCCGCGCCGGGTCCGGGGCCCGACGGGACTTCCGCTGGCGGATGCTCCCCGGCCGATACAGACATCGCTCGGGATGGCGGGCACACGCGTGGCACGGCCGCTGACCGTTGCATTTGATTTTGCGGGCCCGGCAATGTTCACAGGCTCGGGGGACCCGCTCGCGTGGAGGGGTCATGCCCGGCGATGGCTGGGAGATGTTGGCGATGCCGGGGATAGCATTGGGTCGGACAGACATGCAAGGAATGAACGGGAGAGAATATCTACATCAGAGAGTAGTGTAAAAGAAAGAATGGAGACATGTTGGCGGAGAATCGACAAAGCACGGGCCTCGGATCGGAGGGGATTAATAATCCCGGATTATTAATAATGTCGTTTATCAGCTGAGCTGAGCTGCCCCCTGCAAGAATGCTGCATGACGTGACCCCAGCAAGGCAATGTAACCATTTATACCCCTCATCCCCGCGCTTTCGTAGATCTCCATCTAACACCCTCTTTGTAACTCCCACATCATGCAAAAAGCAGTGGCAATCACGGCGCGCGGCGCCCGCAATGTGGTCCCTCGACCCCTCCCTACGTTGCTAGATGACGGCCTTTTGGTCAAGACAGTCAGCGTGGCTCTGAACCCGACCGACTGGAAGAGCGCTGACCGGGGACCCCCTGGTCTCGTCATCGGAAACGATTTCTCTGGTATCGTGGAAGAAGTCGGCAAAAACGCCAAGAAGCAGTTCCGCAAAGGAGACCGCGTCTGCGGCTGGGTGCAGGGCTGCAAGCTCAACAACCCGGACAGTGGCGCCTTTGCCGAGTACTGTATCCCCAAAGCCGATCTGCAGATTGTGATTCCCGACCGTCTCAGCTTCCAGGAGGCGGCGACTCTCGGCCTGGGAACCATCACCGTCGGTCAGGGATTATACCAGAGCCTGAGGCTTGCACCCCCCGACGCGCCGCTCACCAAACCCGAGTTGCTTCTGATCTATGGAGGCTCCACAGCGACAGGTACCCTGGCCATCCAGTATGCCAAGTTGTCGGGATACACTGTCTTGACGACCTGCTCGAAGCAGAACTTCGATCTCGTCAAGAGTCTTGGGGCCGATGCTGTCTTCGACTACAAGGACCCCGGTGCCATCCAGGCCATCAAGGAGTATACCCAAGATGGGCTAAAACTGGTGTTTGACACGGTCGGCGGATCTGACTTCTGCGGCCAAGTGATTTCCAGCCAAGGTGGTCACTATTCGGCCATCGTGTACGAGGCGGTGGATCGCGACGATGTGGAAAACGGCTTCACTTTGGGCTATACGGCCTTTGGCGAGGACTTTGACACAGGCAGTCGGGTCCTCCCGGCCAAGCCCGAGGATCGGGAGTTTGCGGCTGATTTTATGAGCAAGGCGGCCGTCCTGCTGGCCGAGGGCAAGATCAAGCCTCATCCGGCCAAGGTGGGAGCGGGGGGGTTGCAGGGGGTTTTGGAGGGTTTGCAGGCCATGAAGGATGGGAAGGTCAGTGGGCAGAAGTTGGTGTATAACGTGGAAGAGACGCCATGACGTCTGCACCAGTCTTGGTCTGTACATGAGACGGACTAGATATAGTTCTCCATATTTGGATAACCTAACTACTATGCAGCATATAATAATCAGACAACATACGCGAATCATGTAATAGACTAAAGCGAGCTAGCTGCCGGGTACCTCACTGGCTATTGAGGCAATGGTTAAAGAGATTGTCCGTCGAGATCTTCGTATCTAATTTGCGTTGGATGTATATTTACTTAGGCAAGGAGGAGATGATTTGGTAATATTAATTGTTGGACTTTTATCTAAAAATAATTATCTTCAAGAAGTAGTTACGAAAGTTTAGAATGATATTTATAAGAGAAGGTGAGACTTAGAATTGTAAAGAGTGGGTAAGCAGTGTCAATGATGGCCAAGGGCGGATAAATGATGCTTTAACGTGGCACTGCTTATCAATGCGGGAGTGTAGCGGGAGAGATATGACCGATAAGGAACCAGGCCGAGATAAGCGGGGGGGTGTGATTGGTCTACCGTTTAGGGGGTGGCGTCAAGCACCTCAGGAATACGTATCACACATTGGACTGCGGAATATTGCTACACCAATCTACACTGGAAGGTATACTTGTGTAAAATTGAATTACTTCTGCCCCTTCACCATACTTCGCAAAGCCTCCGTTTCCCCCTCCAACTTGGAAACCCGCATCTTCAACTCATCTCGTTCCCGCTTGATCGCCTCGAGCTCTTCCTCCAACTGATTCATCCGATCCAGGCGGCGCTGACGATACCGACGAGCAGCCATGGTGTTGAGTTCGCGTTTCTTGACACGGTTCGGAGTCTCTTTGGGGGTGTCTGCTCGAGACAGGTTGAGAGGGGATGCAGTGTTGCTGACTGCGGGCATTTGAGGTGGGGAGGGTTCGGAGAATTCTGTCCAGTTAGCTATGTCATATACCATGTATGAGGGGAAGGGAGGTACCTGGAGCTGATTGAACACTGGGTGATTGGAAAAGATTCAACGAGTCCGGCGAACTGAGCAAAGCGTCGATCGGGTCCGGATCAGCCGCAGTAACTGGAATGAGAGGGGGCAGAGGCGCGCAAGAAGGGTCGAAGCCAATGATCTGATCTTGATAACTGCTATCGCTCAGACTGGACAAGGCGGACCCAGGTAGGGAGGTATCGGGGGATTCATAGAACAGGGATGTGTCAACGGGAGGAAAGGCCGCTGACGAGGAGAGGTCGAAATCAGAGAATGCAAGTTGCGGGATAGGATGGAATTCGGGAGGAAGATAAAACGGATCAGAGTAATGAGGTGGTTGTTGAAGGTGCTGGTAGTGGTGCTGGTAATCAAACGTCGGCGGCTTCTCGCTCCGTGTAGATGAACGCGGAGGTCTGGCGGGCGTCGTGCATGGTGATTGCAGTGACAGCCATCCTTGTATACTTGTAGCCGGGTCCTTGGACCCGGAAGAGCCGGAACGGGGAGAAGGGAGAGAAAAACGCTTACGCCGAGGCGAGGTAGGATGAGAAGGAGAAGGAGAAGTTGATGAAGGACGGGGAGACTCTCGGTTTATAAGCCCCCGATCGAGGGGGCGGTTACCGTTTGCGGTTTAGTCAATCGGGTGGACCGCCGCAATTTTAGTCCAGTCCCTTTTATTGAGGCCATTGGATTGGAAGATATAATAATAATCACGGATCGGTTATTATACAATGACAATGAAAAAGAATCTACATGGTAACTGAACCCGCGCAGTCGTCCCTCTATGTACCCTCGTCATTATGGCTCATCTTTCCTCCACGAACCTCCGACATCGAAAAATCGCCTAGTATGCATCGCCGGTGTTAGCAGTATCCACCAGAGATCAAAACATCAACACCTCAACACGAGCTGGCAAGTCAGATGATGTCGGCCCGGAACCCTTGGAAAAGTTCTTCCTTTTTCATCTTTCCAAGTGCCTCAGAATGCGGAGCATGTCAGCGATAGGGGAGTGTCTTCATCTTGCCGCGTGCACGCTAGTGGACGGGAGGCTAGCTACTTAACTTACTGGATGCAGTGGAGATTAGGAATGGGTGTCGTGTTGAGAGGGTTATAGATCAAGACAGATTCAACTGGAGAATCTTGATAGACGATAAAATGTATCTACTCTGTTCTGTAACTACGTTCTTATGTACCCATTCATTTTTGAAGCCGACTCATATCCCCATCACAGTGCCTCATGCTGCATCACAATCCATCATGCTCCACCATAATGAGTCGATGGTGAGTCGAGATGATTGCAAATGAGACAGTTCTGCCTGAGATTGGGGGCATCTAAACCACACCCGCCAAGACATTGCTCGGGCCTGACAGTGGGGCCAGGCAAGCATGAGTCATTTTCACTCATGCTGTCTGGCCCACAAAAAGGCCCCTCCTTGGCGGTCCCACCCGTCCACCTCAACACGACCTGGCCAATCAGATCGGCCCTCTCCAGGAGGTTATCCCGATTAAGATGCCCCCCCGCGTGGGTTCTTGAGGAGTCGTTGATCATGGCGGTCCTGACAGCTCCATGGCAGGTTGCCTGGTTGATTCTCCGGCCACTGTGTTGTGTATCGGGATGGTGTCAACCGGTGTGGTGATGTACCGTCGAAGGTGGCCGAAATGATGGTGTGTGTGCGTGGTGATGTGAAGTCTTCTTCAATGTCGGGGTGTAGTTGTTCATATAGTACACTCTCTACAAGAAATAGCTCGCGTGTACCTTGAATGCTTCATCTCAGTTTGAGCATTCCGTTCAAAACCTGAAAAGAGCATCATTTAACTACATCCAATATCGAAACCCATTGTAGCATGACCGTCAATATCTACATTCCATCTAACTTAGAAACGAACTTCGATTCCATGACTCTGACACGATTATAGTCGGATTTCCCTGCTATTGAAGTCTCTAAGGACATTTTGCGGCCTACGAAAGAGAGATCCCCAAGGTAAATCCCCATCCTCGAGTCTGCTAGACCCATGACAGCCAGACATCCTTGTCCGGGCTAGCCTTCCTGAACTGCACATCACAATCACTTTCACATCTTGTTGCTCAATATGGAAGTGTATCCGTAGTAGCAATCCAATCAAATCCCTCCTCTCGTTAGTAAAGCGGCTCTGCATATGCTAGACATGCATTACGCGCAGCTGCCACTACTCAAGAGCAGTTACGAACAAAAAGCCGCGCTAATATTCGTTGGTGGGCCTACCTGAACCCTTTCACTACTGGTTATACATGATTGGAAAACGCATATCCTATCGACTGTGCATACATCAGCCAATATCACTATCTTTACACCACTAGTTGTCCAGATTCGAGTTAAGCAGCCTTATCAAATTATTGCATACATCCCGCTAGTGCCACACGGCTATATAGATATTCTAATTGACCTAAAAAAACGTTATTTCAGACAACAAAACTATTCTTCCGCTTAACGACGCATCGAGAATAAAAGATCGCGCAATTTGTCTATGTATCACTTAATATTGATAAATCGGTAAAGAATTTGGTTATACACGTACTTCCTGGAAGTAGCATCCCCTATATAAGTTACTTTAGCACAATTTTTTTCTTTACGAGGACTTATTTCATTTCATATTTTTGAACTGGATCTGACGCATAGAATAGATAGGACTGAGAGTTAAAATGCTTGCATAATCTGACACTTTAAGAGAGGATCTGGAAACAAAGCCTGACAGATTAAGATAAAGTTATAAAAGTAAACGCTTCGGCCGTTCTGCATACTGGACTTATAACTGGAGCTCTGGCCATACTTGTGAAATAACTGGCCAGAAAATAAGTTAATACTTCATTCAGAATACCCAGTATCAGGGTCTTATTACTCGCTGCTATGTCATTGTTTTTTTGGAGTGAGATAGCCTGTATAATACAAACGCTGATTGATTGACTAAGACGGGTTCGGACCGGCAAATCTTACATAGAGAAGGCGTTTCTCAACGTTATTCAATACTCTGGACAACTGATTCTGTCGTTTTGTGCCCTGTTGTGGGCTGCGCAGGGATGGAAGAGTAGATCTTAAACCTTCTTGTTGAGTGGTCTTCCACAGAATGATAAGACGCAGTCATAAGCAAGTGCTAGAATGTAGTCATTATCCCCCACATGCTATGAAGTTCGCCACGTGGTCAGACATGTAACTTGGCTTCAGTCCGTTCCATCTTATCGGAGATGCCCTAATCATTCGGGAAGGGGAAGTTTCGATTCCATTAAGCATTTACTGAATGAAACCAGGTTCAAATGCACCTGATAAATAGAATATGATTTCGAGTTTTCTGTACATCTCTTCCTTACCCACAAAACATAGAGCATAGACAGTATATACCGGACGCGCGAATAATTCGCCTGAGGCGAAGCCCGAGTCCCGAAGCCCCACATCAACCGGCAAATGTGGATCACTTTTACTCTTTTCATCTCATTCTCATTGAGTTAAGGAGGCTATCTCTACTACCCCGCAATTGTTAAGCGTTTCGACCAATCAGGAGCCCTGTGTGAACTTCCAGGCGGCTCGAATCTAGACTTGCGAAGCGCTGTTGCGGCTCTCAAATGACTCAACAAAATGATATAAATCCCCCAAACACCCCAATTAACACGATTAGAACACTACTCTACCAGAATTACCCTCCTTCAAGTCTCCATCTCCCACCATGACACCAAAATTCCAAACCACCCGTCTCCTCCACGGCATCCGCGCCATCATCGGCGGCCAAGGCCCCCCCGTGATTCTCATTCCAGGCTGGCCCCAAACCGCCGAAGCATTCAGCGATATCTTCGAGCCCCTTTCCAAAAACTATCAATTCTTCGCTCTCGATCCCCCAGGTTTAGGTGAATCGTCCGCTCCCATCAACGGGTATGATACCGCGAACGTGAGCAAAACCATGGCCGAAGCTATCCACGACACCCTGAAAGACAAACCATACCATCTAATTGGCCACGACGTCGGAGGATGGATTTCTTACCCCTGGGCTGCTCAATTCCAATCGAGGATCAAATCGCTCAGTATCCTGGACGCATCGGTTCCGGGTTTTCTACCCCCGTTTCAATTCCCCATGTCCAATCAGACCAACCTCCGACTTTGGCAATTCTCATTTAATGCGTTGCCGGAATTACCTGAGATTTTGACGACCGGGCGTGAGAGGGAACTGTTGACTTGGTTTTTTAATTTGAAGACGGTTCGGAAGAATGGGGTGCATAAGGAGCAATTTGAACGGTATATTCGGGCTTATTCGAGACCCGGGGCGATGAGTCGGGGGTTTGAGTATTATAGGGCTTATGAAATGAGTTCGAAGCAGAATTTGGAGTTTGCGAAGATGAAGCTTGATATTCCGGTTTTGGCTTTGGGTGGTGCGGGTTCGGTTGGGGAGGGGATGATCGGGTTTGTGAAAAATTTTGCGACTAATGTTTCTGGGGGAGCGATTGAAGATTGTGGTCATTTTTTGCCGGAGGAGCAGCCGGCTGCTGTTGCGCGGAGGTTGTTGGAGTTTTTGGAGGAGATTGAGAAGAAGTGAGGGAGCTATGTGGGAGAGTAGGGAGGTGAATTGATTTGGTTGAGTTTCATAGGCATGGTGGATATTCTATAGATGATGTTGATAGATGCTTGTAATTAGTTTCTTTATCATGGGTTATCGAAGGCTCTGATGATTTGATCCCATAAGAAGCGCCACGAAATTACAATATCTATTTCTAGGGCCGGAAATGTTCCATGCGTGTCACTCGCCGCATATTGTGGCGTAAGTGCCTAAATATCCCATTGTCTGAATGAGAAGATCGTCTGAAGCTTGGTCACTCTTCGACGTGAATGAGTTGCTCAGTGGCTTGAAGCGGGCCCAGGCCTCAACCATGAGGCGTTCTCGTACTGGTATTGCGGGTAACTGCCGTCTGAGAACGAATCTAGGCCCATTCAAGACCCGTCAGTTTGTTCATTGGGTCGAGTATCCGAAGAGCCGGCTTTGTTTTTGTCGCTTATGCCTTGGGGCATGGATAAAAAGACAAAAAGAGCAGATTAGCATTGTCATCACAATGACAGTGAACAATGAACTGATCACAAGACCTACCAGCATGCTATCACCTCCTGTAGACATAAGGGAAGAGCCGTTGTGAAGTGAAAGTCAAAGGAGGGGAAACAAAGAAGCAAATCTACATGACGGATACCACCTGACCAAACCCGTGACTGGGCAGTCATTCGATAGGAGACACCGATGCCTTTGCAAAATCTTCATCGCATCAACGGGATCATCCTACATAGTTCATCCATCCAGAATAGCCTTCCATCTATATAAAGACGGTGACTCACAGCCCCATCAAGACCACTCATGGTCCTGACCGCCCAGACCGTACATCCTACTCTCCCACCCTCTACAGCAACACACCCACCTACCCAACCACCAAACCATCGCCATGGTACAACCCGTACGCCCCACCCTAGTCCTCACAAAATCAAACCCACGATAAAGGCCAATTTTACGTGGGATCGCTCCTGACGCGGAGTGTCGTGAAAGTCCTGGAGCCCCGGACATGGGACGACATTGTGCACTTACTATATAATGGTATGGAGAAAAAGTTGACGACGATTATCGTTCCGGAGGTGGGGATTACTTGGGAGCAGTTGGAGATGGAATTGCCTAAGTCGGAGGAGAGGACGGATGAGTGGGAGGTTTTGAAGAGGTGGTGGCATTATCGTGGGTAGGGGGGTATCCCAATGGATGAAGGTAGATTGACATAGGTGTTGATAGGTGATGTGAATAGGAAGGATCATTGGGTAAAATATGCAGTTTCAATGACTTCAACTTAAACGCCGTATGGTAGAAGTCTATATCTAGACTCTATTCTACCAAGTTCATCCATGACAGAAACCACAATGAGATAGTGGATTATTCAACACACGGATGACTGTCAGGTATGACTCATGACTACCGTAGGCGAAGGGCGGATGGAGATGGGTTTTATTGGTTCGGTTCTTGAGGATGCCATTGAGCTGAATGAGTTATGTAATTTACATAAATGTTTTCGGATTGAGGTTACGTATAATTTCACGGTGAGAATTGCTGGGGGTATTTCTTTAGGGGGACAGGTTGAAAGGTCCAGTCACAGGTGAAAGGGTGGTAAAACAGTATGATAGAAGGTCTGGTGAGGCTGCCTCTTAGAGGGAATGATGGCCAATTCCTTTCTCATTGGGAGGGTTCCAGGCCGTAACCGATGTCATTGCTTATGGCAGAACCATCCCTGTATACTACCATCGCAACACAATGGACTTGAATGTGGACTTCAGAAGTAGCGAGATGTACTTTCCCAAGGCCCAAACGACGCGAGATTTCGTTTGTTGTCCGAATTAGTAGCCATGACGTGCATGTATCATTTCGTGTAGCGCCTTGTGTAACATATCATATATATAATCAAGCTCAATCAACAAGATACATCCATCCCATCCCAAACCCAACCTTTTATATATAACCAACAGAAATTACTTCTCTCACCTATACAAAATCTACCAACTCACTAACTAAACTTAAGCATCCCCCTCCCCGGCCCGTCCCCTCATCATCGCAATCCACTTCTGCCTCCCCGCGCCCCCAAACTCCTCAAAGTCCATCTCCATGACCTCCAAATCCTCCCACCCATACTTCTTATAAAGCGCATACCCATCCTCCGTAGCCTCAAGATAAACCCTCGCGTTTCGCTTATCCGCCTGCTCAATACCCCACTTCAATAATGCCGTTCCGACTCCTTTGCCTTGTGCTTCGGGTAATGTAGCCAGGAATTCCAATACTACAAACACATGAACAATTAGCATAGCCCTAACTTCCCTTCAAACCCACCCAAAAAGGAGGGTAAAGAAAAACATACCAAAATCTTTCTCTTGCACCAAAACCTCACTCTTATCCTTCAACATCTTCCAAAAAGCCTCATAGACATCCCTCCTCATATCCTCAGGAAATGCCTTTCCATTATCATGCTTCTCGAACAACTCCTTTCCCTCAGCGGACAACTCCACGATGCTTGTTTCCTTATCAGAGGCTGGAAATGCCCATCGAGCATATCCTATTATCTTGCCCGTGGTGGTGTCAGTAGCCACTAAGACGTGGACTTCCGGGGCGGCGAGCTTAGAGAGACAGCGGGCGGTTTTCAAAGGTAGGGCTGTGGTGATGTCCTTGGTGGAATTGGTGGCGGAAGGGAAGAGGTTTTTCCAGAATGGCTGGTGCCGGAAACTGGCGATGTTGATGGTTGCGAGCTCGGCGGCATCGTGTTCGGTTGCGGGGCGGATTGTGAAGGTCATTTTGGCTTTTATGTTGGGGGTTTTGGTAGAGAATATGAAATGGGGAGAGGTTGTTTTTTGAGCCTGCGGGAGGGATTTTATATACATTTTCTGGGGCGAGGGGGAGGAGTCATTCTGCTGCTTATGCTGATGATAGCGGGGAAGGGTCATCGTGAGTCATGGTGTGGATGCAGCAATGGAGGTTCGTATTGGTGGATGAGGCCGAACTAGTCGGAGTCGGATGTCGGGTTCCAAGTAGGGTTTAGTGGGTATGTGTGGGGTTATTTTTTGGATTGGTGATTTCACACTGGGTGATTGGGTAGAATTATGGTATTGTGTTGGTATGCCTGGATCTTGGAGTAGTCGGACTGTAACATGATCATCATCGGGATAGGGCTGACCGCAACTCGGCTGGCACGAATTCCGCAATCTCGGTGTGTGGCTCAGAGCATCCTCCTCGCCGCTCTCCACGTGCACTTCTGTGTTCGCCAGATGCTATCATGGCTGACGGTGCTCTCTGTCGTGGTGTGTCTCGTCTAAAGCAATTTCCGATTCGGTTGAAAGGCGTTGCGAAATACTATGCCTAGGATTGGAGGGAAATTCCATCCTGACCGGGTACGCGAGCTGCTTTTCTCATAACGGGAGCTTTGGTAAAAGCGATGCGGAAGAAGGGACGCAGGGTGGGAATGCAGGCAGCCACAATGACCACGTTTTGCTCGATCTTAAACAGTTAGACGTCGTATGGTGGAAGGCGGGATACTTGCAGCCACAAAATGACGAGGGAAACCACATCATTGACTACCAACATCAGATTAGATATAAGAATGGGAATAGGTATATGGATGGACGCACGTGGATCAGTACGGTTCGTATGATGCAAATACCTCGCTTTGATGATCGTCACCTTGGCAGACAGCAAGGTGAGCCCCGTTATAACGCACACCCCCAGCGTGGTGGATGTCCGCATTGTGACATAATGCGATTATCTGCCATTTGGCTGTCAGGACATATCTCTCCATCCCATGCTCGGCTATGATTGCAGCTGTGTCGGCCCCGACCGAGTCTCACTGAATATGACACGAACGAGGCAGCATAATGCTCAGTGCCTGAATGTCAGCTCTACCTGATAACGATAGACCAGCGAGAATAAGATGAAAAAGTCAACACAACCAAGATTCTTAGAAACATGCCCCGAGCAAAGAGCTTGAGAGAGACGGTTGCAATGGCACTGTCGGTTAAATATGCAAACACATTGATCACGACTGCACGGCTCTGACTGGAATCAACGTCTGTGTCAAAAGCCATTGCAGCGGTCAGCCATGTCCCGGCTATGAAGGCATGGCCAGGTGGAGTGATCACGGGCTGCCTCATCGAGAAGAGCTTCTCTATAACATGTCATCCCATCAGATTGTCGCCACGCTTGAATCGAACCCCTGTCCGTGGAAGGAGACGTGTTTTCCACACATACCCATTTGAAGATAGGGTGTTTTAATGGGACACGAGGGGCTGCCAGGGAACTCAGTAACACAAGCCAAGTTGATCTGCTGACCTCTCTCATTACCTCACTGGTCTGTGTGACGAGCACTAATCTCTAGCGCACTTTGCAGTTTCACAGCATTGACGGGTTGCGGGAAGCGGAGGCCCGATGGTGTCACTGTCAGACGCATCACAAATGCTCTGGTCAGCGCCTCTTCCGGTCCGTCATCCTTGTCCGTAGTACTGCCAGGATGTGGTCGATCGAATCCCTGCATTGGCTATAGCGACATGATCACCCCATAGTGCGTGTTTCACAGGATGCAATCCATAGTAAGGCATCCCAGCTGGATTGCCCCTGACATTGAAGCAGGGGTTATCGATCACCCGCATAATGCGCTCCTTCATCTTCCCCGTAAAACCTGGGATTTTTCTGTGTGTTCAGGGTCTTGAACTCTATAATATGACTGTCGACCTTGTCGACTGAAGTGCACTCTTGGTTCATACACGCGTGGGCAGCGTCCCCACTAGCAATAAAAGTTTCGCCTACCTCGACACGGAACTCCGCTAAATCTTAAACTAACGGCCGCCTAAACCCATTCCAACAAGGCTTGGAACTTGATTGTCGCACTTCAAGGGAACAATCATGGCTCTGTCTACGGGCCGGACAGCTTCGTCTTCCAAAGGGCCATGCCACTGGCCCTCGCATTCCATCTCAAACACGATCATAGCTTCTTAAGTTTCATCAATGTTAGAAGACTCAGCTCGGTGGGAAAGCCTTTGACAACAATGAACCAGGGTCGAACGAAGCTTTGATCGAACGCAGTCGCGCTAGCCGCTGCACTAGAAGTACCCAGCGAGTTTATCCCGCGCAGTTTCTGGGCGGAGGTGAGACAGTGCACAGGATTTCAGCCATTGACTAATTACTGTATGTGGCCCACGTTGTCAGCTATCATTGCTTGAGTGTGGACGTCAAGTTTTTAGTACTTGAAAGAAGCAAGGGGACTCGGCGCCGAGGCGCTATCGGATAAATCAGGCGTTCACATGACATTGCTGCTACGATTGGCCCGACATCTCGTGACCATGTACCTTCTCACATACCACGATGGAGCATTTCATGCGACAACCTTGAGCAACGTACTTGCGAACAGACCTACAAACACGGCATTTCTTTCTGTTACAATACTGCCCGACCTTTGTTCAACGGTTTCCGGGGTTTTTCAAAAGGACGGAATAGCGATCCCCACCACTTGGAGGGCTGGATGGTCCCTTTCCGAGTGCGCACAATACCCAGCTCCCACTTTTCGAATGGCTGGTCGCGACGCCCCTAACTATCGAGAAATTCGACTCATTCATGAGTGCATATCGGGCCGGGAAGCCGAACTCGTATGATCCGGAGTTATATCCTGCGGAGGAGCGGATGATTGCAGGTTTCGATGACACAGTGAGCGACGTTCTGCTGGTAGATATAGAAGGGGCAGAGATCACGACATTACATTAGTTCCAGGGCAGCACAACTCTCATCCAGACAGGGAGCCAGTTATCGCTGCTGTGATAGGTGGGACTGAAAAGCCTCCATTCGAAGCACAAGCACACAATTTAACAATGCAGCGTGTCCGGGGCGCGCCTGCGTATTCTCTTCACTCGATTTTGCACAGCTGGGGTGACGAGAAGAGAACCAAGTCTTTGCAGAATTTGGTACTAGTAGTGGAGAAGGATATTCACGAGTCCTAATCGATGGAATTGTGGTCAGTGAAGAGAAACCTGCACTGGCAGCCAGTGCCATGGATATGATGAAGATGGCACATTCTGCGGCACAAGGCCGAGTGGAGGGAGATTCTGGCCAAGGCCGAGCTGAAGATTATTCATATTTACCAGTATTCAAAAGCTGCCGAGATCCTTATTGAAGCGAAGCTGGCTTGACGTGCAGTACTAGTCTTAACAGGTCTTCTATCCCTACAAGGGTGTTTATTCATACTGTGAAATGTCCAGCCAAGTTCTAATTCTAAATAGATACAAGCCGCTTCGTAGAATCCTGGCATGAATTGCAAGCAGACACACATGGTGACCATCCTACTAGGTTGAAACATATCTTCTGATGAATATGTGTCCATATAAAATGGAGGAGCTCCAACCAATCGATATCAGGACCAAAGGAACTGTATCTCGAGGTGAATCTCGCAATGGTTTGTGAATCTCCCGCTTCACGAGCGACACCCAATGGAATACACCCAGTCCAGATGGAATGTATCTGTCAGTGAAGACCTTCTCTAATCATATATCTAGCCCTCCACTTTCCCCCCAAAAAGTTGATCATCCTTCTTACCTATCTCAATGTCAACAGCAATACGCTCGTCATCGGTATCAAAGTCAATTTTTAAACATCAGAGTCCGTCGGATGTCTTGATCTCTGAAAGAATTATCCACGATGCCACGTGCCACTCAGAAGAAGCCTGCATCCGATTCAAGCCGGCGTACCTATTCTGCATGCACTGTATCCGCTCGGATGTCAAGGAGTATGACCCTGCCGAAGGATTCCCCTTGATATTCAGTGTGCTTTGACGGACAGGCGTCGATTCTGTGTCACCGAATCTTCAAGGGGAATAAGACATGTATTCCTGTATGTTTGTACAACCAGAAAGAACTTAATCACCTCATGAGATTGACCACATCTCGGGAGGTAGGCGTGATTTATTCAGAACCAGACAACCTCGACAGATGTACGAAAAAAGCACTTCGATAGCTGGCAGAGACATAGAATAACGCAAATGGTATATCTCCGAAAAAAATACATAGCCATAGCATGATGGATACCATCAAGCACCTTTCAGTACGGAATGAGGAACACAATGGATAACCGGACAGTATCACTGCCACAACTACGTCATGAGATAAAAGTCCCTGGAAGGAATTGAACAATTCATCATGCAAAACCTGAACATATACCTCCTATCTCTACTACTGACAATACCTGCTAGTCACAGCCTATATGCACCAGTGTTATACCCTGATGGGTCCAGAACATGAGTATCAACATCGCACCCAGGAAGCTGCTATAAGAATACCTCGAAGAAGAAAATGATTACCAACGGATACATAATGATCAAACGGCAGATATCTTTCTGAATAATCTGTCCCCCACCTTCTCATAGATATATGACGGTTGAACCCACCACTTTACAAGAAAGGAGCTACGATCAAGTGCATACGCATGAAGCTATCTAGAACATCTGGTGAAGTACAACTTGGCATAATCACTATCAGAAATTACAACTACTAGGTCTCTGTGGATTTTTGAAACAAACAACCAGTCTCTTTCCCAGGGTGGGCAATATTATGGAGATTTCTTATACAAGCATTACCCTCTGCCGAAGGACTGCAGTGAGCAGTCCAATTCCTGGGTATTGGGATTCAGTCAGTGTAATTGTCAGGAATATTCTGTGGCCATTATATTCTGGATACGAAACCTATTATCAGGGTGTGCTCCGCACAGGATGTGGTCAATAGAAGCCAGGGGGCACGTTGCAGCGGCACAAGTAGGAATGATTGCGGGGTTTGAAGTCTATCCATGCAGTATCAACCAAGCATTTCGAAAGCGCCAATCCTGGAATCAGCATTTTGCAGGGATTCCTTCAAAGGTTATTAAACAAGAGTGATGCATTCGAACTTGCTCTTTATCTCCGATTCAAAGTAAACTAACTGTCAAATATGAGTTGCAGCTGGGGTTACCACGCTAATAGGACTCATATAAACGAGTCTATTCGTTATATAGGGTTGAACCAAAAGATTTGACATGATACTCACATGAAACTGGACCAACAATCTCATAGGTCCATAGTTTACCTTCGCAGGCACCGCGTCAAGGGATTGCCCGCACTATACAAGTCGACTGCATACCGTTTGACTCTAGTCTAACAACTGTGCTATGTCTATAACAGACACCATGGCGTGGTATTACACCCCAATCTACCAAGCTACCTTCACGCACTGCCAAACCATTCTTCAAATCACTATATGTCCTCTCCTCAATTGGAGCAAATTCGCCTCAATTTCGCTCTAGAATAACTGTGCTGCGTTAACCGCCCTAAGAGTCAAAGCATGCGCTTCCCAAAAGCACTATTTGAATATACCCTACATCAACCACCAATCTACTCATTCCCCGACTTACTTACAACACTAACATAGGCTACCCATCCTACAGCGGATCGACTCCCTCAAAAGACATACGCTGATTTTGTCAAGGGCCAGGTTTTCTTCTCATACAGTCTATCGGCATTATGGGAATTGTTGGACACCGAGTGTCCACGTCAAAATTCTCCTCTAATCTTTCTTCCTTTACACCGGTTATTTCGAACTCAGATTCGACAACTAACGAGCACAGATTCTTTTTAAACTGTGTTCGTCCTTCTTATCTTGAGATGGCTGATCTCAAAAACAGCATATGGGCAGCTGGACTTGCCTTTGATAGTGTTGCAGCGATAGAAGGCCGTCTGCTGATCACCTCATATATCATAATAATACTGTACTAGTCTGATGACTGACGATACTAAGTCCTCGCGTGGGAAAGGCAAGGATCTGCTACTTTTGCAGGCGTCTTGGACACCTTATTCGCGAATGTCCGGCTGCCATGGCCCATGATGCTAGGGATATCGGTGTGATTCAAATAGTCCAGCAGCACGGGAACAGGCATTACCCATACCCTGGGGATATCACTCTGGATTAGGTCATTGCCACCGAGATGGATGGCGTCGCTTACATGTGTTGAGCATAGCGAATGGATTTGGAGTCTAATTCAGAACCCAGATCCGCACGCCAGGTAGACGGGCATATTACACGGGAACTGGACCAATGATCAAGTAGTGTCGGATTCTGTCTCGATGAATATACCACTAAAACCATGATCTTCAAAACTATGATCTGTTCTTGCCACGAGATGACCTACTCCTGCTGCAACAACCGACCAGACATCTCTATACAAACAGGAAAATTCATCCTGGCAAAGTCACAATCCAAGATGTCCAGAGCATTCCCAAAGCGAAACACGGGCAAGACCATGACCCCCTAATAAACCTGCCATACGTCTCAAAGGGTACAGAGGTCTTGGACAAGCCCCCAAGAAGCCAAAAACGGGAAACAGGACATTAAGAAAAGCATCGGAAACCAACCCTGAACACTAGAGTGATACCTTATAAAGCTCCCCAGATTTAGCGAAGATTACAGGGTATTAAAGTGGAAGAAGAAGATATTGGAATGTAATATTATGTACAGCAAACATGGCAACAAGGAAGGCACTCGTCCGCAGCATTTGGGGCGAAAGCAATGATTAAAAAAGAGACATTGTGTATAATCTTGCCAATATATGCAGAGGGAGAAACGTGATCTGCATTTATACTAACAGACCCCATACAGAAATTTCACAATGTCATTCTGGAGCTTGTGACAGTGTCTTCTTTACGGTTTACCGGGGTGGACTATCATTCTAAGTAATTTTAGTATCTAGCTAAAAGCATCTAAAATAAACTATGTTCTACGCCCTTTTCTTGCCTGTAGATCATAGAGTTGATGCTCTACGCGAGACTTCCATAGATTCTAATTGGGAACTAAGTACATGAATTATGTTGTTGGGATTTGAGTAGAGAGATAGATAATTAAGGCTATAGTCATTACTTGAGTAAAATAGTATACTCCACGGAGACAGCCCTACTGATACAAAACTCGCGTAGCATAATCATCATCATTCGGTATAGATTTTATCATCCGCCTCGTTCAATAGTCACCAAAAATCGCAAATATATGTATAGAAACATGGCAATAGAGCGAAGATAAATATCCCCTCCAGAACAAACCCTGACCAAAGAGGTCAGCCACTACATCCCGAAGGGAGACAACTATATTCCATGGCCCATCATTGTTGCCAGCAGGAAAGGAAAGCAAATCGATTGAGTTCAAAATACAGACCATCCCAATTGGTGGCAGTGCATGCACTGGAAGAACCCCCTAAGCCCAGCTAGAAAAGAATCATACCTAGCCTTACAACACTTAACATCGGAACATCCCTGAATCATCATGTGATCTGATCATCTCAACCATATATCTATCATCCTGTGCCCTATTTTTCCCCGTTCCTAATCGATGACTCAATGAATTCGTCCCCTTCTGCAACTTCCTACCCCGTCGGCATCTGCATACAAATCCAGGCTATCTCCGCTACGCCACAAATTCATTGTCTAACCCACGGGCCATCCCTACATCCACCCAAGCAAATACCCCGGCATCTTCCAACAACCCACCAAAATAAATACCCCCATATAAGGAACATAAACCTCCACACCAGACACCAAACGAAACATCCATCTCAGTATACACTGCAAGAACCACACTAAACCACCAATCACGACACCATCCCCATCAACTCAGGATGTCTACCTATATTCAATACCTACTATCTCTCCCAAGTAAACCCTCTCCCACCCTTCCCCTATTATGTGTAGTATAAAAGGACGTTACGTCACCAACACGCGTAGTCTCCCCTTACCACCCAACCCATGATACATGCTACCAACACCCCATACGAAACAAATTCAACCCAAAGCAAACACCCTGAGCCCTAACCCAACCAAACCAAACCAAACAACCCCCCAAAATGCCCCCTACCTCCCCACCCAGCTACAAACAACCTTCCCCACCAAACTCCTCCTCCCCACCCACCCCGCCTACCCTTCCCTCCTCCACCCCCCATCTCCATCCCCCACATCCTCCCTCCCCCCACCCAAACCCGCCTGCATCTTCCTCCCGCACACCACGCACGACATATCCCAATTCCTCACAATCATCAAACCCTTCACCGATACCAACGAAATCATGTTCGCGGTCCGCGGGCACGGAGGGCAACTTACCCCCGGGTGTTCGAATATTTCGAATGGGATTTTGGTTGATTTGCGGAATGTCACTGGGATTAAAGTTGTCAGAAGTGGGGGTGGGCGGGTGGTTAAGATCAGCGCAGGGGAAACCTGGGGCAATGTATATGATATTCTTGCTACTAGGGGGTTATGTGTTACCGGGTCGGGGAGGGGGGAGTGTGGTGTTGGGGGGAGTGTTCTTGGAGGTATGTATATTTCTCTTCTTTTGATTTTGTAGATGTGTGGATGTGGGCTAATGTGTATGTGTGTATGTAGGTGGAATATCCATCTTCTCCCCCCGTGAAGGCTTCGTGTGCGACAACGTCCTCAATTTCGAGGTAGTGTTAGCATCAGGAGAGATCGTGAATGCCAACGCCAATCAAAATGCTGATTTGTGGCTCGCCCTCCGCGGCGGAGGAAACAACTTCGGAATCGTGACGCGATACGACATGCGTACATTCCGCCAGGGCCCGATCTTTGGCGGAAGTGTATCCTACCATCACTGTGATTTGGACGAGCAGATTGAGTTACTGGTTCGGGCGTTGAGGAACGGCCATATGACGCTCGATACGCACGTGCGAATGACAATCAGCTATCAGAAGAAATGGGGCGGGTTTTTGTGCACCAATCAGGTGTATTATACGCATGCGGTGCCCGGGCCGTTGGTGTTACGGCAGTTTACGGAGATGAAGTGTGAGGTTACTTCGCGGAGGAGGATGAGTATGATGACGATGTGGGAGGCGGGGAGGGTGAGAGATTTGGATGTGGATGTGGATGGGGAGGGAGGTGTGCGGTGATGAATACGACAGTCAAGGCTGATTTCGAGACGTTGAGTAAAGTGTGGAGGGTGTTTCGGGGGGTGTTGGGGCGTGAGGATCATAGTGATGGGTTGGTCTATTCGATGACGTTTCAGCCGCTTCCGAGGAGTATGTTGGAGAAGTCGGTTAAGTTGGGGGGAATTCGCTGGGGTTGAGTCCGGAGGGGGGGCCGTTGGTGTCGGTGGTGTTGTCGACGTATTGGAGGGATGGGGAGGATGATGATGTGGTTTTGGGGTTGATGAAGGAGGTTCTTGGTAGGATTGAGGATGAGGCGGCGAGGAGGGGGACTGGGTCCAGGTTCAAGTTGATGAATTATTCGTTTGATTTTCAGGATCCGGTTGCTTCGTATGGGTTGCAGAGTCAGTTGAGGTTGTTGGAGGTTAGTAGGAAGTATGATCCCAGTGGGATGTTTCAGAGAGCGGTGCCGGGGGGTTCAAGTTAAGGGGGTCGTGGGGGGGTGGTGAATTGATTGGGAGATATATCTAAGTATATATTCTGGTCTTCAATGGTACATGTTTGAGACAAGTGCAATATTGATTGTTCAGTATACAAGTTAGAAAATGCAGTATTGATCTGCTGCAATATAGTCTGTTGATTGAAAATGGATATCAAACTTTTAATCTCATAGCCAAGGCTTATCTGGTATCACTCTTCAAGTTTGAACATGCCCGAGTGCCAGCCATACGCTCGGAACAGACGTCGACCATGTCGTCGAGCAGTGCGGAACAGGATCTTTCCACTCGGATGTGGTTCATGGAACTGGATACTCCGTTCAACATCCAGACGCTGGGGACTGAATTGCCAGATAGAACCATACAGCTTCTCCACGCGGAACCCAGTGGATACCATCGCATGCAGAAAGTCCGTCCAAGGGATTTCGCCAGGCTGAGATGTCCTAGATGGAACGTAGAACAGTGTCGTGAATACTTTGTAAGCGCGCTTGTCCACGGTGAATGTGGGCTGGATATCTGGCCCGTGGCTGGGTTCTTCGATGTCATCAGCTCCCCTCGATGCAGTCCCCCGGGTTTTGACCTTCTCTCGAGCAGGTTCAAGTTTCTCGACATCCAGCGTGCGCTGGGTACGTTTATCCAATTCATAGTACAGCACAGAAATAGGAAGATTGGACTCTTCAGGCACATCCAGATCGGCATCTTTGGCTGGTTCCACCCAATCTGGGGTTCGAGTCCGGATATGCGATTGAGAAAGCAGCCCCCGGACCGTCGCGTGCTGCGACATGTTCTTCTTATTCACTAGACGCAAGTCCACCTGTTTCCAGAATTCATCCAACGCAGCTTCTGCCTGCTGCATCTGGATGGTAGTCTCTTTGGTGCGACGTTTGTCAACCGGATAGTTGAACCGGCCATCGGTAGGATCACAGAACTCGCCGAAAAAGTCACCGTCCATGGATTTCTCGAATTGCGACCATTGGTCAACATGTCGACTGTAATCGTCCAGGATAACATCATCATTCATCTGGACGAGGTTTGCAAACATTGCAGCCCAAGGCTGGAATGAGTAGATTTGCTGCAGACACAGCGACATGACGGAAACGTCAGAGATATTCTCCATGACCTATGGGCTCAGCAACTCCCTGATATATTTATCATTTTCGATCAACCGCTGCAACTCGTCTGTAAGATTGGTCAATCCAGCAAGGGGTCGGTCTTTCTCATCCCAAAGCGTGGTCATGATCCACGACAAACGGCTGCGTTTCTTATCCGCCACCCAGCTGTCCTTGGGCATGGTACGGATATTGTCTTGACCATATTGCGGCGGGGCGCGAAGGAAAAATGACCGGATGGGTGGAGATGGGGGAAATCCCATTTTCAGGTTGATAATCGGACCTCGGACCATACGTTCCAGAAGCCAGATGAGTTTCATAAATCTCCACTCCAGGGCGCGAGGGAGGTCATTCTCCGGACGTATCACCGCCGCATGTTTTGTCATCAACCGTTCAATCACCTCTAGTTGATCATTAATTTCAGCCCACAGACCCAGCTGGAAGTAAGCGTCAGACACGACTCCACTGATGATATTATTCCAGAGCTTTTTGATGGCGAATGGTTTGGTGGACGGATGTAGCTGACCACGCGCATCCGGGACCAACTCGGGTCGATGTTCTTTTCTCTCGAGCAGCGCTTCTAAGAAGTATCCAGGATCCTCACGCAACGCCCAGATATGATCTTCTGCTGCGCTCTTTTTGGCTGCAACGATACTGTGAAGCCGGTCGATGTCCAGACGAGCAGGCAGACGATAAGGGGCCTCCGCCGCCACCACGGAGAGTAAATCGAGGCCCGACTCTGAAGTCGTGATTACCGGGGGCTCAGGCTGGATGGGAATATCGGCCTGCAATATGCTCTCGCGCGTGTATTCCGGCAGCAACAGCATACAACAATCCACAAGGAACCGGTAGAGCCGCTCTTGAATCTCCAGACTCAACAGCCCATCACCTGGATTCATTTCGCGCCCTGATTCAGGTTCAAACGCCCGGTCATTATCGCATTGGACGAATTCTCCGTAGGTATCTGGGGTTGTACGTCCAGTGAATATCATGACGTGATTCTCCATCAACGCACGAATGATGTTGGTGGTAGCGCGACCAAAATCAACCGACGCCCAGTCCGCTTGGATAAAAGCATGGGGCGGATGCCGGCCACGGGCATTTAAAAAGATCAGCAGCAGCTTGGGATTCAAGAGATCCTCCAAATTGACATGCGGCCACATGTAAGCCTCGCGATATTCCGGATTTCCTGGTGGCTCCCTCCTGAATGCCTCAATATCAGGGCGATGAAGTGCTGCCATGTTCGGCCAAGCGCTGAGCAGGAGGTTTTTGCGTTGCTCCCTTGTCCGCTTGAGCCATCGCTTGCGTACTGTTCCCTCAAGGCGCTTCATGGTCCGGTTCAGTAGGGCCCAGTCCCCCAGGATATTGGTGGCCCGTCGGTGAGCCACAACGCGGGCCTCGGCGGACGAGGGAAATACAAAGCCATTCTGGCGCATGAATCCTACGGGATCTTCAGTCGGGTTGGCGACGCCCAGGTCGCGCGATGAACGCAGGCCCGGATTGAATGCCATTCCCGGGGCAACCCGGAATGATTCCGATTGGCTGGTTGTCATGGTGGAATGCCTTAGTCATCCCATGCTGAACCACTGTTGTCATTTGTCACCAGGAGAAGACAAATAAGGGTAGTCAAGCTAAGAATTGCAGTGTATGCTCCAGGGCCATGAAGCACTCACTGATATCAGGAGGTGGACAGAGGTTGAAGTAACAGGCGGGGTATTCAGTATAGACAGACAGCGGTCAGGTGCCACCATTCTTTCCAGAGTAACGATGAGTTTGAAAATAGTATAGATGATATTGGAAGAATAGGAACAAATAAAGATGAAAATCAAAGATAAGCAATAAGCATGGCCGGTCTCCTTGGACTAATGCAGCCAGCACTGCATCCGGCCTAGTGACCCACCCACCACTAGCCTCAGGCACCAAGGAACTCAAGGCATCACAGGCATCACAGGCATCACAGACATCAACAAGCACTAACGGAGCTTCTCATCGATGACTCGATTGAATCTCCTTCTCCAGCAAATGCTTCTGCTTTCTAGAAGCATTTACCTACTTCTACTGCTTCCGCAATGAATATTTTTATCCCTAGCAAATATCCCCCCTTCCATTCATTGAGTGCCTCAGGCCTTGTTCATGCCTTAGGTTGCAGTATCTGCCTCAGGCCACAAGAGCAACCATGTATGCCTCAGGCTACAACTGTATAGTCTTGGCAGGTACATGCGTCCGTTTATGGAGATCATTGGGTTTTATCAAGACCTTTTCTGAACCCCTCTCAATAAATCCCAATGGTTCCTGCAAGGGCTACGGAAGTAGAGTATTATTTATCAAGTATATCTGTGAAGGGTTGTTCTCAAGATCATCATATGTACAGACTGTCATTGGACACCATCTCAAGAGAGCCATCATACTGCTTCATCCTGGTTGCGGCTTAATAAACAGGCATCGGAACCGCATCAAGATCATAATGCCAGCTATCAATCGACCGCTGGTTATACACACACTCCATCGTCTCATTAGCACTCCACAAAGGCCGTAGCGGCCATGCGCAGAGCTGTTGATTCTGACCCTCGTTTTCGCCCTGCAGCACCGTTGCGTTCAGCGTCGTTGGAGTCACGCCATTTTCCACCCAATCGATCATCACGGCTAGATTGGTCTGCGGGAATGGCCCATTCGGCATGGCATCGTTTGTTGCACAGTGGCCAGCTCCGGGGATGGTGTAGAAACGGTACCAGTCGTTGAGGGAGTCGGCGCTGGTGTTGTAGTCTTGGTTAGGGTACATGATTGTACGGACGGATTCCCAGAACCGGATGGATGCGGCGGTGGGGATGCTGAAATCGGCATCGCCGTGGAAGTGGATGATTTTTCCTCCACTCTGGTGGAAGGGAGTGAGATCAGGCCAGGTAGTTTGCAAGGTGCTGAAGTATTCCTGTAGGCCTGAGATCATCCAGTCTTTGAGGGTGTCGTAGGTGACGCCGTCGAGACTGTCGAGGGTAGTGCCGTTTTTGTTGACTAATAGGGCGATGTATTCCCCTCCGAGTTGGTCAATGTTGAGTTCCCATTCGCCGGTTGTGGAGTTGTACTGTGTCTCGGCGTCGTCGAATGCGGCGGTGGGTTGGTAGGAGAAGTAGACTCGACGGCCTTGGGAATCGTGCAGGCCGTCGATGATGGTTTTGGCTACTTCGATGCCTTTGGCGGATACGGTGCCGTTTTGTGCAGGAGTGCCTCGTAAGGCGGCGCATGAGTATGGCTTGCCCTCGATGGTGCTGATGTCAAAGTCTAGGAGGCAGAGGTCGGTGCGTGCTACCACGCCATCGGTTTTGCCGTCCATGGGATCGCAGGCTGTGATAGTCTCGTTGACGATCTTCTCTAGCTCGCAGGGAGGCGGGTAGTAATCAAGGGTTTTCTCGACGATGTTGGAATACAGGTGTTGGGTCTGTTGGAAAGACCACCGGAAAGCCGGAGCACCGATAATCGCTCCATCCCATTCGTCACCATAGCGCTGCACTTGACTCCATCCTTCGCGGCCGCCCTCAGAGCACCCCTGGTAATAAGCGTAGAGCTTTTCGGTGTCACTCAGATCGTAGATGCTGCGAGTGAAGGCCTTCCCGATCAAGCTCAGCTCACGATGTGCCTTGTAGGCGAACATGTAGAGAGCCTCGTAATTCAGAGTTCCGTTTGCCAACAGCATAGCTGTGTCAGCATTGTCAGAGAACCCACCGAAGCCACCGTCCGTCATACCCGACGCGGCACCGTACATGACACCACCTGGCAGTGACTGATCCCCGGAGTTGATGGCGTAGCCTCCGCCACCGGTGGAAAGCCAGCGGTTTTTGAAGTCTGATGGTGCAGGAAGCCAGATCTCCAAAAGGACCTGGTCACCGTCAATGCCATCATGGGAATAGGCAAACGTGACGTTGCAGTAGCTAATCGTGGCAGTGGGGTAGAAATCACTAGAGTAGCTGCTGTTTGTCACGACTTCAGCGGTCACAGAGTCCGAGTCGATGGTTATGCCCTGGATGAACTCGGAGGGTGGCAGAGCAGCTTTGGCAATGGAATCAGTGCAAAGCTCTGCCAGGGTGGATGGAGCTGCAGCATCCGCAAAGGCTGCAAAAGCCGCAGTGAAAGAAGCCCAGATGTAAGAACGCATCTTGCAGGCAATGCGAAAAGCCAGGGAAGTGGATTGAGCTGTGTGCCGGGTTCCCAGTGACAGGCAATGACCTGGCTTTATACCAACCAGTTCTTCATCAGCAGTCCTGCACGGGCATCACAGCAGGCGTCGTCATCGGGCCCGGATGATTCAGGACATTAATTGAGTTTGTGGGGAAATACGGGGTGGACCAGTGCCGATGCCTGCATTGCATCTCCGCCATTCTACCCCCGCACTGTTCCCGCAAAGGGGTCCTCGACCGAGCAGGAGGCATGTTACCCTGCAATTTGACGTGTTGCGGTATCCCGGAGACAATGGTCCGGTTTCCAACCAGCCGAGGTAATGTGCAGAACTAATCAAAGGCCGGCTGCTTCGGAAATGATGGTCAGCCCGCAATAAGATCGGCAAGAATTTGTGAAATCTCCGGTGGATGTAAACACCCGAACAAGCTTTATTAGGCATTTTTGTCCGATAACCAAGGTAGCCAACCACCTTGCATGTGGCCGCTATACGTCACCCGTTGTCCAGCCGTGAGAAGCTTAGGAGAAGCTCCCCAACACTCGGAGCTCGAGGATATGTGCCTAGCTCTACACAACTGAAGTCACCATCAATGTTTCAATCTGTCTTATCTTGAGTAAATAGATCTCTCAGTAAAAGTAAGCAAACCACGCCCGAAATTCCGGCGGAGGACACTTGACCTTGCTGCATGCACGAATGACAAGGTTTGCCCAACTAGAAATTAATCAAGTGATTAAGGGATGCCACCGGCCTCCGAAAAGCAGTTGGATGATATCAATTGTGGGAGTTGTGGAGAAATATGCGGGGGAAAGGCAGAAGGCGGGGGGATTCCGGGGGCTTGGACCCCGGCGGGTAAGATGTTTTCCGGCGAGGATGGGCAGCATCCCGGGGTATCTGCGTGCCCCGTTTTGATTATGTATAATTGATTTGCTGATGCAATTTTTCGATGAATGTCTGGGCGCGTTCCTCTCTTGCCAAAGTGACGGTCATCCAGACAAATGACACTTCTATCATGGTAGCAGTGGATAATTTCTCCCCACTCTACCAAGATCATTATTCATCCATCATGTGATAGAAAGCACGCATCAGCTGTTCCGAAGAATACCATACAGCTTATGCTTTGAATTCATTTCTCTATCAGCATACTGGAAAACAGTACATCATCTCACCAAGCAGTCCTTAATAATCTATAACCCTGCTTCACCCCATCAAACCATCATTTGAAACCACCCCATCCCTAACACCACTCAACCAACACGCTGTCTCTCAACCCACCCCGCAACAGCCTTCTCCCAACTCAAAACCCTCACCCCCCTAGTCGACAACCTCCTCTCAACCTCCCTCTCCACCTCCACCGCCATCTTCCCCTCCTTCTGATCATCATACGTCGAATGCGCCCCCGCCAACAACGTCACCCTGAACCCCGCCGCCAACGCCCCCGTACACGTCGCCTCCACACATGCCTCACTCTGCAACCCAAACACCACAATATCCGTGACCCCTGCTGCACGGAGCTTCTGTGCCAAGTTGCGGTTGGATTTGAATGTATCGCCTGTCACCACCACCCCAACCACCAAGCTCATTAGCGTATATTCAGCACCAAAGGTAACATAAGGTCTTACCTGTAGTCTTAGAAACCAAAACCTCCTCCTCAACACCATCCCTCGGACCAAAAGCCAATTCCCACGCCTCACTCCCCTTAATCAATGTTCCGCCCTCGGTGGGAGATTCCTCATGTTGCACGAAGACAATGATGGATGGCGAGGGACGGTTTGTTTCGCGATGGGCGTCGATGATCGAGCGGGCGGTTTTGAGGATTTCGGTGGATGCGGTGAGAATGCGGTCGGCGTGTGGGATGCGGGTTTGTGGGTTCAGGGAGAGTTCGTTTTGGATGTCGATGGTGAAGAGGGCGGTTCGGGAGGACATTTTGTGGGTTGTTTTGTTTTGTTTTGTTGTGATGGGTTTGAGGGAGGATGTTGATGGTTCGAGGTGGTGGAGATGAAGAGGAGGTGAACTTGAGGATGGGAGGGAGGTAAGTTGGCGAGGGGCAGCTGGCAGCTGGCAGCTGGCAGCTACGCACGTGTTGGACTGGCTGGAGGATGGAGATTGGGGCTGGGGCTGGGGCTGGGCAAGGCGGGGCTGGGAGGACCCCGCGCTTAGTGGCGGATATCCTCTCCGGTGGGAGCTGAATGTACCTGGTACCTGGTCATAAATATGGATTGGTGGTAAAGGCTAGGTATTTGCTACCATGGTTGACATCTCGGCAAATGCTTGATTTTCAGGATCGGCCGTCATGGGATTGCCCCGCTATGATGTGGCTTGGGTCATTGGGCTAACGTTGGGCTAGCCCTACATTACTAGGCCGCAGAGGCAGTGAGCTGATAATGACTGATTATTATTTGCAGAGCCATCACTATATACGTCACAATCATCCTAGACAATCCTAGTTTATATTTATAGAGAATCCTCGCCCTCCCCCTCACCTCCCAATACCCAGGAATAGGCCCGACGGTAACGATACCGGAACAACCCCATACACAGCCAGATTATACTGCCAACAGCCAAACTCACAGCAAAAATGCCAACCACCAGTAAATTCGCCGGCCGCAACTCCTGAGGACCAGGAGCCAGCAAGACAACTGGATCATCCGCCTGGGGCATCTCAACCCCCTCTGGCCAGTACTTCGGCGGATCACTACGAATAACAGACGAAATATCCAACGTCTCACCCTTACCATCGACAGCCTCCACAGAAACCCAGTCCATGTATCCCTTTGCAACAAACGTACTCTCAAACCCCTTCTTCGGAATCATCCCTATCTCCACATCCTCACTGGTTGCATTAGCCCGAGCCCGAAATCGCCAGGATTTCACCTCAGTCGCTCCGTTCCAGCTGACGTGGAACTCGGTCGTTAGATCGGATAACTCGGTTCCACGAACTGATGCCACCAGGGTAGGTGGTTCAGTTGGCTGCGCCGTCCAGGGATACTTATAGGCTCGATAATTGCCGAATCTATCGCTGGCGAAGCGTGCTTCCATGAGGAGTCTCCCGTCGTGATCAAACTCGCTGATATAGCCGTAGTCACTCCACGAAACAAAGAGGTTATTGTTCGGAAGAAGCTGAGTACTTCCACGCCGACGAGTAAGCTCGCCATCCGGACGGAAATATCGGTTCAAAAGCGTGGCCGTATACGCAACCAGATCCAGTTCGACGATCATGGCCGACGAGACGGTCTCATCGTCGGACAGCTCATCGGCCCCGTTGTCCAAGAACGAGATCACCATGCGTTCACTGGTCTGCCTGATGATCCTGGCATCGTGCTGTTTCGAGAATATAAAATCTTTCTCGAAGGAATTCCTCTTCCCGCCCAATCTCCACACAATCCTCCCATCCCGACCTGAGATGAAGTAGATAGTATTCGTATGCCGACACGAGAGCAAATAATCTCCATCTGTGGTCTTCTCAACCGAATTCGCATGGATATAATCCGCCGCATCATCTGGCGGTCCCATTTCTACTGATCGATACGATTCCCCCAGGGAGATCTTCCCCTCCGAATCCCACTCAAACACCACCTCTGCAGTCATGTAATCAACATCTCGGAACCCCTGGAACTTAACCAGCCTGGACACACCCGGGAGGCCTATCTCCGCGAGATCGACCACCTTTTGCCGATGATAAATAGTCAGGGCTTTTCCGGGCGCGTACACATAAAACTCATGCTTGTCGTTGACGGGTATACTCCCGACCACTTCGTAATTATTATTCAGAACCGTCCCATTGGCGTTCTCCAGATCGAGTCCGATACCTGTCTGGATAATTAACGAGAGTAGTGGTTTATCAGAGTTCTCAACGACACGTAGATCGAATGCGTTCTGGTTATCTGTAAATTCGGTTCCGGTCCAGACCAATTCCTGTGAATAATACATTAGCTTGTTATATAATGGAAGATCAGATGAACATACAGCATCTTGATCGAAAATCTGAGGCCCGATCTGATAGGGCATCCACCGGGTGGTATATGGTTCACCGGCGGTTACCCAGTAGGGGGCTACGAACCAGTACCCGGGGGCTCGTGATTGGGGATCATAGTGGGTGATGTTCCATTTTATGGTGCGGTGGTTGGGTAACTGATTTGTGTTAATTAGTCGGCAGATAGGATGGGATGGGATACTGACTGTCACATAGGAAACCAGGTCTGAGTCGTCTGAAGGAGTGAAAGCAACTGCGGTGGTGAGGAAAGGAGCGAGGGACCAGAGAATGGTTAGGTTGTGGGGAGCCAGTGACTTCATGATGGAATTAAAAGGATTGAGGAGGAGGGAATATATATATATTAGTTCATCATGGACATCAAGAAAAGGTGGAATAAAAGATTGTATGATCCCAAGGATTGACATGGGGTGAAAGGGGCAAATGTTCCCCTCAAAAGCACCCCCGATAAAGTTCTCAGATGGATGGAAGAACGCAGGCTTTTATTCGCTTGGACGTCGCTTCTTTTGCCCCGAAGCATCGACGGGTGGGTCGCAATGGGCCAGAACATCATTGCTGGCCATTCAAATCAGATACGGTGATTCAATGCGAGAGACAACGTTTGAACGCGGACCAGTTAGTTACTGTTAAAGACTGATAACAGGTCCATAATTGATTGATTGACGTTGAAGTGATGCTATAGTAAACATCAGGAGCAGCAGTGTCACTCGACTATAGCGGCCATCAGGTACCATCGCTGCCCTCGGCAGATCATCTACGCCTGTTCCAATGACAGCAGTGCTGGATCCAACCTCTCAGCTGCACTCCGTGCCAGAGCATCAATCGACGAACCCCCCAGCAGCTGCAGCACCGGCATATCCACTCCAAGCTCCTTGACGAACCAAACCCGCAGATCGACCGCCACGAGCGAGTCAACCCCCAGTTCCGTCAACAATGATGTGCCAGGCAGTTCCCCATCGACCGGCAGATGAAGCTTCTTCCGCAATTTGATGCGGAACCCCGTCGCGATAATATCCACCACTTGCCCCAAAGTGCCGGCCGACTGCAGCTGCACCTTGATGGGCACCTGGTCCTGGTTGGCCTCCAGGACCTCCGACTGCTGGAAATATTCTATGTAGGGCCACAGCACCGGATTAGAATACCACAGCACGTCTGGATATACCGCAGGATCTGTCATGGCAAGGCCACCGATGATGGCCGGTGTGCGGTTGGAATCAGGGCGGCCAGCTACCACGGCCTCGGCAAATAGCTCCAGCAGATCACGCTCGGAAATACTAAGATTGCCGACGTTCTGGGCCAGAACATCCATCAAATGCGAATCCATGCGTGCCACATATCCGATGCCGCGGATCTCACCCGGATGGATGATGCTGCCCACCTGGCCGCGGAGCCGTCGCTGATGCACGAGACCTGACATGAACTCGGCGGCCGCAGCATACGCCGTTTGGTTGAAGTTTCCAAATACACCAGCAAACGAACCCATCAGGATGAAGAAGTCGAGATCGTTATCCTGGTAGAGCTCATCCAAAATCAAGCTGCCCTCGACCTTTGGTTTCAACACATGGAGAACGTCTTCCAGCGCCATATCAGCAAACAAGGAGTCACGAAGGACCATCGCGCCATTGACAACACCACCAACAGAGGGAAGCTCCGCCAAAATGCGATCATGTACCTTTAGAACCGAGGTACGGTCCGAGACGTCCCTAAAAGTGTTAGCAAGGACATGTGCTACCTAGCAAGTAGGGTCAACTTACATGGCCATAACGGCGACACGGGCCCCAAGTGCTGACATCTCCTCGAGCCATCCAGGATCAATGTTCGGAGATCGACTGGTGAGAACTAGAGAGCGAGCGCCCCGGGTGATCATCCAATGACACACCGATCGCCCAAGATCACCAGTCATCCCGACCAGCAGATAGGTTTTATGGGCGCTCAATTCAACTAGGGAACTTGCAGATGGCGTGTATGCCGACACCTGCCCTGAATGCACCCAATCGACAATCTCCGACCGGTAACTGCTGGGCGAATATCCTCCAATGTCCTCTGGCTTGACTGTGACAACAGCGGGCCGTGAACCGATGCGTTGCTCCGCGAGAAGGCAGGAAGATACCAGAGCATCCTTACCGAGTATAAATCCATTTGCTGGGGCTAACGGAGCTCCATAGAAGTTTTGTACGCCATAGGTTGCCACGGTAGAAGGCAGCGATGACTGGATCCGAGTGTCTGGCTCAGACCCAAACGTAGCGAACACCGAGACGCCAGCGGGCAGTAGGCGGGAAATCGCACGCGATGAGCTCCGGGGCGGGATTGTTACCATCGCTGGACTTTGATAGGGATTCTTGATCCTTGTAGTAAAGCGTACCCTGACGCCCTTAAGGGAAGCTATGGCGGCCAATGATTCTTGAAGCGCACCAGAGGCTTCATGGACAAGGAGCGTAGAGTTGACCGGTGTCTTGCTGACCAGCTGCCGTGCAACCATAGCCGTAGATATCTCATTCAAGAAGGTCGCCTCATCCTCTTCAGCAAGCCAAGTGGGAGCACCCAAACACCAGGACACCGGAGTCGAAACAACCGAGGCATGGTCGACGGACAAAGCCACAACCCGCGCTTTGGTCTTCTCATTCTGACCCAGGATCACATGTAGAAACGTGCCATCGATGCAGACTCCGAAGAGAGTGGCATAGTGGACCTGAACGCGAACACAGGGCTCGTGAGCCATTTCGTTTGAAGGATCCTTTAGGGGGTACGACGCCAGGGAGAAATTGCTACCATCAGGCAGAATCTGCACACGTGCATGTCGGGGCTCGACAGAGTCAGAACTGGAGAACCCTCGACTAGTCAGAAGTCGATGGTTCATCGCATTGCTACTCCGCATGCGGGGAATCTTCAGTGTCCCGTCATCATCCACCCGAAGCTCCCATTCTGGGCTCTCAGTAGAGTTCGCGAGTGTATAGTCATTGCCAACCTCAATATGCGCTAGCCGCATGAGGGCTGTGGCGATAACGACTTCTGGTGATGATACGGCGTCGGGATCCTCGATGCTGAGGTGCTGGAATAGAGCGTGAGAGTTCTCATATGATTGACACCGTAAAAGCCCTTTTGTCATGCCCACATACGGATCCTGGCCCGGTCGTCCTGTCGCAACCCACAGGAGCTTGCTTGCAGTTCCAACCAGTGCCTGCAAGCTGCGCAGCCGGTCCGGTGTGAGGCCCTTCAAGCAGGGTTTATCCATGTCGGTCAGAGTCAAAACGATCGGCAGGGATGCATCAGACGGAGCATCGAAAGCCTCAAGAGTGGCCACGTGGGTGATGCGACCAAAAAAGGGCGCTATGAGCTCTCGGACTGCGGAAACTAGACACTCCGTCGCTGCGGTCGCACCCCCCAGCAAGATGAGGTCGGGGTATTGACTGTTAGCGGGCACCGACAACGGATGCTGCAAGCGCTGAATGTGGTCGTCGACAGCCTGTGCAGTAAAGGCCGACAGTCCTAGCAGCTTGGATTCCTCAGGAGGCGAGGCGGTCTCCAGTCCACCAAAGCCTGAGTTCCGGAGGACTTCATCCCAACCATCAGTAGACAGCAAGGGGCCCCATTTCCTCCCATCGGGTTCTCCTAGCCACCATCCCTCGAAGGCGCCAAAGATGAACGAAAAGGTGAGGGACTCGGTGTCCGTCAACTCCAGTATAGCCACGCGCCCACCAGGCTTCAACAGTCGTCGGACGTGCGTCATGGTTTTTTTCAAGGAACTGGTGGCATGCAGCACGTTGCTCGCTATCACCAAATCATACGCATGCTCCTGGAATCCCTGCTCCGTGGGATCCTGCTCAATGTCCAGCACCTCGTAAGAGAAACGATCTTCATGTTTGACAAAAGTATCTTGAGCGTCCTCGAAGAACGCAGCAGAGATATCGGTGTAGGTGTAGGAGTGATAGTCCCGTCCAATTCGATTCAGCACCATTCGTGTCGCTGAACCAGTCCCCGCTCCTACTTCGAGCACTTTTGCTCGAGGAAAGCGAAAGGCTAGCTGCCCGACAAGTCCCGCCAGGTTGCGTGTCATCGTGTGAACTTCATGGCCCTCGCGATAGATTCGACCTAGGAGATCATCCCGGCGTAGCTCTTCCATGATGCTGGTTTGGCCCCGTAGCCAGCCTAAAAGGTTTCCGCCTGTCACATGCAATCCTGTAACGATGATTTCATTGGCCTTCGTATCTTCTGGCGTGATGACCGATTCAACGTCGCCCTCCAGCCATTGAGCAGGATACAGGGGGTGATCCCCCGCAGAAATCCGGGCCAGGACCCAATCCATCCACTCCACATAGCGACCCCGGTGCCAGTCCAGCTGCTGGCGATCCTCTGTTGTCAGCTGCTTCTGGGTATCCCTTAAGTAGAGGAGAGCGAGACGATCCCCCTGAAGCCGGAGCGAGTGGAAATCTGGAGTGCCCACTGAACTCGACAACGTCGCGTTTGGAAGCAATGGACCCCAAACCTCTTCCGCGAACGAATCTATGGTGGGCCGGGAGAGAGGGGCAATGTGGACCCCCTCGATTTGAACAACCCCATCACCTTGGGGGGTGAACAGATCGACATCGCCGCGCATCCCGGCATTGTCAATCCCGGACAACGTGGCCTCCACCCCGAACGGGCCATGGAAGACATTTTCGGTCGCCCGGCAGAACGCTGGGTTGATCGTCGTCCGTGCTATCTTAGTAGGGAGATAGAGGCCGGATAGCTGGCCGTCGCCGGGATGTCCGATTGTCGCAATCAGTGCCTGGAGGCCAGTGTCCAGCGTAGCGGGGTGCAACAACAGTCTCGAGTCGTCCTCTCTATCGTGGGCCGGTATAATACCAGATGCGACATCTTTAAGACGCTTGATATCTTGAAGAGACCGGAACAATTTGTTATAACCATAGCCGAGCTTCTCTAGCTCTCCATAGAAATGGTCGGAATCCACCGAGCGCATCCCAGGAGTCGGTGGCCCTCGTGGTGGCAAGAGCGTCGCATCCAGCTCGCCAAACGCCACCTCCATGCGGCCAGAAGCACAGCAAGTGAAGGTCCCATCGAAGCTGGCCTGGCAAGTAAAGGTACCCGTCATTGTGTCATCATTCCCGCTGGTGCGGTAGAACGTAAAGAGCGTTTCCATGCCGGGAGCGTCATCAGGTACGGAAATGGCGCGGTCAATGGTCAGTTCATGTATTTCAACAAGGTGTAGGGGGCGTTCATTCGCGATGATGCGGGCAGCCTCCAGGGCCATGACGAGGTATCCCGTGGCGGGAAACACGACGTGGGATTGCACCTGGTGTCCATCCACCCATTCCAGGTCCTGCGCCCGCAGGTAGTTGCGCCAGCGCCACTCCGCCTCGCCGGTTTCTGGAGTGATGGCCCCAAGAAGGGGGTGAATCGGGAGGCGACGATTAATGCGCGCGGTGGACAAGCGCGGGACGCCCCAGTACTTCTGACTATGGTCAAACGGATAAGTGGGCAGATCCGGCAGATACTTCGGTTCGATAGAGGGAGAGAATAGCTGGAGGTATGGTAGAATGTCCAGCATTTCCGCCCCCAGATACGCCCAGAAAGAGCCCACCGCGCGTGACAGGGCCTCAATGCCGCCAGACTTACGATTAGCCAGCCCAATATAAGGAACATCGGCGTCATCCGGTTTGATGCTTGACAGCGTTTGCAAAGTGGGACCCTGAAGAGCAGCATGAGGCCCCACCTCTATAATCATGTCGAGCTCTGGGATGTCTTTCATGGCCGCTGTCAATGCCTGCGAAAAGTTCACCGGGCGAAGCATATTATCACTCCAGTACTGGATGTCAAGGCTTTCTATGACCTGGTTTTCAAAGACGCTCGAATACCACTTGGTGGTAGACGAGCCCTGGAGTCCCTCAATCTGGCATGTTTTCATGGCTTGGATATATGGGTCGGCGCAGGGAATCATATGATGCGAGTGGTAAGCGGTATCGACACGCAAACGCCGTGGTGATTGGTCAAGGCTCTCAAACAGCCATTCGAGTTCAGATATGAGTTCGCTGTCGCCCGAGAAGGTCACGCTAGAGGGAGAATTTACCGCGGCGACACAGACCCTCCCAGAGTAGGGCGCCTCGCTACATATTGCTTGTGCCTGTTCCCAGGAGATACCAACAGCCAGCATTGCGCCTGATTGGCCTGGAGAGCCAGCATGCTGTGCAGCCACTCCACGTAAGTAGGCGACCCGAATGGCTTCACCCGCTGTCAGCCGTCCCGCAGCATAAGCCGCCGCAATCTCGCCAGATGAATGTCCAACTACCGCTGCAAAGTCTATGCCAAGTGACCGCAGGATTTTGACTTGGATTATCTGTAGGGCTGTACGCAGTGGTAGCGACACCGCTGCTGTATTAAGCCGAGAGGTGGCCTCTGGAGCGGATAGTTCATTAAAAAGGGTGAAGGTCGGCCGGTACTCTGTTGGGAGGGTGTCCAAGGATTGCTGGAGCTCTTTTAGCCAGCCCGCTGCCTGAGGACATTGAGAGACTACGTCTAAGCCCATCTGGGGCCACTGGGCTCCCTGACCTGTGAAAACACCAAATATCCTCTTCGGCTCAGCACCGACACGTCGTGTGATCGTGGATGATGTATCACCAGGGCGTTTTTGTATTTCGCCGTTTAGTGCCTCGCGAAGGCTCTCTACCGAGTCTGCGGTGAGGATCAGACGATGAGTCAAGCTGGATCGCTTGGAAATGAGAGAAGCGGCCAGCTCCAGCAGGTCTAACGTAGGGCGCTCGTCCAAATAGTCGACGTACTGCTTCAGGACCGCCGTGAGTGATGCTTCAGATGCAGCCGAAAACACAAAGGGGAGAATTGCCGGTATAGTAGGCTCGCGGTGCGGCTGGATCTGCTCGGGTCTGGTGAAGCTCTCCAGAATGACATGAGCATTGGCACCACCAAATCCAAAAGAATTGACTGACACACGCCGCGGTGTTCCGGGAGGAAGCTTTGGCCAAGGAATGGGTTGAGTGGGGATGCGGAGGTGGGAGGCATGTGGAGCCACTAATGGGCTAAGTTGGTTGAATAATAGATTTGGTGGTATAACACCATGTTGTATAGCCAGAGATCCTTTAATAACACCCGCCAAGCCAGCCGTGGCTTCTGTATGCCCAACCACCGTTTTGATGGATCCAGCATACATGATATCGTCCGCCTGGGACTCTTCATTGAAAAAGGCACCGGCAATCCCAGATGCCTCTTGTGGATCTCCAGCCGGAGTTCCTGTCCCATGGGCCTCGAAGTACTGGCAACGATCTTCCGGGCGAAGGGGGTCCAGACCTGCGCGCGCATAGGTCGAGCGAATCAGCTCCAGTTGCGCCTCACCATTCGGCATGGTCAGGGCCTTGGTACGGCCGTCACAGTTGATCCCTGTAGAGCGAATAACACATTCAATCGGATCACCATCAGCCACTGCATCTGACAGACGTTTCAGCACCAGCGCAGCCACCCCTTCACCGCGGGCGTAGCCATCCGCAGCTTGATCCCACATGCGGCTGCGACCCGTGGGTGACAGCATTTGCATCTGAGACTCCCCAATATAGGGATCCGGGGAAAGGATCAGGCTGCTGCCTGCCGCAACCGCGAGCGAGCAGTCGCCATTCTGCAAAGCCTCCGCCGCCAAATGCAGAGCTGTGAGACTCGCGGAGCATGCTGTGTCGAGGACAAAGGAAGGCCCGCGCCAATCAAAGAAGTAGGACAGACGGTTGGCGAGTACCGCGGGAGCCGTGCCCGAGAGCAAAAAAGGATGCAAGGCACTCGTGTCCGCATTGAGTAGCTGGCCGTAGTCATAATTCATGAAGCCACAATACACCCCTGTCTGAGATCCCGTTAAACGTTGCAGTTGAAGCCCAGCCCTTTCAAGTGACTCGTACACGACCTCCATGAGCAACCGCTGCTGGGGGTCCATTGACGCTGCCTCCGCAGGAGAGATCTTAAACAAGGGGGCGTCAAACGTCCGGACATCCTCCTGGAGAAAGTATGACTCTGGGGCATTTGTCATGCCTGGACGGGCCTTGCCGGCCTGGTAAAATGCATCTATGTTAAACCGGTCGGAGGGGGGTTTGGATGCGACATTGTGTGGATTCTGGAGGAGTTCCCAGAGTCGAGACGGAGTGGAGGCCGAGCCTGGGAATCGGCAGCCCGTGCCGATGATGGCAATTGGCTCGGCTCGTGTCATACTGACAGGGTTTTATTATAAGAGAAAGAGGAATTGGAAACGAAAGGTGGTTGGAAGGTCGAAGAGAATCCAAATCTGGGTGGGTTCGTGGTATATCATGTAAATCTGCCAGGTGGTGAGCCTGGGAGCAATTGTCTGCCGATTATCGGACTCATCCTCCAACTCTCTCCATTCAGCTCTTGACTTTCCCCGCCATTTTGCTTCTTCTGCCTCTTGTTTTGATTATTTCTTCCATAGATTGTTGGGAGTAATCCCCGCCCAATGGGGTTCGGCCAAAGCGTCTCCGGACGGAGTTATTATTGAACGACAGTTGCGAGCAAACAACAGAAAGAACGATGCATTCCTATTCTAATTGGCTCTCTGTGTGCGATAACGACGCAAGGTGCATCGGAGCTAGCAATCCTTTTCCAAGGTCTCCGATTTGGAAAATTGGTTGGGTTAGGACAGCCAGCGGGCGATCCGGATCGCCGTCATACGGCGAAGTATAGCGGCCATGCTGCAAGAATGAAAAAAGAAAAACCTGAAATCGGCTTGCCCGGCCAGAAAACCCCTTTTTCTCAGGTAATCTTCCTGTCGATGGTTTGATGGGCTACCACTGCCCCAAGTCATAATTGCACCTTGATCCCTTCACGTTGAGCAATTCATTGGAGATTTCATTCTCAGACGCTCAGTATGGCAAAAGGATACGAGGCTTATTCGAGCCTATTGCTCCAGGCCTATGACATCCTTGTTCATTGGTTCAATGACAATTATGTATGGCGGTGTCCCCTGCCCGTACTCAATGCCTTTTTTTCAGCCAACGTCGGCCCTCGCCATATGGACATCGGTGCTGGTACAGGGCTCTTTCCTCTGAACCATCGTGACAAAATGCGACAGAGTAGCCAAGACTGGCCTCTGCACTTGACCCTCGTCGACATGAACACTCTATGCTTGCAAAAGGCTGCCAGCCGCATTGGCTGCCCCAGCAAGACCACTTGTGTTCAAGCAGATGTCTTTGAACCATTCGCTGTTCCAGTCGCTCAAAGCGCACTCGCGGCACCACCCAAATTTGACTCAATCTCGTTGATGTACCTGCTGCATTGCCTACCACCACCATCCGATCATAAAGCCACCGTGTTTGCTCATCTGAAAGATCACTTGACGACCGAAGGGACCTTGTTTGGTGCCACCGTCCTGGGAACTGGAGCGCATCACAATTTGCTCGGACGGTTGACCATACGCTTCTACAACTGGAAAGGGATATTTGGAAATAAGGACGACAGTCCAGAAGTATTTGTGAAGGCGCTGGAGAATGAGTTCGAGGAGGTCGAGACCCATATTGTGGGGGTGGTGCTGCTTTTCCGGGCTCGTAAGCCCAGGTTGGCCTAAATGTGTATCTAAGTACTTCCAAATCTGAAGTTCGAGCTTAGCAGAGCATTGTATGCTGTTGTCAATGCATTGAGTTTCTTCGATACGGATCCCGCTGAATCGTTTGCTTATTCTTGTTGAATGGACGATCTGATTGTATCATCAGGTCATGAATTCAAGATACCTTCATTCTTCTCGCATACCTAGGTAGCCACTAGGAGAATGTGATGCGGATTGGCCAATATCGACACTGCTGTTGCATACTTAGCCGTTCCGACATTGACGACAATCTCCCACAAGTGACACCGAATGGAGCGGGGATGGCAATGGGTCCCTGCCTTGATGCGGCATCCTTCGGGCCTAACCAGAGGGACTAACTGCATAGCTGATCGGGTGGGTCAGATTCCGGATCGGACCCGCGACCATCGGACGGTTATTCCAGCACGCTGATTTGTGGGTCGCTTCTGATCGACAACAAGATCAGGACTGGGTAGATAGCCCTGAGATTAGCGCCGGAGGCGGGTTTATTTTTCGCGCGTGTGCCGTCAGACAGGGTGGAGATAAGAAGGCCAGCCTTTGCTGCCTGGTCCATGGCTACTATCTGTACTGAGAACACCGAATCCGTCGATCGGCATGGACCAGAACCCGTGCCAGATCCAGTCAGGGCCCGAGACGAATGAACCATCAACCCCGCTCATTCTCTTCCATGATGCGGGAGGCACGGTCTTCCCGTATTTTTGCCTCGGAGACCTGCATAGGCCGGTTTACGGCGTCGGAAACTCCCGCTTCGAACAGGGAGGCAAATGGGGCCATGGCATTCGCGAGATGGGTGTTGTTTATACACACATGCTCAGGTCGGTCATTGGGTCGGGAAACGTCATTTTGGGAGGTACGTCGTCATCCAGTCTCGAACAGAGCGTCGGGCGCTAACCATGACCTGCTTGACTGAAGGGTGGTCGCTCGGTGGCTGTGTGGCTTTAGAAGTTGCCTCCCGACTGATGCAACTCCCCCAATACACGGTGCGTGGAGTGATCATGATTGACAGCGTCTTCCCGACTCCGACAGTCACAGATCACTATCCACGGACGATTGCCGAGGTTGGTTCCAGCTTTCAGCTGCCGAACCAGATGTCCGAGACCCGGCGGACCCAAGCACAGCACTGCATCCTGCACGCCCATGATATGCAGCGTGACTGGCGACCTCCGCGGTTTGCATCGGGACCGCCCCCGACAGTGCTCATGCGGGCGGCTGATCCAGTGCATATTGAACCCGAGAAAGCCCCTCACTATATCGACCTGGTGAGAGGTTCATCGTATCTGGGGTGGGAAGAGTACGACACCAGCTTCATCCAAGCATGTTTGGGTATTCCGGGAAATCATTTTACCCTATTCGATGACGCCCATGTTTGTTTTTCTAGACGCCTGTGTCGATCTCGCTGACAGTTGCTGCAGAGCGACCGAGCAACAACTCAAATCCGGAAGGCATGTGCGATGCTGGTTCCTTCACAATGATAGATCCTTAATATGGTCAAGTGGTTCAAGTGGTTGGGTAGATCGGCAGTGGATTCCCAATAGATCGAGCGTGCCGCCGATCTCCCGCCAATAACTAGGTCCGTGAAGAAGGCGGGCCGGCTCAGATAGGGTACCAAATCTACCAATAGCACATCGAGTATTGAACATGGGGCCTATGTTATCAAGTGGGTTATTCTGGGCTGTGCTCAAATTGGATGTGATGTACGGAGTGCATAGATAGGTCCCATATGACTCATGAGCAGCAAACGCTGGGCGGTGACGCGCCTGCTAGGGCTTATTTTTCTGAGACATGCATTAGTGCCGACCAGGCGAATCCCGCCACCATCGGGCGTATTTTTCAGCTGGTGGCAATTAAACGAGTCCAGGCGCTTTCCTCGCCTCATGTCCCTAATCCGCGACTGCTCCGAGCTTGTTCGAAGGTTTCATGCTTTTCCAAATTAGTCACTTGGAAGGCCGTCGACTTCCCATCCAGAAGGAGCAGGGAACCAGACGAGTAATTATATATAGGCTTGGCAGGCCACAATACCGATTCCTGGAAGGACTGCAAACCTGAGTTATCCATTTATCCCGATAAATTTGCTATGCTCAACAAATACATTCCTGAAGGCCACCTCGAGGCAACCACTGCACACTGGAGCGACTTACAAAAGGTGCTTCGGGATGGCGAGCTTGAAATCGATGGTAATGGTCTCACTCTTGCCGGTGTTGTTGCGGTAGCCAGGTGAGCCAACACAGCGATCATCGTTACCTACCGCGCGAATGGAAGTAATAGTTGTAGGTACGGCTGCCAGCCTCGCCTTACCGATAAGGCTGAGACGATCGATGCCATCAATGAAAGTGTGGTAGCACTGGCGGAATTGATCCGCGATGGAAATCATATTTACGGTGGGCTGCACATGGCGTCACATGTTAAGTTGTATACTGACCGACCAAATTCCAAAGGGGTAAATACCGGCTTTGGTGGAAGTGCTGATTCCCGCACAAACCAGACCACCACGTTGCAGAGCTCCCTACTCCAGCTTCTCCAAAGTGGTATCCTTACCGACTCCGATACAAACAGCAAAGTTCCGCGACCCAATGCGCAGGGTCCTGGGCCTCACTCTATGCCTTCGGAGTGGGTAAAGGCCACTATGCTTGTCCGAAGCAATTCAGTGGCGCGAGGACATTCTGCCGTATCCGTGCCGGTTATTAGCGCAATCATACGGCTGCTTCGCGAGGATATCACGCCCGTGATTCCCCTCCGGGGAACCATTTCCGCGTCGGGTGATCTGATGCCGCTCGCATACGTTGTTGGGGCCATTGAAGGAAGCCCGGGAATATCCGTGCGTGTTGGTGGCCACCAGATAGTAACCGCTCAACAGGCTCTGCAAGCCGTTGGTGCTAAAGGAGTCACACTGGGGCCGAAAGAGGGCCTTGGACTCGTCAATGGCACGGCCGCCTCTGGTGCCCTTGCCGGTCTGGTGCTCTATGAGACGCATCAGCTAGCTGTACTCGCCCAGGCAGTCACGGCTCTTACAGTCGAGGCCATCCAAGGAAGCGTGGAGAGTTTCCACCCATTCATTGCCCAAGTCCGGCCCCACGCAGGCCAGATTGAAGCGGCGGAGAATATACTATCGGTTTTGAGAGGTTCTCAGCTTGTTAGAGGGAGCAGCGTCTCTCAAACCAGGGCCGGGCTTGTACAGGACCGATATTCTCTCCGGACGGCCAGTCAGTGGATTGGACCTCAATTGGAAGATCTTCTGCTCGCGGATCGGCAGGTCTCGGTTGAGCTCAACTCAACATCCGACAATCCCCTCATTGACGCTGGTGAGAGGACCTTCTACACTGGAGGTAATTTCCAGGCAACTTCAATCACATCCGCGATGGAGAAGACTCGGTTGGCATTGCAGATGTTTGGGAAGATCATGTTCGTCCAGTGCAATGAGATGATTGATCCCAATCTCAACAATGGTCTGCCCACGAATCTAGTCGCCGATGACCCTAGTCTTTCGTTTACAATGAAAGGGGTGGACATCAATATGGCGGCCTATATGTCTGAATTGGCGTATCTCGCCAACCCGGTCAGCACGCATGTCCAGGCTGCAGAAATGCAGAACCAGGCGCTGAACTCACTGGCATTCCTCTCAGCGCGGTATACCATGAAAGCGGTTGATATCGTCTCGATGATGGGGGCGTGTTCCCTTTACGTTGCATGCCAGGCACTAGACCTGCGCGTTCTGCAGCTCACCTTCTTTCAGAGACTCCAACAGACCGTCACAGAGACCACCAAAGAAGCCTTTGAACGGGTGCTTGAACCGCGTGAGATCGATACTTTAGCCCAACACTTGTTTGAAACAATGAAGAGCCACTGGCCCACGACTTCACGACTCGATCTGCGTGATCGGTGTGAGCGCGTGGTCGAGATGACCCTTCCCGTCTTTTTTGGAGCCCTGGTGCCACCCCATCGCCAAGATTCCCGACTCTTTGCAGCCATCAATGTGTGGAAGACCGTGAATTTTTCGAGGCTAGAAGCCATCTACCGCGATGTGCTCGCCGAATTCTGCGCCTCACAGCCCACTGCTGAACATCTCGGAGTGGGGACCAAGGCAGTCTACACAAGTATCCGACATGATCTGGGCATTCCTTTCCACCAGGGCTTCATTGAACATCCCTCGGCAAATTATGGCGAGTTGCCAGAGACAATCAATGGGAGAGCCAAGAAGACGGTTGGCGGTTGGATATCAGTTGTGTATGAAGCGTTGCGCGATGGGACCTTGAGTGGAACTATCCTTAGTGCTTTTAAACAGTAAGAGTCATCGTATAGAACAATAGTACCAGGTGTTTGCCATTTAGACACGGTGGGTCACCAGCTTCCAGCTCGATCCTCGAAGTTTGCTGAAGCGGAGGCATAATATAAGGTGCACGACGGTGAAGTGAAGAAGATAGTCAAACATCATGTCAAATGTCGCCCAAGCGAGGCAATGAAGAGCGAAAAGGAGAATATGTGGGAAGACTGGGTTGATTTCTGTCGAGTAGGGGAGCTGTGAGGTGTTTGAAAGGTGTTTGCATCTGCATTCGTCGCCAGAGGTAAAAGCCATGCGACGACGCCGGCGGCGTTCCTTTACTCCGTAAGCCCCGGCTTACTTCCGAGAGGCATGCTATAAGAGGCAATGCCGCTCCAGCACCTTTTCCTTTTCATCCTGCCATTCACCCTTCGTCCTTCGCCCGCCTGCTCCGGACTCGCACTTTACCATGAGCACTCCCCTCTCTCATGACGTGGTTACCTTCGCTCTGGAGGCCCAGGCGCAGTACGACCCATGTGAGCCCCTGTTTATCGATGCCCATGAGCCCGCCCGGTCCCTCAATGCCACCCAGTTCCGGTTCCTGGTGCACTCTCTCATTTCCGGGTTCAAGGCCCATGCCATGCAGCCCGGCGATTGTGTCTTGATCCATACTGGGAACAATGTATGTCTCTCCTCGTCTTGTATCCAAGCCCGGTCTTACCTCTTTTTCTCCCCTTTAGGTCCTCTACACAGCTCTCTTCCTCGCTATCATCGGCGCTGGTGGCGTCTACATGGGCTCCAATCCTCATAGCCAGGAGCACGAGTTGGACCATGTCATTGGGCTCACCCAGCCCAGATGGATCATCACAGAGCCCCATGCATACCCCACAGTGCTCAATGTTGCCGACAAGCACCACCTTCCAGCCGGCCATGTGCTTCTCCTTGACGATGCAACCCTTGCCGAGATGATTCGCTTTGTGCACACCCCATCCCTGACTTCTCGGAACACCGACAACACCAGTCTTCTCTCCCTCCTCTCGCATGGCACCTCACCCCCTCTCCTCATCCCCGATAAAGACAGAGCAGCTTCCACCCCAGCGGCCCTCTACTCTACCAGTGGCACTACGGGCCTCCCCAAAGCCGCCGTACTCACCCATACCTCTCTCATCGCCCAGCACGCCTCCATCACTTATTGCCCGTCGTATAGAGTAACCCGCCTCATGTCTCTCCCAATCTTCCATCTCTTCAGCTCCCTTTGGACGCACCTCTTCCCCCTCCGCTACGGCCACCCCCTTTATATCCTCCGCGAGTTCCAACTGCCTCTCTTCCTTTCCACCGTGCACCGTCATCAAATCAGCGAAACCTACCTCGTTCCTGCCATGGTGCACATGCTCAACCAAGCTCCTGACTCCCTCGAGCCAAAATCCAAGCTGACTTCCCTCCGCTACATCGGAGTTGCAGGTGCCCCAATCGACCGCGCCTCCATGACCACCTTCCAGGAACTCTTGCACCCGGATGCCTGCGCGGGCCAAGTTTGGGGGATGACAGAATGCGGGGTTGTCTTTCAACACCGCTATCCCTCCCACAGGAGAGCAGGACAGGGTGACCTGGGTAGCATTGGCCCGGTCACTCCAGGCTGGGAGGCGAAACTCGTTTCCGGTGCGTCTCGGGTCGAGGGTGATGAAGTGTCAGGGCAATTGTATGTGAGAGGTGCCGGACTGTTCACGGGATATTTGGGACGTAACGAGGCGATGGTCGATGATGAAGGGTGGTTCGATACGGGGGATGTGGCGTATGTCAAGAACGGGGAGTATTTCATCGTTGGTCGGACTAAGGAATTGATTAAAGTGCGAGGGTGGGTTTAAGTTGTCCCATTATTGATTCATAATGTGCTAACGGGGTCCTGTGACAGATATCAAGTCTGCCCAGCCGAACTCGAAGCCGTGCTTCTCCAAGACACGCGAATCGCGGACGTGGCGGTCATAGGGATCCGGCTTCCGGATGGTTCAGAGGCGCCGCGCGCGTATGTGGTACGGGCTGCAGGAGCTAAACTTTCGTCGGAGGAGGTATATTCGTTTCTACGCCAACGGTTGGCGGGGTATAAGGCGCTGGATGGGGGCGTGTTTTTTGTTGATAGGATCCCGCGTACAGTCAGTGGGAAGATTCAGCGGGGGAAACTAGCCAGTATGAATCAGCGGCGGGACGCATTGGCGGGGCTTTTGGAGAGGTTTCGGGGTAAGGGAGTTGTGGGAGCCAATGGAAGAGCGTCAGTGGCGGTTTAGCTGTTCTGTCGGGGATTCTGTTGGGCTGATGGTCATGTGACATTCAGTCGTCTTCATTCCTATTCGGTCATTCACCACCATTGCCCCATCAACCAGCACTCATTGTCCATCTGAGGTGAATCATTGTACGTAGGGTCAGAATGTGTGTTGAATTCAGTATATTACTATTTCACTTTGTTCATATGAATCTGGGAGTTGAGGAAGAAAACAATGCAGACCAAACCCGTCCGTGGCTAAAGTATATATACTACATATGTCTTGAAACTACTCTCACATTAACATTAACAGAAGAAAATCTTATTACAGTAGAGTGTACAAGGGGTGTCGTAGAAATTCCCTGGATCTATCATCGGTGCCTGTTTATATTACTCAAAGCATGGTTCTTACCAAGGTCGTTGCTATACGGGCAACACAGCGGCTGAGTTGGGTGGCTATGACAAGTGGGGCAAATCCCAATGAGCTGTAAAGTGTAGGAAATGACACGTTAACCAGCAATGGTGCGTATGCGTCATCCTGTTTTTATGTGTGTGAAGTAGGAAAAAGGGAATGGCTGTGGGCTGATGGAAGTGCAAGGCTGAGGCCAGACGGTCGGCGTCCCCAAACAGGCTTAGCGGCAACAGGCTGGTGCTGACCTTTTATACCTTCAACCGCCTTTCGTTCACCCAACTCTCACTTCCTCCCTCCATCTCTCCTAATACATCATCTTCCGTTTTAATTGACTCGAAATAATGTCGGACCTCGGTTTCCGTCCTGATCTCTTCCATCTGACTCTCCGTGACGCAGCATCATACTTCCAATCTCTTGTTACAGTCAACGACTCAGAAGTATGGGCAACCAAAGTCAATGCCGCTCTTCTAAGCTACGTCTATCATTGTGGTCTCATTCCACATAGCTACGGGGTATGGCTAACAGTTGCATCCGAGCGATACCCATTCCTCCTGCGTACTGCACTCCTGGACAAAACCTCTCGCGGCGTTCGCCTGGCGGGTATAAACAGTCTGAAAGTCGCACTTAAATCGCCCGCATGGCGGACACAATGCTGGGATGCAATTGGTGGAGCCTCTGGGTTGAAGCGGGTCTTTGACCACATCAGTGTCCGTGAGGTCAGGGCTTTGGCCAAGGTTATTGGTGGCTCAGCAACAAAAGACGACGTTCGATCACAAGCGGTGGAAGAACTTGTTGATCTCTTGATACCAGGATTGACAACAGACCAGAGCCCAGTTGTGGTTGGTCGGCCGCTGCTTCATGCCCTGATTCCGCTTTTCTGGGGTTGTCGCGATGCGTTTCTCGCCAAGGCGTTGTCGAACAGTCACGCGGATGAACTCCCCGTGGATTACATCCTCCAGCACCTCGGTAAATGCCGGACGAATTTCCTTCGACGAGTGGCTACCTGTGATGTCTCTTCCCATTCACATGTACGGAAGAGGTTGTTAGAGAGCGATCTCTTGCTACGCATTACCCGATCCTCAGAGCCTTATTCTGGATCTCAAAGCTATCGAAGCAATGCGCCAGTTCCAGGAGTGTTGGGCTTTGGCTTTGAGTTGGTGAGATCTTTTGGATTGAGACCACCAGACAGACGAACCGAGGAAACCATTCTGGAATCTTACGCAGCTATAATTGATGGGGCCATTCGCTTGAAAGCCGACTTCTCTGATGTCCTGGCCTTTCTTGAATCTATCATGACGACCAAGGACAGGATTAAAGCAGGATTATCAATATGGGAACGCCTCTTAGCTCAAGTGGTTCGGTTTTGGGCCACCGCGGCATACCCCGAGATCTCAATCAAGAACGATATCTCACCCGCCGAGCGTCAACGAGAGCTATCGCACCCATCTCGGCCGCAACCTACACACAAGACGAGATTGGAGGCTGTCCTCATAGAGGTTCTTACAGCAGTTGATGACGAGATCTACTACTTTACCACGCTTTCGAACATGCTTCGCGGTGATTTCCGTCCCTACATGGAGAGCATACCCCCAGAGGCACGATTGCCCTTGGCGAGATTGATCTTCCGTCACTACTGCAATCTCGGGTTTGATATCGACTCTCCAACTCCTTCTAGCAAAGAGACAGCCCTGTTGCCGTGGAGTGCCTATTTTATTCTCAGCCTCACAGAGGCCGACTCTAGAAGGATGTTCCAGCGAATCCAAAGCTCCTGGGGGCGCGAAATTGCTTTGGTATGTGACACACGGCAAGCTCCGTGGGTCAACTGGAAGGATGATCTCGCTTGGTTCAATGAAAAGCTGATTGAAGTGGACTGGGAATCCAGAAATCCCCATTGCGAGAATCAAAGTCCATTGGCATTGTCAGTGGTTGCTGACTGTAGACTGAGAGCAGAGAGGGCTCGAGATGGGAAAGAAAGACTGGATTGGGCCAAAAGAGCGATCGATACGGCCCTCATGAGTAAATCAGTTTTTGTTTATCGGGAAGCTGCCCAGTGGACAAGCCGCTTCGCACACGATCCGAACACAAGACAACCATTGGCTCAATGTATGTACTCGGAAGATGCGGCACTTGTGTTATCTATTGTTGAGCTGCCTCATCATTTCTATCCATCTCTCGAGACGCTCAAGCAATTGATCGGCGAGGCCAACTCGGTGCTCGCTTACCATGTTGAGGCCGCGCAGCAGATGTTGAGACAACCGTCATACAAAAATGGACAGGATTTGGGTCTACGACAACTAATTTGCTCGGTCGCGGAGCGACGTATCAACAAGCTCAAGCGCTTATACTACCTGGGCTTAGGTGACGAGGATCAGCTCGTTGAAGTCTTGCTTGAGTCGCTAGTGCCTGTCATTTTGAATTTCGAAAAGGCAGGAACGTGCAAAGGACGCGAAAGGCTGGGATGGAGCGGTCTTGGTGGTGTACTTGATAATATGGCGTGCCCACCCAGGCCGTGGAAAGGCATTTTGGTCTTCTTGGACCGATTGGCGGGCCATCGCGACACTATGTGGACAAAGGAGCGTTCGCAACGTGGGCCAAAATTGGCAACTCCGAAGGATGGATGGCCGAGCGGGCTCCCCATTCAGTACCTTTTGCCATCTGAAGACTGGACTTCTGCAGCACTAGCTAACGAAGATGCTGCTCCGTTCGTCTCTGTTCGAGTGAGGGATGTCATCTTCAGTGATCCCAGGACTTGCGCACACCAGATCAGCAATGAGACACAATCGCTCGGCTTATTTGCAGACAGTCTCCCGTTTTCCATCCAGTCATACGTTGGGACCGGTTCTCACAGGGAAACAAGGGCCGACCACGTTTGGAAATACTACCGTGACTCGACACCATCCAACATCGGCCATCAAGAGACGTTCAGAGATTGGTTTGTCGATCTTGCTCGATCGAGGGGCCTATCTAAACTACGGAATAAGCTTCGCCCAGCCCTTCCACTTTCCCTAATCAATTTTGGGGATTCTTCTTGTGATCATGTTGTGGAGTGGGATCCCAGATCAACCGAGGCACAGGAGGCACAGGAGGCACAGCCTCCGCCCGTTACGACACTCCAATATCGCTTCAGCGCCTCCAAGGAGGATGTTTCCCTTGAAAACTGGGCCGATCGTGATTTTGAGCCGGAGCCCTGGAAGACTGCAGACACAGATCTCATCGAACTATGGTCTTCGGGAGATAATTTTGCAAGATATTCCCTCCCTTCCCAAGAGGCGCTCGTGACATCTGTCCTTCTCTTTGTGGAGCAACAGGTTGAAGACCAACAAAGCATTTTATGTCAAGCCTTTCCCGAAACGAGCCCTTGCGTGCGATTTCCGGCAGTAAAGTTGAGCAGCCGCTTTCTGTCCGCTATTGATGACTCCGATACGGCTGTTGACGCTGCTTTTAGTGTCCTAGATAGGCTATTGACCATTGCACCATCCTCAATCCTCTATGCTCTGGGAAAGTCCCTTCAGAGGTCCCTGTTCCGGCTTCCAACTACATCTGCCAAATACCTTCTAGTTGAGCGATGCGCGTATCGCATCATGCAGTTGATTCAAAAGTCTGATCAACCCATATTAGCAGTTGGTCTTGGATTCAATGTCATCCAGGAGCTTCCTGATGCATCATCGAGACATCGAAGTGCCCTGACCTTCCCTCTCGGAAGGGCTTTGGACCACGAAAACGCCGAAACCATGCTACAGAAATTTGCTGACTTCATTTTGGGCTCGCTGAAGAAGCAAAATACCGCGGACAAAAGTCCAGTCAAAATTACCACCATCAAAATGCTGGCTCAGTTGGTAGCGCTCAGCAATTTTATCTCGACGGCATCTCAGATTAACATCCTCCGCTCCTTGTTTGAGGCCAGTGGACACATCGATGTACGTGTAGCGACCTGCAAGGCACTGTTGCGTGTCGCCGTTACCAATAGCGGCAACCGAGCGCCATATCAGCTCTTCAAAACGTGGACGCACGCTGCCGCCCGGCCAAACGAGAGGATCAATACGTCCGAAGAGGATTGGTTGAAGGCAGAGCAAGACGGTGACTTACCGGAAGTCAATGCAGATCGACCCCTGCTGAGCCTTTTCGCCGAAATGGCCCCCGAAATGCTTCCATCCAGCTACCTCGAAGACTACTTCCAGACAGCTCTCATTCCACTGGTCCAGGAGCTGAGTCGACAACATAGTCGCTGGATGCGTGCGTTCATTCGGCAAGTTGGATCCGTACCCGAAGGACCTTCCGTCGATAATATCGGGCCTTTTGATGACAAGTTGACCGAAAAGCTCATCGACCGTTGGTTACTATACCTCCCCAAATCCTTTCTCTTAGAGGATCGTATATCCGCATCTGCATATCTCTTCTTCGTCCAACACAAAGCCCTGAATGAGAGACTCAACTCCTCTGATAGCCCATGGCGCGGCACCAATGCAGCCAGCCACTGGTCGAAATTTTTCTCCGGGAACCGAACGTTGCATGAGAGTACCAGGCTGCGCAGGTTCCTGAAGGGAGATTTGGAATCCAGGATTTCCAATGGAATTAACAAAGAGGATGCCATGGAGGAGTGCTTCGAGCGTGCAGCCATCGCCACTCGCAACCCATATCGTTTCGACGAGGACTTCTACCTCCGTGTATCAAGCAAAACATCGGTACGCGAGATCGATCTCTTAGATCTCCCCAACGAACCGTCCCTGTATTCTTTAGGCCGAAGAATGGTGGAGTACGCTGAATCTCTGCGAACTGAGGAATGGACGCAGGATCCAGCCCGCAGTCCACCAATCCTCCCGACCCCATTTCAGATGCAGCTATACCTGATACCCTACCCACACCTCCACCCATTGGCCGAAGACCGGTACGAGAAATTTGCGACCTATGTCATTCGTCTCATTGACGAGCACATCCACGACCCCTCTCATCTTGCAAATGGTCATAAACTCAGCTATGCACTTGTCGAGGAAGTAAAGGAAGCAGACGTGTGCGCATGCATGCTGGCCATCGGACAGAATCTCCATACCACGCCGAACCCGCGCACGCAGTTCATCAGGGCTGACCTTGCCGAGAATCTTCTAGACAGGCTGGAGCGATACGAGTGGAATTCAGAGGTATTGTGTATGATTGGGGAATGGAAAGCAAGTCCTGTGGAGTGGGTGAGAGGAATTGGATGGAGTAACGACGGGCATGTTGAGAATTTGGTATTGCGGTAATACTTTTCGCAGCTCAGCTGGCAACTATTAAAGTAGCTATTGATACAATCACACCAACTTAATACTATAGCCACTGCACAGACACGCGTCCAACTATTAATAGATCACCCATGTACCTCCACCAGCCACTTCCACCATCATCATATAATAACACAAGAACCATGCACCTCGGGAAGCACAGACTACAGGCCACCCACTAGAGCCATTTTTTATGCACCTTAAGTATGCACGGACCAGAGCTCCGCACAGGATGGCTTGAAACCAGCATCCATTAACCAACCAGATCTGTATGCTATGGCCCTCAACTACTGCACGGACCATGTTACCACTCATCTCAGAAGCACAGACCATGCAAATGGGTCAAGAAACAGGGCGTAATGCACCTCCTGCTCTAAATATACGGGACATAAACCTCTCTACCCAATCATATCCTTTAGGGATAGGAGGTGCGGCATCTGGACATCCGATGAAGTCGCTCTAAAAGTGTGGGTCACATACAATGTTGACCAATGGGGTTTTGTTTGGGGGTGAGATGCTCATTCGCGGTGAGCAGACAAGCGATGAAGCCGCTCTAAGCATGCAGGGGTCGTCCCCCTCAACACGTAATTTCCCTTGTCGTTGTAGAGTGCGGTATCCAGACATCCGATCGAGTCGCTCTAAACATGTGGGTCTGCAGCTACTCTACCAATCACGATCCTCGTAGAGAGGAGATGTCAACTGCGGTATGTCTGCAGCCGATGACGTTACTAACACTGAACCAAGGTTTCTTTGCTACTGTGAGGAATTTCTCTATGTACACTACTAGAACTATTTATTAAACGCTATCACGTGAGTATGTCTCGGAGCCAGCTGAAATTGAGCCAACCTGCCCAGATGGTGTAACCGCGGCATACATGCTTTCCGATGAAGTCGCTCTAAAGCTGTGGGACTTGCAGTAAGTGACCAATCATAATAGCATATTGGCGGGGATGTGAACTGCGGTAAGCATGTATGTGATGAGGCCTGCAGGGCTGTCCACCAATGAGATGTGTTCTAGAGGCGAGATGTCAACTGCGGTATACATGCATCCGATGGAGTTGCTAAAGCCGCGGGTTACATGTTGCCTATGTCTGGGATGTGAACTGCGGTATGTATGCTTCCAGTAGAGGCCACCAATCATGGGCCTTCCAGAGGGGAGATGTCAAGTGCGGTATGTATGTTTCCGATTATAGCAAATTGCCTGGAAGAGATAGGTTATGTGTCTCTACCAATGGTAAGTCTCTCTCGGGGGAGATGTGAACTGCGGTATGCATATATGCGAAGAGGCTGTTCTCAGACAACCAATCACCTTTCTTATAGAGAGGAGATGTCAACTGCAACAAGCGTGTGTCCGATCATCGTAGTATGTTTCACTAGAAACACAACCCCTGCTTTCCTCAACCAATCAGAGCCCTTCTACAGAGGAGATGTCAACTGCGGTAATCATGTATCCGATCGAGCTGCTCTAAAACTGTAAACCCTGCATCTTTCAGCCAATTAGATTTGCTCTACGGGTGAGATGTGTGAACTGCGGCAAGCATAGATGCGAAAACGTCGCTCTACAGATTGTACCTACTGCCAATCAGATGGAGTCTACATCGGGGATGTGAACTGCGGTAAGCATGCGCCCGCAAAAGTTGCTCTAAAACATAAACCCTGCATCTTCCAACCAACCAAATCTCCCTAACAGAGGGGATGTCAACTGCGGCAAGTACACACCCGACAAGTCGTTCTAAGCATGCAGGGCTAACGCCTAGCCCCAATCATATCTCTCCTACAGGCGAGATGTCAACCGCGGTAAGCATATATCCGAAAGGCCACTCTAAAATCATGATCCCTGCTCCAGGCACCCAATCACATCGCCATAATCTCTGTAGGTATGAAGTGCGGCAAGTATAAATCCTACACAATCACTTTAAACCTACTAGTATAACCCCTGTACCTGTCCACCAATCATATCTCTCCAATAGACGGGATGTCAACCGCGGCGAGCATGTATCCGGCCAAGCCACTCTATTCATTAACCCTGCATATCCCTACCAATCATATCCCCTGTACTGGCGGGATGTCAACTGCGGTAAGCATGTGCCCGACACAGTGACTCCAAAATCTTGACCCCTATACTAATCACCCAATCGCAGCGCTGTGTCTTCTGTAGGTATACAGTGCGGCAAGTGTGTAACCTACATAATCACTCTAAACCCACATCTCCTATATCTATCCACCAATGATACCTATTCCACAGGAGAGATGTCAACTGCGGTGAGCATACATCCGATGAGTGCGGTAACCATTCATCCGGTGGAGTTGCCCTATGCATAATCTGTACCTCCCTACCCAATGACATCACTCCCGCGGGTGAGATGTTAACTGCGGCAACAGTGCACCCGAGAGCTGCAGCAAGCAGGCATCCGAATAAGTTGCTCTAAAGCTGCAGGCCTGCATCTATCTACCAATCATACCTCTTCCACAGACGAGATGTGTCAACTGCGGTAAGCATGCATCTAACAAAGTGCGGTGATCATCCATCCGACGGAAGTTGCTCTAAGTACTATGCGTGGCCTGTACCCCTATCCAATGACATCTCTCTGGCAGGCGAGATGTTAACTGCGGCAACCATACACCCGTCAACATTTCTCTGGGCATCAGCCTGTATCTATCCACAAATAACATCTGTTGGGACGGACTTTCGTTCCGAGGCCAGCGGTATATCGCTTTGGTCTACTGGTATGAACGTGACAACATCCCTTCTACAGGTGGGATGCCAACCGCGGTAACCATGTACCCGACAAGCGCAGCAATCATCCATCCGACAGCACTGTTCTGATGCTCTAAGCATCTGCGGCCTGCATCTATCCACCAATAGCATTTCTTCTACAGGTGAGATGTCAACTGCGGTAACCATGCACCCGATGAGTGCGGCATCCATCCATCCGACAGACTCGCTCTAAGCACACAGCCTCCAAGCCTATACCAAGAGTCCAGCAGCATAGAATCCCCTCACCTACAAGCCCTGTTTCCAATCTTCCAAGTCCCAACCATGGGGGGAAACACTTCATCCATATGAAGTGCGGTAACCATCCATCCGACAAAATGGCTCTAAGCATGCAAGGCTAGGGAAGGAACCAATAACATTCCGCCTTTGGTGCAGGGATTAGCGCACGGGCCAACAACTCCGCATGGTGCTAATGCATGTAAGATGCACGGACCAAGTAAGCGGGATGAATCTCAGGGGGAATGGAAATGGCTCTACGGAGTACCCCGTAAGGTGTGGTGTTTCTTGGGTAGTTTTGGGGGATGTTCTGATGGTTCTCACGGTCGCATATTGGTTCTAATTGGGGATTTAGGTTCAAGGGGAGTGATTCTTCATTTTGAGGTCTTATTACGCTTAATGTGCTGTTTGATTGGATGAAGTAATGAGAGTTTGCTGAGTCGAAGCAGGATACTATCGGCTGCCCAGAGATATATAATGCTTAAGACATATATAATGATGGTACTACGGGTTAAATGTAGACCAAATTCAGGAGCGAAAGCACTGTGGTTCTATTTAAGCTAGCTAAAAGGAAGAAATGTAGCAAAATGGCAAGTCTCCATTATATCAAACACCTAACATTTCATGACGCATGGCATAAGACCGCCACGAAGTCGTCTAGTCTCCGTTCCACGACACATGAACATCCAATCCCCCGTGCTTATGGCTTTGAAACGCCGCAACAGCAGGTTCCTCCGCTGGGTTCCCGTCCAATTACATCTAAATCCTATAAGCAGCGTGGTCAAGGTGAATTATGGAACAGCTCTATCACGCATTAGCCTTCTCCAAATCCAAAAGGCAAAGAAAAAAGAAAGAAAGAAACCCACCTATGCCCCACAAGTCTAAACTCGTGCACCGAGATAACCCGTAATTCCCTACCCTACAGCCTTCTCCACCCGATAACTCTCCCAGCGCAGTATGAGTCCCATTCATCCTCGCCGTATCACCAGCAGCAAGGCAAGACTGTCCACACTACAGGCAATGTATCGCTTACTCTGCTAACCTAGATGGTAAGTACATTGATGGATATAATCACCCCTGGAAACTGCTGACAGGCTGCCGCCTGAACGAGTAGGTAGTAGTCGAATACTATGCGCTTTGGCGAAGACTTCTGTCGCCCTTACCAGACGTGACGGACGCACGCATTGCTACTGGAGTATCGTTTTGATCTCACAGTCACGGCTTTTCGACGAGCCGGGAGAAATTTACCCGCCATCCCAGAGCTCAGCTGCCTTCCCTGCCATACAGTTCCTACACACTGCCTCCAGGGCTGGTGAAACAGCCAGCTGGTGGATTCGCGAATCCAACCCAGACGAATAGCATGGAACCGATTCACAAGGATCGCGTACGACAACTGTGTTCATCGAGTTGCGCCAGAAGTTTCCCTTAAATCATAAATATCGGAGCATTAAAGTCTGGAATTTGACCTCACAGAACTTGGTTGAAGGATGAGAGTATCGGGCACCATGGCTCCTGACTCGATTATCGTACCATGCCATCATCTGCATCCTCAAATATCCGCCTCTGCTCACCATGCAAAGTCAGAGGATGCAGAATGTTTTCAAAGAGTTCCTGCACCATACAGCTTTTGCAATTTCCAACCATGTCTCATGGATACGATACTTGACCGATCTTACGATCTCGAGGAAGTTCTCCTCATCTGATTCTTTAATCAGGTATTGTCTTGCAGTTAAGCTATTATGTAGTTTCTCACGACACAAGGATACCAGCGCAACAAGTCGGCAAAACTTTGAAGAGTTTGTCGGATTATCTCCACCTTAATTGCAATGGTCGTCGGCAATTCGATTGGTGGGTGTCTATGACAATGCCTCGACCTGATTTTTACATATCTTAGGCATCAAAGCAGCAAGATCTGGCCAACGAGATGTTCATATTGTCGCAATTGGATGCAGCGTGATATCAAGCCATAGCTCATGGCATCCTTCAATTACCCCTCTTCTATGTATGTCGCGGGTAAATTCTCTTCTGTTGGAGATGCTCGGTCTTGGTTTCCGGATATGGCATTTCGCTGGACTATCAGTCCGACCTCGGGCAGTTAACACCCGTTCCACTTTGATCCCTTTGGTTCTACAGTCTGCTCTGGAATCCGGGGCCCCGGGAAGTGCGGGATTAAATCTCAGACCTCGTATGGGATGCAGCAGTGTGGTCTGATAGAATATTGGGCTCCAATGGCGGAATTCCCCTACACAACTGGACCTTTGTACTCTCAGCCAGGCCTCCATTGATTGAAGGCATTAAAATATATATAAGACGGCACTCCTCCTAATATTCTACATCCAAACACCACCATGACCAAGACATTTCTTATCACGTCAATCCTGGCGACTCTTGCCCGCGCAGCAATCGACTACACCTGGGACGCAGTGTCTGCCATCACCCCTTCCAATGTCAGTCTTTCTTTTGTGCAAGCAATTCCGGAGAATGGCACATTCGTGGTTCCTTCAGGCAATACTGGCTGGCCCACGAACCCCATCCATCTTCCAGAGCTGTGTGCCGTCGGTGCCACGGTGCCAGGAGATACACAGAATGGGACGTTTGGATTTGGTCCATTTCTGCCTGTGCAGTGGAACGGGCGGACATTGTAAGTTCATACCAAAGGCAATGTTCTCTATTTAGACTGATCTATTTAGGACTGTGGGAAACGGTGGTCTAGCTGGAGGTGTGAATTGGGTTGATATGGTTGCTCTTATCATGCTTCTCTTCTTGAATACTCCTGACGAATAACAGGGAACGGGGGTGAAATACGGCCATGCTGTCCTTTCAACCGACAACGGACACAATAGCACATCGACTGATGCATCCTGGTCGTACCAGAATCCTGCAGCGCAGACCAACTTGGGGGGGAGAGCTCTGCATGAGACGGTCGTGTATGGAAAGGAGATTACGGAAGCGTTCTACGGAACCGAGCCAGCATATCACTATTATCAGGGCTGCAGTACGGGTGGTCGCCAGGGCTTCAAAGAGGCAGAGATGTTCCTGGATGATTTCGACGGTGTTATTGCTGGAGCCCCTGCTTGGTGGACGGTGCGTCCTCATCTACCTCCTCATTTATCACAATCTAATAAGCATAGTCCCACCAACAAATCTGGTAATTCTGGCTCGGCTACGTAAACTACATCTCCAACATCTCCATGATCCCAGTGGACATGTTCGACGTGATTGGAAAGGAAATCCTCAAGCAATGCGATGGTCAAGATGGTCTTGTTGATGTAATCCCCCCATTCACTCCCCACCTTCACCACAGGCATATACTAAAAATCACAGAACGTAATATCCAACCCCTACGGCTGCAACTTCAACCCCGAACCTCTCCTCTGCATGCCCACCACCATCAACACCTCCTGCCTCACACCCCCCCCAACTCACCACCCTCTCGACCATCACCAGCCCCTACACCACCCCCAACTCCACCCTCTTCTTCCCCTCCTGGCTCCACGGCTCCGAACACTTCTGGTCCCTGAACATCGACTCCGGCAATCCCAACATCATCGGCCTAGGTTACATCCAATACACACTCGGTCTAGGAGCAACCTGGAACTGGCGAGATTACAACTCCTCCATCCAGACTCTCTCCTCCACCTTGAATGCCGGCCAAGCCGATGCCTCAGATTACAACCTCACCCCTTTCTATCGCTCCGGCAAAAAACTCATCCACTATCACGGTATGAGCGATGGTGGTATCGCCACGGGGGCAAGTTACTACCTCTATAAAGAGATTGATCGGGCGATGAGATCCAGTGGGGGGGAGTTGGATGAGTTTTATCTCTTTACTGATTCGGGGGATGGGTCAATCCTTCTCTTTCTTACTCTTACCTAACCTTATACTTGATTAGAAGAAACTGATAATTATAGACATTGTGTCGATACAGCAACCTACGTCAACGCCCCCTACTACATCGCCGGCATCAGCATGACCAACAACGGCCAGTACTCTGTACCAGGATATCAAGACCCGAAACACGATGTTCTTCTGGCGTTGATGAACTGGGTAGAGAACGGCACCGCCCCGAAGGCGATCATCGGTACGGCGTATGAGAATTTCACTACCATGGAGAAGATTACCCGTCAGAGACCGATCTGTGCGCATCCTAAACTGGCTAAGTACCTGGGGAGTGGGGATGTTAATAGAGAAAAGAATTGGCGGTGTGAGGGGTTATATTAGATCTTCTATCCCATCTTGTGAATATAAGAAGTCTTATTATCGCCATTCCCCCATACAGAAACCCTAACATAGAGAAAAGAAAAAGAAAGAAGTTAAGGCAAAACAGCAACCAACCCAACCAACCCCCCAATAGCGGCCAGAGAGCCCTCACCGCATTAAGCAACGCCCATTTCCTCATCAACCTCACCACCTCTTCCCCATCCCCACCCACATCCCACCTCCAACATCCTTAGTACTTCTCTCCGCCAACTCCATCAACCTCCTATTCGTCCCCCCATCCCACCCCCGTCCACGGAACAATCCCCCCACCAACGCCGCAGAAACCATATACGTGGAGGAACTCCCCCTGGGGGCGATCGCCGCCAGGGTGGTGGAATTTCTCGTCGACCAGGCCAAATACAAGAATGTGGATGTGAGGAAGAGTGCGAGGGGCGGGACGCGCCGTTTGCCGGTTTCGTAGAGGGTTTTCCATTGTTTGGGGAGGGTGGATGTGGATGTGGGGTTGGTGGTGGTGAGGAGGGAGGGGATGGTTAGGTAGGTTAGGGAGAAGATTGTTCCTGGTTTTTTGTTATTGGTATTTGGTTGGGGGAGGGGGAGGGGGCAGGAGGAAGGGGAGGGATGGGGGGAGGGGGAGGTACCGGATAACCAGGCGGCTCCGCTGAGACCTATTGCTTGGGCTATGCAGAATGTTGGGGGGAGGGTGCTTGTTGTGAGCATTTTGTATATGTATAGAACTATTTTTTTTGGTTTGGGGGTGGGGGTGGGGGTGGAGTAGAAGGGAGTAGGGGGTGGTTTTATAGTATTGGAATAGATAGTCATGAGTCATTGACATCAGTGAGGAGTTTATTTTCTTGTTGGAATCAGGGTTGTGAGGATTTTTTGTTATTTCCGAGAGTAGTAACTAGTAACATGGAAATACTACTGTGTATGTTATAGTCATGTCGTGCCATGTGGTTGATGACCCACATTCTTCCTTGCACGGTTAGCTGAGTAGCCTGAACTTTGAAGAATGTTGTGGTTGGTGGGGATGCTCGCTCGGCTTTTGCCGGGTTTTGTGGGGGCGGTCGGGTTTGGAGTCAGTTGTCACCATTCTTGCTGACTTGCTGAGTCTATTCCGTACATTGTAGGTTTTCAGGGTCGTAAGACCCTGGATATAAATATTGAATTGGTTCTGTTGTCATTGCATATATCTCACTCAGTTCGTACAACTGTACAGTGTATAATAGTCATCAAAATGCATTTACTGTGTTAGGCACATCGATGCGTTACGGGCTCCCATTTGGTATTCTAAAGGTGGATTTCGCGATTTCACATTTTATCAACTATGGTATGTAACTGGTGCTCTACATGTGTAGATAGTATCTTATCTGATTGTTAAGAGTAGTAACCAGCACCAGAGTGAATGAAGAGCTTGATCCGGGTATACTGAATGAACCAGAGCAAACAACTAGTAAAAAAACTAGGACAGACAAGTCAGGTATCACCAAATCCATAATCGCTATACCGAAATATGCAATACCTGCAACACGGAATCGGAGCGGAGGTAATTATCCGTATCAACTCCCCACCCACCCACCCAACCAACCAACTCCTGAACCCAACTCCAACAAATCCCCAAAACCCAAAGAAAAAAAATCAATCACAACCACCCCTCAGCCCTACCCACATACACCCCCAACGTCAAAATCAGCGTATACACCTCCCCTCCCTGTCCCCGTCCCAATCCCAGCTCCTCCAAAAACCTCACCTGTTTAGCCTCCCACCCCCCAACCCTTAGCCCCTTTTTCTCCAACCCAGCCAGCCCCGACCGTCGAACTCGCGGATCCGCCCCACCACTAGTAACGCACAACACGAACCGGGGATTCTCATCTTCGCAAGCCTTTCCATTATTAGCGTTGTTGGTATTGGCATTGGCATTGGCATCGGAGTCGGTTACTCCCGACGCCGACGACACCGACGCCGAGACGGGTCTCCGCCCTCCGGGAAAGCGTCTTCGCCATTCGAGCGTGATTCCTCCTCCTCCGTCCTTGGCACCAGCACCAGCACCAACACTAGTGAATTTGTATCCTTTGTGGGATCGTGTCACGGTCCAGGATTGTTGTGTCGAGGGGAAGAATATCTCGTCTGTTACTTCCCCTGTAGTGGTATTATTATTTGTCTCCCCTTGTTGGTTTTGTTGCCGTTTAGACGACGATGGAGAAAGGTAGATAACTCCCGCGGTGGTGGGATACTGTAGTATTTCCGATTTCGAGATTGCGTTGCCGTTGCCAGCACCAGGACTGGTACTGGGACGGGTGGGAGTAGAGGCTGGAAGATTGGTGTATGCGTCACTCTGTAGGATGTAGATGTCCCGGGCGTGGAGTTTGCGGGGACATTTGGGGAGGGATTTTCCCTGGATGGGGGGTTGGTAGATATCGAGGATTGGGAGGACGCGGTGGGAGGTGGATGAGAGTTGTTGGATTTGGAGAAGAAGACGGGGGAGGAAGCGTAGACGGGGAGTGAATTTTGGGGGTGGGTGGGCGAGAGGGAAGGTTTGTTTGGGGGTTTTGGAGGGTCTGATTCTGATTAGTTTGGATACTTTGGGGGGAGCGGAGGGAGGAGGGTTACTTTGTTTGGCTGTAGATGGAACTTTCTGTGTCGCTGTCTTGGGAGGACATGGTGTATAGGTACTAGATTCAGTATCTAGGTGGTAGATAGATAGGTAGGTAGGAAGTGTAGTATGGATAGGATAAACTGTGATGAAAAGAAGACAAGCCACATTTATGTATCCCCCTCCTTCACCAGACAACTAGAATCAATCGTACTCGTTTCCATCGCACGGACAGTTTCCATTCATGCATCAACCTACGGAGTACACCCAAGCTTATTCTTTTTTTATCGGCTTGGCAAACCACTGGGCTGAGGCACCCTAAGATTCAGCCTACGTCGGAGGTTCTAATTCGCTCCCCGGAGGTACTGTGGGGCCGGTATTGGCAGATTGGGATATCGGATACGGATACGATCGCTGCCGAGAACTGGTTCGAGGTTCCGTTTCGCGGTACGAGTACGACTTATTAAGCGGTTTTAACTTCACCCCTGGTGCAGCGGCAAATTGAAACATCCAGATTGAATGGTCGATGCGGTCCGGACCTTAGATGGATGCCTCCGTATTCGTTTCCGATGGGGGGTTTTTGTAACGGTGGGTTTGGGCTTGGCTGAGGCAGTGTCGGCGCCGATGTCCGATGCACGGGAGGGAAGGAGGATTGGGGCTGACTCGTGGAGAAGGATTCTGTCAGATCGATGAGAATGCCTGTTTGGGATTGCTTTGCGGTGAGATGACGGTCAGCCTTGTGTGGCTGGCTTATGGATTGGGTTAGGTTAATGTGGAGTTAGTTAGTACTTCTTTGTACTTAAAGTTGGTGGCTTTCCCCTGTCATCAAATCTAAAATTCTTTCTCAGGGTGGATGTTTGGATGTGCATGCTTTCTGGGGTTTATTTTTGTATCTGGCTGGATTCATTGCTACGAGCTGACTGCTTCTTTGTACAGCGGTTTTATCTTGGCAGCTGTGCTTAACCATCATAGGATGTAACCCCCAGCTCCAATGCCTTGATCTGCAGTGCCAACAGCCGCGAGTAATACCGACACAAAGCCAGGTTTCCTCCCATCAACCATAGTCCCGGATGGCCTGTCCGGCGCCACATGCGCATCTCTCCCCTCTCGTCGAATCCCCACACATCATTCACCTCGGCGCCCTCGTCGCCAAAAATAATCCGTGCCTGCGTTGACATGTTCTGGTACCCCGTGGCTAGGATGATCTCGTCCGCTTCGAGCTCCGTTCCGTCCGCGAACCGGAGACCGTGGGGGAGAATCTCCGTGATCTCCTGGCCCTGCTTCACTTTGACTTTGCCGTCGACGATCAGCTGGCTGGCTCCCACGTCGATGTAGTAGCCTCCGCCCCGTTGTAGATACTTTACTAGTAGACCCGCTTCGTTTGGACCCCGGTCCACCTGGAAGCCGGCTCGCTCTAAACCCTCCAGTGTTGCCTGGTCTCTCTGGTTCTGTAGTCGGGTGATCTTGATCTGCTGCGCCTTGAACAGCTCCGACGGGATGCTCCAGAGATAGAGATCGGCATCCTCGTTCGGGGGGCCGTCTTCCTCATACAAGCCCTTGAGACCGATGTCGACGATCGCCTGCGACGAAATCACGCATGTTGAGCTGCGCTGCACAATCGTCACATCGTATCCCTTCTCGTAGTAATCTTGCGCAATGTCGTGACCGGAATTGCATGCCCCAACTACGACAGCCTTCTTGCCTTTGGACTCGGGGTTGGCACCGGGAAACTCGCTGCTGTGGCAAATGCGATCGCCTTGGAAAGAGTCGATGCCTTTGAAGTTGGGTAGGTTCTTCTTTCCAGAATGACCAGTGGCCTGGACGATATACCGAGGCTGAATGGTGCGAGTCTCCACCGTGCCGTCCTCCTTTCGTCTCTGCAGGTCAATCGTCCAGACCTTCTCTTGGCCATCCCACGAGGACTTCTTGATGCCCGTTTTGGTCCACACATTCAGCTCCATCAGCTTGGCATAGCACTCGAAGAATTCGGCAAGCTTGTCCTTGGGGGTGAAGATGGGCCAGTTCGGAGGGAATGGGACGTAGGGAAGGTTGTCAAACCACACCGGGTCATGCAGCACCAGCTGGTGGTAGCGTCGGCGCCAATTGTCCCCGATGCGATCCTCTTCGTCGATGACCAGCGCATCAATACCCAGCATCTTGAGACGAGCCGCGATGGTGAGGCCAGACTGCCCGGCACCTGTTCGAGTTAGCTGGTATGATGATGCGGAACAGGAAACCTACCGACGACCAGGACAGTCGGGGACTTTCCCTCGGCATTGATATCGGCCGTGCGACGATCCTGCCAGTTCTTGCGATCCGGGTTCTCACCATGCTGCGCGCCCAGGGGTCTTTTATGGTCCACCGCCTCTGCGTGGTCAACAAATCCCACCATGGACGTGAAGAAGGTGAAAATCTTCCACTCGCCATCCTTCTCCGCCAGCCGTACGAGGCCCCTACCGTTGCTGAGTGAGTCTGAAAGCGTGATGAAGAACAATACTCCAGTGACATCTCCAAATGCGTCAATGGGCCCGAGATAAGGTCCCTTGAATGGCGATGAGCTGTCAATCTCAATCTTGCTGGGGAGACGGGCAGACTTGAGGAGGCTGAAGATGTTATCTCTGCCTTTGGCAGTGTGAAAGTCCCATGTCAGGCAAAGATGGTCTCGCCAGAAACCGTCTTCGAGGAACAAGTCACAAATCGCCTGGACATCTCCCTTACTCAAGGCCGTGTTGATCTTCTCGACGAGCTGCGACGCGACCTGGGCGGCATTGACATCAGTCGACGAAGAGGTCTGGGGAAATTTTCCCACAGGGACATTGAACGAGCCGGGCTCGACGTGGACTTTGGACATTGTGTTTGTGTGCAAGGTGAGGTCGTGCGGGGTTGGATTGGACTCCCGGAGAGCCGAGGTTTGAATGTTGTTGGGGACCCCGCTTCTGAGATGCAGCTACTACAGCTGAGGTTAGTAAGTCTCGTATTGGCCAGCGCCACTGACCTCGGTGGTCTTCGATGACTAACAGACTTTGACGACTTGACAATTAGATGCAGATCATGAGGCCAGGGGGGCTCGGACAGGCTTATATAGAGGTGGAAACGTGACCTACATTACTGAATGTTGTAGGAGGCATCACGATCGACGTGACACGACATCAAGTGGGGTTACTGAGGGGTAACGAAGGGTTGCATTGCCGCCTTGAACAGTGGTCAATTGAGACTGGAGGAAGCAAGGGAGGAAAGAATGGAAACGAAGAGCAACAAGAAGAGTATCCCATGTTCCGCTCGGGTTGCATAACGGCATCAAACGGATTGGACGGGGAGCTGCTGGCACAGGGGCTCGAACCGCGGCCCTCATGTACCATACCTGTTCCCAACTCACACCCCGCTCGTGTAAAAACCACTAGACCGAAAATGTTCGCTGTTGTGGAGACAGTCCAGACCGATTTCGATAGTTTCCAGCACTATCACTCAGAGAATGAGTAAAGAACCAATTCATCCTTCCCACGCAGCACTCATTCTTCAACATGCCCTTTGTCCAACTTGTGTGTGAAGCTCGTTAGCGCTAAGCAACACTAAGTGGGAAGCTCACCAAGCTCTGGCTTCTTATTGGTTCTTCAATTTACATGTAATGTGACCTGACCTATGTTGTCAGTCCTCACCGCTTCGCAACTCCTTGGGCTGCATATTAGATGCGTACTGTATATCTTAATGGAACATGATGTCAAATAGATACTGTTTTTACATTCAGAAGCATCATTGGTCTAGTGGTAGAATTCATCGTTGCCATCGATGAGGCCCGTGTTCGATTCACGGATGATGCACAGCAATTTCTTTTTTTTTTACTTTTTTATGCTGCGGCTTTGGGTCTCTCGGCTCTTTTTTTTTATCTTCATGACCTTTCAATTGGACTTATGGTGCTTCGGTATGATATGTAAGTTGATGTATATGCAATAAACTAGTAGAGAGTGATCCACCCAGATCTAAAACTGAACCACCAACCATGCATGCCAAGCTAAGAGACAACATCCCTTCTTCTTCTCCTGCTTTGACTAGCATACCGACTTTCCAAACACAGTCGACCGAGAGCCAGTGTCTCCAGCGTCTCGGTTCTCCCACCCCACACCTTTCCCCTCCCGGACCCATCTGATTTCCTCTGTATCGGAGGTATCCAGCATGTTACGGCCGCTCCAAACAGCATGCATGCTGCAAATACAATCATAACGTAGCCGTGGCGCCGGACCGGCTCTTCTCCGAAACCTCCGCCGAAATTGTAGTACGCAGAAAAGATCTGTACCACTACCGAACCGATTTTTCCCGCCCCAGCACTGATGCCGTGACACGTGGCGCGGTAGCGAGTGGGGAAAATCTCAGCGGGAATGATATAAGTTGTGGCGTTCGGCCCTATGACAGTTAGCCATGAACTACAAGTATCGGAGCATAGGCGTACCAAAGTTGAACAGTGCTTGTCCGATTACGTACAAGACCACCGCCACAGGCCCTTCTTTTTGTATACTGATAAGCATGCTTCCGAGGGCGATGAAGAGTGCCGATAGTGCGAGAAATGAATATTTCTGCAAAGCCACTCTGTCCAGTTTGTGGATCACCAAGATAAGAAGAAGGCCGCCGATAAAGCTGCCGACGTTGAGGATAACCAGGGCATGAGTGCAACACGCGAAGAACATGTCGTAGACATTTGCCAAAGGGCTGTCATCGGTCTCCCAGTAGGGTGCCGGGGCGCTCAAGTGCAGTGACCCCCAGGTCTTAGCCAAGAATTGTGGGCTCGAAAGACTGATGCCGTAGAAGCCAAAGTCAAGGAAAAACCACGATACAGACGTCGCAGCAAGAGTACGCCAGTTCCCCTCCACCCAGAAGTATTGCATAATGTCCTTTCGCGTCAAGTGCCAATGTGAGTTTAGGGTCGCAGGCTGGAGGATGCCCGTTTGGGAGGTGGAAGATCGGTCTTCCGCCGTGATAGTGGTCAATGAGATCGCCGGTTGCGGAAGGTTGTGCCAACTATCAGCTTCGAGGGTTGGGGAGGGGGAAACAGAGTTGAGATTGGTAAAAAGCATGGTTGCATCGAATTCCGTCGTCACAGGGTCATCGTCTATCTCCATGAGAAAGCGCGGAGACTCGGGGACGAAGAACCGGAAGCAAGTAGCTATTGCTGCCGGAATTACACCGATACCAATCACATAGCGCCACATCCTATCCACGGACTTGGTCATGTCATCGGCATCGCCGCGGCTGGCGGCAATGACAATCAGTGATACCAGGTTGGCCCAGATCTGCCCCAACGGCTGCATGAAGAACACGGAAGCCATCATTCGTGCGCGATGCTTAGTAGGCGCAAATTCACTCGTGATGACAGCACTCAGCGGATAGTCTGCTCCCACACCGATGCCCACGACGATGCGCCACCATATGAACCAGGCATATATGTTCATCGAATCATTCTCGCCACGAGAGGCCATGACAACGCCCAGGGTTGACGTGATCATAAGGATCAATTCCAGGCCGTACATCTTCTTGCGCCCGTTTCGGTCGGCCAGATACCCGAACAAGATCTGCCCCAGAAGTGTGCCACCCAATGTCGCGATGTTGAACAGAGTGATCTTTATTGACGAGACTTCCTTTCTCCAGTACACGTATGAGATCATCGGAAGGGCCATATTGCTTGCAAACAGCTGCATAAGTCAGACCAATCAATTGGACCAAACAGCACGAAGACTGACCGTGTATCCATCGAGAAAGAACCCAACACCCGCAACGAAGACGACTAAGAGCTGGAATCCCTGGCGGTCGATAGTATCATACACCTGCCGAGCTCTGACCTCTCGGTCCTGTCGTACCACCATCAGTCACCGGTCATAAGCTTGGATGAACCTCATACCTGCTCATGCTCGAAATCCCGAGCTCGGTCGGTCTTGTACCACCTTGTGCGAAAGTTACCCATGGCAATAGAGTAGTTGTATGAAATCAGATATTATGTAGACAAGAGCAATCAATAGATGACATCATGAAGGGCCATCACATGCATAGAATGGAGAACGATCCTGCGGCCCCCAGATCGAGGATGGGGGCCAGAGAAAAGGATCAAGCATGATTGAAAGAAAGGAGAGGGTGAGAGGGGTTGGCCAGGCCCACCATGTGTCGGGAGCACAACGGGGGCAGCCTCTCTAATGCAGGAAAGTTTTGACTACCGACAGGCGGACCGGTGATTGGCAGACTCGGGGCCGGTGCGTGCAGTAGCGGCCGATGCGGGACGAGGCGCATGGGGCAGTGACCCAATTCCTCGCTCCACGTGCGGCACGTGCGGGCACGATGGGGACTCATTGGGGCCCACCTGCCCACTTGGACTCCTCGGGCAGATGAACGTGACGCCACAAGTAGCATGATCCCGGACTACACTCGGTGCCTAGCCATTGTCCGAGGTACCTCCCGCACGACACGAGGCAAATTGGCCGTTTGAGTTCGCCCAGAGATAAAAGAAGCTAATCGGGAGCCCGTCCCATCGGTCTGCGCGGGCACGTGCTCGTGCTCATGCCTCGTAAGGTTCTTGTTTGTTGTTTGACAATAGGGGTATAGTACTGAGCGACTGGCTCGAGGCGGAAAACAAAAGTGCAGAGTACCTCGCCAACGCCACCCGAACTCCTGCTGCAATTTTGAGTAATCAGAATCGCTCCACGATGTATTAGATGCGTGCCAACTTCAGTCCGTTGCAATGGGTATCGTATCTGAATCTATGGGGGTATTATTATGTGGTGTGCTCTGTTAGAAACTGGCAGAATTCTTTCCGGTCTATACGAGTCAGCGATCGATCGATTAAAATGCAAGAGCACGGCCTACCCGAGTCATCGAGAAACTGGATGGATAACGTCTTCATCTCCGAAAGGATGTCGAAGTTGGGTTGTAACTGGAGAACCACTGGCTTTCCCGCCTTTTTTCCCGGATTAAAGCTGCCGATGCAGGTAACCGGTATGGACACATAGCGCTTCAATTCTTTTCGCTGTGAGTTGGCAAAAAATAAAAGGACTTGTTTCCCGTTATGACCACGTAGGATGCGTAGGTTCTGGCTTATGCACTCCTCTCCTCTTCCTTTTGATTTAGCCTCTGCAATGCCCGCAATGAAGACCAATCTCGAGCCCAGGATTAGTTCCTGAAATTGCACGCAATCTGCATCGACATTAGCAGGAATCTACTAAAGAGAGTAACTACCGACCCCTCCATTCTTCAAAGGTATAGGAAATCTGCGTCAGAAATACTGTTTGGGCTGATTGAACAGTTTGTTCTTCCATAAAGGAGATGCGAAGCGATGGCTCATTCGGGAGTTTAGGATGCTCGAGGTGAGGAACTGGAAGCTTCGTGTCGTTGACTGGATGAGGGAAACAGTAGGTTAGCGATGTCTGCTGGCTCTTCTGGCTCACTTACACGTGTGAACTAAAGGGGTCTGTTGACCCGGCCCCCCACCCAATTCAAGACATTTTAAACTGCCCGTGGCATCTTTGCGGATATCGATGTAGGTGTAACGTAATTTAAAGAGCTTGTTACTCCGGACGAAGGATCTGTTATGGCTGTAAGCGTATGTGTTAACCTGGGAACCGGGGATGCGAACATGGTCACGGAACTATTTAGTGGTAGGCGGCAAATGCCGTCGTACAAGGAGAAGCACGAAGCCTGTCTCGACCGGGACCCGATCGAGGATGCAGTGCGACTGAGGGGAGGAGGGTATGGAGGCGAGGTGCCAAAGCTAGGAGTGGAAGAGTTGGTAGAAGAAGAGATTGTGCTTTCTGGTCGAGACACGGATAGCGGAAGAGGCCAGTCCTCCGCTTCATAGTGGGAGCCTGGGGGGCTCATGGCAGACGCAAGGGGTTAAGTAGCAACGGCCCGCCTTCTGCTGTGCACTGCAATGTGGCGGGTGACTGACGAGCGACGATCGTGCGGAACCCCAGAAGCTGATCAACGTGTAGGGTCCAGAGCAATGGCATCATTCCAGGTGAGTTCCCACTGCACAAGTCGATCAAGAACAGTGCGAAGCGAGCGGCTGGCTGATTGAGGGCGAGGTTATATGGCGAGTGCTCAGTTAGGCAAGTGATAAGAAGATGCTGGGGTGGGAGCCATAGGGACCTCATGCCTAGGCCCGGGGCGGGGGAACGGCGGACAACGTGCTCGAAAGGGGGCCTGTGATTTGAGATTCCGGGGCGTTGGGTGGAGCCACATCCCTGTAGCCGGTACACCTCGTGGTTATATGGATGGTTCGAGATGGGCTTTTAGGATGGTGTCAGTGCTTTGAGATGGTGTACAGAGACGCTTCCCCGATATTGACCCACCTATTATACGGCCGCCTCGAGGAACTCGTGCTGTGGATAGGTACCCGCCTGTCCTGGCGGGTAACTGCTGGTGGATACCCCGAGTCATGGTGTGGGAGCAATAAGACCAGTGTCTTCGATCAGTCGGTAATTGACGCGGGTGCATCAGTCGGCAGTGGAACAACTACCTGTAGGTAGGCTTTGCGCTGATCAAGTCAATGCCTGCTTGAAGAGGCACAAGGTGGTGGTGTTTTGCTGTTTGCTGTTTGCATGGAGATCATGATCATGTGATGCGGATCGCATTTACGCGGGTGGCCTTACGTAAGATGTTACTGTGTACATAACTGTGTTCACACCACGTACACGCATCCAGAACGAAAAGGTATTATTAGTCTATGTACTTCTATACGGACATCCCTATCTCCATGGGGTATCCTCAGATCAGAAAGAAATAAAACCATGTGTGAAACACCAAAACACCGGCTAGGCTTCGCAAAGCTTGACAAAACAACACAGGATCTATGCACTCGACCGAGCAAGGCGAAGCGAGCGAACAGCTGTCGGCAGGGCGCTGCGCCACGGGTCGTAGAACGGGCATGATCCGCAAAGCCGCTATAAATTAGGGTATATATATGCGATCCGGGAAGAAGAATATCTTCAAAACCATGTCAGAAATCCTGCGGTATCATCGGAGAATAAACGCTTCATGTGGCGACCAGCGCGCGACGTTTGGAACATGGCAGACACTCACTTTATCGACAGAAACACGCCATGGTCACAGGACTGGGAAATGTAGCAACCAGAAGACGCGACAACTTATGTGCCAAAGTTGAGTGAGATGCCCATACCATCGGTATCACCGGAGGCAACGTGCTATATATATCAAGTGCCGTCGCGATTGTCGTACTGGTGTAAAGTATCATCCAGCTACCAGTCGTGAACTTGCCGCAATCCACAAGCAAAAGTAACCGCGAGGTATTATTCCCCTCGCGTGGATGGTCCCCGTTATGCAGTCAATGCCCAATTCCCAGTCCTGTCCTCCAGCGCACGTTTATTGAAGGGGCTTCTGAGCGATAATGCGGTAACTCGTCGTCACAAGTCGCATGGTGTCCATCTTAATAAAGGCCTCGCCGTCGAGACATAGGCGGTTGATCAGGGTCTTGAAGTGGCGGGGCAACACGTGGGTCTTGACGAGCCCCAGAATGACCTGGCGCATGGAGCGGAAGTAAAAGTCGACCTTGTCGATTAAAGGCGCTTGCAAGCCTCCGACACTGGCGTTATCCGAGCGGACCACGGTAAAGCCGGCCTCGGTCAGGGCCTTCTCGAGGCTCTCGGGGGTGGGGGTGCCCACGGCACCGATGAGAGGCTTGACGCGACTCATGAGCTCGGCGTGCTCGGGGTTGCTCGGATCGTAGTCGGGCAGGCTAGCCCAATCAAGGAGGGATATCTTGGCACCGGGCTTAACGACGCGGTAGATTTCTCGGAAAAGAGTGGGGAGATCCTTGCACAGACTAAGGGCCTGGATCTGGTAGAAGGCGTCAAAGCTGGCATCTTCGAAGGGCAGAGGCAGGGTGTTGAAATCTTGGACGACAAAGGAGTTGTTGGAGAAGCCGAGCTTCTCGTTGTAGGAACGGGCCTGGGCGATCTGGTTGGGGTCGATGTTGAGTCCCGTGACATGTGCGCCGGTGTATTGCGTCATGTGCGCGGCGACTCTTCCGCGACCGCAACCGAGATCCAACACGTGATCGCCGGCGGTGAGGCCGATGTCCTGCGCAATCGATTCCTCGTACAACAACTGATTCTCCAGCACGGTCGCCTTCTTGCTCATGAACGGGGGGATGTACATCTTCTCCACATCCCCCAGCGCGCACAGGTGGTTGAGAACACCATAGTACGCCTTGAGGCAGTCGCCCACCTTCGCCTGATAGTCCGGTCCCAGCGTCTCAACCATTTGTTTCTCGTCCGACCAATCCAGGTTGTAGATGACGTAGGATGCCATGAAGTCATCGACCTGCTTGGGCGTCAGATTGCGCAAATACCGGAATGCCTTCCAGAAGGTCTTCCATCGCTTTGGCGATGCCGATTTGTCCAAGTCCGGAAGGGTTGAAGGAAACTCCTTGTTGGCAAGCTTCTGCTTCTCAACGACGTCCAGAGAGCTACTCTCGGAGCTCCGCCCGGACTGGCGCGACGCCAAGACGTTTGTTTGAGTTTCCATTCTCCAGCTAGAAGGTTAAGAGTGGAGTTGATAGCAGCAGCGACAGCAACAATCAACAACTGGAGGCAGCGACAACGGTGCGAGGGTAAAAGTGAGGTATTGGGGGAGGGTGATGAGACAGTGGGAGACTAGAGACAGCGATTATTTTGTTGTCCAGAAAGTGCCATGCGCCAGTCGCAATGCGATATGTCCCTTTTTTTTTTTCTCCCTCGATGGAATAAAAGGCGGGGCTAGGTTAATTTATAAGCACTGCAACGAAGGGAAATTTTTTTTTCTGGCTCCTCCTTCCTGTAACAGTCAGTCCCTCTGCAACGGCGCAGGGCGGCGCCGTCGGGGGGGGGTCTTAATAATATCGATTGATTTGCCGTATGACCTGCCATGGGAAGTTAGCGATGGCCACAGTGGATTACTCTTGTCACCGGATCTGGAAAGCATCGGAAGAGTCGGAAGTGGCAGGTCCAGAGCAGCACGGGAAGAGACGGCAGCGACGAACCGGAGGATGGAGATTGGAGAATCATGGGCGATGCGCGCTGGTGGCTCTGGCTCTGGCTCCGTTGTTTGGGATTTGTTGTTGGTGAGCAACGGCCAGCACTCCGATGATTAGCACGGAGTATCTCCTCACAGGAATCGGACCCCCCTGTTGGTTGGGGGTAAGCTACTGCTACGACATTAGCTGCTAGTTAGTTATCAATCCTGGGATGAGTCAAGGGACTGCCGGCCATAACACGGGCCTCTTCTTCCCCTCTGATCACCGGGGCTACTTCATGCCACTGGGATGCAATTCGGACAATTGTCCACCATTGACCATTGATTGCCAGCGACCCTTCGTACGTGCTTCAGGCCAACCACCCTACCTGGATATAACGGGCTTTGGACGGTGATAGTGGTGGTCACCATTGAAGGATGGGATGGTCAAGGAAGTTGCTAGCGCCGGAGCTAGTGCTGTGCAGCTGGATAGAAGCCCACTTCTCAGGGTACACTACTGACTAGTGTCGTGACCCATCTAGGGTGCTTGCTGACGGCAGACTCCAGGGCCATCAGCTCTAAGTTGGTCTATTTGTTCCTGGTGCGCCAAGCCGTCTCCAGTGCGTAATGGGATGCAACTGGTCCATCCCAGTGATCCCACGCATGAGCTGATCAATGGGCATCCGCCGTGCCAAATGAGCACGGCCTTGGCAGTTAAGGCTTACTTTCATGGTGGTTGCTTGCTTTCATGAGCAACTCTCCCGAAGCCGGACCCCTGCGATTTATGACTTCAAAGACCTTCATACGAGGTTTATGAGCAAGACTTTGATTTTTGATGATGCCTCATCTTGGTGGCCTCGCCCTATAGGGATGCTGCGGCCTGGCTGTTGAAACTTGAGGCCAGCGTTAGAGATTCGGAGCCATGGACGTTCCGATTTCTGGTTCAGTGTTCACAGCGTATTACCCAAGAGAATCTGGATTTCCCTCTGCTTCGAGCGTTTGTGCTTATGGTTCCGGAGCGGAGTGCAAAATTTTCGCAGGAGGAGCGGCTCTGACGGGGATGAGTGGCTGGATCAGGCAATTCACCGCGCAATTCACCGCGACTCGGACTTTGAAGCCGAGTATCCGCCCCACCCCGTACCAGTACCCGTATTTCCGTTCATCGTCTTAATCCGCTGGTCTTCCGTCTTCCGTATCTCCTCCGGCTCATCTCCGTTGCTCTGTATCTAGTCTGTAGAAAGTGAGACCAGATGTCTTGGTAAGCGGTGCCCGTTCCATTCTTTTACTCTTCCAGCAAATTCTAGGGTCTCAGGTCGGATTTGCGGGAACCACATCTGTGTCTAGTGTCTACTGTGTGGATCTTATCACCATCCGCCTCAGTCGTCATCAGCCATGGAAATAATGTGAGGCCACTGCACGATCACGACGATCACGAGGTCATCCACCGTTGGATGCGGAGGGGTTTCTGCCACCCGTCCGGGGAGACATCTCGTCGTATTTACCTCATGGAGCATGGATTGACGGTCGCAGATAGTAGAGTAAGTAGTAAGGCTGGATTGATTGCTCGTACGCGTGTAGGCCAAATTGGAAATGACGTGGCTGGTCGGGCCTGGCCAGAGCACCCGCCATCCCTGCTCGTGCAGGTGCATCTGGTGGTCCGACCCTTTCTTTGTCCTCGCCGACATGCGGCCATGGATCGTCGCTCGCTTCGATACTACGTGTGACACCCGAAGGGACGGGATTATCACTGAATATCATGCGCCTTTTTCACGACCCTGGATTTTTTCGCACTATCATGACAGTCCCCACTTTGCTCCGCCCGGACTCCGACTCTATCCTCATCACGGCAGTCATCCCAACAACAATCCTGGAGGGTGCAGGTCTCCGACGAATTTTCGCCCGCAATCGCATTCCTTCTCAACCCGAAAATCGCTTTTCCAACTAAGAAAAAACAATGCAGGGGAAACCCTATGGAGCCCTTAAAAACGACCGAACACGTGACCACACCTATCACTAACAACATCCGCACTCTCCCGTAACCCTCACCACCGCACAGAAAATCCCCCAAGCATCTTCATCGTGATAAAGTCTCAGATGCCAGTATCCAGCATCAACGACGTCCAAATAAGCTTATATTTTAAGTCCAGCCCTCCCCGAACCCTTACAGCAGGTCATCCTCCAAACAGAGCGCCCAGCGGCCATGACCCAGGCCCACTCATTAGGCAGCCAGATATCGACTATACACCCCGGGTACATCACAGCGGGAAGATGAACCGAGAATACCTGCCTGCTAGTCTTGGATCCGATCAGTTGTTCCCTCCCGGGTGGCGACCACCGTGCCAATCTCCAATCATCGTTCGGTGGCCGTGGGTGAGGTGTAGGTGATAGGCCGCGGACGGCTGCCTCGTGGGTACCGATGTAGTACTTATTCCCGGGAGGTGATTTCGGTGCGCTGAGATGTACTTTATTGTAGAAGAAGGTGGGTTGAGTGGGTTGGTGGGTGGGTGGGTGTCTTCTGCCGGCTCGCAGGTGGACTCAGGGTCCTGTAGGGTTGCCATTCCTGCTCCGGTGGTATCCTACCTGGGCCGAGAGGTGCTCTCATTCGTGCGCCTCGATCCTTCTAGATGATTAAGTGGTTTTCTTTGTCTTATCTAAGCTCTCGTTGTGAGAGGTGTACGGCAGTCCCGGGTGTCTTGCCACTCTAAAGGGCTTCGGGGCCTGAGAGCTTTGAGAAATTGAAATTGCTATCCGATCATGAACAGGCAAGCGCGCTTGACAAACTACATGGAAATTTACTCAAACGGGTGTGATTTCCCATCCATAGATGTTCCGGTAACACATCGGATGTCCCGGAAACGATACCTGATCTATGGATGACAGCGAGCAGCCAAGCCCACCAACCATGTTAGCAGGGCTTATAATTGAATACAACACAGTGGAAATTAACTTGATTAGATAGATTACAATAACGGTACAACCAATACCCTATCCCATGTCCCATGTCGACCCGATATACGGCCGTGAAGATACATACATCACTCCCTCACGCCAGGGAATGGCCATACCCTAAGTCACTGAATTCATCACTTTCTATCATCTACAATAATGAATGATATATTTTCTTCCTTATATAAATCCCTTTTCTCCCACTTTTGGCCTTATCTTCTTTTCCCTCCAAACAATCCTCTTGGGTCGATAGACTCTATAGTCTCTGGCTGAATACCATACCTAATGCAGAACTCAACCTGCTGACAGATTTCTACAACATGCAGGAACCCAGATGATACCTACAGCTACAGAATCCATCCTACTCAACCAAATCTTGAAATTGACTCAAATATACAATATGGGAGTCCTTTCGAGCCATATGCCTAAGCGATAAGCCACACTCCTCATTACCGCGGCACTTGATCCAATACTCTAAGCAGAAAAGCCTGCCGTATCTAATTTACATAAAACGTCATAAATTAAATCAGACCAAATAACATCAAACGAGACTCCCCAAAAAGAGAGGTTCATGGTCTACTACTGCCGTCTGGCTGGGTGGGGGAGCTATACACTCAACCAAAACAAATCTATACCAAATTTGAGATCTATTTCCAAGTCGGTGCATCTCAGACAGAGGTTTCTCGATCACAGACTATAATTTAGGGCAAATCGCCCGTGACATTTGCAATATCATAATGGATTCTGGATACAGCGTCTGTGGATACACGGGTTACTTTATTTGGTTCGGATGTATTGCATATGTGTGTGCAATGTCTGCTCATATTCTATTTAGTTGATCGAAGTGATTGGTTATAAGGTGAGTATAACCTCCCCCAATCGGGGGGTTGGGTGGGTGGGCTGAATGGACATGGTTATTGAATGATTGGTAAGTCAATTTTAATATCATTATCATCGCTTACATCCACTTATTGCTATTACTAAAAAACTAATAAGGTAAATACTAATATACAATATCCTATCTAGACTCCTCAACTACACCTTCTCAACTACCCTATCCACACAACAGAAACCAACTCACTATATAAACATAAAAAGGTTAAACCTGCTTCCTTAACAAAAAACCTATTCCATCAACAAGAAAGCCATCTTACACCTACTCCTACCCCTGGCACATGCAAGATACAGCCCGGGGGTTAATATATTGCACTATTATCAAAAAAGATAAATGGGGTTTCCAAACACGCTAAACTAAACCAGTCCTCAGAACTGGAAAGGATGGCTGCAGTCAGATATACTGGGTTGAGCCCTGGAACAACTGTGTGCAGGAGGGGCATTAGGGCGGACGAAGAAAATACAGCCAGATGTTCGTAAAGAATATATCTGGGTGGTTAATGGGAGATCAAGTGGCATACTTTAGGATTTATTTGGGCTGATTTGCATAGACAGGGATGTGAAAGCGAGGATTGCAAATGACATCGAGGAGGGGATTCTATGGGTTAGGGTTGGCTGACTATTATCGAATTAGGACTGAATTGGGGGGATGAGTCGGCCACTGACAGTGTTTATGGAGATGTGGGAATTGCGTGGGCATACTCTTTGATTGGAAGTTATATTTTCTATTCTTCTGGGATAAGGGAGGTGTTTTCTCTCTGTCTGTTGTAGTCCCAAAAGATTTTTGAGGGACTTCTGGAATGCTCGGAAACTGTAACAATATAATTAAATTGAGTATTATCATGCTCTGATGGTTTATATTTTCCTCATTAGAAGTCTAACTGGTGATTCTGTTGATTTTCATACTCTCATTTTCTCAGACAAATGCTAGGCGCCTGCAGTTTTCATCTCATCTTTAGCTACACCCTGGATTGTATCTATACCAGGTTTGCGTCACCACTGGCTAGATAATTCATTCCGTTCCTACGCACTTCGTCGCCTTCATAGGGCTTTGGCAAACGCCACCGAAGCCCTACCACGAACAATGCCCACCATCAACCCGCAGATCCGCCCCCGTCATAAAGCTACTTCCATCACCAAGCATAAACAGCACTGGTGCTCGGAACTCATCCGCCGTACTTAACCGAAACAGCATGTTATCTCCTATCCACTGGCTCTCCATACCGGGTTTCTGGAGCGCTTCGGCCGTCGCTGCGGTACGGATGTATCCCGGGGAGAGTGAATTCACCCTAATTAGAGGCATTCCAAGACGGGAGCCCCATTCTGCAGCTAGAGAGCGCGTCAGTTGGTGAACAGCGGCTTTACTGGCGTTGTATCCGGCGGTGTCGACGCCCTGATGTGAAGTATTAGCAGTTACTGGACAGACATAGTTCATGGGTATCAGGACTGACCTTATTCGACACATACCCACTCATACTAGCCACAAAGACCATACTACCCGTGGTATTTGTCTTCATCATCTCCCGAGCAGTTGCCTGAGCTATGAGGAACGTCCCGGTGACATTGATATCTAGAACACGACGGAATGTTGATACGGGAAATTCAGTAGCGGGACCATTCCGAGATAGACCGGCGCAGGCGACCAGGCCTTTGAGGGGGTATCTTAGGGTAGGGATGAAGTGGGCGAAGGTTTTTTCGACTGCTGTTTCGTCCGTCACGTCGAGGGGGTAGTAGGTCAGTTGGCCTGAGTATTTGGTAGCGGTGGCTTGAACTTCGTCTGTGATCGAGGTTTGAGGTTATTATGGCTGCTTCATTGATTACGAGTATGAGACTCACTCCAGTTCGAAGCGGTCGGTTCGGAAGCAAGGTCGAGGCAGACGACATCGCCGCCGCTTTCGAGGATGGCGATTGCGAGTGTTGTTCCTAGAAAACCAGTAGCTCCGGTGACTGTATTCGCGATCTGTAGTTAGCAGACGTTAAGTTAGGAGTGAAACAGGGATTCTCACTTATGATGGTCCGATTGTCAAGACGAAAGAGCTCTGAGACGGGGCGTGAGGGGTCGCCTTGGGAGGGTTTGGCTTCGCGAAACTCGAGGCCGTGGACGTTGCAGTCACTTCCCATACTCATGGTGGAAGAGGCACTGAGGGGTTGATGGAAAAATCAGATGAAAGGGTGAATTTTTCAGCAGCAGAGATTGATCTCAAGGAAAGAGGAGGAAGACAGTATAGGTCTCCAGGACTTCATAACCCCACATCAAGCGGGGCTGCTTCTTCCTTGTTGATGCATGGAGAGTCAGGCTGCGCGTAGTGACCCCTCACGGACGGGCATTCCGTCTTCCCCGCCGAGCTGGGTTCAGTTCCCCTATAGGCTGTGTGTCCCCTCGGATTGATCGGACTCGGAGCATATCCCCAAAGCTCCACCAGCGGAGACACGGCCCGACCGTGGGGTAAGACATAAGCTCCAGTGGTAGATGTTCACTCTATAGCTTCGTTGAATAAATATGTGAGGGCAGCAATGTAAACTGCGTTCTCCGCCCGAAAGCTTATGGTTCTGTCCCTATTGTCGGATACATGTAGTGACAGTCATTGGTGTATACTTCAATACTATGCTCCCCTTTAATTGTTCAGATGTGGCCCAAGCAAGGCAAATATGAAGATCGATGGAAAGCGTTGCCAGCGAAGCTAAGTTACTGGTCGGTCATTCGAAGCGAGGCGTGTATCTATCCTGATAAGAAAATCTTTATCGGTATGTGATCAAAGCTTATTCTGGGTCGGATACAGCCGGGACGACCTTCGATTGTTTGAAAGGTTGAGATACCAAGCCCTCCTCAGATGAATGTGTCTAGAAGAGCTCGAAGGATGTGGTTAAATCATGGCTTGTATACGGTTAAATTTTAGCCTTATATATATAAAACCCACAAACAAAATCCCCATAATCCGATATGGTGTAGTGGCTAACATCGCCGTCTCTCACACGGCAGCCGGGGGTTCGATTCCCCCTATCGGAGCTCAAATTTCATTTTTGGAAAAATTCTATTTTTGCTCGCAAGTGGAGTACTCACGGGACATGATCAGACATGGCATTATTTGCCATTAACAGGTCCTATTCCTTCCTTCCGTGGAGGCGGCATCGACGATGGGCTGGGAGCGGCTTCGATTGTCTTGGCGCGTTCAGACCTTGGGATGAGCTCTTGGGAATCTGTGAGCTAATTTTTGAGCATGTTGCACAGCGTGCTCTTGTAGTTATCTCTTTGACAAGACAAATCTTCCGGCTTGGTAGGAGGTGTTGTGACTTGTGCGACGAACACTTTCCCAGATCATGTCAGTTATGGTGATGATGACGAGGGTTTAGAGAGGAGAGTAAGTAATTGACTATGAGGATGAACGAAGTAACCCGTCATACCATGAAATTGTGATATTCACGCGGCCTGTGTAGAATGGTACGACTATTAGCTGAATAGAATCAGGGACTTAATAGAGCAATGATAACCTTGATGACATCCGAGGACTCAAAACAACTATCTTCTATCTATCTAACCACGGGTCTTATCAGGACTAACATCTTGATCGTGACCGTCAATACGAAAACAGAAACCTCAATCTCGCTCGATATCTGGAGGAAGCAAGGAATATTCGACAGTCTCAGCACCTTGAGAATTGCCTTCCTCTATTCCATTACCTTGTGGACCCCGATCGGTCTGATCGACATCACCGTTTGCAGCGATCTCAGCATCCACAGTATTATCGGTTTCTTCAGATCCTTCCGCACACTTTTCAGCCACGGTACGCACCCTCCCCTGATCATCGAAGAAATAAGCGACAAGATCTTTTTTACGGCCCTCCAAGCGCTGAATCTCTTTCTTCGCGTTACGTATCTTGCTATTGATCACCTGTAGCTCATCGCTCTATCTCCACTTAGTGTTTATTATCGAGCGGTGGCCGCCTTGGTGGCGAGGGATAAACGTGGCATACAGCTTTTGTGAGTGTCCATTTTTTGAATTGTTCCAGCTGCCGCTTCTGGTAGCTTGCCCTGCGTCTTTGGCGCCTGGACATCTAGAGCAAAGAGATGTTAGCGTGACGTGAATGGAGGCAAACAAGTGGGATATAGGTACCTTGGGAGGCGTTGGACTTTGCCAAGTAGCATCTGCCTGAGTGTCCGGAAACATTTGCGCCTGCCACGAGGGCTGGGGTGCTGTCGATGGGTGGTAGGATGGGTTGATTAGAATGGAATATATAACCAGGGAAGAATACAAGGATGATGATGTTTTTGATAGAATATAAAGTGGTAAAGTCAAAGAACGACGGGCGTGCAATGCACAGTATGGATAGAATTGTGGATTGTAGTTGTGGGTAGATGTACGATGGCGGCAGAAGTAGGATCTCTGTTGAGTATTTTTATTGAAGTTAGTGGAGACATCAATATGGAAGGTGCACGACGCCTGAGCACCAAGCTTTTACCTGACATACTTTCCTCAGGAGGAATCCCATATTCTACAGGACGTGGGCTTCAACAGTCACATTAGAACTAAAGGAAAATTAGCCTGTACAAGTGACTGTATAGTCAAGATTCTAATATAGATCTAGAATTTTAAGATATCTAGTCTATACTGAATCATTAAATCATATGAAAGAAATTACTATATATATCTATTTGTAAAGATTTCTTTGAATTACCTATCAACTGCTACATGTTTAGATCTGAATTTCGATGTTGATAAGAGACCTTAGTACCGGGCAGGATATACTGCATATATAACTATTATACACATATTAAGCAACTTCATTGTATTAAATGACAAATTAACCAATGCATCAGTCCTCTTTACCCCCAGCATTGTCCTCTACGTTTCCAGCTGCAGGGGCTTTCTGATGGCGCAAAACCTCTTCAGCAAGTTCATCCCCCATAGCACGCCAGACTGAATCGTCTTTCATCTCGGCTACTATTTTGAAAATGCGTTGGATCCAATACGCCTAGGACGTGTATCACATATTAGTGCCATAATATCAAGTGATAATTATAATGAGCAAGCTTGGCTTACGAGCTCCTCCGCGGTCACCAGATTCACCGAAGCTTCACTGAGGGCATTCGAGTGGCGGTTGCGACGGCGGCGCTGCTGCTAAGACACACATCAAGTCTTAATAAGGGAAGCAAGGGCAAAGACAGGACTTTGTTACTTCGGTAGTCATCTGGATAGCAGGAGATATTGACCAAGCACGAACAATGTTTGTGTGCACGCGTGTGTAAGTGCTGGAGACAAAGGTTTTTGCTAAGTCAAAGAGGAAGAGGAGAACTACAGAAATTGTCTACATTTTTGTAGAATTTTATGTGCGTACTGTACTACAGCCTGTATGGTTTAATTGTTTGTGACGAGGTGGATGGACTTCAATGCCTCTCTGTATACAATTTGTAAGGCTCTCATTGACAATGTTTCACCTATACGTAGTACTTCACTGTATGGGGTAAGCGGGCCAATGACAGTCTGCCTTGGCGTATCAGTACTTGCTTACTTGCTCAGTTATTGGTATGCGGAGGTGGTATTAATACAACAGCCTCTAGGGGTTGTACTCCAGGCTGTCGCTGGCAGTTAGTTTCAAGTCGGCTGATCTGATACTGCCCAACTATAGCGGGCTTGGGCTGAGCAGATTGTGTCAGATTCTCCGCAACGAAGATTTATTTTCCAGCACAGCATACTTTCAAGTAGACTATACCTTCTCTCCTTTCTCCCCACCTCCCACGGTCCGTTATCGAGTGTGCCTGCAACGTCCTCACTCCAGAATTCATACATAATTGACCATGTTGAGAGGAGTATACTTGCAAGGAGGCGCGCAACTTGGAAATCCGGGCTAAATCCAATATCTCCGCCAAAAATATCATCCAAAGCCAGGATTTCATCGTGACCTTCTACTGAATAACGCGCAAACTAAGAGGCCGCTCTGATTTGACCGGAGTCGTTCGAATAACATTTCCTAAGATCAATGTCAGCTAGGTGAAAATGCTAACTTTGTTCACAAAGCAGGGTATGGGTCATTTTGCCATTGCTGATAGCGAAACTTCCGCTGGAAACAGCATCGGACGCGATGGGCTCGTGGGGTATACCGGTGATAGGGCAACGTGTTCTTGGGTACGTTCTGTGGTCCCTTTCTATCAACAAGCTGGCACTTAGTTACCTAGTACTACTGCTAAAAATCTTCTTCATCTTCGCGCACAAGTAATATTCGAATACGGTCTCCGCTTTCTTGAAGAAAGCACGGTTAATATACACATTGGAGGAAAATGACTGGAAAGAAATAGGATTTATATCATCGACGCAATAGCCAATCAATGAAATGGAACAATGATTTGATGTCTGGTTTCTATACGATAGCGATACTTCTTGGAGGGAGTTATTGTGTTTAAACGTGGCATGTTCGCATTCATCTCGCGAGACAGGCTAGGTGATTTAATTTACACCAGGATATGCAAGAAATAAGTAACGTAGATTGCCCGCAGCCGATCTAGCGTGCTGGGGGTGGACATACATAAGACATATGTTTGGACTACCACTATATTGAAAAGAGCTCGTCTTGGCTTCACCCGATGAGGGCTACTGGACTCCAACACCACGTTGAGGTGCGAGCTCGAAGCTGGAGGGGGGCAGGGGCAGGGGCAAGGGGAGGGGGGAGGAGGGGGGAGAGGGACGATGGACGATGGATGATGGAGAACGAAGAGAGGATTTATGGGCGATGGGCAAGGGAGGTTTGGGGGGGGTGTGAAGGAGAGGAATGGAGGAAGATGGTGGAGGATGGAGGAGAATGAAGAAGATAACAAAACAGGCTTTAAGCTCAATGTGTCGTCATTTATACGGCCCTGGTCACGCGGTCTCGTACCGTCATCGTAAGTGTACGGTCCTTACATAGTACCTAATATGTACACCTCGAGGTACTTTTACAGGTAGTAATAGTTTGAGCCGTGTTCTGGGTATGACTGTCTAAAGGGGTGTCATACTAATAATGAGGATTTGAAGGAATACTGCTGGTATCAGCACAGCCCTATAACTGAGCTAAAATATTCTGACAGTCGTAGATATCAATCTCCAACGACAGACCCACATATCAAGCTTTGTAGGCAATGTAGAACCTAAAGTTCCTTCTAAAACTCTATCTTAGATGCTAGAAAGTCTAATAGAGTGTGATAAGAATTGGATTGGTGTAATTATGCCCTTATCGAAGGGGAAAGGAAGAAAATAATCTTCTATAATTAATAATTCTATAACTCGATCTATAACCATTCCCTAGACAATCAAACAACCCCTGAATCCAATATGTCCATCACTTTCGCAGTCTGCGAAAGCCCATGCTCCTAATCTTACCCCCAAATCCCATCAGTACCACCACCCCTACAAACCCAGGTATCGTGAACAGCCCAGCGGAGCCAAACACCCAGCCCGGGCCAACACTATTGTACCATGGTGTGATAAATACTGTCGTGAGCAAGCCCAAAATAAGTCTCCAGATACCCAGTGCCGCCGCCACCTCTGATACGTGATCTGGGAAACACTCGCAAAGATATGTCATCGTAATTGGAAGGATTGATATCGCACCCACACTGATGAGAAGGTATCCGAGCGCCAAAATCGCCCAATGAAAATGATACTCCAGGCTTGCGCCAAAGAGGCCAAGGCCGGTGGGGAGCAAGATCACTGGAAGCCAGAGACAGTGGAGTCGGAGTTCTGGACGCCAATCCGTGGGTTCAATATCATTTGTATTGAACTTTCGGTGAAGGAGATAAAGCGGGAGTCGGTCGCTAATGAAATGGCCGTAGACTTCTGCTAAGAGAACACCGATTGTTTGGGTGAGGGTGACTGGTATGTAAATCAGCGAGTTGCGTGGAAAAAGGAAGGTCTCGAGGCATACATGAAGCCACCGCCATCTTCGACATGCCATATCCACCTTCATCTCGGGGTGCCTCGAGAAATGTAACGTTAAGGATGAAAGACATTGTAGCGAAGCCAAAGTCGACCATGATGAAGAATCCCATTATAATGGAGACGGGAGATACTGTGACGAGGAGAATATCGAAGAGAATAAATAGCTTTGCGTTCTTAGTATGAGTGTTGAGTAACAATTGGGGAAGAAGGGGACTTACAAACTTCGCCCAACTAGCTCTAGACGAGGGTGGTATTGCCCTTCCTCGTGCATAAGTGTTCCATTTTCGCTGTAACAAGAAGACATGCGTTTGTTCTTCCCCCGTAAAGTGTGTATCTTCCAGAAAAGCGAGAATTAATATAGCCAACACACCGTTCAGAGGTACCGTATACCAGAAGGAGATTGTCCAAGAGGCCCGGCTATCAATATATGCACCTATTGTCGGGCCCATAGCGATCCCCAGGAGATAGGGAATATGGAGGAAATGAAGGCATTTGCCTCTTTGATGACGAAAGAAGGTCTGCAAAACGACTTCTGAGCCAAGAATTAAGGGAACGCTTGCGCAGAGACCGGCAACCAGACGAGAAACCAGGAAGGGATTGTAGTCTGATGAGCCGGCCATCAGGGCAGACCACACCGAGGTGAGAAGGAGGCCAATAGTCGACCAGAAGAGACAAAAGCAGGAGCTGTACCGACGGCTAAGAGGGACTATGAAGATGGCACCGACCATGAGGCCAATAAGCGCGAATGAGACCTATCGTTTTCAGTGATATGTCTCCGTGGTCCTAGTATGCCGCTTACGGAGAGAGAAATCTGGGTTGCCGTCTTATGGTAAAGCGGCACCTGAAGGTATGATCCTTGTGTGTTCGTCGTAGCAGTCACTTGACAGGAAAAGCAGGCCAATGCCCAAATTGAGAGTGTCAAGGCCTTTCTCGAGGGCTTCCAGTTCTAACTCCCCGTCAACTCTTGTTCGCACTAGTCCGAAGAAGCACATACCAATGGGTCATTGGGGTTGTCTGACGGCTGTGGGTCGAGCACGAGGCCATCGGGGGTAGTTTTGAGGCCATGAACAGCCTCCTGGGGCTGGCTTTCCTCGAGCATGGTAGTTGAGTTGGTGACTGCCGGGTTGTCCGACCTGTATTATGGAGGTTCATGATGGTGATGAAGTGAGTGAGCCCCTTGCGTCTGAGTAGTCGGCGAAATACCAGCCGATAAGCTTAACTATGTTGCTATACTGAGTAGTATAGCTGTGCGTATCTAACTGGATTGCCACTGTCTGGTACGGAGTACTCCGTAGGTAGTCGGACTGTTGTCGGGGAAAAAGCAAGCGCCAGTTATGCATGCAGGTGGTACTGTACTGCCAACTACATGGATGGCTCTTGCGGCCGGTCCGAGCCCCCCATCCCTCTGCAGCGATACCCGACCACCCCTCTTTCATCCTACCTCATACCCTGAGACTCTAGGAGAGTCGCTATCGATCAGAAATATCACTTACTCACATCATGACCGTGAAAGAGTCGCCGTTCACCATCGACAACCTTCCCTACGGGGTGATTTCCACCGCCGAAACACCAACTCCGAGGTGCGCCACTGCTTTGGAAGAAGATGCCATTGACTTGAGTGCACTCGAAAGAGATGGATACTTCAAATCCATCCCAGGGTTCAAAGGCGAGGTCTTTTCCATGGTATTGAATGAACTTCCTCTACCCCGGGATATTGTCTAACTCCTCCAGCCAACCCTAAACAAGTTCGCCTCACTTCCGAAAGAAACGCACATCCAGACCAGAGCAGCGCTTCTCGATCTCCTCTCAGATAACGATATTCGCAAGAACTATGCCATCCCTCTATTGGAAGTCCAAAACCATCTTCCCATGGAAACAAAGAACTTCAGCGACTTTTACTGCTCGCTCGAGCATACCAGAAATGTACGTCGACACTTTCATACATACACCCAAACACTGACATTGACAGTGCTCCGAACTTCTATCCCTTAACCTTCCACCTTCATGGTTTTCCATCCCCTCCGTCTATAACGGACGGCAGAGCAGCCTCCGCATCTCTGGTACCCCAATCCGCCGACCCTGGGGCGTGACACTCGATCCCAACAGGCCCAATGACCCACCCGCCTTCAGACCCAGTTCGCGCTTTGACTTCGAGCTAGAAATGGGCGTTTACCTATCCCGTCCCCATCCCCCAGGCGAGATTCTCAGTATCAGCGACGCAAAAGACCACATCTTCGGCCTGGTGATACTGAATGACTGGTCTGCAAGGGATATCCAATCATTTGAGATGGCACCCCTAGGCCCATTCCACAGTAAGGGCTCCGGAACGAGCATCTCGCCGTGGATCATACCTATTGAGGCGCTGGAAGGATCGCTCTGCAATGCTAGACCACAGGATCCCGCCCCGTTGAGACATCTGGCCTGGAAGGGAGAGGAAGGTGAGGCGACGTTTGATATTGAATTGACGGCGAGGGTCATACGTAGGTCTATTATCCCTCTACCAATGCAATACTAATAATTCTTTAGGAAAGGGAAAATCATACACGATCACGGAAACAAATCTAAAGGAGCTCTACTGGACGCCATTCCAACAAATCACTCATTTATGTAGTGCTGGCGAGGGGCTCTCGACAGGCGATATCTTTGGGACGGGCACCATAACCAGTGATGTAAGTCATCCCCTTCATTTATCCATCTGTACTAACAAAAAAAGCGCATCAACGACCAAGGTGAACAAATTGGTGTTGCATGTCTTCTCGAACGAGGTCTAAAAAGAAATGTCCTCTCCGAAGCCAGCAGGGACGGTCTACAATTTCTAGAAGACGGAGACGAGGTAGTCATGGAAGGATGGTGTGTCAACCACCTCACAGGGGGGAAATTCGGCTTTGGAGAATGTCGTGCTATGATTCTTCCTGCTTTGGCTGATGGAGCGTGGGAGTGATGTCGCTTACAATTTACCAACCGCACGATCAAGTCTACAACATCGGTCACTCTATTAGCACACTAATCTAACCACTATCTATGTATATCAAGTTCAGCACGCCACTCCATAACCCACACAAAACCCACACAAGCCCCCAACCAATAACAAACCCAGCCACATTTATCTCCGAGTAACCTACCTCATTCGGCAACCACTCACATAGACAAGATATCTACATAGTACTCCCGCCAATCCAAGAATGCAAGACAGGTAAGCCACCCTTCATTCCCAATCCAGACACATACATACCCTCGCCAATCAAAACACTCCCGTCCCGTCCCATCCCTCGTCAAGCTGAAGACCTCTGTCTGTCATCGATGTCTCGCAAGCCTCATTCCGATCCGCGGAGGATAATCAAGTATCTGCATACGTAAGAACAGATAGATAGGGTCCCTTTTCCGAGATTGCAATATTGATCCTCCTTGCTTATTGCCTATACGAGCTGAATAGGGAAGGGATCGGCGGACTTGCAGTCAGCACTTCGTACTCCGTAAGGAAGGACAGATCAGATGAATGGAATGACATGACTTAATTAATGAATGATACGGTCGTATTTTGTGACGATTAGTGGTTGTGTATGGAGTAGGTAGTAGTTGTATGGGAAATGAGTGGGGATGAGTAATCGGGTTTGGGTTTGGGCCATCTACACCGTAACAGATCTGTAATGGCAGGTCGGTTACTACCCGGGCGCAATTAACCTCTTGATGTAAGGCATATTATTAGCTAAGGTAGTCGGGCAAAAAGAAACACTCTTGAGCCATTTTACCTACCAGTCATCGGACAAGGTGTCATGAGGGATTAATTTGGAGGAAGGAAGAGGGGGAAGAGGCGGGGGCGGCGCACAAACAACGGTTTCCTTCACATCACGAGCCTGAAGCACCCAACTACCTGAAATAAGACCAAAACTTTCACTTTGAATTCTCTAGCTAAATTTATTCCTATTGTCATCAAACATGATCATGAATTATTACCCACGAAGGGCTCATTCGCTTCAACAGGGCGCTACGAAATCGGGGCATCTCATCGAGGTGGCATAGACGGCATGCAACCGCATCGCTCATGCTTGAGCTCCAGATCATGAATCGCCCATAAAGATGGGTCAAACATGCCTGCACATATGAGTCCTGTCGTTAACACGGCAAGCCATCGTTCCGGGTCGGAACAGCCCTACTCAGATGCTGACGATGTCCACACTGTCGCAGTCGCGTCAATGTACCGTTCATCCCAGTGCGCTTTTCATTGGGATCCCATCAATCCTCCCCAATATGCCTTGCCTCTAATTCTCGAGGGTGACCTTGACCTTCTTCTCAGGCGGAGGAACAACCTCCTTCTCGGTCGCGCCGGTGAGGTTCGGGAGCTCGGTGACGGCCTCCTTGATGATGTCCAAGGCCTTCTGGATCTCGTCATCGGTGATCACCAAGGGCGGCGCCAAACGGATGATGTTCTCGTGAGTTGGCTTGGCCTAAATGAAGTCAGCGTCTGATTGACCACTCGAATGGGCAAGGTAACTTACCAACAAACCCTTGGACTTGAGCAGCATGCAAAGGTCCCACGCAGAGTGCCCGTTGGTCTTGGACTCGTCAATGACGATGGCGTTGAGCAGACCCTTGCCGCGCACCGTCTGGATGACGGGGCTTCCAATGGCCTGCAGACCGTCGCGGAAAACGTGACCGAGCTTTTCGGCGCGCTCAACCATGTGCTCCTCCTGGACGACCTCGAGCGCTCGGATAGCGACCGCGCAGGCTAGCGGGTTACCGCCATAGGTCGAACCGTGAGTGCCCGGCTCGATGGTGAGCATAACGTCCTTCCGACCCAGGACGGCGGAGACGGGGTACATGCCACCGGAGATGGCCTTACCCAGCAGCACCATGTCGGGCTTGATCCCGCTCCACTCGTGGCAGAGCAACTTGCCAGTACGGGCAATACCGGTCTGGATCTCATCACAGATCAGCAGTACGTTATGCTTGTCACACAGGGCTCTGGCCTCCTGCAGATAATCCTCGTCAGGAACCACGATACCTGCCTCGCCCTGAATGGGCTCCACCAGGAACGCGGCCAGACTAGGCCCCGCCTTCTCGAAGGCTTCCCGCAAAGCCGCCTTATCATTGTATGTGATAGGCTTATCCGTTCCGGGAATGGTGCAGCCGATACCGGGCAAGTAAGGGCCATAGTTCTCGCGTGATTCGGGGTCCGAAGAGAGGGAGATTGCAGCGAACTAAGCCAGACATTGCTTAGGTTAGTCATGGTCGAGGGAATTGAGGGGGTCTCTGAGCACTTACCGTGCGTCCGTGGAAGTTGTTCTCCGCACTCAGAACCAGCGCTTGGTTCTCCGGGATCCCCTTGACCTTATAACCCCACTTACGGGCGATCTTGATGCCGGTCTCGACAGCCTCCGCACCCGTGTTCATGGGCAAGACCATGTCGAAGCCAAAGTACTTGGTCACAAATTCAGCGAAGCGGGGGAAGACATCGTTGTAGAAGGCACGGGAACTGAGGGTCAACCGAGAGGCCTGGTCGACGAGAGCAGCCACCAGCTTGGGGTGGCAGTGACCCTGGTTAACAGCCGAGTATGCGGACAGGAAATCGAGGTATTGGCGGCCCTCCGGATCCCAGACTGTGGTACCCTGTGCGCGAGCAAAGACGACAGGGAGCGGGTGGTAGTTGTGAGCAGCGAATTCCTTCTCGGCCTGGATGGCCTCCTGGGTGGTGGCAGCATGGTACGTGCTAACACCGTTCACACCGTTGACACCGTTGGTTCCATTGGTACCGTTAGACGCCATGATGAAAGAAAGGAGGGGCAATCGATGTAGTAAGTGGGTGGATGGGTGGGAGAAAGAAAGGGAGGGATGGATGGGAGGCAGTGATAGGAAGAGGGACGGGATATCTGAAGTATAAGATAAGAAAGAGCGGACGGAGAGAAAGTGGGAGGGACGCGGTATAAGAAGGACGAGTCCACGGACGGGAGAAAAGCAGCAGCGCCTGGAATGCTTCACCGATCCGGCTCACCAGCAAGAGGATTGTGACTGAATATTTTTTCCAGAGCCGAAGCTATACCGTTAAGTGCAGGTTGACGCGGAACGGACTCCTAAGTGCAGGTGGAAGCGATCATGATGTCTTTCTGACTAAGGCGCCGCTCCGATCCACCGCCGTCTTCTCCCCAATCGCCCTCGCAACCATTCATTGTCGCGCCATTACTCTCGTCCGCCCCACGGCGGATCTCTGCGCTTGCTATCGGCCCGGGACACTAGTGAACTTCCAGTGGACATTGGTTGGTGAGAAAGGGGACCAGGTGGTATCGACTCACTTTCACGCCTCCTTCCACGACCGTCGACTTACATGGCGCGCCTGACCCGTGACTACTGATAGCCTGAGTACTAGTGCTGCAGCCGACGCGACGGTGGATTGCTGACATCACACAAACCACCACCACCACCATCATCACCCCCGTCGTACAGGCTACGTGACTACGTCAGTCCAAAGGCCCCATAACCTAAATCACCACAAATCCGGGGAACCAGGCGTGTGTGCCTGACTACTTACCGACTAGGTCCACCGCGATCATGTCGGAAGTTCGTCGGCGACGGAGAGCCTCCTCGTCGCCCTCCTTATCAAGCGTGGAATCCTCCGACTCGGACCTGAGGCCGCCCTCCCCGGCCGCCTCGCGCTTCTCCGCCCTCCTCTCCACTCCGCCATCCGTCTTTCGCGTCTTCCTCCTCCTCGTCTCCTTCCGTCTCCTGAACGCATTGACCGTCCGAACTTTCTTCCAGCCCGATGAATTCTTCCAGTCTCTCGAGCCGGCCTGGCAGGCGGCCTTTGGAGACACCCATGCCCCTTGGATCACTTGGGTGAGTTTTCTTTGTTCATTGGGCCCTCTCGTCTGCACCGCCCCTGCATCCCCAAGACGAACACCTCTCCCTCCCCATCCGCCAATCTCCTGGGCTCCAGTAACTAATTCATGACGATGTCATCATACAGGAATGGCGCCACCAATTGAGATCCTCCCTTCATCCTCTTCTCTTTACCGCTGTTTACTCCACCGCCGACCTGTTCGCTCGCCTTCTCCGCCTTTCCCCCGCATGGCAAGCGGAGCTTCTCATTGCTGGCCCTAAAATAGTGCAGGCCATTATCGCGGCCGTCGGGGACTTTTATACTTGGCGATTGGCTTGTTATGTGTATAATCCATTGTCCCAGGAGGCCTGGGCTGCGGTATGTCTTGGAAAACCACCATCCGTTGCAGCAAGACTGATGGGAAACTTAGCTGGCTTTGACCGTTGTCAGTCCCTGGCAATGGTTTTGCTCCACCAGGACCCTGTCGAACTGTCTTGAGACCTCCCTCACTGTCACTGCCCTTTGTCAGTGGCCGTGGGAATGGTCGCTAGGTCCCTTGAGTACACCTGGGTCGGACGAATCCACACTGATACTCGGGGTTAAAGCCCAAACAAACGAGGTGCAACCTGACGGTCATGTCCTTACCAGGTACGGGCATATGTTCTCAGTCAATCATATAGGCGAGTGCTCATTCATTCTTTGGAGATAGGCTCCGACGATGCCTTTTGCTCGCGGCTGTAGCGTGTATACTGCGTCCCACCAACATCCTGATTTGGATGGCCCTTGCTGGCCTGATGTTGTACCGGAACAACTGGCCACGACGGGTTATGCTTGTCCGTGAAGCTTTACTTTGTAGGTGAGTTAAGCTTCCCATCAACCGGTCCATTGTGCAACCCCTGCTAAAAGTTCTACAGTTCAGTTGTCCTAGCCGTATCGGCTACAGCAGATCGGTTCTTCTACGGGTTTTGGACTTTTCCACCTTTCCGGTTCCTATACTTCAATCTTGCGCAATCGTTAGCTGTCTTCTACGGGCGAAACGACTGGCACTACTATGTGTCACAGGGCCTTCCTCTTCTCCTTACCACGGCCCTACCGTTCACCATCATAGGCTTGCATCGCTCGTTGGTCCAACCGACCGCGGCTGGATTCAATGAGTTACAAGCCTCAGTGCAAGTTCAGCTTGCATCCGTGTGTCTTATCATGCCTCTGGCGCTTTCCTTCATTTCTCACAAGGAAGTTCGGTTTATCTATCCGTTACTACCGTCGCTACACGTACTTACTGCTCCTATTCTGGTAAAATTCTTTGGTCCCGCAGTGAACAGGGGAAGCGCAAGATACATCCCTAGGCGCCTTATCTTGCTATTCTTGCTTCTAGTGAACGCCGTCATTGCGTTCTACACGACCTTTATCCATGCATCCGGTCCATTGACCGTGCTGTCATATCTCCGAGACCAGCGACTGATCCACGGTTCCAGCAACATGACCGATTCTACCCAGCCCGGGATCACAGCGGGGTTTCTCATGCCCTGCCATAGTACTCCGTGGCGCTCTCACTTGGTTTATCCGACCATCAACGCCTGGGCACTTTCTTGTGAGCCTCCTGTTGGGTTCAACGCCTCCGAGAAAGCGGAGTACTTGGATGAGGCGGACCAGTTCTACGCCGATCCTGACAAGTTTCTGCGCGCGAATATGGTTGGCGGACTGCGTCGATTCCCGCGGCGGCCAACTTACAACGACTACCGGAGACCTCGGCAGTTGCCCACGCAGTACCAATCCACCACCCCGCATGAATGGCCTGATTATCTCGTCTTCTTCGCTCAGTTGGAGCCCACGCTGCGGAGTCTTCTCCGTTTCTCCCCGTACAAGGAATGCTACCGCACTTGGAACACCGCCTGGCACGACGATTGGCGCCGCCAGGGCGACATAGTTGTCTGGTGCGTGGATCCGCAGGAACAGGGTTCAGAATTGCAGCGGCAACGCGAGAGCCGGGATCGCCGCTTCGACCACATCATGCAAAGTATCAAGGATTCCGTGCCTGGCGCGCGTAGACAATCCTCAGCACGCCCATGGACATCAATATTCTCTGCTCAATCGCGGTCCTGGTCCTGGTCCTGGCCATGGCAACATCGCAGACGTACAACCATCTTCGGGATCGAGTTGCCTACCTGGATGACACCGTCTTCGAAGCCTTCGAAAAGGTTGTCGTCATGGAAGCTTCCCAGCTGGGAAGAATGGAACAGGAGGTTGAACGATCGAGCAAACTGGGCTTGATTTACCTTTCACATATATAAAATTTTCTTTAGGATACAACCCATTCTTCTTGTCTGTATATTTGACTACATACCTCAAATACCCTGTTCATACGCAACAATATGGTCATACGGGGGTTGTTACGTTAGATTTCAAAACCAAAACACCATTGTTTTTATCCGGTGATCCAAAACTATATCCAACGAAGTCTATGCAACAATTTGCCTGACAAACAAACTATATACCTTTCCGTGAAGTCCGACGGAAACCTCAGTAGAGCTCCAGCAGTAGATGCTAGGAATAAGGTAGTAATATGTACCCACTCTCAAACGCCGCCAAGGATGCAACATCTTTGGTACTGTACACTTGTCCGAAGGGACCAATGGAACAGTAGATCCGAGCCATATATAAACAAGAGACAACAAGATAGAAAGTGGAAAAGATATACGGGGTAATGTGGAAGTAATGATCAATAGATTCCAAAATTGATGGAGGAACTATCCATATCGCGCACTCAAACTGGCGAATGCATCGGGACTGTGTCTTCCGCTCTGGAAGCCATTGATGTCCACGCTTTGCTGGCTCATATGGCCTCGGGGAAACCCGCCAGTGGGTTTGTTGGGCATGCCGTAGGCTGCGTTTTGCTGCGGTCCCTGTGCGGTAGGCATGTAGGATGCTGCGGCGGCGGCGGCGGCGGGGGCAGGAGCTCCCGGCTGGGTGGTGAAGAAGGGATTGCGGGTTCCCGCTTGGGGGTCTGTGATGTGCTGCTGTTGTTGTTGGGGCATAGTGGTAAAGGGGGAGGATTGTTGGGGCTGGGCATTGAAAGGGGAGGGTTGGCTGGTTTGGGTGGCTGCTGGTCCAGACATTGGGTTCGTGCCCATAGAGGGTTGGTATTGTGACTGTTCGGGAATAGAGGGCGGTTGGGGGGAGAGCTGGTAGAGAGAGAGGATGCTGTTCTTGTCGACGCGGCCGGTGGGCTGCGAGTGCAGATGTTGCGCAGACGTTTGGTATCCGAACTGGGGTTGCGCTGAGTACCCTAAGTTCTGAGGTGTAGCTGGTGCGGTCATGGTCTGGTAGGGGTTGAGGGAGCCCTGAGGTTGTTGGAAGGGCTGCTGCATTTGGAACTGCGGTTGCGGTTGCGCCTGCGCCTGCGCCTGGGGCTGTGACTGGAAGGGAGAAGGCTGGGCGAAAGGAGATGTGGAGGCCATAACAGGCATCGTATTTGCGTGTCGGAGCGGACCAAATGGGGAAACTGACGCAGCAGCCGGGGCCTGGCTTTGCGGTGGCTGCATCGCGGATAGCTGCGGTGCGGCTTGACTGAAGAAGGGGTTTGTCTGTGCGAGATTGGGGTTCGGATTGGGTGCTGGAGCAGTCAAGCTGGCCTGCGGCTGAGCTCCGGTCTGGAAGAATGGATTGTGGCCACCGTCTAATGGCTGCGGAGAAGAGACATATGGGTTCTGGGCGAAATTCGCGGGGACGGGGGGAGTGGCCGCCTGCTGGTAGAGAGGTTGAGGAAGTGAAGCCTGCCGCATCGGATAGCCTCCCGTGGAGTGCGGGAACAAGGGCTGGGCGACTTGCAGGTTCTGGAAGGACTGCTCTAGCGGCTGCACCGGGGCCTGTTGAGCTTGCAGCTGTGGTTGTGTTGGTGCATCAAAAGGATTGAAGTTCCCGCTTGGTTGGGTAGGAGGCCTGGCGTCCAATTGATCGAACGGATTGGCAGATTTGGCAGCATCTGGAGTAGGCTGAGCAACTGGAGTCTTTGGAAGCGACACCGATCCGTTGCCCTCTCCCAACCTCACCAACGTCTCAATGGTTTTGTCCAGGTTCCCGTCCAGCTCTCGAAGGGCAATTGCGTTCCGGCGCTCATTCGCAAACCCATATCCCTCAAGGTCGCCAACTTTGATTCGAATGACACATCACCCGAGCCTTTTCTCACCGATGCTCCCAGTGAGCCCGATCCGAATGTATCCGACTGGGGGGAGGCCGCAGAGCCACGATTGGACATCCGGTTGAGGTTGGTCGCGGATGAGGCGGATCGGAGCCCGAAGCCAAAAGGCCTTGCGGGTTTAGGAGGTAGAGGAGGAGGAGAGCCTTCCGGAGACCGGTCTTCCCTCGAGGACCTATCATAACCCGAATCATGACGACTGGGGGGTTTAGGTTTCTCGTCTAGGGAGCGGTGCTGGTATTTCTGCCGAATGAAGCGTTCCATGCACACATCAGACTCATCGACGTCGGTCGGGACAGGCGGCTTGACGTTTCTGGGGTTGTAAATCTTGTTCATAATGTTGTTTCCGTGCGATTTCATATTCTAGACAATCCCACCGGTCAGCGACCTCTTCTCTGCCCGAAATTATCCCGAACCCGACTCACATCAACCTGGTCGTCCGACCAGGTGTCCATACTCAAGGACTTGACCTTGGAAATATGGGTGCCCAGCTTCCGATGCAGAGATGCGCATCGCATGCAGATGAAGATTCCCAACTATGTCCAGTCCAATCAGTATACCATGCTCGTTGATGTGACAATATATGCATGAGTAAATTGCGAGACGTACGTTCCAACTAGCCCATCCTACCAGCACACGCCATGCATTAGCATCCTAGACTTGAACCAGGGGAGATTGGCAACGCTGCTCACCTGGATTCAATGCTTGGCAATCGGCACAGCGATCATTGCCAGGAACCGACCGGATGAGGTCCTGCAGCGCCCGCTCGTTGCGGAACTGCTGCCGTTTGCTGATGCCAGCCACCATGGTCGCAACGCTCTAACAGGATGGTGGGGGGTTTCGCGCAACGACAGGGGTGGAATTCCGGACTCGCAAGACGCGAGGCAGGAGAGGGGGGAGAAGTGGTAGGAGGTAGGGGGCGAATTGGATAAAAAGTCTCAGCAGCAGCAGGAGCCGAGCTTCCGGAACGGGATTCGGGGAAACCTTTAGGCTGCGAGGACAAGCATATTTAGACGGGGAAAACGTCGGATGATGAACCCGGGCAGGGGCTGGAGGGGCCGAGGGAGATAAGAGTAGGGGAACAGGCAAAAGGAGCGGCCAGGGATGAGGAGTGGATGTGGGGAGGGGAGCACGATGGCGGACAGCTAGATAGATCCTACCGTAGGTACTTGCTATTATTGCTAGATTTGCACGTTATTAATAGTTTCCCCCGAACCTTCCTAAATCGGCCCACGTTTTTCGGCAGTCCAGATTAATTCATAGTATTTACAGAATGCCTCTCCACCGCGCAAATTCGTTGTTCTTATAAATAAACCCCGAGCACGGAGGACAATGGGCTTATTAGAAATCGAGAACATCAGGGGTCAGCCCCCAACCCGCCAGGATTGGGAACTCGGGCTATTTCCAATTTTCCAGATGATCGAGCCTTACAGATGACTCCGTACAGAGGTACGGAGTACTGGCGACCATACCCATAGTAATGATAGTCCCTCATCCGAATACTAGTAGTAGTATGTAGATATCTGGGAGGTTTTCTGCGCAAAGCCGGGGACGCGTCATGATCCAACGGCCCGATCAACCAGAACCCTGACTGCCCATGCGGACTGACAGGAGGCAACCACTCGCCACACTACGTATACGTACAGAGTACGATCACACCGGTTTTACGGCTTACCAACACCCATTGGTCATCAGTGGGAATGTATGAGCAGCAGGTGACTCTCATCCACCATCGCACTTGAAGGCTCCGGGAGGAACCCAGTGCGGTCGAGGAGCCTTATAAAATGCCCGGGCTAAGTTCTTCTAGTACGCCAATATGACCTGCCATCCTATGGTCAATTAAGAAGGAACTGGAGGTTGATTATGCGTTCGTTGAAAAGTGTGAAGAAGAAAAAGAAAACGAAACACGTCCGCGCGGAAAGAAACGACTTTTTATGGGCTCCGGAATAGTGTGCCACGTGACTCTAGAAAGCGGCCTCAGGCGTCTCTTCGGATTCCCTGCCACTGGTATTTTCGTGGAGTGGACCAGCATACAATGCAGCATTATATCTACACTGAATCTCTATATCAGAATCATTGGAGTGTCCAGTGGTTTGATCCGCACAGCCCTCCCGCTCAGTGACACTTCCTGTAAAAGTTCATGCTGACGCGTCCCATGGCCAAGCTGCCTCGCCAGTCGCTATCGCGTCAGTCCGGCTCTCCAAGAGTTTGATGAGGGTTAGAGCAGTGTCAATCCCCATTTCCCGACCAATGATGTTGAAGCATCTCATGGCCCAGTCATGGATCGGGCTCAGGGCTCCGTCAACAAGCGCGGCCACAAAGAGCGGCAGAAGTAAAGTGAATCCCGTACCGGCATGGCTTGTCACAGAGTCAACCACATTCTTCTCGGCACGGCCAGCAACTCCGAACTTGTATGGGACGGAGCAGCAGATGTCAGTTGCTAGCTGTCTCGTCAGGCCGCGAATCCGCACATATTGGTCCTTGAAGCTGCCATGTTCCACACCCCATTGAGACTTCCGCGCCATGGACCCCAGATGCTTAAGAATCACATTATTGACGAGGATCCGAATGTAGCGATAGTTATTCCAAACATTGCAGGCCCAGGTGGACTGGTAAATGTGGTAGGACCCTTGGAAGTGAGTAAAGTTATGCTCGTCTTTCTCACGGGATATCACATCGTCGGGCCAGGTGCCTGTCGCATAGGAAAATTCCGCCGAGACAGTGCTAGCATAATGTGCGAGCTCCGAATCTATCATCATGGCAATTGATATTATCTCAGTGCTATCCGAGATGATCCCCTCTCTGATATCAGCCTGCAGCTCCGAGAATTTGGCCACGACCTTCACTAGTCGATCCCCGTCGACTGGAAAGGGGTGCGTCTGCAGACTGGCAGCTATCCGATCAGGCATGTCGACCAGGACAGGGGGGAGCCTTGTCTTCTTTTGTAGGCAACCGATGAGCTGCAGAGCCATCAGCCAGTGCTGAAGTTGACAAACTAGGAAACCACCTACCACCTGATTTCTAAGAGCTTGGAACATCCAGAAACCGCTTTCGCGCAGAAGCTGCTCGCTACCGCGCAGTTCAAGGAGAGTCGCAACCCCCTGTGAGTGTTCGATCCATGATTCCAGGCTTTCGTCTCTCTCACAGGCGACAATCTTGTGATATCAGTGAGAACAGATCTCTCTTAGCCAGACCAGACGCGGACTCACCTCGAACAGCGATAAACAAACGATGGCAGTGAGCGTTGTGTCTGCCCTAACCAGCACAGGGTCGCATAAAGCTGCGTTTGTCAGCTGCAGAGCTGTGGCGTACTCGTGCCGGGCAGACAGTCGCAACGAAGGTGACCTATGGAGGCTTGCAAGATTTGCCAAGCCCACCGATGCGACACCAGCCATCATGGCTTTCTCGCCAAGGGATTCAGCAGGCCCGCTGCCACGTTGAAGAGAGCTTCTCACCACACTGGAAGCATCGAACCAGGTATAGGTGTTGAGAAAGAAACATGTCCCTTGGAAGGTATGGTCCAATACAAAGTTAACTATCGGAATAGGGGACTGTCGACTGTGGTGCCCCAGATAAGCCTCAGGGGTAATCTTCTTTCTGGCTACCGTCAAAACCGGAGGCTCTGCTGGTGGGGGGCCTGTGGCTTTGTTGGCAGATCCCTTGACTCTTCGGGCTACTGACTCGCTTTCATCTCGAAACCATAGCGAGAGCGGGTCTCGATATCCGGAACAGGTCCGCTTGGCTTTTCTGCAACGGCCGCAGACTGGTCTGGCTTCGTCACACTGCCCCCATGGATAGAGTCAGAGGGGCCGGTGTTTCCGAACTAATAAGGTGGCTGATCCCAAGCGAGGCCAAGCGACTCACCTTGACTTTTCTCGCACGACAGGTACCGCACCCTTCGCTAGGCTTGCCCATCGCGAGTGGAGACTGGGCCGCACATGGACTCGGAGGTGGTGTCACCGTGTCACAGGCGCTGGCTAAATAAATTAGGAGGGTATATCAAAGTTCACATATTCCGAGAGATGAAGTTCGTATTGAAGAAAGCCACGACCCGAAACGGGTCCCAGTGGGGGCGCCCCTCTAGCCGCTTTGGGAATGCAGGGCGAGCAATCTGTGACTCTGATTGGCTATTAGCCTGTGTTCCGCGATATCGCTGTTGAAAGATCATCAATTCTTCTCCATCTTGGCCTCTAGTTGGACAAGCCCAGATGGCTAAGCATCGCCGCAAAGTTCTAATGGCTTCTTGGCTCATGTCAAAGCAGGCAGCACAGCCTTGCGGGTGCCGGCTTTGAGCCATCAAAGAAGTTGGGTGAGTATGTTAGGCTGTTAAAGGCGCACTCGAAACGAGGGTTTCCTGGCAGATTGTTAAATAGCCAACCATTTCCCTGATAGGTATCAATATGAATCAAATTTGTCCGATAGTCATCCTTCTTCTCTTCTCTTCTGTTTCATAACCACTTTTTTCTTCCTTTTCATCTTTCCGCCGCAGTCATGGCAGTCAACTACCGACATGGTCTCTCCATCCTGGAACTGATTGTATACTTTCCAGCTCTGTTCATATCGCTATGGATGGGCTTTCGCCATGGCTTCCAGAGAAGCTCCGGATGGGTTCTCTTGGTGATCTTTTCTTTGGCACGCATCATCGGCTCGTGCTGCTACCTGGCCACGATCAGCCATCCTGCCACGATAAACCTATATATCGCGTGGGGTGTTTGCACTTCCATCGGACTGGCCCCTCTGACATCCACCTGCCTTGCACTCTTATCCCGAGCGTATGTACCATCTCCTCCCCAACACAGTCAGCAAGCCGCTGACCAGATTCTCGTATTGCAGTAACGACTCCATCGAACGAAAAACCGGACGAGGCGTTCATCCCCTCCTCTTCAGACTCCTAGGTCTCATCACACTTGTGGGCATGATCCTATGTATCGTTGGTTCAACCAAGAGTACCAACCTCACGGATATCGTGAACAGCAGCGAGGCCAAGATTGGCGACGTTCTGTACCTTGTTGCCTGGGTTGGTCTTTGTGCTATGCTTCTCCTCATCGGCAGCAAGTACCAAAGCATCGAGGCCGGTGAGCACCGCTTGCTTCTGGCCGTCGGGATCTCGGTTCCCTTGCTTTTCGTCCGCCTCATCTACTCTCTCCTGTCGGTCTTCACGCATAGATCCACCTTCAATATGTTCACGGGGAATGTCACTGTTATGCTGTTCATGACAGTCTTGGAGGAGATTGCTATTGTTGTCATCTGTCTGGGAGTGGGTGTGACCTTGGTTGCACGTCCACGCACAGCGGAGTATGAAGCCTGCGACATGTCGGCCCAGGCGGGCTCTGCGCTTGAGTCTCAGCAGAGCCCTGAGGAGACGTACAACGCCAAAAGACGGCAACGTCGGCAGAACAGGAGACGTGGTGGCCCGATTACTCAACTTGTTCGACTGATAATTGATAAGATCAACCACAGAGGGGAGTGAAGGGTTTGCAATTTCTGTTGAGCTTTCGTTCGGAGTTATATATATTAGTGTCTTAGAGATAAAAATTTTGGTGAGCTTTGGAGACCTGGAATTTTAATGAGATTTGTTATGGTATATGATCTGGATCGAATTCCTCAATAGGCCGACTTGGTAGACAAGTGTGCTTGTCTCACTCAGTGTTCATGAGACGATAGCAACGAACATGCTCCGTTCGGGATCCATGTTTATACTGTGGAGGGGCTTTCGAGACCAATGTGTAGGACTGACCTCCTATCAGCTTCACATGGCATCCTATGAGTCTAGAACATGATACACATAGTAGTAGATGGACGAGGTTGCAGAGTCAACTGAATTGCCAGATCCAAGCTCTCCTGGTTGTAGTACTGCATCGGCCAACGACCGGACGAAAACACCATACTCGCTTAGGCTAGCGCATGCGTCACATGAGGCTAAGCGAGCCGCCCATCATCACGTGCTGTATTTATTTTCCTCAATTTCTTTCATCCGCAATTCTTCCCTTCTTCCTGTCACTCAACCTACCTTTCAGCCTTCACCCACGGGCTTGGAATCTTGATGGATGATTTCTTTGCCCTGGTTTGGATACGTTGATCTCGTAGATGGTCTGCAAAATGCTTGCAGTCAGTCAGTAGCACGACATCCACATGGTGCGCTTCTAGTCGTTTCAATGGCATAGAGGCATACCTTTTTTTATCGTTATCGTTCGTGGAAGATCAAAACCAAACAGTTTTTAGCAGGACTGCGTCTACTCCACCCTGGTGTTCGCTATATCGGACTTCAGGACTATTTTTACGACGGACATCTTAAAGTATATCTGTAGCTTGTGCATTCCCTACATCTGAGGATGGAATGGCGATGCTGGCAATGATGTGTGCTTTTCGTTTGTGCGGGAAGCATTCCGTCAAAGCTGAGGTGGATGTGTCTGGTGCTGGAACTGGAAGGGTACCTTGCGTACTCCGTACGAGCCAGCCCATGCCCCTTGCGTCTGGTTGCTCGTAACAGCAGACACAGATCGCCATATCTGGGGTTAACCGTTACTGCAGCTCTGAGATCAGTCATAAAGGTCTCTGAGAATTGAGAAGAGTTTTGATAGCCGAAACGGTGTTCGTCAAGTCGCAAAAGCTGGGTGTCACCGTGGCTCATCGGTACCAAGAACAGCCCAATTGATAAGCATCAAGATTACTGAACCAGATGTCTGAAAATTGAACCCTAGACGGGCTTCTAGAATGGTTCTGATTGCAACTATCGGGATAGCCAGACTCTCCCGATGAGTAATAATGGGAGAATTCTGGACGGATAAGGGTTTAGTAATGAGTGGGCGGGCCCGGAATTTACCGCGGCTCAGAAGCAGCGAGTGGCAGCGACCCGGCGCTCTCTGCCAAAGAGAATGTTCCTGTTAATAATCTGACGACGGACCCGCCCGCGGACCCATTGAATGAGTTGCTAGTCGCATCGGCTGGGATCGCTGCCGGCGGGCGTTTGCATGGAGATGGTTGCCCCTCCTGGCTCTCGACAAAACAAACACCGCAGACAACGACAATGGCATTTGCCTGGTGCGTGGGTAGGAATCAAAGACCCGTAGACTTGGAGAAGATGGTGCAGGAGCCATGGATCGAAGTGTGAGATTGCCACGGGCAGGCTGGTGGCCGGGGATCATCATTCACTCCTCACAGGCCAGAAGAGCGAAACGGCAGGAAATGCGGAGAGAGTCTTGCTGAGTAAAAAGATTCGGGCTAGAGCTCACCAATTTGAGCGTTGCCATTGGTGCCCCGTGCCTGAACGTTGTCCTGGAGGAGTTTCCCGAACTGCTGAGGTGAATTGTAGGTAGCCTATTAGTATCCCTCCCTGTCTTGGTCGTCTCCTCTTCTTTCTTCTAGTACCTTTGCTCTTCTTTTCTCTCCTCTTCTCTCCTTCTCCTCCGTCTGACACCCGAGGTAATCCATCCCATCTGTCCTGGTCCTCGTCCATCTGTGACTTCTGTCATACCTTGTTTTCCATCCGACCCCTGAACATCCGTTCCCTTTCCTCTACATTCTCTTCACAATGGCATCCGCTGCTAGAACGGCTTCTCGGGCCTTCCTTCGCTCGACCCCCGCAACCTCCTCCTTCAGACCTGCTGCTCGCAGTGCTCGGTATGCCCTCCCCTCCCAGGGCTTCCGTGCTGCTTCCCGCCGTGGCTATGCGTCCGAGGCCGGTGAGGCCAAGTCTTCCAACACCCTCCTCTATGCTGCTCTTGCTGCCGCTGGTGGTGCCGGTGCCTTCTTCTACCTGAAGGGCGGCGATGCCTCCGTTAGCTCCAAGGAGTTCGTCCCCAGCAAGGAGGACTACCAGAAGGTGTACGATGCGATTGCTCTCCGTCTCACCAACGAGACCGATTACGACGATGGCAGCTATGGACCCGTAAGTGATGCCATCATTCGATGACTCGAGGTAATTCGTCGGAAGCTGACAATTTCGTTGGATAGGTCCTTGTTCGTCTGGCATGGCACGCAAGCGGTACCTACGACAAGGAGACCGGCACTGGTGGAAGCAACGGTGCCACCATGAGATTCGCTCCCGAGTCCGACCACGGAGCCAACGCTGGTCTCAAGCATGCCAGAGACTTCTTGGAGCCCATCAAGGCCCAGTTCCCCTGGATCACCCACTCCGATCTCTGGACTCTGGCCGGGGCCTGCGCCATCCAGGAGCTGGGCGGCCCTAGCATCCCCTGGAGGCCTGGTCGTCAGGACAAGGACGTGGCTGCCTGCACCCCTGACGGACGTCTCCCCGACGCCTCCAAGGACCACTCGCACATCCGTGACATCTTCTACCGCATGGGATTCAACGACCAGGAGATTGTTGCTCTCATTGGAGCCCACTCCATCGGCCGCGCCCACACTGACCGCTCCGGCTTCGACGGTCCTTGGGACTTCAGCCCTACTGTCTTCACCAACGAGTTCTTCCGTCTGTTGGTTGAGGAGAAGTGGCAGCAGCGCAAGTGGAACGGTCCTAAGCAGTTCACCGACAAGTCCACCGGCACCCTGATGATGCTTCCCGCGGATCTTGCCCTGACCAAGGACAAGGCCTTCCGGAAGCACGTCGAGCTGTATGCCAAGGACAGCGACGCCTTCTTCAAGGACTTCTCCGATGTGTTCGTCAAGCTTCTCGAGCTTGGTGTTCCCTTCACTAGCAAGGCTGAAGACCGCTACGTCTTCAAGCCCTCCGAGTAAATCTCGAGGTCTTTGTGAATATTTGCGTTTCGGTCTAGTTTGGGTTTAGCTGCGGAGCATTGTTTTCATTTCACATTTTGATATCCGACATGTTCGATGATCATAGCCATGCGTCTTATTGAGACAGGCTGTCCTGCCGGGGGCATAAACTTTTACAGGCGAGTTGGGTGAGATATCTAGAAGGTATTAGAACAATACAGATTGTCCACCGGAATGTCAATCAGCGAGCGTAGAGCCTTATCTCACGTCTGTTGAACCAGCTGGTTCTCCATCTCGCGATCGCGTATGCAAATTTTCTTCTCATACACAATCGTAGAAAGACCCGATACCGCGACAGCGTAGCACAATGGCGGTTGTTGTCTTACGAGTCGCGTTGATCCCGTCCCAAAGTGTGGCGGCGGCTGAACGTCTCGTGCGGAAGACAGCCGACGAGAAGTCTTCACTTCTGGTAATGTCTAAACTCCCACCACCACCTCTCAAGCGACCGCAAAGAACCTACAGGGAGCAATCTCCCCAAACATACCTACGAACTGAGCGTCACTACTACATACTCAAAAATTAACCTGAACACAGCGACCCCATTCCACTCCCAACCCTCCGCCAGAGGCGCAAGAACCGCACCATGACCCGATCAACCACACTCCCCCAAGACTACTACGAAATCCTCAATCTCCCATTCACAGAAACCTCCACCGCACTCTCCAAAACTCAACTCAAAGCCGCCTACCACAAAGCACTCCTAAAGCACCACCCGGACAAGGCCGCGCCCGACCAAACCCCCCTTGACACCAACGACTCAAGCCAAAGCTACACGATCGACGAGATCACCACCGCCTACAAAACACTTTCTGATCCGTACCTACGCGCTGAATATGATCGGTCGCTGCGGCTAGATCGCGCGAGGGTCGCGGAGCGGGAAAAGACGGGCACGGTGTTTCATACGGGTCTGGAAGTTGTGGATTTGGAGGATCTTGCGTTTGAGGAAGGGGAGGAAGGGACGGTTTGGTATAAGGGTTGTCGGTGTGGTGATGAGAGGGGGTTTCTGGTTACTGAGGTGGAGTTGGAGAGGGAGGCTGAACATGGGGAGATTGTTGTTGGGTGTAGGGGGTGTAGTTTGTGGATGAAGGTTTTGTTTGCGGTGGAGGATGGGGATGAGGAGAATACGTGAGGGGGGTAGATGATTTGGTTTTGTCTTTGTCGGCGGGGATGGTCTTCGTCGATTGATGCTAGGATGTGTGTCCTGTGGGCATCGTCATGGCTGGGAATGCTGTGGTGACTGTCAGGCTCAGTTGAGGGCATTGCCAAGCGCACCTTGCTCGTCTTGCAGAGGACGATTCGAGCACGGTTCATGGTGGAGGAGCCGCAGTTGCATACTCACGGTGGAGTGGAGTGGCACTTTGACCAGGCATCATCCTTCCAGGAGGTTGGAGTATTAGACCACGGCATCGAATAGGTGCCATATGCTCCAGATGTGTGGCAAGGCTGGATTCTATCGACCTGACGCTACAGCTGCAATGGCGAGCCTGTATCCACGCCTCAGAAACCACCAGTGTCCAGCTACTATCCATTCAGATCATGACCATAGAATGAAAACCATCGAATACACACATAGTCACCATAGTAATGATTCCAAAACCCCAGCTATAAATCGTCGGCAACTTCGCACCCTTAGTAGGGGACAAGCCGACTACTGCAGCTCTCAGCAGCGGAGGGGTTGATGACATATCCATAATATATCTCGCGCCGACCAGTCAACAACCCACGTCCACTTCCTTCCACCTCTCTCCACAACACTCAGCGCGACAACGACCTCCACGATGTCGTCTCTCGTCCAGATCACCTCGCTGGAGCAATTCAGCTCACTTATAAACTCCTCTGCCTTTGTTGTGGCCGACTGTAAGCTCCCCAGCTGAAAGAAACTCCCCGCTTCGCTTCCCTTCCCCTCCCATCCATCCCACTTTGCCCACGCAACGCAACGTCACGTCACTCCATCCATCCATCCCAAACTCAACCCCGTTGTACAAGACCAACCTCACTGACACACGCGCGAGCTTAGTCTACGCGGATTGGTGCGGACCATGCAAAGCCATCGCCCCTGCGTACGAGCAGCTGGCCTCGCAGCTGTCGCGCCCGAACCGGATCACATTCACCAAGATCAACGTCGACAATAACCAGGATATTTCTCGGCAGTATGGGATTACGGCGTATGTCCTTACCTTAGAAACACCATACAAACAAAGCAAGATACTAACCTAAATACGCCATGCACCAGAATGCCCACCTTCGTCCTTTTCGAACACGGCCGCCGCACCTCCACCGTCCGCGGCGCCAACCCCAAAGAACTCAACGAGCTGGTCCGCAAACTCGCCACGGAGGCCAAGAAAACGCCCGAGTCGAGCGGCACCTCTGTCGGCGAATCCAGCGGCGTTGGTTGGAACGGGGCTGCCGTGCCCAAAGGCTACAGTGACATTACGGACCAATACGACCCGAAGGGCCTGGAATTGCTGAACCGGGACAGTGAGTTTGGGACGGCCAAGACGCTTTTCGATAGTTCGAAGCCCTCGTCGCTTAACAACAATGGGAAGGGGAAGGCCGGTGGAGCCCCGGATTGGGTGGAGAGTGATACGGATGAGCAGTTGATGTTGTTTATTCCGTTTCAGTCTACGTTGAAGGTGCATTCGTTGCAGGTTACGTCGTTGCCGCCGAAGGAGGCTGAGGATGGGGATGATGATGAGGTGCCGATGAGGCCGAAGACGGTGCAGTTGTATACGAACCGGTCGCATGTGTTGGGATTTGATGAGGCGGATGATATTCCGGCGGTGCAGAAGGTGGAAATTCAGCCGGAGGATTGGGATCCGAAGACGGGTACGGCCAAGATTGATCTGCGGTTTGTCAAGTTCCAGAGTGTGATGTCGTTGGTGATTTTCTTTGTGGATGGGGATGGGGATGGAGAGAAGTTGAGGGTGGATCGAGTGAGGATCTTTGGGGAGGCGGGTGAGAAGAGGGAGATGGGCAAGTTGGAGAAGATTGGTGATGAGCCTGGGGAGTAAACTACAGTAGACTCTACAGTAGTATACTCGGGATACACTGAACTGTATACACCAGGAGCAAGCAGAAGTACAAATTACTCATGCGGTAGATTAGTCAAGCACTCACTACATGCCGTACAAACGTTCATAATGAAACACAACACTGATATACACATCCAAATTCAAGTTCATATTCACAACTAGCAATACTACAACTATATACCAGATAGCCAGCCAGCCATAACCAATCAACCCACCCGCACCGCACATAAACAGTACAGACAGATCAACCAAGCCAAAACCAACCGACAGCTAATTAATCAATCATATACGAACGATATCAACACAACCCATCAGGGTTATATCAATAAGAAATGTCCGATCCCAAACCAAATGGTCTAATCCCAGTAGAGACAAAACGACAGAAAGACCAATAAAGTAAGAACCGGGTGCAATTAAAATTTCTTCTGTGACGCAACTGACACCTGGGGTATAAACATCACGGGAGAAAGAATGATGTCCAGGCAACACGGGTGAATATAGTTGCGTCGCCGCACGAAGAAAGAAAAGAAAAAGAAAAAGGTTTAAAGAGATGCGTTGCTGAAGGGGGAATTTATGGGAGTGGGTGGGGAAACTTTTCGCCGATGGTTTTTAGCGAGGATTTGGAGGAGAGGTTTTGTTCCGGTGGTTGGGGAGAGGTGGGTTACGTAAGCGGGATGGCAAGCGAGGAGTGAAAACTCTGTGTTTGTCTCTTGGTTGGGGTTTCTTTTCTTTCTTCATAATAATCATGGCTGATGATGAGACAATTGGATGTTTATACATATGATAGGAAGAGACTGACTCCCCTTGATCAGGGAGATTGATCTTAACTACCATCCACTGAGGCCTATGATTTATCTATCTACTAATTTTTGCTTATGTCCTGGAGCATAGTCAGATGGTGTACGGTGAACGGAGTACCATCTCATGTTTGGTGGTCTGGTGTTATTTTTGGGGCTGATAGATGATTGCTGTCGGCGTGGCTGTTCTGTTTCCCTTAGTGGTACTTTTTTTGCGCTGTTATCTTTCGCCGGCTCTTTGCCCTCGGATGACAGGGATGCTCATCCGTTGCGCCCCGGCCCCAGGTTTGCTATTATTACTCCGTATCGCCCGCCACGATGCATCCCCCCAAACACCAATAGAATCCAGAGATAGCAGCATACCTACCAAGTAGGTAGAGATACGGTGACGGCGATGGCACCCTGTCGCTTGCTTTTGGGGCCACCGTCGTAAGCCGTACTGCGGCACTGCCAGTCAGATGGCCCTATCATGGCTGTGTCACTGCAGGAGCCCGTCTCGGTGCTTTCTATCAGCGTCCAGCCGATCTTCTGATGCAGCAACTGTTTGAGCCACTTTTTAGTCCCGAGGTCAGCCTTTGCGACCCGTGGTTCCATCCCATCTGCACGTTCTGCACACTGCACCGCGCCTCGCCCGGGCTCAGCGCTCACGTCAGGACCTTGGGGGCTGATACCTGGGCAAAAAGCTGGTTCAGATTCCTTGGTCAGACTCAGCCCACTGTCTCACGGACCGTGCTGAGAATAGCTGAGCATTGTTCTTTTCGGGATGCTCAGTGCTTCCGCGATCCGCTTGGTCTGACCGAGATCCCACCGCGACCCAAGGAACCGTGTTCCTACCTTATCTGAGACGAATTCAGTCACGTAACTATTGTCGTCGTGATTGCTGGACGCTGATAGCGGTCTTGCCGCCCGCTCCCCCACTCGCAGGGTGCAATGTGCAGAGGGCAATCCAAGTCCTCCGGGCCCTGGGCCTGGGGCGTCGATCATGAAGCGACTGGCGAGCCAGGTCGAGGCAACAGATTGGTTTGGTCCGGCGAGTCGCATCCTTCTGTCTGGATGCGCAGTATCCCGTGCATAGTCACACTGGCGACCCATGACGAACAAGTGGCTATTGGGTCGCCGCGGAAAGTCTCAGCGTGAGACAGCGCCTCGCGACTGGCAGAGCTTGACTGCATTTGTGGAGTAGCGCGCCATAAAAGCAAATCCTCCTGAGATAAAGTTCAACCCAAGGCATCTTGGCCTCGCGCTATTCCGCAGGTTTGCCTGCGACCCAGAATTTGATTTCCACATCCATATCTGCATGACTCTGTTATCATCCCGAATGCTTAGCGATGTCGGCGTCGCTTCCGAGTACCTGCCTTTCATGGTTTGGCACCCCAATCAACATCAACTCCAAGTGGTCGATTCCAGACCACCTCTGCCAGTGATCCGGCTCCATCCAGCGTCTCAGGGTAGGTAGATGTTGCAATCTTGGTTTGAGTCGTGCAGCGGATGGTGTTATTTTTATGTCTGCGCTCTGCTCTACTCGGGCTCGATAGTCGGGTCTGTCGGAACAATCCGCGGGTTGAGTAGATAGATAGTTTGGATGATTAATCGCAACGAGGGCGTATCCGTAAAACTCGGAAGACACTCTAGGAGTAAGACCAGTGGCTTCTCCGCATTTCATTTTTTGATAGCTAGATTGGCGCCGCCTTGGAAGTGGCGAATATCACTAGGACAGTCGATGGAGTCGTAAGTTCCTTCACGCTGGAAACTTTAGCCTGTCCCGTTGGAAGGGTTCGCACTATTCTTCCGTCTCCAATTTTCGACAGAAAGTTTGCCGAAAAAGAACTTCTCGGGCGAATGGGGTGCATTGTGCGTGATTTCCGTATCTCAATCACCCCGGTGACGCCATTGCCACCGAAGAAGAGATAATGAGCGAGAGGCTACGGAGAACCTGGGTCCTCAACCAAGATCGCAACTGGATCTCTGGCAACCTCAACCGCGGGCCGGGAATATATCTATATACCGGACTAGGCTAGGCTCGGGACGCGCAGCCAATATCCGGGTTCGTCTGGAGTGCATGTCTCCAAAAACACGATCCCGATGGAGCTGCGCCATTGAGTAACAGAATCACTGATTCAGAGATACGCATGATTTTCGTCCTCATCGCTGGTGCCATGTCCCCCGCTGGCATCCAATGGATCCCTCCCGGTCCTCCTCCAAGATGCGCGCTTGCAGTCACACCCGAACAGCGTCATTTCGACCGACACGCACGTGCAAGGCCGGTGGCTTCCCAGAACCTAGGTTTTCAGCTGCTGCTGCGATCGGCCGGTTTGGCCCATGATCTTCCCTGCACAAATCCAGGAACAGAACTCAATTGAGCACGCCACATGTCTTCCCGCCTGTCCGTTGGCTCGCCGACATTCTGCCTGGTGTCCGCCAAGTGCTGGAGCGCAGTGAACATGGGGTTGTGATTAGGACCAGCACGAGGAGACGAAGAGCTCCTGCCCCAATCGGCGTGGGCAGACGGGTTGGGGAACCGTAGGCAGGTGAAAGTCTCTTCCGGATTGGCACGTTTTAAGCTCAGTTAGCAGCCTGTAGTCTCGGGTTAATATCTGATTCCCTGTTGGCTGGCTGGCCCATGAACGGCAAACAAAGAAAAAAAAAATGCGGGATGCTAGCTGCTCATCACTATCACGTTGGAACTTGGATGTATCGAAACTCAAAAAGCCTTGCTAGACTCCAGTAGTAGTCCAGTGGTCATGGTGGACACGCGGTGGTGTTGAAGGTCCCCGCAAAAGCGCGGTAGCTTCATGCCGGCAATCAGCGCCCAGTGCCAGTGCCAGTGCCAGTTCCAGCTCATCGACGAGAAGGCACCGCTTGGCAGCTACGACTAACTGTTCCCATTACTCAACTGGCCAGGAGAATTTTTGCGCATTATGGGTACCGCTGTTTGAGGAGAATCTAGGCGAGGAGGGCGACCATGGTCTACTGCGGGTAGATAGGTGGAAGAAATGACATGGCATGGCATGGCATGGTTGCTTGTCTTGTCCGACCAAAGGGGGGGGTGGATTCCTCTTCCGTACCACTCAGGGTCTGAAATAGATCACTCGGAAATATAATTGTGCTGGGAACAACCTCGAGAATAATAATAATAATAATGTTTATGAATGGCTCGGAAATCTGCCGGCGACCCCGTTCTTTCAGGAGAGAGGGGAGAGGGTCCTGGGTCATTCATTATTCTGCCACAGTGGCAGTGGCAGTGGCAGTGGCACGTTGAAGCCTGTACGTGGCGGTTATTCTTGCTGGAGTCAAGCTCGCCCGTATCGAGGAGTCGAAGGTTCGAAGAAGGCTCTAAAACGCTTCGGTTGCATTAGGTAGAGAGACTATGTTAGATGTTAATTGATTGCGATGGAGCAGTGTTCTATTCTTATGACGTAGCGAACTCACTGCATTATCCCGTTTAGTCAGGGGCGAGGTGATTGGCTTTGGAGAGGCGACTCCCTATTTGCCATTCGAGAGAGGTTATCGCCATCTTCCAGAGTATATACTCCATACTATTGACTAGTTCTATGGTAGTCAACCGTCGGACGATGGATGGATGGGCCCCCTTTTCCGGAGGGAGAGCCACTAAACAGTCACCCGATTGCTAAGTCAGAATGCTCGGGACCTGACTAAGACGAAACCGAGACACGCCCAGAAACAGCGGGGGCTGATTGGCCGAACCGGCAACGCGTAGGCTGTTTCAGATTTCGAGGACCGACGAGGAAACAGTGGACAGCCACTACTGTAGATACCAGTGGACACTGGACAGGTGGACAGCTGGTCGACCGGTGCCCTAACGGATGGTGTACCCTAACGACCCGGACTAGTCTTAGTCTAGTCCTCGACTGCCCATCTTGGCTTTCTCCAGAGAGGAGCTTAGTATCAGTACCTAGGTACATAGTAGGTAGATAGAACGGAGTCGGAACGGAATTGATGATCTGCTGCTTCGAACTCTTCGTCATGATTTGGATTCACAGGTGACCCAGTCGCTCGTCCTGACTAAGGTGCTGGAGATTGACGCCGAGGGTAATTTCCAGTCCTGCTTCCACTCGACTATGGATGGCTTTAAACCCTCATCCACACTAGGCGCGGCACTATTGGTTCGCCTGAACTTTATCGTATCAGTCAACCAAGTCCAGCATGATCTCGAGCGAGCTTAAACGCCAACGCCCATATTTGGGTGTCGCATTGCAATGCAACCAATGTCCTGTGTGCAGACGCGATCAACCGTCAATCATCCCCAAGGCATCGGACGACCACTCACACTATCAGACGATCATGATGCCATATATATAATTACCTTCCTGCTTGAGCATCGTTATCGACGTCGCATGATGTGCTGCAGCTTAGTCGAACATGTACTCCGTAGTACTCCGTACTGTGTACGCCGTACAGCCAGTACCGACGGAGTAAAATTAATTGGGGATCCGCAATAATGGTGAAGGCAGCAGCATCGTAAGGTGTGTACTAACTACTAGGTACCTAATGCTTGGTAGTAGTTGGTACCGATAAGAACCACCCTCTCTCTAGATCTGTGCCACTGTAAAATCCATACCCTTGGTACATGGTACATACTTGGGTATCCGATAACCGTTGCTTCCGGACTCCGCGGAACCTATTGGAAGGCGAGAACCGATGCGCTGCCCTATCTGGCCTATCTTTGATTCGTCTGGTGGCCATCTAGTTCTGGCCTTCTTTCTGGCCTCCAGATCCGGATCCAAGCGGCATAATGATGATGGAGGAAGCTGTCAGAGTTCCCCGTCCAAGACCGGATACGCGCAGGACATCGATCCCACACCGTGCTTTGTCCAGTGCAACAATCCGCGCCCCTGATTCGCCGGGGAAGCCACGCATCTGAGACCTTTGCCAAATGACACCCTCGCACGGTTGCTGGCGAGCACAAATTTTCATTTTCTGGTGAGTACCTGCGTGGCCACTGGCACCGCTGGCGCGGACTACGGAACCCAGTCCCCTACCTACCGCCCGTCTGGCAGCGCGGATGCGCGCCCATCCCCATTTCCAAACCCACCGCCGACGTCGCAACAGGCAAGATGCGCTGTGTCCGGTGGCGCTGCCCTTGACCTCTCATCTAAACCGTCGGCGACAAACCGAAAGACGCCATAATAACGCGAGACAGCGGTTGGGTCTATCTCCCGCTTAGTTCGCAATCCAGGCTGGCAGAAATTCCCTGGTGGAGTCCGGGCTGTCATCACTCAACCGGGCCTATCCCCGGTGTACGCAGTAAGGTAAACACTCGCGAATCGCGATAGATAGAAGGCATGCATACATGATGATGGCCGATGATGAAGACGATGCACCATTCCCTTCCTAGAACGGAGCGCCTTGCCAGTGCGACGCTCCGACTAATCAGCTCTCAATTTGTCAACTCGGCTGGATGACGCCAGATTTTCATTTATCGCCTCCGTTAGCTTATGCAGGTCTTGTCCTATCGTTTATTTTGCGCGATCAGAATCCTACCAGATGGACCCGCTTCGGCTTTTCCTTTGTTGTGGTTGTTGCAACGGTTCTTTGTTGTGCGGCGACGGTTACTTCGTGGCAACAACAGGGGTCCTGCTGCATATGCCCCAGAGCCTACGGTTAGAGCTTTCGAAGCTAGAGAGCCACCAGGAACAAATCCCTGACATCCGCGGCGGGCTGCTTACCCAGTAGTCTACCATGCGACGCCCGGCATTGTCGACGGACTCCGTACGTACGGAGTTGCTTTCCAGGTCAAGCCGAGGGAATCTCCCCTTCTTCGGTGTTTGCTAGTGAGATAGGAGGAGATGGGAATGGAGTCTCCCACTGCCCACTTCCCAGTTCCTCCTACTCCGTACAATGGAGCTCATCAGTGGCCTGTGGAGGTCCCTAGTCCTCGACTAGGCAGTAGCTGAACGGTCGACCTGGTGCTTGGTGAGTTTCTCGAAGGTCGCCGGCTTCCATGCATAGATTAAACCAGTGGAAAACTAGCCGCAAGCGGTAAGACAGCAGTTGGCATGGGCCCTTCCTCGTATTGCGAATCGTTAACGCCGGCGTGGCAAGCATTATAGCACCCTTCTAAAGCACAAAATATTGTTCTAGTCTTGCGACTACGTACCACCGCGACGTTCTAAGACGGGACTACCGGAGACTAGGTACTAGAAGGTAAATATGCTCTTATCGTTCCTGGATCCTAATCCCGACAGCCGCTTAGCCTGTCTGGTGTATCTACCTAGGTCGAGTATCTACTCCGTCGGTCGTATGTACTACTTACTATGTACTATGTAGGCAGGAAGAAAGGGCAATTTTACCTCGCTGGGGGCCCGTCCCGACACCCGGAAGCTTCACCCACAACCGGTAAGGTGGCTGGCCAGGAATGGCCGGTTCTATCTTTAGATCCACACTCACTGACTGACTTCCCCCGGCGGTCCGTACTGCCCGATACCGTATGTTTGGATATCGGTATTGATTACTCCTGGTCACCAAGTATGAGTGACGACTGACTGCATCACATCTTTAACGACACAATCCCGAACGAGTCAGGTGCCTGAGCAGCCTGGAGGGAACTCGGCAGGGGAACGTTTCAGACCGGTTGACCAGTTGGGTGGCGTTGCCCGGGGTTTGATGGGCTATTGTGGGTGAATTGCGATTCTCATGGCCGTCGAGGCTGGAAGGGGCAATTGATGGCCCAGGGGTCCGTGTTGTGAGTCTGACAGCTCTGCCTGTGTCCCCTTGCTTCCCATGATTGTCGTGGCGCGGCCTGTCAAGCTGCAGGCTGTGTTTTACATACTTACTTATCGGCAGTCTCATCGCGGTCCCTGGAAAATCTTCAGATGTCGTCATGTTGATCCCTCTGCGTTTGTCTGTTTGTCTGGGTGGGATGGATGCATGGGATGCGCCTCTTGGCCTGGAGGTGCAGGCTAATTTTACCTACAGACCGCCATCGAGCAAACACGTCCTCGGGAGATTTTCGCGGCGGCCAACGCATCGTACCTGACCCAAACTATCGAACGCGATGATTGCAGGCTTGCAGAAAATAGCAATCAAATCTCTTTATTGGCACCCGAGCCCTATCGTAGGCAGTCATATTTCTTTCCCCGGGTACGGAAGTATTATTCATTATAATAAAGGAAAAAAAGAAAAACAAAACAACAAATAGGAAAAACAAAAGCCGCAATTAATCCAATCAAAACCAAAGCAAATCAGATTGCAAAGAGTCAATTATAATATTTTTTTTTTGACAGCGGCGTTCATCTGGAAGCCCTGTTGTGCTGCAGCGCACCATCGGACAACAAATATACGAATCACGCAAGGGTCGGGCGGCCGCCTAACGTTTCCGACGAGTCCCTTTTCCCCTCCCCAAGTCCCAAGGCTGCTGCACCCTACGCTTCTCTCCGCATCGGTTCCTGCAGTAGGCCGACCAACCTGATCGATCCATCCGCCGTTGAACAGGTCGCATCTCAAATGTGAGCGATTGCCAGAACTCTTGGGTATTCTCGGTCGCGCACTATCTTCTGTGTGGCTCCCCTCTCAATTTTTAGACCATCTCCAAAGTTGGTTCTAGCCGGTACTTTGGGTTCGGAGTTTCCCAGTACCTTGGATTTGACGTCGCCTTACCCCAGAATGATAGGGCAGATGCATGAACGGTAGCCCTCTTTGCCCAGAAATCCAGCCCAAGTAGGTTCAATAATGCTGCACGCACTATGTCTTTTACGCAGCGCACCTGGCATATGACATGCTCGATATCTACCGGATCAAGAGCGATCTCGAGGTCTCGACATGGCTCTGGCCCTGGCCCTGGCCTCTCGGCTCTCCCCACGACAAGAATCATATGAAAGAATCGTCTCTCCATCGGCTGCGGGCCTATCTACCCAGGTCCATGTTGGATGTACCATTAGAAACGATAATATTACAGGAATTGGTCTGCCTAGCCTGTGCACCGGAAGTACCTGGCTGGCAGGTACTTTGCTGTAGTGCCACCCATAAGGCCGGGTATTCCATAGTACCGACCTAAGGACGGAGTAGCACCATGCCACAGACGGTGGGCCCTTCTCAGGACCGTTTCACCATTGGTGTAGACAAATTATTATTCCAGTCGCTTGTTCTCGAAATTGCTACTAGTAGTCGCCACTACTACTGCCAGATGATACGGACGTTTTTTTCGTTCGTGCCCTCCTTATCAGAATGGGACCGGTCATCTGGTTGGCTTTTCCTCGGAAGTGGAATTACCTGCAGGCCGTGGAGGCCAAAACCTAAGTAAGCAGGTCCAGAGCGACAGGACCGACCGACGAGGGAGGGGAAAGATGGGGGGCAAGCAATGGGCACTGGCCAGTTTGGTCCCGGACGACACAAATTTTGACACTGATTGACTGCCCGCCCCTCTCAATGTGTGTGTGTGTATGTGTGTGTTGACTCTTTTCCAAATTTCAACCAATTGTCCTCAGTGGTTGCTTGCTGATCTTACTGGAAATGTGGCCCGGACGGTCCCAGTGTTGGAACATGGGCCATCCATCCCATTGCAGTGCGCCTCTTATCCTTCCCTTTCCCGTTTTTCCCTTTGAGTTTTGGGGGACTAAGAAGGGAATCCCCCAAATGGCGGACGGGATGCTCAGTGGGGCCGACTAGCTTAGCCGGAGAGTCAATCCCTCCCTTTCACGGGTTGAGTCTATTGGCTTCCAATGCAGCCAACTTCGGTTGAATGTCACGATGGCCCCCCCGGCCAGGCCTCCAGTTACCACTATCAGTGGTCAGTGGCCGACGTGTTCATTGGACCGTCGGATGTGCTGCCCTTCCCATTCCTTTAACCCCCGCCCCGCCCAACAACGCCCCCACCTCCTCCGTTTGGAGATGCTGACTGGCCCGATTTGCCCTCACTCGTCCATGTCGGTGGGACAGACAAGCCGCTGATAAGCCAGATAGGCTACGAGATGATGCAGGTCCTAATGGTAACGGAACCATCCAACATGTAATCTGTAGAACATATCACCGCAAGGGCGACAACCTGAACATGGTCATTTGATGGAGGGTAGTCTCATCGGTAAGCCCGCAGCGGTGTTGGGCACCATCTGGCATGAGAAGCGAAGCGAAGCATCGTGACTGGCAAAGGGGGGGGGGTAGGGGGATAGGCAATCAAAAAGGCCGGTGGCTGCTATTTTGGGAGCAATATTACCTGGAGTCTCGGATTGGGTTGTGGCAATTCACAGCCATCCATGAGGATGCTCAGGTCGGTCGTTGTCGTCGCCGCCGCCGCTCATAATTACCGTACCCAAAGAAACAGCGAAAATTACGTGAGACACAAAATTTGTGGCCAACTTTATCCCAGCAATCATTACTATCAGGTAATGAGATTAGGTCTACACCTCGGTCGCCATTACGAAGAGGTTCGTGGAAGTGTCCATTTGGACCACACATGAGTGGGAATTCAAAAGGCGCACGTCGCACTGGTACGACCTACTATATCAGGTATCGTATAGATAGGCGTCGTACCTCAGGATCCAGGTATCTCGCGCTTCTCCCACGGCCATTCCATCGCGTCCTCCTATTGGAACATGGCCATCTCCGCATTTACCACCATTACCGTAGGACGTGGTCCGTAAGAATGGCCTTTCCATGCACCATTGAAATGGGGCTTTGAAGGCCGCCAATGTTCCCACTCGTGCTCATGTGCTCCACGCACTTACGCCTTTTTGGGCGCCGCGGCCGACATGGTGGGGCCGGTTTCTGGCTAGTCTTGTCGGGGATTCGTCGTCGCTGGGTGTCTCTTAAGTTCTGATCCAACTTACACACTTTCTCTGACCATCCACCCTGCCCCCCCCCCTCCACCCACCCAAATTGAGGAATGGCACAACATGCGAGGTTGAATATTTGCTGTGCTGCGGATGCCGCTGACGGCGATGATGAAGAAGCCCGCCGAGCTGGCCCACCTCCCGTTGGTCTCCGCTCCCAAGTTTCTCATTCGGTTGGTACTGCGATGTGCACCGGCGCCAATCTGCTTTCTTTGCCGCCCCAGACGGGTGTGCATAAGGATGGAAAGTGGGAAAAGCCGGATGACAATCCCAGGATAACGTATTCCCCAAAACAGATTTGGGGTAGAGAAAAAATGATGGAGAGTAAAAAAAATAAGGGTTCAAAAAAATCAGATTGAGAAAATCAAATCAAATAATAGTAGGAATAAAATAAATCAGAAAGAAAATAAAAGAAAATAAAATAAAATAAAATAAAATAAAATAAAATAAAATAAATAGAAGGAAAGGCAACGCGCGAGAGAGTGTCCGAACATATGACACCATACCATTCCGGCAGATTTATTAGATGATTTATTAGTATATTACTATTACTACTATTATAGTAGGGACTGTTCGCTGCTGGCACCACCACCACCGAGTAAAGTTCCATGCAGCCATCTCGCCCAAACAGGCTCTCAGACTAAAAAGTACGGCTCCAGTCCTACTGCTCACTACTCACGGCGCTACCAGCTCGTAGCACAAGCAGATCAGTCGCTCTTTTATCCACTGCCCATCCTTCTGGCCGGCTTTCCTCTTTCCATATCGGCCCTGTCTCTCATTTTCCCCGCGACTGTCCTCCTCTCTCAAATTAATCTTCTTTATTTCTTATTTTTTTCGTTTTTGCCCTTTTTAGACTTGTCTCGATCCTCATCTGGCCTTTCCTTTTCCCTTCCTCTCTTTTATCTCTTAATCTTAATTCCCTGCCCTCTTTCTCTCTTTTCACTTGCGACTCAAACAGTCTCCGGCTCCTTGATCGAGTACGTCCTGAACCATTCGTTGTGTGGTTTAGCTCGTATCGAAACACAGGTGCCTGTCCTTCCTTCATAGACTCGCGGCATAGTCGTCAGATATAATCCTTCAGAACCACAATCTCAACCTCAAGACGAAGCAGTCGTTTCTCGCAATATCCTTCACTCACAGATATCTGGTCGAGTGCGGTCCCTGGATTACCATCTGTCCTTCACAATCATTCTCTCACTCAAAGTGCAAGCGACAATCTGCATACATTCATTCACCCCAGCGCCTTCGCTGTGGACGAGCTACCAACTATAACTAATAATATCCGCTACAGAGTAGACCAGTCTCTACTCTTCGCCATCACAGCATTTCACTATATGTGAGTCACTTTGCCAGTCCAGAACAATCTCCAGCGCGGAGGGGGGGTTGAGACTGACTCCCTGATCTCTAGTCACAATGGACTCTTATAGCATGGCCCAACCATCATTTGCATACTACCCCGATTCACAGCAAAGACAACATTTCACTAGTCACCCTTCAGACATGCAATCATATTATGGTCAGGTGCAGGCATTCCAACAACAACCGCAGCACTGTCTGGCGGAGCAGCAGCCCCTCTACACTGCCCCCCTCATGAACATGCACCAGATGGCTACCACCAACGCCTTCCGTGGCGCCATGAACATGACCCCCATTGCCTCTCCTCAGCCGTCACACCTCAAGCCCACCATTGTGGTGCAGCAGGGCTCGCCTGCCCTGATGCCTCTGGACACGAGGTTCGTTGGCAACGACTACTACGCATTCCCCTCCACCCCACCACTCTCCACCGCTGGAAGCTCCATCAGCAGCCCGCCTTCTACCGGCGGCAGCCTTCACACCCCGATCAATGACAGCTTCTTCGCTTTCGAGAAAGTGGAGGGGGTCAAGGAGGGATGCGAGGGCGATGTTCATGCCGAGATTCTGGCCAATGCCGACTGGACGCGGTCTGACTCGCCGCCCTTGACACCTGGTAAGTTGATATCCCGTAGGGTTTCCCGTGGACGGCTCGCATGTGCAGCCACTCATGCAAGAAGGGCACGGAGTTGGACAATCTAGGGTTGTACAGGGAGCTAACTCGACTTGTTCTAGTGTTTATCCATCCGCCCTCCCTCACCGCCAGCCACACATCGGAGCTTTTGTCTGCTCACAGCTCCTGCTCATCCCTTTCTCCCTCGCCTTCTCCTGTTACTCCCACATTCATTGCCCAGTCTCACTCGGGTCTGCCGACTGAGCCCTCTAGTTCCGACTTCTGCGACCCTCGTCAGCTCACTGTCGAGTCGTCTATCAACGCTACCGCGGCCGAGCTCCCTCCATTGCCCACGCTTTCCTGCGATGACGAGGAGCCCCGCGTTGTTCTGGGCAGCGAGGCCGTGACCCTGCCTGTCCATGATACCCTCTCCCCCGCCTTCACTTGCTCGTCTTCTGAGGATCCTCTCAGCAGCCTGCCCACCTTTGACAGCTTCTCAGACCTTGACTCGGAAGACGAATTCGTCAACCGCCTGGTCGACTTCCACCCTAGTGGCAACGCTTACTACCTGGGTGAAAAGCGACAGCGTGTGGCGACGTTCGCGCTGGACGAGGAGGAGTTCTTCAGTGAGCAGAGCTTCGACGAGTCAGACGACCAGAATCTCTCTCAGTCTGGTCTTCCCTTCCTGGGAAGCCACGAATTCACTGGGATCCCGGGCACTATCAATGAAATCTCGGAAGAGATGAGCACCAAGAAGCGGAGCAACGCTCGCAAGTCGCTCAAGAGGGCTAGCACCTCGGACAGCGAGTCGGAGACCATTGGCGTCATGGGCAAGAAGTCGCAGCTTTCCGCCAACAGCCGTGCCAACAGCACCGAGACCAACTCGCCGGCACCCCAGGCGACCCAGTCCCGGCACAACTCTGATGCCTCGTGTATGTCTAGCGCATCGGAGGCTCCATCTGCCCCCGTCTCAGTCAACCGCCGTGGTCGCAAGCAGTCTCTGACTGACGACCCCTCAAAGACCTTTGTGTGCTCCCTCTGCTCCCGTCGCTTCCGTCGTCAGGAACATCTCAAGCGTCACTACCGCTCCCTCCACACTCAGGATAAGCCGTTCGAGTGCAACGAGTGCGGAAAGAAGTTCTCGCGGAGCGACAACCTTGCGCAGCATGCTCGGACTCACGCGGGTGGATCAGTCGTGATGGGCGTCCTCGAGACTGGCAACGCATCGCCGACCCCGTACGAAGAGCGCGACCCTAACACGTTAGGCACGGTTCTGTACGAGGCCGCCAATGCGGCTGCCACCAAGTCCACTACCAGCGAATCCGAGGACAGTGTCTCGGACGCACCGGTGGTCGACCGACGAGCCCCTAAGAAGCGCAAGCGTGAGGGCGATGCCTAGAGCGGGTCCACATGGCTTGAAGCTATCACGATGATATGTGACCAGGAGCTCCCATATATCACTTAATAACATCTCATACATACATAACCTTCCATTCCACTGGTTGGTCTGACTTTGGTCTTGCGGTTTAGCGTCCGGGCTTTGTTTCTGGCGGTGACAAGAGCAGGTGTACGGGTATTGACAGGTCCTGGTGCCCTATGCAACATAACCCAAAAAAAGCATACGGGCATGGGGTATCCAGGACCACTATTGGCGAAGCATTAGACCGGCGGCAACGGAACTTGGGCGCACATGGAGTCCACGGTTGGACCAAAACTAATAGAGCGCGCATGATGACTTCACATTGAGGCACTGGTGACTTGGGTTGATCTTTTCTGTGATTCCCCCCTTTTTTTTTTCTCGATCTTTGCGGCGAATATCTCCGACTCATCCTCGCCCGACGGGGCTATTGACCCCTGTCGGCGACCTTCTGTACCCGATCTACCCTCCTCCATTTTCCTTACACACTTCTTTTTATATACTTCTCGTTCAAGTTGCATTCATTGTGCCTATTCGATGTAATATTTTGCTCACTCCTGTCCTCTGCTTGAGAGCAGCCCATCCTTTTGTGCTGGCCACATGTACAATTTAATACCATTTCCCCAATCGTTGCCTCATACCCCTGTGCGCATACTCCTTTTCATTATCTCTGTCTGCATTCACATGTGCATAATCTTTGTGTGCCATTGTGTCATTTTGTTGAGCGTCTTCGTTCTGCAACAGTTAGTAATTTGTCACAATCTTTTTTACATGGATTAACCAGTAAGATGAAATACTAGTATAGTGGGTAAGCTCTGACGGGCAGCCGCCAGTAGCCTTTCCGCCGCAGCCTCGACGTCACCCCAATCCAGTTGAGACCCAATAATCACACTTCACACCTTGCAGCTCTCCACACGCAAATCCCTACGAACCACTAACATCATTCATAATCTACTCTCATCTCATCAATTGAATTTACTCCCCACCTATTCCTCCCCAGTCCCCAATTCTCAATTCCCACAGCGTGACAATACCCTCTCCCCACTTCCAGCAGAGGCAGCAGGCAGCGGGGTTCACCTAAAAAATCATCTCCCCCGCATCCCACCACCACCACATTCCACCCACCCACACACAGAAAAAGAGCGAGAGAGAGAGAGAGGGAACCAAACACAAAGATGTCCACCCCTCCGCTCCCCAAATCCCCCACCAGCCTCAACGTCATCGCCCTAATCTCCGGCGGGAAAGACTCTCTCTACTCCATCCTGCACTGCATCCGCAACGGACATAAGGTTGTTGCATTGGGGAATCTTCATCCCCCGAGTCGACGCACCAACAATGTTAAAAATGAGGAGGAATTCGAAGAAGAAGACCTAGACAGCTTCATGTACCAAACTATTGGTCATAGCATCATCCCTCAATATGAATCCGCCTTGGGGATTCCTTTATATCGACAGGAGATTATCGGCTCTGCGGTTGATACGGGGAGGGTGTATCGGGATCAACAACAACAACGAAACCAACCCTCATCTGGGAAAGGGGACTATGGAGAGGGTGAAGTTAGAGAAGAAGACGCAGACGAAACAGAATCCCTAATTCCCCTCCTTCAACGCATCAAAGCCGCCCACCCCGAAGCAAACGCCATCTCCGCCGGCGCTATACTATCCACGTATCAACGAACCCGGATCGAGAACGTCGCTGCGAGGATGGGTCTCGTTCCGTTGGCGTGGTTGTGGATGTATCCGTCTTTGCCTGCGCCGTTGGAACGGATGGGGTTGCCTGGTGATGCGGGCCTGTTGGAGGATATGGCTGCTTGTGGGTGTGAAGCGAGGATTATTAAGGTTGCGTCGGGGGGATTGGATGGGGGGTTTTTGTGGGGGGATGTTTCGGGGAGGGATGGGTTGGTTAGGAGGAGGATTGTTAATGGGATGAGGAGGTTTGTGTTGGATGGGGGGATGTGAAGGGGGCGGTGTTGGGGGAGGGGGGCGAGTATGAGAGTTTGGCGTTGGATGGGCCGGGATTTTTGTGGAAGAGGAGGATTGTGCTTGAGGGGTGGGAGGAGGGGGTGGGTGAGGGGGGTGTGGCGTTTGTGAGGGCTAGGGGGGCCAGGTGTGTGGATAAGGATGGGGATGGGGATGGGGTGACGCCGGAGAGTGTGAGGAGGCCAGTGGTGTTGGATGAGGCTTTTGCGGGGGTGTTGGAGGGGGTGTTGGGGGATGGGGAGAAGGGGGTGATGGTGACTGGGGGGAAGGAGATGGTGAAGGGGGAGTGGGGTCAGTTGGAGATGCTGCAGAGTACGAATGGAGGGACTTGGGTGGTGGCTAATATCACGGCTCCGGAGGCTGGGCCTGGGGCTGAGGAGCAGATGAAGGCGATTGCCGAGAAGATTGAGGCGATTTTGGCTTCTACAGGGAATGGGAATGCGCCTCGCACTACGGCTGATATCGTCTTTACGACGGTGCTGCTTCACTCTATGGCGGATTTCGCCTTGATGAATGGCATCTATGTTTCGTTGTTCAAGAAGCCTAACCCTCCGGCGAGAGCCACGGTGGCTTGCGGTGATAGCCTGCCCGAGGGTGTGAAGGTCATGGTCTCGGCGGTGGTGGACTTGGGTGCTAGAGATCAACGACAGGGTCTTCATGTCCAGTCTCGTTCTTACTGGGCGCCGGCCAATATTGGTCCATACTCGCAAGCCATGTCTGTGCCTGTACAGGGTTCGGAGCATATGGTGTACATCGCTGGACAGATTCCTCTGGAACCGGCGTCGATGGAGGTAATGGGAACTTCACCGGAAGCGTTGACGCGGCCGTGGATTGAGAATTATTCCACGCGAGCTGTGCTGTCTTTGCAGCATCTTTGGAGGATCGGTCATGCCATGCAAGTTGACTGGTGGTTGGGGGCGGTTGCTTTCCTGACAGGAGGAGAGCATATTGCGACACAGGCCCGACTAGCATGGGAACTCTGGGCCAAGATGCATGCTCGTGAGGAGGAGGAAGACGAGGATGATGGTGACTCGGGCTTGGATGTGTGGGATATCAAGTATGGAGGCCGGGCACACGAGCAGGTGACGGGTGCGACAACGCCTCGTTTACCCAACTTTGAGGTGGTCCAGTCAGACGCCTTGGTTCCTGCATTCTTCGCGGTCCAGGTCGAGGAATTACCGCGAGGATGTGACATCGAATGGCAGGGTCTGGGCTACCGATGTGGTGAGTTGAAGATGGCCGCAGAGGAAACGGACTATGGCCGTAAGATCGCTGTGTCCACCGAGCAGAACCTCAGCTACGTCAGCATTGAAATCGATGCGGAGCAGTCACCGTCAGATGTGGAATCACATCTGCAGCCTGTCCTGCAGGCGCTTCCCGAGGGATCGGACGGTTCCCACACGATCATCTATACCAGTCAGCCACTGTCCAGGGTTCCGTTCCCGGCGCAGGTGGTTCCCTGCAAGTCAGTCTGGGGTCCAAGAGGACGCCAATTGGCAGCTGGAGTCATTGTACAGAGACAGACTTCATCGTTCTAGCCGTGCCGTTTTATGAGGCTGTCAGGCTATGCATGAGCCCACAATGCATAGCTTTTAGGTGCATCATGATATCCATTTTGTTGTTAGAGCGGACGGAGGCTCTCCGTCCCAAACATTAGCAAAGATAAGCGCGTAGACAATTATTGACCTGCTCTGCTGCAACCTGTAGGGTTAAAGATAGTCACAGCTGCCTTGGTTCATCTTTGCAGCCTGTCTGCTAACGGTAAAGACGTAAGATGATGGCACGATCCACTGGGGGCTGGAAACGTGGGTTGATGGCAAGAGGCTCTCCTGATGGACAGCTGACGTGCTGCCGGCATGTGATAAGCGAAAAAACCCGCCTTTCCGCTGGTGGCTGCGGCTGCATCAGATCGATAACATCCTGGCCTCCTCCTCCCCTCTGCTGCTGTCTCCCCGCGCACCTCTTTTGGGTCAATTCGCCTGGTATGTTAGACGGGTTGTCATCAGTCTCTTCTCTCCAGATTGTGTCCTTGCTAACCTCCGTCTCCACCCAGTGCTCCTCTCCCACCCATCATTCGATATGACGTACTCGCTATAAGGCCGCCCCGACCACAACATCCATGCCATGGCCATTTCGCTGAGCCAGGAGGAAGATGAATCGCTTCCAATCAAGGGTCCCGCTCTCGACCCCGACGTGTCCGACCATTCCCGACAACCATCCCGATCCCCTCACCCATATCGCCGCAAGGGCTCGCATTCTGCGTCGCTGCCTGCGGATTCCGGCGACCGATCAGCCCGTCTCCACTGGCCACGGACCTCGAGCGATAGTGGCACCGAAGCCGATGATGAGAGCACGGGCGTGTTGAAAGGCTTACCGGCAGCCCCTCTGCGACCGCGGAAGGGTTTGCGCTCGGGTCGTCAGGTCGCCGGGGAAGAGGATCAGTGGTTTCCCGTGTTGCGCCCATGGCCGTCAATAACTCGTTCCACCTCGCGGAGCTCGCGGCGGAGCTCTGGGGAAGAAGCCGATGTCGAGGCGACCGGATTGCGCGAACAAGCAAAGCGGAAACGCCGGATTGGGATCCTACAGAGGCTACTGGAGACCGCGTTGCTCCTCTCGGTGGGCGCTGTCGTCTTGGGACAAAAGGACACGCGGTCGGTTGCTTGGGCTTGGAGAAAAGGTGCGCGAGATATCTCTTTGGGGTCGTTCGATGGTTGCTGATAATCCTCAGAGCTCCTGGTTCATTCCCTGCTTGTCACTGGCCTCTATGTCGCCTATCCTTTCCATCGAGATGGACGTTTCCGCTTCTCGAGACTACGCTCCTTCGTTATTCCTACGAGCTTCGATCCCGCGCCATTGCTTTACCCGATCTTGATACCCCTTTACGTTGCTTTATCCTTAGCGCAGCATACTCCTACCCTAATACTCCCTAATATCATTCTCAGTCTCTCATCTCTTCCTGCCGCCGTTATTCCGTTGCATGGTTGGGTCCATGGCCACAGCCTTGTGCATTGGATGATCACACTGCTCCCGATTGTCGTCTCGGAACATCTCTCGGCAGGGATCTCGCCTCCCAAATATTTGTCTCTCCTCGGTCTCAACCCGGAATCTTTGGCTCTTGTTTTCCCTTTGCATCAAGCGTTGATACCCACTCTAGATTTTTTGTTGACTACCAGCGTCCTTCCCGCAGAACTGCAGCTTTTGACAAGCGCGTTGATCAATCTATTCTTATTCGCAAGCTCCCCCCAGGCGGAAATTCTTAAGGCGTTGCTATGGCTTGGTGGCTTGTGCATCTTCATCTCTTGTCGCGACGTGCTTCGCTGGGAAGTGGCTCTGGCACGGATTCCCAGCTGGAAGTTCCGGCGGGCTCCTAGTAACTCGCAATCGCGTCGAAGTATCTTCAATGTGCTGGACCACAAGCTGTGTCAGAGACTAAGCAGGACGGGCACCTCGGAAGACAATATGTCCGACAGTGACTCGCCCGAGGGCCAGTTTGTGCTGGTCTCGCGCAAGACGATGTTCGAGTCGCGCGAGAAAAACAAGGCCGGCTCACCAGCGCTTTCTGCAGAGACCGCCGGGACGGAAACCGTTCGACAGTCGCCCAAATTCACCCATCGGCGACGGCACACAATTTCCAGCGTCAACGAAGTCGCACGCACGGGGAAGATCAGGACAACGCCCAGTGGGCGACGCAAGCGATCGATGGCGCCTGGATTAGCGTCCTTCCTGTCGATGACAGTGCCGCAGGCCCAGGTCCGGAAATGGCTCTATGCATCGTTCGTGTACGTCATTGTGTCTCTCATCATCCTCGGACCCATCCGCAAGTACGTGGGGGAGCGCGCATTACACGGAGAAGAGCCGTTTGGGTGGGCACTGAGCTATCTGCTGGGCAATGTTTCGTGGTTCCGCTTCTGGGTCATCATGTGGAACCTGGAGTATTGGATTCCTCTCCCCGCTCGCCTGGACCCCGATCTGTCCCACGCTTCCTGCGCCCTTGGTTGGGTTGAACATCTCCGCCAGGTCACCTTTGGGGAGGCTAGTTCGCGTCTCCTGATTGCTGCTTACTGCATCATGGTGCTGGCAACGGGGCTGGCTGTTGTGTTACAGCTGAGTTCCGTCGCCGAAGTAGATACGAGACGCAAGGTCTTCCATGGCATGATGGTGCTGATGTTCCTTCCGACGGTCTACATCGACCCCACATTCTGTGCTCTCGCTCTAAGCCTAGTCCTGTCCGTCTTCCTGCTGCTCGATCTATTCCGAGCGTCTCAGCTGCCTCCGATATCGCGCCCGCTGACATACTTTCTGGCGCCCTACGTGGACGGCCGCGACCATCGGGGTCCCGTCATCGTTTCCCATATCTTCCTTCTCATCGGATGCTCAATCCCGCTCTGGCTTTCCCTGGCGGATATTCCTCGGACGGGAGACCATCCATGGGTGGGGTGGAATGCCTTGACCCGGGACGTGGGGATGGTGAGCGGAATCATCTGCGTGGGTATGGGCGATGCGGCGGCCTCGCTCGTCGGACGGCGGTTCGGCCGGCGCAAGTGGTTCTGGGGGGGAGGCAAGTCGCTCGAGGGTAGCGTGGCATTTGCCGTTGCTGTAACCGGAGGTTTGATTTTCGCGCGAGGGTGGCTTGTCCTGGGACAGTGGCCCGTGAGCGGACCCGATGGACAGCATGACGGTTTCCCCTGGTTGAGGGTTGTGGTGAAAGCCATCCTGGCTGCAGGAGGCACTAGCGCAACCGAGGCCATTCTGACGGGGTGTAACGACAATGTCGTTGTGCCGGTTGTGCTATGGCTACTTGTAAGAGGGCTCGGACTCTGATGCAGTCAGGGTTTCCATTTCTGCACAGCTATCTAGATGATGAGATTGGTCTGGGCGGGGGGAGCTTTATTGGGTGGCTGTGCTTGTGTAACCCCTACCAGGCCGGGGGATCGATAGAGAAAACGGGTGGCTTTTGTGTATTTGTTCCTTTTTCTTGTTTTGATATAAGTTGCCTTGAAGCGTTGTTAGAAGAGCCAGGCGTCGGGAGGTCATTTGAGTGTCGGATGACGTGGAAGGCGTTCCTGGCCATGTTGCTTCCCCCCTGTGAATATTGACAGCCGTCGAACTATCTAGCGCAGACCTGCAGTAAATAGAAAAGCTAGAAAGAATCCTAGATAACGCCCATCCGACCAGGCAGCATTCCTACGAGCCGGTCGGTAGTCAGCAGCCACCGACGCGAATCAGCCGTGCCGGATGCCTGTTGATCGCCACTTAGCGGAGCGAGCCAGCCCCCCCCTTTGGGTCTGTTTAGCCTCTTGGGCCGCTGCTAAGGTTGAGCCCCCCCATCATCAGTAGCTTATCAGGGCGATCCGGTTCCTCAGTGGCAAGGTCGGATGGTACAGAGTACGAGGCTGTGATGTCGTAACTCGTTGAGTCACTTGATGGGATGACGGGGGGAGGGTGGAAGGGGGCTAGAGAGGAAGCCTGCAGATTATCTGCTGGGATTGGAGAATTCTCCCGCGAACGTTGGCTGGTCACCGTGACTGACTGGAGCGATCCGATCGGCCTGAAGGTGTCACTGACGCAGGGCGACCTCAGCCTGGGGCGGTCACCCGGTCTGCACGCGTATCGGGATTTACCGGACATGACACTCGTATGGTCAGATTGGTGCGACCTGAAACCTCGTTGGGTCTGCTGTGGATGGGCGGAGTCCGGCGGATTGATCCCGTGAGACCTGGTTTCAGTTCGGTATTGATACCGAATGGTACCAGAAAATACGGGAACTCCGACGGGGCCAGTGACCTCTTTCCGGCCTCAGGCCATGGGCGTCTTATCGACTTGACTTTCGTCCCGCTTGGCTGGCTGCATCTCTATCGGAGTGCCACTAGTACTAGGTACTAAGGTAGTATCTATCTATCATCTACCTGAGTACTCCGGGGGTCCTTTCTTCCCTGCCAACTTTCCGGGGCACCCCCTTTTTGTACTTTGTTTCCCCTTGCTTATCTATCTTCATCTTCATTTTCTTTGTTTTTTGTCATCTGCTATCTTTAGGTTCGATGTAGAGAACTGAGAAGTTGAACTGGTGCCTGTTGCCAGATCTCCACTGGCTTAGTCACCGTGAGTACTACTACTGTGTACCTACCAGTGACCCATGAATTGGTTGCGGTCATCGCCCATTCCACGCCCCATCCAACGCCGCTCTCCTGACCGCCTTGAGACCCGGTCATTCAATCATTCAATCATCCGCCATCGATCGTTATCGCCGGTCACGCTCTCTCTACTAGTCTCTCCTCCCCCAGAGAAACGGCATCGTCGAGGATCCCTGGGTCCAGCTGCTTCCCGCCTTTCCTGCTCCCCATCACATCATCCTTCACGCTTCCATTCTTGGGCCGGCTCCCTCTCTGCTCCCTCCTCCCCTGTCGACGTCCGCGTCCTTTTCTTTTCCTTCTTCTTTCCTCCTTTACCATCCATTTCGACCCTTGTTGGGTGATTCATACCTTATCGTCGATCCCCCGATCCTCTCTATACTTAGTCCCACGCTTTGGTCGTCATCCTCCTGGGATCCCTGTCGCCCTCCTCCATCATCCTATCATACAAGCCCCCGTTTCCGCCTCACCGCTCTCCTGCCTACTTACGCCGACTGTAGGTGTGCTGCGCACCCTTTTCTGGTCCCCTACCCTACGCTCTGGACCGACCCTTCCTCTTGCCCCGTCTGCTGTCCGGGCCTCTGCCACGCAGTCCAGCCCTCCTTACCTCTCCCTCTAGCTCCGACGCCCTCCTCTTCCTGTTTCCTACCTCCGTCCTGCTTTATCATCGGTCCCCATCTATTCTTCCATCGCCTGCCTCTTCGGTCCTGTCTTTCTCTCCCCTGATGGGACTCGTCCATCATTCGACGTTGTTGCTGCTGCTGTTGAGGTAGTGTGTGGTTGACGGGGCGTGGTTGGTCTTCATAGAGCCCTCATCGCCTGGCTGCAGTCATGGCATCTGCACATCACTCTAGAAGGTCCAGGGAGGACGCTCGTCCCGAGATGCCCATTGGCCATTACACCCGACTGGATGAGATCGGTCGAGGGAGCTTTGCCACCGTCTATCAGGGTGTTCATACGGTGAGTTCGGAACCCATTCCCCTTTTTGATTCTCCCCAGGGAACCATGCCTGTTACCGGCTGGGCTCCCCGAATAGAAGTTATTAGGGCTAACGAGGATGGATTATCCTTTAGAAAACACGCACTTATGTGGCAATCAAATCGGTCAACATGTCCAAGCTTAACAAGAAGCTAAAGGATAACCTTTCGTCCGAAATCCACATCCTCAAAGGGCTTTATCATCCCCATATCGTTGCTCTCATAGACTGTCACGAGACAACATCTCATATCCATCTGGTGATGGAATACTGTGCCCTGGGGGATCTATCCCTTTTTATCAAACGGCGCGATAGCCTTGCGGATCACCGATATACACGGGATATGATCTCCAAGTATCCCAACCCTCGTGGTGGTGCTCTCAGTGAAGTCGTCGTCCGCCATTTTTTGAAACAACTTTCGAGTGCACTCAAATTTCTTCGGGACCGGAACCTTATTCATCGTGATATCAAACCACAGAATCTGCTACTATGTCCCTCGCCTTCATCCTACCGGAGTGGAATGGCCCAGGTTGTTCCCTTCAGAGGCAGCGAAGACTCTTTTAGCCCTACAACGGGGCTAGAGTCGCTGCCTATGCTTAAGATTGCTGACTTCGGCTTCGCCCGTTCTCTCCCGTCCACCGCTCTTGCGGAAACCTTGTGCGGTTCACCTTTGTACATGGCCCCCGAGATTCTGCGGTACGAGAAATACGATGCCAAGGTAGACCTTTGGTCTGTAGGCACGGTACTCTACGAGATGGTAGTGGGAAAACCCCCTTTTCGTGCGAGCAATCATGTCGAGCTACTCCGCAAGATCGAAAAAGGCGAAGACAGGATCAAGTTTCCTGAAGAGAACCCTGCATCGGACGAGATCAAGGCGCTTATCAGAGCGCTCTTGAAGCGAAATCCGGTGGAACGACTGAGTTTTTCAGATTTCTTCGAGAATGGCATTATTACAGGACCGATCCCTGGTCTGCTGGCCGACGACAGTCCCTCGCGTCGGCGTTCTTCTGTTGATCCAATGGCTGCGCAACCGACATCTCGGCCCGCGTCTCGGACTGGGCGTAGCACTCCCACGGCAACTATCAGGGAAAGAGACGTGCCATATGTGGGGGGTCGGGGCGAGCCGTTGCCGCATCCGGTTGCTCAACGGGCGTTGACACAAAGCCCTCGACCAGAGACTCCTCCAACGCCTATGCGGAGGACTGGGAGTGGTGATCGGCCTCTTTCTACCTCAAAGGTGCCAACGCCACCAGCTTCCTACCCGACAAGGCCGAGTCCAGTGTCTCTTGCAACGGCCCCAGCTCGCCAGGAGCTTGTCGACCGTGCTCCCACGACGACCACCACCACAGACCGACTACGGAGTCGTACGGCTTCTTCGGGAGTTCCTCAGACCGATAAGCCTGTGGATAAGGCCAAGGATGCGAGGGAGAATGCTGCACAAGAAGTGGCATTTGAGAGAGACTACGTGCTTGTAGAGAAGCGTGCGGTGGAGGTGAACGCCTTCGCCGACGAGATGGCATATAACCCTCGGATGCAAGGTGCTCAAGCAGGCGCAGTTTCTCGTCGCCCGGGCACACCAACAGCCAATGCGTCGTCGCCCCAAGCCTCTCCTAGTAAAGCTATGCAAATAATTTCGGGGCGGTCTCGTGCGGATTCGGCACACGTTCGTCAACATTCCTACGAGCGTCGGTATGGACAGAGCCCTACGTCGGCCACATCGGCGATTTCAAAGGCCCTCAATATGGCCAGTGGACGTCTGTTCGGAATGAGTTTCTCCCCACCCATGACCATCACAAAAGGCGGACGCTCGCCTCCGTTGGCTTACAACCCATTCCCGGCCTATCCTAGTGCACAAGCTAGCTTGATCGTCCTTACTGATGGGTCCAGGCCCAGTGCAACCCTGGACGAAGACAGCAAGACGGTTCATGAGCTGGAGGAGTGTGCGACCCGCAGTGATGTGGTGTATGGGTTTGCTGAAGTGAAATATAAGCAGCTGATTCCATTGGCACCATCGGTTCAAACCGACCCTTCGGGAAAGCCCATGCCGGACGTCGTTGATTCGACCGACGGTGGGCTCACGGTCGATGCCATCGTGACCTTATCCGAGGAAGCGTTGGTACTTTATGTTAAGGCCCTGGCCCTCCTGGCCAAGTCGATGGACATTGCCGGTGCATGGTGGACCCGCAGGAACCGGGGAGAGGCTTTCGGTGAGTCGGCAGTCAGCCGAGCTGATGTCGCAAGCAATCGGATCAACAATGTCGTCCAGTGGGTGCGCAATCGATTCAACGAGGTGCTAGAGAAAGCGGAGTTTGTCCGCCTCAAGTTGGTTGAAGGGCAGAAACGATTGCCACCAGATCACCCTAGTCACCCCAGCAATCTTTCGATCGGGTCGTCCGTAGGCTCCGGTGCATCTACAGATGTTGTTGTTAGCCCCGGCGTGACCGCAGAGAAGTTGATGTATGATCGCGCATTGGAAATGAGCCGCGCCGCAGCGATCAATGAACTCACCGGGGAGGATCTAGCCGGGTGTGAGATAGCGTATGTCACGGCGATCCGGATGCTAGAGGCCGTACTGGAAGACGAAGAACTGCCACGGCCAGGTCAAAGTAGCGGCGCTGATAGAGGCGATTCCCGGAGGGACAACGACAAGATTATGTTGGATGGAGTCCAGGCGGAGGACCGCCAAGTGATGGTTAAGCGTAAGTCGCCCCCGCTCCATGCACGTCACGACGCGCTAACGCACCACACAGTGGTCTCCAGTATGCGGAATCGCCTGGCGGTGCTGCGTCAGAAACTGGCCCGGCTTTCGAAGCGCTACACGCCCCCGTCCAGTGGACCAGGCAAAATGCCGCCGTCGAATCTGGGCGCAACCCCTCCGAAATAAGACGTTGGCCATTATCTACCTATAAGCATGCAGGCTCATGCTCCATCTGTTCCTAGCGTTCTGCTCTTTTCTTCTGCATTTGTTCGCGTATATCTGATGCCCGACTTTGGTCGGAGTTGCTAATGCAGACAGATGCATCTGGACTACGACCCGCGCGGGCTGCTGCTTCTTCTTCTTCTTCTTCTTCTTCTTCTTCTTCTTCTTCTATTCTTTTTTTGTTCCCTTCTCAACAAATTACTACACTTTATTTCCTTTTCTCTTCTGGGTTCTCATATACGCATTGATACGCGAGTGGTTTGGTATTGTTTGTTTTTACTCTGGTTCCATGTTTTCACTGCTTGTTGGGCGTGTGGTCTGAATCGGCGTTTGAGCTGGGGAAGAGGTACACAAATTGCCAGCGACCTTGGATACGACTGATGATGATGGCATGGGATTCTAGGGAGTCTGGTGGGTAGGGATGGATGGCTGGATGGATGGCTGGATGGAACTTCTGGATGCAGATACTGCGAGTCAGACGCAGCTGTACTGTACATACAACATAATCGCACGCAAATTCTTGGCAAGTTTCGCCCACCGGGCGGATTGATGATTGCTGGCATTTAGAGCCCGACCCACGGCGGAGGCGTTGATCTGGATGCCGGGCTGGCTTAACTTTACCTAACCTAAACTGCGTGAGCCTCGCAAGGACAGGGTCTAAATTGCGTGATTGATTCTGGTGTGTCATAGGAACTCTCTCAGCGGTTCTCAGCGGTTTGCCGCGCTGGTCGGGGTGGAGAGCTTCCCTCTCGGGTTCCGCTCCGACGTCGAGTTTTTTTTTTTTTTTCCCTTTCCTCTTGCCGGGCCTTTTTTTTGCCTCATCCCGACGGGGGCCTCGAAACGCGCCGTGGCGGTCGACCACATGGCCGCTGTCATGTCCATTCTTCTTCTGGGAACTGTCGCCATCGACGGACTTGTCTTTCCTTTCTCTCCTGGTGCTTTGCTTGACCGTTCTATTTTTCTAGAACCTTTTTCTGGGCATTCATCTCGGTCTAGGGCGCTCGACTTGTATACTTCCGTGATCGAACTATGACACACTTGCCCTAACATCCTTCTCTCTGAATTTTTTTAATATCCTCCCACCCACCCTTAACGTTCCTTGGCCTAGCCGCCTAGCCTTACAGGGAATCCCTCGTGTTCAAACGTGTCGCTAACCTAGTCGCCTTGGATTGCATCACATTTAGCTACAGCACATCATCGCATCTTACGGTCTTGCCTCCGGTGGTAGCCGCTCAGTCTCACTACTTTAGGTGTCTCCCAGCGCTATATAGCTCCCTTTGGGTCTCCACGTCTAGACGGTTGGCTTTAGACCGTAACTAGCGTTTTTCCTACTACAACAAGATGGCTGACGCAGCTGTTGAGTCTGGCTATCAGAAGGGCGTCCTCCCCGACACGAAGGCTGTCGAAGAGGGCCCCCGCAGAACGGATGGCGTGTCTGGATTGTGTATGTGTGATCGTCTGACCTGGTGTGGTTGGCCAAGGAAGACCGCGAACTAACAGTTGGACTCCAGATGAGGGCAATGTCTTCGAGGCAACCCCAGATGACCGTCGCCAAATCGGTGTCATCAGTGCCTCCTTCTTGATCTTCAACCGTGTCATCGGAACCGGTATCTTCGCCACCCCCAGTACGATCCTGTCCTTGTCCGGCAGTGTCGGCCTGTCCCTGATCATGTGGGTGATCGGTACCTTGATCGCCATGGCCGGTACTGCTGTCTACCTGGAATGGGGTACTGCGATTCCCAAGTATGTTTAACTCTTGATCATCGATGATGTCAGGGATTGGGCTAATGGCGCGTAGGAACGGTGGAGAAAAGAACTATCTTGAATATGTCTTCCGGAAGCCCCGGTTCCTGGTCACTGCCATGTACGCTGCCTATGCTGTGCTGCTGGGCTGGGCTGCTAGCAACAGTGTCGTCTTTGGCGAGTATATCCTCAATGCTGCCGACGTCGAAGTTGGCCGCTGGAACCAGCGTGGTATCGGTTTGGCTTGCATCACTGCCGCCTTTCTTATCCACTCTTTCGCTGTGAAGTGGGGTCTCATGCTCCAGAACTTCTTGGGTGTTGTCAAGCTCGTTATCATTGTCTTTGTCGTCGTTGCTGGATGGGTGGCTCTGGGCGGTCATATGAAGATTGATCCTCCTCACAACTTCACCAACGCCTTCGAAGGCACCACCGACACTGGATATGGTATTGTCATGGCCTTGTACAATGTCATTTGGTCCTTCATTGGGTACTCGAATGCCAACTATGTATGTTATATTGACGCATCTGGTACCTGACAATCACTAACCTGTCGCAGGCCCTGAGCGAGACGAAGAACCCGACCCGCACCCTGAAGATCGCTGCCCCGATCGCCATCTGCTCTGTCGGAATCCTGTACATGCTGTGCAACATCGCGTACTTTGCTGCGGTGCCCAAGGAGCAGTTCCTGTCCTCTGGTCAGACTGTCGCTGCCACTTTCTTCGGCAACATGTTTGGCTCGCGGGCGGAGAAGGTCATGTCGGTCTTTGTGGCCCTGTCGGCGTTTGGAAACGTTCTGTCTGTGATCTTCTCTCAGGGACGAAGTATGTAGTCTTTCATCAGACGTGTGAAGGTTCAGAAGCTAATGTTATTGCAGTTGTCCAAGCCCTGGGTCGTGAAGGTGTCCTTCCCTTGTCGAAGATCTGGGCCAGCAACCGGCCGTTCAACTCTCCCGCTGCTGGCCTCTTCGAGCACTGGGTCGTGTCTGTCATCATCATGTTGGCTCCTCCCCCAGGAGATGCCTATAACTTCCTGGTCAAGTAAGTTTCCCATTCCTCCGTCGCTGCCTAGGGGTCCAAGCTGACTGGTCGCGAACAGCCTCATCACCTACCCACTTTCCATCGTCAACGTGTTCGTGTCCGGCGGACTTGTCTACATCTACGTAACCAAGGCGAAGAACTTCCCGGACTGGGCTCCTGGAATCCGGGCGACGTTGCCCGTCACCATCTTCTTTTGCCTGTCCAACATCTACCTGGTCGTGGCTCCCTATGTCCCACCCAGCGCCGGCCAGAGTGTCTACAACGACCTGCCCTACTACCTGCACTGCGTCGTCGCGCTTGGCATCTTTGCGCTCGGCGCCGTGTACTACCTGGTGTGGGCGGTGCTGATGCCTCGCTTCGGCCGCTACATCCTCGTCAAGGAAACCGTGATTGACGCCGATGGCTGGTCCAGAAGTGTCTTCACGCGGATGCCACTTGAACAAGCCGAGCAGCAGCAGCAGCAGCAGCAGTCTTAGGGCGGAAGCCCCGACACCACCCATCTAGCAGGGTCACCCTGCACCTTCGTTCTTTATTATGATGACGAAAGATTCAACATCAATGCCCCATATGGCATACTAATCATAATGTTTACACTACTAACGGCTAGCATTCATGCGGAGTTTCGGGGGAGGGAAGGGATTGTGCTGATTTTTTTTTGGAGCGACCGGTTTACTGTATCTATACCATCTGCGTCTTCTAGGAGATACCTCTGTGATAGACCTACTTTCAACAATCGACCGCATATTGCTCATATCATTCATTTTATTATCGTATTGGATTAAATAACTAAGTTAGAGATGTAGATTAGGGAATGTCCCAGCCCTCTATGGAAGCCCATTCACCGGGGAAGCACGTAGCTCCATTCATGAGCCCCTCAAACTGGCTGGTGCACCGTCTTGCAAGTACCACCCCGGAGGGCAGCTCGACAGCCAATGCCATACATAATACACCCCGAAACGAGGATCTGGCACCGATTGCAGTGAGAACACTTGCGTGAAGAATGAATGAATGAAACAGGAAAGGGAAACGGGAAAAGAAAAAGGGAAAAGATGGGCGTCATGTGATGCGGAGAACCCCTGCCCGTCAAGCCCTCATTTCCTGATTGGGGAAAGTGCCGACAGGGGAGCTGATTGCCCCATTAGGTAAGGGGCATGACTGTGTTTTGTTAGTCATCGAATCCGGGCGGGCCTACCGCCTGCCCGTTCGAGGCGGGCGACCGTCGGGACTCCCGCGGCCTCGACTTTTCCTGACCGAAGCTTTTTGCATTGTTGCATTGTTGTCCTGTTGCTTTGACTCATCAGCGAGGTGTGAGATTGCTATTCATCCTCAATTGCGGCCTCTCATTCGTGTTCAACCCGGGGTTCTTTGGTTTTCCGGGCTCCTTTGTTATCTGGGTGGGGATTGTTCTCGTGTTGAGTTGACTCAAGGTTGGGATTCATGCGTCGTTTTACCTCCGCACGGGTACCGCTGGGTCGGAGCTCAGCCAGCAGCAGTAGAGCGCTGCTTGCCCGATCTCCCCTCCACCGGCTGGCTGCTGTTGCTCTTCCCCGCCCCTCCTCCTCTTCCTCCTCTTCTGCCTCTGCTTTCTCCTCCACCTCTGTTGCCTTATCTACTGCCCCTCCCTCTTCTCTCATCTCTTCTGCTACATCCTCATCCTCTCCCTCTCCCTCTCCCTCCTCCCATCGATCTCCCCTTCGCCGTTCTCCCCTCTCCCAAGCTTCCAAACGTTATTGTTCCTATCGCAGAATGTGTGGTGCTCGTCGCGGAGAGGTGTCGGGCTCGACCAACATCACTCACGGTCGTGAGGTCCTGCCCACCAACGTCAAGCCCGTCCACTATGACCTGACCCTCGAACCCCACTTCGAATCTTTCACCTACGACGGTACCGTCACCATTGAGTATGTTCCCCCATGATGCGAGTTGGTATACCCTCGTCCCCGTTGGGAAGCTCACTGTCTGGATAGTCTCGACGTTGCCGAAGATACTACCTCCATCTCCCTCAATTCCAACGAGATCAAGATTCACAATGCCGTCGTGTCTGCTCAGGGTGCGGTGATTGCCTCCAACCCTGAGGTTACCATCAACCAGGAACAGCAGGTCGCCACCATCAAGTTCGCCGACACCATCCCCGCCGGATCATCCGCCCAGCTGAAGCTCACCTTCACCGGAGAGCTGAACGACAACATGGCTGGTTTCTACCGCTCCTCCTACAAGGCCGCCGATGGCCAGACCAAGTACATTGCCACTACTCAGATGGAGCCTACCGACGCCCGCCGGGCCTTCCCCTGCTTCGACGAGCCCGCCCTGAAGGCCAAGTTCACCGTGACCTTGGTTGCAGACAAGAGCCTGACATGCCTGAGCAACATGGACGTTGCTACCGAGACCGAGGTTGCCGGCGGCAAGAAGGCTGTCAAGTTCAACACCTCCCCGCTCATGTCCACCTACCTGCTCGCCTTCATTGTCGGCCAGCTCAACTACATCGAGACGAAAGCGTTCCGTGTTCCCATCCGCGTGTATGCTACCCCGGATCAGGATATTGAGCACGGTCGCTTCTCGCTGGACTTGGCCGCCCGGACCCTGGAGTTCTACGAGAAGGCGTTCGATAACGAGTTCCCGTTGCCCAAGATGGACATGGTTGCCGTACCCGACTTCAGCGCCGGTGCTATGGAGAACTGGGGTCTGATCACCTACCGTATTGTGGACGTGCTCTTGGATGAGAAGACCAGCGGTGCCGCCCGCAAGGAGCGTATTGCCGAGACCGTTCAGCACGAGCTGGCCCACCAGTGGTTCGGCAACCTGGTCACCATGGACTTCTGGGACGGCCTTTGGCTCAACGAGGGCTTCGCTACCTGGATGTCCTGGTACTCTTGCAACAGCTTCTTCCCCGAATGGAAGGTCTGGCAGACGTATGTTATCGACACCCTGCAGGGTGCCCTGTCCCTTGATTCGCTGCGGAGCAGTCACCCCATCGAGGTGCCTGTGAAGCGTGCCGATGAGATCAACCAGATTTTCGATGCCATCTCCTACTCCAAGGGCTCGTCGGTCCTTCGCATGATCTCCAAGTACCTGGGTGAGGATGTCTTCATCCAGGGTGTGCGTAACTATATCAAGAAGCACGCTTACGGAAACACCGAGACCGGTGACCTGTGGGCTGCCCTTGCTAATGCCAGCGGAAAGCCCGTGGAGGAGGTTATGGACATCTGGACGAAGAAAGTCGGTTTCCCCGTCGTCACCGTGTCGGAGAATCCCAGCACATCCACTATCCAGCTGAAGCAGAACCGTTTCCTGCGCACGGGTGATGTCCGCCCCGAGGAGGACACCACGCTGTTCCCCGTCATGCTGGGCCTGCGTACCAAGAACGGCATCGACGAGGACACCATGCTGACCGGCCGGGAGGGCGAGTTCAAGGTGCCCGACCTTGACTTCTTCAAGCTCAACGCCGATCACTCCGCGATCTACCGCACCTCGTACAGCCCCGAGCGCCTGACCAAGCTGGGTGAGGCGGCCAAGGGTGGACTTTTGTCGGTCGAGGACCGTGCCGGTATGATTGCCGATGCGGGCGCCTTGGCTTCGTCTGGCTACCAAAGCACCTCGGGTCTGCTGTCGCTCCTGAAGGGATTCGACAGCGAGGCCGAGTTTATCGTGTGGAACGAGATCCTGACTCGCATTGGTGCTCTGCGCGCGGCATGGCTGTTCGAGGACGCCCCGACCAAGGACGCCTTGAAGGCCTTCCAGCGCTCTTTGGTCAGCAGCAAGGCGCACGAGATCGGATGGGAGTTCTCGGACAAGGATGGACACGTCCTGCAGCAGTTCAAGGCGCTCATGTTCGGCAGTGCGGGTATGGCCGAAGACCCGGTCGTCGTCAAGGCCGCCCAGGAGATGTTCGAGCGGTTTGCCGCCGGTGACGAGAACGCCATTCACCCCAACATCCGTGGCAGTGTGTTCAGCATTGTCCTGAAGAACGGTGGTGAGAAGGAGTACAATGTGGTCCTCGACCGCTTCCGCAACGGTGCCACTTCGGATGAGAAGACGACGGCCCTCCGCTGCCTGGGTACGGCCGAAGAACCCGCTCTGATCCAGCGTACTCTGGACTTGGCCAGCGGTGACGAGGTCAAGAACCAGGACATCTACATGCCCCTGGGTGGGCTCCGCAACCACGCCGCGGGTATTGAGGCTCGTTGGACGTGGTTGAAGAACAACTGGGATGCCATCTACAAGCGTCTGCCCCCGTCTCTCGGTATGCTGGGCACGGTGGTGCAGCTCAGCACCGCCAGCTTCAGCACGGAGCAGCAGTTGAAGGATGTGCAGGAGTTCTTCCAGAGCAAGGACACCAAGGTAAGCCACTCCCGCCCCCCCTTTTTTATTTGGTTTGTTTATCTAACTCTCGTCTAGGGCTTCGACCGTGCGGTTGAGCAGAGTCTCGACTCGATCCGGGCGAAGGTCAACTGGGTCAAGCGTGACCGGGCTGATGTGGAGTCTTGGCTTAAGGCTAACAGCTTCAGCCGCGACGGTAAGCTGTAAACGCGTATATACCCTTACCTGATAATGCAACTTGAAGACTTGTTGTGTCGTCAGTTGATCTTACATACTCGATATTTACGAGATAAGGAATGTCATCAAAGATACAAAAGCCATTGGATTCCTCCGACTATGTTCGGAGTGTGTATAATAAGAACAGTCTCCAAGTCAGACAATTTTTATATCATTTCCTTGTCCTTGTCCGTGTGTCCGTTGAGAGTATATGCGATTCTCGCTATAGCTATGATACATACGCCGTAGTTCATTGTCAGGCATTAAGCAGTTCTCCCCTCCCTTCTCCTCTCCCTCCTCTTCCTTAGGCAAGGATGTTAAATAGATAGATGGCTAGAAAGAGAGAACCAAAGCCCTAGACCATCCATCCATCCATCCATCCTTTGAATAAGAATACTGATACCACTAAGAAATAAGAAGAAGAGGAATCACCAACCCCCCTTCCCACCAAACCCAGAGCCTCCCCCCTCATCATTGTTATTATTGTTACTCTTCTTAGGGAATCCGCGGGTGGGTTTCGACTGCGCGGCTTCATGTTTGCGGAGTTCTTCGGGGACGCGCGAGATGGGGGATTTCATGAGCATTTGTTTTAGGTCGTACCTGTTTTTTTTTTTTTTGAAAAATCGTGTTAGTAGACGTTGATGGATGGTGTGGGATGGGATGAGTAGAGGGTTTAATGTGGAGATGAGATGAGGTGAGGAGTGGGGGTTAGGGGTATAGAGGACTAGGAGGAGGGAAACGTACATAACCTCGGTATCCTCATTACCCAAAAAGGTAATAGAGACACCACTCTTCCCGGCACGACCGGTACGACCGATACGATGGGTATAACTTTCGATAGAGCCGGCCATGTTGAAGTTAATGACCAGACTGACGTCTGGGACGTCGATACCACGACCTGCCAGATCGGTGGCGACCAGGACGTCGGTGGAGCCGTTGCGGACTGAAGCAAGCGCGGCTTCACGCTGGTCTTGGGTTTTGCTACCGTGCAGGGTGACGGAGGAGAAGCCCCAGTGTTTGATTTCGCGGGCGATGGCGTCACAGTTGCGTTTGATGTTGACGAAGACGATGATCGGGGGACGGAATTCGCCGGACGAGAGGATGTCGCCGAGACGTTTCTTGCGCTTGTCTTCGCCGGCGATCATCTCGACGCGCTGCTCGACGGTGTCGACGGCTTCGCCGGCGGAGCCGATGGTGACGATGGCTGGGCGGCGGAGGTATTTGCGGGCGATGCGTTCGACGGCCGTGGGCATGGTGGCTGTGTACATCATGGTTTGGCGGTAGCGGTCTTTGCTGCCGATGTGTTGGCTCATGGCGAGGGAGTTTTCGGCTTCTTCGCTGTCGGGCTTTTCGTTGGAGACGGGGAGGGCGTCAAGGATCTTGTTGACGGGTTCTTCGAAACCGAGGTCGATCATTCGGTCGGCTTCATCCATGATTACGTAGCAACATTGACTAAGGACAAGCATGCGGCGCTCGATGCAGTCAACGAGACGACCGGGTGTGGCGATGATGATTTCGGCGCCGTCGCGCAGGCTGTAGGCTTGTTCTTCGAGGGAGTGACCACCGACGATACTGACGACGTTGAACCCAAGCGGGATAGTGAATTTCTTGGCTTCGATCTCGATCTGCTGCGCCAATTCACGGGTCGGGGCGAGGACGATGGCGTAAGGGCCATCGTTTTTGCGCCATTCGAATTCGTCGATGCGCGGGAGTTCGGCGATGTAGCAGAGGAGGGGGAGGAGGAAGGCCGCCGTCTTACCGGAACCGGTGACGGCGACACCGATGAGGTCGCGGGACTGCATAGCGATGGGGATGGCGGCACGCTGAATGGGGGTGGGCTCCTTGTAGCCGACGCGGCCGATGAGCTCCATGAGACGCTTGGGGAGGCCGGACTCGTCCCACGAGCGCATGGGGTTGGGGACGCTGCCGCCCTTGGTGGCGATGTTGAAGTCTTCCTTGAAGATACGCCAGTCGCGCTCGCGCATGTGCTCGAGCTTCTTTTCGCTCCAATGCTTGTCGAGCTGGTTGCGCGTGCTTTCTTCTCGGCGTCGGCGCTCCATCTCGAGGATCTCTCTGGCGCGGATGCTTCCTGCTTCACGATCGCGATCTTCCAAAGCGCGCGCGTACTTCTGTGCTACTGAGTCTGCGACATCGTCGCCGAAGCCAGCCAGACGACCACGGCCGTAGAAGTTGGCCTCATGTCGACTCTGATATAGTGGGTTGTAGTCGCCACTAGTATCCTCCTCAGCGTTCCACTCGAAGTTGAATTTCCGATCCGTCGTCCTCTTGCGCTTCTTCTTAGCGGAGAAGTTGGACGTCTGGTCCGCACCCATATATCTCTGTTTCACCAGGGCCGCTTGGACCGCTGCTTCTTCATCATCCACGGCACGATTGCCTCCCTTTCCACCCGTCAAACCAAAGGACATCGATTTCGGGGGTGGCGGCGGAGACATGTCGTAGTTCTTGTTATGGGACTGGGAGTGGCGCATCGCTGCCGGTGCAGTCGGGGCATCTGAGTTGCGCATGGCTCGAGGGCCAGTGGGAATGAATCTTGAGTCGCCATTGTGTCCGTTGGACCCGACTGAAGGCGAGAGCGTATCACTTCTGTCGCCATTGGAGGCACTCTCGGACTTTAATCTGCGGGTTGCTTCGACTTCCTTGGCACGTTTTTCTAAGGCGATCTTCTCACGTTCCTTCTTGGATAAGAATTTTGGCTGTGCAAAAGAATAAAGTATTAGCCATGTAGTCCGTAAAAATCTTCGTCAAGCTGGTGGCGCAATCCTGGGCTTTTCCCTCCCGGGAATAGCAGAGACAAGCATACCTTCGCCGCTGCAGCATCGGCTTCTCTCTTTTTCCGCACGAGTTCCTCCACACTCAGCGGGGTCGCTGCGGGTCGTTTGGTGCCCCATCCGACCTTCTTTTTCTTGGGCTCTGTCTCCGGCGGCGGTGCAGGAGGGAGGTCTTCGGGCGGTGGTGGAGGCGCGGACGTGTCTGGCGGCGGCGGAGGGGCGGCGGAATCCTCTGGTGGGGGCGGGGGGGCGTAGAAGGGCGTTCAACGGGTTCGGGGGGAGGCATGGGAGGAGGCGCTCCGGAGGAGCCGTTTGTCACGATACCTTCCATGGCGGCGGGGAATACTGGGAGCAAGAAGATGGGCCTGAAGCTCGGCGGCGGAGGCGCAGAAGAGACCAGGCCGCGGGACTTTCTACGGCGGTGAGAACTTGCAGTCACGTGTGGGTCAGTCCTCGACAGCCCTACAGCACAAACGAGTCTCATCAGAGCTACAGTACCGTGGAATCACACATGCATGGAATGAGAAGCTACCTACGCATTAGAATACAATTGAGACAGTGTCCAAACTCATAAGGTCCACCCAACCGGATCACATCAGATCATGGAAGAGCAGTCGAGAAGCAGGCAGCCTGCCCGCAACAGATGCCTTCTCGCCTCTCACTCAACACGCCAGTCGCTTGAAACTGCACACAAATCAGAAGAAATTATTGTTCTACATAAACGAGCCATCGAGGGCCATGAGAGGGATAGATACCATCCTCTTGACAAGGATTCAAGTCGGGAGTAAGTGCTTCCGGACCAGCGGGTTCGGAGGCGTTCTTCATACCAATCAGACTTAGACGCCACCGTTGACCGGCGCCTGCTGGTAGTACGCGTAGGGATTAGCTTGAGGGGTAGTTGGGACAGCAATTTCCGCCACAGGCGTCGCCTGGGAGGCAGGCTGAGGAGGCTGGGAGGGCTGCTGCACCACTTCCTCAGCCTTCATCTTAGACACCGACGCGGGGCCGTGGACTTCACGGTCCAGAGTCATGTACTCCTTCGCGGCATCCTTCGTCCCACGTTCGAGCAGGTATACCATGTAGATCTGAACCAGCTCCCTCACCACTTGGGCCGGGAGGGTGCTATTAGACCGAATGTCCTCAACCACTTTCTTGATGCGTTCGTACTGAACGTTCTCGGTGGGGGCACTCGTGGGCTGGTCGAGCTCGAAGTTCAGATAGCTAGTCCAGAATGGACGGCTGTCCATGTAGTATTGCTGGTTCGTCTGGAAAACTTGGCGGGCGTCCTCGGGAGAGCCCTTAATCTTCCACAGCAGGCGAGCCCATTCTGCAACCAGCGCCGCCTTCGTAGCCAGGTCCGATTGGGGGGAATCCAACTGGCTCTTGTACACTTCAATGGCCGCCTCGAGGCCGCCATGACGGCGAGACATGTTCGCCAGAGACACTATCGTATCGACATGGTTGGGGATGTTAAGAAGGATGGCGTCGTGGATCTCCTTGGCGACATCCACACGGCCGCTCATCTCTTCGAAGTATGCGTACTGAAGACGGGTCGCAGGGTTGGCGATCGGCACGTACAAGTAGCTTGCACGTTGATAGATGCTCCGTACTTCTTCCTCCTTACCGGACTGGCCGGCCATCCACCTGGCGTAGCGTTGCCAGAACTCATCGTAGTGGGCACACGTCACCAGACATCTCTCGTACAGGAATTGGGTCCTGGTATACGATCCCTCGGATTCTTCAAAATCGAGGTACTTCTTCCAGTTGGTCAGCTGGCCCTCATCGAGTTCGGTAACGTGGAAGTACGGGCGCTTGATCTCCGACTCGTATGTCCAGCGTTTCGTCGTCTCGGTTTGGGTCTTGGAAAAGATCTCAAGGTGATGGCTATCCACGCGCAACCGTAGGTCCCTTTCAACCTCGGCCTCTGCCTTGGCGCCGGGGGCCACATGCCCGGCGGCAGCATCGAGCTCCGCACGGAACTGGGCCAAGGTCTCAGGGGATGCCAACTCCGTCACCGGGCGGGTTTGAGCCAACTGCCTGTATCTTTCGAAGTACCGAGCATACTGGTGCATGGGGATGTGAATTACGCGGCCTAGGATACCGAAGATCTTATCGTAAGCTTCCACGCGCTCCTCGAACTCGATGTATTTGTCCCAGAAGGGATGCGCGAGGAAGTCTAGCCCAACGCTGCTTGCGCCACGTTCAAACAGTCTGTGAACAAGAGATGTCAGTATGGGCCGGAGATACCACCATTTGACAACATTCTGGGGAGATGGGGAATGGTGGGGAAGTAGGGGAATGGCAAGGATAGCAAACATGAGCATGAGATTCCCAATGAGTGCGAGCCCAAACAATTGAACGACTAAGATGGTCAAACTGTGGATAAAAACGTCTGTTCCCCCGTCTGCTTCGAGCGCAGAATAGGTGCCACCGAACACAGAAACTGGATTCTAATGTCCGTTCAGGGGAGGTGTTTGGCTTCAAATCAACTGTAACTTTTCTTCAAGGGGGGAGCAAACAGCCTGGAGAAGCCATGGGTGAGAAGTAAACTCCAGTTGAGTCCGGGTAAGGCGAAATCTCACCCGTCAGCGAGGGGACTGCGGCAAACGAGCATTTGCACCACGCGGGTCCGGTATCACAACCATGTCCGTGCTGCGTTGGTAACGGTTACAGGGGAGGAAAGGAAACCAGCTCTACTATACTTACTCTCGGATCACGTCAGCGTCGTGGGAGGTTTCTGCCTTGAAGGAGCAGTAGTTGGTCCAGAGGTCCACCGATGGCGAGATGCTAGCAATACCGCGTTCGTACACCTGTCCAGCACCATTAGCGACCCAGGTTACCCGATCAAGATCAAGATCCTAGACCACATACCATGTCCGCCGCCTCAGTGCCAGTGATGGAGAACTCCAGGTCGGCATATTTTTTCCAATATCCAAACAATAGCGGGAACTTGGCGAGGAAGCGATCGTAAACATTGCGCACGGTGGTGATAGCTTGGGGGTTGGAGTTGCGGTTAATTCCACCCTCGAGCGCCTCGCCGGCGCGAACCAGCTTCTCCCAGGTTTCAAAGTTATCGGGATCGTCGAGCTATCGGACAAAGACAGGGTTAGCAAGCTACTCTAGAATCCCCTAACGACCAATATAAGATGGATAGAGTCGCATCATACCAGCTCAACTTCCAGCTTCTTCAACTCCGCATTCTCCTCCTCGGAGCCTCCGTAGTTATAGTCCGCCATGTTGGCAGTTGGCAGTAGGACACAAGAACAGAGACGGAATCGCCGTGACAAAAGACGAGGTAATCAAGCGATCGAAATCAAAACCCAAGCGACCGACCAGAAGGAAGAGCAAGAGAAAAGCGGCCAGAAGAAGAGAGGAGAGGAGAGGGAGGACGGCACGGGGGAAGGTGAAAGCGAGTCGTTGTGAAGTCCAGCCACACTAACAAGACTTCCTGCCTGAGTCTGCCGCCCTGGCTTTTTTCGCCGAGCCCGAGCCTCGTCCCCAAACAGGCTTAGCGCCGTCCCTGCAATTCTCGACGCTGCATCAAATAATCATAACGAACAAGTCCGGAGAAGCATCTTATCCCTCCAACCCTCCAATTCCACACGTCCACGGTGGTACCGTACCTCCTCACCATGGCCACCACGCAAGCCTCCAGCTTGGTCAACAAGCTCCCCGCGCGTCTCCGCAACTTCTTCGCCCGCTATCCTCCGCAGGTCTATTCCGCGGCCGTGGCACCTCGCCCAGAAGCCCCCGAAACAGCCGCCGTCGATGCCACCGAGGAGCTTCCCTCGCCCTACACCCCCAACCGCGACGCCAAGGGCTTCAAGCGTCCCGATCCTAAAGAGTTCTCGCCGTCCCGCGCTCTCCTCCACTCCGACCCCAAACACCCCAACCCATTCCTGCCTCGCAAGAACTTCCGCACGGGCAAGTGGTCCGGTCCCCGGGTTGGTCTGCGGAGACAGGCCGAGTTGGTGAAGCTGGCGATTAAGTACAATGTTGAGGCGCTGTTGCCTCCGGGACGCAAGTCGACTGAGTTCAAGGACACCCGGCGGAACGAGCGTGGTCTGGCTATCAAGGGTACTGGTATCGGACAGAAGGTCAAGGGTCACAAGTGGGAGCGGACGATGGAGGCTCGTCTGGAGGACAGGCGCAAGGCTATGATGGAGATGCCGGAGATGATCCGGTTGTGGAAGCAGGTAAGGGATTACGCTTTCCTTGGTTATAGGAAAAAGAAAAAGAAGAATGGTTATGCTGACTCGGTTGCTTTTTACAGAGAGGTCACGGTCGTGGCTGGAAGAGCTGGCCCAAGCGGTAAACGCTTACGCCGTTGGATGTATTTGTTTCTTTGGCCTCGAATGGATTCGGGGCTTGCATAATGTCGCATCTCTTTTTTACTTATGTCTTGCCGGGCTGGGAACTCATCCGGCTCGGTGAGAGTTTCGATTGATCATTGTCGGGGTTCGGCACGGGAGTTTGTTCTCATATGTATTGTACAAATAGCTTTTTTTCCAATCACGCACATTGAATGCTTGCGTGGAATGGTACTATAGATGTTGAATGCAAAATATACATCACTCGGGTGTCTACTTTCGATGTGGAGGAGTAACTGCTGAGGTTTCACCTCGCTTGATACATTATCGCTCATATGATTAATCCAATCTATATGGGGTCGGACACATTCCAATGTTGTCCACGACCGGATCATAATTCATCACTCATGACCATATGATGGGGAGACAACGTCTCCCACCATCACAGTCCTCGGCTTGGGGTTATCATAATTATCCCACGCATGTTCCGAAGAAGAAATAGATAGATGCCGCCCAAAGTAAATCTTGTTCCCGCTCTTTCGCGTCTTGGCCAACGTTGAATACGGTTCTTCGCCGCGCACCCCGGTGAGCTGATCGATACAAACCATCTGGCACCGTTGACAGGATCCAAGCACGTTGAACTGGAGGTATTCGGACCCAATACGTAGAGACTCCCAATGGTCCTCTATATACGGTCGTTCAGCACTCCCGCGTTGTGGGAAATCCTCCGCCACGACGATGTTGGCACGGAACACATCGGCAGCCACAGCTTTCTTTCGAACATTGCCAGCCGAGGAACCGCTTTTAATCGTTTCGTTCAGACGGTTGACAGATGAGCGGGAGATGAGGAGGATTGGGCTTTCGTTGGACAAGAGGATGGGACTCCGTTCCGCTTCTGGTGTCGGCGGATCTTGGGGGAAGGAGCCTGGCATAGTCGGTCTCAGTGGAGATCGCCTACCACCAGGAGAGCGTCTAGGCTCAGCAAGTCTGGTAGAAGTTTGCGGTGGAAACCTTGCAAGTGTACAGGGTACGTCAAGGAAGTCCGAGAAGAAGGAAGACACAGCGGGAGATGAATATGCCTGCACGACAACTTGGTCCCCGCAGACAGTAGAAGGTTTTGAGCTGTTCTGACACAATGAAGTAGACACGAGGCTCGTGCTCTCGCGGTCCAGAAGAATTTCAAGTGTCTTCTGGTCTGGTGAGTGTACAGGTCCGCAGGTGATTCGTAGGACGCCACGGCTGAGATCGATAAACGGTCGTATCAGGGCCATGCGAGGATACCTCTTCTGGTTGAGAGCTGCCCCTGTGCCTTGATGAATCAAACACCACTCTCGATCCCACGCTAATCCCTCCCGTCGAATTTCCCAGCGTTGGCCGTCAGGCACTTTGAATGCACCGCAACTCTTGATTGGGTATACGGAGAGACTCTCAACATGAAAGCCAGACCGTTGGGCAAGGTTAGTTTCCATTGGTGGCACCAACGCACACATACTCGGACTTTTCTCGACGTAGAATTCCTCGATGAAAGCCATAAAATTGTTGATATCATTCAGATTGCTCATCGCACCAAGACTGACTCTCAAAATCCCAGTCGGACGTCCATCCATGATATCGTGGTCATCTCCGCAACGCAGCCCTGCGCTGAAGTGCCGAAGCATGTCTGCCCCAGTCCAATCAAGACTCGCTGCTGTGCCTCCTGGGTTACAGAGGGTTCCAGATCGGATCTGTATATTTCTGACACTTGCCAGCTTCTCCACTTCAGATTTGCCAATCCATGCACCTTGGCTACTGCGCAAATTGAATGCAAGAATCGGGCCTTGTGTAGATGGGTCGCCATAATCTGAATGCGGTGATCTGTACACATGACAGACTTTCTCTCCGTTATGGTGTCTCAAAGCAGTCATGCGATCGTGTAAGCGCTTTGCTAAGAAGCGCGTATGTGAGGAAATATTCGCCATACAGCCGAAAAGGCGCTCGTGCGTCTCAAACGCGGAGCCCAAGGCGATTATGTTATGAAACGGAAGAGTCCCATCTTCCAGCCGTTCGTGGATCGATGATTGCTTCTTTGCATGCCATTGCGCTCCCTGTGTCAAGACCATATCCACAGTCCCTCCGCCGAAGAACTTCCGCTTGTCGAAGATATGACCAGCACTCTTGCGAACAATCAATGCACCAAGGTCCGGGAACCCGAAGATTTTGTAGAAACTGAGAACGGCAAAGTCGGGTGCGGCGGAAGCATCACTCAGATCGAGGGGCGATGTCGACACAAGCGATGCGACGTCAAGAAGAGTGTAAGTATTCTCGGCTGAATTCCGTATCCTTTCACACCATTCAAGAGGAAAGCGCTGGCCACTCATATTCGATTGTGCAGGATACGCAAACAGTCGCGGGCCATGCCCCGGTTCGGTACCCAACTCGGAGATCCATCTTTCGACCTCTGCATCTGTCATAAAGCACCTGTTGCCAATACCCGCAAGCTCACGCGCCCCGATCAAGCTTGTATGCGCGTCAACATGATATCCATACCAGAAACCTTGCGGCGTTGACTCGCGGAGAGAATCAGCAACCAACTTAATTGCGGCGGTGGCGTTCGCCACGAAGACGAGATCAAACTCTTCGGGGTCGACGTTGAAGAAGCGAAGGGCCCGTAGACGGATATCATCCACGCGTTGGGTCGATAGCTGTGAGGGTGCGGACATAGAATGAGGGTTCCCGTAGAGGTTCGACGTAAGGTCCCGAGAGAACGATTCGATCAGAGATTTGGCGTAGAGCGTGGTACCTGCATGGTCGAGATATGTTGTGCCTGTGTTGTAGTCCAAATCGTAAGCATATAGCTCTCGTGTCGCAGGGAAGCTGCCAACCTTGCGACTTACCTCTGAGCAAGGGATATTCACGTTCCCGGATGACGTCCACATCCTCCGGGTATTGGCGCTCATACTCCACGATGCTTTCGCCTTTGTGCCTGCTAGCCAGCATAGTGGACAATCCCTGGCGGCATTAACAGCTGTGGTTATTAGGCTAGTGTGTGTGCAGAGAGGAGGAGCCAGTTCCGCATTGCTGGCGAGGGTGATGTGTGAGGTGGCGACCGCCGATTTATTGGATGTTCCCTTAACCACTAGTACGATTCAACAGGACGTCCACTAAGACACACCGCAATCAGGTCGATTCCTTGGGCTAGATGAAAATAAAGTTGTCAGTATTTGAGCAAAGTAAGTGAAATCATCAAGTAGTATCGCGATAGAAATAAGGCCCAGGCTACTAGCACTATATAGTCCCTAGCCGATAAGGCTAATGGATCGGAGCTTACCGACGGCGGGCTTTTCTCTCCTTCGTTGGCTCCGACGGTTAGTCACGGACGACTGCAACGCTGGGGTCTTCGCTAACAAACGCTGGAATCGATTTGATGTCATCATCATGAGTGTTCACGTCCGTGGGGATCTGGCTAATACATAAGTGCCGGGGAGGAGGGCACAAGGTGGCCACCAGCCTGAGCATGTTCAGCCCGACCAGACCGAAGCTTCCCCACCTTTGCGGTGCTTATCGAGGGCGGGGACCGGCCGGGTCCGAGGATCTTCTGCAGTCTCCAAAAGTGGTGGTGGTTTACTCTATTATTAAAGGCTCTCCACAGTTCGCAGAGCTTCATATTCACCGCTGATCATATAGAATACTGCTGTGTCATAGCTCATATGTTATAGAAACCAACTACTATATATATCCGAGATCCTATCTCTGTACAGAACAATTAGTAGCTAGCTCCCCATGCTACAAACCTCAACATTGGCATGTAGGATGGTACTAGAAATTACAAGGAAGAGCATCTGGCAAGCGCATCATTTTCCAGATACTAAAGCTGATCGGAAACCGCCATGTAATAAACTAATAGGCTCAGGAGAATCGCCAGGTAACACAAAAAGTGGTTTAAATCAGACAAAAGGCTTTGTAGAACACCAGCTAAATGAAAACACATTATCATCATTTGTATGTGGTTGTGATCATATCCCATCACAGAGCGAGCCACTTGAGGCTTATGCAGTCGTTATCCGCTCTTCCGTTATTTTCGTAGAATCAATTTCTTCTCTCTCGTCGTTGCGCGTTATCCATTTCAATCATTAATCGATATCATCCCATCATATCCATCGAGTCGTAAGAAACCCTCCTATACCACATACTGCTGCCGCCGACCCGAGCTGCTGTGGCGCCGGTGGCCCCGTCGACTGCTGTGACTCCTCCTCCGGACAGTGGTCTCCTTGACAACAACCTCCGGTCGCCGATAGATGGCAAGTGCTAGAATGGCAGTCCAGAAAAAGAAGACAACTTCGATGATCCCCAAAGCAAAGCAAGCCTTCAGCATCGCGCATGTCTTGTTGATATGGAAGGACAGGGGGTTGCCGGACCGGTAGCCATAGTATCCGAAGGGTCCAAGGGAGATGTACACCGAACCTCCATCCCAGTGAGAGCAAGTGGCTCCCGCAATAAAGCGCAGCTCGTAGACACCCGCAATAAATGCACCGAAGAAGAGGAGGTCAACGAAAGCGACGAACATGGCAGAGCGCTTGGTGGTCGAGAAGCGGATGAGGGTATCGATGCACCAGAAGGCCGCAATGACGCTGACGATGAAGAGAACAAGGATATAGGCCGGGGTGATCTGGTTCGCATTGAGGTAGCCATTGACAAAGTATGCCTGGGATTGATGTTGTCAGACAAAGTGACTCGTAGATCGGGGAGACGTCATGCGAAGATTAGGTTAAGGTTGGAATGCACTCACCATCATTCCAATGATCGGAATCAGGAAGATAAGCTCCAGAACGCGGTTGCAAATGAAGAAAAAGCTGCCAATCATCTTGCCGGATTGACGCAAATTGCGATTTAATCTTCTCAGAATGCAGCTTAGATACTAGGATTAGTTGCTCGGAGGCGTTCAGAGGCGTAGACAAAGGCAGTAGTGCGGACTGGTCGTGAGGCAGCTACAACGTCATCACACGAGGCACGGAGAATGTCAGAGTCGGGAACGATCACACGGAACCTGGCGCTGTGGGCAGGGCACTAGGTCAACGGATAATATGGTGTTGCGCCAGACAACGTATAGAAAGGAATTGATTAGGTGCCGATCAGATGTAGCCCAATTCAAAGGCACAACCCACCCAGTTAGGTGGTAGAGAAAGCAAGGCACGGATGATGCATCCAAACCCAAGGCAGCATGGAGGAGAGATGCAGAAGAAAAAGAACCCGACGGGGATGGATATGCGAGTCGGAGAAAGCCAGAGGAGGCTGGGCGATTCACAGTTTCACACTGCGGGGTGGCTGGGATCGCGCTGGATCCATCTGTCCAACCATGACCATTGCAGCACTCGAGCAAGTCTGAGTGCCTTGGTCGGTTCATCATTAGCACCCTTGTCTCACCAATCAGCACAAATGAGACCCTCGTTTCCATCCCTGATGATCAATGATCATCCATCATGATTCTTAATCAATGTTTACCTACCCGACCGTTGCCATAGCTCGGCCGTGGTGGGTGGGGCGGGCTGCCACGAGGGTCTCGAGCCACGGTTGAGCGCCCTTCGCGCCCAGGAACAGGAAGGCGCTCGCAACTCAGCAAGTGGTGACAACTAAGAATAGCTGAAGCAAGGAGAGAAACATGAAAAGGTGCGACTGTCTCGCTACACGAGGAGGACCTGAGTTAGTTCGGCGACTATTCCCACCGCAATTCCATCGATTTCAGCAAGCCCGCCCGGTTTCATGATCGGTAGCTCCACTATCCAAAGATCTAGATGCGACAAAACAAATCTACGAACTGGCAACAAATACTCCGTACACTCATATCCAAAGTTTCTACAACTCATATCTTATGCTTCCCGATACTGCATGTCTGTCAGATCCCGTCCTCTGTCCGGAGGAGCGGCCACTGCCGCTGAAGGCGCGTGGACAGCGGTGGCCCCAAGTACCACCTGTGGGGTTTGGGAGCGGTATGCCGTGTCAATATCGTATCGCGACGACGGCTCACCCAATGCTGGATTCTGTGTTCTCGTATATCCAGGTTGCATTTCATAGCCTCCAGCAACATCCTCACTGGAAGATGACCAGGTCCCATCCTCGTCGTGTCTCCGATAGTTGTACCTATTCGTAACGTAGGGATTCGATTCTGGTAGGAACAAGGATCCATCGGGAGCACCACCTGTCGCCGTCGACTGGGTACCGTGGTTCAGTCGCTCTTCCTCGATATTCCTCAAAGCGGCGGTGCTTCCATCGTTACCCGTCAGAGGGACGGGATCAGCGGGTGGCACCGGCTCCCTGCCCCACGTCCGAATGGGATATGCGCGTCCCTTCTTCCAGGGCTCGTTGAGGGAAGGGAAATACTGATGGTAGGAGATGCAGGCGCAGATGATACCTAGAAGTGATCCACTGATAACATCGAAAGGGTGGTGCCTTGCATCCATAATACGAGTCACCGCAACAAGTGTCGCTGCAAGACACGGGATCATAACCAGAAGTGTCTTCCAGGCTTCGCCTCGGTTATCCATGATATGTAGCTTTCCACTAAGCCAGAGCGACAGGTAGAACAACCCAGCAAACGACGCTATGAAAAGGTGTTAGTCTGCAATGCATATTTACCACACATACGGGGGAATGGTCTTCCTCACAGCTACTATGTCCTAGAATTGTGGATTAGCATGAGACACACTCGGAATTGGAAGTGCTGTCGTACCTGAAGGCCACGAACGAAAGCCATCTTTGATCAGCGCATGGTCACCCGTACAGATGGTAGAGTTCGACAGTCCGGGTATTGCGTCATGGCTTCCGGCGCGAGGCTGACACCGATCAATAAAGTCAGGTCTGGGTTTCCCACAGGCATTTTTCAACACTTGAGTAATGACAAAAGCCAACCCTTGTGAAAGCAGGAGCCCAAGAATACCACAATTGAGCTCCCATAGCCGATCTTTCCACCGATATGGACCAGTGAATTTCCTCTTGCCAGACACCGGATGTTGCGTTTTATGATGGGAGAAAAGCCCGTCGATAAAAAGTGTATAAACGGCAATAATGACTAACGGCCCGAGGCCGGAGATACAGAGAGCCTCCTGTATGCTTATGTGTTCGTGGACGGCATAGGGATACTGGATTGAGATGTTTCGCAATGAGAAGTGCTGGTGGAATGGCTCAATGGAATCGAGAACATAGAAACCTCCAATACACGCACTACCGCCATGATCATTAGTTAGCAAATGCTGGCGCATAGTCTGTCAACAGTGGGCACCTACATAAGGATGACATAGTCAAAGACGTATCTGCCAGGAGCGGGTCACATTAGCAAGGAGGCAGCATTCCCATTTCTGGGGGGGTTAATGCTCACGAGAGAATGACCCGCTGCTTCAGGCGCCGCTTGGAGAAGGGCAGCTTGTCGGAAAGACGGTCCATCGGGTCAGGGTCCACTTTAATTGAGACACAATGCAATAGTTGATGGCACTAGTATCTTCGTCTTTACGTCTGGGGAATATAATATTCTGGTAGCTCTCCTCGAGCGCTTAATGTCTTTGAAAAGAGCAGGTTGGCGCGACCGGAGGGCACGCAGAAATGGGAGCACGTGAGGTGTGGCTGTAGGCAGTTGAGGTGTCAACTGCAAGCTGGCGATCTGCCCGGCACAGGACAAATAAAGAAAGCTGGAGGAAATCCCTTCTCAGTCGCCTGCCAATGAGAATAAAAAGGAGGCGAAACACGGGGCACTGGGCGACTAAATACGGGGGAAGTCTGAATACTCGCTGCCTGCAGCTCTTTGGCCGACCCACCTGAGACAGGGTACTGCGGACATTGGCTCGACCGTCGCCTTGTCTCTTGGAAAAAGCATAATCAGGTAGGAGATTAGGATACGATCCGGTGTTCAAATGACGATTCATGATTGAAGCGTTGATTGTCAGATTCAGTATATAGTATGATTATCGATCAAGGCAGTATCATCTGGGTCCTGAGCTGCTTAGAACTCTAGGATGATAGTCCATGGTGGAAAAAGGTGCAAGTTGATCACTCAGATAGTACTTGACAGCCAGTTCCCGTACTGCATTTGTTATGATACAGAAATACACGATAAGCGCTGCGCAGCGACATGTATCATCTTTCGATACCTGATTATGTAAGTTCTGTACATTCTCAGCGGTTCCTTCTACTTTTTTGTCAGTTCTGTACACAGTCCAAACAGTCCACACAGCCCATGGGCCATGCTGAAATGGCACTTCTTTGAACAACCCCTGTCTAGACTCTATATGTCTGCCCCTCGGGTCAACCTTACTAGGCACTGGGTAAGTGGCTAGCCAGTTTCTAACAGTGCGGGCCCATCGGCGGACTGATGGTCCTCGTGGGGAAAATCTGGGCTCTGTGGATACAACAACCCAATGTCAGAGTCATCATTGGAATAGGAACCTCCTCCGTCCCAGAGGTATCTACTGCGGAAATGTTCAATCCTTCCGGAGGATGAGGCTGATCGCCCTTCAGGTTTGCCAATGGTATTTACCAATAAAGCCTTCTCTAAATGCTGCATAGAGCTTAGTCTTCTTCTATTCTATGACAAGCACTAGCGATCTATCCACTAACAAGCTAGTCACCCCGCCGTGGCGTAGTCCAGGGCCGCCACAAATGGGATCAATGCGTTCATGAGAGTAGGCAGAACTTGTTCCTCTTCTCTGGCTCAGTTGTCCAGGGCGGCCTTGTCGTTGGGTCCATCAACCCAGAAGGGCCCATATACCCTGATGGCATTTTCTTTGCAAGCAACTGGTTGCTCAAATCCGCCACTTCTATCCTCTTTATCTTCCCACTTTCTGTGATGGGAAATGCTTTGGGATTACCGTCATCCCCTAGCCAAAATATCCAGGAAGGTGCTTTCTGAGTCCCTAGCGTAGTCTGCACCCAGTCAATGATCGTCTGGCGCGATGGACGGGGCTGGTCTAGAGCCGGCTGAAGAATGGCTGCTACTTCTTCTCCGAGAAGCCTGTGCTGCACCCCAACTACACAGGCTTGCGAGATAGCAGGGTGTTCGTTCAGGCGCTCTTCGATCTCCGCGGGATAGATATTCTCCGCTCCTGTATATAAAAGTCAGTCTGAGCCTCATCAAGCCGGTCGGTGTGTGTTGATTTACCGCGAATGATGATGTCTTTGATTCTCCCCGTGATCAAACAGTGGCCGTCTTCATTAACGAGTGCTTCGTCCCCTGAATGCATCCATACAATTCCAGACGCGTCCGGTCTGAGGGCTTCTGCAGTCTTCGTCGGATTTTCATGGTATCCTTCTTGAACCAGATAACCCGCTATACATAGCTCCCCACGGACTCCTCGAGGAACCACTTTACCCTCTAGGTCGACAATCTTGGCCGACGTGTGAGGGAGCAACGCATTGTGAATTACAACACCATCGTCTGGCTGATCCGAGGCCCGAGACATGAAACTGATGGGCGATGTTTCGGTCGTTCCTATGCTTACTGGTTAACACGATTACCATGTAAGTGTTGGTTAAATTACGATGGTGTATCTAGCTACCTACCATAGGCGACTGTCAAATCTTCGAACCCAAAGGCTCTTTGCACATCTTTGATCAGCGCAGCTGGAATCGGGGCACCTCCAATCAGACCTGTTCGGATGTGAATTGAATCAAGATTGAGATGGTGGTATCTCTCCAGTAGAGCAATGAAAATGGTCGGCACTCCATGAAGGCCGGTACAGCTTTCTTGGACGATGGATTGGAGAACTGCTGCTGGATCAAATGTTGGTGATGGGTATACAACTGTGGCACCATGCGTGAGGCAAGAAAGAAGACCAATGACAAGACCGAATATATGAAAGAGAGGGTAAGGACAGCAGACCACATCTTCGGGTGTTAGCTGTAGACGGTGGCCGATCAGATTGCCGTTGTTGATGACATTTCTGCCCAGGCGGAGTTAGCATGAAGCCATCTAAAAACATAAGGGGGAAGAAATAGAGATAAAACTGATGTGCTCCTACCTGTGAGTCAGCATGGCAATCTTGGGTGCTCCGGTGGTCCCACTGGTGAATTGAAATGTACATGTCTGGTCACTGTCCACTTCTTCGCTCAGCCCGATTTCCGGCCTCCGACTCGCTTGATTGAGGAAGTCTTCATACAGCCGGTATTCTGAAGGTGGACCATGTGACTGAAGTAGGACAATCTCCTTCAAGTCTGGCAGTTTATTCTTTTCCATCAACAATCTGATATCCCCTATATTTGATGCCAGACCCCGCTGGCCGATATGTGATGAAGTGAAAAGCATCGAGCATCCTGCTGGGTCACCAATTGAAATCTATTCAGTTGGATTGGAACGATGCTTACCAGTTTCCTTCAGCACATTCTGACACTCTATAGAGGAATACGCGGTGTTAAGAAGCACGGTTATCGCCCCGATCCGCGTGACTGCTAGGAATACCTCCACATATTGCGCACAATTGCCCGAAAAGACCCCGATTCGATCCCCTGCGGAAATTCCGTGCGCCAGAAGAGCTTTGGAAACAGTCTGCACTCGATGGCTCAGCTCATGGTAAGTGTATCGGATGCCTTCTGTTGGGAAAACGACAGCCTCGTGGGTAGGGTACTTGGCTGCTTGGTGATCGAGCAGTTGGCCAATGGAGAATGGGATAAGCGCTGGCTCGGAGGGGCCATGGGTGATGGACAACGATGAGGATGCTTCTTGCATGATATCTCTTGTCTATCGGAGGATTATGATCCTTTCCCAAGAGTTCTGGTGACACGAGGTCTATGCTGGGAATAATTGAAAGGCCAAAACTGGCGGGGTTGGCTGTCCACGTGTACCCATCGTGGATAGGGTAAAGTAAACATTCTCAACATGCCTTTGGCACTTTCTTAAACTTGACAAGTACCTACCCTAGACTAAGATCGAGGGTTGGGGTAATAGTGGAGTCAGTGCATACTCTAGTACTACAGTAAAACACGGTTATAAGCAATTATATGAGACACGCCACCAAATTGCTTATATCGAGGTCTTCCTTATATTGAATATTCTACCTAAAGTAGCCACGAATATCACTTTGCTGCGTGTTTAACACCTTTCTTCGAAGAATATCACGTTCCTGGCATGCTAGCGAGTGTAGAGATGCTTGATTAGCATCATTTTGTTGTTCTTCGTACAAGCGGAGGTCATATAATGCCTGCAGGGCCCTAGTAGATGATATAAATGGTAGAGGCTCTATCATTTCATCATCCTCTTCAACCTCATCTTCAACTGCAGTGTACTGGCTTAGAACAACATCATCAATATCAGTAGTTGCATCATGAACCTGCTCTTCTAAAGGATTCAAGAACTGGTCAAGCTGCATCATATCTTGAATCCGTGCAGTATTCTGCAACTTCTGTAGACTAGCAGTCAAATCATGTAGGATAGCAGAGTCAGGCATAGGATTATAAGTGTCATCTGAAAGCGCGCGTGTAAAGCAGTGGCGGATTGTATCATCTTTCAAATCAAGATTCCATGCAGATATTGACCAACGGAGCGCTTGCAAAAGGTTCATCGTAGTTATAGGATCGTATCCCCGGTCATATTCAGTCATCATATAAACCAGCCATTGCCGTTTCCAGTAAGCCTTCCAGGTCCGGATGATGCCTTGATCAAGTGGCTGGTATCGTGATGTTGAATTGGGTGGCAGCCATATAATCAGAGTATTTGATAACTGTGATTTAACCTCTTCGTACGCAGCAAGATAAGATGAGAAGTTATCACATAATAAAGCAACCTGCCGGCCAACCATTCTCTGGTCAAACCAAAGAAGCCATTCTTTGAAGATTGCAGTAGTCATCCAACTCTTTCGATTGCTTCGCCATTTGCAACCTAGATTCTCTGGGTTTATACCTGCTGCTTGGAAGACTCGAGGCTTCTTTGCTGTACCAATAAACCATAAAGGAAGGCGCTCAGAGGCATCAGCATTGCAGCAGAAGTGTATACTGATACGTGCCTTATCTTTCTTACGTCCAGGGATTGAACGCGTAGAAAGACCACGATCCGGAGGCATTCTCCAATATAAGCCAGTCTCATCACAGTTGAAGATATCACAAGGCGCGTAAACACGTAGTGCTTTGCGTATCAAGATCATCTGGTCTTCAGCATCATTTCCCAGTGTTATCTCCCTGCCCTCTCCGTATTGCTTGAAATTCTTGATATTCTTCCTATATTGGAAGCCTCGAAGCCAACCGTTGCTGAATGACGGCATCATCTTATCAGGATAGATAATCGGCCAGTATTGCTTTGCTTTCTCGCGTATGACTTCTTGTGAGATAGTAATATAGGATTGCGCGCGTTCAAGCCAGTCAATAACTGCTGCCTCTAGCTCTGGCCACAACTCTGTTCGACGTCGTTTATCATTCAATCGGTGGTCGGGAATAGCATCAAGATAATCACATCGGGGAGACAGGATACGGGATACGGAGGAGGGAGCAATCCGCTGGTTGTACGTGGCTTCGAACCACTTGATAAGGTCGATATTAGTGAGCTGAGGCTTCAACTGGTGTTGAGTGCGTAGAGCAGCTTTTTGGCTGTTAGAAATGCAACATCGCGTTTGTTTGGAGGTCTGCTTTGGCATGATTCCTGAATAATGACGTTCAAATTAGCTATTCCGAGCATCCAATATAGGCAATTTTGTATGGGGGAAGGTCAGGATCTTAGCAATTTGCTAGTAATGGAGGATGAAGCAATTTTGTATGGTGTAGCAATTTGAACACGGTGGCCAGTTGCTTGTAATGGAGGATTCCCTATATCGGGTGTTGCTTATAACCGTGTTTTACTGGTAGTTCTCATCTCATCCACCAAAAGGGTTGCCGCCTGATTCGACAATCCACCCCGGCCAATCAGCTTATCACAGACCCCCCGTCAAGAATGCCAAAGCTAGCACCAAAAGAGCTAGTGAGCTGACATGGATGCATCGAGGTGATTAATAATACGCGAGAGTTGACAATAACTAATCTCTACACTCACGACAAAAGACTACTGACAGGCATCATTTTCTACTATTAGTAGAGCAGACGTCAGAGGCAATGGACCCCCGCGGTAAGGCGCTAAATAATGCACCCAAACGCTCCCGAATGTTGATCTGCAAGGCTCGGACGGGATGCCTTACTTGCAAGTTCGTCTTTCTCTTCACTGTTAGCTTGATGAGTGGCCCTGGCTGATATCCGGGATAAGGACAAGGAGAGTCAAATGCGACGAGCAAAAGCCGGTCTGCAACAGATGCATTTCGGCAAAACGCCATTGCGCTGGCTACCAGAAGCCCCAGGATAATCACCCAAAGCCATTCCACATAACGTACTATGTGTCAGACCTCATTTCCTCCACAGGGGCTTTGCACCGCCCATTAGAAGATCTTCGAGATCAGCGTGCACTCGAGTCTTTTTACCTATGGGGGAAGGCTTGCTTCCCCGATGATCTAATGGAGCCATTCACACACGATGATATACTCCGAGAACCTGCCTTAAGGCATGCAATGATCGCGATGGGAAGGTTATACGAGATATATCGCGATGGTGCGGTGCGCGCTTCCAACCCCGAGTTAAACGTATACGCAATGCAACACTATGGTAAGGCACTACGTGGGCTTGTTCTGCGCAATCTAGAAACCGCTGGTGAACCAAGCCCTATTTTCCTGATAGCCTGTTTTCTGTTTGTTTGTCTAGAGACCTCCCAAGGACACACTGAGGCCGCGCTACGTCACCTACAGTCTGGATACAAGCTATTCCAAGAGGCAAGACGGTCTGGAAAGCTATTAAAACAGTGTGAGCCTATCTTCCGCTGGCTCTTCACTCGACTGATGTGCCAAATGACACATTTTGACCCCAATGATTGCGCACGGTTTTTCGGGCTCAATGGGAGTCAATCAAAACCCCTGGATACTTTCACCCATCTCGAAGATGCTCGCACACACTTGGGCAATTTAATGCAGAAGATGATTCACAGAAGGTATCTTGCAACGCTAATCAAAGTTTCCCCTGGTCCCAACAAGCAGGTGTTTGTGGCAGATCAGACAAAGCGCTTGTTGGCACAGGAATTGGCTGAGCTGGACACTTGGATCCTGGCATTCAACCACTATCTTAGCTTTGACATCTCAACTCATGACACCGGCGACTACTATGTCCTAGCTACCTGCAGCTTTCTTTTGAAATTCCGTCTCATGGCGGAGTCTCGGAATATCGGAAAGCATGACGAGAACGGCTCTCTGGATTTCAAACACATTTTGGACCTTGGGCATACCCTGCTGAGTGATGGCCACATTGCTGGCAGCCTGTCCCGATCACCTACAGGGAGCAACTGCCGGCCCGAGACTGATTTTCACGGAAACCAAATGCTCGAGACCGAAGTTGCCACTTCTATGGCATTAATGCAGACAAATGCACCCACAGATCCCCACTTCCTATTTCTCGGCATTATGTCTGCTTTGTCTGTTGCTTCCGCCCATGCCCCCGACCAGGCTGTTCGTCAACAGGCACAGCAAATAGTTCGAACTATTTGCGAGTCCCGAATGGATCGGGACTCCGGGTTGGCCGTCTACCTTACCAGTTGCCTCTCCCATACAAGAAGCCCGGGGTGTCATGATGATAGAACTTTGTATGGGGATTTCTCTGTACCTGAGGCTTCCTATTCCCAAGAATCACGCCGACTTATAGAGTTGCTGGGTGATTTCGGACAGGTCTGATAGGCAACGGTCTTCTGACCAACGCTTCGGCCAATGAAATACTAGAACGAATGCTCCCAAACTTGCCTATCACAGAACACAGTGTCTGGAATGGTACCATATAACGTGCTACCACTATACCACTTCTTGATGGAGTCTCATCTTGGGGGTTCCCAAAGCCGTTAGCCCAACACGAGCTGGCCATGGCTTGACCGGCTTGGGTTTAGCGCTACATGACAACTATGAGCGCTGCGAGTCTACACGATTACTTGCCTTGGTTACTCCGATATTGCCCCCTCTCGAGCATATACGGGGCTTAGGCTGGACGAAAATGCCTCATCGGATGGGATATCTCCTCCGATCCTTGCTATAAGAGGGCCGGAGCCCCTTTAGAATAACCCTCTCCAAATCAAACAGCCCGAACATCAAGCCTAAATCTCTTACTTATCCAACCCCCAGCAATATGCATCGACGCACAGTCCTCATCACTGGAGCCAACGGCTATATCGGAAACGCCGTTGCAAAGGCTTTCGCCAGGGCCGGCTGGACGACGTACGGCTTGATCCGCAGAGCCGAAGATGCCTCAGACCTAGCCAAACATGAAATCCACCCTCTCATCGGCGCCCCTGAAGACTTTGGACCATCACCCGAATCCAAATCAAAGCACTTCACTCACCCCGTCTTCGACGTCGTCGTCTCCAACACAGAAGACTGGTCCAACTACACCAAACACTTCAAAGAAGTGCACTCAATGCTTCTACACATCGGACAATGCAGCAGCAACCAAGCCGGAATCCGCCCTCTAGTCCTATTCTCAAGCGGATGCAAAGACTACGGCATGACAGCCCACCACAACGATCCAACCCTCACCCCTCACACCGAAACCAGCCCACTAAACGGCCTCCCCCTCCTCCTCCCCCGAACGCAAGCCAGCGCCAACCTCCTCCACACCAGCGCCAACCAACCCTTCGACATCACCATAACCCGCCCTACCCCAGTCTACGGCTACGGATCCAGCAACTACGGCCCCATCTTCTCCCTCGCAGAAACCCACAAGCACACCGGCGTCCTCCCCATCCCCGCAAACCCCAACGTCATAGTCCACGGCACCCACGTCGATGACTGCGCCTCCGTCTACGTCGCCCTAGCTGAACATCCCCAGCGCGACCAAATCATCAACCAAGCCTTCAACATCTCCAACGCACGATACGAAACCACCGCCGAAATCTGCAACGCCGTCGCCAAATCCTATAACCTCTCCATTGAATACACCCCACCCAAACCCCTCGACGGTATCATCCCGGGAATGGTCGACGCCATCCTCAATTACTCGCAATGGGTCTCCTCGGACAAGATCCGACATCTGACCGGCTGGACAGAAAAAAGAGCTTACTTTGCTGACGGTATCGAGGAATATCGGTTATCGTATGAGGCTGCGATGGCTTCTGGACACCGTGGAACCGTGAGATTGGATTCTATTTCTAGAGATCCGGGTGCGTTTAGTCGGTCGAGTGAGGTGTGAGTTGTTATTGTGTGGGTGGTGGGTGGGTTTACAGAACTTCTATTGTTAGTTCATGACGTCTTTTGTAAGTAGCATTCAGCTGAGATATGCAATGCGCAAATCATAGATTGTGTTTTGCTTTTCGAATAGTTACTTTCTGAGATAAACCCCCTCCGCTGTTGTATAGTTATTCGAATAGCAATTACTATTTCCGATGCGCAGAATCACTATATTACCTCACCAATGCTTTTTTTTATACTAGCTTCAGATTATTTTCGAAGCTATGTGACTGTCTTAGTAGGAACTTGGAAGATTCTATTCGGTGGCTAAAATTATTGAACTCAGTCAGTATGAAGCTATTCTACAATAGATATAATACCATGGAACCCAAATCTAAACAACATTTTTAAATCCCAAAGTCTTCTAAGCGATGTCAAAAACCTATTAATGTTTTCATCTGTCAAAACTCCTTCCCCTGTCCATTCTAAGTCACCTTGCCATTTGATTTCGGATCACCTTTCTTCGTCTTAGCGGCTTTCAGGTGCTTTGGTATCCGGTGCATCCTTGTCTGACTTGTCGAGTTCAAGCAGATATTGTATATCCAATGTATCGGAGCAGCGCCGAACGAACCCATATCTCGCCCCAAGGACGATACAAGCGATAGCCCAGATCAGAAAAAAGATGGCAGGAAACACAGCAGGGATTACCCCGGGCGTAAGGACCTTTCCTGGTTTCGAGGATGTCAAGTACGTGTTGGGATAAGAATTCTCGAAACTCGTCACGCCATCGTACATTAGTTGAAAAGCGTCCATCGCGTGGGCTAGCTTCACAGACCGCTGGAGCTCACCTGCTTGGAGGAACCTGGTATAGTAGACCGAGTTGGAAACTGTTCTAGGGGGAGGTAGATTAATTGAATCGAAGTACATCAAATATTGATAGCGGAGTATGTCACGAGTAGTATAGCCAAAGATTGGCGTTCGACCTTCCTCTCTTCCTATATCAAAGTCGGGCGGTTGTGTTCTCGTAAAGTTATGATATGTACTGGCTTTCACTGCGAGCTCTGCAAATCCGAGGGTTGAGAGGCGATTGCATCTTAACCCGATAGGCGGGGCTAGGTATAGGATCTTCTTGTCGGGAGACGCAAAGTCATCGAGCGCATCACTTGTATTGTAGGCTTCGAAGAAAGTTTCGTTGTTCGTGAATGTTCCGTTGGGAAGCTGGATGAAGGGCTGTCCCATGCCTTTCAGTGGTACGTCGATGCCTTCGTCGAACGGGAAGCCCTGCGTCTCTTCTTCATAGCCGCTTTGTGTTCTCATTTGCCATAGAGCTAACTCTAAGATATTGACAGTTTCGAGCTCTGCTCCGTCGTATGCTGGAGGCTGGTTAGATGAGTTGCTGACGCCCATCTCGATATAAGCAAAAAGATTATGGGATCGCGTAGAGTCTCCGCTGCGGCTATTGGAGACATAAACATTACCCTGAGAGCCGGCATTTACAATCACATCCCTTTCCGTGATATTATTTGATGTGGGTTGCTTGATGATGTTGGATCGGTCCGAGATAATCGTGAATTCCGAAGCGTCGCGCACTATCGAGCAGTTGTACTCTATGCGCAGACCCCAAGCGGAACCGTCGAATGGTGTTCTTGCCTGCGGACTTATGAAGAATTCCGATGGCAATTCGTCGAGGGGGAATATGTTGGGGAGATTGCGTAGGCCATTGAACTTCTCACGGCGTGTATGAGGTGGTGTATGAAGAATGCCGATTCCGGGGAGGACGGCCGAAGCTCCCGTCTCCCATCGACTTCGAGCCCGGGAGCTGATCTGATCTAGCTGTCGGTTGTTGAAGTTATCCCACTGGCGGCCAATCACCCAGGGCGCAGAGGACGAGAAGATGTATCCATCAGACAACTCCATGCAAAGACCAGATATAGGGAGGGCGACAAACGGGAGCAGGCTGAGAGCTGATAGGAAGTACCACAGGCGATGAACTTGACTTTCCTTGCCCCGGAGCAAGCGACCTAAGCAACTTATCCAGCCATCTGGTCCGCTCCAGCTGTTGCCACTGTGCATGTAAAGGGTCTTCTTGTCCACGAGGCGACTTTGAAGCATCGCCACCTCGACGCCAGCGAGTCCATATTTGGACCATCCAATACCGAATGTACAAATAACAAACCATGAGTAAAACACCCATAGTTCAGAAATAGAGGCAAATTTGACCGCGGGATCGGCGCCTTTTCGCAGAAGCACTAGCCATATGACCACGAAATAAGCGGCCACGAGAGGTGGGATGAAGACCAGAACGATGGTTCGAGTATAAAATCGATTCATCGAAGATATTTGGTATAACATTGCGCTCTCCAGTCTCGTTTCCTGAGTATCAAGTCTATTGTTGTTGCTTCTGTTGCTGCTGGTGCTGCGGTTGCTGGCTCTGTCGCTGTTGCCCGTGCTATCATTGCTGTCGCTGTTGCCTGTACTATCACTGCTGTTGAGATTACCCGTGCTATCACTGATGTCGCTGATGCTATTGCCCAAAATCATAGGGCTCCCAGCGAATGTCAGGTGCTGCGTTACACACTCCATTTCAATCGGTTCCGTACGGGCCATGGTTGTTCTTGCAAATGGACAAACACAGATATAGGTTCGCCTTTGGTATTTCTATCCCGTGGTTGACATGGATAAGAAGTATCGTTCAGATGATTGGCTATATCTCAGAAATCGCATGGCTGGAAAAAGTCCGACCTGGGGGGTCCTGTTAAATGGCGAACAGAGTTCTTACATGGGGCTAGATCAACTGTCCAAGAGTCTCGTTGTCAGACAGACAAATACGCCTTTCGGTATTAGGGAGCTGAAACAGACAGCATCAGCCTTGCAATGGTTACACTGATGGTGTCAGGCGACAACCTGTACGCGATAAGGGTCTCACCTTTCTCTCTCCTCCCCTTCCTCTTCACACGCTCCCCACACTGGCACTACTCCTACAACCCGCGGCGCTTGGGTCTTGACGCTGCGATCCCTGCCCGGACCGTTGTCCCGACTCCCCCTTCCCTTCTTTTAAGCACCTCACAGGCCGGATGAGCGAGCGGTCAATTGATGCATATCGCTACATTTGCTTCAGATTGCCTTCGTGGTCGTCTCTGTATGTAATTCCATAGCTTGGCACGTCTCTATACCCCACGGGAATTTACAGGGTATCTGGTAGGCGCTAGTATCTCCGCTAGACGTTGATGGGTACTTGTCAGAGGGGCGAAGGACTGTGAAAACTTTCGCTTCACGAGCTTGGGTGCCTCAAAGTCAAAGCAAGCCACCATAATAATCCAATGGCGGTGGCGGCTGATTTAGCTACCTTTGAGACAGCACAGTCTGAGTCGACGGCAGATGATTGCCTACTAGGCAATGCTAAAAGTCTCGGCAATGAACACACAACCCACCAGGGTTGACAACTGTTTTGATGCTTGCTTTTGTGACCTGGCGATTATTCACTCTTTAAACTTCAATACCCACGGAGGACCCTCCTCGCCCATGTCTGGGGAAGATACCATGGCGAGACGCACTTTCGTTATCCACGAGTAGTTTGTGGTTGAAGCTCATCGTTATACGGTCTGGCATGAGCCTCGGGGTCCTATGTACTATATCTGCTGTCAGAACGTCAAGGTACATTATTATGGGCGGGGATTTGACAGGCCTCGCCTTCCTAATACGACGTGGCTGGCTTGGATGGCTGAACTAATAACGCCACCGTGGGGCACTGTTGATTGAGAAAAGTACTGCGCTATTGACGAGGAAAAACGGTGCTGCCTGAGTGGTTGGTGTCACGAACTCTCATGTACGCCTTGCACTGCCACTCCACTCTCCTGACGGAAATAGAAATCGCAGTATGTAGAGTTGGATTAATCATGGCTCGATGGTGCTTACATGAAGTGAGAGACAAGGTGATATAGCGGAAGATGACGGAGCCAACCGCTATGCCTGATCGAGGGATCACCTGATCTGGTATGTAGATATTGGCTACTGATACTGTGTATATGGTCGACTGAGCAAAGCCCTTTTGGATCCGTATGGCATGTTTTCTGTATTACGCTACCTTCATTTATCTTTTGTATCATAGATTAAGACCATTAATCAGATGAATCAGACCCGAGTAGTATTCTTAATGTACACTGTACTAGAGATTACCGTGATATAGCCACTTTTGAATTCAATATCAATGGCTCTTCGGTCCAAGACCCGATCCGGCGCTCCGTTAAGTATCAAAGGAATGGCCATGTCTCAAAACTAAATAGAATATTCAATAAACAATCAAATTAACGGGTCCATTAATCATGTTCGCGTGATGCCGGGTTCTATCACCAGGTCTGACGAGCTTAGCAGACGGTGATGTACAAACCGAGACTGGGTAACAAGTTAGTCATGTTTCACAAAGCGCGCGGTATAGGAACACTTACGGTGAGGGGTTGTAGTCCTCGAAGAAGTTGAGGTAGGTGCTACCAGCTTCCTTCATCTCGTAGCTGACAGTTTGGCCAGCCGGGCAGGAGAAAGAGGAAATAAGATAGGAGTTGCCGGGCGAGAGGGTGAAGTCGCCGTAGTCCTGCTTGACCGAAGGAGCGTTGTTGTAAGTAGTCGACTGGCTGGCAGCAGACTCGAGCCAAGAGAAGTCAACCTTGCCATCTCCGCTAAAGGTGTAATCGGAGGTCTCAAGCTCTGCCTTGGTGGGGAACAGGAAGATAAGACTGCACGTCTTTCCAGAGTCCGAAGAGGGAATGTCGAAGTTGAAGATGGTCGAGACGGTGGAGGAGACAGTGCCGAAGTACTGAGTACCGTAGGCGGTGTCAGGTGTAGAAGAGTTGACCGGGATGATCAAGTGAGGGTACTCATAGTCGCCCGAAAGATCGGTTGGGCAGCTGGCAGAGGACGACTGGGTAGGAGTGCCAGATGCCTGGGGGCTGGTGGGAGACGCAGAGCTCTGGGCAGGCGAGGGAGTCCCAGATGGCTGGGGAGCAGGAGTGCCAGAGGTTTGAGGGTAAGAGGAAGGCTGAGGGGCAGGCGTGCCGGAGGTCTCGGCAGAGGAAGGAGTCTCAGACGGCTGAGGAGCAGGGCTCTCGGAAGAAGGCTGAGCAGGAGTTCCGGAGGTCTCAGGGGGGGAAGGCGTCTCGGAAGGCTGGGGCACAGGGGTTTCCGAAGACTGAGGGTAGGATGGGGTCTCAGAGGGTTGAGGAGCAGGGGTGCCGGAGGTCTCGGGAGGGGATGGCGTCTCCGAAGGCTGAGGAGCGGGAGATCCGGAGGGAGCCGGCTGAGAACCCGCCGGAGTAGACGACCCAGGACCAACGGGAACAGGCACCACAGAAGAGCTCTCTGCAGCGCAGTAGGTTTCGGTCACATAGATAGTCGTTACCGGCACCGGCCCGCTAGACTGGGGACCAGGGCCAGATGGGACAGATGCACTAGACTGAGGACCAGGACCAGCGGGGACAGAGGCACTAGACTGGGGACCAGGGCCAGCGGGGACAGAGGCACTAGATTCAGGACCACCGGGAACCCAGGTACTCGAGGCACCAGAGCCAGGAACAGGAGCGCTAGAGGATGGGCCTGGAGCAGCCGGTTGGCTGGACTGGGGTGCAGGGGTCGAAGATGGAGCAGAGCTAGAACCAACAGCACCGGCACCAGAGCCCGAGCAAGAATCAGCCGTCAACTTGATGTCCTCGCAGCCAGTCACGGACGAGCCCTCATTAGTGTAGATGTTCAACTCATTGTTGTCGCCAGTCTGGCAGCCAACAAAGTCTCCATCACCATTGTATTCCAGCTCACCCGAAGAGCTAATGGTGAAGCCCGACATAGGGGTTTTACCCAAATCACACTGGAACTGGGAGGTCGAGCCTGCCACGTATACTTGGTTAATACGGCCCTAAACCCGGGGGGATTGGATGGATGGCTCACTAGTCACAACACAACCGCGTCCGCTGCTATCAGTGATACCACCGTTGGAGTCAATGCAGAACTGGGTCTCGGGCAGTCCACCGCCGATGCGGTTCTGACCATCACCAAGCTGGCCAACAGTGCCAGAAGCACCACCAGTGGCCGTCAGGTGAAAGCAGCAGGAGTTGCTCCGGCCGACAAGGGCATTAGCCCCCGCAGCGAAAGCTGTGAGAGTCGCAAGGTTCTTCATACTTGCACAAGCGAACGAGGGCGGCAGCTAGATAGGTAGCAAGCGAACGGACTGGGTGCCAGTAGGATAAAGATTGTTTTGATATGGGTCTTGACCGCCGTAGTCTGAGCAACAAACTGAAAATGGCCAGGGTGCACTCGATATTTATACACAAAAGTGGGTGGGTACATGAAGGAACGTCATGGTGTCTGCCGGTAAACAGGACAAGGTCATATCTTACACCTCCACAGTCTTACAGTAGATCGAAAAAATAGAAACAGAATGCAGCCAGTTCCAGTGCATCTGCCGGACTGCATTGACCATGGAAAAGCATGGAGGGCCACTGTTGACCCGCTAGGCATCCCCGGAGAGCGAATAAACAAGTTGCAGGTTGTCCGACAATGCCGGGCCTGGAAGCTTCGGGGTTGAAGGAGCAATGAAAGCAAACGTCATGGGCACCACCATGAGAGGTACCCGTTCTGGAAGTTGGCTGAGAGGCAGAAGCCATATCAGTGGCCCAGGCGACGCAGGGCACAAGCCAACTGTGGATCCAGCCCCATCGGAGGAGCCTTTGGATCGGCCGGAAACCCTGCCCTGGTCAGGACCTTCCCGATTCATGGGTCTGCGGCGGTTTATTGCGAGTTTGGTGGCAACAGGGTCTCTCATCCACGGTTCTCCCAGCTGTCCAGCCACACATAGCAGGCATTGTTGCCTGCATACAGGGAACATGGGTAAAACACCCACGGACCATGCTACTATTCATAATCGCTCACCCAGCGGGAAACCGGGACGGCAATGTAAGCGACAATGCTTGTGCTCGATGGAGGAGCGGTCTTGGCTCAAGAAACGGAGGACGAGTACGCGCAAGTCCGAGAGATTTGGGGGAGGAGCTATCTAGTCAGAAGCGTAGCGATTGCGACTAGCATGGGGAAAGGATCAGGTTCCTAGGATTAACCCGGGAAGGGTACCTTGCATCATGCTCGCAAAGGGTTTTGATTTGAGGTATCCACGACATACGGTGCGGAGTAGGGGATGGAGTTGACGTTGGCTCTGTCTTGGTGTGTTGCAGCTTAGCAGCTTAGCATCCCGCTCGAGGAAGCTAATACGGCGACCGGGGCCACCTGCATGTCATGATGGGATAATACTTGGCATAATTGATTATTCGATGAGAATAGTAGTCATGAGATTGTCGCACATAATAATGTGTAGAGTGTAGACTAGTCCGACTCTTTGGGAGGGTCGGGAGGAGAAAGATGGGGCGGGATCAATGGTTTCCCCGCCCCCGCTCAGTGGGGGATGACGACAGCCTCCACTCCTTTCTTCTCCTCTTCCGCCGGCAAACATCTGCTCCGATCGACTCCGCCACGTCATGGTGGATTTCCAAGGGACTCTGTGCCTCGCTCGCTGCCTTTCCGTCCGACAAAGCAATGGGAAAGAAGAAAAGCAACCCAAGGTCCCATCCAGGCATCCCCGACAAACTATCTACCCAACCATCTACCTCCAGAGGTCAGCTCCAGCCATGGTTGCCTAGCGTCCACCTCAATAATAACAATCATGTGTCTCGACAAAAAGCACAGGCACAGCCTACGGGCAATATATATAGAAACAACTGGCCAACCCAGGACCGGGCAACGCAATTCCAGCAGTATGGCTTGTCCGGGCTCGTGTCATCCGCGTTCATCTGACAGGCAGGCAACGCAGCCCTGCCGGCCACCAATGCTCTTTAAGCTTTCCCCGGCATCTGGATGGGCGCGCTACGGATTTCGATCTATACTCTTTCTGCTTTTTCTTTCTCTTTAAACGCCCCTCTCCAACAGTAGTATTACAGTAGTGCTTCTGCAGTGCGTCGTAAGTCTACCCGCCCCATCCTGTCTCCATCTTTATCTCCCCACCCGGCAGTTGAGTATTCTCTCTCAAAACTCGAACTCCGGTTCGAACCATTCAAGATGTACGTCCTGAAACGCGAATTCTCAGCCAAAGCAGCCCCATTGGGTGCAATTGACAACCCTTGCACTTTTCGCACACTATCCAAAGCCTTCAAGGTCCTCAAGGCCTCCAAAAACGGCAATCTCATCGAAAAAGCCGTTGAGAATGAGTACTATTGCACCCCGCACTACACGCTGTAGGAGGTTACGTACGCTCTTTCATCGCACCGGTCAATCAAGGTCCAGACAGTTGGCTAGAATCAACGTAAACTCAGATTCCCTTCTAGCATGCTGTTTGCTGGCCCACTGTCCAAGCCAGTTGTTGGTCCACCCATGCATGTAGGTAGGATGGGCAATAGATGGATTATCCTTCGGCCTGTCGATTCCAGACTTTCATAGGCAGTCGATGGAGTTCTCTAGACGAAGGGAATCCACTGATCGAGGTTTCCGCCTTTTCCCTACCTCCTCTTAAGGGCCGGACCGACGGAATATTATGCAACTGCACATTGTCATCGATCCATGACACCTGCACTCAAATATCCGTCGGCCATGACTGTCTTGCCATTGACAAGCAACTGGGTACTACTAGTACCCAGCTAGGTAAACAAACATTATTAGTGATTTCTTTGACTAACAATATTGTAATGCGCACGTCCTCCAATGTCTCACTCGAACCAGGCCGGCAACGCTGTCAGAATCAAGAACAGCACATCACTATTGTCGATCCTCATTAAAGCCACTGCGGGTAGCTGCCAAGTCTTGACTTCATCGATTCAATAAGTTACCGATCAGGCAGCACAGATCGAGAGGACTTGGCGATATTTCAGAGAGCTTTCCTGGTTGAAGCTGACGTAAATAAAGGGCGCAGATCGTTGATCAGGATCTTCGGAGCTGTCGGTTACACAGTAGTTGCCGTGTGTGCCCATGTTGATTGCCCGGTATGATGTAAACACCATCAAGTTGAACTCTGCCTTTTGGCGAGACCGGGGAGGAGTGGCCGAGATCACATGTCGACGGGGGTGTTGCTTGTGCAGACACCGGGTGCTTATGGACTCCTCCTTGTCTCGATGACGGTAGAACCGGTGGTTCTTGTGGCTGGCGTCATCCATGTAAAGGTGCTAGATAGTAGTATCATCGACATTGACTGCAGGAAATATTATTATTATGCAATATTTGAATAAAGCTTTCAGTCCTGGATTCAACCAAAGTGCATCCCAGCCACAAAGGCACATGTTCGCTACAAGCAAGACCACATTTAGGTCCCCAAGATTTGGATGTAGAGGGTGAAACGTAACCAAACTCCATTTCTTACTGGCTGTAAGTACCCGATTGAGCCCAATACACCCAGTAACTGAAGCACAGTCAGAGAGCCCTCTGATTCTTACTTAATCTTGGACTTGAAACTCAATGACTATACCATGGGAAGTAGTATAGCCATGCCAAGGTAGAGGCTACCTTGCTTCAGTCCTTTCCTTGAATGTCTACGTGGAGAACGAAATGTCGCTTGCATCCTTGCAGTAGATTGGGTATCTGTGTTCGTTCTACCTAGATGATTACCTCGTGCGGGCGGCCTTGAATTTGCTCACTCGTCTGGGAGCGTCTTCGGTCTCGATGGGCACTATTTCGGGCTCCTCGCCCATAAAGCCGCCGTTTTGCTGGACCATCCTGTTCCGTATCCTGTAGAACTCGGTTGCGATCTCCTTCTTATGCAGCTGCTCGTCAAGCTCATCGGGCTCTGGTGCTGCTGCCGGACCAACCGGGACCTCACGTTCAACGAGTGTGTCCGCAAGGATCTTCCCTTCGGGGCCCCTGGGTGTAGAGTCTTTCCCGATGACCTCGGAGATAGGCTGGGAGAAAGGCTTGGGCTCCGCTGGTTTTGCAGGGAACAGAGGCAAAGATGATACTGTCGACGACGCCTCGGTCTTGCGCAGAGCTGAGCGAGGTTCAGCGGGCCGAGTGCTGCCGCTCGATTGTGATGTTGAAGCAGTGGCCTCTTCGGTTGCACTGGTCTTCCGGGCACTCTTGAAACGGGAGGCTTTCTTTGGGGCAGCATTCTGAACAGGTTCCTTATCAACGGACCCTGTGCGTTCAACAACAGAGTCTGACAGAACAGGCACGTTCGATTCCCGGACCGGAACGGCCTTCTTCTCGATAGTCGGAGGCTTAGGAGCCGGGGCGATATCGAGTTCGTCAGCAAAAGCAACCTTCTTCTTCGGTTTCTTATTCTCAACGGGCTCGCTGCTCGCGTCCGCGCTCTTCTCGACATGGACAACAATAGGCTGCTCCAGGTCCTGCTTGACATCAGTCGGAAGCGACTCCGTGTCTTTTCCAGCATTCCACATTCCTCGAGCGTTGAGCTTTTGCTCTAACTCGCGCATCTGGCGGTGATAGTCTTCGCTCAGGACACGTCCAGTGCTTCTTCCGTACTCATCCTCTTCTTCATCGTCATCATCATCAAATTCATAAGCGTCATATTCATCATCAACAGATATATCGCTTGCACCCTCATCCAACTCAAGTTCGGCCACAACAGACCCTACTTCATTCAGACTGTATTGCAACATTTCGCGGCGTAATTGGGCATCCTCTGGGGGTTCATCAACTTCGGTAACAGGACGCTCGCCGTGAACTTCAATGGTCGGATCTAACGCAGCAGGCTTATCCTCCTGATCATTGCTTCCGGAACTCGAGGTTGAAGGCTCATCAACAATAGAGATGTGATCCTTTGTACTGGCCTCCTCCGTAGGCTGGGTTGTTGATTGTGACGAACTTGGAACTGACGTGTCGGCCTTGACCACATCCGGTATATCTTTAACACCAGCTTTCTTCAAGACCTGCAAAAGATCCGGTGCCTGGCTTCCGGGTGTGGTGGTTGTGCTCGAAATCACATCGCCGTTCTCATCAAGTTCTTCGAAAATCTCTGTCATCGGAAAGTCCGCTGTAGGTTCTGCCGGAAGTTGATCCTGCGAGTCGAGCGTATACATTTCATTCTCTGCCGCACGTAGTCGTTTCTCTATAGTAGCAGCATTCTGCTTCACATAGTCAATCCGCCTCGTTACCAGATCGACCACCTGTTGTTTCGTTCGTGTCACACCCTGCTTCTCTCCCAGAATGACTTTGACTTCTTCCTCATTGACCAAGGAGCCGCCGAAGTCGCGGCCCACTCGGATGTAGTCATCTATTGTCGCATCATCACCTAGTTCGTTAATCTCTTCTCTGAGGCCATCGTATTCGGCCTCCCACGTCCTCCAGTGGTAAAGGGAATCTTGCAGCTTCGAGATGTTCCCCTCAAGTTCGAGGCGCTGGCGCTCCAGTTCGTGCAGGCCATTATTTGGAACACCCATTTTTAGGGCAGGCAAAATATATGTGTATGGAATGACAATTCAGTCCGAGTGTAAAGGTGCACTGGGTGAGGGGAAGAAGGCGGACTGGAAGGCGATGGCGGCAAGAAAAAGTTCCGCCGCGGAACAGGAGCGGAGAAGATGATTGGCCCGTGCACGCAGCTGGATTATCAACCTTCCATGCCACTGAAGACTCACCTTGGATTGTTTCACTTCTCTCCCCGCTGCGCGTTCCCCGCACTATCCTGTTTCTGGCCTCTTTGGCGCTGCAGTATTTCTCAAAATGCCTCCTGCACGAGATGCCATGGCTCACCGCGGGGATGACGATGGTAGGTTCACTGCCCAGGATCCCGATGAATGTTCACTAACTTTCAGAAGAGGTGTGCCCTGTCTGCAAATCCTCTCGTTACCTGAACCCGGACATGCGATTCCTCATCAATCCAGAATGCTACCACAAGATGTGTGAGTCCTGTGTGGACCGGATATTTTCCTCGGGCCCGGCCAACTGTCCCGTCGCGGGCTGCCACAAGACCCTGCGCAAGAATCGGTTTCGGAAGCAGACGTTCGAGGATATCAATGTGGAAAGAGAGGTAGACATTCGACGCAGGGTGATGCAGGTGTTCGTCATCAACAATATATCTCCGTACATTATGGGACTGCTAATATTTCTATAGTCTGAACCGCCGCGAAGAAGAGTTTGACTCGAAACGAGCCTACGATGACTTTCTCGAACAGCGTGAAGAGATAATCGCGAATCTCGTCCACGGCACGGATGTAGCGAAGACAGAGGGTGATCTACAAAGATATGCTTCAGAGAACATGCGGTCGATTCGCGCCAACCAAGCCCTTGAAGCGCAAGAGGCCTCGTCCTTCCGAGAACAGCAGACACAAGAGCAAGAGCTGGCACGTCTTCGGCGAGAGGCGGCACGGCAGGAATATGAGAATGAGCGTAAGGAGTTACTCGCCGGCCGGGAAGACGTTCTCAGTCGTCTTGCTGCAGGTCGACCGGGCGACGCAGCGGCTATCGCTCGCGAGGGTCAAAAGGTCTTACTCAAGAAATCCTCTGCTCGTCGTAGTGAGGAGGATCGGATCCGACAGAAGCAGGCTGCATTGCGCAACTCGGACGCCAGGAAAGCCGGACAGGGTACCCTTGCGACCGACCGGGCAGATGATAGTGGTGCTTCGAGCCTCATCAAAGGTCTTAAGAAGATTAAAACTCCCGAGCCCGAGAAGCCTTACGATCCTTTTGGTGGGCTGGTTCCCAACAAGAGGGACTATTATACTTTGCGCGACTATTACCCGAACAGCTACCTCGACCCCATCCGACAGGACACTCGTATGCACGCAGGCGGATACGACCTTCAAGAATACTACTCACGTACTCTCATGGAAGCTTTTGCGGGTTTGGGCTGCTTCCTTGACGAAGAAGTTTCCAAACGAGATATTGCAAATACCTCAGATATCTCGAGACCTGTCGCTGCTGAAGGGTCTGCATTGGCGGCAGTCTCAGGTGCAGGCGCTCCGGAAGGGAGCTCGTGACCAAGCGCTTTTGCGAGTTTTACCGTTTTTTCCCCTTCTGACAAAGGTTTGGAGGTTTACTGATAATCAAAAGTATGGCCGCGGCGTTTGGGCATTGCGTGGCATAGCGATGGCGTTTTTTTGGCAATGATTTTGAGCATCCGGGAGAGCCATATAACTGAGATTGTTCAATTCGTCTAAGTACCTATGGTATACAAACAGATAAAGCTAGTACAAGCCAATTAAATTGCGTGACAACAGAAAAGATCGCACTGGGAGAAACACGTAATATACAACCTGCCAATTAGGTACAACCATCACATCTTGCCGCCAGTGAGCTGCTCCGCAATCTGGTTAAGTCTCTCTTGGGAAACATACCAGCGACCAGTCTCGCTCTTATTGGAATCGTTGACAATAGAGTGGACAGTCGGGGGCACACCCAAGTTCCAAATGTTATTGCCATCCTGGTGGTCGCTGCGCCAGGCACTGTTGGCACCATCAGGGAAGACCTCCTCGATCTCAGCCAGAAGCTGGGCCTCGGTGGTAATGAAGTTCCTGGCATTCATGTAAAGCGCTTGCAGGTGCTCTTGGCGCTCCAGTTCCTTCATGGCCTGGCGGTGCTCCACCCGTTCCTGGGACTGAGCCAGACGAGCCTCACGGTCAGGGTCCGGCAGCATGGGGGTGTGTTTGGGCAGCATGTCCTGGATGACCGAAGTACGGGTCAACCGCACATCTTCCCTCTCCGGCTGGCGGAAGATACGCTCCCGGCGCTTCTGCTTCTCCAGACTCCGCTTCATCATCGTCTTGTCCGTCCGCTGCTTCCGGGCGTGCAATTCCAAAAGACCTTCGCGGAGGTTCCTGCGTCTCATCTCCGCCATGATTTTCTTCCACTCGATGTAATCGGCATTAGGGTCTTTGGGGTCCAGGCTGATCTCCTTGGTGGGAAGAGGTGTCGCATCAGCAATGTACTCCTCCGTCGGCTTGTCCTTGCGGCGAACCGGAAAGAGTTCCCTGGGGACGGGCAGGGTACCCTTGACGCGGGGCTTCGGCGGGAGATCGGGCTGAATGGTTCTAGGGACATCGATGAAGTTGGGAGACTCGGGTCCAACCCGCAGAGAGGAGGATGAGGCGAAGCCGCGGAGCTGCACGGTGGCAGTCCTGCAATTGCGGAAGAGAGACATGGTAAACAGCGTCTGTCTGCGTCGAATATGATGTGAGCAAAACTGAGGATGGGAGGTGTGGAGAATGGGGGACTGACGAGAACCAGCCAGCCGGTCTAAATCGGGATCAAGGACCAGCACAGGGAGGTTGAGATGCCTGATGGCCAGCGCGGTGCTACGGCGGGCGTCAGGACGAGGACGAAGCGATTTTCTTGCGCTTGGTCCGTGCACCGCTTAGCTTGGCGCCCGCCAATGGAGAAAAAAATAATTTCCCGCTTCGAAACTTTTTTCCTTCCTTTCTTTCTCTTCTCTCTTTGCGCTCCGCCATTTTTCTTTTTATGACACTTTTTCTTTGAACTTTTTCCACCAAACTTCTTCCAGGTGCCTTAAGGGCTTGTTTGCACAATGGGTACCTTTAAGAAGGAAGCCAATCGTAAAGATCGGCAGGGGAAGACTGGAGATGGCATGGGGAACGTCCGGACCAAGGGTGAAAACTTTTACCGGTAAGCAATCCCGCTGCGACGCATGGGCTGCGATTTGTATACTGACGTATGGAAGAGATGCGAAGAAGTTGAGGACCTTGAATATGCTCAAGGATGGCAAAGCCCAACGCAACGCTGAAGGAAAGATCACCAAGGCTGCTTCATACCAGTCTCGAGACCGCCCCGTTGCTAGGATTGAGCCCAACCGTAAATGGTTTGGAAACACCAGAGTGATCTCGCAAGAAGCCTTGACCTCTTTCCGGGAGGCCGTCGCTGAGCGTGCCTCTGACCCGTATCAAGTCCTGCTCAAGACGAACAAGCTCCCCATGAGCCTGATCAGAGATGATAAAGGTGTAAATGGGCTGAAGCAGCACCAGGCCAAGATGGCCATCGAAACCAACCCCTTCAGCGATACCTTTGGACCTAAGGCTCAGAGAAAGCGTGTCAAGTTGGGTGTTGCCTCGCTGGAGGATCTGGTTGGAGAGACCACCAAGATGCACAATGCCTACGTTGAAAAGTCGGACCATGCTACACATGAAGATGGTACCATGGTGGTTGACGGTGACGATGTGGCTGCAGATGATGGCAGCAGTGCCGCGCCTACCGCTCGGGAGGCTGTGTTCTCCAAGGGACAGAGCAAGCGTATCTGGAACGAGCTCTACAAGGTTATCGATTCCTCAGATGTTGTCATCCATCTCCTTGATGCTCGTGACCCTGAGGGTACGCGTTGCCGGAGTATTGAGAAGTATATCCGTGATGAGGCTCCCCACAAGCACTTGATCTTCGTTTTGAACAAGTGCGATCTGGTCCCCACCGGCGTAGCGGTAAGTTTCTGTCACTTTCTTTACTTTACAACTACCCCTTTCCTTTTCATACCTATTTCGACCCTTGGGTCGATGCCATTGCTAAGTCAAGGCTTCTCCTGCGTCTTCATGTCGCGTTATTCACTATGGGAGATGGTCTGTTACAGCTCTGGCAGATTGACGCTAGTTCGCGCCGAACTTCTTTCTGAAGCTAGGCTGATTGGCTTTCGTTTTGAGAGCCTCTCGTTAAGAACCAAGCTGTGTTCTGTTTTTGAGTTGAGTCCTGCTTCCGCTCTCGAAGTGGCATCATAGCCGGTCTCTTAGTAACATTTCACACATTCTGTCATCTTTTCTTTTGTATCTTGTTTTACTCGTGCTGTTTTCACAGTCGATGCTGGTGTTCAGCTGCTAACGTGACACCAGGCTGCTTGGGTACGCAACCTTTCGAAAGATTATCCCACGTTGGCTTTCCATGCCTCCATCAACAACTCCTTTGGTAAAGGTTCTTTGATCCAACTCCTTAGGCAGTTTTCGTCTCTGCACTCCGACCGGAAGCAGATTTCAGTCGGATTCATTGGATACCCCAACACCGGAAAGTCTTCCGTCATCAACACTCTGCGCAAGAAGAAGGTGTGTACTGTGGCTCCTATTCCGGGTGAGACCAAGGTGTGGCAGTACGTTACTTTGATGAAGAGGATTTACCTCATCGACTGTCCTGGTGTGGTTCCCCCCAACCAGAACGACTCCCCCGAGGACATCCTTCTTCGTGGTGTTGTCCGTGTCGAAAACGTAGAGAATCCTGAACAGTACATTCCGGCTATCCTCAAGCGGGTTCAGCCCAAGCATCTTGAGCGCACCTACGGCGTCAAGCGCACGGACGATCCCATTGAATTCCTCAGCATCCTTGCTCGCAAGGGTGGCCGACTCCTCCGTGGAGGAGAGCCCGATCTCGACGGCGTTGCCAAGATGGTCATCAACGACTTCCTTCGAGGAAAGATCCCTTGGTATACTCCTCCTCCCCATACCTCTGGCGAGGAGGACGGAAAGATCGAAGGCCGCGAGGGTCGTCTCGGCGAAATGACCCGGAAGCGGAAGCTTGACGAGACAGCTCCCGAGGCTGCCGATGAAACAGAGGCAGCTGAGGGGCAGGCGTCTGGCTCAGGCAACGAGGAATTCGAGGGCTTTGGCGAGAGTGATGATGACGACGACTCGATTGCCAACCTCGAAATCAGCGACGAGGAAAGCGGAGAGGAGAACGATTAAGTGAGGGCTCTGCATGAAAAGCTTCAACACTTTGTGGATTGAATATCCGTCACTAACCCCATCGACCTTGGGCCCACGCCGTCGCTCTAGAGATGGAGCGCGACGAGAGTCACGCCACGCCCGACCATATCCGGGCCGCTGACAACCAGCTGCATGGCCCACAGACATCCTCGGAGATGCAGATCCATCGGAGGTCGAGAACGCCACCGACCGTATCCGGTCCAGGCGTGGTTTCACACGGCCTTGCTGGCATGCCACCTGGACGGCTTTCCTGCTAGTGCGTGCCAACTCCATTCAGAGGTAGCGGGAGCCAGCTGATCCTGGGCCCCACTCCTCTTTACTTTTTAGATACCCACCCAATGCTGAGAAGAATCAAATCGAGCGGTAGATCGTCTGATCAACCTTCCATGTTCATAACTGCATGCATCCCTTGTAATCGGCGTAGTTGAATTTAGGACGGGCAGTAAAGCCAGCCGGATCCTGGCCGCGGTTGCTTTACGGCTTCACCGCCATGGCCGCTCACGTGGGGCCCCCAGCCTCACTCTCGTCATTCGGTCTCCGCAGCACCGGCCAGAACATGCCAGCGACTGTCTAAGATCCGCCCATCTTTATTTACTTTGCGGCCTTTCAGGTCTTTGCTTCCTTCAAGCATGTGCTGCGCTGCCTGCTACAATGGCGGACGAAGGCATGTCCATAGTCCCCTACGGGTCCGGCAATCTTGATGTCGTACTGTGAGCTTCCCCTCTGCGAGTGTAGATTTAGCTTTCCCACTGGGAAGACGATCCTAACAATCGTCCTTGATTAGTCGCCACAATGACTCCGTCGTCGTCTTCGATCGAGACTCTCGGCAGCTCGTTCTACGCAATGCATCAGATAGCGACGAAGGCAACCTGGAGCTTGCCGATTGCCCTTACTGCCATCGACCTCTACACGATGGGAACTCCGAAGACGACCACCATGCCAGCCCACGAGCGCAACCTGAATTTATCAACCCCAACTATTTTCGCATGCTCCACAACAGCTTGCCTAGCTCCGTGAGCTCATCCAGCCCTCCGTCCCCTCATCGACGTCTTGTTCCGCCAGCCCTTGCAGACGGCCCTACCAGCGAACCCAGCTACGCCGGACCAACCAGTCAGGGAATTTCTTCGGCAGCGTTTACGCCGGACTACTTCAAAAAGTTCTTCGTGGAAGAGACGGTTCTAGGAAAAGGCGGAAAAGGGGTGGTCCTACTGGTTAAACATGTATTGGATGGGGTTTCGCTTGGACAGTACGCCTGCAAGCGGGTTCCTGTCGGAGATGACCATGAGTGGCTTGAGAAGGTACTAGGAGAGGTCCAATTGCTACAGCATCTCACACATCAGAACCTTGTTTCATATCGACACGTTTGGCTCGAGAACGCCAAGATCAGTACGTTTGGGCCAAGTGTGCCATGTGCATTTATCCTCCAGCAATACTGTAACGCTGGGGATCTGCACAACTACATATGCGGCTCGGTAGACACTCCGACGACCACTGAGCAGCTGAAGGAGCGCCTCCGCAGAAGGTCCAGGGGAGGACCTGAGCCTCCGAGTGGAGGAGAGCTGCGCAAGTTGAATTTCGAGGAGATCTATTCCTTCTTCAAGGATATTACCTCGGGACTGCGTTACCTCCATGCCAATGGCTACATTCATCGCGACTTGAAGCCAAACAATTGCTTGCTGCACAAAACCAGTGACGGGATTCGAGTGTTGGTCAGCGACTTTGGCGAGGTCCAAGCCCAGGATTCGATCCGGAGGTCGACCGGAGCTACCGGGACTGTCTCTTACTGTGCACCAGAAGTTTTGCGGCGCGAGTACCCCGACGGTCCATTTGGCAACTTTACGTTCAAGTCCGATATCTTCTCCCTGGGAATGATCCTCTACTTTCTCTGTTTTGCGCAGTTGCCATACAGCAATGCCGACCTTATCCATGAGGAGAAAGAAGACCTTGACCGGCTCCGCGAGGAAATCAGCCAATGGTCTGGGTTTGATTATGCGCGGCGCATGAGGCCCGAATTGCCTGAGCAGCTCTATACATTTCTGGAACGTCTGCTGTCTGTGGATCCTGACCGGCGCCCGTCTGCAGATGAGGTTCTGAGTGGACTGCAAGCCGGCGCCAATGTGAACGAGAGTTTTCGAGCAAGAAGGACCAGTCCAACAAGCCCTGACATACGTCCAAGCGCAAGGATCCATCCTATGGAGGGCGCGCCAACGCCATCTTTTCGGCAGCCTCTGTCTCCGAGCAAGTCCCTCACTCGCAGTCCGGTGGCTGTACGACGCACTCCAGCGTATGAGACGGCCGGTGCTGAGGCCGATTTGACACCTGTGTTTGAGAACATAGATCCCTTGTCAGGGCACAACACATCGTTCAGCCCTGAACGAGATCTGGTTGTGCGACATCGGTTCTCTAGCGCACACTCCCATTCGCCGACACAGCCCGAGCATCACGAAGTAGCTCAGGAGCATACTGAGCCTGTCCCCCAATTGCTCCCCCCGCCTCCGGGTCGTTTCTCTCTGGCGAGATTCTTCCCAGATGGGGCGTCGCTGTTCGACTGGCAGGCTACTGTGACGACGATGCAATTGGCTGCGTTCCTGCTCAAAGTCGTGTCTATTTTCCAACCCTGCAGCCCTCTGGCGGTCAACCCGTGGGTTGCGTATCCTTTGCTTCTGCTGGCGGCGGTCAACTTCCCGGCCACTGGTTTTCTGACGCAGATTGTTTCTCTTTTCCTTCATCTTGTTATTGTCAGCGTGTGTATGCGAATGGAGGCACTGTGCTGGCATACATCCCGGGGCGCGATGATGTTCCCCCGGTAGGCTGATTTACTGGGGCGCACTGGAGTTATGTGATCAAAAGCGAGCATTCTTCTGCATTGCATGATGGGTGTAATAGTTTTCGGGCTTGACGGGGTTTATGAATGTATGTATTATGAATGATGCCACAATAAAAGCCATTTCCAAGTTTCTCCGGGGCGCACACCGTAGTCCTGGAAGTCCGTCGGGGAGAAGCCGGCTGACGCCGGACAGTGGAGATGAGTTCAGTCCAGCGGGCCAACAGGAAGACAACGACAAGGGAACTAAATTGCTTACATGGGTTAAACTTGCACCAGCCAGGGATCGCATCACTTCATCCCCCGCTACTCTCTCTGATTGGCACAGCCCCGGTCTATCGAGGGTTCAGTGATTCAGGATGATAACTTCTCTGCCTAGTGTCTAGTGCTTAGTGCCTATAGCCTTATCAGGCCTCTTGTGGCCGGCCTCTTATATCCGGGCCTCCCACTCTCGCAGCAGTTCCACTCGCCTTTTCTTGCCAGAGTCAGTAGATATTGGCACGGCATTCTTCTGACCTGGGCCGGCACGACAATGAGCTCCGTAGCCACCGAGACCATGCAAATGCTGCCTGCCGGCAGCCAATCCGAGAAGCTTCAATGCGTTCCAGACGGATCGAAGGATGCTGCAGCCATCCAGGATCATGAGCCCGAGCTCGATCCGACCCTCTATCCGCACGGCATCCAATTTGCACTCATCTCCCTGTCCCTTTGTCTCTGTGTCTTTCTCGTGGGCCTAGTGAGTGTCTCTATCGGTGAACTCCTGCAATTGCTGACCTGACAGGATGCCACCATCTTAACTACCGCCATTCCGCGGATAACCGACGAGTTCGGATCGGTGGCAGATGTCGGTTGGTACGATGCAGCCTTGTAAGTTATCCCCATCAGTCTGCTGCTATGCTTGCAATATGCTGACATATCGGCCACAGTCGGCTCACCTCCTGCATGTCACAGCTCTCTCAGGGCAAGTTGTACGACAACTTTCCCGTCAAATGGGTCTTTCTTGTCAATCTTGTCCTGTTCGAAGGTGGAATACTTCTATCGGGACTGGCCCCGAGCTCCGTGATCTTCATCATCGGACGGGCCATCACAGGCTTGGGCTTCTCTGGGATCAGTCAGGGATGCATGGTGTAAGTGTGCAACAACCAATGCTGGTTCCCAACTAATCTATCTAGCATCATTGCGATTTCCACCCCGTTGCGAAGACGACCAACCTTTGTCGGTCTGATCAGCGCCAGCGAATACACCGCCATCGCAGTAGCCCCCATCCTGGGAGGAGTACTCACTTCGAATCTGTCCTGGAGATGGTGTTTCTTCATCAACCTGCCCGCCGCAGCCCTGCCGTCAGCCATCCTCCTCCTTCTAAAGCTCCCCAACATCACCCCCAGGGGGTCAAAAACGCACATCCAGAAGCTCCGTGAGCTCGACCTCCTCGGGTTCTTCCTCTTCGCCCCCGCAGTTCTATGCCTCCTCCTCGCTCTCCAATGGGGCGGCGACACCTACAACTGGACCAACGGACGGATCATCTCCCTCCTCGTCCTCTCGCCCATCATCTTCGCGGGATTCTGTCTCCTCCAACACCGCAAACAAGACACGGCAATGCTGCCACCTCGAGTCCTCCGCAAGCGCGTCATCATCACCGGCTCCGTCTTCAGTCTATGTCTCTCGGCCTGCCGCGCCATCGTCCAATACTACGTACGCTCCCTCCCTCTCCCTCCAGAATCAAACTAACCACCCTCCAGCTCTCAATCTGGTTCCAAACCGTCCGCAACGCCAGTCCCCTCCAAAGCGGTCTCAACACCCTCCCACTCGTAATCTCCGTCCTCCTCAGCGCCATCACCGGCGGATGGTTCATCAGCCACACTCGCACCTACACGCCCATTCTCCTCCCTGCCTCTCTGCTCGTCATCGCCGGCATTGCCCTGATGACAACCTTCACCCCCACCGCCCCTGCCAAACTGTGGATCCCCTCCCTGGTTCTCCTCGGCCTCGGCTCCGGCAGTGCCGTCGGCGTCCCCTTCATCGCCGTCCAAGCCATCCTCCCCACCAAAGACATTTCCGTGGGCATGGCCCTGATGACCTTTTCCCAGGACATCGGAGAAGCAGTATTCATCAGTGTCGCGCAAGCGATCTTCCTAAACCGACTAACGGGGAGTCTGGAGGAGAACGTACCCGGGTTGGACCCAGAGATGGTAACGCGTCTAGGAGCGACAAGCTTGGCCGGCAAGTTACCGGGTAAGTACCTGGAAGGAGTCATCGGGGCATATGATGTAGCAGTACGCGGGACATTTTACCTTGCGGTCGCATTGGCAGGGAGTGTATTTGTAGCTGCGGTTCTGGTCAAGCGGAATCCGTTCAAGGTGCGGGATGAGTTGATGAGAGGGGATACATCGTGAGGCCTCGATGTAAATAAGTCCACGAGATCCAAGCCCTGTCTAGAACCAAAAGACCAAGATCAATCCAGTCACGCCGGAGAAAACCAACGCAGGACCGCGGACAGACAGCATAATCCCATAATCGCACGGGGGAGAGAAACACAACGAAATGAATGTATATATCGCCCATAAGTACGGAATAGACAACCACCGTTACCAACCACCCCATCATCCCAATCCATCAATATACCACATAACAAAAAAAAAAGAAATACTACACAACTACATCTAACCCCCCCCCCCTTCCGCTAAGGACATAAAAAATAAAAAAAAGAATGCGCCAAGCGAGATTCGAACTCGCGTCGCAACCTAGTCTCAATGTGGGTATTGGGAAGGTTGCATCCTAACCACTAGACGATTGGCGCCTAGGCCATCTGGGGCGATTATTGAAATACCCACCTAATTTCTAACTTATATGGTACGTGTGGGGTATATGTTTTGGTGTGTTTCCGGGGTCAGGAGCCATGTTTTTGCTGCGGTTAAAGGTGGGGAGTGGATCGGAGGGAGGGGATATTATTTGTTGTTTTGGTTTGGGGGTTTGGGGTTTATGGGGTGGGTTTTTTTTTGTGGGATTGGGAGGTTTGGGGTAGGGTTGGTATCTAGTGGTTGGTTGGTTGGTTTGGTTGTGGTGGTGGCGAATATCTATTATTCTATTCGATGTATGCTTTTGATTTGGTATTCTTTGAACGGGTTATTAGTGAGTCTATGTTTCTAATTAATATCTTGTTTTTGTATCCTTCCATATGACCCAACCATACTATTGCTCTTGGTCATATCCATCCTGGGATCACATAACCATGAAACCCAATCTCATATCCCACCTAGATCATAATTGTCGAAACTTTCAAGTAGACAAAAAGAGGTATTCACACCCAGAGTCATTCAGTTTAGACTTGTTCCCCAATCCCAGACCGTCTCATCAAATCAACCCTTCATATCCCAAGAGTCGATATCCCAAGCGATAACCCCGGAGACTGAACCATCAAGTAGAGCCTAAATGAAATCACTTATAAAACCAGTCAGCCTCTATCAACACCGAAATACCTCAAATCTAAAACACAAACCATCACCCAACATCTCCCCCCCAGTTCCATCGCACGAGTACCGTGGCTAATACCGATGCTGTCTCCTAAAAAGCAAATACGGAGCCGGACGAGAAAGACTCAGATCCCGGGTCTCGTTCAAAAACGCCACCAATTCCATATACTGGCAGTGCTCGGCCTGGGACATATTGCGGCATTGAGCTGCTCTGAGTTGGATTTCTTCAGCAGTGGTGACGGAGGAGGTGGTTCTGCGGAAGAAAAGGGGAAAGAGAACGAGAAGGAGGGTGTTGATGAATTTGGGTGTCATTTTGGGTGGGTTGGTGAAAGGGGCGTGATTTGATGCTTTTCACGTTGTGGGATGGTGTATTAGGAGAAAGAGGAGAAGGTCGATGGTAAAAGAAGATGAAGATGTTGGTCTGGGAGTGTGTTTGTATTCTTGATACTCAGGTGAAGTGCATGTTTTTTGACGGCGGATCCTTTAGATAGGGCAAACACTGTAAAAGTGTGTTGTATGATGATGGGGTGGTGGTTTTCGAGACGATGTATATGTGTGTATTCATTGGGGTGTGTTGGATGGGTGTGTTTGTTCACTTTGGAGGCTATAGAGGGTGGGGATACTGGGGGATAGTGCTGGTGTGAATGAGGAGGTGTGGATTGTCACTGTGGGTGATGTTGATAGAGGAATGTTCTTGAGTAATGACCATTCATAGTAAAGCAGAAAGGAATTGTGAGAAATGAAGGCACCTAGAATTCTGCACTGAGTTATAGGGCATTGAGTCCAGGTAACAATTCCATGACAGCATCACACCATTGACACTGATCTAGTAGAACCCAGTGAGAGACGTTCGTATTCAATTCTGAGCAAAGAGCATCAACATGCGGATAAAGAGCTGGTGAACGAGGATTTTCCCAAGGCCTCTAATATAGAATAACTAACAATGTTGTAAAAGCAGAATATCAAGACTCCCTGAGACCTTGCACCCTCCCCTGAGGGTTACTCCTGTGCAGTATTTTTGGATTTGACATTGACTTCCGGGCCGTGACGAGAAGTCCACCTACATGTGATGTCATATCATCACCATGGAGCTTGTGCGTGAAAGAGTCAAGATAGGTAGGATGGTTACAAATCCATTGCAGGCCGGCAAGTGACGCCCGCGCCCCGCCCCGCCCAGCCCCGCCGGTTCAGACGACTCCGGCGGCTCCCCGCATCATTTCTCCCTCTCGCCATCTCCATCTCTCCTCCTTCTTTCTCCCCTCCACTAATTGATTCCCTTTCCTCACATCAACACACATCATGGACCGTTCCAACAAACCCTCCGCCATCGGCGTCAGCGCCTTCCTCCCCCAGCCCACCATCTCCCTCCGCGACAACACCGTCGAAGCCACCCTCCCCACCGGCGAATCCGTCACCGTCCATCTCTACGGAGCCACCGTCACCTCCTGGAAGCTCGCCAACGGCAAAGAACAGCTTTTCGTGAGCGAGAAGGCCAACCTGGATGGTTCCAAACCAATCCGGGGTGGCATTCCCGTTGTATTCCCGGTACGTCAACCCCCCTCTCTACCCACATACTCCTCTTTAACGACAATCTAACTAATTAATTCTCCTCAAAACAGGTCTTCGGCCCTCCCCCCTCCAACCACGCGACCTCCTCCCTCCCACAACACGGCTTCGCCCGGAATTCGAACTGGGAATTCCTCGGCAAATCGTCCTCCGAGGCCTTCCGGAAAGAAGGCGATGATGCTGTGAAGTTGGATTTCGGGCTCTCGCATCCAATGCTGAGCGAGGAGTTCCAGAAGGCGTGGCCGTACCAGTTTGGCTTGGTGTATAGTGTTACTTTGACAAAGGGCAGCTTGGCGACTTCTCTGCAGGTGCAGAACCAGGGGGAGCAGAACTTTGACTTCCAGGTGTTGATGCATACGTATTTGAGTGTTGAGGTTGGTTCTCTTTCTTTACTTGATAATGGGTGGTTGTAGTGATGGCTAATGGCATATAGGATATCACCGATATCCGGGTCAAGAATCTCCAGACGAAGGAGTACCTGGATAAGACTCTCAACGGAGCAGCGGTTACGGAGACCTCGGAGGCAGTGGAGATCAACAAGGAGACGGATCGTGTGTACAAAGCGTTGGATCCGAAGGTCCCCATTGTGGTGTCGACGGCTTCGGATGATCAGCCCTTGTTCTCGATTACGAGGGAGGCTTTGACGGATGTGGTGGTGTGGAATCCTTGGATTGAAAAAGCCAAGGGTATGGCGGACTTTGGTCCCGATGAGGCGTACAAGAATATGATCTGTGTTGAGGCTGGATCGGTTGCTGGATGGCAGACCCTGGAGGCGGGAGATTCCTGGGAGGGTGGTCAGACTATTCGGCCTCGGTTGTGAGGACTTTTTGATGATTCATGCTGTGATGATTAGATGGTAGGGGGTAGAAATGGTAAATATGACGTGTATTGTTATATTGTGTATATCACAATGCTTTTAGAAGACCCAGGACCATGCACGCTGAGACGGACTCGCATGCTCCATCTTGAATCCAAGAGAGCAATGCCTATGCCCAGCCTGCCACCATCCAGACCATCACATAATAAATACAAGCAACCCAGCAATAGGACACCATCTTGAACCCCCATCCCATCCATCCATCATCCGAGACGCACATACTCCATAGAAAAGCAAAAACCCCCAACACCAAACAAAAGAAACCCCACATCTCAAAAGAAAGCAAGGATAGATAAATAAATCAAAACATCCCCCTAACAACCACCGCCTCCGGCGCCGTCACCGAAACCCCTCTTCCCCAATTCCAATTCCCAATCCCAATCCCAGTCCCATTCTCGCCCCGACCCCTGGTACAATAACTCATCTTACATAACGGACAACAAGCATGTCGTCTCGTAAGCCACGGGTCCAAACACCCCGAGTGGAAGATATGTTGACAGGTTAGGGCCCGGATGTCGTCGTCGGGGGTGAATTGCTCCATGCAGATTGCGCACATGCGGGTTGGGTCGTCTTCTGATTCTGATATCGCATCTTTGTTTTTGTTTTCGTTGGGAGGATTGTTAGATTGAGGTTGGATTTGGGATTCGTTGATTTCGGGAATAGGATTGAGTATCTCGCTTCTCATGTCCAAGGTGTCTTTCTTCTTATCGCCGCTATCTCGTTCAATATCCCTCGAAGAAGCAGGACCAGTAGTCTCGGACGAAGGGGGTTGATTCTTATCGTTTATTTCGACACCTGCCTGAAGGGACGCAAGCGAGCGTTCAGGAGGAGGAAGAGGGGGCGGCTCCACGGTAGACGACAACGGACTTTTTGATTTCTGTTGTTGATCGCGCCACTTCTTATACGGGACTTTGGGGAACCGTTCATCAACAACAGCATGTGAGATGGTGACTCTGTCGGATCCCAGGGGGGCAGTTTCGGGGTCCTCGTAGGCATAGCGAGTGAGGCGACGACGACGACGGGCGCCGATGAAGACCCTTTTTGTGTTGAGGTTATGTTAGTTTAGTTCATGTGTAGGTCAAGCCGAATGAGGATGGAGCGAAGGAGGAGGAGAGAAAGAGGAGTAGTGGAACCCACCAAGCGCAGAAGAAAACAAAGGCGACGCAAACCGGCGCTAGATAGCCCAGGAGCGCAGCAGAGGAGATCTCGACCATGCTGCTTCTTCTTTCGCTTTCAGTTCAAGACATTTCATTAGTTTTATCCAGATAGATGATGAAAGGGATGATAGAGGAGAGGAGAGAGGTGGTGAGGTTGGCATACTCACGGACTATCAGTCACACGATGGAAAGACGACGAGTAGATTTGAGATATGAGATTTGAGATATGATGAGTGAATATCTATTGTTTCATCGGGCTTACCTCCTGTTCGCCATGACGCCAGTCTGACCAACTTTTCACCGCTCAGCTTGAGTCATTCGATGGTCATTCCGAGAGATCAGGAGCGGCGCAGCTGAACATTATCTAGGATGAAGTGTCTGGCAGCTTGGGGGCACTTAGCTGTTCCGGGTGTGATTTGTCAGGTATACACCGGACAAGCTGGTGAGGCTGCCGTAGGATTCTCGCGGCGGGGATTGGAGCCCGGAGGATATAGAAGTCGACAAGACGGAGGGTTTGCTGCCGTGGCTGGATGATGCCGCTGCTGTGCCCGCGGTGCGGCGGCAGGAGCCCTAAGCTCGGGGTGGCGCGGCGGATTCAGCCTATTTATTTCTGGGGTTTGAATGGAACGGAATTACAGTGAACCTCCGGGTCTGTGCCAATTGGAAAGCAGAGTACATACAGCTGCCATAGACCGAAAGAATGCTAGAATAAGAACAGGATCTTTTGATGCACATGGTCAAAACAAAAAGGCGGCAAAAAGGAGTATAAGATATAGAAAATAGGATATAGACAAGTTCAACGCCATCGCTATGCAAAATCCCCCTCATTCGGTGTTTCTCCTCAATGCCTCATGCGTTTCCACCCGGATATCAAACAATAAATCGTCAATTTCTTTGAGCGAGTCCCGGTTTAACTTGGCCAGTTTGACGTCGCTCAACACCTTGCGCAGGGACATGGCGATTTCAGCTTCCGTGATAATTTTCTGTTTCTGCTGTTCGCTATCTGTCTGCGTCATGCGGGATACACCTCGTGTCTTCTTCTTCTTCTTCTCAGGACTCTTTTCCCTAGTTGTAGCTTTCTTCTCGGAAGAGGGCTCGATGGCCGCGAACGCATCCGTCATCGGGATATCATGCTCCAAATCCGTTGGTTGTGTCTCCGGCACAGCCTCATCCATTGGCTGGTCCTGGGCCTCAGTCGTGGGCTTCAATGGCCCTGACACTCCTTGGGCGGCCTCGCTCTGAACAATGGCCTTAGGTTGTTCGTTCTTAACAGAGTCTTCGGCAGGAGTCTCATGCGGGGAGTGGGTCCGTTCCCTGGACGGGGGCTCCTCTTGTATGCTGTCCTTCTTGTCTTTGCCCTGCTTGCGGGAACGACTGGGCCGTGGTGACTTCGTGGGCAGTGGACTGTCTTCCGGAATAGCTGGGGCTGCCTGTCCGCTAAGACGAGAAGATCTGCGTTTCTGAGAATTGTCTTGTGTTTCCTGGACCTTGCTCTTGGCGCCGTCAGGACCAGCGACCTGTTCAGCGGGCTTGCCTATGTCAGTCGCGCTTGCTTTTGAGTCTTGTTTCCGTCGTTTCGGCGCCGGAGACGATTCAACATCTTGTGAAGGGAATATTCTCTGGAAGCGAGTGCTGCTGCCTTCGACATCTGCAACGGAGGGTGTCTTGGTGAGCCTTGAAGACCGACGCCGTTCTTTACCGGAAGGTGTGGCTTCTGCTTCGCGTTTCCTTTTCTTGGGCGGCCCCTGCTCTGAAGAATCCACTGTGCGTTCTACCATCACCGGGGTGCCGTCCAGATCGACAGCAAGCTCCAGATCTTGCTCCAGCTGAGACGCAACCTGGGTCTCCATATCGTCACTGCATGAATCCGCAATGCAATCGGAATTCTCGACTTGCGACTTCCAATTGTCTTTAGGCAGTTCAGCACGGACCGGGCTGCTTTGCGACGCAGGCTGAGAAGCATGTTCTTCAGTAGATCTGGGGTCGGTAGGACCTTGGGAGTGTTGTGGTTTTTGCGAGGCTGTCTTTGATTCTTCGAGTATTCTATGGTCGTTGGAGGGACGCTCCTTGTTCTCGGGCGCCTTTCCCATGGATGAACGGAGACGTTTCGTCAATGGCTCTTCCATTGCACCTGCGGCACCCTTTTCAGCCGTCTGAGGTTGCTTAGACTGACTCAATGCCTTCTTTTTCAATGAGCGCCGAGACCTCCTCCTCGCACTCTTACTCATAACCGTCGGCGCGTTGTCCGAAACAGGAGTGTCCAGATGTAGGGTGTTGTTGTGAGGCTCGGGGCTGACTGACTTGAGCTTTGGAGGGGAGGAACGAAGATCGTTCTCCACGGCGGAGTCTTCTGCTGCCGGAGTAGACAGCGACCGAGGAATCTCCGATTCGCCCAATTGCGTTCGGCTTCGAGTACCCGGCGTAGGGGAAGAGCCGAGAAAGCCATACTCATGGTCCGCGGACACAAGAGGTAGGGTGGGGGTCTGGGGTGTTGCAGCGTCGGCATCCGTGTTGCGAAGGTCGCGCAAGTGCGGGGGCGTCATGAACCCCAGTTCTCTCGGGGTGTTCGTCGGCGGCGAAGATGAACGGAGACTCTCGATGATCGAAAATAACTCACTACGTTTTCTTGGATCCCCAGGCCCCGCTGGGAGAGAGATCGAATGGTTCATGGCAGCAACCGGGTCAGACTCATCGCCACCTGGAGGTACTTGGCTTGGTTGAGGCTCGTTCGGCCTCTCCGGAGACGGAGGCATGGCCCTACGCTCAGACCCTCCGGTGACGGGTGATGATTTCAGGCCCGACTCGTATGGATCTTCTAGGATAAAAGCGATGCGAGACTTGGCCGATGTATCGACTGACCCGGTGTTCGCTTCCTGTCCGTTAGACCGACTGGATTGCATGGCAGACTGCAAAGTGTTAGCACGGAATCAGATTTTAATTGAAAAGAACGCACCTGCGAGCTTTGCGAAAGACCACCAGTTTGCTGAAGCTTGATGTGGTTTTCCAGTTTTTGCAAGGCACAGGACAGAATTTCAGGACAGGGTAGGGATTCTTGCAGGCCAAAGGAGGATTTCCAAAAGTCGAGGAATCTCTTTGTTACTGATGCATGCGTGGATTCAAGGCCTGCACAGATGATATGCTCAAACCTTTGTAAGCACTGGGAATCGTGAGGCTGTGATGCTTGCAAGATGTTCAAGACAGCTGAAGACAGCGCGCGGCACTAAATCTGAGTTAGAACATACTAAAGACCTCGTTGCTCGCAAACTTACAGCAGTCAGGATTCTGCTCTCCACGCCACTCTCAACATTAAGCTTGCGCTCTTCGTCTCTAACGTAACGAGCAAGGGGCTGCTGGAGGCGTGCGAGAATCGCGGACCGGAAAGTCGAAACACCCGATCCCAGAAGAGACGTCAAAGATTCAATAAAATCGGCAACACCGCTCGTTTCCAAGGGGTCAAATCCCTCATACGACTCGGAGAGTGTTTTATTCACTAATTCGATTAGGCTGTGGGGCAAGACCAATCCCTGGGTGTTAGTCCCTGCCCCCGGCTCGTGACAGTAAGGAATAGAAAGCGAAAGTCGCAGAAGCGATGCCGAGGGGAGGTATGTATTCCGAGCACCCTGTTTCATCATAGACTCGGCAAGCGGTTCCACGGCCATTGTCGCGATTGCTTGGTCGCCCTTCTCGGTTCTCACGACGCGGATAAGAGATTCCATAAGCGGGTTGAAGATTTCGAAAACATCCGGGAATTTCAAGCCCGCAGAGAGGACGTTAACTATATTCTCATAATCGCGGCTAACCGAGCCGTCACGTCCACGAGCTGTTTCCATGGGGAAGGAGGATAGAGAACTCTCGGACAAACGTGCTGCAGATCTCCATATCGTTTCAGCTAGACTGTCCTTGCCGATAGGTGAAGCCACATCAGATAGGTGTATATCGGCGCATTGCCGAAGAATTTCCAGGCGAGAGCTTCTAGACAGTTTGTCGCTGCATGTGGCTTCCAAAACACGGTTAACTAGACGGAGATAAGATGGGGTGGGCCTCGGATTGCCGGGTAGTTCACTGATGAATCGGAGAAAATGCAGGATGGGGCTATCTAGACTGGTGTTCGCTCTTGGATGACGATGCGTAGGGGTTGTAGCGGCTTGGAAAGTCTCATCCGCTGTCTTGAGGAGTAGCTTCTCGGTAAACCGAGCACTGCCGAGAGAGTAGATCATGGAGGTAGCAAGAAAGCTGAACCGATCATAGAAGGCCTCCATCGGACTATCCTCCACAGCAGCATTGAGCGAAGCGGGACCTGCATTCCATAGCCGCCGCAGAAGCCCAAGCACGTGGGCTACGGCTTGCATTGACTCTGGTGTTGGAGTGATCTCCTTGCTCGAAGCATAGGACAAGGCCCGGGACAGGCTGAGCCATGTCGCAGCAATGTTTGATTGCTCAATATCGGCCGTCCAGACAGAGGACTTGAATAGTTCCTCGAATACACTCAAAACAGACGTGATCCTCGACCGGATCCATTTGCTATCAATTGAGGGCAGCTCTTCAGGGTCCATTTTGTTGCTCTCATTGACCTTGTTCTCCACCCACATTTTTGCTTGTGGGCTCCAGAGCATATTGGACAACACATGAGCCATCCTGTCGCTTAGGCTGGGCACTGACGAGAATATGCTGGAAGCGGGCGAAGCAATGTATTCTTCCCAGACGACATCAAGATGCTGAAAAGATGCCGATGGACGAAAAGCGTAATATAGGAGATTGTAATAACTGCACAGTGCCAGCTGGCTGGGCTGCTTGTCTTGTTTCTTCCGATCGAACTGGGAAACGATGGGCTTGCTTAACATCCGCAACAAGGAAGGGCTGGTTGTATCGCTGGGGCTGACGACAAACACGAATCGATTCCACCCGACAATGGCCTGCGCCTTGATTGCGGAATCGCTGCAGTTGAAGCACTTTTGCAGCACGAGTACCCATTCTTTGAAATGCCCCCATTGATCGACGTTGAACTTTTTACTTCGTAATAGGAGTATAATCACACTCCATATCTGAGGTACATGTACACCGCAGTCAGCAATGGCCATCATGCGCGTCATGCGCTCGCAGATCTCCGTCACGAGCTTCCTACCCTCATCTAGAGGCCTGCCAAATATCTCTCGGACACATTTGGACAAGGTTGGGTTGGGTCCACACGCTATCGAGGTCTGGAAGCCCACCGAAATAGCCTTGATCCGAATGTCCTTGACATGATGTAGCAAGCCGGAGATAAGGTGGTCCATCCACAGGGCTGCGTTGGAGATGAATACCGATTTGGACTGATTGAGGACGCGCAGATAAATGGCTAACCGCTGAGACACAATTGCAGTTCCAGTGACACGATTGGTTAGATCATGAAGAACGCTCAAGATGCGTATTACTCTCGCGTTGGTCACAATCTTGGCGTTGAAATTTTGTGTCGACAACACGGACAAGTAATGAGTGACAACGGACTTGGGCATCTTCGCATCTTGAAGACAGGTGATTGAATGATCAACAAGGAAGACCTTGAAGTCATCAGGCAGTCGCGCAGAGATCTCAGTATGCCATACCAGAGCGACAGCCAGCTTCAAGGCCTGGATAACGAGGTTGGTATTTAGAGGTCCCCCGGTCGTTAGGTCTCGGCTCACATCCCGCTGGATGAACTGGGTGATCAACCCCAGCCTCGCCACGATATTTTGGTCACCAGGCAGATTATCATATGCTCGCAGGGCCCCGAAAAATTGCATATAAGCGTCGAGTCGGGAGCTGATAGCCTCCCCAGCTAGCTGCTGCAAAATCGACTCTAGCAACATGGCGAAAGGAATAGCAGTATGAGGACCGGCAGATGGAGAATTGACAGGGGAATTGAGGGTAGTCGGCTTGAGGATAGACTTTGTAGGCTTGCATTCATTCGAAGGAGGTAGGGACTTGAGGTCAGACTTCGACTTTGCGGCGGAATTGGTAAACGAGGGAGGCTTGATGTATCTCGTCCATGGCGAGAAGTTCACGCGCTTGGATTGTCGACTCGAAGGAGCGCCGGCCGACCCATTAACGGAGAAAGGAGAGTCGCGAGGCGTGTGCACAACAACCGGAGAATCTTCAGTTCGATCAATCTCGGACAGCATACGAGACGATGTCCTAGGTGGAGTAGGCGGACGAGCAGACAGAGGACCAAGAACCTCCACCATATTTCAAAAGATCGGACGATGCAAAGAACCGGGATGAGAACGGAAGAAGGAAAAAGAACATCGCGATACAGCCTAGCTAGAATCCACGCTGTCCATGACCCAGATTGAAGCCGTCGACTAGCAAGAGCAAGGATGGAAGCCCTGGTTGAAGCAGGATAGCCGTGCCGTTTGATCCTACCGGGGCCGCGCCAAGCCACGCAACTCAAAAAGACGCGCCTGTGGCTGAGCCACGCGTAAAGTGGCAGCGCCGCGTTTCCTGCCCAAGGCAGCAAGGCAGAAAGACAATCAGGCACCAAGGCAGTCAGGCAGTCAGGCAGCAGTGAGGCATCCACTGCCGTGGCCGAAGACGGGAATCCAACAAATTATTACGCTTCCATGAGTCTTCTATTGCAGTTTGAACCCCTGAAACTGATTCCCACTACTCCAGAGACCAATTTACATACCCACACTCCCTCATCGAGTCGCTGAACCCCGCCGCTGTATTTGTGGCCGGCGGAGATCTTGTGCAGCGGCTTAGTATTATCCTTGAGCCTCAGTGGGGTGGTGCTTTATTGCACCGCGGACTTCTATTCATCGGCCCATCATTAGCTCCTTTCCATATCCATTGCGCCGCATACAACACTGAGATTCACCACAATCCATCAGTGAAGAAAAGACGCCCCGGATTCACTGAGACCCACTGGGCTCTTTTATTGTCATCTTCCTTCCTCTGCTGTTATCCCAGCGGGCCTGCTTCTGTCGCAACTCCTATAACCCCAAACGAAGTGGGACTCTCCCTGAACAGACTAGTAGGGGTACACCGCGCCCCGTAAGACGGTTTCTGCAAGCCAACATTTCCCCCTGATAAATGCCTGACGTGCTCTGCAGGGAACCCCGCTATAGCGAAACCTAATCATGGAGTTCAGGCCGCTTCAGGGCCCCGGTATGCGCAAGCCACCATACGGTAGCAATTCCATCTAACAGATTACTAGAGAAGCTGCAACGAGTTACCCAGCTGCTGGGTTCTCTGAAGACTGACCTTGGGGAGAAGTCCCTTACATCAAAGCGTAAGTAAATGAGGCACATAACATGTACCCATCTGACATTACCACGCGCGCGCAACAGAACGCGTGCAGACACTTCTAGAGCTGAGGCAACATGGGACCAACCCTAGCCATGCCCATCCTATCTATTCGAAGGAGGGAATGGAGATATTAGCAAAATATGGGGCTGATGGGGACACACCCGATGTGCGCCGGGCCGCCTTGCGCTGTGTCGCGAATGCTCTCCTCTTAGATGAATCCATGCGCCAGGTGTTCGTGGATACGGGCTATGGAGGCAGATTAGCAGAAAGGCTCAAGGTACGTATTCTCTACTGCATTAGCCAGCCCGCACAAGCTGATACCCAGGCAGTGCGACTCATCGGAGGACGAAATGGTAATCAGTCGAATCTTATTCCTTTCTACGTACGACACGACAATGGACTTTGAGAATCTGATAAAACACCACTCTTTGGGTGACAATGTCAACTATGTAAGCGGGGAATGCATTGTCTAGAATCATATGTGCTGATCAGACATATCAGCAAATTGTCCGACACGCTAAGCAATTTCCCAAATCCGGCAAGAAGTCACTGTCCCAGATCGATGAATTGGCCCTCATCGATACCCTGAAACTCATTTTCAATGTGGCCAAGATTTATTCCCATCTGTCCGCGACATTTTCAGCGTCGATACCCCATATTTTCAAGATGATCAGCCGCCTCGACATTCCCCCAAAGCCTCTGGAAGGCTTACTCAGCTATCTTCTGAACTGCCTGTCTACGCTGGATCTGGAAAACAAGAAAGGCAAAGTCTTCGACAATAGCCCGATTTTCCCAACTTTCAACCAGAATTGCAATGTTGACAAACTGATCAACATCTTGGACCAAGCTGTGTCGGCATATGGCCCAGATGAACTTGAAACCAAGGCTATACCCCTCTTTCACTCGCTCGTCGTCATCCATGAGATGGCACCAGATGGTCCCCGTAAATACATGCAGTGGCTTCTCTTGCCAGAAGACAACGACAGAAGCCGTCCGATTGGGCAGTCAGACACCCTTTCATCAAAGTTACTCAATCTCTCGACTACCCCCTACCCCAACCTGAAGACTGCCATCTCCGAGCTTATGTTTGTGCTTTCTGGGAAAGATGCCGAAAACCTAACGAAGAACATCGGTTACGGATTCGCTGCAGGATTACTGGCTTCTCGCGGCATGGAGATCCCCAAGACGGCAGGCGAAGCATTCGCAACCAACCCGAATGGTTTCAGTCCCGATGTCAACCCGATCACTGGCCAGAAGTGGGCCGCAGAGAAGAAGGATGATGGGCCCCCAATGACCAAGGCAGAGAAGGAACGAGAAGCCGAGAGACTGTTTGTGCTTTTTGAGCGGTTAGTCTCATCCCTGGCCTATCTGTCCGAACACTTGCTGACTGTTGAAACAGAGCCCGAGCAAACGGCATTCTCTCCGTGGAGAATCCTGTTACGCGAGCACTACAGGAAGGTCGCTTCGAAGAGCTGCCTGACTCCGACGATAGTGATTGAGCATCCCTTCCTCCTGTACCATCACCCATCTCCGTCCCAACGTGGGCAATGAGTGTTTTCTTGGTCTTACCAACCATCTCACATGATCTGTTATTGTTACATCACTCTGTGCACAAATCGAGGACGCGTACGTTGAGTTCGCATTGCGAGGCGTTTGTCTATGTCTTTGAACGACAAGATCAACCCCATTTAGTTTAGATGAGCAGGGGATACAGCTGCGAGGGGGTCAGAAATTAGTGCGAGGGTGTCAGAGAATTCCTGACACCGGATGAGCTCAGTCACCTGATATTTTAAGTCTGACACTGGATCAGTTTAAACATGTGATATTTCTGACACTGGATCAGCTCTGCACGTGACTAAAAATCATACCTAAAAATTAAAAAAGAAATCCCTAAAAATCCCTAATACCCTAAATACCCTAAAATTCGTAGAGAATGTGGTTAGATTTAATAATTAAGTATTATAATAGCTGATCCAGTGTCAGGATTTGAATCCTGACACTGGATCATCTTTTCACGTGACTGAGCTCATCAGGTGTCAGGAATTCTCTGACACCCTCGCACTAATTTCTGACCCCCTCGCAACTGGGCCCCTAAATTAGCACCGGTGCCTCGCAGTCCAATCTCATTAATAAGCAGCAGAGGTAGCCGACCGGACATGGCGCTTCTCAGACAGCGAGCAACCTAGAAAGTCCGTCGAACAGCGAGTTAGAAATAAACCATCTTCTTATCGTATCACTAATAGGTTTCATGAAGACTTCAATCGACCATGTTGGATGGTTCGAGAACTACATCGTGCTGTGGATGACGTACCGCCCGGTCGCGGGCGGCGGGGTTAAAGGCGGCGGCGCAAAAATGTCCGCCCGCGGGAAAAAAAGACCAGTCTGTCGCGGGGCAACTTACTTTTCGATCTCGCTTCAACTTCATTTGCTATTAGCCCCCGAATAGTACCTATATTCTTGCATTCTTATCATCTTTTCGTCTACCCTTGATCCAGGTATTCGTCACCTACACAACCGCCAAAATGTCGAAGCCATTTGATCCAGAGACGGCGGAGAACTTCGAGGATGTATGTCACTTGCGGCGAGACAGTCTAGAGCCCCGACCGAAAACGCTAACTTTCAGTCTAGATGGAGAAGCAGTTCGCCGTCAAGGGTTGGTCCAGATACCGTTGGTTTGAATTAATCTCGTGACTCATGAATATGCAGCCGTGGAACATCTGATGACATACTGGTCCATCCTGGAGAAGGTCCCCGGCTCTAAGCTGCGCCTGACGAAGATGGACGACGAAATCCTGGAGTCTTTCATGAAGGAGTTCCCGGACTTCAACCCCGCCGACACCCTCGATGAAGATAAGATGAAGAGCAAGGAGGGCAAGGAGAAGTGGCGCAACTGGATCAACCAATACGAGAAGACCATCGAAGATTTCAACTTCGGAACAATGCTGCGTGCCAGCCCCAAGGTCGAATACGACAGAGACACCACTATCTTTGGTAAGTTATTGGTGGCTTGGGGACATGTGCTGCGGGGTCGGGTCGCCGGCTAACGGAAGAATAGCCATGCGTATGCAGTTTTACGCTGTTGAGATCGCCAGGTGAGTCCTCATGTCGGAAAGAAGACGACAAAGGTGCTTATACATCAAATAGAAACCGTGCTGGTCTCAACGACTGGATCTACGAACGGGCACAGAAGACCAGCTCGTAAATATTGAAACCGACCTTTTCTCATTCGGGCCACGCAGGAACAGCTGCTAGAGGCAATGATTCATTCGGGCCCTCCATCCTTGCATTGCTAATATCCTAAAGACTACGCAATGGCTCGAGGCCCTGGGGTTCAACAACCGCCATCTAGTACCTTGTCCCATAGGTCTCAATCGGGTGGTTCCAGTATAGAATATATGGCCATATAGAAGAGTGGGCTTTAGCTCCCGACAAACAACCGGGAGTGTTTCTACCGGCGCGAATACCATGTACATACAGCGGATGGATTTTTTTGCAGTTGGAATGCAGTGATGAATAGAAAGACGTGTGGCTGATTCAATGACTCGGCGGTGGACCCGAGAACAATGGCAACCGCCAACCATTGATCTCCTCCCTCTAATATGCCCGCATCTGGAAACGCCGAGCAAACACACCGGCCCGGATGACGCGAATTTCAAGGATCTCTCTTTGTTGCCATAGTTCGGAAAGACTTGTGGGGGAAGGCCGTGGGCTTGCGTGCTTCTCGCCTACTCATGCCTCCTTCCCACACCTTAGGTTTCATAACTTTGCTACCATGGTCATGTTCGCTCACATGGTACTTAATCAACGGTTTTGAGAATCAAACTTAATCGATGAAGATCCTCTACCATGACCAGCCGGTATAGCTGCATGATGGCCAATTTCACATACCGGAAGCCGGGGTGGATGTCCTTGTTCGGCTTCACCACCACAAAGCATCTTCCAACTCTAATTGGAGGAATTCTTTTTGCCATCGTCTCGAGTCTCGCGACTCCGGTGTTTTCTGTAGTCTTGGGCGACCTCTTCAATTCGTTCGCACTGTTTGGTGGAGGGAGACTTGCGAAAGAGGATCTGACCCAACAGATCAGCAAATATTCAATCGAGCTGCTCGCTCTTGGAGCTGCCAGCTGGGCCTGCAACAGTGCTTATTTCATTTATTTTGTGATCTTTGGAGAGCTTCAGGTTGCGAATGCTCGGACCAAGCTATTTGAAGGGCTTCTGCAGAAGAATCAGGAATGGTTCGAAACGCAACCGGACGGCACCCGGGTCTTTCTCTCTTCCCTCCAAGGGTGCGTTGCCCCTTCATACATTGGCATCTGCTTCAGCTGACAGAGGAATCCAGACAGATCGATGATTTACAGAAGGGGACGTCGCAGGCTCTGGGTCTCTCGTTGCAGTATATCTTTCGAGCCATTTTCTCCCTAGGCCTGGCTTTTTGTACCTCTTGGAACCTCACTTTAGTCACTCTGGCCGGTATTCCATTTCTCTCGGCCGCCGTCTCTTTCCTTTCCACCAAGACAAATTCGAGTGTGGACGCACAGAAGACCGAACTGGCACATGCATCCAGGACTGTCGACAATGCCGCTACTTCGATCGATGCAGTCAAGTCTTTCAATGGGCAAGCCACGGAAATCCGGAATTTCGTGGTCAGTATCGACAAGGCGGCATCGCATTGCCTCAGACGCGCGTTCTTTACCTCACTACAAATATCTGCTCTACGACTGATGACGTTCGGCATGTTCGTACAAGGATTCTGGTATGGGAGCTCCTTGGCTACCTCGGGACATCTCTCAGCGGGTGAAGTGCTGAGAACATTTTGGGCCTGCTTAGCAGCTGCACAGTCCATGGAGTTTCTCATGCCACAGATCGTCGTCCTGACAAAACGCAATGCTGCAGCTCTATCCTTGGTCGATATTTTGGGTGACCGATCAGATAATGCGGATAGAGGGGAGAGGAGAGGGACTGTGTACCCGGACTTTTGTAAAGGTGACATCGAAGTCAGCAATGTGAGTGCTTTGAGAGCCCATTCATACTCCTGGCAATCTTGCTTACAATGCGTGGATCAAGGTCTCCTTTACTTATCCCTCACAACCAAACTGACTTGTTTTAGATTCAACAAGCTTCTTCTTTCCTGCCGGAGAGACAACTTTTGTTATTGGCCGAAGCGGGTCTGGGAAGAGCACGCTTGGACAACTGCTCACACGCTTGGACAACTGCTCACACGCTTTTACTTACCGGCATCCGGTGAAATAACGATCGACGGTGTTCCCATACAATCATTAAGCATAGATTGGATAAGGAATAACATCACCGCTATTGAACAGCGAAGCGTACTTTTCAACGAATCCATCTTCATGAATATAGCGTTCGGCAGTCGCGATTATGACCGACTCCACAAAGCCGATGTACAAGGGTGTAATGGCCTCGCAATGCTTCACAGTACAATAGATGATCTTCCCAAGGGGATCGACACTTGCGTTGGTCATGGAGGCGATTTTCTAAGTGGTGGTCAGAGACAGAGGGTGGCGATTGCGAGGGCGCGGCTGAGGAATACACCGATCTTGATAATGGATGAGCCGACGAGTGCCCTTGATGCAACTAATCGCGTGGAGATAATGAAAGCCATTCGGGAATGGCGTCGAGGGAAGACAACTATCATCATTACGCATGATATGTCCCAGATTATGGATGACGACTTTGCCTACATCATGGATCAAGGCAGGGTAATTCAAGGCGGCTACAGGTTTGAACTTGAAGACAGCAATACGTTTCTCATTGCCACAAGAAAGTCTCACCATGATGAGAGCAACGCCACTAGTGTTCGCGATACTTCTGACACGTGTTCCAATGCCTCGGAACTCTCAACCGGAAGCACATGCGGTCCGGGCTTGGATACCTACTCTCGGCATGAAGAGCTTGCACAACATTCATCAGCTATATACAAATACAATACAAGCTTGAAGAGCAATCTAAAGTCTAGGGACTCTCGACGGGGTAGACCCTCTCGAGAATCGGTCGATTCCATCGGGATGCAGATGTTTGAACTCAAAGCCTTTCAAGTCCGTGGCGCAGAAGTCCAGTCCAATCGGCTCAGTTGCAACGTAATCCCAGTGAATGATGCTGTCAATGAGATAAAAGCTGCCAAAACGAAGCATTCTACCAGGTGGTCATTCAAACGAACCGCACGTCTCGCGCCGCAAGAACGCATGTCGTTGGGTCAGATAATGATGACCATAGTTCCCAATCTGACTCGAAGACAAAGTTTGCTTCTTATCCTTGGGTGTTTAAGCACCCTCTGTCATGCAGTGGCCACCCCACTGTTCTCTTATTGCTTGTCGCAACTTTTTGGGACATTCTACAACAGCAAGGCCCGCGCCTCGACAAGGTCATTGATTGTCCTAGGTGTTGCAATAGGCGACGGCATCGTGTCATTTTCGATGCATTACCTTTTGGAGCTATGTGGCCAGGCATGGGTTGATCGCCTCCGAAAAAGAAGCTTCCATCTTTTACTGGACCAGCCACGTAAATGGTTTGAAGAAGCCGGGAATGAGCCTTCCCAAGTTACGACATGCCTCAACCAGAGTGCAGAAGAGATGCGTAACCTGGTTGGACGTTTTGGCGGCTATGTCCTCGTGGCCACTGCAGTGGCTGTGGTTGCAATCATATGGAGCATGGCTGTTTGCTGGAAATTGACCCTTGTCGCAGTAGCCTGCGGTCCTGTCATCTATGCCATCACCAGAGGGCTCGAAAGGACCAATGGGATATGGGAGCGACGATGTATTGGGGTCCGAACATCAGCTTCAGAAGTATTCGTGGAGACATTCTCGCAACTTCGCACCGTTCGGACATTGACTCTCGAGCCATACTTCCATAAGAAGCATATGAAGGCTGCGTCGATGTGTATGATTCTCGGACTGAAAAAGTCCCTTTACACCGGTTTTCTTTTTGGACTGGTGGAACCCATGATTATCTTCGTCAGCAGTGAGTACCGGTGCATACGGACGGTTTTTTGAGTCCTCGCGAAGCTAACAGGTATAGCCCTGATCTTTTACTATGGAGCGGTCCTCGTATCATCGCTAGAGTTTACAGTTCAAGATCTTATGACAGTCTTCTCTGTCCTTTTATTCAGCATCGGATACGCGAGCATGGTACTGTCATGGAGTTAGTTTTCTTGCCCGATATAGATTGCTCCCAACCTTGCTAACTACCCTCTAGTTCCCCAGATTGGTACTTCACAGGAAATGGCAAACCAGCTCTTACGCCTTGCAAATCTCCCGGAGGGCGCTTCTCATGAACATCGAGGCAAGCTAAAGATCGCCATGACAGCGCCGGTGCAGATCAACAGATTGGACTTTCGATATCCATCACGTCCCGATGCTTTGGTTTTGCGGGACGTGTCCCTCAACATCCCGAGGAATAAATGCACGGCAATCGTTGGACGGTCGGGGTCGGGGAAGTCGACAATAGCATCCCTCCTGCTAGCCCTATACGAGGCACCCCCTTCCAAGGACGGACGACCTACACTTGCTTTGAGAGGACTTGACATTCAACGTGTGCATATCCCGACCCTCCGCTCGCTGATTTCTATTGTCTCCCAACGGCCGTCTATCTCCCCGGGCACTATTGCAGAAAACATTAGCTACGGGTTGGAGGAGGATTCCCCTCTGCGCACGATATTCCACGTACGCGCAGCAGCGGAGGCCGCTAGGATTGACGATTTCATCACCTCCCTTCCGGGCGGATACTTCACCATGATCGGCGATGGAGGGGCCGGGCTGTCGGGAGGGCAAGCCCAGAGGCCGGTGATTGCACGGGCGCTCGTCCGGCAGCCACAGATTCTAATCCTGGACAAAGCCACCTCCAGCCTCGACCCCAGCAGTGCAACGATCATCCGGCGGACCGTGCAGAGGCTGGTCGCGACCCGACTAGGACTCACGGTACTTATCATTACGCGCGCAAGGGATATGATGGAGATTGCGGATAACATTATTGTGATTGAAAAGGGGTGCGTGGTGGAAGAGGGGGCGTACAAGGAGCTCGCACGACAGCCGGATGGGAAATTAAGGGCTCTTATAGAGGAGCCGGATTCGGATGAAGATGAAACAGGCGCATGAACACGACGGACCAGACAGATTAGAAGGTCACCCCGGCGAAGTGGCGGTTGAACCACTCGATTGCTTGGTCTTCCGCATCACCAGCCTGCGCTCCTACGTTCTTGACCATGACGTCTGCTCGCACACAGAACCCATGGCCAGCGCCATAGTAGATTTTCACCTCTCCCACCCCGCCGTTCTTGTCCAGAACACCCTCGATCTGCTTGATCTGCGGCAATGGAACCATATTGTCAAGCTCCGCCATGGCAAAGCTGACGGGAATCTTGATCTTCTCGATATCTCCCGGTATGGCCAAGTTGCTGGGATGACCGGTGAAGCCGGCATTGATCAAGGGCTTCCCATCCACCTCCTCCCCATGTGCCAGATAGACGGTGTGCAGACCACCCCAGCAGAACCCCGCGGCAGCGATAGGAAGCTTGGCGCCTTCGTTCTGGCGGACAGCGGTGAAGAACGACTTGACGACCGGCCAAGATCTGCCGAAATTGTTATGATAGAGGAAGGGAACGATAGCATAGGCAGTCCAGAAAACATGGTACCTATACAGCGTGAGACAGAAAGACATCTCTTCCCTTCTGTACATAGAAGATCCACTAGGTAGTGTGCAAACTCACGGTTTAGTAACCCAATCCACAAGCGATCCCGTCTTCATCACCGAGGCGAGGGTGTAAAGAGCCCAAACAGGAGCCGCATGTCCTATACATATCCAACACACCACCCGTCATTCTCCTATCCTTCGTCACCCCATGGAAAGAAACCAACGACTCACCCTTCATAAAATCCGGCAAATAAACCCTATACTTCCCCTTCTCTGCATAATGGTCCGCCAGAATGCGATTATTGACAAACTCCCATCCAAACGCATCCGGGATGATGATAACAATGCCCTTGACAGCCTCCGCCCCTCCCGAAGGTTCCGTCACGTAGACATCCAACCCATGCAAGGTGGTGACCTCGCCCTTGGGTGTTCCATCATGCACATGCCCACTGAAGCAGTCCGGACAAGACATGATTTCTTTTCCTTGCTTTCTTCTTGTGTATGTGTGTGTGTGTGTGTGTGTGTGTGTGTGTGTATGTATGTGTGTTTTTTGTAAAGATAGTTGAAATTCGTTCGATATTCTAGCAATGACTGACTGATTGATAGAAATGGGAGGAGAGGGGAGGGGAGGTGTGCTTATTATGGCTTATGTTTTTTCCTTAGCTTCAAGGGATCCATGGCTAGGCTCGGAGGTAATGAGTTAACTCCGGTTTTATTGCGACGAAGTTTACGCTTATCGCCGTTGGAGGGGAAAGATGTATCCCGGGACGATAGTACACACGGGAAGAGGATATATGGTGGTTTTGTAGGGAGTATATATCATTCACTTGATGACTTCCGGGCCGACTGGATAGAAGTTTCTGAGGATATTATTGGTTTACCTTGAGTATAGTACTAGTCTTTACGGGGTTGGTTTCGAGACAATGATAGGTTCTGATACTCTCTGCTGGGTAATATTTGGATACTCCGATCTTTTGTGGGATACATATCTAGTATTGTTGCGTGGGGGTGGGTCTTGTAGAAGCATGGCTTGCCTTAAAACTCTATATAGTATTCTTTTGCTGTATTGGCAATTTGGGCATGAAGGTCAATCCTAGACACCTTCTCTTTTGTACTACAGAATGTGGCATATCCCAGGATTTTTTTCTCCGGCTGCATGAGAGTAATATTTCTTGCGATGGCATTGGTCAGTTGAAAATAGTAGCTTCTTGATATGTTGTGCTTGTCAGAGGTGTTGACCCTAGCGGGTAATAGATGAGGTCATAAGCTTATGATTTGGGCGGACAAGTAGTGAAAGAAACAGTGCAGTTCATTGACGGATCCATTCACCATCGCAAAATGATGGACAGCTCTCTAGGGGTTTTCTAGAATTAGTAGTACAATGTACACCCCGAGGTTGGCTGGGGATGCCGGAATTGGGGCTTGACTGTATGGGGGAAATGAGGTTACATAAGACTAATTATGCCTCGGCATGATCTTAATCCGAGCTACATCGCCATGGAGATGCTCCAGCCTCCCAGGAGCTAGGTAGATAGCTGGGTGCTGATAAGTGAACTCTATTTAGCTGACTGTCCTAAAGAAAAGAGACGAGTCGATCGAGGCTCGAGGCTCGAGCAAATCCAACGATCGATCCTCCGAGTCGGAGTGGTGCGACTTTGCGAGGGAACGTGTTCTAAAATTGGCACGCGCTGGGGGGGGGGGGGGGGTTCGGAAAGGAAAAACCGGGAGCATTTGGATTCCGCCAGTCGTTTCACGATGAGATCGCCTTTAATTAGTCGGGAGGATGCGATGGGGACCTTTTAATTTGTATACAGAGTCCTAATAATGAAGGCTCCTGAGCGACCTCCTGAGTCTGTCCGGATTGCTCCGTTGCCAGAAGGGACGCCTGGCCGGCGGGTGAAAAATGAAAAAAAAAAAAAAAAGCGAACCAGCCATTTATCTTTGGACGGGGAGCCCAGCCACTCAGCATCTGGCATCATCATCGCCGGCTGCATGGCGTAGTCGCCAATCTTGCTTTGCGCCCTCGCCATTCGACACCGACTCGCAGGCCTGTCTGGGGATGATTACTATCGTCACTCTTTTGACACCAAACTAGCCGCTGATCGTGCTGCTGCTGCCCTGCTCGTATTCCTTCTGTTTCTCTCCCACTCTCTCCCTTTTCCTTCTTTCTCACTCACGCAGTTGAGGCCATGGATTCGCGGATGAATCCTTTCCACATTCTACCATCACTATCGTCAAGTCCATCGTTATATCTTCGTTTTGGCCTGGGTTGGGTCTCCTGGTCTGATTCGTAATATCTTATCAAATTATCTCCAAGCCACAGAACCAGCCTGCCCGCCTGGTTAATAACACACCACATAATAGAACCTTCACATTCATCCGCCAGTTCCGCAGCGTTCCCTGTCTAGGCTCCCATTTCTTTCAGTTCCTCTCCGATCGGACTCTCCACCCTTTTCACCTGCGATACTACTGCTATCGTCGATTTATCTCCCGTTCTGCATGCTTTGGGGCTAAGGATCTGGGCTCATTCCCGATCGCCCAGCATTCCAGCATGCACATTCCAGTCAACTTCCGTCAATTTGACATCCGTCAGGATGGCCCGGGCAACGTCAACAACATTAACCCCGCCACCAACAACAACAATAATAACACCGACGGCGGCCATGATAGCAGCAGCTCGTCGCATAGTAGCAATAGCTCGGACAAGAACAATATTGTCATAATAGTGAGAAGCTCTTATCCTCTGTCCTCAGTCCAATCTTACTAATGTATGACCTCTCCAATTGCAGTGTGTCGCTTGCATCATCTTTGTCCTGGCCTCCTCCCTAATGATCTACTTCGTCTTACGGACCCTCCGCCGCATGGACTGTCGCCCAAAATACCTGCCCGGGAAATTCTTGAAAGACAAATGGAATAGGTGGAACGTGGGCGTCACGTACGGCCAGGTCCCGGATGGATCTTCGTCGAATAACCAGAATGCGAACGCCACCAGAGCCGGACCCTCCGAGAGAGGCGCCGAAATGCGAACCACCACCGCCCCCCCTGCCGCCAACAATACTAGCAATGTCCGGCGCGATACATCAGTTCGCTCTGTGATCACCCTCCCCGCCTACTCAGCCAGTCCCAAGCCAACGGAACAGGTTATTGCTCGAGAAGGAGAACGAGAAGGCATGGACATGGTTGTGGAATTCCCCGAAACAGCGGAAGAGGAGGAGAATCGCCGAGAAGAATTGATGGAGTCGCTGTACCAAATTCGGCTGCAACGGCGAGACGAACTGGCCGAACGTGAGTGGCGCCGACAGGAGCGTCGGGAGGCTCGTGAGCGCGGAGACTATATCCGTGTCGAACAACTTCGGCAGGAAAGTCGCGCCCGCCAAAGAAATCGCATATCTGCCAATGGTAGCGGCTCAAATCTCAGTGCAGCTCTAGCCGAATCTCGGAATCGTGGTCGCGATAGGCGCATCTCCAGTGTGTCTTATGCGGAGTTGGGCCACGTCCGGCACGACGGATCGCGTATCAGAGCTAGTTCGCCCGACTCTGACCGTCGTCCTCTCCTCAACGATGCTTCTGGGGCCAATACAGATACTCCTGATCGATCTTCAGGGTCAATTCTCACTGGCGTCCATTCCCGGGGCGAGTCCTACTCGTCGTATCAGTCTGGCACCTCCGACGCGGATACCCTCACTCAGGTCCAGTCGCATGCAACGTCTACCCATTCGGCAGACCATCCATCGCCAGGTACCGATGAGAGCGATGTTGGCGCACTCCACATTCCGCCGCCCGAGTACGAGGATTTGGACTGGGGGGAAGCGCCGCCTTATACCAGTCCGATCGCAGAGACCAGCGGACACGCGCCACAGCTGCGTGAATTGACTACTCTACCTACCATTCATATCGACGTTGCTAGCCCTATAAGCAATACTCCTACTACCCCCACGAATCCCCTGCGGGAAGAGCAGCATTCTGCTGAGCAACATTCCGCTGGGCGACACCCCACCGAGGCTCCCTCCGAAGAACGTGTCGACGAAGAACACACGGCTTCCGAAAACCCCGAAGCACACCTGCTGGAGAACGAATCTCATGCTCATCAATCTTCATGATCCCTTCATTACCGATGTCTCCTCAATATCTGGATGGAATGACCATCGGTCTCCGTTACGGCTGCCTCCTTGCCCCTACCCGATCTTGCATCCCAATACCCTGTTACGAGCATGAGCGTTTACGACCCTCCATACTAGCATATACTGTTTCTAATCACCCCTTCCCCACATCCTCTGTTCATAGTTGATTTCCTGGATTTGTGCCAGCCAGCAAGGCGTTTATTGACGGTGAATCATATGGGTGGCTTTGTTACAGCCCATGTAGTCTGTGTGTACATATAGAAAGGGGGAAACTGTCTATTTGATTCTGTCTGAACATATGAAACTCGGGAAATACAACATTACTATGCAGCTTTTCGAACGGTAGATTCGATCTTGAGTAGGTGATAGAAATAAACTGGTTTATCTCACTACCAGCGGTTCCCTGATGTTGTGACTATAATATTAATGGACTGCTAAGCTCCGCTAATAAGATACATGGTATCTCTGATTTTACCTTTGACATCAACATAGTAACGCAAAGGTATCTTGCTTACAATCCATCAACAATGAATTTCCAATCCAATCCAGTAGAAGAATCAACTCTTCCCTCCGAAGTAGAAAGAAAACCCTTCAACTCGCCATACAGCATATGAGGAACTATCATGAACTCTCTAATACTATCTTAATTATCTTCTCCTTCAAGAAAAACCAGATAAAAGCACAACCCCAACCTGAGAATAATAAAAAGTCTTATTTATTCATATATCCCCGTTAACATATACACGATCCGATAACTATAACTATAACCAGGACAAAAGACATCTTATTTAGATTAATTAGAGCTTCAGTTTATAATAAGGACTTCTTCTAGTGCAGTGCAGGTGAGTACTAATTCTTTATTAAAAACATCTGGGAAAACTCTGATCCATGGCTACTAATAGGTTCTGGGAAGGTGGATAGACCCTAACAGTGTATGCGCGGCGATGAGTGGGAAGAAAGCTTCGTGAACTTTGATATATGTATTGAATATACGAGATACATACTGTATGTATCTTGGGAGATTTGGGTATGCTGTATGTAATGTAGTCTATGAAGTTGACTCGTGTCTTATGGTATGGTATATTATGTACTGGTAGCTCTGTAGAAGGTATGTAATGTTCCAAGGCTACTAGTACTACATATGAATAAATACCTGCTGTGTTTGCTGCGAGCAAGGAAGTGGAAGATTAGAGTGCATAGTATACCAATAGGTTGTGAATTTTTCATCTATCTCTTTGTCTCTCTTGTCATCTTTGGCAGGTCAGAAACCATCGCCTCATCCCCTAAGAGACAAATCCAGCTCGCTCATTCACATATACCCCCCACACAGGGTAAGAAAAGCCATGAATAGCAACTAGGATCCAACACCAGATTTACTTCCTCCCCGGCAAATAAACACTCATCTCGAACCCCCCTTCAAACGGCAACGTCATAGTCCGGAATCCATTTTCCGGTTCCCTAAGAAACGCCAACAAATCCGCATACCCTTTGGCCCCAGAGACAGTATTATCCGTCAAGACCACCGCCCCGTACCGTAGACTCGGCAGAACCAATTTCAGCGTTGGAAGGGAAAGATTAGACCAGACTAAACAGATCATGTTAGTCACATAAATCCGCCTTCACAGACACCAACCCCAACCGGGGCCTCATAAAACCTACTATCCAAAAGCACCAAATCCACCATCTCGGGAACATCCCTCTTCAACGTCTCCAAGATATCCCCCTCCCTGAGATCAATCATATTAGTGACTTCCTCCCCACACTGCTGCCAGTAAGTTCGAGCCACGCGGGCCTTCTCGGGCTCGTTCTCAGTGGCGATGACTCGACCCCCCAGTTTGCCAGCTTTGGCGACAGCCAGGGCCAGATAGATGGTGCTGACGCCAAAACTGGTACCGGCTTCGATGACGTTGGTGGCTCCCATCGAGATGAGGAGTTGGTAGGTGAATTGGCATTTTTTTTCGTTTAGGGCAATGAATTTGTCGCGCATTAGATCGTCGAATGCGGCGGGGATGTCGGGCTTGGGGATACGGTCTTCCATATCACCTAGCACGGTGGAGGAAGCCACTCGGCCGGGTTGGAAGTTGGCGGTTTCTTGAGCTAGGGATTGTTGATGGAGGGTGGAGAGGAGTTGGAGGACATGAGGTGGTGCCTCCACGGGGGAAATGGAAGGTGAAGACATGGTTATGGCTGTGGAAGGGATGGATGGATGATCTTGGGATGGGGATGGGGGAATTGGGAAGTAGAGATGGCTCTGGTGGATGGGAGATTTATGGGCTTTCGGAATGGCTCGGATACTCACTCATACCCAAGAAGAGGTAAGTGCGCTGATGGGGCAAGTCCAGGGCAAGTCCATGCAGTATGATCTGGTGTAGTATAATGCATAACACTAGTATGTATACTACCATGTATTTACGTGTCTGCCAGGGTCTTGCCCCTACCCGCCAATCGGAGCCGTCGCAGGGCCATCATAGTGTTGGATAGGCAATCTGATCCGATTAGGTAGCATCGGATCAGGCTTAGACGCGGCCAATTGTGGATACGATGCTGTGCACAACCGAATTAGACCTCTGCGATGATGGTACATGGACGGAGTACTTCGTACAAGTAGTTCACGTATGAAAATCAATACAACTCGTGTCATGATACATCCACAGTGACAATCCTCCAGGATAATCATCAAAAAGCTTCGAAAACTCTGCTGCCACCAGGAGCACCGTTCCTCAGATCGGCCATCATGCCCTAGATGCCATCGGCAATACCCCATGCGTCGAGCTCACCCGCGTCGTGCCCACGGGTTCTGCACGCATCCTTTTAGAGCTCGAGAGCCTGAACCCCACGGGATCCTACAAAGACCGCATGACGCTGTCGGTTATCGAAGCCGCCGAACGGCGCCAGGCGCTGAAACCGGGCATGACAGTGGTGGAGGCGACGGGGGGCAGCACCGGGTCGTCGCTGGCATTTGTCTGTGCAGTGAAGGGGTATTGGGTGGTGTCGTCGGATGCCTTTGCAGTGGAGAAGCGCAACACCATGACGGCGTTTGGCGCGACGCTGGAGCTAATCCTCAGCGCGAACGGCGCCAGAGCCCCGACCTTGATCCTTGCGATGCGCGAGCGGGCACGCGCAATTGCCCGCCAGCAGTCAGCAGCCTACTATTACGCCGACCAGTTCAGTAGCGCGGACGTGCTGCCCGGCTATTAAGGGCTGGCCCGCGAACTGGTTCAGCAAGTGCCTGACGCGATCGACGCCTTCTGCAGCGCGGTGGGCGGCGCAGAAATGGTCACGGACGTCGCAAGGACGCCCAAGGCCCACTGGCCTGCCTGTCGTGTCGCTGTCCTGGAGCCTGCGTCCGCGCCGGCCTTGACTCAGGGCCATGGCGGCGCGCACTCGGTCGATGGGATCGGGATCGGCTTCCATCCGCCCCTATTGGATATTGCCCTGTATGACGAGGCGCAGGCCATCGAGGAGGCCGAGGCTCGATGCATGTATCGACGCTTGACTCGAGAAGAAGGCCTGCTGGTCGGTACGTCCACCGGGTTGAATATGGTCGCAGCCATCGCGCTGGCGCAGGAGTTGGGGCCCGGGACGATCGTCGTCACCGTGGCCTGTGATACTGGCCTCAAGCATATCCGCGGAGATCTGTATGAGGGAAACTAGTAGCATAATAGATCCATAGATACAACCAAACCGACTCAGTGCTAGGTATCAATTCTTTGATCCACGAATAACTAGCGGGTAGTGTGTGAGATCACTTGTCACTATGTAATGATGAGCATAATGATAGAGAGGCTTCGGGGAGCTTGGGAGCATCTCCGGCGGTATGGTCAATATGCCTCATGACCTCAAAAATCTATGCCGATCATAACCGAATGCATTCTTATATCTACCTCCGCAGGTGTGATTGGCCGATTGATCTCCACTAATGAATGATGACCAAGGCTAACCGCATGGGTGTACGACAGTACGAGAGCGACAGCCAGTCGCACGAGGGTATCGAGGTATACTTCAATGTATCAAGTGCTGAAAGCCATGAATCCATGGCTGTAATTGTACTGTAGTGTACTGTACCATAGAGGTTGTTAGTAAGTTAGTAAGAGCGCTTCTTTAGAAGAGACTCACGATACCGGGGAGCAGCGCTGTTACTAGGTATAAATCCATCGGTGTTCTGGTGATGGCCAGCCAGCAACACACCCCTTTGACCGGAACTTCCTCCGCCGAGATTGCCCTGATTGACAGTCTATCCTCTGCCATGATGAAGCTTGGGGCCCCTTTCGTGGTGGCCTAGTGTAAGTGTTTCGGACCCCGGGTGGTGGCCTGCGCTGGGTTTGGTTTGGCGTGGCCAATGTCCCTGCTAGCTTTAGCACCGCATCCTGGCACTTCCAACTGTCGCAGGGTCCCTCCTCGGCATTGGCAGTTGTCTCTCATACATGCCTTCCATGGTTGTCCCGCCCACCTGGTTTTTGAAGCGCCGTGGGCTTGCCCTGGGCATTATCTCGGCCGGGACCGGGATCGGGGGCTGGTCTTTGCTCCGGTGATCCAGGCGTGTCTCGGCGCGATTGGGGTTCGAGACACTCTCCGCTTGGTCGGATGCGTGTCGACCTTTCTGATCTGTGGCTCAGGGTTGATGCTCAGCTGGGAGCTATCCACGGCCGCGCATCTCCGCGACGAAGCCAGAAGTCCTTGACCCGCCGACTTTTTCAAGTGCCCCTGCCACCCTGGTCCCTGTTCACACAGCGCAAGTTCCTCGCCCATATCTTGAACGCCGCCTTCCAGAGCGCCGCCTATTACATCCCCATCTACTACATCTCCTCCTACGGACAAGCCGTGTCGTACAGCGAATCGTTAGGGGCCAGCTTCACCACCCTGAGCAACTCCTGAAATGCCATCGGTAAAGAAGCCGTCGGGTATCTGGCTGACTATATCGGCCGGCTGAACTCCTTCTTCCTGGCGACCTTGCTCAGTGCAATCGGGGCCATCGGGCTCTGAATCCCAGCACCCTGCTCGGACCCTCGTCGTTACACGAGGCTGCGGCCAAAGGCTGCTTCATCACCTTACCATCCTTTACGGGCTCTTCGCCAGTGCCTATATCGGGCTCTTCTCGCTTGTTTTGGTCGATCTATTTGGCATGTCTGATATGCCGCGCATCACCGGCATCATGTGCATGGTGCAGGGAGCGGCCGGCTTGGTGGGCACCCCGGTGACGGGCCTGTTGATTCGAACCTACGGCGGCGACACCACCGCCACTTCGCGCAGCTACCTGGATGTGGCCATCTTTGCCGGGGCGCTGATGATGGCCAGCACCCTGACCGGAGCCTGGCTCCGACTGGACCACGGATTTGGTCGCGTGGATGGTCGTTTGACATGGACGTGGAAACTCTAGGGGTATGGAGGGGAGAGAAGACGAGGATGTTTTCTTTCACAGACACAGCCAATCCAATACCATGCCCATTATATACCCCCATTAGTATTTCAGAGAATAGACCCTGTATCTTCTTTTCCAAACTTGCGTCAACGCATTTCCTCCCGGAATCCGTCATGCTAAAAATTGTTAGTAGACTTCTTTCAGCTGCGCATGCCGCGTCTTGCAAGCTCCTAGCTCGAGACAGGAACCAGTTAACGTAGAGCCACCACCAAGAAGTCACCAAGTCTGGCCTTAAGTGAAAAGGGAAAGTGACTCGATGTTCGGTTCCTAGTTGGTATGTAGTTGGTTGTGGATAGTGCTCGTGGGCGGATCCAAGTCGGGAGGCGGTCAGGCGCTCCACGGGGGGGCACGGAGTAAACAAACCAAAACGGCCGGCGAGTTCCACTTGGTCGACCCCCGACTGAACCCAACCTCCTCATTTATTTCCGTCGCATCATCCACTCGCGTCTCCGTTGCGTTGTCTAGCCCGTCAGCGGTGTCTGTTGTGGAATTGCTTTGCTTCCGCGACAGCCAGGAAACCACTCCGACCTGTCTTCCCCCTCAATTGACCGCAGTACCTCCTTCTAGATCTGGTTTCCGTGGCTACTGCCTGTTCGAGCCCGGAGACTCGACTCGCGCTGGCCCGACGCGCTGCCCGGGCCGTCCAAACATCTCGACAGTCCATCGTGCAGCTTGCAGCCTCAAGGATCCAGCTATTCAGTTGCCTCGAAAATCCATGTTTTGAGCTAGCTAGAAACCAGCACACCGTGTTGATATCGATTTCAAACCGTCCATAACCCATCTCCGAAATAAGCGCGTCTCATATCGCCAACATGTCGCGCGAAGCAACAACGAACAGCTTCGCGTCGTTCGGCTCAGACTTCGACCCCGAGCACGAGGCTCTCGCATCTACCAAGGAACTTGGTGGAAGCCCCCGGCTTCCGTCCATGAACAAAAACGCCAGAAAGCGCCACGAGTTCGAGGAAGAAGAGCCTGATTATGCCTTCAACACATCTACCTTCGAACAATACCTGCCAGACTTCTCCCCGATCGGCACCTCAGAAGAAGAAGCCGACCACGACGACGACAGTATCTCCATCGAGGCCGGACGAGGCCCTGCGAACCCTCCCCGCCGTCTGGACGACTCGAGAAACTCCTACATGACCATCGAAAACAGTGTCCGCTCGTCATCTCCAGCGGTTAGACTCGACTACCCTACCTCCAATACCCCTCAGAAGTCTGCCATGCGTAACCCGGCGAGAAGAGCGGTCAGCGAAAGTCTCCGAAAGGATGCTCAGATTAGACGCGCCAGTCTTGCGCAGAAAGAGAACGTCGATCCCCAGACAGCCAAGTCGAATCGCAGGGAGCAGCGGCGAACTCTGTCAGAGATGCACGCAAAGGTCCGCGATGCTTATGAAGGATCCTTGATTGAAGACGAAAGACCCCCTGCGGTGGCTAACAGTACGCGTCCGACACGATTCGGAAACCTTAACCTCTCCCATCAAATTGCCGACGCCGTGGAGAAGGCTTCCCAAGAGGCTTACGCTCGCGAACTTCGTCGCGGAAAGGCTAACACCAACTCGCGCAGTATGCCAAATAGTGCGGGCGACACGGGCACACAGCACTCATTCCTTCTTCCAGACCTTCCTAATCTGTCTGAGTTGGTCTCGGGCGTATATGAGGATGGAACGCCGGTTTACGCACGCCAGAGCAGGTCACGTACGACGCGTTTTGTGTCTCCTCAAAATGATGCCACTGATGTATCATTGACTCGCGAACATATGCCGCTCGATGCAGTGCCGATCCCAGAAGATGAAAAGGCTCTATTCGTCTCGTTGAGGCTTCTACAGGACAAGGTCTCGGAACTCGAAAGATCCAAGACTGAAGCCGAACGGAGGATGGATGAGATGAAACGGGAGAACGAGAGTTTGAGGACAACCAAGTCGCGCAACAAGGACAAACACGGTCGCAGCCGACCATATGAATCGGAGGAGGATCAGTATAGGAGAGATCGACTGTCCAGTGACAATCAAAGTAAGTGTGTTTGAATGTCCTTTCTGATGCCCTACTAACTTTGCACCCCAGAGCTGGATGCTGCCAACCTGGCGTTGCAGAATAAACTCGACATCATCGAAAGGAAGACTCAGATTCAGGAGTCGACTCTGAAACGGCTGAATCGGGAGCGTGATATGGCGGTCTCTCAGTTGGGGGTGGCCTACCTTGAAACGCAAGACCTCAAGGGCGAGAATGAGAGTCTTCGTCAAGAGATCTTAGACCTGAAGTCGCAGCTGACAAAGATTCTGTCTGCCGGCCCCAGAAACCGTGACGACACCGTCGACTCAGAGCTGTCTTCTTCTTTGACTGATGCAAGTGACGACGATAGCCAGCTAGACACGCAACGAAGCAAGCACACCAGCCGAAGCACGAGGGAGGTCACTGGCAAGAGTTCGCGCTCGCGGTCTAAGGCTGGGCGTCAAGAGGACTCGCGTGCTAAGGTCTCGACGCAGGTCGACAAGGAAATCTCTCGACTCGAAAAGGAACGTGCGGAAGAGGCTCTGTTTTCACTCGATGTCCCACAGATCAGGGAAAAGTCAAGGACCAAGGCAGAGAAGTCCAAAAGCCGGTCACAGACTAGCGATGTGAACAGCAAGAAGCAGTCAAATACTGGCAAACAGCGCGTTAAGCGAGTGGTTGTCGAAGAGGTTGACGTGACTGAGCCTTTGGAGTCCAGTGGAGAGGTCACTGGAAACACCAGGAAATCCAGCGCAACCGAGCAGGACTTGACTCTCCTAAGCTTTGTTGATGTGAGTTGTGTGCTAGACTACTGCCATCCACCATTACTGACTGTTGGCACCTAGGAACGTGAGATTGCTCAGTTGCGAAAGACGCTCGAAGAGGAGCGACTGGCTCGGAAACGGCGGCAATCCAACACGAACACGGATCAGACTGCAAACGAAACAGGGAACACCACCCGTCAGAGCGTTCCCAAATCGACTGTTCCTAGAAAGTCTTCCCTCAAGGAAAGCAAGGGGGTGCCATCCAGACCCGCCTCGGCAATGGACTTGACCGCACCCTCCAAGGCCAGCATGGCGGAAGGAGACAGCAACCTGTCGGTACCCGTTGAACGTCCCAGACGGCACTCGGATCACTCTGCGCCTGCTGCTGCTCAGCGCCGCCGGCGACGAATCGCCGAAGAGATGACATCGGCCTTCATTCTCCCTGATATTACATTCAACCCTGCTCATCTAGCCGACAACAACCTTGCGAAGCTTCCAGAACCTGCACAGCGTGCCCTCGATAGCGCCACTCAGCACAACGGCAAAAACTGCACCGTCTGCAAGCGTTCCATCCCCGATGGCTCTTGTGACCATCCCGCCGAGGCAGTGAAGATTCCCAAGCCTATTCCAGTCTCGGAACGTATGCCTGAGCCTTCTCCTTACAATGAGGAACCTACGATGCGGCCGGCGCAGTCGCCCGAACTTGCCCTTGCGACCGTGCTCAAGGCCTTGGAAGACGAGCTCGCACACTTGAAGATGCAATTGGTGGCATACCAGGGCGCGTACAACAAGCTGGATGCGTCGTTGAGCAAGCGGCAGCGGAAGTCTGTCGGAGAAAAGATCGAGAAGCTGTTGAAGGATATCGATATGAAGGCTGACCAGATATATGCGCTCTACGATGTCCTCGAGGGCCAAAAGCAGAACGGCCGTGAGATGACCGAGCAGGAGATGGAGGTGACCCTTCAATCGATCGGAATTGATACCGCAGGGCGGGCAGCTGATGTCACTGCCACCACTGATAAGTCCTCTCGCAAAGGCCCCGAGCCGGACTACGATGAGGATGACGACGAACTTCCCTGGGAAGGATTCGAGAGCACACTGGAGATGACCGGCCGAAGTGGTGGAAGCCGTCGCAATTAGTTTAAATTCCATTGTCATTGTTTGAGCTTTAGCTCTTTTCCTTAATTGTCACCATGATTCTCTTTTCGCCTTTGTACTTTCTCTTCCTATCTCCCCTTTCTCGTTCTCTCTTCCCACTTCCCATCTCATGCAGATGCAAGTTTTCGGATCCGGTTTCAGACTGACTTAGGTGCATGTCCCGGATCCTTGAGAATATGCTGACGCGCGAGGCCTTTGAGTTGAATCTGGAGGAATGTGTCCGCTGGTCTGTCCAGTGTGTGACTGTCTTCGAGAATCCTCGGGCTCTGTTTGTGTCTGTTGCTGGAGGTTGGCCTTGGACGTTGACGGACTTGCTTAAGATCTCCGCCCAAGGCTTTGAACTCGCAACACGGGTGCGATCAAAATTTCCTACTCCTTCTATTCTTCTTCCTTTTTTTTGTTTTCCCCTCTTCTCTTCTCTTTGTCTTTAATAGTGTTGGATACGGCGTTCTGCTGATTCGGATGCATGGTTGGGTTAGTTGTTGGTTGCGTGGGATTAAGTTGGGTAGGAGTCTCTTTGTGACCGTAACACGTATGAATTATTGCTGTTGTGCATGCATTCTTTCCAATTCATCTATGTAAGGAACGAGGTGGGACAGACAGCCCCCCCTGGTCGTCGTACATGGTCGTAGGACCTATCTAGTACCTACATGGATGGTAGTACTGTAGCCGTGGAGACCGGGAACACACGCGAGCTCGGGGCGGTGCCTAAACCCGAGGGAGACTAGCGGGGATGACAAGCTTCGGGGGGCGTTTGGCTCATCGTTCGGCCTTTCCACCGGTTCTTCCTCCACTCCCCCAGACTTTGCTGCTTTTTCTTCCCATTTTTCCGTCTTCTCCAGCTTTGACTTTTGACCTAGTTCCTGGTCCTCCCCCAAGACACAATTCCCGGTCTCTACAATCTACATGACCTCCACACCACATAACTATGATGCTCGCAGCCTGCACACCGACTATGTAGATACTCCTGCGACCGACTCGGGCACCTCGCGTGTCCGAAAGGATCCGTTCCAGCCGGAGAACCAATTCTTATCCCCGACGATCTCCCTCAATTCATATGCGGACGGCGACGAAGAGAGCGTCAACACGGCGATCCACGATGGCAGCTCCGCGCAGACCCGTATTCTTGCGCCTGCGCCCGAATTTATCGCTTCACGACGCTTATCAGTAGATATCGCTAATAGTAGCGACGACGATAACGACAGCGACGGGGATGATGATGATGATGATGATGACGAGCACCACAGCAGTGACACCTCTGATCCTCCCAACGAGAAGCCAGTTACTTGGTCCTCGTTGCCTAAGAAGAGCCAACTCGCTATCTTGACCATTGCTCGACTGTCGGAGCCGCTGACCCAGACATCGTTGCAAGCCTATATGTTCTACCAGCTCAAATCCTTCGACCCCTCCCTCCCGGACTCGACGATCTCGACGCAGGCGGGGATTCTGCAGGGCAGTTTTACCGCGGCGCAGTTTCTGACGGCCGTCTGGTGGGGTCGACTGGCTGATGCGGAATGGATGGGCAGGAAAAGAGTCCTTCTTATTGGGTCGCTCGGAACCTGTATCTCGTGTTTGGGATTCGGCTTCTCCAAGTCGTTTGTCGCGGCGGCCGTGTTTCGCACGCTGGGCGGAGCGTTGAACAGCAATGTGGGTGTCATGAGAACTATGATTGCGGAGATTATCGAGGAGAAGAAGTGAGCTGTCTTGTTGCTCGAACTGGAAGAGACTTGTACTAACCATTCCCATGCAGGTACCAATCTCGAGCATTCCTCTTGTTGCCAATGTGCTTCAATGTTGGTGTGATTATCGGTCCGATCCTTGGTGGTGCATTGGCGGATCCGCTGAAGAGTTATCCTCACCTATTCGGCCCCGGGACGCTGTTGGGAGGCGACACTGGGGTGGGCTGGATGCGGAAATGGCCGTTTGCGCTGCCTAATCTGCTTAGTGCGATTTTCATCTTCTTCTCGTTGGTGGCCGTCTTCTTTGGACTGGATGAGGTATGTGCTTGGCTGTCTGTGGGGAGCTATCTGCTGACTGTCGCAGACACATGAAGTTGCGCGTTATCGGAGTGACTGGGGCCGGAAATTGGGACGCAAGATTTCGAGGGCATTCGCCAGGCGTCGGGGACGGTATTACCGTCGCTTGATGGAGCATCCGGACGATGAGTCTCTATACGTTGACGGCAGCATCGCTAGCAGATCGGCCCCATCCACGCCGCTGCGCTCGCGCGCTCGACCTCGTCACAAACGTCCCAGTTTTGGCCAAATCTGGACACCTAATGTCCTCCTCACGCTGCTAGCCCAGTTTCTTCTGGCTTTCCACACCAGCGCGTTCAATTCGATGACTTTCACGTTCTTACCCACCCCGCGCGCCCCCAAGGACAGCCAAGATGGATGGTTCCATTTCGGCGGTGGTCTGGGCCTACCATCGTCTCGAGTCGGTATGGCTACCGCTATCATCGGGATCATCGGCCTACCGTTGCAAATTTTTGTCTACCCCTGGGTCCAAGGGTATTTGGGCACGTTGCCGTCCTTCCAAACCTTTTTGCCCTTCTCTTCCTTGGCCTATGCCCTGATGCCGTTCCTCCTGATCGTCCCACGAGTAGCGTGGATGGTCTGGCCAGCCTTTACAATTGTCATTGGGCTCCAGGTCATATCCCGGACGTTTGCTCTGCCAGCCGCCGTTATTTTGGTGAACAACTCGGTCTCCGATCCGTCCGTTCTAGGGACCATCAATGGGGTGTCCCAAAGCATTTCGAGTGCAGCACGCACGCTGGGACCGTTCATTGGAGGTTGGGGCCTAGGGCTGGGACTAGACTGCAACTTTGTTGGCGGGATCTGGTGGGCTCTGGCACTGGAGGCCTTGGCGGGCTGGTTCGTCCTGTTCTTCATCTATGAAGGCAAAGGGATTGAGAAGAAGAAGCACACGGAGGATATTGAAGAGGGAGAGGAGCGCCGCTGACCAGTGGGATGAAAAATGCGCTGTATATAGACATGACATGTGGGAAACTATAGGTTGGGGCTGACATGGGATATACGAGGAATGTCTGGTTACGATAGACGGCCTGGTTCATCAAATTTCTGAATTCATTATGACGTGTAAACGGATATGTCTTGCAAATTTTCGAGACCAGCTCAACCATTTTCATCTACAATGTGGAGGGTATCACGCCCCCAAAGCCGGGGTAACAAAGGCCCTGATGGCCTGGACAACATTGCCGTCATGCAACTTCAAAAGCTCCGTCGCCTTGATTTTGGTCAAATCCAGCTCATTCACCTGCAATCGCCAACATACCCATTAGTATGCATCCGTCACAGAGCGCGAACAAGGGAAGTACCATACCAAGAGGTTGACATCCTCGGCAGCCACCTTGACGGCCTTCTTCTTGACCACCTCGGCCTCCTTCCTCTGCGCCTCAGCCACCGGCTTTTTGCTCAAGCCGTGTCCCGCCGCAATCTCCAACCGACTCATTGCCTTTCCGAGGGCCTCTTGGTCAGCCGCGGACGGTGCCTTGGGTGTGGCGTCGGAGGCGATCTGGCTGGTGTTGAGGGCGGAGAGAGCCGCGGCGGCCTTGCGGTCCTCGGCGTTGGCAGGGGGGTGCTGCTGCTCGGGGGCCTCAGCGTCTGCATGAGCGGAGGGAATGGAATCGGACATGGTGGACGCAGGATCTAGCTTAGTTGAAGATAAGGTGAGATTTTAATCAAGTCAATCCTTCAATTAATCAATAAGAAACCAACAATAAGAGACGCTGAAGAAGGGCGGCCAAATGACGTCGGACTCCCGATGGCCCGCTACGAGGCTATCCCCGATACAGCTAGCGCAGGAGCGTGACTCAACGCCAAACCGCGAATAACCGGCGGCCAACTTGCTCCTTTTCTTCAAGCTGGCCGGACTTCTACTTCTCGCTTGCCGGTTCTGCTCTTCTCCTGTTCGCTTCTTTCTTTCTCTTACTTTGTTCTTTGTGATTTCTTCCCCTGGAGTCCCTCATTGCGTCCCTTGGTCTTGTGCAGTGGGGAATCACCCCTCGAATCCACAGTTGACAGCTCCTAGCGTCGATCACTTTCCCCCCACCAACAAACAATGGAGGACTGGTCCCCCAGCTGTGCGTTCCTGGTTCTGCTTCCTGGTCAATTGGCTGCTGATTGCTGACCAATATTTGCTAGCTTGGGCCTCCAAACCCATCAAACAGGATGTCGTCTACGATGATGCTCAGGGCGTACAAGCAGCGCTGGGCAAGCTGCAGAAGCTACCGCCTTTGGTCACAACCCAAGAAGTACGACAGTTTTTCCATGGCCAAGTCACCGCGCATATATACTGATATGGATGATAGGTGAACAATCTGAAGAAGAGCTTGAAGAATGTAGCTCTCGGAAAGGCGTTTGTGCTTCAGGGAGGTATGTATAGTCTCTATCTCCATACTGAACTAAATCACCGGATATGATGTTGATGCTTCAACAGGTGACTGCGCGGAACTCTTCGATTACTGTAATCAGGACATGATCGAGGCCAAGGTCAAACTACTGCTTCAGATGAGCTTGGTCTTGATTTGGGGTGAGTCCACACATCAGCACCACCTTGGTGCACCATGCTAACCACCTCCGCAGGAGCAAACAAGCCCGTCGTCCGTATTGCCCGAATTGCAGGACAATTCGCCAAGTCAGTTTAACCACTTGAATCCCGGTCCAATTGCATGCTCACACCAATCTAGGCCCCGTTCGAGTCCAATGGAAGTCATTGACGGCGTCGAGATGCCCTCTTTCCGCGGCGACAACATCAACGGCTTCGATGCCACCCCCGAGTCCCGCAAACCTGATCCCTCCAGGCTCGTTTCCGCCTACTTCCACTCCGCCGCAACCCTCAACTACCTCCGGGCCTCTCTCTCCTCCGGTCTGGCTGACCTGCACTCCCCTCTCGACTGGGGTCTCGGCCATGTCATCACCCCCTCCATCCGGGAGCAATACACCCGAATCGTCAGCCGCGTCAAGGACGCCCTCCGCTTCATGCAAACCGTGGGCATCGACACCGATCGCGGTGTCGAGACGGTAGATGTCTATACAAGTCACGAGGGTCTTCTGCTCGAATACGAACAAAGCCTGACCCGTCTCCTCCGCAACCCCGACCTCCAACCCCAACCCTCATCTGCCTCCACCTCCACCGCGCCCCCAAATCCTACTACGCCACCTCCTCGCACTTCCTCTGGATCGGCGACCGCACACGACAGCTCAACGGTGCACACGTCGAATTCTTCCGAGGAATCGTCAACCCCATCGGGATCAAGATCGGCCCCAGCATGACTCCAGAAGAACTCATCCAACTCCTCGACATCGTCAACCCGAGCCACGAAATCGGCAAAGTCACCCTCATCTCGCGCTACGGCGCCTCCAAAATTGCCCAATACCTCCCGGGCCACATCGCTGCCGTACAAGCCTCCGGCCACCTCCCCGTGTGGCAATGTGATCCCATGCACGGCAACACCCAGAGCACGCCCTCGGGCGTCAAGACCCGCCACTTCAGCGACATTCTCTCCGAGCTGAAACAAGCATTAGAGATCCACCGCGCTGCGGGCTCCTTCCTCGGCGGCATGCACCTCGAACTCACCGGCGAAGCCGTCACCGAGTGTGTCGGCGGTGCCGGTGGCCTGACCGAAGAGGGACTAAGCGAGCGGTACACAACGTTCTGCGATCCGCGTCTAAACGAGAAACAGGCCCTCGAGCTAGCCTTCCTCGTCGCCGGATTCTATCGCGAAATTGACGAGCAGTTGATGGACTCGGACGGTTCGGAATCAAATTAGTCCCTATCTTGCCCCAAGAATGAGTACATTGAAAATAAATATAACCTCCCAAATCAGTCTTGCATGACTGCAAATAGGACAGAGTAGTAAGGTATACCTCTTTCATTGGTGATCATGAAATTACATTTGGACAGAGAAAAAGAGAATAGGATATGACCTTTATGCAATTGCATAATCCTAATAACCCAACTTATTTGTAACCTAGTTATCGTAAAACCCATAATATTTCCACTCTGCAGACAAACAAAGGGGGTATGTAGTATGTAAAATAAACAAACCAAACCAAACCAAACGCAAACCAAAGCAATGTGAACAAACTATCCTGTCCATGAAACCAACACAAGAACAAACACAAAAAACCCGGACTTTCAAGATAGCATACATACATACATAGACCTATACCCAAACCCAAACTCAAAGAGAAAGAGGAGTAGAAGCAGTAGGAAGAATCCTACTCAACAAGGGGACTTCCCACTCTCGGCTTATACGCCATACTCTTCCTCCGCGCGGCCTCCAATTTAGCGCGCAGCTTTTGGTTCGGTTCACGGGCTGGAGTCGCCGATGTGAATAGACCCTGGCGAGTTTGTTTGGGAGGGCAGGTTTGTTGGACGAGTTTTGTCCGTTGGGAGAGATAGAAGGGCGTGGCTGGGGACATGCCGATGGCGTCCATGTCGATGGTGTAGCCGGGGGTTTTGGGGGTGTGGCAGAAGTCCTGGTCGGCTTCGGAGTGGCCGGCGCCGTATTTGGGGGTGTCATCGGGGGTAGCGGGGGAGTCGCGCGAGGAGGGGGTGGTGTCTCGGGCGGTGATGGCGGCAGTGGAGGAGGTGTCTTTGGGGGGCAGGACGGATCGTCTGCGGTTTGTGGCGGGCTCGGCCTTGACGAGGGTGCCGTTGATGTTGCTGAGGGCTCGGGGCTCCATGCTCTTGCGGCGTTTGGCACCACCGCGGGGGATGATGGAGAGGTCGACTTCGTAATGAGACTCGTCGAGCCATTTGTTTTCTCGTTCGCAGTCGAGAACCCAGCCGACTCCGACGCACTTCACGAGACCTTTTGCATGTCGGACCTTCTCCAAGGTCCGCACACCTCCATCTTTGTAGATGACGTGGGTTATTCCTACTTTGCCCTCCTTGGGCTCTGTTCCCTCCTCGGGGGATACGCTGGCGCGAGGGTTCCACGACCAGTTCTTCACGCATCGGGCTCCCATTTGCTGCAGGAGCTCGATGAAAATACCACTGGCGTCCTCTCCCTCGGTGGTATGAACATCCACGTATGCAACAGCCCCCTGCAGGGCCAACTTGGGCGCACTGATGCTCGTGCGAGGCGTTTTCGACTTCTTTTTAGGATTGGGCGACTGAGCCGGGCGCTTGTGGGAAGCAGGTGCCTGGGCTTCGACTGCTTTCTTGGCCGTGGAAGGGGCTTGCGCGTGCTCCGGAGATTGACGTTCCGCGGCTCTTTGCAGTCTGGGCGACTTGCGAGGCGAGATAGATGGGGCATTTTGCTCGACAGGTGCGAACGTCGAGAGGCGGGGTCTCGAAGACCGCCTGGGAGAAGGGGCAGAGAACGAAAGACCTCGCTTGCGCGAAATCTTCAATGGTGAGATCTCACCCTCAGGCTTAAGTGGAACTTTGGACACCGTGTGCACGGTTTGAGTTTGCATCTGAGAGATTCTGTTCTTCATCGGCGTGAAAGGCGCAAGAACTGGGATATTCCCATTCATCTTGTCCTCAGCCTGTGATTTAGAGGCAGCAACTGGGCTCTCGGGCACAGGTGTTATTTTTTCCTGTTCGTTCTCCTTGTCCTCGTCTGCCTGTGGCTTAGAAACAGGAGTCGGGCTGCTGATTGCAGATGCTACCTTTACCTGTTCGTTCTCCTTATCCTCGTTTGCTTGTGGCTCAATAACAGCCCGTGGCTCAGAAGCAGGAACCGGGCTCTCGGGCACAGATGCCACCTTTTCCTGTTCGTTTTCCTTGTCCTCGTCTACCGGTGGCCCGACAACAGCCTGTGGCTCAACAACATCCTGTGGCTCAGAAGCAGGAACCGGACTGTCGGTCACAGATGCAACCTTCTCCTGTGCGTTCTCCTTGTCTTCGCTTGCGTCAACCACAGGCAGAGGCGCGGGAATGTCCTCGACTACCTCCGTGACGGACTGCCCCGATGACTCGACTACTTCAGTATCGCCTGCAAGTGCTTGTGGCTCCTGCTCTTGGTCCTTGTCTTCGTAAATTTCAGGCACATCGGCCTCGTTGCTCGCTTCCGGCATGGGTGATTTAGACGAGGAACTTTGCGCTTGGCTGGAGACATCGGGATACGACACTTCAGAAGCAGCAGTGACGTTGCTGGACCGCTTGCTGCCTCCCAAAGAGAATACTCCCCTTCGAGGGCGCTTCGGGTGGGCCTTTGCAGGGCTGCTAGCCTTCCACTGGCCAAACTGTTGCGCCAGTGGTGTGAACCGAGGGGCGTTCTCAAGGACTAATCTTCTAGTGGATCTGCGGCGAGGTGTCGCTTGTCTGGGATCGACAAATGGGTCCGGCAGGTTGTTATTATCTTGCACCTCATTGTCGCTGTCTGCTGCAGCTGGCTCATAATTTGAAGGACCAGTTCTCACATTGCGTCGGACAGGAGACTCGATGAACCGAACAGGAGAGAGCACGCGTTTGGTGTAGTAAATCTGACGAGTCGGACTGTAAGAACCCTCTGGCTCCTCAACCTCATACGGCAGGATGGGCTGAGGGTTAGGCGGGATATACTCAGTCGGTTCGACCGCCACAAGCGTAGGCTCGCCGTCGTCGAAAGGGTAGTTCTCGCTCACATCGTCGTCAAAGTCGTCGAAAATATCTGTGGCATTTTCGTCACCAGCCTCCAGCATATCAGGGTCGTCCTCTGTCTCCGAAGAATCATGGACATCCTCGACAGGCTCAGAAGCACTGCGCTCGACAAAAACATCTTCAAGACCCTCAACCAAGCTGTGTCTTAGTCCTGGGTTTTGAGCATACTTGATCTTCGGCTTTTCATCCACTTCCTCTTCAACCTCGTGATCGGACTGATCATCGGCGTTTTCCTGGTGTGCAACCGAAGTCTCGTCTTGGGCTCCGTGTGTCTCGGTATGTTCCTCCACTACTTGGTCAAGGCCCTTGGCCTGTTCCGCGGAGGCATCATCGACTTCGACGGTGCTCTCTCTATCATCAACGGCGAGGGGCTCAGCATCAGAGTCTGCATTATCATCGGCGTGTTCAGTGGGCAGATCTTCGACGAGCTCTCCAACATCACTTTTTCTAGAGACACCCAGATCCTCTACCGTTGATTGGACTTGTTCAGAATCGGACTCTTGGACAGGCTTAGCAACAGGCTCCGTGACGGGTTCATCGATAGGATCTGCGATGACTTCCTCAGCAAACCCCTCGTCAGACTCCATGGGGTCCTCCATGGGCTCCTCCACAGGTTCTGCTATCGCTGCCTCCATAGCATCAGCTGCAGCCTCCACGGGTTCTTCCACAGGTTGCTCCATGGGCAATTCGGTAGGCTCATCGATAGGCTCATCAGCAGGCTCTGCAACAGGTTCCCGAGTGGGCTCCTCAGCGGGTTCGTCGATGAGATCATCCACAGGCTCCTCCATGGGTTCCTCCATGGGTTCCTCAACGGGCTCCTCCATGGGCTCCTCTGTAGGCTCTTCCACAGGGTCTTCTGTGCGTTCGTCCATGGGCACATCAACAGGCTCCTGGACAGCTTCTTCCAAAGGCTCGTCCATGATATCTTCGACGGGCTCCTCCACAGGCTCTACGGCGAGATCCTCCATGGGCTCATCCAAGGGTTCCTCTATGACCTCGTCCTCGGATTCAGCAGCTTCATCGACTGCTTCTTCCGCATCCTGAACAGCGTGCACATTGCCTTCAGTATGTTCGTCCTGGGCAGCAACACTTTCAGTCACAGTGTTGGCCTCCTGCTCGTATTCAATGGTCTCTTCCCGATCGAACTCTTCGTGTAGAGTATCCTCCTCATCAAGCCGTTCCGCAACGGCGGGTGACTGAGCGTGGATGTCCCTTGTTGCATCCAATGCATCAACTTCCTCGGGTGCTGCGTCATCGACTTGTTCATCCTCACTTTCGAGTTCCTCGTCAAGCTCTGCGACGGCGGGAGACTGAACCTGGACCTCTTTTGTTGTATCCAATACATCATCATCGGGAGATGCATCATCGACTTGTTCATCCTCGCTTTCGACCTCGTCGTCAAGCTCTGCAATAGCTGGAGACCGAGCGTGGATATCCTTTGTTGTATCGAGTGCATCGAGTTCCTCTACCGGCGCGTCATCAACCTGCTCGTCCTCCCTTTCGACCTCGTTGGGTTTCTCAAAGTCAGTCATTCTCAGCGGCGATTCTTCAACATCTGGTGTAGCAGGCGCATCAACATTGACATCATCTTCGGCAGTGGGACGTTCTTTTATGGTACTCCTGCTGGCGAACAAGGAGCTTTTAAAAGGCGAAGCAATCTTCTTTGCGGGACTTTGAAGGAAAGAAACGCTATGTCTCAATGGAGTCGCCGTGGATTCGGCATGCGCCTGAGAGGAGGTGAATGACGCTCCAAATAGACCCTTTCTGGGGGACGATTTGAGAGGGGAGTTGCGTCCGGGGGTAAAGTTGGGCTGAGACAACGAGTTCCCGCCATCCAGGAAGATACCGCTACGCTTAGGAGTCTCCAAGTGCGCCTTCCTGGGCGATAACTTGAGCGGTGAATTATGCGTCGGCGAGAGATGAGGTTGTGACAATTGCTTCGCGTCATCGCGGAGAGCAAACCCACCACGCTTAGGAGTCTCCCTCATAGTGAAATTAAACGGCGAAGGAGGCGGCCGGCGCGCCGGGCTGGACATCAGAAGCGTATCGTTAAAATCAATCGATCGCCGAGGGCCAGGCAGAGGCTCTCCATTTTCGTCAAGAGATTTTCGGTACTTTTCGGTGAGGTTGATCTTCTTCACCGGCGAACTCAGACCGGTTTTTTCTGATCCGTGTTTGGCAGATGAGTCAACAACGAACTTGATCTGATCCTTCTCACCACTCAGCTCATCATCCTCACTATCCGAGTTGGCATACGAAGACAAGGCCTTAGCAACCTGCGTCGCCTTCTTCGGCGAAAGCGGCTTAGGACCATCCTTCTTCTTCGCCGCCGCCGTCGCTGCTGCTGCCGGCTTCCTCCCCCTGCCAGTCGTCGCTGCAGTCTTACGCACCGGCTTGGACGCAAGACCTGCCTGCCGTCCGGGCCCAATCGTGCCCCGTCTCCTCCCCGCAGCCGGCGGAGGCGACGGCTCCTCACTCACTTCCTCGCCAGCCGAGTCAAACGGATCCTGAAACGTAACCTTCTTCTTCTTCGCCGGTCCCCGCAACAGATTCGACCTCGCCGCCGAACTCACCGAGTTAGTCGCAATAAAAACCCTCCTCGGAGCATCCTGCGACGACGAGAAATCCAAATCCGTAAATCCCTTCGCATTCAACCTCGTATTCTCCTTGACCGGATCAACCGGCTTCGCCGCCTTCGTAGCAGCCGTAGACCCCTTGGGCCTTCCTCGCGCCTTGGGGGCAACAGTCTCGGGCTTCGCAGGTGTCGACACAGGCTTGGTTCTCGGTCTCCCAGCGCGCTTCTTCGGCGCGTCCGACTGAGCAAGCTCGTCATCATTATCGCTATCCAAGTCAACCTTCGCGGGCTTCCTCCCACGCCTACCTGTTGTGCTCGTAGCGGCTTTCGTCGCGGGTCGACCCTTCGTCGTCTTCACCTTCTCCTTTTCATCAACCATACCGATCTCATCATCAGTTGACTCATCCGAATCATCTTCGACCGGCTTGCTCGTAGCTGCTGATGTGGTTCTTACACCCCTCTTTCTTGCTTCAGTGGCCGAGCTCGGTGCTTTGGCTTTTGTTGTTTTCGGCGCGGGCTTAGTTGATGTCGATGTGGTCGAGCCCTTGGTTCGGGTGCGCGTCGTCCGCTTAGCCGGTGATGATTGTGGGATGACTGCTGCGCGAGCCATGCTGTGTGGTTGATTATTTAGTAGTCGGGGGTGGGTTGGGTTGGAATGGGATGGACCGCGTTGTTGTTGATGTCCCGCTTTTGTTGTGGTGTTGGCGGTGGGGACTTAGTGGTGGATTGCCGTGCTCATTGTGCGTTCACGGATGATGAGTGAACGGTCACTGTTAGATTAACCCCGGATGCTCATGTAGGGTCGAAGGGGAGCTGGGGGGTTGGTGGAGGTGGTGGTTGTCGCGTTGGGTGTGAGTGAGTGGGATTAGAGGTAGAGGTAGCGTAGCGGAAGCGGAGGCGGATCGTCAAGTTCGGCAAGCTCCTGTTGTGGCGGGTTGCTTATTTGGGCGATCGGGCGGCGGTTTCCCTGGTAACGCGGCACGTGAGAGGGTGGTTCCGATGCGAGTCGAGGACGTCACTTGGACTCTATCTAATTAACACACGGTGTTTTCCTGGATACTTAGTGGATGTGGACATCTTCATTTATCGAAATCCTACAGTAGCCATACATACATCATATACAAGAAAGTTGTTTTACAGGAGTGCAGTAACAGTCATGCCTGCGGCAAGCACACTCGCCAAAACAGTGGGAAGGACACCATAGCCCGCATTGTCGTATACAGTCGTTGGCTCGTATGTTTCTGGGGTGGCGCTATTGGTCGTGCCATTCCAGCAGTATCTTTGGAAGCACTGGGTGCAGATATCCGGCACATTGGTGTTGGTGCGTTCGAAGGACCGACTGAGAACGGCACATCCCACACAGGCCGACCAGTCACCGTCGCGACTGCTATTGCCCATTGTTGCGACATTGTATCCGTTGAGGATGACGCTCTCTGTTTCGGACTCGGGATAGCTGGGATCGAATGTCGACATGTTCGAGTAGGTCACGTACGGGAAGTTGGGGATGTAAACGATCAAGGGAGCTGTTCCGGTAGTGTTCGACGCGTCGCACCCAAAAAATGTGGGTCGCGTGTTGAGACCTTCGTTGACAAAGGTATTCTGGTCGGGAATAGCAGGGAAGGCGGTGCCATTGGCGATTCCGGTTGAGTTCTGGCTACGTTCATACGTCGCAACCAACGCGGTTCCATTGGGCCAATTGTAGGTGGTGTCGGCGGAGGAGTCCACCGCGAAGATGACATCCACATGACGCTCTGGTTGGATCAGTGGGTGAAGAGGTATATTCTGGAGGTCTTCTCCGCCGTCCACGAGATCCAGTTCGGTTTCGCGAGCAGATGGTGATGTTGAATTCGCCCAAAGGTAGAATGGATTCGGCGCGTACACTGCAATATCCTCGTCATCCTGTCCAATATCTTCGAGGATATCAGTGAACGCAGACTTGAGAAAGTCGGGGAGACTGGTAGAGTTGATCTGTAAGAGGAACTGGTTGAATAAGGAAGATGAAGTCCCCATGACGAACCCGGCATTGTCAAAGCCTCGAACGCAACTTTCGTTGCTCGGAAGAGTGCCGGCTACAAACCGTGATCCCAGATACTCGAGGGGGACGAATCCGTACACCGTCGGGTCAAAGGTGCCGAATTCCCAGGGGTTGAACTCGTAAACCGTAGCGTTGCTGCTGACTAGCAGCTCATCTGGGTACCGACCATCTGCAACCAACACAGGCATCGGCATATCTGCCTCTTGGAATGAATCGGTCTGCGCAATGGATGACCAGGTGTAGTCAATACCGCCTGCGGTAGCGTTGATGAGTTGATATGAAAGAGCACGGCCCCTGGCAAGTCAGCAATACTGAAGTTCAATAGAAACTTGGACTCATACCAGTAATCGGTAATAGACGTCGGATACCCTGCATCTTTCTTGCCGGACACAGCGTCGTAAATATCCTTGTAGTAGCTAGCAGAGTCCACGATCTGAATGCTATCTCCCTCAGGACCTTCGAAGATAGAGTTCTGGAACTCCCAAACACCCCCTTCCTGGGGCGCTTGGAGTGAAGAAATGGTGGAAAAGTTATTCATATAAATAGATCCCACCAGCCATCCACCACCACTCAGGCCAGCCAGGTATGTTGCCGATTGCAGCAGGCCGCCCAGCTGGCCGCTGTTGGTAGAATTTTCCGTCCGGCTATCGAAAGCCTTGATCGCTCCAGCTCCGTTCATCAGCGCCCGATACCCTCCACCAGAGACGGCAATTCCAACGTTAGGAAGATCCGAGCTGTTGCTAGAGACACGGTCGAGGTATTCCACCGCATCAAAGTCTGTGATATTGACATGACCAAAAAAGTCCTTCATCGCCGACAGGGTCTTGTTGCGTCGGGTCCTCAGCCATGACGACTCGTTCGACGAGAGCGCCGTCGCACTACGCACTGTCGGACGGCTTGCTGGGCAATCTACCGTGGAAGGCGTGTAACCGTCTGGGGCATTAGGTAGCGCGCGCTGCATCAAATGTGTCTCAGGTGCGCTGTTAACACCAGTATTTATACCTATCCAGCCCTGTGGTCAGAACAAGCTTGTGCAGAGAGGCAGCAAAAAAAGACAGCGGCAAAGATATGATGGTTGACTGACCTGACAGCACACCTGCAAATGCAAGCACTGCTGCTATGTACTCCATTATCAGTGAATAATATACAGCTGCTCTGATTACTAGAATGCAATGGATTTCTGAAGGAAGAAAGTGAGGCCTTCGCCAGGGGGAGGGGTCACTTCATAATTTCTAACGCGACTAAAGGCTGTGCTCAGCCAAGGCCTTTGTAATTGACAAAGACAGGGACTCGCCAAGCGACTGATAAGACATGGGTCTGGGGCTGATCATGGTGACCTCGTTGCTGGCGGCCTGAAGAGCCACGGACATCGATTGATGATTGGTAGGTCCGAACACGGACAGGCTTGGGATGCAGCACATGGTTTGCTATGATGCAGAGGCTGGGCCGGGCAGTCCGCAGCTGAACGGATCATCGTGGCGGATCGCAGGCACTAAGAGAATTAGAGTTACCAGCGTTTGCTCCAATGGAGGTTCAGATATGGAACTTGGGACAACTCAATGTTCATTGGGCTAGATAGTTGAGTCGGATTCGGCTAGCTGATGTGACAAATTTTAAGGAAAGATCCCTAGATGTGGAGTGAGTGGATAAGTGGATGAGTGGATGTTTGCGTCTGGTTGCAGTTGGGGAGGTGACGGAGAGAGAGAGGCCTGACAGGCAGGCGAGTGGGCAGGGAACAACCCTGGCGTGGCTCCGATCGGTGGGGCCGCAGTGGACAACAAGGCGATCCACGGGCCCGGGGAACTTTGGCAACAATTAACGTCAGCTTCGTATTATTGCAGTCACTTTGCTGGGCTGGCTCGTGTTTGCTTCTGCCTCGGTGTAGGCATCCGGTAAAATCCATGGTTCAGTTTTTTGACAGAGCGGGGATTAACTCCACAAGGAAGCACTGTCGAGGAATCTTCAGGAAACCATGTCAGCTTATCTCTAAAGCCACACGGCTGGCCCGATAGCAAACACTCAAAATTCAGCTTCAGCCAGATGACATTCATCTATCACACAAACAACCGCTTCAATCACACTGCCGATACATCACATCCGTCCTCAGGGTATACTTCGTCCCCCTCACCACCGGATCCCCACCATGTAACAAATCCCTCTGCTGAAAGACCAACACCGAGCCCACCTTAGGAAACACCCTCAAATGCCTCTCTTTTTCCTCATACCTTGGCAGAAACGACGTTGCTCCACCCAACAATCTCCCCCCAACATTCAAATTCACCACTTCCCCATTCCCCGCCTCCACCCTCTTAATCTCCCTCTCCAACTCCTTTAAATCCTGTTCCCCGTCGCCATTCAAATAAACATGCACCGTATAATAACTCCTCTCCGTGCCATCCGGCGTAACATAATTCCCATCCCAATGGGGGCGGAAGAACTCCCCGCCCTCGTACCTCAGAAATCGTAATCGTTCATTCAACCTCGTCAACTTGTACGATCTATTCCGCCCCGCTAACCCCGTTACTCTGGGCTGGTTGTCGATTTTGTCGATTCCTAGTTGTTGCAGGAAGGGCAGGATGCGGGTAAGGAGTCTATCAGCGATGAGTTCATCGTCGCAGATGATTCGGCCGCAGTTTCGGGTGTCGGTTGCCAGGGCTTGTTTGCCGTTGCCGATGTTGATCATGGCGCGGTCCCAGACCGGAGGGGTGGTGGTGGGGTTGGAGGAGGGGGGAATGGTGCTGGACTCGGCGAGACGGATGAGGTCGTTGCATTCGCTGGGGGTGAGGGCGTTGTCGATGATCGCGGCGATGAGGTTGGTGTATTCGGGGATTTGGGGGGAGGAGAGTGGGAAGTTGATGGGGTGGAGTTTGGCGGTTGGGGGGCCGGGGTGGTGAGGAGGGTGGAGGTATTCGTGGGAAAGGTCATTTTTGCGTGTAGACTTGGTGATGGTTTGAGGATGAGGATTTGGGGACATAATTACTTTACGAGGGATATACTGCGATTGAAGTACATGGCGGATGTAGAGCAGGGGTGGGCTGAGGCTGCAGATTGTCCGTTGGTTTGGCCCCACTCTTGCGCAAGGCTGAGGATGAGGCTGTGAAGATATACCATAGTTACCTATTACCTATGTATAAGCAAGTAGTCAGGCCACTTTGTGTAGTCATTCAGCCGCCAGCACTAGTACTAGATATAGGAGGATGTGTGCACAGCCTCATGAGTCATACGAATCCTACACCACGGCATGGGAAGGGATATATGATGATATGTTATTGTTCAATGTCAGGGACGTGAGGCAGATGAAACTGGGTGATATTGTCTGACTACCTAGAAGGGCTTCTGCCTACTCGGGATGAAATGACAAGAACACGGTGGCCAACGTGACCAGACACGTGACGCTCGCCTACCGACCAACCGGCTGTCCGGACACGGCTCCCTAGGCGAGCAGGGGTGCCAGATTTAGAGTACATGAAGCCAATCTCTCTTCCTAATTAGGTAATAAAGTTGCAATATCATACGAGTCTTGGTGGTGCGGAGTGTCAGGCACGTGGTGGCTCCGCTACCGGGCAGGATTTCATGTGTAGTAGACGTTTGAATGCGGAGAATGCCTCAGGATCGAGTGCCTTGGTGAAGCCGTCTGCGGGGTTCTCCTTGCCAGGGACATGAAGCATCTCGACGTCGCCCTTCTTGATCATATCTGCCACGAAAAGATAGCGGTTGTCGAGCCAGCGGGTGGATCGGGTGTATGTGTGTGCCGTGGTTGAGGATTGTCAGGGAGGTATCCTAACATGCGAGAACAAGGCTTCGCTGATGACAAGGATATCATTGACTGTGCGCGCATATCTTGCATATCTTTCGGTTCTCTAAAGATTTCAGCGTTCTCAAAACCCTTGCTATCCGGCACCACAACCTTAAGATGCCAGTGGAACCGCGGAACGATGCTGCATTGGCACCCTTTTGCCAGTTCAAAACCACATAGACGCATTGGGTGGGATTCCCTTGGAGTACCGAGTCAAACTGGACCATACCGACGCCATCAACGTTGTCGGCTTGCTTGGAGTGTTTGCCCAGGCGCGAGAAGAGACCCAGCATTTTTTTAATCTCTCCTGGAGGTCCCCAGACCCCCTGCATGACAGTCGCGCACCAAATTGTCCCACCCCCTTGATGTATGAGTGCTTGGACATAGATACCCCAATAGAAACTATGCAAGGCTAAACAGCCTAGTAAGATAAACGTAGAGTCTAGAAAACTGGAAGCAGTCCTCGCAGACGAGCTTATACTGGCCAATGAGGCCAGTAAAGAAAAATCACCTGTGTAGCAGGTTGGTTCAATCCAGGGGCTTATTGATGTTTTTGCGTCTCCACCGAAGAGCGGAGAGACATACCAAGCCTGGTCATTTGCGTGGACACGCGACATAGGCCTGGTTGAGTTTCTCGGTTGATGCCATGGAGATCCGTCCTTTCCGCTTCGAGATCCTGTGTGGACCTTCAAAAGTCGTCTTCCATATAACATGAACAAGGTAAGCAGTAAAAGTGTGTCCTGTATCAAGTGATATCTTTATTTGGTCATGTAGTGGGCCGAAATCCTGGTTTCTTGCGTTCCTTGGAGGGGGAACCGTTTAAAAGCGCAATTTTGCGGCCTTGTTGGGTTCTGCGCAGCTCGCGTATTTTCTGACATGTTAGTACATCCCACACCAGTTGGACTTCCGGTGCTCTTCAGACTCTGAGTTCCCGACGCGAATGATCCGTTCTCACTCTTAAGCGTTTCTATATCCCGGGGTTTCAGCCGTTGATAGCCTCAGCAAAAAGCAAGCACCGACATTTCTTCCACTCCCGTGAGAAGGTACTATTTGGTCAAAAGCCATGTAATTGCAACGCTTTGCTGTCAAAGCTGTGACTTCGCTTGAGGCATTCGGGGAATAGTTGGAAGATTGAATCGCTTTGCTAACCGCAGAGCTACCTTTGTACCTTCATCTGGTTCATGTATTCCCTTGTTGATATGGTTCCCTCCCTGAGCAAGTGCTCGCACTCTTTTAACATGGTTTCAACTGTGTGGTATTCTTCCATGTTCTTTATCTTCCGCACCACAAAGTTCCACTTCCTTTCCAGGCTTGTATCCATCAACTGCCTGATCTCACCAGGTGTCCGCTCCGCAGCCAATTATAGCTGCTGAGCAGCGTTGTCTTCATCCTGGTCTGGAAGAAACTCCTTGTTTTGCGCAGCCTGGATCCATTGTATAAAACGAATCAGTGGTCCTGCGCGGAGAGGGTACTTGTCTTGGCGTTATTGTGGCTTCATGGGAGCGTCCTTGAGGCTTTCCGTATCGTACCACCGGCTGTCCGGCGGGTCTGTGTTCTGCCATTTGAACTGTGACGGGCTAAGAAGCCCAAGAACTACTCAAGGTAATGGGTTGGTAAGTAGAAGGTGTGGAGGCCCTCAAATCCTTGAACTTCCTTCTTGAACTTTTCGTAACCTTGATCAACTGGCGGGCGCCCCCCTAGGCGACGATCCAGGGGAGCCACGCTTTTTCCGAAGCCTGAGCCTGCGGGGTTGCCTGGTCCTTCTGGGCCTGGTTGGCTTCCTCCGCGGGGTCTCCCTCGAGCAAGGCCTGGTAGACCTCACCCTTCCGGATAGGGCGTCCGAACGGCAGATGCGTTGGGCCCAGTTTCTGAGCCGCTTTAACTTCACGATTGACTATCGCCCGGGGGTGGCCTGATACCAGAGCTTGTTGCCTAGCATCCGGCTGGAAATGATTTATCGGTCTTATATTCAGTGTTTTGTCAGTCAAGACGGAGGAATCAGGGATCTTCATGGTTCGTCTAGCGGTCGCGATTGGGGTTATCGCTTCTAGTAGGGCCTTGTGTTCGACTTCTTTCTTGACTGATGGTTCAGCAAGAGAGCTTCGTTCCATAGGCATCATTTCATCAAGTTACCTGTACTCGCTCCCAGTGCTTCACTGTAATTTATGGTCACCCGGGGCCCGGGACCTGATCTCCGGGGTTTTCGGCAGCCTCTTTTGCTTTTGGCTTGAAGATTTGATAGATGGTATCCACGACTTAACGAGGAGGATTATCAACGATCTGGTCCCACTCTGCTCTGGAAAACCTGGACTCTGGGAAGGCTGCATTGTGAACAAAGGGAACGGGATACTCAAATATCCAGAGGTTCTGGAAGATGAGGACCTAGGGTCCGCAGGGGTACGAGGGTCAGCCAAAGTTAGTTCAGTAAGTCGGTCCTCTGTGGTCTCGTTTGTCGTCGACAGTTGAAAGCTTTACCAAAAAGCTTTAGGGGACTCGACAATGGCTGAAGGTCGTTGAGATGCAGTTCAGAAAATCGCTCACGTTGCTGGCCGGTCAGAGACTGACTACGTGGCGCGACGTGTAGTTTGTCAGGGCTGATGATGGGGTTTGCTTCGATGTGTTCAGCGACCTCAAATCGCTTGAATGATTCGATGAGAACGATGAAGTTCTCCCTTAACACATGTTGTCCCTCTCTATCTTGGTGTCACACGGACTTCACTGCACTTTAAAGAGTCTCTCTCCAAATTGCTTCTCATAGACGCAATATCCTCGAGCATCCTGGATTGTCTCCACTTTCAGTCCCGAATTTATCCCAGCCCTTCATGAGTTCGACCTATTTCTCCGTGCAGGGCCGGGATACTCATCATGTTCGTCACGAAGCCCGCCACAATACCCGACATCAGACATCCTCGGCCTTTTTCCCATTTCCCCAGAAGTCCTGCAGCAGGCCGGACTGTGTCTGCGTGCGCGGCCGCAGTGTCTAGATTTTCTTCAGATGGTCATGAATCCCGCCAACTTCAAGCATCCAAGAACCCATAATGCCCGCCGCGCTTGTATCTAGCAATGTTTTCAACTTTGATTACCACCTCTTCTTGTTGGTAACTCTCCAATTTCTGAATTTGTTTAAGTGCCAGCGCAGCATATTGAATCGAGTCTTGGACTTCGAAATTAGCAATGACTCCCACGTTGTCCCTTTTCACGAAGCCTTGCTCCATTGCCGAGTTCTTCATATCTCCCCTGTAAGTGGACTTCCTCTTTTGCAGCTACTCATCTGAGTAGGCCACTACCTAGCCCGTAATACGCTTTTTGTACTTCTGAGTCTGAACCTTTTTGCTGCAGCTGCTTCACAGATGTGCCTCCCGCTTTGACCGGCCCATCCAGGCTAAAGGTGGTGTCTCGTGTATGCGCCTGGTCCATTTCCAGTCGAAGATCCCTTTGATTTGCGACCTTTGATTGTTAGGGAACTGGAGACATTGATGTTGTGCGTAGTCTTCAGTCTCAGCGCGGGGCTCTTTTCTTCGCCAATTGATTCAGATTGTCTGTCTCTCGCATGCACGAGCACACAACAAATGCCCGGTTCAGTACTCTCCTTCTCTTTAGGGGGCCTGTTGAGTCCAACGCGGGACTTCCTTTTCCGTCCTTCCAATTGACGATCCCAGATCCAGCCCCATCTAGGTCACCGCAAAAGCCCATCTTGGGACAGAAAATAATGCGATCACCGCAGGAACCCAGGGTCATCGAATTCCGTCATGACGAAGTCCACTATTGGCATCAAGGGGCAGAGCCAGCCTCTGTCTGGAGACCATTCAAACACTCCCAGGTTGATGGCTGAATGCGCAACCACCCTTGTCTTTTCATGAGGATGCCTTGCGCGCGATGTAGGCGTACAGGTTGTATGAAAGTACCCCCAACCAGAAATCAAGAGACTCGGGGTACTAGACTTCCAGGCCGCTAGGGGGAGCATCACTTTCGAGCCGTTGCCAGCGTTTGTTATTTTGCTCGGCCACGCCTTTTCTTGCTCTGTACCGAGCAAGTTCCAGTTGATCTGTTTCTTCATCTCCGCATGGGAAGCCCATCTGATGTCGTAACTGAATTCCAGAATCTGAGCCCGAAGCTTCGATTCGTTTATAGGTGTATAAGTCCGATGTGAAGGTGGTTGAGTATATAGATAACCCCTGAGGAGAGGAAAATGAAAGGATAAATGAAAAAAGAATACTTGGCACTGATAATCTCTTCGTGTTCATCAAGACATCTGTGTCCATTTCTCTCAAGAAAAGCCAAGAAACAGTGATAACATGTCAGCACTGATACTCTGGAAAAGTATGAAGCTCCGTCGTGTCTTTTCCGAAGACAGGCCAAGACCACACATCTCCTGTCCAGTGCTTTCCGGAAGTATTGCAGGCTGGGTAGGACTGTTCATGGGCAGGCAATAGGTGTGGCCAATAACAGAGTGAGATTACTGACACTGGAAGACTGAGTACCGGAACCAAGGAAGCCACCGAAATTTGGTCGGTTATATGCCTGCCTATCGTGAGAAAATGCATCGTGATCTGAAACAGAAACAGCAGCATGTGCTGTAACTTGAATTCTTCCTCGCGATA